CGGAGCGGCGCTGTGTCACGTGACCATCTACCATCGGATCTACCATCGAGGGTATACGGAAGGTATACTGAAATCCAGAAACATGATTGGATCGACCCTCGATCTACCCTGAATGGTATATGATATGGTATACGAAGAATAGGATATAAGGACACTCTTTCATGTACTTAGCTAGTTCTGTTCTTCATGCTCAATACAATTATCTTTAAGTAACCATATGTTTTGATAAAGCTTAGTAATAATACTCGTCTGTACTTACTTACAGATAGCTGCACAGCACTATCTGGCCTTACTTCTCTTCTCTTATTCAGGATCAGTCATCTTTAGATAGTCATCAGTCTGACACTACCTTGATTCAATTCAAAGGTACGTATACCAGTGAAGCTAAGCTAACAGGAACAGGGAGAAGCGATCCTAGGGTTTGACATTATTATACTAAGATTCTATTCCAGTTACTTATATCTTCTGGCTAATCTTAAATAGTTGATAGTGATAGTTTGTATTGTTTTATCCACATATCAGGCAAATTTTTAGATAATAAGAATATCTCTGTAGATATTATTTTTAGATATTATTTCATGATTTCTAATATCTCAGGTCCTAATATGGGCAATACTACATGATTTTCTTAAGTTCTGGGCAAAATCGCGCTGGATTCTCTAAGAATTCTTTTAAAATATAGTCTAACTAATAAGTAATAATGTCTTTATTATTTTTCTAATTTTCTTTATCCTCGTCTCACTGCGTCGGACGGGTTTTATTAATTTCTGATAAGGGTTTTTCCAGAGTATCAGATATCTTGCTGAGTCTTTTTTTACTGGGTTCAAGATCTTCAAGCTAAGTATTATATTCTTTATCTAAAGGGTCGAATTCATTCTAAACTATACTAAGGTAGTTGTTTCTTGGAACTAGCTTATTACTATTATCAACTTCCATGGGCTAATCTAATGGTACAGATAGTTGGTAATCTTCTTATTATTCTGGTAATGCTGTTAGCTTATCCATAATAATCTGTTACCTCAAGTAATCACGGTATGCCTTATTCTTTAACAGTTATCTATATTATATAATATATAGTTTCTTATTATCTAATATTTACATTACAGATTCCGTCCAAACTTTATGTTAAATAATGGTAACATCATAGACTCCTCTGCCTTAATCTTTATACGTAGCCCTTAATTACTTCTAAGACTGTTACTGTTTCTGCTAGCAGTCCTTTAACTAATGACCTACTTTGCTGCAGCTAAAGCACAAGCAGTCCTTTTTACGCTGTTCAAGTTCTTTCTTAAATATTCTGTTTTGTTGAGTCTGATGCTGTGCTACATCTAGCTCTATTGGTTTCAGTCTATAAAGATCTTTATATCCCAAACTCCTAGATTATACTGACCTTCCGTTGTTGACTCAGTAACCTGGTTGGTTATTTTATCGAGGTGTAGACCCGCTGGTCCATCAGCCCTCTCTTCGCTTCATATTATATTTGTACAACTTATCGATCTTGACTACTGCTGCAATCATCTATAGCAACGTCTTTAGTTGTTCCTACCAGATGAGTTTCTCTTGAATCTCCATCTTGAGTCCTTCTTTGAATCGTGTGATGTAGGCGTCGCCGTCCCAGTCTAGGTGACTAACAATCTGTAAGAACTCGGAGGCATACTTAAATATTGATCCAGTCTGTCTAAGTTACTACAACTTTTGCTCAGTATTATATACTGTATCAATATCTCTGAATGTCTGTTCGAGATGCTGCTTAAATCTGGCATAACTAGCAAAGAGTTATTTGGTATCATTATCCTGATTATCTACTAACTTTTCTTAATACTCGCGGATATACGGCTTGAACTAATTAAATACTGTTCCGATCAGGTAGGTAGATGTAAAAAGAATCTTATTAATCTCATTTCTGAGCTTCTCTCTGTTCATGCTGAGATACAAGTCCAACTGGGTCAAGAAAGCCCTGAGCTTCGCTCAATTGCTGTTGAACGGTTCCGGTGATCGGACCTTAACAGACTTGACTGTTAAGCAACTTTCAAGTAACTGGTTCTGTTGCTCTAAGACAGTGATGCTTTCTTGTAACTGACTAACCATACCCATCAGTTCTTGCATTGTCAGGCCCTGCTGCTGTGGGGCGCGCGAGGAGTTCGAAGCTGTCAATATAATGGATGATTATCACTGGTAACACTTGTACTGACTGATGCTCAATATATCAAACCCTAGGATCGCTTCTCCCTGTTCCTATTAGCTTAGCTTCACTGATATACATATCTTTAAACTGAATCAAGGATGTGTCAGACTGATGACTATCTAAGGATAACTGGTCATAAACAAGAAAAGAGAAGTAAGGCCAGATAATGCCGTGCAGCTATCTGTAAGTAAGTATAAATAAATATTGTTATTAAGCTTCCAAACATATCGTTACTTAAAGACAATTATATTAAGCATGAAGAACAGAACTAGCTAAGTACATAAAAGAGTGTCCTTATATATCCGTCCTTCGTATACCAGGTTGTATACCTTCCCATATACCATATGTTGGGATCCCCGATGGGCTCCCACGCCGGTAGGCAACGTAGGGTCACGTGACACTCCTCCCTACACCGCTAGTTAGTCCATATAGATGGCCTACGAGGCCCCTAGCTAGATCATTATCCATCTCATTCTACACGGTTGAATCGCCTTAGTAGCCACTCCAACACCATATACCATATACCATATACCATATACCCGTTCATATACTATTTCATATACCTGTAGTCACGTGATGCGTGGCTGTCCCGGGTGTCGGTTACTCAGATCGGGATTCTACTCGATAAGAGTTGCTGCCCATCCGGACATTGCCTTCTGCCTGACGAGTCCGCCTTGCTAGTAGCTTTAACTAGCAGGGGTCCGTAACACCTGGCTCAAGAGAATCATAAATTACGCGCTGCCAATGAGAAATCTTATCAAAAGCGGACCCGTTCTCGACGTCAAATTGAGCGTACGAATGGATTTACCATCCAGGAATCTCAGGAAGAGATACAACGCGTCCAACAAGAAGAATCCACGCGTCAAGTGCCAGAATCTATACCGGACGAAACCTGGCTGGCAACCTCTTCAAGGCTCGTACGGGCGCCACCACGCTGCAGTGATTGTCATAATCTAGGACATAAGCGATTACAATGTCCTAATCGTGTACGTAATTGATTTTTATATAAAAATACAATTTTCGGGTCTATAAAAGTGCTTCATTCGGACGTATGTAGGGGGGGTGGCCGGTTCGCTTGTGGATTACGTTAATTATAATATATGATTAATACGAATCTGATACATAATTCTTAAAAAAAGAGAGTTTAAAGTTATAAGCTCAAGAACTCAAGAATTACTTAAGATATATAAAAATAAGTAAAAGTTAAATTCTCTGAAAAGTTATTTAATTATAGATTAAATAATTTTTCTTATAATTAATCTCTTTTATAGACTTTTTATATAATATTAAGAAATCTTTATATTTTTAACTGATTTCTCTGTAACTTTCAGAGATCTTCTCAGATTTCTTTTTTCTTATTAGATAATTTCTCTACTTCTTCAGATATTATTAATTTAGAGTCATAAGGCCAGACAGGTGTCAAACCCTAGGATCGCTTCTCCCTGTTCCTGTTAGCTTAGCTCCCGTTCCAATTCGTACCTTGAACTGAGTCAAGATAGGTCAGACTGATGACTATCTAAGAGGTGACTGGTCCTGAACAGAAGAAGAGAAGTAAGGCCAGATAGTGCCGCGCGACTATCCGTAAGTGAGTGCGGACGAGTGTTGTTGCTAAGCTTTACCAAACGTATGGTTACTTAAAGACAAATTGATTGAGCACGAAGAACAGAACTAACTAAGTACATGAAAGAGTGTCCTTATATCCTATCCTTCGTCGTAGCATCGCTATGCCATGTCGTAGCGCTGATACGTCCTGTCGTAGCGCTGATACGTTCTGTCGTAGCGCTGATACGTTATAGCTTATCGGTGATATGTCCATCATGGTCACGTGCCGTGTAACGGCTCCGGTTGTCGGTTACTCAGATCGGGATTCTACTCGATAAGAGTCTTCTCTGTCCGGGCGTAGCCTTCTGCCTGACGTGTCCGCCTCACTAGTCGTTCAGCTAGCAGGGGTCCGTAACAACAGGCTGGAACATAGGATGTTCTGGTGCCGGATGGCTGACAGGGTCTAACCCTTTTCAGCCGGCACCTTGACAATATCAGACTTCTTAATACATACTAGACAGTCATGTAATGCTATACTACTACTTCCTCTATATCAGGCCATTGTAGTGATTGGCTAGACATCATCCATGATCACTTCCTCCTACATCTTCATCCCCCTTGAGCTGTCCTCCCGACACAATATATAAAACTACTACTATTGTAAAGGTTGAATAGGGACAACAAGCAAATTATGGTAGACTAAAGTAATAAGAGCCCATGAAGAGGTGATTGGGACTCAGTCTGTATAAGATTGCTGAACAAGTTATCCAGGCCCATTACCACGGGTAACAACACGGAGAGGAAGAAAAGACAAACAGACACCACGTAATATCCAATAAAGAAAAGACCAAAAGGAGGATGCATATTGATCGATCCCATCTCAGCTGGCTGCAAATTCAGGACGGGAAGACGCAGGAAGAGAAAATCAGGATGGTAGTAACAGAACAGTGGTAATTTGGTGGAGGAAAATTGCATACCTTTCTTGAAAGGGGTACCTCAACCAGGAACATCAGTGTAGGTACCATTAATAACAACTTGCTTGCGCACTATGTGCGATTGCTCAAGACAATGTTTCCAATCCTGAATACACGACTGGCATATATGCCAATTTCCATCCTCACAGATCTCACAACAATACCGGATGTCGGAATTTCGGATCTTGGTACCGCACTTGTTGCATGTATCTAGGTTCTCCAGGTCAACCGGGGGGTGGAGTCGAAAGGTGTCAGCCAGGCCCCCAGCGTTCTTCTCATACCACGACCGTAGGTACTTGATGATTTCGAGCTCCGGGCCATTGGCACGATCCACAGTTGCCAATGTATACCCATATCTGGTGGGCGAGTCTACTGCAACTCTGCTGCTCTCTAGAAGCGCCCCAACTACATGCGGGTGCCTTCTCCCGATCGCTATGTCAAGCGGTCCATCGTGTTTGCTATTCACCGCGTTGGCATCAACGACCTCGTACTCGAGTAAGAGCTTGACAGTATCGCTCCATCCACCTGCTGCAGCCAAGGCGAGTGGTGTCCACCCATATACATCTCGTTGGTTCGGGTTGCATCTCCCTGTCCTCATAAGCGCTTCCACTACCTTTGTTCTCCCGTTCCAAGCAGCTCGAGACAACGGTGAACGTTTATACTTGGTGTCTACAATACCCGGGTCGCAATTCTTATCAAGCAGGAGCTGTACCACCCCTAGGTGTCCTTTCTCGGCCGCATAAGACAGTGGAGTTCGATAATGATGATGGGGGGAATCGACTGTCACGTTTCGGAGGCCTGCCAGAAATTTCACCACGTCTTCTCTCCCGTACATGGCAGCTAGAGACAGCGGGGTACGGTTATTGTTGTCAAGGACATCTGGCTGCGCACGTTCATTGACAAGTAGCTGCACAACCCCCTTGTGCCCATTTTCAGCGGCCCATGACAGTGGCCCACGGCCATTCTTGTCTGTAGCATTGAGATTGAGGTCTATACCTCCTTGTTTGAAAAGTTCGCGTACCGTTGGTTCGTGGCCATTCCGTGCTGCCCAAGATAGTGGAGTGCAACTGTTAGCATCCTGTACATTTACATTAATGCCCTTCTGGAGTAAAGCCGATATCGGCTGCTCAAGTCCGAAATATGCTGCTAGGTGCAATCCGCTCATTCCATTCGGTACCTCCTGGCAGTAATCGGAGTTCCAAGGACGGTATGGCGACAGGAGGAGGACTTGACTAGCAGACCTGACGCAGTCCTGATGGGAAAGAAGCTCGATGGTCGATTGCTGAAGTTCCGATGTCGCCAGTTTGGCATGGTACCCCCAATGAGTGGCGGCATACTCATATAGCGGGTTTTCGACCAATCTCTTTCCAAACGCCTCTTCAGTCTGGCATACTCCGCTGTGAAAACGTTCGTATAACAGATATGTGATGCAAGCCGATCCCAGAACCGGATCACTGACAATGAAGCTTGACCCGGAACTAGTCGAGTGCGAGAGGTAGTTATGTACCGTACGATGAACTAGGTGGATGGCGTTACTCTCCTCGTCGGCTACTACTAGCCCTGCGCACACAGAGACTATCTTGTCGATACTAGGGATCGCATCATTGTTCATGAATGTTGTGTTGTTCTCGACATCAAGAGCATGACGAAGCTCCAGAAGGCTAAGCGGCCTCAGGGAGTTGATGATGCAGGACAGGACGCGTTTAGCCAGCCTCTGGCGAGCTTCAGGCTGGCTTTTTATTCTCGAAAGTGTGCTATCATACGCGGCGGGATATGGGTCCTCTGTCATTGATAGATTTCCCAAACGCTTCTCAAGATCCGCTTGTGTTACTTCGGCTTCGAGGGATTCGAGATGCAGTCGAGCCAGAAGGAACCTGACCATTAGCCAACTATCCTGAGTTTATGTGCTCGGAACTTACATTCCGTCCGATGATCCTGTTATTCTATCAATTATCCTCTTAATCATCTTGACACTCTGTGATTTCAACTGAGGAAGTTGCTGAATCTTACTGAACAGATAAGACTTCATATCTTCTTTTGTCGCAGAGATTGGCCGCGTTGCATTCAAATGCACAGTTTCCATGATGTTCGGAATGTCCCTGGATGTAAAAAGTATGTTCGCATTGAACTTGTCGCGCATCCCGGAAACCCTGTGCAGTATGTCTGAACGTAAGCCGAACTCTTCTGAACATTCATCAAATGCATTGAGTAAGATGAAGGTTCGGTCATGCTGTGACATCATAGTCGATAAGCAGCTTGAGATTTCCTCTAGAGAGATTGGTGTGCCAAGGAGCCGGTGCCGATGATATAATACTCCTATCTCACTGGGGATTGTTTCCCGGGACATGGCAAATTGCTTCAATAAGCTTGCAAGTATTCCTTCATGCGATCGGAGCTCAGTCTCTTCAGAGTCGAAATAGATAGTCGTAATAGCGACGTCACCCTGACAAGAGAACTGTTCTCTGAGCCTCTCGGCTACAAGCGAAGTGAGAATTTTCTTGCCAGCACCTGGCTTGCCTGGACAAAACAGTATGTGTCCCTCTTGCTCAACCCACGTCCTGTATTCAGGCGACTCGATGAACCATTTTCCAGTTCCCTGTTGGTACTGTTTCATGTAGTGGCATCTTTGAGCAGCAGAGTTGACTGGAGACAGCCATTCGAGAATCTCCTGACGTTCACGGTCAACATGATACTGTTGCAGATTGACTATATTCTTGTTGGCCATGGTGCTGTTAAAGGCGTTGAGAAGTATGACTTGATTGCTGATGCGGTCTCGAAAGTCACGGATCATCTCTTGATTCCAAGTCAGCTTGTCGTATGTCCTCCTTACCATCGGTCTGAAGCGTCTCGAGGGGGACTCCAACGAGGTAACAGTGGAGAGCTTTGCCTCCAACTCGTGTAGAAGATTCCGACAAGTCTGGAGGATATGTTCTAAATAACGGTCCTCTGTTTCGCTAAGCCCTTGCTTCGAACGGTCGATATCCGCATGATGTAAGACAATCTTGAGACTCCTCGCTCTGTTCTAGTAAGTAAGTGAAACGTTTTCGCTGCCTTGGAACTCACGTATCACAGATGGCTGCATACTGCCCGGGTGCAGCAAGGAATCTGTCGATAATATTATCGACGAGCTGAATAATGGTTATAATGTCACCAACGCCGATGACACTCATTTTGTAGCACGACTAGCAAGACCACTGAGAGGTATAATAAATATAGCCTAATGGCGAGTGTACTTTTAAATATCAGTTTCCAATGACTATCACTTGAGAACAGGAGATAAGCTTTGGGGTACTGACGCTGTTCAATATGTACCTGAGCTGGTGACCATACCATGATATCGTTTGATGGGTAGCAAGCTCTAGACCTCAATCGACACGGATGCATAGATGGTGTTCAGCGGCTGATACAAATCTTTGGTTCAAACTTTCTATACTAGAATCAAAGTTCTTACCCCACCAGTAGTATGAATAGTTATTGTTCAGTCACCACAATACGATCAGATGATATTAGGCACCAATATTTGTCATTACAAGGTCAAATTCAAACGCCGTCCAGCCCCTTCTCTGTCAATTTCTATCCATGGTTCTAGTCTGGGGGGCTCGTAACAGCACATACATAGAGTTTCTTTGTCTCTCCGACCGGTAACCAATCGCAGTCATGCACTACTAGGTTTATTAGCTATATACTCATTTTGGTGTGTCCATATACGTAACATATATTAAGAGAATTGCCTAATGAATAATTCCATTTTAACAAATATACTCACTGTGCTGCCTCTGTGGAGAATATATCGCAGGCGTTTGAGACATCATGGTAGTTGTGCCCCAGAGAGTTGATCGTATAACATTTCCAGGGTGATTTCCCCCTCCTACTCTGGAGAGCTATCTTACAGCAGGCGTCTTCCATGTAACCCTGGCCCTTTCTAATCAACTTCAAATCAAATGTGAATTAACATGCGACGATTACACTACACTTCAAAGCTGGCATGCTGAATGGTCTCAGGGATACAGTCGTGGAAGTAGAAGTTAGGGATGTGTGTCCATGACCGGACTGACGCAATACTTCCGAGAGAAGGTAATAGCGTGAAATTCAAAGAGGCAATTTGTTGTACAAAACTAATCGGTACATCGTGTTTTTTACCGGCCTACTTGCCACTAATCCCCGATATATCCCAGATAGCAGCAATACCCAAGTTCTTCTTGCTTAATAAGTCCAACGTGTCGGAAGGATGTGATTGAGCTGGACTCAAGCAACGTGGTCTTCCTTATTAGCTTCCACCGCTACAAGATCAATATCTTCCCAGCACAGTATGGACGGGATCTCGAGCAACATCACCACAAGCGCAGCTTCAAGTAAATAACCATGAGTTTCGACTGAGCTGCGAACGACAGAGTCTCTGATACGGGTCCCAATAGGCCATTTCATTTGCATCTTCATAGAGGAATATATCTCCTTCCACAGGCCTTTAGCGTTGTTGGGGAGGTACTGTTGCAATAGTTGTGGCATGTTTAAGCCATAGATGATCCCAGCAAAGGACTGGCCTATAGAGCCCCCCGCACTGTCAAAAATACCTACTAGAGCAAGATAAATGACCTCGTCTCTCTTGGATGTTTCTGGTCTAATAGGTTGTGACATCGGGGGGGCATATCTGTCGCCAGGTTGTGAATGTTGCTTTTTCGCTGCTGCCATGGCTGTTGTCTGAGCACAGCACACAAGTACGCCGCAGGCAACGCCATTGATTACCCGTCCTGAGGTTAAGTATGCGATGCTCCCATTGGGTCGACAGAAGTATAGCATTAGGAGTATACTCAATCCCTGAAGAAGGGCCGCAGCAAGTGCTAGGCGCTTCATGTGGCTGGATCGAAGTACGTAACTGCACAATCTCAACGCCATGCTTGAATGGTAGAAGGCGAGGACTTACCACCCAGCAAGCAGTGACCCAACACAGGATGAAATGTTATATGTGCTGGATAGAAAGCCTGCGTATGCCAAGTCCAACCCGTGGGCGACTTGAAGATACGACATCAGATACGTATCGTATAAGCTTAATGAATTAGCCACGGTTCGGAATAGCAAGGAAGATAAGAAGCCTACAAGAAGCTAATCCAGAGCTCAAGTCCCGTCAGGCATGCGAGGAGAGCTGTCTGGTTGCGGAGTAGGTCGGCCGCGAGGAACGGTACCGGGGCACCGAGCCATCTCCAAGCAATAAATAATATGATGCACACAGCGCTCGCTGCAATGTACATCACAAGCCACATTTTGTCGAGCGTATGCAAAAAGCTCAATGGAACCAAGACAACGATGAAAGAAAGGCTGCAGAGCATTATTCCGACAGCTTTGCCGTCAGCCAGTTCAAAGAATAAAATCCCCGATGAGACCTACCATCAAACTTGGCAGTGGAAAAGATTGAAGCCTCTCCTTTAAAGAGTTGCCGGACTGGTGCCAATGATAGACTAGCCCGGTCATAGTCAAAGATAAACCTCGTCGTGCAGATACAGGACAGCAAAGTGACGCTCGCTACAACCACAAATCCTAAAGAAAGCCCCCCATGTGTAAGTAGAAGCTCTGCCGCCACTGGACCCGTGAAAGAATTGATTGTGTAAGGGCTTTCAGCAAGTGCAAAAAATAAAGTACGATTCAGCAAGGATGTACGCCTGATTAGGGAGATGTTTAGAATGTAAGCAATGGCGCCGTCTCCGACCGAGTAGAATATCTGGATGACAATTTAGAACTGTTCCATTTGGCTTGGAGGGAAGCATACCTTTGACCCAGTGTACATCCAGATGTTGGGACACAAGGGAATCAATATTATGCCTTTCTATGTTAATACGTCTGCAAGTCACACAATCAGGAGTACTCACCAAGTACACAGAGAAATACCATGCACTGGTACGTGTTTCGATCGCCAAAAGCATCAACTATGGCGGCGAGCGGAAGCTTCGACGCAGCTGAAAAGGTACTAGACGCAATTGAAACGCTTGATAGAAGCGCATGCTGCCCAAAAGCGCTGGTGATATATGGAATAAGGCAGCCAGCGACCTGCTCCTGGAATGAAATTGCCAGAAAGACAAGAAAGGTACTAGGTGACTATCAGTGAAGAATCTCTTCAACTTGATATAAAGCCTTGGTAACAACTCTGCTATGCCTGGTTACTCACGCTGAATAGGGCAGTATCAGATGAGAGTTTATCGTGGCCTTCTTATGGCGGACATCGCTGTGTTGGCTGTCTGTCTCATGGGTGTCATACAGTTGATCAGAAGTGCCCAGGACAGGTGACTCCTCCCCATGCTCTGAGTGCGGATTACGAAAGGAGTGCATTTTTTGTGGTCCTACACAGGGTCGGGTGGTTGGTTTGATCACTTGGTGATACACCCTAAGCAATAATATAGCAAAGGTTGAAGTTAATAACAGGAAATGACTAGGCTTGTGGGTCAATAAGGTGCATAAATATAGTCTACTTACTGAGTGGTGCCTTCTATCATCTCGTATTATAGCGTTTCTAACACATATCTCTACCCTGTATCTGCGAGCCCAAAAGCCGGTAGTATGACAATCCTACATTGAAAGCCTCCGGCAAGGACCAATACTTCTAGAGTCACCCAACACGGAGGCGTACTATGGAGTAACTTCATACACGGGATATTTGTCATGGGTAAATCGAAACCTGTGAGGGGGAGGCCTACGTAGGTGGAGGACCTTCTTGATGAGACCTACTGGGCAACCACGGTCGGGGCCCGTATCGAACCCGTGACGGGCAACCCTCTCGATCCCCCCGGTTCTTGTCACGGCAGGTTTGACCCCTCCCATTTTCCCTTCTCTCTCACCCCCAGGCCATCTATTCTGCAGACACGCTTGTATTTTGGGTCTATGGGTGTTTATACTATGATTGAAAGTGACAAGTTACCACCGTCCCCGAGGCACCAGCCCATTACTCTGCGAAGTCCTTACAGGTAGCGCCAAACTCACAGCAAACATGGCATATCCTGTATTTCCTGGATCCAGAACCGCATTCAATTTCCCGTTTATGCAGGGCTAGGGGAAGAGTGCAGATGTCACAGGGCTTTGAAGACGTATTCGACTCTGTATAACAATAAGTCAAGTCTTGTCCCTCCTGTCCAAGATCACCGAGCTGCATCCCGTAACGAGCCACGATATCTCGCAGCCAGTCATTGCCGGTTGACTGAATCCACCACGATAGAGTGCGACCATAGCGATCCCGGGGCTCCTGGGTCAATGGATGGCTCTCAAGGATTGCCCGGACCAAATTCTCATGGCCGTGCTGAACAGCCACAACCAGCACCGTGAGGCCAAATCGATCCGGGCAATGAACGTGGCTGCCGCGGGAGGTCAGTTCTCTGAAGATATCCTCATGGTTTTCCCGAGCCGCGTAAAAGAGCGCCGTCCTTCCCATTCGGTCCGGATCGTCCCACCCGATGCCGGGGGTCTGCAACAGTTGTGAAAAGGCAGCTCGGTGACCACGGACGACTGCCCAGATGAGCGCATTGCGCTCGTAGCGCTCGTCAGTTGCTTGAAGGGAGGCACCTCGATCGATCAAAAGCTTGACCACACTCTCCTCGCCCCTGTAAGCAGCATAACACAGAAGAGGCAATTTCATTACCCCCTGTGGGATATCGCTGCCGGGATGGTCGAGCAGCAACTTCAGAATCTCCAGGTTACCCACGTACATGGCCACCGCAAGACTCGTATAACCCCCTTCAGTTTGATTCATCAGTAAGTCGGGGTTGGCTTTCAAGAGCAGTTGCACAACCTCGAGCCTGGGGCTAAGCCTCCTAAGGTTTCTCGCGGCAATGCGTTGGACGGGATCGAGTGTGATTGCAAGATCCAAGGGCGTCGCTTGCCTGGGGCCGATGGCCTTGATTTGGGCCTTGTGATCTATCAGCAGCTTCACCATCCTCACATTGGCCACTGTCGCGGCGTGAAACAGGACCGTCACGCCAGTGGATGCACGCGCGTCAACGTCCGCCCCGCACCCTAGCAACAGCTCCATGTCATCGACGCGTTCGTGAATCGCGGCTATGAACAGGGCAGTCCATCCATTGGATTCCATACGAGCGTCAATATCGGCTCCGGCTTGGATCAGACCCTCCACGATCATTCGCCGGGTATTGCTTTCCTGCGCTTCAGGTGCCGTGCTTTCCATCAACAACATCAACGGGGTACGGCCGTTCGAGTCCCTGACATCGATGTTGGGCTTGTATTTCTTCAGCAGAAGATCAAAAACCGCGGCCTGGCCCTTCCGAACGGCCAGCGACAGGGGTGTATGCATATCGCTGTTGACTGCTTCGATATTGGCTCCCTTCCGTAGCAAAAGATCGACAATCTCCACATGTCCGTTGAAGACAGCCCAATGAATCGGTGCCCCCCCAAGCCCATCTTTCTCGTCCACATCCTCATCGCTCTCCAGTAACATGCGCACCACCGCTGTATGACCACCTTCCACAGCAGCTGTCAGGGGAGTAGAATCTTCCACCAAGTTCAGCATCTTCGACCGACGTGGTTCGTCGGATGGTACAACACAATCAAACGCATGTTGATAATCCAATGCGGCGGTGACCTGCCCCAGAAAGCTGCTGTTCTTGCACCTATACCTAACCTGAGCCCTCAATTCCAGAAGCTCTTGCACAAGGCCTACGTCGCCATCAAGAGAGGCAATTGTTAGAGCTATGCGACCGTTTGTATCGTCGCAGTCGCTCTGGAACTGGCCGTTTCGTGAGGGGCGTACTGTAAGCTGTTTGGGCTCGAAGGATCGGGTGGTTTCTGGGTGCTCTGAGGAAGACATGATTTGGGGGGCTAGGAACGAACGAGGATAGTTAATTGAATTCTGATATCTGGCTTGCTGAGTACTTACTAGCGTGGTGGTAGTCGTATATTTGTGGTGTCTTTTCGCCAGTCTATATAGATAGGTCCGCATGCAAGGGGTCTTGGCAAATAGGCAACAAGACACTGCTGCCTACCTTGTACATATGCAGGGTTACACGGAATTCTTTAGTTTCAATGTGTTTCGATTTGTGATAGGACGAAAGGCATTGCGTGCCTGGAAGCATATGCATAGGGATGACTGCCTATTTTGATAGTGTCAAGGTCGCTCCCTAGGGGCGCTTCTAGGACGGGATCCCCGCCAACTACACTAGGATTCTGAGCCACAAGGCTAAGAACGCGCATCACTTCCAAGCTTGGTTCCAACTTCTACTAACCAAAGGTCTCAGACAGACATCAGGCTGCGAGGCCGTCACAACTATTACTAGTATTATTCTTTGAATAAAGATTTATACTACTTTTTTTTTCTCCCCCATGCTTAGAATTCTAGAATAGTTAGCACCAATACAACCTCGTTTCTTGTGTTGAATGGCCATCTCATAAATGACTAAAAGCGACATCAAAATACACCATGAAATCAAGAGACAGTCAACCAGCCACCGAGCCGAAGCTTCATGATAAGTCCCAAGTTCGTTGAACCGTCTGCCCTTACACCCACTTCCTCTAAATCACGAAGGACATTATCAAAATAATCCCCTGCACCGCTGATTTTCATGATAAGGGCAATGGCACGGTGGATGGCGAGAAGTCGAGGAAATGGCGGATCGATGGTACGGTTGGGGCTAAGAGTCAATGTCCGAATGACAGGAAGCAATGGGTCACTGAAAAAAGAATCTTGGTCTGTGGACTTGATCTCATATTGATATGGACGGCCTGTGTGCTCAAAATATAATTCAAATGCGCCAAATAATCGGCGGTAATCATACGTTAGTGTCAGGGCGTTCATTAGGCTATCAATCTTTGGGTATTCAATAAGATGTGTGATTCCATGATCGAACATGGTCAGAATTCGGAGAGCATTTTTCTTCGAATCGGTCTATAATACCGCATTAGTAGAATAACTATATCTAGTAATAGAACTCTTACCAGCTCTGCATTATCAGAAACACCCGTCGTTAGAGAGTGGGGTAGAATGTGAGCAACTTCCAGAAATCGAAAACTGTCGCTGGATTCGTTCCAAAGAAGGTTTCCATCATCATCATTCTTACAATCTCTGCCATCTTGCTAAAGACGTCTTCCGGCTTCGCGTCGATCGAACTTGCGAGAAATAACACACCGATGATGATCTCGTATGAGGCAACTTTGCCTCAAACTAGATATTCGCTGCCTTGAGCTAGCTGTGGCTGTTTGTAACGAAGATAGGGACGCGGGCGTGGGCTGTGGTGTTTTGACCGACGAAGCTTTGACTGACAATACCGCCTTAGTTAGTACACGAGTAATCTCGCAACCCAGCCAACAGCCATAATACTTACGTGGAAGGAGCAGATTCTCAATGATATACTCAGCAAAGTCTTCAATTGCGCTCTTGGCATTTCCTAACCGGTCTGGACCCCACGAGGCGAGATCGTCAAAGTAGCAAAGGTAAGTGGTAATCTCCGGATCGCGTGTATCAGTTGTTCGCGGACATAAGGCCTCGTATATGAGTGAAAAGAAGAGCATCAGGAATGCATCTTTAGCTGAAACATGTCGGTAGACTGCCAGGGCAAGCGCCGCAGGCTTGTACCCCTTCTGGGAAGTTTGGTTGGGGTTATAGAGGTCAATGAGTTGGTTGAAAATATTGATTGCTGTCTGACTCTGATCTGGTGGTAGATTGAGTGGTTGCGAGAAGTCCAACACACTTTCAAGGGATAGCTGCTGGCCGCTATGCCCTGGTGACATCTTCAATAATGTCGGTTGAGTGAGGTTGGTGAGGAAACTGATAGTTCCGCGAGGTCGACGTTACTCACGTAAGTATCACGTGAATGGTTAAGTTCCAGGGGTGGCGGGAAAACTGTCCGACTGATATACATGGTCTCCAGAGCCTAGCGGTAGTTATATCGTGTTGGTGACATAACACATGATTCTAAAAAGTAAGACTAGGCTGAGATGTCTTTGACATATGTCATAACCATATCTACGATCTTAGTGACTATATACAACCATCATGATAGTAAGCCCTGACCAACAGACCTGTGCGCGGCACCGATTATTATCACCTGGTTGATAAAGAAATCTGTCCTCTTCCCACGGGTTCCAGTATTATTTTAATGGTATTCCGATGCAATTCTTCCATTACAATTATCTCAACCTTCAAACTCTCCTCATTGAACACAATCACTACTAAGATAAATTCAATAACATTCCTGAATCTTGGCGTTCAAAGGGAATGACTATGTTAATTGGTATTTTGTCTCACGTGAAGCATATGAAGTTCTGAGAAAGTATTGATAATTTACTTGTGGATGCGCGAAGCCCGATATGATATTGGTATTTTATTATAAAAGGCATTGATGGAACTTGATACTCTAATTGAGACGTATGCTGATTTGGGAAAGACCTAAAGAGATTGGGCACCAGGAAGCACATGCATAGGGATTACTGCCTATATTGTTGTAGGCAACGGGCTAAATACTGGCATACCGGCCAGGCTACAACTATCTCTCCACCCACATTCCAGGGCTCGGGTACCGCTAGTTCACTCTCACTTTGGCTAGCTCGGTATGGTCGCATTCGATCTATTGAAGATAGCTGACTCGACTCTGGTCCTAACTCTGACACTGCATGTTCCCACTTTGGCAACTGTTTGCTGTACCCTGTCCATTACATGAGGGTAGGTTTCCCAACCTACAAAAGCATGAAGACGTGATTTGAACATCTGCCTCTGCTAAAGCAAGCGATAGTTGCTTTTTGATGATGTTTGCCTCCGCATGTCGACTCAAAAGCTGAAGGCACTCATGATAGCCATGGAGGGCCCATACATTATTCGGGTGTTGATGCGCACGCTTGGGGGTCGTAATGAGCCCCAAATCCTCAGCGTAAGCTTGTGCAGCCTGCTCAACCATTCCCTGTTCTAGGGAAAGGGCTGCGTATGCATGGCGTGCTGGAAGCATCCATCCCCATGGCTCTGCAAAAGGCAGTTCATCTTCTAGAATAACCGCCTCCCGCAATCCGCTGAATGCAGTCTCGTAATCGCCTCGTCTATACTCGATCTCGCCATCCAGCATGGCGGATGCGATCTTGAGAATGTCGGTAATTTTGTTGGGAAAGTCGAGGCGTGTAGGAGGCACAAGCGTAGAAGCTCCATTGAACTGCTCCCTCTCCCGGTCGGCTTCTTCCAGCTGCCCGGTGGCCGCATACGCGATGGCTTTTCCATAGTGTCTCATAACATTGGTGACACAATACAGCTGCTTATCCTTCAGCGGGTCAAGCTTCTTGAGGTCTTCCCACATCCCAAACCGAATCAGTACGTGGACTCTGACGGCTTTGAAAAATTCCATCCAGTTCGCAAGGGCAGGCGTCTCTACCCGAAGAATATCCTCCGTGATTGTCGCTTCCATTCGATCCGTGGCCGCCAATGCTGCCTTCAATTTCCCACTTAGCATTGCGGCGTAGATGAGGGAATGGTAGTCATGCAGTCGATAGTAGCTGTAGAACGTCAGACCCCCATTTTGTTGGAAGTATTTGTCATCAGCGACGGTCGCTTTCAAATTATATTCCACGGCGCGTCGATAATCGCCCACTAGGACATCGATATGGGCCGGCATGTGGTAAGTATGGCCGGTATCGGGGAATATCTCGCGGATCATCTCTGCTGCCGGTAGAGCAGCCTCCGGGGTCGCCGACATTTCCATGAGATGAATATACATGTGCGCGGGACCTGGGTGCTGTTCCACCCCGGGCATTTTCAGAGCGCGTTCGAGCAGGTCTTTGACTTCACACACGGGAGAGGCGGCAATCGGAAGCCCCGTCGATGCATCGTATAGCTTCCTAGGGGCACAATTCATCAACGCATCAGCGAAGAGTGTGATGATGTCAAAGTCCTCGCGGCCGAGATTTGTATACAGATCTCTCATACAATCGGCATACGCTCTGCTACACTGAGCAAAATCCCTACTGGGATCATCGTTAGGGTACCGATGTGCGAGAGCCTTGATAAGCCCCTGCTCCCAATCCGACGCATGCTCTATCCGCCTTAGAGCTTCTTGACTGAAGACATAACACTGTTTGATCGCATTGAGTCGATCTGTTTCGTCGAACAGGGCCCAGGTCTTGTTGTAATTGGCGCCGGAGCAGAAAGATACCCCCCAGTAGGCCATGGCGCAGTTGCCATCGTGTGCGATTGCCTGGTTGTAACAAGTGATTGCCTCGTCATGATTGAAGCAGTATGTCCAGACCAGGGCCCGGTCAAACCACACCTGGGCTTCCTGGGAATCGGTACTAACTTTGCGACCGAACGTCCCTAGATTGAAGTAAGGGTCGCTGGACGGTCTTGCCAGCGATTGAGTATCAGACGAGTTCATTGTGTATCTTGTGTGAGCGGAGTACCAGGGTGCTATGTCAGGTTCTCGAGGAGGAAAGGGATTTGGAATGGAAAGGCCACCAATCGTGCGGGGTATGAATGGAGCCGGGATCGGAGGGTCTCTGTAGCCCCGGTTATATCCGGCTCGGACCGTTTCAGCGCTGGCAAGAGCGCATACAACCATTATTAATCCGCCGGTTGTTCGGTGACAAGGGTAGAATGTTGTTCTTGTGTCGTCAAGATGAGTTGATCCCTAGCGCTTAAATCGGGACACGGTGCATCCTATAATGGTTTATCCGGTCTCGCAGGTACATAGTTCTATGGGGGTATGGTATATGACTTTGCTAATTAATGGGAACGTCCTGATTCTAGGTAAATATAAATCATTTCTACATGACTCACCCATCTCTGGTTTCGTTTCCGTCATGACGGCAGTGTTACAAATCTTGGGTTCCAGATAGTACACAGCCTCCCCTGGGTCAACAACTCTTTACTTTTTCATACTCGGGCAATGCCCATTTCACCATCCATTCGGATGCAAGAACGTCTTTGGCAGAAGGGCGATTCTCTGGTTTGAAAGACAGCATAGGCCTTAGCATCGAGAGAAGTGCAGTTCTCTCAGCTGGCTCGAATGGTGGCATGCCCACCGTTTGTCGAGGATCCTGTATACTGTCTTTGAAACGGTCCTGCAACGATCGAAATGACTTTCGGTTTATTGGTTTTCCATCCTCGGTAAATTTCCTTTGCCGCGCTTCCCATTGTTGCCACCATTCGGAGGGGAGCACGCCAAGTGCATCAACATGCTCGCATGTCATGTCATCCTCGGTGGCGAGAAACCCTTCGAAGAGCGGGCTTTCGGCAATGATGTCCCATATTGAACAAGCGAGTGACCATATATCCGACGGAAAGGAAAGTGGCTTTGCTTCAAATCGAGCCTCCGGAGCTCGGTACACGAGAGGTGTGTGCGAGTCGAATTTATTTTCCTTTGCAGGAGCGAACGCTTCGCCAAAGTCGGAGAGTAGAAGGTTGGCTTCCGGAAGAAGGAGATCCTCGCTTGCTTCACCGAGCCAAACTGGTAGAATTGCCCGTGACGGAATACATGAAGGCAGCACTCTACCATCAAAGCGAGCAATGGGTTCAGACTCCGGCTCACCATACCTGACATACAGCTCTTGATCGGAAAGCCGGTCAAACCCAGGGGGTAGCTGAATAAGAGCATTGCCAAAATGAAGGTCGCCATGAGCAAACCCTTGCCCATGTATATATTCAACTGCAAGTACAAGCTGTGCTACTAACGCCCGCGCAACCTCTAGCCTGAATATGCGAAAATATGATGCATCTTTTGAATCAGAAAGACTCATCCTCGCAGGGCTTGTCACGTAACATGCATGGGTACCGTTCGGGCCTTGGACCTTGAAGGTGTCCAAAATTAAGGGTATCAAGGTTTTCTCCCAATTACTACCCGGAAGCTGTGCCGATCTGGAAAGGAGAGAAAGTACCTCAAGTTCGCGAGGATTCGAGTCTGCAGTGCATACTTTTATCGCGATCAGTTTCCCACGTTTCTCGTCTCGGGCCAGCCAAATCGTTGAATAGGAGCCATGGCCTAGTTTGTGAACTACCCGATACCGACCATGAAACCTATCTCCAATTGCAACAGGGTGGTAGCCCCCTTCTCGGTACCTTTCCAGTTTCTCCACATCTTCGATAGGGACGTAAACGTGAGGCACAGTTGAGCCGCGGGGCTCCTTGGACATGATAGCACAAGTGGAAAATGCGTAGCAAGGCTGATAGCCGTGAAACAATGGCCCTGGTGCCTTACCAGTGGTGGTATGAAGTCGGGATGATAACGCCTGCGGGTGGAAAGGCCGTACGAGGGAGAGAAAAGCTTTTCTCATCTTTTCATCTTCGACCAAGCATCCCTCCCAGAAATAGAAACAATTTGGCGGACCGATAAATCTTCGTTTCAAATTGGCCCTCGGCGCGTAAACGACACACTATGGTGGAAGGTTGGGACTTCCAAGGAGCCGAGCGCGTGACGAGGCATGGGATGAACTTTGCTCCGAGCCGCGCCGACCCAATCATTGCAGGCAGGGGCCAAGTGGGATAAGAATAGTAGTCATAGTATCCAAGCACTACGCGCCGGTCTTAGCTGCATGAGTATTCTCACCAGGTATTGGGTACTTGTGCATCCCGCAACGCAGCTTAAATTTAGACAATGAACTGAGCGTTTTCCTTGAACCACAGCCTTTCATTTAGGCGCTCCATCCGTTCAGATGGTGAGATAGTGTCAGCCAGCCTAACTCGGATTGATTCCTTCTCGTGTACAAAGCACATAAATATGGCGGCTCCACCGTACATGTTTGGGCTCATTGACCATTGTTCTCTCGCCTAACCTTGAAAAGTTGGTTCCGATGCAGGGAGGGATCACTTACATTCAGATCTACTTTGTGTGATTTGACCAACATCATGTCTACTGTGAATGTTGTCAAGGATTACTTCTACAGGGGATTTACCCCAAAGACGGAAGAACGAGCTCGGCAATTGATCGCTTTGGCGTACCAGACCGCGAGAGATCAGAAGCTCTATCCCAGGGCAATTCTCATCAGGTACGAGGCCTCTTTCACGCGTCACCCACCACTTAGTCGCGTTTTAGTACTTTACCTGGGTCCATCGTCTCTAATCATACCTCGCAATGTCAGATCCGAGATTCACAAGACAACCTCCATGAGTGGGATGCATCAGGTGGATCCATTGGGATATCATATCACGCTCTGTTTCAAGGATGAGCAACAGCTTCTTCGTGGTACCCACGTGTCTAGTCATGGCTATGTTCGGGACCAGGATAACTTGGAATTCATCCAAGCGACACATACAGAAGAGAAGTCCGATAATACAAAGAGACAGAGAGGGAAAAGGATGTGTGGCCATCAGAAGATATGCTTATTCAGGCACCAGACATTGGCTACAGCCACTTGCCACCAAACTAGAGCATAGAAGCTTGTGGAATCGGTATGTGTGAAGCCCACAAGCCTGCAGACACGGCTCTCTCTAATACTCAGTGAAATGCAGTTCATAGGATTGCCATTCTTTCAGGAAGGGGTATCTTACCATACCAACTATGAAAGGCAGCACGAAGGATTGTCAATACAACAGGGAGATTTGACCAGAAGGTGATAATTTATATAGACTGGTTGACTGTCTAACATATTATCGCTCTCTTTAAGCTGGCATCACAACCCATTCGAAAGGAGACATTAGGCCAAATGTACAGAATTATGCATCATGTTATCGTGAACCAAAACTTGGCATTTGAACATATTGTAGTTGCGGCGGTAGAGCCCTCTGAAGCCTTAACCTGGCAGAAGGATCAAATTTGAACCTCCTCCACTTGCGGCGGCAATTCAACGGGTGTAACTATTAGTATGACCTGTTGGCTGTATTCACACCTATATATCGACTACCAAGACGAATCCCTCTTCGATAGGTCTGAAGCAGTTACTGTATATGCAAAAGACCATCGGGTGCTGTGGATATATATCATTACATCTATTGGACTTCGCAATGACATATATCGGCCAATGTCCCCTAATTCGCGTCTTGTACTCAAGATGAGACAGCCTGGGGAACCGGCCACTCCTTGTCCTCGCCCTGTCCCTCCAGCCAGGGCAAGCAAGCCTGGTACAGCGTCTGGAACTCACCATTGCCCAGACCCATGAATTTGTCGAAGAGCTCCTTATCAAAGCGCTCAATGAATGCCAGATGGCAAGCGAGCAGTACATCTGCATACCCAGGTTTTTCACCTTCAAAGAATGGGCCCTTTTTCCCCTCCTTTCCTCGCAGCATTTTAACCAGTGGCGCTGACTCGGTCTCAAGCAACTGCCATAACTTATCCAAGCTCTCCTTATCCGTCGGTCGCACCTCCGCCAACGGCTTGCCAAAATGTGCGGTTCGCGTCTCGCGGAAGTACACCTGTCCCCGCGGATCCAAATGGTCCACCACACGGGGGATAATCATCTGCCGGAACCCTGGCGCCAGAAGAGTCACCATCTTCTCCACCGCGATGAGTAGTGCATAGCTGGCATCGCCGGACGGAAACAGCGGGGGAGACGGAAACACCTTATCGAGGTGCATGACGATGGGAAGCGAATCCATCATGGCGCCATTAGTATTGGTGGTGATCGAGGACTTGTGGATGATGGTGGGCAGGGTGTATGGAATACCCTTTTTATTCGGCCCCAAACCTAGGCCAGTGACAAGAGGCTTAACGTCCGGGTAGGAAATCCAGCTCTGAGTATAGGGTATACCCTTGAAGTTGAGCACTGCTCGGACTTTCAACGTGTTGGGGGACCATGATTTGGAGGCACCTGAGGGACGGCATTAGAGGCGGTCCGATTGCGGGGCAGCTGACGCACCTGGGAAATCGGAGAAGAGGTCGAAAAAGTGGACGGGCTCGGAGTCGGCCATGTTGATTGGATTTTGTGAACAGTACGACAGGTTATGAGGCAGACTTTCTATTCTGCGAAGGAAAAGTGCTTTCTTGCTGTCTTTGGTGGTAGATGTTTGGAGGAAAAGTTGGTGGGGAAGAGAGATTCCGGGATTAACGGGGTTTGGGGACGGCTTACCAATCAACTATTCCGAGTGCTTATTATTCCTGCAAAGCTTACTATAACTAGAGCTAATGACGTATAAAGTAGTAAGCAGGGGGGTTTTCTAAGTCGATAGAAAGTAATAGAAGCAAATTCATATATCCAAGTGAGTGTGATTAAATACCATTACATATATGGCTTCCCCTATGAATTAATCCTATGTTCTGACCGCTCCAGCAGTGCCTTCCTCCTTGATTAATATTGCACATAGTTCCCCAATTCCTGCCAGGCCTTCAAGGTGAACTGATGATCAGGTGGCCTAGTAGGTTCCTGCAGCACCCGCAGCCCCCGCGGCACCGGCACCTCCAGCCGCAAATGCGCCTCCGGGTTGGCCAACACCGTGGTCTAAAAAGTGTTAGCTCATGAATATCGATGTATAGCTGGGCTCACTGACAATCACCACCGGCGCCCTGTTGCATACTGTATCAGCGAAGAACTTCAATACTAGACATTGGTCAACACTTACCACTGGTACTCCCCCGTGGGAACCTCCATTCGGACCCCATGGGCCATTTCCACCTGCAATCAAGGTTAGTTCCTCATTTTTCTGCGTGTATATTAGGGTTGTCTGACCACCAATTCCACCAGGGCCACCAGGACCGCCAAATCCACCAGGACCACCATTGCCGCCATTACCACCGTGACCACTTCCACCAGGAGTAGCACCGCTCAGGCCCTGTTGTATGATATATCAGCAGGGAATACAGTCAAATATTTTTCGACACTTACATCAAGAGTATCATCAACGGTACCTCCGAGTTCACCGACAGTGCTTCCAAGACTCGGTTGTCCACCTGTGTTGAAGTACCATTAGTTCTTGAATACCTTGCCTATTTGGGTTTACTGACCATTGCCACTCCCACTGCCACTGCCATGGCCACCATTGCCACCCGGAGTAGCACCGCTCAAGCCCTGTTGCAGCATGTCAGCAGATATACAGAATTGGTCCAGACAACTTTCACTTACATCGAGAGTATCATCGACAGTTCCTCCAAGTTCACCTACAGTACTTCCCAGGCTCGGTTGCCCACCTTTGTCGAGAGTGTCAGTTTTTGATGGTTTTGCATATCTGAACTTACTAACCACCATTGCAAGGGTTGCCACCTGGAGCAGCACCGCTAAGGCCCTATTGATAATATTTAGCTGAGCAACAAAAAGCAAAACCCACTCTGCAATCCTTACATCGACAGTGTTATCAACAGTACCTCCAAGTTGGCACAGAGTACTTCCGAGACTGCGACGTTTCGCGCCTGCATTATATGCCATTAGTCTCGTGGTGAACGCTTTGGTCCTGCTAAACTAGCATATATGCCCACTTACCAGAGACTGGGCTTGCTGCGGCCATGCCAGCAGCAACCAGGCAGAGTGCAACCGAAATCTTCATGATGATATGTGGGTGGATAACCTGACAAAGCTGAGCCGGAAGGTCTAGTTAGGAAACTGGGAGAGATGGAAGAACTGGATAGGAGTCTGATGAGTGCAGTGGTAGAAGACATGGAACGTCGAGGGCCAACGGCCCTTTTAAACCCTCTCGATCCCTGGGACAGACACAGAATGAGAAGGTGTTTTTGACATATCTGATATCGCTATTGCCACTAGGAGCACGTTGTAATGGGACAATATAGTCGTACAAGTTTCAATTATTGTTCGGCTTCCCTGCAGGAGTCCAGAATCATCGGTCGGGGTTTGGACATCATACCTAAATTCCGTGGCTATCTGGTAAGGGGGCTATGTCTGGCCAGGGATTGCGATTATATGGGTCTATTCAATTAGGTGGTTACTTACTGAATTAGTTGCTGGATATATCAAAGCATCTTACCGGCCCCTGATAGGAATCACCAAGGTGTTATCACAGCTCACACTTGACTTCACCATCCTTCCCTTGTGTTCTCATTGTCTTTTGATCGTCAAGATAAGATCCGCTGACAAGGCAGGGTAGATCCTCTCGAAGTTTCTGTTTTCTACATACTACCGTATGCGGTTATTCTGCATCATGCGAACGATAATATATATGACAGGTCCTAACGGCTTCAGGCGCATCAGATAGGTGGCGACAGCCTACTAAAAACGGGGTCTTTCCAGAACGGGTGATTTGGAATGATAGTGGATGATTAGCAAGTCCATCAGTGGCAAGTAACCCTAATCGAATAGGAAATATGTATATCAGAAGACCGTTGCCAATTTCGGTTCAATAAGCAATGCACGTTGTGTATCAATGACCGGAAGAACACGGAGAACCCCACATCCAGCAGAGTATAGGGGAAGACTTGAGCTGCAACTCAAAAATAAACATGCATACAGCCACACTAGTGATAGAAACCAGGAACTGCAATGATTATTATGCATCGAATCAATATCTTGGCGGTTTTGGAGCAACGCCGAACATTCCCTGTAACGACTATCGAAACCCCGCAAAGATACGGTAAGTGGGTATCCATTTCAAATCCCGATCGATCGATCTCCCAGTTGGACTCAATGCTTGTACCCCTATCCTTTAGCCAAGCTTTGTTGTGAGGTCACCTTGGGCATTGAACCTGTTTTAGCTAGCACTGTAGCCTGCAATGGCACTCATACCCAAAGTGAAACCCTTGTCTTCAACAAATGGGGCTGTGGTTTAGTGGTATAATATTCCCTTAGCATGGGAGAGGTCCGGGGTTCGATTCCCCGCAGCTCCATTTTTTTATATATTTTTTCTGCCTTCCCGCGCTGTTGACCCTCTCACTCAACCGCTGAGCCATAGATAAAGAGGAGCACTGTAGCGTTCAAGTCGTCGGATACTGATGGCTGGATTTGTAGAGCATCTATCCTCGGGGCATCGGTCTGCTTATACATCACACTACACTTCCATATGATCTGATCCCGAGTGGGAGTAACGATGTGGCCTCATGATTATACAAAAGACGCCTTCGTGCCCATGGCCTTAACGGATGACAATGTAGCCAGTCATCAATGGTTAATACTGAAATAACTGGTTGTGATTGAAATTGGCCAGCTTTTGATAAGTTGTCGTCCCTTAAAGACTATTAACCCATCGAATATGTTTACCAGATCTTGTACTCTCCATCATTCTTCTTTATCAATATTCCGTCAATATATAGCCAAGCTTGCAAGTTGGAATGGGCGACGCCACAGCGAAGGATCCCTTAATCCCATTGCTATACTTCGTCCAAGGGGTTCTGCGGTACATCACTTTCCCCCTCACGCAATTCACATTAACATGCTTTTGTAAACAGGACAATCCATGAAATCCCAAGCGACAAGACATCCGAAGCCCTGACACGAAAGAGCTTCAGCCCCGAGGCTACCATCGAGTATGTCCGCCCCCCCCCCCCCCCCACTTTTCCATCCCACCAACACATTAATCCCATGCTGGAAGAATAAACCAAGCCTCAATGGACCGTACAGGCTTCGGAGAATTTATGCAAGACTATCGTAACAAATATATATTCGTCGACTTTGCGTTCCACGACGCAGTCACCGTCCCTACCGATGACGAAGGACGTAGTGGTACCGTCGGCGTTGGGATCAAGGCGCGCGCTGTGGGGAAGGTAGATGGGGTGTTGTATGAAGCTAGATTACAGTATGCTTTCTCTTCTGTCGGGTAACCATGATTGTTTAACTAATAGTTGAGGGTTGTATCAGTGAGATCTTCCAGGTGGAATGGATTCCTAGTCGAGGAGATAGTGGTGGACATCGTCTTATTACGAAGCTCACGGGGGCGTTGAAAGATTTGTATCCTGTTCAAGATGATTCCTTATGTAAATCTATGCTTTGAATACAAAGGGGCTGTCTGAGGGGTATTTTGGTGGAAGTGATGGTTTATCAAGTATCTTCCTGATTTCGGAGATAGAAGAATAAATCGTTTATATTATACATCCCAGGCTCCTCTCTTTGACACGCAGTCAAGGAGCTGATCCTCTCTTTTATCCAGCTGGGTTGGTTTTCTGCTCAGCTCTTCTTCTCTACCCAAAATCGGATAACAGACTAGGAGGCAGTGGATATCAATGGCCTAATGGTATAACCAGTCATGCCATCACAGATAGTGAATGTCAAGCGCCATTACTGACTCCGATCTGGCCTGGAGATCCCAAGCACACTACTGAGGGCATACTGCCTGCTATGGGCCTCGCATACTTGCTCCCAATCACATGCTCTCCGACAAACCTATCAATCAGCTATCCCTGACCATAGCCATCAATCCCGCCTCATAACAGCCAACATTTCATACCCCATCAACCCAACCTCCTCCTCATCCGGAAAATACACCGAAAACGACGAACCCCGAAAACACGGCTCATAGTCCGCCCAGTCCGCACGCGGCCCCAACCACACAATCAAACGAACCGACCCATCACCATAGGTATCAAGATACTTAGAGACCAGCTTCGGTTCCCGAGGGTATACAAACATCCACGCTGTGGCTTCCGCGGCGCGAGAATGCAAATCCCATGTTCCGCCGACAACATCAATATCTTGTTCGGGCAGATAGCGATTGACGGATAAAGCCACTTCAACGCCAATGATCTGCGTGTTGGGGTGACGATATGCGATTAGAGCCTCTAGGAGACCGGAACCACAGCCCACGGAGATAGTAAAGGCCGGTTTCGCTGGAAGAAGCCCTGCTAGATAGGCGGTCAGAGTGCTGGAGATATCCAGACAGCAGTCTGGGAATGCTGTGGGTGGTGTTGAGAGTTGGGCGGAGATGGAGGCGATGTCCATGGTTTTGGTGGTGCCAAGCAATAGGATTGAAGAGTGCAGCGACAGCAAAGGGATTTGCGGGAGGTGGCTCGGGGCGGATTTACCATGGTCCGTCACAGCGTATCAATGCGGGATCCGTGGGTGGTGGGGCATTTGACTTCACGGCGGAACATCCATCAACACAGGCATTGTATCGATCAAGGGCTGAGGATTCTGCATTTCATGATATTGGAACTCTTAGAATTATGATACTTGGAAGTATCTACCAGATTTACTGCTACAGATAGACAGGAATCCCTTGACTAGTTTGATTCAAAGCCTAATGTGTCCTCCTCTCATGTATATATTGTTGCCGGTTGGACAGAGAGCAGTTAAACCGCACCATTGCATGGAATAAACATCCACTTCACCTCCAACAAAGTCATACCAAAAAATCACCATATCCCACCAATCAAACACCCAGAACAGCCGATAACAACCAACCAATCACCAAGCCACCACTCCACGACCAAACAAGCCCGACTCGGTGCCAATCCCCCCGTCAGCCCGATTTACCCCGCATTTGACCCCTCCCAGCATCGCCCATTCCATCCTCACCTTGCAATCCCGCACCATTCTCCCTGCAAAAGTACCACCGCAACATTGCCAACATGCCCATTTTTCACATCGGTGCGTACCCTATCACCCCCAGGCCAAGCAGAAACTAACAAAGACGGGATGGAAAAGTCCTCTTCCGCCTAAAAAAAGGCGTCTCGGCCAGCGAAGTCGAAGCCTGGAATGAGTTGGGAAGAGGCATGGTCGGAAAGATTCCTGGTAAGGACCACCACGTCAACTGTGAAACTGTAGGTAGGGATTAATAGATATCTTTAACTCAGGACTCCGTGAGCTGCACATCAACCCCCTCTGGCCATGACTGCGTCCAGAGCCAAGGGGTTCGATATGGGTTTGGTGGCTATTATGGAGAAGCCGGAGGATTTGCAGATTTATGCTAACCATCCGGATCATTTGAAGTGAGTATTCATTCTACTTCCTAGGGTATTTTGTGAGGAAGGATTGGCTGATAGATGAGACTAGGGTGCAGGAGTTGCGGGAGAAGTTGTGTGATGATGCACTGGCGTATGATTTAGAGTTTTAGATGTGATGTCGAACGAATATCAGGGGAGGGGTTATCCCGAGACTGAGTGGGCAGTCAGTAGTCTGTAACCAAGCTAGATTGCAGGGAGTGTTCACTGAGAATATCTGGCTATTTCGTGTAGATCCTTGCTGATTAGGATAAGTCTATGACAATATTTATGTCGAGTTCTCCTGCACAAATCTACTGACTCGTAAGAGTTGGATTATCACAAGGTAATCTGAGTAGGCTCACCGGTATGCAACCCCTATTTGTGGGTTCAAGGTCTTATCCCGCAAGGGATATGAGGCCGAGGCAACAACCCGACCACATATTTGAAATATGCAGCTAGTCATAAGGGTCTACACAGTTTCTGATGGTTGTGTTGTTAATCCTACCAGAGCAGCCGGCGAAATAAGCAATCATACCACGGGTGATCAAGCATGCCTTGAAAGTTTAAGGCTGCCAATCACCCACGGCAGCGCGCATCAGACACCGCCATTTGCACGGGAAAACCCCGGGGCTCGGCCAAAGTGCGAGACTGGACCGATCTTGGCGTCAATGACAGTGAATTGTCTGGTTTGATTGCATCAAACTTTGCTGACTGTACTCTGTATAGCCCTGGTCCTTTATGAAATAATAAAGAACGGCATACAAGTGCTGTTGTGGGCATAACTCGTAGTTGAGCTGAGATGTACTGGACAGAGTCTATTAGCATGAACACCTTCGACGGCCAACAGTCGATGAATGCCATTCATTCGGCATTACACAAGGCAGATGCTGTAGTGGAAAGACAGCTGGACGTGGGGACCCCGGTCGGTGCGTGGGGGCGACGGGGAATCTGGGGAGAATGCGGAGGGTCGGACTTGGGCCGATTTGCTGGCTGCATCCCTCCCTCTGAGATATCGGGCAGGTTGTGTCTGTCATTGGTCAAGGCCAAGATCGTCGCGGGAGAAACTGGGCAGTCTATCCGATGGCCATGACGAAACCCCAGCAGCACGATGCGGGGAATGCCACAATTGTTTGTGTAGAAAGGAATATAAACCTCATTCAATCGTCTAGTGATGAGGTAAATCAAGTAAGCATGATGTCCCTTCGAGGAAAGCCCTTGGTCTATCTGGTCACCGTCGTTAGCTCGACCGGCTTCTGCCTGTTCGGCTACGACAATGGCCTCATGGGCCAGGTCATATCGGAGCCCAGCTTCCTGAACATAGTAGGCAATCCCGACGCGGCGGTGCAGGGCTTTGCCGTGTCCTCCTACGATATTGGCTGCATGCTGGGTGCCCTGGCCGCGCTGTTCATCAGTGAGCAGATCGGCCGGAAACAAACCATCCTGCTGGCTTGCATCGTCCACCTGGTCGGGGATGTCATCAATGCCTCCTCCTATTCTCTCGCCCAATTCTTGGTCTCCCGGATCATCCTCGGCATAGGCCTCGGCCTGTTCACGAGTGCCTCGCCCGTCTGGCTCGCCGAGACGGCCACGGCACAGATGCGAGCCGTCATGGTTGCCGTCCAGCTGACGTTCCTGATCATCGGTACGAATATCGCTTACTGGGTCGATTACGGTCTCGGCTTCCTCGACAACGAGATTAGCTGGCGTGTCCCTTTTGCCTTGCAGGCCATCTATCCAATCCTAGCTTTTGCCTTTACGTTATTCCTGCCGGAATCTCCCCGCTGGCTTGCCTCCCACGGCCAAACCGAGGCCGCCGCCGTGGCTTTGTCGGCATTCCGTGACCTCCCCGAGGACCACGAGATGATTCGGGCGGAATTGCAGGATATCGCTTCCGCCATCGCCCTCGAGGCAGACGGTGGATCCTGGAGTGCCCTCTTCCGACAGGGCCCCAACAAGGTTCGCACGCGAGTCATCATCGCCTGCGCAGCCAACGCGATGCAGAGCTACACGGGCATCAACTTTGTGGAGTACTATTTTCCGTACATCCTGACCAACTCGGTCGGACTTAGCACGAACCTTGCGAATCTGGTGGCTGGCTGCTCACAGGTTTGGTTCTTGCTCTCCTCCTTCCTGACATGGTACTACATCAACAAGCTTGGGCGCCGCCGGCTGTTTTATCTGGGCAACATCGGGATGGGCTGCTGCATGGTGGCCGTGTGTATCACACTATGGAAGGCCACCCACGTCTCCGCCATTCTGACCATTGTGTTCTTTTTCATCTATCTGTCGTTCTTCACCTGGGGGTGGATGTCGAACATGTGGACCTATCCCGCCGAGATCGTGCCGCTGCATGTCCGTGGCAAGGCGATGGCTCTGTCCGTGATATTCCAATTTTCAAACCAGTTTTGGACAGTCGAGATCGCGCCAGTCTCGATTGACAGCATCGGCTGGCGGACGTATATCATCTGGGCCGTGCTCAACTTCGCCTGCTGCCTGGTGGTATATTTGTATTTCCCCGAGACCTCGGCCCTCACCCTCGAATCCGTCGACTTTTTGTTCTCGTCGTCGAACAACATCCGGGAGGTGGTCGCACGCAGTGAGAACTTGTGGTCGAACCACTACCATCTCGATGTTGGGGCGGCGGCAGCAGCGGCGGGAAGCGATGGAAAGGAAAAGGCCATGGAAGCGGGGGCTGCGCAGGTGTCACACATCGAGGAGCCTGCACAAGAATAGGATTCATTGTTAGTAGCGTAATGGTTAGTTGCGCATCCCGCTGGTGTGAGATTAGAACACTTGTTGGTAGATTTGAATTACTGTTGAGGCAGCACGAGTAATTTTATTAACCCAACCAACAGCATCGGTGATGACATGAATGATGATTTGCCGGTAAAGGTTTAGGAGCTTCTAATGGCTTCCTGGGCCGCAAGAAGCTGGAGATAGACACCTGAGGCAAGATATCAGCGATGGGCCTTTCAGGGCGGGTCCAGTCAGTACCTGCAACCTTCCACCTCACATTGCTGCTTGAGAGGGCCTGTTGAAGACTCCTCACAGTCTCTAGTGAGTGTGCCGATCATTGGGGGGAACGCATGTGGGCGCGGCATATTAGATATGCGAAAAAAGCTCCCAAGGTGACATGTCTGCTGGGTCGCGACCGAAAAAGCATTGCCGTTCCACCAAGTCGGTGATCTCAACGATGCCCTTGGCACACCAAGCCCGGTCTGTGTGAGCTGCATCGGTGCCATCCGAGAAAAGCCAGGGCGCATGCAGTGCAACCAGAGCGCTAATGAATTAGTGATGGCTCAAGAGCGATCGAAATACAGACCTGTACAAAAAGGTAAATTGGTCATAATGCGGGCTGTCGACATCGAGACAAGCGGCTAGAATCGACTGCAGGGACCGATCTAAATGTACCCAGCTATCATCATGGAATACCGACTCATTTGGGACATGGCGGAGGACTTGGCCCAGGAACCTCGCGGCTTGACAAACCAAGGCGACCTTACTCATGTGACCTGTCATTAGGAAAGATAAATGGAAGCAATCATCCGGTCCGACGGTCTACACCCAGATCAGTATCCCAAAGACAACCGGCGGTGTGACCTAGTCCCTGGTCCAACGCTGCACCGTTGGCAGGTAGAGGCTCGTCGATTCGCGGATCTGCAGTCGCAAAGGTCTACCACGACAGCCAATACTCACAAACCTGCGTGTATAAGGCGGCATTGGGCCGAGATTCGAATGATGATTGTAAGTCTGGGTAGTTCCTCGGACCGCTTCTTGGAGAAAGAGTGCATCCACTGATGAATATGGTCAGAGAAATAGATTGCGGTTTTCTGAATGTCATTCGCTTCTCCCAGAAGATCTAGAATTTGTGATGATAGAGGTATTGCGACTCGCCGCTTTTGCACCTGCTCGTGCTGCAGAAGGGAGAGATCTAGGGATAAGCTCGAGAAATCGAGGGCCTGAATTCTCACCTAGTTACGGTCGATATCTGAGGCGACTGGTGAATGAGCGTTAATCCTGCCATTCTTCACGTAATGTGATGCTATATGCCCCCTGACAGTCGGTGGTGAGTCCAACTGGCCCAGCGGAAGCAGCCGGATAGTCGAATCGGCTTACTTTGCGCATGACGAGCATCTGGGAAGTGCTTCGTCGCATTTCCTCTTCCGTAACTTACAGGCCCTGCAGACCTGAAGAGCCCAGCTAGATTCAGGGCTAGTGGTTTCCATGGTAGACGAGATGAAGATGATGAGGCCGATACCGCGGCCGCGAAGGATTTCGAATTCGCCATCAGCACTAATATCGATGTGCTTCCGCGTCGATAATGAGGATGATGCTCAGGGATGTATTCCGTAAATGATCGGAAACCTGGGAGTGCATCTGACAGACGCGATGCGCACCATAAAAGGTGGCTCACCACCGGATTCTGCGTCTATCGTTCTAGTCAACATCTTCAGCCAACTTTTTCCAAATGAACCGCTATGCTGTCTCCAATGCAGACTCCCAGGCGCCGGGGATGCCCGACCCACCGCCCTTCAAATCATTCCTGACGAGCGCCTGGACGGGAGCCTCGTTTGCAAGGTGATGGTCATTACCGGTGCGACATCGGGCATTGGCCTGGAGACCGCCCGCGCACGCGAGCGACCGGTGCCACCTTGTTTTTGACGGCCCGCAATACTGACATGGCCACAACGGTCCTGACAGGACTCCGGGAGCCCGGCCGGGCATCACTGGTCAGACGGATAATGCCTCGTTGGTAAGAATTCGGCGGGCAGCAGCCACGATCCTTGCCGCGTTGCGGGATGGCATGCATCTTCTAGTGAACAATGCGGGCGTGATGAGCATTCCGGACCTCCGACTGACCGAGGATGGCCATGAGACACATTTTGCCACCAACTACCTGGGGCACTTTCTCTTGTTCCAACGCTCAAACCAGCCTTACTGGCCAGCGCGAATCCGAGTTCTGCTTCGCGGGTGGTCATGGTGGCTTGACCCGCCACCGTGACAGCGACAACTATTCCTTCTAACGGGGCGGGTACCACCATGCGCCCGCCTATGCCACCTCCAAGCTGGCCACCGTATGCTTGGCCAACGAAATTGAGCGCTGCTATGGGGCCCGGGGGTTGCACGCGATCAGTCTCCATCCCGGGGCCATCAAAGCCGACATCTCACGACACATGGGGAGCGAGTTCGTCAACCAGCTCATGTGCAACGAGAGTGTCGTGAGGATCCTGAAATCTCCGGAGCAGGGGCCGCGACGACGGCACTGGCGGCGGTGGGGAAGGATTGGGGACACGGGAGGGAAGTATTTGGACGATTGTGTCGATGCGAGGCGGGGAGCGGATGACAATGAAGTGTTGGGGGTTGGATACGTGCGCCAGACCTATGACCCTCCCCAGGAGAAGCGGCTGTGGAGATTCCTTGGACATGGTGGGGGGACTCCAGGTAGATATCTAGCCTGTGCCTGTGAAGGTGGATCTCACTCGGGTCCAGCCAACGGCGATCATTCAGTGATGCCTGATGTTGCCGATTGCCGGCGGGGCGCAGCTTGTTGGAGATGACGGTACCAATTGTCTCGGCATAGAACAAGTCATTAGCTCCACCTGGTATGCATGGCAACTCGTATCCTGTTTAAGTGATCCCAGTAGCACTGTGTATGTAGCAGCCTGGTGGTTGCTGCCTCAGGTGTCGAGTTCAACGTCACGATGACTTCACGAGGTGGATCCTCAGGCCGCGCCTTAAAGCTTGGCCACAAAGCTTGGCCTCGAGGATTTAGATTCCTTTCATTCCATCCCATCAACTACTACCATCCAATCTCCATCCATGGCTCCCATCAGGTCAGTCCATACCCAGGTTCAAGGTTGTCTATTTACTGACAACCACAGCAGATTCCGCCATGACCCAAGTTGGTCTTATCAACAAGGAATGTCCGGCTCCATGCTCAAAGCTTTCCTCCGCACCTTTACAGCTTTGCACATGAAATGGCCCCTATCGCTCAAACCCCACCATGAGTCAGAGAGGTTTGTGTTGATCAATCCCACCCACCCCGAGTACTACACTGGGGTGATGGAGGATCCAGTCATCCAGCCCGAGACCATCGGGGCCACCTGGTATCCCGAACCCTATTCACCCGACTTACCGCTCCCAGAAGGACAGCATGTCATTCTGCATCTGCATGGGGGATCATACATTCTTGGGGACGGCCGAACGTCATCCTGTAACTTCCTCGCGAGGACCCTCCTCGAACACACCCCATCAAGCTTCATGCTCTGTCCGCAGTATCGGTTAGCGTGTAACCAAAATGGCCGTTTCCCGGCTCAATTGCAGGATGCCCTCGCGGCATATGTTTACCTAATCCACACCCTCAAGATCCCACCATCTCGTATCGTGCTCAGTGGAGACAGCTCGGGTGGGCATCTCGTTTTGGCGCTTCTGCGCTACATTGTCGAATACAACCGCCCAGAACGGCTGCCCGCGCCCAAATGCAGCTGGGCCTGGTCCCCGTGGTGCGATGTCCCCGCCGCGGTTGACCCGAGTGCTTGGACACACAGCACCAACTACAAGACGGAGTATATTCCAGGATCCTTCCCAGCCTGGGGAGCGAGGCAGTTTCTAGGCGATGCGGCCATCACGGATCAAGTGAAGCCGTATGTGGCTCCGATCTGGCATCCATTTGTCGTTCCCTCACCCGTGCTGATTATGACTGGTGGGCGGGAGGTCCTCTGCCAGGATCATGAGAAGCTGGCGCAAGAGTTCCAGAAGCTTGAGGGGAACCAGTCTAAAGTCGAGCTGTTTATGGAGGAAAAAGTGCCCCACGATGTGCTGATGATCGGGTGGATCATGGGGTTCAAGGACGAGGCGCGTCACTGTGCCATCGGGGCTGGGGAGTTTCTGCAACGGATGGATGCAACCCCTCGAGCGAGTGGGATGGATGCTACAGCTTAAGCTGATTGGGGTGTATATCTGCTGTATAGTGGCATAGCGATAAAGGATGTATTTCTCGAGTGCATATAGTGACCTGCAGTCGTGTCGTCTTGTATCAATTTTCCTTATCACATTTCGGTATTTGTCAGCTGGGCGAGTTCAGAAGTTTGCACAGGAAACTCATGAATTTGTTTCCAATCATTGTGTGGAAAGAGTCACAACTAGAGATTACTTATCGGCGAGCGACAGGTCACATCCAGATCTGATTCTCTTTGGGATGTGTCATCACAAGTTCCAGCTGAGCTGTAATCAGTCCATTTGCGAATGGTCAAATTTTTGCGGCGTAGTTGACTGAGGGATGACTGAGGGAATGCTCGGGGTGTGTTGGGGACCTTGGGGCCGGCCGAGGAATGATTTCCACCCACCCCCGAACCTCCTTCCCCTCTCTGCTTGCCTACACACTCTCTGAACACTTGGCCCAACAATGAAGTGAGCAACCATATACACAGATATTCATTTCGTGATAATGTCTCATCCAGTAAGTACATCTTTTCTTCCTCTCGGTCGACCACCCCTACTGTACACCCACTAACGCCTCCTCCACTACCTCAGAGGTTCGCCGACAACACTCCAGCCTTCTGCGCCGTAAAGGTGGCAATCAAATCCATCAGTGCAGGCGACAGCGCATCATACGTCTCCAGTCCCAAGGCCTGCAATTTTCCCCGTACCTCTCCCATACCTTGCGGCGGAAAGCCCTGCTCGATGATAGACGACACGAACCCGGCAAACTGAGGCTCCTGCCACCCCGCCTGATCGGAGAGTTCGGCATGCACAAAGTCGAGGCCCTTGAAGGGGTGGTCCTTTTCGATGCGACCGTATAAATGCACGCCACAGTTCTTGCACGCATACCGCTGAATGGCAGCGGTCGAATCGACGATGGAGAGCTTGTCGCCGTTGGCGGTCACCGAGAGGGCGTCGCGGGGCACAACGCCGACGATAGAGAAGAGCGACCCGGCAGGCTTCCAGCATTTAGAGCAGCCGCAGGCATGGTTATGGGCGACGTTGCTGGCCAGGGTGATGGCTACCCGGTCGGAGGAGCATTTGCAGTAAAGGGTGCCGCCGGGGAAGTTGGGGTCACCTTTGGTGATGCCGTTGTCGAGAAGGGGGTGGAGGGAGGGAGACATGGTGGTTGAATAGGTCACGGAAGATGGAATGATGGTTTTCAGGAGATGACCGATGGTATGAAGTTATGCCGACCGGGTGCAACACCAACCATCTATATAGGATGAGGGTGGCAGGGATGTCACCCCTCTTCTCTAGACGCCCCTCTTCTCTAGACGCCCCTCGTGCGGGGAAAGCTGCTCGGCGGGCAATCCGGGCGGTCGCGATGGCATCATCCGGACGGGGAAATTATTACTCGTCTGGGATGGTGGGCCCGGCTGCGACCCGATCCGATCTCGTCCTGTCAACGCTGCAGAGTACCGGATACTGCAATTCTTCCCAGCCATGATCGGAAACTGGAGCCGACGGCGGATCGCGACCCGAGATGTATCCTAGGAGTCAGCAACCATCTCCTACGATGCTCATCTTGATTCTGCTAAGATGAGAAGAAGTGCATTACTGTACCTAAGCTGGGTTGCATGCCCGGGATAGGAAGTCCATAGCACTATCACCCCCACGTCAAGAAGAAAACAGTACGGAAATTCTCCAATAATGTGCACAGTCATATATGAGTCACCATAATACGTCGTTATCATTAGTACCTAGAGCGCTCATCAGTAATTGCCTCGTCAAATGCGCACTTGCCGCCCGCAGTCCATAAATATCGCAAACCTTGCCCCGACAAAATTGCCGGATTCGACAGGGGCACAGCCTTTACAAGTGTCCGTTGGATGTGCTGCCTAAGCCGTTGGCCTACCAATACTTAGGGGCCAGGTTCGTCGTGATGAGTGCCTCGCCTCGAAAGAGTCATCCAAATACCCCATAGAGTCGTTGGGGGCAATCGCATTACTCATGCCGTGGGATTTCCCGGGCTTATTTGGCGGTTGTCGGAAGGATATTGCTCATTTGTGCTATCTGAGTGACAGACCGCGAGTACGTTAGAGAACTGCACCAAGCCCTCCAGCTGTGTCATGACCAGCGACCGAGCAGGGTATCCGTCTGGTAATTACTTTCACCCCTGGACCCCAAGATACGCCATCTCGGCGAGGTGCTCGTACATCCAGTCGATATATCTCAATGAGTCGGAAGGAGGACTTGGCGCATGCCCATACTGCACACTAGCCAGCACTGCAGGTTTGTTCGGCGGGTCACTATTACCACAAAGCAGGAACATCTCGCGAGCAGGAGGCATCCTCTGGGGAGAGCGTGCCAAAGTGATGGCACATCTGAAAGAGTATAGGCTCATAGAAAGGCCTGAGACCGACGAAGATAAATGGCCTAATAGATGCGAACGGACACAGTGATGCGGCCCTAGATCAGTATCCGCGTGACCAGTTTTACACTTGGAGGTAAGGCATGTGAAAGTGTGACCGTGGATTGGGATGATATATTGGTGAATTACATTCTGCCCTATCTCTCACGGCGCGTCCATTTCCTGCATCAAGTTGATCACACGCAACATTTGGAAATAGCTCCTTATCCGGCTTGACTATAGGCCCAAGGAGACGGCGCGCCGACCTGGAATTGCATAAAACTAGGTCACACTGTTTGGCCAAAGATGGATAAAAGCCTCCATCGCAATCAGCGGGTGGTGTTGGGTTAAGGTCTTCACCATGCCACTCCCCCCAGACGAAGGACAGCACCGGATAAACGATAAAAATAGCTGATCAGTGCGGGCTCGTCGATTACACAGCACTATCCTCACAGTGGCGGACCATTTGGCCCCCACAAGTCTAATTTAGAACGCTCCGACGGCGCACCGCCGTGGCACTCCTTCATTGGCCATGCCCCTGAATGCTCCATTATCGCTCGATGTCCGTCCCGTTAACTAAGGCTCTGACATCCTCGGTCAGCTGTTGCCGGAAGCACAGACGGCCTCGGTGAAGACCCGGGTCGAGCCAATGAGGTCTACGACGAAGAGCCTTCGACCCTGCGATTGATTGGAGCTGGACATCCTGTTCTGCATGCATGAGCTATTCGTCAGCAGGGATGCAGTGCAGATGACGTCGCGGATCATTCCAGGTTGCACACGACCCCGCAGAAACCCCTCTCGGCCAAGAAATCACTATCTACCCATTTAAGAACGCCATTTCTCTTCTGCTGTGCTCTCGCCAGCCTTCACTTCTTCTCCAACCATGGGATCTATTGCTTCCCCCAATCGGCCCACCCCGGCCGACATCACCATCAATAATTACAAGCCAGGAGACCCGGATCGGATTCTCTTCCAGAATGTCCGGATTCTAGATTCCACTGGGTGCCTCCCTTATCTCGGCGACGTGCTTATCCAAGAGGAACGCATCGTAGCGGTAGGGCAGGTTGACCCGGCTGCCGCCACGGGAACCTTTATCATCGATGGCGGCGGCAAGAAGACCTTAATGTCGGGCCTGGTGGATGCGCACACTCACCTCAGCTTCAACAACGCGAAAAGCACCGAGGGCCTTGTCAACATGCCACTAGAAGAGCATGTGCTCGCCACGGCTCAATCGGCCAAAACGTATCTCGACTGCGGCTATACCATGTGCTTCGGAGCTGCGGCCGCTCGGCCCCGACTGGACATTGCCGTCAAAGCATCCATCAAATCCGGCCTCATCCCCGGCCCCCGAACCCTGGCCAACACCCCGGAGATCACTACCACAGGGGGCGCCATCATCCCCGAAATCGCGCGGTCTGCAGATGGGCCACACGAGATGCGCAAAACCGTGCGGGAATTCATCGAGCTGGGGACAGACAACATCAAACTCAGCTTGACGGGCGACAACATCGTCGACAATATGCCTAGTGACGAGACCTATTTTACCCTTGAAGAAACGGTGGCCGCCGTAGAGGAGGCCCATAACCGTGGGAAGCGCGTCTGTGCCCACGCCAGGAGTGAAGCCTCCGTTAAGCTGTGCCTGATGGCAGGAGTCGACGTGATCTACCATGCCAGCTTCGCCGACGAGGAGAGCATGGACATGCTGGAGCAGAAAAAGGACTCGGTGTTTGTGGCGCCAGCTATCAACTTACCTCTCGCCACCTGTGCGGGCGAGGGGGTTCCTTATGGTTTCACCGTCGAGATGGCTGAAAAGAAGGGCGTCAAGGAGGAGGTCGAAGCAGCGTGTAAGACCATGACGGAGATGCATCGTCGAGGCATACGTGTTCTTCCGGGCGGTGATTATGGCTTTGCGTGGGCTCCGCACGGCACGTATGCGAGGGATTTGCAGCATTTTGTCGAGCATTTCGGCTACACTCCCATGGAGAGTATCCTGGCAGCCACAGCCTTGGGCGGGGAAATCATGGGCCACCCAGAAGAGTTGGGCAAGGTGCAGCCAGGATACTATGCCGATGTGATCCTGGTGGATGGGGATCCTCTCGAAGATATTGCCATTTTTCAAGACACCTCGCGTTTGCATGCGATCGTGATCAATGGGCATATCCATAAGCTGGTTGATCCATCGGGTACTGCTCACTGAGATCTCGTCAATAGAACTCAGTAACAGCCAGTTGTATCCCTATGAAACGTTGTCAATATTCCAAAGAGATGAACATGAACAATCGGTTGAATATTCAATCCGATGCCTGTGGATTTAATAGCTGTGTTGTGGTGTCGTGTAATGTCAGACAATGTATGGTTTCCAGTACGTGTTGTCCAGCTACCTGTAACACTACCCTGCTTGGAACTATCAGTTGTCGAATCTAAGCTGCTCCAAAGCCAGCAGACGTCATAAGCATATTCTCAAGCAGGCATCAGGATACGGTCGACGCCAATGGAATGCACTCATACTCATGGTCCCAACTAGACCGATCGTCAGATGTTCCACGCTATGCCGTTATGGCGCCCACCTGTCCTGAGATGTTGGGAGGATAGCTGTGGAGGGTACAGCCAGCGCAGTTCTGGATCAGAGTTGAGTGTTATCTCGTGTCCGACCAGTTATGGTTGCGCGATACCCATTACCATAGAGTCGGGGTCGTTGGCGTCGAGAAAAGTCTATCCGGCAAACTGCGTTGCCGGATATCTGCGTAAATCCTTTAACCGGCCGATTGTTGGGCCGACTCGATCTTGGACCATTTTAACCAGTATTGGAGCCGGATCTGCCGGTCAACCCAATTCACTTGGTACTCGACCACTCAAGCTCAAGAGCAGCGTAGTCCGGTCCAATTCCATCGTAAGCATCGTCATCGTCATCACCATCGAGCGAATAGCATTGCGATTGGCAGGACAACGAGGCTATTATTCAGTCTAATCTGACCGGATCAGCTCGATGACATGATTTTCATTGGGAACATGAATCTCGAACACGTTCCATCAGATAAATCCATCAGATAGCAGATCCTCCGCTGTTTAATGTATCATATTTGGCCGGATGACACTGCAGATAGTCAAGATCCGGGTTTCGGGCGGAGTTTAGTCTTATTTCCGTTGGCGCTTCTGTCGGTAGACATCCAAGAACAATACTCTTTGATATATAGAAGAAATGACATTTACTGAGTTTTTTATCCTCATACTCATCGAATCATTCCATCCTTACACCATCCTCATGACAGCAACTATCACTAACCGCCCCGTCGGCCCAATAGGGTTCGGCCTCATGGGTATACCCTCTCACACGCACCCGACAACTCACAACTAACAGTAAAACAGGACTAACCTGGCGCCCCCACCCCACATCCTATAAAGACGCAACCAAAGTAATGAACCGTGCCCTCCAACTCGGAGCCAACCTCTGGAACGGCGGGGAGATGTACGGTCCTCCCGATGCCAACTCCCTCCACCTACTATCCTACTACTTTACCCAGTACCCGGAAGACAGCAACAAAGTGATTATCAGCATCAAGGGAGCCGCTGGCCCTGATGGTCCAGACGGCAGCCCCGAGAATGTCCGCGCTAGTGTCGAGAATTGCCTGAAGATCCTCGACGGGAAGGTCTTTATTAGTATTTTCGAGCCCGCGAGAGTCGATCCGAATACTCCTATTGAAACTACCATCTCGGTGCTAAGCGAGTACGTCAAAGCGGGGAAGATTGGGGGTATCGGGCTGAGCGAGTGTAATGAGCAGACACTGCGACGGGCCCATGCCGTGTACCCTATCGCTGCAGTGGAAGTCGAGCTCTCGCTGTTTTCGACGGATCCGTTGAGTAACGGAGTTGCCAGGGCTTGTGCGGAACTGGGGATTGCTATGGTAGCATATTCGCCCTTGTCCCGAGGGTGGTTAACAGGTCAGGTACGTTCGCTGGATGATCTTCCCGCTGACGATATCCGTCGTATTTTCCCCCGGTTTCAGCCGGAGGTATTTCATCTCAATTTGAAACTGGTCGAGCGGATTGAGGAGATCGCTGTGGAGAAGGGGGCAACTCTGGCGCAGACGGCTCTGGCCTGGGTGAAGGCTCAGAATCGGGTTGAGGGGATGCCTTTGATTATTCCTATTCCTGGGTGTATTACTGTTGCGCGGGTGGAGGAGAATTTGGTTAACGTGGAGTTGACGGATGGGGAGGTGGGGAGGATTGATGGCATCCTGAGGGAGATTCCGGTGTTTGGGAAGAGGTATCCGGATGTTTGGGAGCGGTTTAATGATTTGTGAATTTTGGGGGTTTACATGTAGAGTTGTGTTGGGGTGATAGTTGGTGGTGTTAGGTACATGCTCTGTCTGTATCCTGATGGGTGTAGATGTGGCACACCATTAATTGAGTGATGCTTTGATTTTATTTGTTGTGTATGTATGAGAAGAAGAGTATTAAGATAATGTGTTTAATTCCCGTGACAATGTCCGATAAAAGTGGCCCTTCGCTGCCTTAGCCTCCACGATCTGACAAGAAGTGTACTATTATCCATGTATTGGTGTTCCGTGATATGAGGTGGGCTTAGAGAACGGCCGCCACCAAAGCTGCAGCTGCAGCGCCTCCGAACACCAGGGCTGCATCGCCTGTGACCAACGAGCCTCTACCAGTGCTGATGGCAGACGCACTTGCCTTCGAGGCATTCGAAGCTGTCGAGACAGCAGTAGAAGCAGACGCGGAGGCAGAGGTGCCAGTAGAGGCGGCGGACTGTGTCTCCGTGCCGGAACTGGCAGAAGAACCGGTGTTGCTTGCACTCTGAACCTCAGTCGTAGCGTGGGCGGCAGTAGCGGCCACACTGGTGACAGATCCCGCAGTGATAGTCACAGGCATCAGACCCAGGTCACCCTCATCCAAAGTGGTGATGGTGGTCCCCGGGAAGTTAGCCCCAGCTCCCGAGGCCATTTCCGAGCAGACCGCGTAGGTTGTGCCATCCAACGAGCAAATAACAGTATAGTAGCTATCCCTGTCAACATCCACCCACAAAGCAGCGTTCATTACCGACGATAACTCACAAGTCTTCATCAGGAATGTCCATGAACATGGTGGTCTGTGGACCGGCGATGACAGTCATCCCGGGACCCATTCCACAATCATCACTATCAGTGCCGGGAGGGCAGTTGACGCTATAGGTAGTGGCGGTCGCATCCTAGGACCGGACCTGGTCAGGAATAAAGTGAGACATGAGATCGGATCGACTTACATTACCCATGATCGACGCGTCCAAAGACTGAGCATCCGTGTCGTAGAAGAACATGGAGGTCACGGTGGTCTTGGCCGAGACCAGACCGGCAGCTGCCAGACCCAAAACGAACGTGCGGTTCATCATGTTGAAAAGAGTGACTGGTTGCGAGAAAGGAGTGTGTGAGGTGGTGCAATGATGAATAACGAGAGGGAAAGGAGAGAAAGGCAGTCGGGTGAAGGCGGGCTGACCCGATCCAGCTGGACCCTTTTACGAGATGAAAGGCCTCTTCATCTGAGACAAGACTAACCCTGTCGGGGCTGGCTCGGGCAAGACCCTTCTTGGCGGGGATGCTTTGGCCTATGAGAGCATCAGCCCGGGGCCACACTCTGGCCAGACCTCGCTCTGGTTCCTGCGCTAGAGCCTAAGAGGGATAGTGGGGGATGGTGGGAGTTTGTCGCCGCCAGGAACGCCTCCGCAACAGCCAGTGCAATCTCGCAGTTGTGGAGGACTGGTTCATGCTCATGCCAATCCTATCAAATATCAATGTTGTCCCGTTTCGCAGTCCTGGTTGCACCCTCGAAGATCTCTAAGAGCTGATTGGCAGGGTTAACCCCAGGACAACGGCCACCGATAAACCTTATTTCTCCTCACATTCACAGCCTCCATAACAAACTGGTCTATTTTTAACTTGCCACAAGTCGTGCTCGAATTGCCACCTGCACCGGATGCACCGGGCTAGAACAACACTATACACCCAAAACCTCTGCAATAGTAACAGCATCACGAAGCAGCTCCTCCTCCCGCATAGTTCTACCCAAGACCTGCACCGCGCATGGCGCACCTTCAATCTCATCTGGGAGATCTGAAATTATTAGCTAGCCATATCATCATAGAGATCAGTTCACTTACAAGCCCGTCGGTAATTAACATCTCTTAGATACTTGGCATCGTCGGCCTTGTTGGCCTTTCGATACGGAATGATAACGGCCGGATACTATGCAGTTAGCTGAGTTCATACAAGGGCTCAACAACATACGTCTAGAACATTAGCCAGAACAGTATATGGTACCCATCCCATACTATCATGTGGAGGTGCAGTCCCCTGCAATCCCGGCATAATGATCGCATCGATATTATTTTGAAGCACGACCTCCCGGAAGCTCTCGCGAAAAGTTTCACGTTGCTCGTTCAGATCATACAGGCTCTCAAGTGTGTGCGGGACATATTCATATGGCATGCCTTCGTTCGGTAGGATTGTTGTGGATAGGGCGGGGATATTCGGCTCGCCGCTCGCTTTGATGTGAGTCAAGGCAGTGCTAGCCGGGTCCATGGCGAATGTGCGGAAAGCGAGAAGAGTGGCGTCTCTGATTGATGGGATATCGAGATTGATCACCTCGTGTCCTGCTTCTTTCAAAACAGTGACTGCGCATGTCAGCGTATTGAGAACCGGAGGGAGGACCGGGAAGTGGGGATCCTCGAGGACAAATCCAAGACGCAGTTTCGGCTTCACCGGAACAGTCCGCCATGTTGAAAATATAGCGGACGAGTCGAATTGCCAGGGATCTATGTCGATGACGGACTTGGTGAACAAGCCCAGGTCTCGAACCGATGTGGCCAACGGCCCGGCACAGGATTTGATGCCCGAAAGACCTTTACGGGCCGAGTCTGTCTGCCCGCCGTATGGAATGCGATCGATGGATGGTCGCAGAGCAAAGGTGCCGTTGGAAATGGCTGGGATGCGAACCGATCCGGCAATGTCGGTGCCCACGCCCAAAATCGAGCCGCGCATGGCGATCAATGCCCCTTCGCCACCAGAAGAACCGCCCGCGCTGAGGTTGGATCGATGGGGGTTGAGTGTTCGGCCGAAGATGTGGTTGTGAGATTCACCGGCCTGATGTGTAAGCGGCATATTGTAACTTGAGTGCCGGACTTACGAGTATTCCCTGAGGAAGATTGGTTTTGACGTAGAGCACGGCGCCTAGTTCGAGAAGAATCCGGACAACGGCTGAATTGTTTTGGACGGGGCCGTGGGCGACAAATGATGTGAGTCCGAGAGTACTGGGGACGCCTTTGATATTGAAGCAGTCCTAATCAATTAGCATCCATGTATAAATGGGAAAAGTAGCATTGTACCTTCAGACTAATGGGCAACCCGTGCAGAGGTCCGCAGACCTTGCCCGTGGACTGAAGGTAGTCGTCCAGCTCTTTTGCGCGTTCTAATGCTCGGTCAAAGAATGTTTCCGTCAAGCAGTATGTCTATTCCATGGTTATTCCAAGTATGTATGAGGGGATGGCAGCTAACCAGTTGCTGTGCGATAGCTGCACGAATGCAAAATGCCTCAGCGACTTCAAGCGAGGTGAATTTGCCGGAGTGAATCTGCTCCAACAATGCCGTGGCATCATAGCTCTCAGTAATGTCTAGCTGCCTTGGAGATAGCAAGCCACACTTGCGAGGCACGTCGAGCACGTTATTCGAGGCTTTCTCGGATATGTTGGCCGTGAACTCAGCTGGCAGCCGCCATGCCAGGGGAATCTTCGCAGCTGCTTCGACTTGCTTCTTCTTAACTATAGTCTCCCACTGTTGGATTTCCATGATGTTTGCTGTCCGGGTGATGGGTTGGTGTTGAACGCTGAGAGATGATAGAACAGGAATATCACAGCCGGATGGCGACCGCGGGGTACCAGCTACACCCATGAATCGATCGGCACGGCTACAGCCCCACTCGAAAGGGGTGGCTGATTTATGAGATCTATTGCTGCGGTGGGGCGATCATCTCGATGCCCGGAGGCCGAGCGGATCATCCAGCAACGGCTGATGTGTATCGCCAGAGATAGGGCGTGGCCCGGCAGGTGACCCGGATGCCACGCTGTCACGCGACCATGAGTCAGGCTGTTTGGGCATTACTACGGGTTTTGCTCACTTTACCAAGCAATTACAGATAATACATAAGCTGATTGACTTATTGCGCGCAGTATAAAATGGTAGAAATCTTTCCAACTGGACGAAAAGAGATACCTCCTGGCTTGTGGAAACATTTTACGGTGACTAAGTTCCAACATAAAATTCATTATTACACAGATCCCATTTGCCCCCCATTACATCACAGAGATCCAAACACTTCCCTGTTTGAAATTCTTGACTCAAGCCCAGAAGCACTAGAAAAAAGCAATTGGATTCGGGGCAGTCCCATCGATGGATTGCTGGACATCGTAATGTTCCACCAAGCAGGTCCCCACCATGCGAATGATATCCACCAGCGCCGAGTCCGATATCCCCATGGCCTCATCGCCGTCCACCTTGGTATGGGCCGTGCCAAAAGTGGTGCCGTTTCTATCCCACCCGACAAAGGCGTGTTGCAACTGGGAATTCACATTGGGGACAATCTGCGACAGCTCGCCCATGGTCTCATTGATCCCGTTGGTCGTGACGAGGGGCGAATGATTGATGTAGCTAGCGGCGGCATACTTGGCAAAAGCGTCGGTGATGCGCTTTTCTGTGTACATGAGGTTGGTAAAGTCGTCCCAGGCTGCGAGTTGTTCCACAGGGGTGGCCTCGGGCTTGGTGGTGTTGGGGCAGCCTAGTGCAGTATACTCATTGCTCTGGGCTGCAGCCAGGCTGACGGAGGTGACTGCTGTGATGATTGTGAAAAAATGCATGATTTAAAAAGATGACGATTTGTGCAGGAATTGCTGATGGTAGGTAACTGATTTGGGTCTGGACGCGTTGCGGGTTTTAAGGAAGAATGAGGAATGTTGTGTTTCTTGTCCGCCCGCGCTGGCATGTTCCAGACACTCGGCAGTGGACGGAGCATCCGTACCCCATACTCCGTATGGCATTGTGCTTTGATGTTTTACTGGATTCTTCAATAGTCAATGGCACTTGCTGGGCATTCAATGGCTGCTGCCTAGAGTGATGTCTTGATTGGCTCTTCCATTTAATGCTTTGATTTTAGATACCCTATCTGAACAAATCACTGTGGACCTGTCTGTGCCTGACAATCCCACTGTAAATGCTGAATGTATAGCAAGTTCATCCAATGGGAGATGCAATGATGCATAAATATTTCTATACAATTGTGTATCTCGTGGCGAGACGCCAACCCCGTTGGGACTAGTGTCCAGGCAGCCACGGCCGCCCGCTGATGCCTGGATGCCTGTATGTAACTTAAATCCTTCTTCCTCAAGCCAAGCATTTTTGTTTCATCTATCTAACTATCTTCATTCTGATGATCATGATGCACTTTCTTCCCCTCCTCTCCATCACCCTCACCCTTAGTATGGGGACTGCCGAGCCACTCCCCGAGCAGTTGTTCCTGGATATCCCCGTTTCCGAAGCCCGCCATCTACCACCCGGCATGGAGCTGGCCGAACCGTGGGCCACCGAGTACTCCACCGCGATCGGGGAGAAGCGATACGGGGACGCCATCTGGGCCCGGTACAACATCTTTGGCGACACGGTGGACGGCATGTACACCGAATGGAGCTGCACTGACGATGGACAATACACCGAATGGAAAGTCCGGGTGGAAGATGCAATCCTGGAGGATGCTCGAGGGTATGCCGAGGATCGGGAGCTGTACCAAGAAGCTCTGGAATTCTACGGGGGCACCAGTCAGAATGACTCTCGGCGGGACATTATCGCCGCCCTGCACCGCATTGGCCGACAGCCTTATCGCCTGTAGCACCACCACCACAACAATATGAGAGTCTGTTCGATAACCTTGATCTTTAGTATATATGTTGGACTATACTATATACATTGAGTTGTTTATAGAGTACAATAAATTGCAATGTGTACTCCGTACTCCGGCCGTGTACCCATTGTTGCCTAATCAGGAAGGTCATTCCGGTGGAGCGTTTTTCCCCGCTCGGCTTCGGCTTCGGCTTCGGCTTCGCATCACTGCCGGCGGGCCTCGCATCTTCTCCCTCCTCCGTCATATCTCTCCACAATTTGGAGCGAAATATGGGATATAAACATCACTCTCAGGCCAGCTTCGGCATCACAAAAGTCCCCAGCGCTTGTCAACGCTGTCGACGGCAAAATTTAAAGGTAAGATCCAATGCTTTCCGGTGACCCGCTGATTCCCGGTAGTGTGACGTTCAGCGGCCCTGCACCCTCTGTGTCCGCGCAGGGGCTCGTTGTCTTCCGGGCTCGACTCGTTGGAGACCCTATCAACCTCCACCCGTGGAACCTTCCTCCGAAGGTGTGCCGATAGCGGATTCCCTGAGGAGTACACCAATCCGACAATCCAGTCCACCATCTGCCCGCGATCGAGACGGCCTGGCATCGGCCCCTTGCATACCATCCCACCAAAGTCGCCATAATAGGACGTCAAGCTCGACCATTTCCCTGCTAGGAGGAGTAGGTCCCTCGATTCAGCCATGCCACTTCCAACTGACATGTACAGGCATTTGAGCTTCACAACGCGGCTACCCCAGGACATCCGGCACTAACTGCCATCCCGGGAGCCCATCTGCGGGAAGTCCACTCCATCTCCCCCAGTGTGGAGGACGACACATTGTCTATACAAGTGGACAATACGCCGGAGCATCTTCCACCAGCCGTACCCCCTTGCGAACCCTCTTCAGTTGTCAACGACTTGGTCTCTTTATTTCCGAGTTTTGAAGCAGCCAGTCTGCTCGTGGATACCTACTTTGACCGGGTGCACTGGTTCGTGTTGATCTTCTATCAAGACGAGTTCCGCCAACGCTGGCCCAAACTCTACCAACCCACTCGCAGACCGGCAGTTCACCATGGCGTCGGCTTCGTCAGCGCCTTTCTTCTCGTGATTGCGATAGGGCTGCAATACGCCGGGCCTTATCGACGGGAGCTTCTCTCCAAACATGGCGTCGACCTCAGTCTCCGCGATCGTATTCTGTCGACTGTAAGAAGCTATCTCCTTGACATCATGTCACTAGGCTCTTTGGAAGCAGTCCAGACTTGCATACTACTGGGAACATATTACCTCTATCACGGAGCTCCTCGTCTGGCGTGGCCGGTGTGCGGCTGTGGACTCCGCATCGCTCAGGACGTCCGAAATACTGTCTAGCTCTCTTATTGACCTGGTTTCGGAAACTTATGCAGCATCCTTTGTCAGCATCCATACATTTACTGCCGGCGTGACCTTGGGGATCCTCAGCAGCATGGACCCTCTGGGGACTCAATCAGCCGATACCAAAGCTGGGCTTCGAAACCTCATGGGAGTACAGGAGAAACTCCGACTGCACTCAGTCGTCACCCAACAGGGGTTGGCCATCCTGCAACGGTTAACCAAGCTGGTTATGGAAAAGGAGCTCAATGTAATCTTCGAGCTGTCTGAACCAAAGGCGCCAGTTGGAACAAATGAAGCTACGCTGAGTCACCAACGGTCAGACCAAGTCTCTAACGGGCCAGCTCCGGATGCCATGGATCAGCCAGGCCCTGTGGATCCTCCAGAGGTGGACTACACTGGCCCCAGTGATATGCTCCCCGGCGACGGATACGTTCAATATATGCAAGATCCTGCCTTGGCCGCAGCCCTCCAAGATTTCGACCAAGGTAGGCCCACCCTCATCTCACTGTCAGCTTGCCAATACGATCAGCCCTATCTACCTAGCATTCACCTCAACACCAACACACTGTATGAATCATAATACGCCCCTATCTCTTCCTCCGCCATCGGCTTGAACTCCACCTCCACCGGCTCATTGCCAATCCCCCGCTTCTTCGTTTCGTCCAAAATCGCCACCGTAGCCGTGGCCCCGATCCTCGTCACCCCCAAACTCATCACATGCAACAAATCGTCCAACGTCCTGATACCCCCGGCAGCCTTGACCTGCACTTTCTCTCTCCAGATTTCTCTCTCATGATCTTCAAATCCCTCGCCGTCGCTCCCTTATAATTATACCCCCCATCTGCCTGCTTAACAAATCCATACCCAGTGGATGTCTTGACAAACCCCACCCCCACCTGCGTACAAATCTCACATAATCTCCCTATCTCCTCGACGCCCAAATAATCATTCTCAAAAATCACCTTCAACACACCCCCACCCCCTACAACAGCATCATTCACCGCCTTGATTTCAGCAGAAACATACTCCCAGTCCCCACCCAGAACCTTCCCAATATTAACCACCATATCAATCTCAGCTGCCCCGACTCTCACCATCTCCGTGGCTTCTAATATTTTGATATTAGTGGTGCTATTTCCGTGCGGGAAACCGATCACCGCGCAGATAAGAACCGAGGATCCGGCCAGAACTTTCTTGGCGAGATCGATAGAGGCGGGCTTGATGCATGCGGTTGCTACGTTGTAGTTTTTCGCGAGGTGTAGACCAGCGATAATAGAGGCGTCAGTTAGGGTGGGGTGGAGGAGAGAGTGGTCGATTGTTTTGGCCAGGTCGGAGAGAGTCACCGTGATGGTGTTGGTTTTGGACATTTTGATTTTGTATTCAAAGGATATCGAAAAGGCAAGTTGGTAGTACAGATGAAACTAGATAGTACTGTTGAATGGTGAAGAGGAGTTGCGCAAGGTGGTTCTTATACATACTCCGAGAGGATATCTCCGGCGGGAGGATTTCCGTATTGGGTAATTCTTCCCACCGGGCTATCCCTGCCACGAAGGCACCGAGAATACCATGACTGGAGTAATACAAGTCAGCCTGAGGATCTCTCGGAGACAGACCCAGAAAGTATATATTGGTACTAGAACCTCCATTCACGGTGCTGTGTTGCAGTTGTAATTGCAGGCATCTACTACTTACCTCTAATATGCACTACACCTTAGCTAGTGGGGATAAGTAGTATGAATATACGGATATCTCTCGGTCCGAAGTCTAAGAACATTCCTAGTTCGTCCAGAGAATTTCTACCTAGGTCTCGGTTATGCTGATAGTAGTATGGAATAATATCCGAGCACCACTAATAGCACTAAAGATGGGAGCATATCTACTATTCAACTACTGTAAATTCAAATCCTACCACTCGGCATACCTCTATCAAAAAAAAAAAATAAATAAATAAATAAATAAATAAATAAAAATAAGAAGCTTGAGTACAATACTATTCTCCATTACTCTCCTCATCACCACTAAAACACAATTAAGTGCTCTAAATCATTCATTTATCTTCTTGATTTAACTACCACGAGGTATCATGTTTCACAGTAGTATAAGCGCTGTAAAGTAGTAACTCTACCTTTCTCTTGATATACTATCATGCCGGATAAATTTCTCCATCATCATCTACCCTACCCACCTCACCCCACAACCGGCCCAACAAACCTCCCCCTCCCCACACCCATCCACAACAGATTAATCCCCCCAAACACAGCGACCAAAATCACACACACATAATTCATATCCCCCAGATCCACAACCGGTCCCCCACTGGGCAAACAAACCAACACACCCAGTATAATAATCCACACCACCGACAACATATTACACACGTATCCCAATCTCCCTAAATTCAAGTACCGTTGTGGAAGACATCCTCTCCCTCGTGTTAGGAGAATACCCTGGGGTACGGTGTAGGTGATATTGAGGAAGAGGACGGCGGAGGTGATGATGCTGGTGAAGGCGGTGGTGGAGGCGAGGTAGAGGAGGCCGTAGAGGGTGCTGAAAATTAGGGCGGCGAGGGTGGTGTGCACTGGGAAGTTGAGGGTGGGGTGGATTTGGGTGAAGAATTCGGGGAAGGGTATGCCGTTCTGGTTGAGGGTTAGGGTGGAGGTTGAAGGGGGAAGAGAAGGGGTAGGGGTAGGCAGGGGGCGTACGTCTCGAGCGAATGCCCATGCGATGCGGCCGGATGTTACCCATTGGGAGGGAAGGGCAGCTGGTTTGTTAGTTTGGGTTGGGCTGGGGTGTTTGGGGTAGGGGCTTACAGGCGTAGATGATGGTGAGGACGATGGATAGTCCGAGTGTGATGGGTCGGCTTTTGGTTCTGTGGCTGGCTGTTAGTGGTTGCTGGGAGGTTATGGGATTGGCTCACATTTGGTATATTAGTTCCATGCTGGGTATTGATGCATTGCGAACTGCGTCCATGTCTTCGATGAAGAACATCAATGCGATGAATAATGATAAGCTGGTGAGTAGACCTATTATCATCGTCATGATCATTACCTGCGGCACACGTCTCCCTGGTCGAGGAAGCTCTTCGCAAATGTGAATGACTGCCATAGGTTAGCTACATCGGGTGATTTGGATTCCAACAGACCTCCATCTGTGCCGCCAAAAGCATATAATGAATTGGTAATCGCCAACAACCACGATGTACCTCTGCTCCATCCGCTATTGCCCTGTCCAGATGCCAAGATAAAAGACCCCGGTTGGACCTCTTGATGCATGGTGAGAATGACAATGAAAACTACAAGATATGCTGCGAGTGATAGGTAGAGCGCAAACTGAGTGACGAGGGAGATTTTCTGCGATACCACAAACACAGGGATTACTGATGCGGATCGTCAGCTTCTATCATGGAATGTAGTTCGTACATGGGATCCCTACTAGTTATAACAGCCACCGCTACATACGTCAGATAAGTCTGCCACTGGTTGGCGACATATCCCAAATTGCAGAAATTGGCAATATCGTTGATGATGGCTACTGTCGGTGAGATCCCAGAGCAACTGCCATCCATCAGATGCGATCTCGCAACACTGGGATAACATACGTGACGATCCACCAGGCCAGTACCGAAAGCCAGCCCACAACATAGGCACTGTACCGCTTTGTGCGTTTCGGACTGAGGATATAACAAAAGTGATATTGCCCGCCACTTGACTGCTGATATTAGCCACGAGAGCATTTTGTAGAGTGGGGTCATACTGGATAAGCAGACGCGAGCTCTGCAAGCCCGAGAGTGACAGTCAGCTGCACCATAAAAGCCACGACCATGCTAAAGATACAGGCTTGGGCGCCCCCATAAGTCAGGGTCTGTCCGAAGCAGCTCTAAGCAATATTAAGTAAGTCGATTGCTCAGCTAGTGATAGCTTACCAAATATCCAACCCAAGAGTTCGTAATTGAGAAGCCAAATCCGAGTGCCGATAGCCAGCTGAATTGTTGTGGCATGGCCTGCGTGTGGCCATTGATACCTGTAGCTCCATCACCTTTTATATCAGAGAGCACTCCATGATGAATGTCAGCCGTATCATCCGAGGGTATTCTCTTTTCTGTGCCGGCATTCTTGCTCGTCTCTAAAGACATTTTAGATATACGACCAACAGTCCCGACAGGAGGAGATTACCCGGTCCACTTACCTTTATACCATAAGCTTATCGAGCACTTGCAATGACCAGGATGCGCGGAATGCAAAGCCCTTGCATGCTGACACGCAAGGGTGTTTGTCTGTCTTGGGGTTGACCTAAGGATGAGAATGTATAGTTATACCTGGGATAATTAAAATCTGACTCAGACTGAACTGAATAACTTTGTATCCACAAGAGTACTGTCCAGGACCAGGGCTGATGCAGCTTATGTCAGAGGCAAGCCGTGCGGGGAATTTCCCTTGGGGCGGCTGGCTAATCTACCCAATCAGGCAATACCTCCCGCTGGACCCTCTGGTTATGTCATTCCATTGGGCACGTTCAGAGTGCAGGATCACCAGGGTATTGCTCAGGGTACACATTGTCACACTATTCACTCTGTCGTTCGACCCGAGGAAATACAGCGACCAGGTACAAAAAGTCTCCAAAAACACCCTCGTGGAAGAAATCATCTATCTTCTCAAACGAGACGGGGGTGTGTTTGTGAAGAATCTCATTTCTGAGGAAGATGTCGACCAGGCCTACCCGGGAAGTCAAACCTCGTCTTGATGCAGATGTTGAATGGAATGGCTCCTTCTTCCCAGGTACGTTGGTCTGTCCAGACCATTCTGGTCGCAGCTAATGACCAGCCCAAACACAACGCGCCCCATCATTGATCGCGCACAGCCCAACCTACACCAAGACCCAGGTCATGAACCCGCTATTCCGCCAGGTCTGTGACCATTTTCTGACCTCCCGACGATGGTACTGGTGGGGCGAGGAAAAGAAGCTGTCCCTCTCCAAGCCATACGTGCATTCCTGCACCGCCATGAGGATCGGGCCCGGGGGCAAGGCACAGCCATTGCATCGAGATGACTACATTAGCCATCGTTATCACGCCGAAATTAGTCAATGGGACTATGCCCGCGACATGGAGGGCGAGTCGGCCATTGGTCTCTTCGTCGCCGGCTGTCGCATCACCAAGGAAAACGGTGGCACGCAGTTTATTCCCCGCAGTCATCTCTGGTAGGCGCATTGCTCCCAAGCCGGTACTGTTCTAATGAACATTTGGGCAAGCTAACACATCATTGTGCATTGTCTTCTGATCCTAGAGTATTTGTCCGCTGGAGTGGCCCATAACTTCATGGTTGCCCAGCCTTCCTGATCCGGTAATACTTTCAACTGCCTGGATGAACATCTTCACCATACATAGCCAAGAGCGGTCTAGGCACGAAAGAGTCATGATACTTATAAGGCTCCAAGTTCTATTCTCCCTTGCGTCAACCAGAACTCACTCACTTGCCATTCACTACCATCCTATCACTCTGCATTGACGCCCCTTCATCGCCCAGAATCCAGCCTATCGGCCAATCTGCTAGGCAAGACAGCAATTGTCTCTAGGTCTTCAAGATACAATCATCGTTTTAAACATGGTTTCTATTAAGATCAACCCAGGGGCGTCGGTGCGGGTTGTCGCGGTGCCGCCGTGACCATCACACATACGTCCGAGGGCTCCAGAGACACAGCACAGAGCGTCGCGGATGGGAGTCGCCCAACCAACGTGTATGCAGTCATCGAAGCCGGATTGGAGGCCTTTGCGCGAGTCTGGGCCACCGAGATGGGTCAGGCCCACTGCATCACCGTCAACTGTGTCAGTCCAGGTCCTATCGCCACCGGGCAGTTTCATAAGAGCGCCCTGGAATTCAAGGACGCAATGCAGCCGATGATTCAGGCGACGTCGACAGAGGCCCGGATGGGGAGGTCGATGACATCGTCCCTTTAGTTAGGTGAGTTCGTTCATTCTGTTCTCATTGGTAACTGCTCACACCAACAGCTTCCCCTGTTCGGAGGATATTCGGTGGATTACAGGAAGTGTCCTCAGCGGTACGGGCAGGGTGCTGTTTCAACTCATGTAGATCCAAATGATTCTCATTATCCTCGGTACAATATCTATGTCTATAAAATCCTATCCAACTATTCGTACGTCAACCATTCAGCAAACTAGATCGGCTCGTCCCGCGGCTCAATCAAGACTTCGTTCACCGACACATGTGCCGGCTGGCGCAAGGCGTACACAATCGAGTTGGCCACATCCTCCGGATCGAGGATTTGCGCTCCCGACGGCTCTCCATACTTCTTGATGGCTTCGGCATCGGTAGACATCCCCAGCAGATCGGTCGCTGTGTTGCCTGGCTGGACACTGGTCACCCGCAGACCCGTACCGGCTGTCTCCAGCCGAAGCGATTGCAGCGTGGCCTCGACGAAGAACTTGCTGGCCGAGTACACTCCCAACCCCGGGAACACCTTGCGTCCGGCGTCAGAGGAGATGGCCACAATGTGGCCACTTCCCCGCGAGAGCATGCCCGGCACGCTCGCGGACAGGCAGTGGAGGAGACCCTTGCAGTTGACATCAACTGTGCGCTCCCACTCCTCCGTCTGCACGTTGGCCATCATGGTGAAGTACATGACTCCGGCGCACGACACGAGGATATCCACCGGGCCGAGCTCGTCGTTGGCAGCTTGCAGGAGGCCGTCAACCTCCATCTTGTTCGTCACATCAGTCTTGCGGACGATGACTTTGCTTCCCTGCGCCGTGATCCGGCCCTTGACGGATTCAAGAGCGTCCACGCGCCGAGCCGCCAGAGCAACATGGCAACCCTCCCGAGCCAGAGCGACCGCGACAGCGGCGCCAATACCGGAAGACGCCCCCGTCACCACGGCTACCTTGCCGCTGAGAGGGCCCTTCTTGGCCGGCTTAGCAACCCCATTAGCCTGCTGTCGAACAGGAGCCCGCGGCAGCCAGCCTCGAGCGAACCAGTGCCGCGTGTACGTCTCGAGCAACGCCCGGTCAACCTTGGGCCGTTCCACAACCGCCCGGAATGGCCGAGTGGCAGCATTGTCCAGCACCACAATGCCCCGGAGGAAGTCCACCGTGGGCATACCACTACGGAGGATATCGACCGTAAAGGCACCGTCGCCACCCTTGACCGCACCCCGCTTCTCGTTCCACAGGGAGACCCATTCGTCCCACCCCACAGCCTTGGTGGGGTATCCGAGCTCACTGAGAGCAGCAAAGACCGAGCGCGTATCCACCGGGTTGGGATCACCCAGATGGAAAACAGTCTGCTCAGCGTGCGTCTGACTGGCCAGATGAATGATGGCCTTGCTGACGAAATCGACGGGCGTCATCTCCGCCCGCCAGCCGTCCACATCCGGCGCGCAGCCGAGTTTGATCGACTCAACAATCAGGGCCGACAGAAGATCCCAGGCATTGGCCGCACCAGTCTGGCTATGGCCACTGATGGTTCCTGCACGGTGGATCTTGACTGGAAGCCCGCGACGACCAGCTTCCAGCACAAGCTGCTCGGCCACCCACTTGGTCTGCCCATAGCCATCAAGCAATTTCTCGGGCACATCATCTACATCCAGCATCGTGTCCTCAGGCCAGCCCTTCTCAGCTGAGGGTGGCAGGACGCCATTGGTGGACACGTACTGCACGGTCGCGCCCCCTTTGCATGCCAGGCGGAGGATTTCTCGCGTACCTCCGACATTGGGACCGCGCAGGGCGGCATAGGGGTAGACCAGGTTGACGGTGGCAGCCGCATGAACGATAACTTGTACACGGGATGCAAGCTCATCAAACGCTTCCGGAGACAGACCGAAGCGAGTGCGGGAGAGGTTTCCGGGCAGGATCTCGACGCGCTCCATGACCGAATCACGCCACAGCCCCAGATCCAGCAGGTTTCGGCGGATTCTGGCCACACCACCAGGCTGATCGTCATCGGCGGGGTCAGTGAATCGCACCAGGCAGATGATATGGGCCGAGGTACTCTCCAGCAGGTCGTGAAGAAGAAAAGCGCCAAGGAACCCAGTCACACCCGTCAGGAGCACCGTGTCGGCCTGGTCGACGGAGCGGATGGTGGCTTTGGTCGGTCGGATATCATCGTCGAGGGTAGAATCAGCACGCAGGACGGCCGGCAAGTCCGCTTGCACCGCTGCCGTGTGTCCGTCCCTAATGTCACGGACCGTTTGAAGGTGACCCGTGAGGGTCGAGTTTTCTGCAAGCCGGGCGATCGGAACGCGGAAGCCAAAGTGTCGGGACATTCTCGAGGAAAGGTCAGCCAAAGACAAGGAGTGTCCACCCAGATCGAAGAAATCGTCGTCAGGCCTGAGAAGGGTGCGCGAGGTTTTGAGTGCTGCTGCCCAGATGGCCGCCACTTGCTCGATACCGATCGGGTCTTGCTCCACGGGCTTTCCGTTTCCGTTGACATGATCGGCGGTGCGCAGGGCAGGAAGACGTTTGAGGTCGACCTTGCCCGTCACCTCATGCGTCGGCAGCTCGTCCAATTTCACCCAGAGAGACGGGATCATGTAGTGTGCTAGGGACTGCGAGAGGATGCGACGTGCGCCGGGGCTGTTGCCCGCTTCGTTGATCTCCACCACCGGGCGGCCGGCGGACTGGTCCTGGTCGGGGACAATGTAAGCCACCAACTGCCGCTCCAGACCCTCACCATGGGCCACGACAGCACAGTGGCTGACCGCGAGGTTTTTGACAATCTCATTTTCGACCTTGGCAGGCACGACGGAGTACCCGCGCAATTTGATCATCGACCCCACGCGACCGGTGATTTCCAGGAGTCCGGATGGAAGCAAGCGCGCGAGATCGCCGGTTCGGTACAAACGGGATCCGGGTTGTGGATCAAAAGGGTTCTGGATGAAGGCTTTGGCGGTCGTCTCCGGGAGGTTGAGGTACCCGCGGGCAAGAAGTGGACCAGCCACAAACAGTTCCCCGCTCACCCCGTTCTCCACCGGTTGTTGGTTATCATCCAGAATATGGGTGTTATTCGGGTCCATCGGGGGCCCGACCGGACAGTACAGCGCCTGCTCATCGATCATCTCCCGAATATCTCCGCAAGCAATCTCGTGGGTTTCGCAGGCACTGTAACAATTGAGCAAGCGGGTCTTCGGAAGGGCCTTGCTCGCTCGACGGGCCAGGTCCGTGGTCACCACCTCGCCGTTGAACCACAAGGTGCGGAGCTCCGGCAGGCGAGAGCCAATGTGAGGATGGCGGGCGAGGACAGTCGCGAGCAGGGTGGGGGTCATGAGGGTTTCAGTGATACGCTTCGCAGCGAGCAGGTCGACCAATGCGGCGGGATCGTAGCTGATCTCGTCAGGCACCGCCACGACGGTCGCTCCCCGCAGCAGCGGGCGCAGGATTTCCCAGATGAAGAAGACATTACAAGCGACCCGGTCGCTGGGTGTGAGGTCTTGCACGCCAAATCGGAGATCGTAGGAAAGGACGGGAGCTCTGTGGGGGTTGGCAATTCCCTTGGGCTTGCCTGTGGTTCCGGACGAGTATGAAACGAACGCCAGTCGGTCCAAGTCATCGTCTGCTGGGAGGGGAGGCAGCTCCGAAACGCCGTTGGTCTCTGTTGCTGGTTCGTCCAGCGAAATGAGCGGAACGTCGGCTTTGATCTTGCCGAGTTCGGCCCGGCAAGTGATGATTACTGCTGGGTTCCCGTCGCGGATGACATCGTTCAGGAGCTCGGGGGGGTATGCAAGCTCGAGAACCAGGAACGCACCGCCCGCACGGAGGGCGGCGAGGCACGCAATGACATAGTCACTACTGCGCGGGAGCAGCACTCCGACCAAGCTGTCCCGTCCGACGCCGTAGCGACGGAGGCGGAGAGTGAGGGTGTCAACCGCCCGATCTAGCTCCGCATAAGTGTATGTGGTTTTGTCATCCTCCAAAGCGACCGCATCAGGAGAGGCCTGGACCTGTTTGCTGAAGAGAGCCGACAGATCTTTGGTGACATCGATAACGGCCATTGTGTGGGGGAGCGGGGGAAAAAAGAGAGGGTAATGAGGGAGAAGAGGAGATCGACCACCGGTCGAAAGGCGGACAGTCAAGGCGGGCCAGAGGGGTATTTAAGTCGACAGATGAGCTGAGGAAAAGAGTGAGGTGTCAGATGTTGCTTCTGCGGTGGAAGCAGGGAGGGTGGGAGGAAAATTGAACTTACCGGCCGGCTTCCACGTCCTTTTATGAACAAAGCAAACAACATGCTGGACACGAGGAAACTCCAATGGAACGTAATCGAGCAATCCAGTCTGGTACCTGTTGAGAATTAGTGTGTACGAGGCAGTGGGGGGCGAGGGCGATAAGTAGCAAGTGAGAGCGAGTGAAGCTGGCCTGCCGTCCCCCGGCTCGATCACATGCAAATCCCAGGTCACCCAAACAGGCTAGCCTGCTCTCAACGCTCTCGATGTGTCTTTTGGTGTCATTTGGTGTCTTCTGGGCATCGTGTGCCATCCCACTTAAGCGACCTCCTAAGATTGATCCTGGTCGATACTCGATGCCCAGTTCACGGAAAGGATCCCAACGGCGGGATTAATGTCGCAATCGCCAGCCAATGGCAGCCCCGTCAGCCTGCATGTGTACCAGGATCGTAGCAGGAGCTTGACCAACCTATGGCCCAAATTCCCGGAGGTTCGTCACACCGATCCTCGGAACACATCACTCTCCTCGTACCAGACCTGGTCTCCGTACTCCGTATGTTCTCCCTTCTGCTGCGAGCTGCGTCACCCGTGGGAACTGGGAAGAGCTGTTCCTGGCCAACGGGGATTAACTCCGCCCCCTCAGCTCGGGTGGGGGACCCTCGGGTTGGGGATGCGGTTCGACCCGATCGGCAGCGCTTTTATTATTATCAGCGCCCTCCCATTGGCGGCTAGACGCTAACCGTGGGGTACCTTGCTCCAATCATGCTCACTGCCCACGTCTTTGGCATGTGATTGTGGGGTCATTTGCTCTGTTTGCTTCCCAGCCAGGCTCTCCGAGTCAACATGCTTATCCCGGAGACCCTGTCGCCATTGACCCTGCAGCTGAGATGGCCAGTTCCTGCTCCTGGTGTCATCACTCTATCGGTCCCAACTGTTTCTTCCCGCAGGACCGGGGTGGTAGTGCGTTCCAACTGACTGCTCATCTGCATCGCCGGATCCATTTGCCTATCAAGGTAACACATCAGGCGACGCAGCATGCGGATGCCTGCTCCCTTGACCGATGGCAGCAAGGACTCGGAACACGATGTATCACATAGGAAGAACGATGGGTGTTCATGACACCCCAGCTTGGTGGTTCTGACTTGGTTCGAACCTCGATCCATGATCTTAACAATGAGCAACACTCCGGTGGTATCACCGGAATTGAAATCGACCATTCTCGATTACACTGCATCGGCTAGATTACTTCACCGGTCACAGTGGGGGGATAAGCAACACAGTCAGTAGTCAGTATTGTCCCCGATCTTTGTATGGCTGCATGACCGCCTACATTCCTGACCAGGTGAGAATAGGGCTGTTATCCTAGGCCGACCATTTGATCTGTGTGGGCACTGGATGTATCATCCCGTAGTGTGTAGTGGACTGTCTTGAGCGACATACTATTGTGTCCTACTCCGTAAATTCCTGTCATTCTCTACCCCATCCACGCAGGCCAGAGGCAGCTGGTGTTTTGTATCAACACAATCGGCTGTCGTATAAGCCAACGAAAAAGATATTACCCGGAGAGCGTATCAGCGCTCGTATGAGAGCATAATTAGAACAATTGAAAAGGGTCGATGTTGGTTTTGACGCAATGCAGACCTGCTTGATCTTCCGCTGCTAGAAATATATTTTGACGACAGACTGCATTTGTTGCCGATGAGACTTTGACACGCACTATCGGACCGGGTAGCTGGACCCATAGTACATTTAATCTTAGACATACTGCTCTAAGACATTACTGACTCAATCACCCCGGTCGCTATCTGTTGTTTGGAGCTTGCAATCTGAGATAGATGGACACAAGGACGGGCACGTGATGCAGCGGGAAACCGCGCTATACTCGATCGAGATGCATCACGGACTCGGGCGCGAGCTTCCGCCAGGCCCGTGCCGGTCGGAGGTTTCCTTCCATCTACCATCCACATCCACCACCTCTTGCACGCATCGCGAGGCTACAGTTGATGACCACGGATGGATGTGCTACACCGAGGGAACGGTTGCCTGAATCCCGTTTACATATTAATGACCCTCTAACAACGCACAGCCACGATCCGCGGTGTTGACCCGGGGTACATTTTGACCCACCGAACTACTGCAAGTGTGGAAGATTAATACCGCTATTATTGCTGACCCTTAATTCCTCAGCGCCTTAACTGTTGGAGCCCAGAGGCTCTAGATGACGACACGGAAACCTCTTCGGTCAAGCGGATGCCGTGCTTGAGTGCCAGCTGTCGATCGAAACCTGCGTCCATGAGCAAGTCCTCCGACGAGCCATCATTCCCCGAACGTTGGTGCCCATCACTAGTCGGCATATGGGTTATCGGTTCCGCCCCGATATTGACCTTGTATGCGTCATCCACAGTGTTGTTTCCCAGGCTGTTCAGTTTCACCCCGGTTTCCCAGCTTCGCCCGTATGCCCGGTGCGCAGCGCCGCTCTGCTTCCGACTAGTCCCTGCTCGTGACGAGTATGCCTTGAGGTGCGAAAACCAGGATCCGAATAATGATTTCATGGCGGGAATCGAGAGCGCGATAAGGGTGCCGCCTACCTCGGATGTTTCGATCGCCAGCATCGGGTCGTAGGCCCAACTACCGTCGGAGGACCATTGGCCGATAATGACGAGGTACATGCGAACACACGAGATGATGAGAACCCTAGAAGACATTGATGTTAGCCGTGCGACAAAGGACAAGGCTCGTTGACGTACAAAACTCCCGGAAACATGACCAAGGACAGCTGGATTTTCCGCTTCTGGGACACTTGCAACATGTAGATCAACATGGACGGAAGGGTTAACATCATCATGTCGCAGACCAGCGACAAGACTGAATTGGCCACATAGACATCGCCCCAGGAGATGCAGTTATAATCGTCGATCTGCGGCTGCCAGGCGTACGGCCAAAGGCCGGTCACGGGGAGGCAGTGGAATAACAGAAGGAAGAACTGGGTCAGGAAAGCAGCGACCAGGAAGCCCGCCGAGAGCTTGATGGCTAGCGAAATTTTGGGGTGCCGCGAGGCCAAGCGTTGGTAGAAGGCCAGACCGGACAGCCGACAGACGAACAAGGCGGCTGTGTACAAGATGTGCATAACGAAGTCGTAGACCTCGGTCTTATCGACCTGGGTCAGGGACAGCACATACTCAATGTACTCGATATGTCGGCCACTACCCAGGTCAATTAGGAATATGGATAAAGCGACGATCGAGATGTAGAGAGACTAGGTATCTGAGGGTCAGCAGGACGGCCGGGCCGGGATATCAGATGGAGCCACCTACCAGAGTAAATACAGCCAAGGCGTCATCCCAGCCGAACTTCTTGACAAGAAAGACTCTGGCGTAACACCTGGCGATGACGATCAGGCAGGTCAGGGCGCCGACGAAGAGGATGGCGATCTTGGTGGGCCGATCTCGCGACTGGGCCAGGTACTCCAGACTGATCCCCGGGGGGATGCGGCCCTCGGCCTCCGCAGCTTGGATGGCAGCCGAGATCTGAGGCATAGTGCATCGGGGTCAGACCGACGTCGCTGCAAGTGAGCAGGATGGGGATCGTGGCCAGGACATGATGTCTGTGTGCGATGACAAGACTGAGAGAACTTGGGCTGAAGGGGTGCCAGGGGGCCCCGAAGGAAGCAGGGCGATTGGATTGGGCATCGGTACCATTCCGAGGCCGAGAGGGCTTTTTTTCCATCAAGGTTTGCCTGGATGCTAGGCTAGTCTCAACCGACGTTCTAGTCGCGGTCTTAGCTCGACCCTGCTGTTTCGCCGTGTATTGCCAAATGCCAAGAGCATGCCGTTTACCGAGAGCCGATATGGGGAAGACCCCATGGCCGCGTGGCCAACCCGAGGAGGCGTTCCTGTTTACAGCTTTGCACTTTGCAGGTTCGCAATAATGCATTTTCTGTTAGTTAGCCTGTTAGGGAGACGCCGTTGGAATCGCCAAGGGATCTGGCGTGGTGCTGTCATGGCGATGCCTGCTGCATGTCATCCAGCGCCACCCGCTAGTGAGCCGACTTTGCCGGATGCGGCTGGGGCTCGCCTAATTATTATTGAAATCATGGAAGCCTGGAAGGATCCCAGTGGGCCCAACCACCCAGCCAGCTGCATCCCACTAGCAATTATAGTTCTCACCCAGAGATTAGACACTATCTGTCTAGATGCAGATGAGATCTCAATCTGTCAAGTTGGATGCGATGGTGCTGATGCACATGGACACCTTCCTCTGCGACATCACCACTTATTCAGCACCTGAACGCTCGGACGAACATGTACCTGCCGATCCAGAAGGATCATCCGATGGGCTGCCGCCTTGGGCGAGGCAGCCCTCCGACCGATGGGGCTCGTATTCGCCCAAGCCCACTCGTCCTTCTCGTCCATTCTGGTACCGTTTTACGCAACCACTTAATCTATTCCATCTCCATCCCCGGCCCTGTCCACCAATCACACCCCCTGCAGTCAAACCAATAGTCTGCAGTTAGTCTGCCACCAGACCACGACGAGTTGGCGACAAGCCGAGGATCCCCTGAATCCCGGCCGTCCCTTGCAGGACGCGGTTCGCTCGCGCTTCTTGCCCAGCCTTTAAATCCAACCAACCACGCGCGGACTGCTTCTTCTGCCCATCTCCCATCCTGCGATTTCCTTCCCACGTGGCAGCGATCTGCAGTGTACGATCCGCGATGCCTTCGATAGCGTCTTGGCTCCTCACCACCGGCCTGGCCGCTCTGACCAGCGCCTCCGGCCTCAATGACAGTCTGGTGGCCCAGCAGATCGACACCCGTCCCTTCCCGTATGACTTCCCCAAGCTGGGCGTCAATGGGGCGGACCTCTTCCCCATGCGGGACTGCCGTGGCTTCCAGCTGGAGGAGGCCACCATCGACGAGATCCAGGCCGAGCTGAAGGCGGGCCGTCTGACCGGGGTCCAGCTGCTGCAGTGCTACCTCGAGCGCATCTACCAGGTGCAGCCGTATACCAAGTAGGTCAACCTTCCGTTATGCCCGATCTGCCATGCTGACACGTGAGGCAGTGCGGTGATGCAACTTAACCCCGACGCCATGGCCATCGCTGAGGCCCTGGACGAGGAGCGCCAGCAGGGCACCGTGCGGGGTCCGCTGCACGGCATTCCGTTCTTGGTCAAGGACAACATTGCCAGTAAGGACAAGATGGAGACGACGGCGGGCAGCTGGGCCCTTGTGGGCTCTGTGGTCCCTCGGGACTCCCACGTTGTGCACCGCCTGCGTGAGGCGGGTGCGGTGCTCCTGGGCAAGGCAACGCTCAGTGAGTGGGCGGACATGCGATCCAACGACTACTCGGAGGGCTATTCGGGCCGTGGTGGCCAGTGCCGGAACCCTTACAACTTCACCGTCAACCCTGGTGGCAGTAGTTCCGGCTCCGGTGTGGCAGTTACGAGCAACCAGGTGCCCTTTGCTCTGGGAACCGAGACTGACGGCAGTGGTAAGTGTCCCGTGTAGGGTCGGTTGGATGTGGTGGTCGCTAACGTGGGAATGCAGTGATCAACCCGGCCGAGCGCTGCAACATTGTCGGCATCAAGCCCACCGTTGGCTTGACCTCCCGCGCGGGTGTCATCCCCGAGTCTCTGCACCAGGACACGGTCGGCACCTTTGGCAAGACGGTCCGGGATGCCGCATACGCACTCGATGCCATCTACGGTATTGACCCTCGCGACAATGAGACCTATTCCCAGCAGGGCAAGACCCCGGCCGGTGGATATGCTCAGTTCCTCACGGACAAGTCGGCCCTGAAGGGTGCGGTCTTTGGTCTGCCCTGGTTGTCTTTCTGGCAGTACAACGATGCGGCCCAGAACGCTCAGCTGACCGAGCTGCTGGAGCTGATTGAGGCGGCCGGCGCCACGATCATCAACGGCACGGAGCTGCCGTACTACCAGGACATTGTCGACCCGGAGGGCTGGAATTGGGACTATGGCACGGAGCGTGGCTACCCCAACCAGTCCGAGTACTCGTACATCAAGGTGGACTTCTACAACAACATCCGGGACTACCTGGCGGAGCTGAACAACACCAACATGCGGTCGCTGGAGGATATTGTGCAGTACAACATCGACAACGCGGGTAGCGAGGGTGGTGTTCCCGGCGTCAACCCGGCCTTTGCATCGGGCCAGGACGGCTTCCTGGCGTCGCTGGCCACCAAGGGCGAGATGAACGAGACGTACTGGCAGGCGCTGGAGTACTGCCGGCGCACCACGCGGGAGGAGGGCATTGACGCGGCGCTGCGCTACCAGGGCCGCAACCTGACGGCGCTGCTGGCCCCGCCGGACTTTGCTCCGTCGGTCGAGATTGCCGCCCAGGCCGGGTATCCGGTGGTGACGCTTCCAGCCGGCATCAACAAGGGATCGAAGATGCCGTACGGACTGGCTCTGATGGGCACCGCCTACTCGGAGGCGACGCTGATCAAGTATGCGAGTGCGATCGAGGACCTGCAGCTGTCGTCCAACACGACGTGGAAGCGCAGCCTGGCGACCTGGAGCGGTTATCTGGAGCGGAACATCCCGGTGAACTGAGCGCCTCGTGTGATTCGTCATTTGAGCGAGGGAATGATGTCATGTGTGTCCGTACTACTTTACTTTGACTTTGATCAGAATATACCTCATTGTCGGGATCCTTGCCTCGAAGCGTAGAGTTACACGAGCACCTTCCCTGGTCGTAGGCGGAACATCGGAGGATTACCTGCGGTTGTGTTGCCGCCAAGCCAGTCGCCCGCTCTGGCCGTGTTACTGCAGAGCAAAAGGCCCGCGAGTCGGAGAGGTATTCTGGAAGTGTGGCAGATGGTCGGCCCAATTGGCCAGCCAGCCAACTCCGCACGTGGGCGGGGGATGGCCCCTGATAGGACGGTGGGGCCAGCCATTCCGCCCAGGCGCCAAGGCCGGCCAAGGCACGACTGCTCGGATCCGCCCCAGGCCAAGCCATCGCCCAGCAGGGCCGCCGTGCAACCTTCCATGGCCGAGACTGCCACCGGCTGGAAGTTACCTCTGACCACCCTCGACGGCTGTCACACCCCCCTTCACCTCGTAGACTTCGACTTAGATCAAGGGAAACCCCGTCCCAAGCCTGCCTCGGCTTCGAATCACGGCCCTCCGTCCAGGAACGTGTCTGTTGCCAGCGTCCGGGACATGAACCTGCCGGAAATTCTGGCGGGCACGTGGCCTGGGCACAGTGAATGGCCTTCGGCCACAGCCAGGCCGGCATGGTCACATAAAGTGTGCGCCCTCGCGCTGTGTCCTCCTGGTGGTCAGCTTCGGTCAACCTCTCACCACTCTCTTGCAAAAGATAGATCCCCAGACAGTCATCATGGCGGTGCTGCACGCGTACGACTACATTTTCGCCATCGGCACCCTGTTCGCCATGCTGGATGCCTTCAATAACGGCGCAAGTAAGTGGACGGTTTTGATTACGGGTTGAACACCCCTACTGACCACCCTCTCCGCGTCCAGACGATGTGGCCAACTCCTGGGCAACCAGTGTCTCCTCCCGCTCCATCTCCTACCGTCAGGCCATGATCTTCGGCACCGTCTTCGAAATGCTTGGCGCCATTACTGTCGGAGCTCGCACTGCGGATACCATCAAGAACGGCATCATCCCCAACTCCGCCTTTCAGAACAACGCAGGTGTCCAGATGCTGGCTTTTACTTGTGCTCTGGCTGCTGCCTCCTCCTGGGTTATGTGGTGCACCCGGCACTCGGCTCATGTCTCGTCGACCTACTCGTTGATCTCTGCCGTTGCAGGTGTCGGGGTGGCCACTGTTGGCGCCTCTCATGTACAGTGGGGATGGAACAATGGCAAAGGACTTGGAGCCATCTTTGCCGGGCTGGGCATGGCTCCCATTATCTCCGGAGGCTTTGCGGCTGCCATTTTCATGCTGATCAAGTTGGTTGTGCTCATCCGCAAGAATCCCATACCTTGGGCCGTCTACAGCTCGCCGTTCTTCTTCCTCATCGCTGCCACCATTTGCACCTTGTCCATCGTCTACAAGGGTTCTCCTAGTCTGGGTCTCACCAAGAAGCCTGGTTGGTACATTGCAGCCGTCACCATGGGTACTGGTGGCGGGGTTGCCCTTTTGTCCGCCATCTTCTTCGTTCCCTTTGTGTACTCCCGTGTCATCAAGAAGGACCAGAGCGTCAAGTGGTGGATGTTCATCCTGGGGCCCATGTTGCTGACACGTCCCGCTGTGGATACTGCCGAGCAAGCCAAGGTGCCCAACTATGCTGTTGTTCAGGAGAGCTCCGAGGACCTGAGCGCACGCTCGCCGGATACCCTCGTCGGGGACGACGCCAAAAAGAGCACGCAGGGCGGAATTGAGTCGATCCAGTCGCGCAGCGAAGAAGGCGAGAAGAGGCAGGTGATCGGGGAATCAGCTCAACTGACCTACAAGGAGCTGATGGAGCAATCCGACCGTCGACTGCGGGGACGGTTGCTCAAGAAGCGCGGACCCATCGGCTGGGCGATGCGCACTCTCCGTGACAATCCCATGGGCGCCGGTCAGCTGTACGAGCTGCACAATCTGGTGATACTGGCGAAGCGCATCCCTGCGATGATTGTGTGTGGCCTTCTGTATGGTTTGCACTACGACATCCACGCGGCCCAGACCGGCATTTCAGGCACCCCGGAAGGCAAGCGCATGCAGCGAGTGTACGCCCACGCGGAGAAGTACCCTAACGAGGTTGAGCACACCTATTCGTTCGTCCAGGTGCTGACGGCCTGCACTGCGTCGTTTGCCCATGGTGCTAATGATATCGGCAACTCGGTCGGGCCCTGGGCGGTCATCTACTCGGCCTGGTCGACCGGAAATGCGGCGGCAGCCAAGGCACCGGTCCCAGTGTGGCAGTTGGCAGTGCTGGCCGCGTGTATCTCGATTGGCTTGATTACTTATGGCTACAATATCATGAAGGGTAAGTGGTTCGCTGCTGTGGGTGGATGATCACTAACAGAGACTAGTCATGGGCAACAAGATTACCTACCACTCGCCGAGTCGGGGGTGCTCGATGGAAATGGGGGCCGCCATCACGGTGCTTGTGTTTTCGCAATACTCGCTGCCGGTGTCGACGTCGATGTGCATCACAGGGGCTACCGTGGGGGTTGGTCTGTGCAATGGGACGTTCAAGGCCGTCAACTTCCAGCGTGTCGGACTGCTGCTGCTGGCATGGATCATGACGATCCCGATTGCGGGTACGTTGGGTGGGATTCTGATGGGACTGTTTCTTAACGCGCCACACTTTGCATGATGGTTTTTTTTTTTATTTACTTTCAATGGGGAGGAATGCTTGTGTTTTGTTGCGCGCACAGTAGAGAGAGGGGGGCCATCTGAGCGGTTAGCTATTGACTACCAATCATAATGTAATGTATGCTGCATCACCCATCTAGCCTGACTGAATTGAATGTCATCATGGGACTATTTTCCTCCGTAGCTGTGCAACCAGCGCCGGTATCCGGTGTGACATACTGTGGGGAGAAAAGGGCGTGGTCGGAGAGGTTGCCGTGAGTGGCAACACACGTCCTTAAGATCTGCGGAGAAGGCATTTTGCTGTTTTCCACAAACCACGCACTTTTCCTATTACTACGCGTTGTTGGCTTGCTCTTTACCGCAACAAGCGACCAGACGCACCAGGCCTCGAGAATTGTTACATTGGCGCCAGTCTAGAACCCGGACAGGGATGTGGTATCATCGATATGAGCGGGGACTATCATTGGCCTCCGATTCCGATGAGGACGGAGATTCTCCTATCCTATCCTATCCTATCGACGACCCCGCATGATAAGCACTTCCTCCTCGTCCTACCAATATTTAGTCATCTGTATCACCATCCATGACCTCTTCCCCTCAATTCAATTCCTAGGTACCCATGGACCGTGTAACCAACCACCACCGCTACCGTCTAGGTGTCGATGTCGGCGGTATATTTCCCCCATCCCCCCTTCCCCCCCTTTCCCCTTCCCCTCCCTGTCCAATGCAACTAACCTAACCGAACCCGCCCAGGAACCAACACCGACGCCGTCCTCCTCAACCTCTCCCCGCTCGCCATTCTCGCTTCGCACAAAGCCCCCACCACCCCCGATGTCACCACGGGTATCACGGCCGGTATTCGCGCGGTTATCGCCACCGCAAACATCCCCCTCTCATCCATCGAATGCGTGATCATCGGAACGACCCATTTCGTGAACGCCGTGGTGCAACGCTCCCCCTTATTACGACGCGTCACGGTGGTAAGATTATGTGGTGGGCCTGATGAAGGGTTCGGGAGGGCGATTCCCCCGTTTACTGATTTCCCGACCGATCTACGGAAGAGAATTGAGGCACCGAGACAGTTCTTTTGTCACGGGGGGTGGCAGATCTCCGGCGGGGAGATCAGTAGTGTGGATGAGGGGGAGGTGGAGAGGGTGGCGGAGGGGATTGTGGATGATGGGGTGAGGGATGTGGTTGTTGTGGGGATGTATGCTCCCCTGGAGGGGGGGCAGGAGGGGAGGGTGAAGGAGGTGTTGGTGAAAAAGATGGAGGAGTATGCCAGTGTTGGGATGGGGAGGGGGAAAGTGAGGGTTACGTTGTCGCATGAGGTGTCAGGGCTGGGGTTTCTGGCGCGGGAGAATGCGGCGATTCTCAATGCGAGTTTGAGGCCGTTGGCCGAACGGACGATTGATGGGTTTCGGAGGGCCATGGAGGAGGCTTTCCCCGATGGGGGGTGTGCGTTGTATCTGACGCAGAATGATGGCAGTGTGCTTGGGGTGGAGGAGGCGGTGGATCTGCCGATTCGGACGTTTAATTCGGGGCCGACGAATTCGATTCGAGGAGGGGAGTTTCTTTGGCGTGCTGCTGCTACGGAAGGAGATGGGCTGCGCACGGATCCGTTGGTGGTGATTGATATTGGGGGCACGACGTCGGATAGTGGGTTGTTGTTGCCGAATGGGTTGCCGCACATGAGCTCGGTCATGAGTTGGGTCGGTGGTGTCAGGACGAATTTTGCTTTGCCGGCGGTGGAAAGTATAGGACTGGGAGGAGGGAGTATCATTCGGGGGATTGGGGTTGATGAAGAATGCTCCGTTGGTCCGGATAGTGTCGCCCATGAGCTGTTGGACAATGCACGACTGTTTGGTGGAGAGTATCTGACGGCCACGGATATCATGGTGGCATCGGCGATGAAGGGCCTGACGGGGAACAACCCTCTCGAGGGAATGGGAGACCCATCGAATCTGGTATCTATCACGGCGGACATGGCTACCCAAGCTCAATCCTTGATGCAACGGAAAATCGAAGAGCTCGTCGACCGCACCAAGATCCAGAAAGACGACGTGGACGTCCTCATCGTCGGCGGCGGTGCCCCCATCATCCGCACCGATCAGCCTCTCGCCGGTGTTCGCAGGGTACAGACCGTCAAGGGCGGCGAGGTGGCCAATGCTGTTGGGGCTGCTATCTCGCGTGTCTCAGGAGTGATTGATACCGTCGTGGACACGTCCAACTGCTCGGTGAAAGATGCACAGGAGACGGTGTCAAAACTGGCAATTGCAAAAGCCATCGGCAATGGTGCTCGGCCAGATACAGTTCAGATTGCCGAGGTGATCATGCTGCCTATCCAGTATGTCGAGGCCAAGGCACGGATTGTTGTGCGGGCTGTCGGCGAGCTGGACATGGTGGCCCACAATCCATCCCGGGATAAGATTGTTGACATCCCGGAGGAAGAGTTCTTGGATGTAGATGCTACCCAGAATCTAGTCCAGGAAGTCAACTCAGTCGAAGGAAAAGCACACAACCTGCACGACTACCGTCCTTACATCCAAAACAAACAATGGATCATCTCTCCCACAGACCTCGACTTCATCTCCCGCGGCTGCAAAGTCCTCGGTTGTGGCGGCGGCGGCGATCCCTACCAGGAATACCTCAAAACCAAAGCCTTCCTCCATCAACACCCCGGATCCATCAAGGTGGTTTCTCCCGACTTCCTCCCGGACGAAGCCCTAGTCGGCTGGACCGGTTGCATGGGTAGTCCCGAGGTCAGCATGGAGCGACTCGAGAACAGTGAATGTCTCAAGGCGCATGACGAGCTGATGCGGGTTACAGGAAGTCCCCCAGTGTCGGGTTTCGTGGCTTTGGAGATCGGTGGTGGAAATGGCATGGTCAATTTGGGTGTCTCGGCGCATTACGGAGTCCCTTGTTTAGATGCAGATTACATGGGCAGGGCATATCCGACCATGTGGCAGGTTACGCCGAATGTATATGGATCTGCGCGTGGAGAGGCCCTGGTGCCTACAACGATCGCTAGTGGAGACGGTTCGTTCATCACCATGACCAAGACACGGACAGATAAACTGGTAGATAGGGCATTGCGCGCATCGGTCGTGGAAATGGGATGTCGGGCAGGGAGTGCTGGACCTCCGAAGACAGCACGAATTGTTCGACAACAGGCCATCACAAACACAGTGTCGCTGGCCTGGTGGATCGGAAGGGCCGTGGCTCTGGAGAAGAACATCACCGACAAGGCGAAGCGCATCATCGAGGAGGTAGGAGGACCAGACAGTGCAGCCATTCTAGGCGAGGGCAAGGTAGTCAGTGTCTCGCGGGTCTTAAAGACAGGTCATTCATACGGGGTATTGGAAGTGGATGGCCGACTTCGTGACGGGAGCAAAGCGACAATGGACATTCCGTTCAAGAATGAGAATGCCTTTGTCGAGGCGGTTCTCGACGGCGGCGAGAAGAGAGTCCTAGCCGCAGTCCCAGACCTCATTGCCGTGCTGGATGCCGAGACAGGGGCTGGACTGGGCACACCCGAATTCAAATATGGTCTCAAGGTGGTGATCATTGCCATTGCCACGTCACCTCGATGGACGGATACCCCACGGGGTATGGAGCTGGGCGGACCCAAGTCGATGGGCTTTGAGGACGTGGAATATGTTCCGATAGGAAGGTACAGCGAGCCGCGGAGCGTGATTGATGTGTTTTGCTGAGTGCTTGGGGTGGTGGATACCATGTATACATTTATGAGAAAGACAGGTGTAAATCCCATTCTCGGGGCCACGATTCACTATATAGAGTGTTTGGCCTGCTCAATAGCGGCTCAGCCTTTGCCTACCAGCTGCAATGCTGACTACCCATGCATCTGGGTTGAACCTTGGCTCCAGTTCAAAGACGGACAGACCATAATAATACCTCAGAAAGGACAGAGCCCTTGTGCATTTACCACCCAGCTACAAACCCTCTATCACACAACAGATAAATCAACCATGATCTCATACGCAAGCTTTATATTGAACCCTCTTATAAGGAACGCTTAATATACCAATCCGGATAACCTACAGATTACATAAAAACAAACCCTCATCCCCAAGCAAAGCTCTACATCAATAAGAAGATTAGAGGCCTTCCAGCCCACAGACTCAATTCCTATTGTAACTGTAACTATAACAGTCTACTTTGAGATACCGTTCAATCTAGACTTCAAGTAAACATAATTCATCATAGATGTGAGTAGGGGTACTATTAATCTTACACTACTAATCAAATAGTAAGTAGTAGACCAGTAGTTAGTGTATCCTTGTACTACTTACTCAAGAGACTATAATATAATAAGTTGTAACAGTAACAGTAACAGTAACTAGTTATACATTAGTCTCACATACATAGGAGCTGCTATCTAGAAGAAAGATACTATTTTAGATTCAAGCTCCAGATAGAAGATCTTGATAAGAAATTAATCATGTTAGATGGAGAGTCAAGCATGCAACTTTATTAGAATAAATAATAACTACATCTGCACAGCACGGGTATATATAAAAAGAAGAGCCAGTTATATCAAATTACTGAATAGTACTGCTCCGAATGTGCCTTGAGAATAGTAGTAAGTGTCAGGATCCAGACTTAGTTGGTGCGCTTTGAGTCACATGATCCTTCCTACACAAGTAACCAACTCGGCGACGAGGATTATGCTCAGTAGCTTATAACGTGCAACACTTAGAAGCTTACTTAGATAGAGACACAGGGATAGGTAGGTGGACGTCCTCACAGTACGCAGGTTCGTTGTATATCAAGAGAAAAATCAGGTTAGCTGGTCCCATCCTGGTAAGAGAGTATGAAGTATTTCTATTCCAGTTCAGCTCTTTCTCTACCCGGAGCAGTGGGTGTGTTATCTAACATCCAAGAACCGTGCGCCCGGAAGACTGAGAAATCTCGAATCTCGGCATTTCGTCCTTCGGACAGACCGAATACCCCTCATAATAAACCCAATGAACCCTGGGAGGAGGACCCAATAAGCAGGAGGCAGGTCGACGGAGGTTACACGGTGATCGTGATGGTTCCCGAACCACCAATGGCATGCTGTATTGCAAGGATGATGAGGGGAGTATCTGAGTCGCGAATCCTGGTTTGGCTAGGATATAGCGATTAAAAGGTAACACAGCATTGGATTCAGCTTTATTGTGGATGCGAGCAGTCAGATGGTCTGGTCCTATTTAGGCCCCCGACATGCCCTCCATTGTGGTGTGGAGGGATGGATTGCTTTCCAATATAATAACCTGCCCTGCTATTTCTTGATTAACAGGTTGGCCTGTTCGAGTTTGTCTCGAAGATGCGAATGCACATCGACAGTACATGGCAGTAACCTAGCAGATAAGGAGTCTTTCAGGTGGACCAGGACTGGACCGCGCTGCAGCTGTTGTTCTTCTGACGTGGTAAACCAGACCAGCACTCTCGTGAATCAGCATGACTCTCCCCCTCCACCTCACCATCCTATCACTCTGGATGAGCCGCCCAGTCCACTGCCAGAATGTTACCGCGGCAGCCCCGGCAGAGGAGCGAGTAGGATGGGTTTCCCCTCCGACTACCCGAGGTACATCCGATATTCTCTTCAGTTGTTTATCCGTCTTCATCATCTGCTCCTGGAAGTGTGTGCACTTGAATATACCAAGCATCGAGGAGAGCGAGGCAGGCTGCCATACCGCCTGGGGCTGGCTCCCTTTCTGGCCTACAGCTCCTCTCCGGCGGCTCTGGGGTCGAAAGCTCCGGTGGATGGCCTTGATTGCTATTGCTCCAGAGATCGGGATTGCCGTGGCATTTAAAGATTTCATGAAGGCCCGGGAAATCTTCAAGGAATACCAACATCTCGGATTCACCATGACTCACGCTTTTTACGCCTGCATGGGTGGTTACCGGATCGCGATTCCTCAAGCGCTCAGACATCGTGATGGTGCCGCTCACAATAACGAGCTACCGACTTCGGGGGCAGCGCCTGTAGAGGCGCTGGAGGGCGGTCCTGCGCCAGGCCATAGTGTAGACGATGGGCTGAAGTCTTATATCCTCCATAGGGTAGACTTGGGTGAGATACCGCTGGCTGGCTGACTGACTCAAAATGGAAGGTTGTAGCACCGACTCTGACACTCAGCAGGTATCCTGGAGCGAATGGGGCTATTTCCAGCAACGGATGATGCTCATATACAGAACCGAGGCCTGCCTCTCGTAAAGGAGGAAGACATCCGCAACGCGTCAGCATCGGATGCCATTACCAAGGGGTTGGCCATCCTTCAATGCGGGTGGTTGGTCATCCAGAGTATCGCGCGAGCGGCCGCGGGTCTGCCACTCACCGAGCTCGAGCTGATGACACTGGCTTTTATCCCCTGTGCCCTGGTCATGTACGGATTGTGGTGGGATAAGCCATTCGGGGTTCAGCGTGCAACCCTCATATATCCTCTGGACCCGAAGAATGCGAGAGCTCTGCATGACAGATTGGGACTATCGAATAGATTGGCGAGAAGTGCGCGGAATGAGGACGGGGCTCAGAGCTTCCAAGTTCTTCTTGAATTTTACTTTTCAGTATGGAGTATGAGAGATCATGTGTATTGGGACTCCGTGATCTGCAACATTACGTCCATAGTATTTTCTGTTTTCCATCTCATCGCTTGGAACTGGGAGTTTCCATCGAAGACAGTCAAAATCCTCTGGCGGGTCTTCAGTGTCACTGCGACTGGCGCCCCTGTGGTCCTGGTGACTACACCAAGTCTACTTTCCTGCACATCCCTTTGGTCTTCCGGCGTGTGGAGGGCTTTGGGGACCTTCATTGTGGTGTCGTTTGGCCTGGGTTGGGTGTACATTATCGCGCGAGTCAGTTTGATCGTTCTGGTGTTCTATTGCTTTTCCTCAATGCCCGCTGATGTCTACAAAGCAGTGCAATGGACCGCAATTTTCCCTCATTTCTCCTGACACTGTGTCAGGCAACGGAATGACGTGGAACCCATTGGACCGGGCTGATTATAGTTCGATGAAATCATCCATCACAATCTGTATTTTTCTTACTGCGTTTATTCCATTAGCGCAACACAGAGCCCTTGGCTATGTTCTTGAGGCATGTAGAAGGGTCCAACAGTGGATATCGCATTGATGGCCGAGGGAAGGAACAATCATCCACGATCCAGACCGAGCGACTCAAGCATGCTTGTTCATTGCGGTCTTACATGCAGCTGGATCAGGTTAGGTGACTCCACCCGATGGTGAAATATTAGCCCGGACGTTGAATCTTGAACCCGTTGTACTCTGCGCCGAAAGTATCCACGGCAGCTCCAATATATTCTTGGTAGTGGTAGTCCAGCTTTATCGATCGCTGACACTAACACGGATGCTATTCTTGACATGAATTCCTCCTACGCTCTCATCTACCCAGATCGGGTCCTGGCTTGCGTTATCGCCGATGCTAATACGATCGGCCGGATAGTTGTCGTGCATGTCACGATGAACGTTTTCCAGATTGAGGTCGTGGCCGTTACTCCCGCTCTGTTCTTGAGAAGTTCCCTTTCGTGTACTACCTGCAACGGCTCCAACTAGACCTTTCAAGGCAGGCAGGGACAAGGCGATAATGGCGGTGCTGACTTCGGTGTCGGACCAGACCATCACGACGGAAAAATACCAGGTTGCGTCGGTTTCATTGATAGCGGGGATCATGGAGACGATGCGGCAGACGGAGGTCCTGGTGGGTGTTAGTTATGATGTTGGCGGATATGGTAGGGGCTTTGGAGGATGGACTTATGGGTTTACTTACATGACGGCACTATCGAAATGGGTTAGTGACTAGACATTAAAGGTTTGGGGAGACTTACAAAATACCGAAACATAGTACCACGCTTAATGCGGCCTTTCGTGTGGCGTTCGCTTTGATGGAAAACACGATCTTCACCGGGAGGAGAAGAATGAGCGAGTCGCAAATAATCGTCATCGCAGCGGTGGAAATGAATACTGTCTTCGATCCCAGACATTTCCCCTCGGCACCACCCCAGAGCGCAGCAAGCGGGATACACTGAAGGGCAATGATAAGAACCTGTGCAACCATGACGGCCGTTACATAGGCAAAGGAGACTCGCAAGTATATCTGGAATTGTGGCATCGGATTTAGTCGACGGTAAAAAGCCAATCCGGATAAACGACACATCCATAGAGCGATCATGTACACCAGCTGAGCTGCAACCAGCCATTTGTAGAGCAGAGGTGTCTGGGCGACATCAAGGGCCCAGACATGGAGACCGGCACCGTAGCGGAGGACTTCAAGTGAGAGTGCCATGACGACGATATTGGTCAACTAGCATGGTCAGCGGCTGCAGGTCAATTTGTCTTGGGCTTACCATTGCAATGCAGATGATGCCATCGTCCCAGCCAAAGCTGCGGATCATGAACCAACGAGCATACACGCGAACCAAGACAACGATGCCCGACAGTGCTGTCACAACCCCAATCCCGATCCTGGCCTGGGGACGTCGGTCCTGCGCCAGGAATTCGGGCGTGAGCTGGAATGTGCTCCCCGACCCCATGTCGACCGTTATATGGAACCGTAGTGCATTGACGGAATAATCAGCAGATGAACTGGAGGGAGAAGCATTGAAGAGAAATGGAGGGGTTGTGTCTAGCGAGCTTCTGCAGGAATACAGGGGGATTCATTGTTGCAAGGGATGGGGAATTTCATAATTGGGCGGTGGGCCCGAAACCCAATCTCGGACGGAAGAGTTTGGCTTCTTGCCGGCCCGCGGGCCAAAGCCTTGCTTGGGTGGACATTATCTGGTCGAGATCGGCCTGGCACCTGCTGGATGCGAACAATGGTTCGTCGTTGTTCGTGTCTGCCATCAATTCTCGGACAGCATTGGATCCACGAATCCTTCACGTCATGAAATCCTTGGTGCGAACACTATTGGACGCGATGGATGGAGATTGGCCGAGGAGCCCGGGCCTCTCGCCTCGTGCAAATGCCGGCTAAGCCTTCGCTTCCGCGGAGCGATTGGTCCTGGCGTCCCGTCACCCCCACTCGACATCTGCCATGCCCATTGCCCACACAAGGCCTGCCCAGGGTGAGCCATCTGGCTGGAAAATCATAAGATTTCTTGTCTGCTAATCCCAGAATTCAGAAGAGTCCAGTGAATCACCGTGAAGAAAGCTCAACCCAGGCTCATGGGGCTCCATTGCCGTATGACAAAAACTGCACACTGATGGTGCTGCCGTTAGCGCAGGCTTTAGCTGCCACTAAAACCACCGGTGCGTCTCGTGCCTCGCCCCCACGAGGGCCCAATAAATATAGGTAGCCTGCAGGGATCGGCTCGGATTTTCCTGAATTCCAGTAAGACGCGAGACCAGGACCAGCATGTCCGTCCAAGTTTTGTCGGCCCTATTGCATGGGACCCTGCCCTCGCTGCACGTCTCATTGCCTCTCCTGCTTCTCGGCCTCATCGCGGTGGTTGCCTTGAAGAGACGCTATGCCACTTCCATCCGGGATATTCCAGGCCCATGGCTGGCGTCGTTCTCTAGTCTGTGGCAGGTCTATCAGCTGATCAAAGGCCACACGGAACAGGAGATCGTGAAGCTCCATCGCAAACATGGTCCGTGCACCCGAATCGAAAGCGGGAGATTCACTAAGTCAAACAGGCAGCTTTGTTCGCATCGCCGATAACGAGGTCAGCGTCGCCCATCCGGATGCAGTGCGCTTGTTGCTCCATGCCAACATTGCCAAGGTAGAACCCTCCAGTCAGTCGGATATTGACCCACACTGAAACGCACAGGGCCCTTGGTATTCCATCTTCAGCTTGCCCGACTATCACTATGTGAATCAAATGTCGGAGCTGGACCCCCAGCGACACATTCGCAAGTCCCGTAACGTCGCTTCAGGATATGCACTTTCGAACATCATCAAATCCGAGCCTTATGTGGATGCGCTGCTAGCCCTCCTGGAGGACCAGTTCGATAAGCTGATCGCGTCCGGCCAGCCCGTCGAGTTCGACCGCTGGTTTAACTACTTTGCCTTTGATGTCGTCGGCGAAGTAACTTTCTCCAGTCCGTTCCGCTTCCTGGAGACCGGGACCGACATTGGAAATGCCATTGCCAACACCCGCGCTTTGGCCCTGTACATCGCGATCATGGGGCATTACGTGTGGCTGCACAACCTCACCCTTGGAAACCCACTTCTCAGTCGACTGGGTCTGCAGCCTTCGTCTCACATTTTCGACACCTGCTTGTCAGCCATTGACCGTCGGAAGAAGAACTCCGATGTTCGCCTCGATATGATGGAGCGGTGGCTTCATGTCCGTCGCCAGTACCCCGATCGCATGGACGAAGCAGAGGTCTTTGGTGCTGCCGTTGCTAATATTGGCGCTGGCGCCGATACCACCAGTGCCACGTTACAGGCATTCTTCTATTATTTGATCCATCATCCACAGTATCTGCAGAAGCTTCAGGAGGAGATCGACGGAGCACACTCTCGTGGTGACCTCTCACGGGTGGTGTCGTATGCAGAGGCAGCCAAGCTGCCTTATCTCCAAGGATGTGTAGGTGTTCAAGATCATCACCAAACGATTTACTGATGATTGCAGATCAAGGAAACTTACCGCTACCACTCGGCGACCGGCACAGGATTGCCTCGCGTTGTCCCTGCGGGCGGTCTCACCATCGACGGGCGACATTTCGTGGAAGGGGTATGTCACTGACCTTGCTGCAGCATAGAAGGACTAGACTAATGTTCCCGAATAGACAATCTTGAGCATTAATCCCTGGGCGTTCCACCGCAACCCGGATCTTTTCGGTTCTGACTGCAACGACTTCAATCCTGAGCGGTGGCTTGACCCCGAGAGAGCCAAACAGATGGACCCGTACCTTATCCACGTAAGTTGTTATCGTTCCTAGCCGAGAAAGTCACACTGACATCACCAGTGGGGAGCTGGGTACAACCAATGTCCCGGACGAAACTTGGCACACTTTGAGATCTCGAAGCTTACGGCCACGATTATCCGTGACTATGAGATCGAACAGGTGGATCCCAAGAAGCCGTGGAGCTTCGAGACACATTTCACGGCTGTTCCGTATGGGTGGCCTTGTTGGCTACACCGACGACAAACCCGCGCGGCGTAGTGTCTGGGATACCAAATATAGTACAACCTCAGCAATCCCTTGGCTAGATTGACCAACAAGTTGGCCCTCATACTGACGCTCACAAGTAGCTGGGCTGGACCTGTTGTAGAGTAGCACATACTCACGTCGAATATAATGGTATAATTGTCGCAAAAACACACTTGCCTGTCTCTGAGCATCTTAGTGGGTAGGGATCGTCATCGCCCATAATTCGTGTGTATGACTTCGCTTGAATCCGGGGTAACACTTGGCGGGCTTCCCCTCATGTATTTCTCCACCAATCATCCTTTGGTACCACGAGACATAAAGTGGCTTAAACCCAGCACCAAGCGCGGCCCGTTCTCTCACATTCATGTAGGTCGGCATGTATAACAACCCCATTCTGCCAGGTTTCAATCCCGACCCCTCGATCATCCGGGTCGGAGGAGACTTCTTTCTCGTAACATCCTCCTTTGAATACTTCCCTGGGGCGCCAATCTACCACAGCACAGACCTTATCCGGTGGGCTCTCATCGGCCATGCCCTTACCCGACCCAGTCAGATCCAGATCCAGACTCCGGAGCCGGGTGGTGGAGTGTGGGCCACTACCTTGCGGTATCATAATGGGGTCTTTTATATTCTTGCAGCTTGTTTCCAGCGGTATCGGCCCCAAGACGATGACCGTGTCTGGCCGCGCGGGTTTTACGTGAAGACCACGGATATCTGGGATTCGGAGTCATGGTCGGACCCGGTGTATTTTGACCAGGTTGGTTTTGATCAAGATGTCTGTCACCCATGCCGTCTTTCATGAATCGAGTTGACGCATATGAAGCTCTTCTGGGACGATGATGGCACTGTCTATCTCTCGTCCACTTATCGGAAGCTTGAACGAACCCCGAATGCAAACCTCAAGGACTTTGCTATTCACATTGTCACTGTCGACCTAGAAACAGGGGCGTCAACCTCAGAGCCCAAGCTCATCCGGGAGTCAACCTCCGGTGTCGCGGAGGGATCGCATATCTTCAAAAAGGGCTCATACTACTATCTCTTCACAGCGGAGGGCGGCACCGAGAGCGGTCATTGTGAATGGGTCAGTCGGAGCACGACGAGTCCATTTGGGCCGTGGGAAGTGGGATCAGCAAATCCTCTTTGGCGGAACGGGAAGGACGACGCTGTCCAAAACACCGGACATGCAGACTTGGTGGAAGATGCGAGTGGACAGTGGTGGGCTGTCTTGCTTGGAGTGCGACCAGTGTGGAGGGATGAATGCTGGGAGGAATCAGTCTTTGGTGGGTGCAGCCTGTTGTTTACAGCCTTGCCATTCACAACGTACTCATGCCGGCCGTAGGACGTGAGACCTTTCTCGTTCCCGTTGACTGGGAGAACGACTGGCCCGTTGTCAATTGTGGCCAGAAGATTCCGCTCCAATCTGACAGCCCCCACCTGTACGAGCTGTCCGTTCCAGTCACCTGGTATGATGACTTCTCGGCCCGCGACCTGCAGCTCGGATGGTATCGCAAGAACACGCCCGTCGTCCGCGATTACTCTCTCACCGAGCGACCACATCACCTCCGCCTTTACGGGGGTCCGTACAACCTCTCCGACCCGGCATGCCCGACGCTTTTTCTTCGCAAGCAAACCCACCGATTCTGTACCTGGGAGACCCGGCTTTCCTTCCATCTGACGAACAGTGCCGCTGAGGCAGGGTCCGTGGTCTGGTGGAACTATTTCACGTATAGTAGCATCGGGGTTCGCAGCAAGAATGGGAGGCGATTCGTTCGGCTGCGGCCTGTTCAGGACGATCCGGTGGACTGCGATTTACACCATTTGCAGTCGGATGTCCGTTTCATCGTCGAGTGTGGGGATCGCTACCGGTTTGGAATCCAGGAGGTCCCCGATGAGGAGCCGGTGGAGGAACCTATCCGATGGATAGGCGAGGTGGACAATCGCAGCATGACTGCGGCCCCGGCGGTGGGAGCTGCCTTTACGGGCATGATGCTGGGTGTGTACGCGTTCGGGGAGAGGCAGCGCTGTCTGGTCCCTGCAGATTTTCATTATGCGCGATGGAGATAGCTTGTGGGCTCTGGTTCTATAGCGAGAGGGTTAGAGCATTTTCACCAAACCTCGGCGTGAAGCTATGTGGTACAGGTGTGGGCTTGCACCTTGTAGAAATAAAGGGAATGTATATAGTTACGTGTCTGGCTGCCCACCACTCATAATCCCAGAGGTTGAAATTCAATATAAATGAGCACAAGGTTACTGACAGGAAAGGCCAACAAGGCTGATGACCCACCACAGCTATCACCCGGTTGTGAAAGAGTGAGAGGGGAAGAGGAGCAACCGATGGGAGGGGTGTTTGACTTGATTGCACCCCTTCCTTGCACCACTACCACAACAGCAAGAACACTACAAGAGAATAACAACTTATTTCACCGAAAAGGTTCAATTCATAGAACTGGGGGTGCTGGTTCCGGCAGAACCTCTGCGAATCAATGCTAATGAGTCGTCACCCTACCATGATCCAGGTTGTCTACTCTGCCGGTCCGCATTCACTTTCAAGTCCTCCTATGCTTTATTCTCTCGTCATAGATATAAAGCCACAGCCAGTTCAACCCTTCCGTCAATGCGATATATCCCTGCGATCCGGTAGACAGACTCAAGACAAACGAAATCGAACAATCATAAGTCCAATTGGTACTTCTAAGCAGCCGTTGGACCGCGACGGCACGAAACCAACTATGGAACAACACGTTGCGATTAATCCGGTAAATATACTGGCACGATTTATGTGAGATACATCAAGGAAGTGTTTAATTGAAAGTAGTTAATGCAGAAGGGTACAGGCTGATTGATCTAATGCGTGTTATCATCTTTTTAGGTTCCTATCCGGCTGGTAGATTGATAAGATGAGATGGGATCCCGCGGAAGGAAACTTTCAATACTATCTTGCTCTAATTCATGTCGTCTAATCCACTAAATGTACTTCTGAAGCGGAACCTCTAAGCAGTCACACAACTTACCAACTAGACCAAAACCCACAGCACTGTGCCGGTCTGTCTGTGTATGTCAACATCAAAAAGAAGCACAAGCATAACAGATGAACCCTAAATCTTCAAGTTCCACTACATACCCAACACCACCAAGAAAGAAAAGAAAAATCAAGGAAAATCACCCCCCTGCGTATAATTATCCCTCAACAACCACTCCACCTCCTCAAACTCCCTCCCATCCAGCATGTTCCTCAACTCCTCCCTTTGCAAAAACTCATGGTCTGCGAATTCGAATCCCGGAATTACAGTCTGTATTCATTTATTAGCATAGTCCAGTACCTCCCCACCTCAAAACACCAACTCCATGAAAGAGAACAAAGGTAGAGAGATAAATAAAGCATACCTCACTAACCAACAACCCCTCACTTTCCCCATCAGAATCAGGAATCAAAAACGCACCCTTCCAATCTCCCCCCTCAACAATCCACTGTAACTTTTCCCCACGAGTGACATCGTGTCCGACGGTGAATGTCTCGATTGATATATCCCCATCCATTCCCTTTCCTTCCTTGTGAGGCGAATGATTCTTCCGTAAGAGAACATAAACTCCCCGTCCCCTATGCAATGTATGCACCGTCCTACTCCTATTCCTATGGAATGCCCCGATGGGAGATTGTGGAGTGAGGAGATAGAAGACTGTTGTGCTAAGGGAGCGGATATCATCTTCATTCTTGTTTTTATCCTTGGTTTTGGTTTTGGGTGTTGGTGGTGTTGTTGTTTGGTATTCGGTAGAAGTTTGCTGTGGGATTATTTCTCTTTCGTCGCGATCTGTCTCAGCGAAGTAACCACCTTCGATATGTGGGGTTAGATTCAATTTGTTGATCAGGGTGAGGATTGGGGCTGGTTCGTGGTAGGGGTTTGCGAGGGTGCGGGTGGGGGTTGGGTAGTGGGGGGTTAGGGTTTGGGGTGTTGCCGGGGTTGTTCGGATGGGCATGTTTATATAGAAGAGATTTAAGGGGTAGGTGGTTGTTTGGTAGTTCCTGGGTTAAAGTTAAGTTGAGGATGGGAGTTGGGAGGGGAAGAGAGTTGGGGTAGAGCTTGGGGTAGAGGCGGAAGTGGAGGGGGTTTATATTGATCTGGGATGGGAGGGTGGAAGGTATGGTGTCATAGAAGGAGTTGGGGAGGTGGAAGTTGGAACAGGTTGTGGGGGTGCTTTTACTAGTTGCTTGAAGATTTTATGAATACCACGTCTTCGTCATATGGGATCTATAGTGAGAACCGAGGATGTGAATATTGGGTCTATTCTATACATTGGTTACTGAGAATTGCATCTTGGAATATCCTGTCTGTTGAAGTTTGACCAGGGCATAGTTATGATATCAGAACAGGACAGCAGGATTCTGCTCAGGGATGATGAGATGTATATCATAGGAGCTTAAATAGTGTATTTCTATGTCATCATAGATCTTACTCAAAGCATGTAGTGAAACTTATTAGCTTGATCAAGTATGTCTCATATCTCATACCCGAGACACGCTGTGGCACGATCCATGCTTAATTGTTTAAGCTTCGCATGCATGTCATATCTATGTTGATATCTTCCAGAACCCGGTTTGAATGCGTGGATCCTGTACCCATTTGTCTTATTATATAGATACATGGTTCACTTGGAGATAAGCTGCTGTATAATGCGACAAGATTGGATGATAGAGTTGGTCTGCCTCGATTATGTGCCGTGGACAGGTTCTGGGAAAGTTTATTTATTTAGGTTCAGTCTCGGTTGGGTTTATTTCGGGGCTCGGTTTCTGTAATACTTTGATTTCGGAAAGTGATGTTTGAATGTGAATGAAGAGGATCCGGCTGAAATAAATTCCTTGTTGCATGGAATGTAAAGTACATGAGTAGGATGTATAGAATCATGTAATGTACCAACATCACATGAGCATAGAGTACACACTAATACAAAGGCAACTTATACGCATCAAAATCATAAACCCACGTCTTATAAGACGGCTCATCAAACACACAGTCCATGACCGTACCATTATTCTTCCACAACGGCCGCAGCGGCCAAGCACACAACTCCTGCTGTTCGCCCTCATGTTCACCAGCCAGGACCGTCGCATTCAAACGAGTCGGGAACACGCCGCCCTCCACCCACTGAATGAGCGTCTCAAGGGTCGTCTGGGGGAACGGACCATTAGGTTGCGTCGTGCTAGAAGCACAATGAGCAGCACCAGGAATCAGGTAAAGCCGATTCCATTCATTCAACGCCTCGGAGCTCTCATTAAAGGACATCCCAGGGTACATGATCTGACGGACGGACTCGTGGTAGTGGACCGATGAACCAGTAGGAATACTAGGATCCGACTCGCCGTGTACATGGATGACCTTTCCACCGGCGGATTGGAATGGGGTCAAATCCGGCCATGTTGTTTGGAGACTATCCTCGTAGCGCTGCCAGCCGAGCGCCATCCATTCCGTCAAGGTATCGTATGTGACGTTGTCCAGGGTCGACAGGTTATCTGCATCGCGCAGCTCCAAGAAGCGAGCTACCCATTCGCCGCCTAGGGAGGTGATATCTAGCTCCCACTGGTTGGTGTCGTAGTTGTATTGGGTGGCGGCATCGTCAAATGTGGATGAGGGTTGATACCAGATGTACGCACGACGGCCATCCAGGGTGCGGAGGCCATCCAGCATCTTACTGGCCGCGGCGGCGCCGAGAGCAGAGACGGTGCCGTTCTGAGCGGGTGTGGAGTTGCTCATGGACGTGCGCTTCTTCAGCACAGTCGTGGTAGTGGATGCAGGGCAAGAGTAGGGGGCGCCGACAGTGGAGTTGACATTGAAGTGCAACTTGCACAGGTCCGTACGACCAACCACTCCATCGACACGACCATCTAGAGCGTCGCATGCAGCGATGGTCAAGTTGACGATCTTTTCCAATTCGCAAGTAGGAGGGTAGTATCCCATGGTGTGTTCAACCACGTTAGGGTAGAGGTGGTTGACTTGTTGTTGTCCGTACCGGAAGGCAGGGGCGCCAATGACAGCCCCATCCCACTCGTCTGCATACCGTTGAACTTGGCTCCAACCTTCACGGCCACCCTCCGAGCAGCCCTGGTAGTAGGCGTAGATCTTGGCGTCACCGAGACCGTAGAAGTTCCGGCTGAATGCCTTGCCGACGACGCTCAGTTCGTGGTGAGCTAGATACCCGAACGAATACAATGCCTGGTAGTTGATGGTACCGTTGGCTTCGAGGAATACGGCATCAAATTGGGTATCGAAGCTGCCGAAGCCGCCGTCCGTGATGCCGGCAGCAGCTCCATACATCACACCTCCGGGAAGGGAACTGGTACCGGAGTTGATTGCGAAGCCTCCACCACCGGTGGACAACCAGCGGTTTTGATAGTCCTCTGGTGCAGGCAGCCAAAACTCTAACAAGTACGGCGTGTCCAGACCCGGTCGAGTGTACGAGAGGGTGACATTGCAGTAACTGAAAGAAGAGCCGGGGAAGAAATAGCTACCCGAAGATGAAGCGTTGTAGACAGCACTGGCCGTGATGGAGGAAGAGTCGATCTCGAGGCCATCAATGTCATCGCTGCTCGGCAGGGATGCCTTTGCGTGGCTGGTCGTACAGACGTCCGCGAGGCTGGCTGCTTGGGATAGGGCAATAGTGGTGGCCCCGGCCAGGACACCGAAGGCGGTTCTCATGATGGATAGACAATAGAAGAAGATGAAGAATAGTCTGAAGCCTGTCAAGAAAGTCAGCTGAGATTGTGGCAACCAAGCCACTATTTAAATGTTGGAACCACAATCCCGTGTCCGCCGTTAACCGGAGATCATGTCGGATTCATCACCACGGAGAGTTTTGTTGCATGAGCAGCCGATCATCACCTATCCCGGCAGGTTGAGATGTCGATCTACTTTTGATGCAGGCAGACCAAGCATCATTAGATTTAGACTCAGAGGATGACGTTTTGCTCCGTCCCATGCTCTCGTACGTTGCGGTAATTGGACGGAGGATACATAGGATTCAGTCAAAATTTTTCAAACTAATATCATGCCGTCGGACATCTCATAGTGTTGTCCCACCCAGGTATTCTGCAACACGCGGCAGCTGCATGATTCGTTAACGTGAACAGTCTGCAAGAACACTGCTAGTCAGGATTTAGCGTCAGCCGTCCCCAACCTGCAGAAAATACCGCTTTCCATGACAGCAATACTTGTGTCACTGGACTCGAGGATGGCCGATCAGGGGCACGACGGGAAAACAGTTATCCCCGCAAATCAACGCATCGGGGGGAATCTTGGCGAAGTTTATTGAGATTCCTTGATTTGTGTGTCGGGGAGCTGGAGAATTTTTGAGGCATATATCATTGACAGACTAGAACATCCTGTAGGAGGATTTCCGACATAAACCAAATTACAACAACCCGCAAAGTGAAAAGCAAACATAGTACCTGCATAAACACACCGTGGCTGCAGACGCAAAACACACAAGAATAACCACCGACCGAAAGAAGTCGGACATTCCCCCGGCTGGGGTGACTAGAACCGGGAATCTGTGCCGATCTCGGCTCCAACTACTCCGTACTTACCTCCGCGACGCTTTCTGCCGAGCCCAATCCTCGGAGAGGGGGGGCGGCCTCGGATATCTTCCCCGTTTCGGTCGGACATATTCATGCTGATCAAGTTGCGTTGCAAGTTGATAATAAAGTAATATCCCGCAATCTATCTCAGGCCGTTCCTATATTATCTAGTTATTATCAGACCCCTTCTTCAAATGGTTCTTCATCTTACATTCCTATTTCATTCATGTTGTTTATTCCAGCACCGGCAATGCCGGCATCAACCCATACCATGGTATCTAACACCCTGCATTGCGCAAGACAAAAGAGATAAATTCTGCAGGGCCCGCTTTCCCACCCTGTTTTAGTTGCCCTACGGGGTGGGACCTCGGTGGCATGACGGGTTGAGCAGACCTGGGGTTATGTTCGTAGCTTACGAATGTTGCACGGACTTGGTTACTAGGACCGAAGTAACTCTTATTTTGAACATGGATGGTATACCATAGGGTATGAGATAGTAAAATAAATGCAACCAAGCAGCACATCGAATAAACGATCACACAAACACCCAAGCAATATCTTAATCAACCTACACCTCCACACCCGCCTCCAACAACCCTGCAACCCTTCCCCCACAGACAGAACAAGTGTTGGATTCTCCGGCGGGGTAATGCGCCATCAGGATAAATATATACCCCCCCGGGAGATTCTACTGGTCCACTCGACACATTAAACTATTCCCTGACGTCAGTGAACGTTCTCATCCAATGATGTGTTTCGCTTGTAATTAATTACCCTGTAGATTCCCTAGCGAGTGGATGGAATGATGGAGTATCGTCAAGATATCCAGTTTGGACCCTAGGGATTTATAGGATGGGGTACATTCCTGGTGTATTTTATTTGGGGTTTTGCTCGGGGGGAAATCGCGCAGGGGTGGTAATTTACTTTACCGCAATTGATTCTGCTCCGGATTCTTCTGACTTTTTCTCTGTTATCTCAGGTCATATAATTTTCGGCATGTTGAGTAGCCAATCAACTCTATGTTGGGACCTATTCACCTTGGGATTGTTCCACTAACCTGAGAGGTATTTCTTTTGGTCTAGTTAGGAAATTCTGTTAGATTATAAGCTCGGAGACTATACCAGTACTACCCACTTGAGATCTTTATATTAAGTGTTTAAATCTAGATCTTATTTCTTGTAAGTTTTTCAAGATTAATTATATATAAATATAAAGTATATAAAAACTCAGCTTAAGATAATAATTAGACTTTTACTGTATTCAGTCCGAGGGGGATGTGTTAGAATCTAATTATCTTAGAATTGTTCTACTAACCTGAGAAGTGATTCTTATGGTCTAGTTAGGAAATTTTGTCACTCTATACACGTGAGATGTTCTTCTTGGAATGGTCTGATATAATCTGGTACACACTATAGAAATAGTCTTGTTCATTAGCATTGTATCCCGTTTAGGCTCTACAAATCTGAAGCATTGGTGCATGCTATACTAAGGTCTGTCTACAATCTATTCTGCTTAAACCTGTGCATCGTTCGGATAATCAAGCCCAAACTGTTGATCAAGAGCCTTTTGCTGAGATCTCCGACGAGTACCGTATAATTCTACCAACACCTCATCGAGAATAGGATCAAACGGTTTTCCAATTCCAAGCGAGACAATCTTAAAATGATCCAAACCTGCAAGCAAGTAGCAGGGATCGTCTCCATCGGGAATACCTATGGTGGTCTGCGCGATCATCGGCCCATAGTGTTCTCCAATCCAGATCGTTGGACCGAAGGGTGTGAAGATAAACCCGATTCCCGTCAACCCATCCGAGGAGAACATCAGAGAGATGGCTTCGGCGTGGGACGGGCTCGGGATCTCGATCCTCTTCTCGGACGCCGGATTGTGATATCCGACCAACCGACTGCCCTCCCCTGTTATCAAGTTGATACCCGATATAAATGTTCGACCACCGATTCGCACCGTCGAGATCCCAATGGTCCTTGCATGCGTTTCATCCCATGACGGAAACGGCTGTGCCCTACGGTAAAGCAGACGACATCCCTCCTCCAAGGGACTATCAAGGTCAACAGCGGCCAGTCGACTGGAAGAGGTGCCGGTTGGCTTCACGAGCTGGCCCTGCTGCCCTCCGTCTTCACTGTCGATTAGCAGAATACGGCTGCCTGAGCGTTGTGCTATCTCAAATGCAAGCCCGCTTGGGCCATTTCTCAAAGCGCTCTCTCGGTTCACCAGATTTGCGAAAGGTTCCAGCAACCGGATGATCCTCTTTCTATTGACCAAGTTCCTACATCCAATAGTTATCAATTCCCTGGTCCCGAAGAACAGCCCAAACCAGTTCTCTATATCCGAAGACCGGGGTAAGATAAAGTCGGCCTCTTGCCCGGGGAGGAATCTATGCCGCCAGTAAGACTGGGAAATCATAAGGCCGTTTGCATGTGTCGCTAGATCGCGACATACCAGTCGCAGGTTAAGTATCTCGGCAAAGGATAACCATGAAAAAATTTGAGACTTCAACTCGTGTGGAAGTTTATCGAAGATGGTCCCATTGGGCTGCAACCCTGCAGTATCTGATTCGGACGCAGTCAATGGAAACTCATCCTCTCCATCTTTCCAGAGAAAGACATCTTCGCGGAAGTCGGACGGTAATTCTGTTATTTGCTCTGTAGAAGGAATAGTCCATGGATCAGTGTAGAAGTCTTCATTCACATCTTGCAATGGATTGCCATGAAGCGTCTGTGCTTGTGCCGCGCCCAGGTAATCATGACCAAGTTGGAAGCACGAACCATCAAAACAAGGAGTGCAGTAGAGTTGATAGAAGACAGACTCCACAATGGTTGTCTCATCGGGCGAGGATCCACCCCGTCCATGACTGAGCCGGCGAAGAAGCAACTTCCAGCAGGAGTTGTGAAAGCCAAAGCACCACCGAGGTTCAGTTGTCTTGCAGAACGCCCATTCCTCCAATGCATCAAGACCCACGTCGACGTAGGACAGGTCGCTGTCGACCGGTGCGTTGAGGTTGCCCTCGGCACGGACAATCCCTACCCCGGTGATCCTAATTGAGCCAGTCGGAGGATCGGCTGCATAGAGGCCTCGAACTTCTGCGTACCAAGGACGAGCTGTTGGCAAACCTTCATCGGAATCCTCGGAATTAACAGATTCACCCTCGTCATGAATATGAACAACATTGTAAACATTACCATCATCGTCAATGAAGCCAAAATCATAATCAGGATCGAACTCCAGAATAATTCCACAGAAAGGACAGTAAACGTTAGTATCCATCAGGATATCTCCCTTTAAGGATAGACTAAATGAGCGGTGTTGTTTGGGGAGAGAAGATCCAGGCACAGGAAGTATACAAGATAACCCGTCCCTGATCCGCGCTTGCCCCAGGAACTGTCCGATCGTTACAGCCTAATCTCTGCCGGCATTGTCAGGCACCCCGTACCCCGCTGCATCCCCTGCCATCCCATCCATCACCACCATCACCATCATCACCATCATCATCATCATGCCCACCTACAAGCCCTCCCTCCAAAACAACCTCGGCTTCCTCAACACCCTCCACTCACTCAACCCAACCAGCCCCGCCGAAACAGTCTCACAAATCTGGACAGAGATCATAACCGAATGGTTCCCCGGCCGCCACGGCCACAAATGGAGTTTTCAGAACACCACGACCGATTCCAGCGTCATCCAAGTGACAGCCCTGCAACAAAACCCCCAGGATTCAAATGACTGGGTTGAACGCAGATCTTGGTTGTTGAGTGCAAGCGACCGTCTAGCGACACTCCCACGGGTTGGAATGAGGGCCTGTTTTCGGGTGAGCTCTCCCGAGAGTTGAATATGTTGGGGAGGGTTTATGGGGTAGTTGCTGTAGGGTTGAAAGTGAAGTTTTATCGGGTTGATGGGATGGCATTGGGTGATCAGCGATTGGTTGAGCTTCATGAGGGGATAATTGATATGAGTGATCCGAGTGGGGTTGGGATGGTGGAGATGATGAACGATGTCAAGGAGAATGGGTGGCAGTGGGCGGTGTGATTGGGACTTGAGGTGCTTCTTTCCTTTAGGAAAGACTTTGAGGGATTGTGTTTGGCTATATCTTGGGCTATAATGTGATGGAATGTTAGTTGGTTCTCCTAGCTTCAGATATCTGCTCTACAGAGAACGTAGTCTTTGGCACGTGAGATAATCCATCTTGGGATGGATACTCATAATCCACGGAGCACAGGCGATGAGCTGAGGGTACCTTTGTCAATGTTGTACTAAAGTAAATCTATTCATCATATCTACCGCTCATCCTCCCCAATCACACTCGTCGGCACATGCGTCGATCCCCCGTCATGCGACCGCTCAGTTAATGACGGCTCGTACTCTACTCCCCGACTACCGGTCTTGGTCGGTACCAAGTGTGTCAGTGGTATCTCACTCTCAGTGTCGCGCATCCGCTTGAACGCAGATCCAGATGCACCAGACTGGGCCCCTGTCTGCGACGTGTAGGCCGCCTTGGCGGACGAGAAAACCCCCGGAAATGCGGCCTTGAACACCGGACGCATCATCGGCACACACGCATTGGTGATGGCCAATGCAGGCTCTGTAACACTCCAAAACGCGGCCCAGATCATGCTATAGGGAAGATCGGTGAAGTCGACAGTGGTGAGAACGTGGATGCGAATGATGGTTATGGCAGAGATGCTGCAGTAGTTAGTACGAATTCATGCTCAGAAGCAATAACAAAGGGTCAAGGGCATACAATGAACCGACTCCGAAGATGCCATATAGAGCCATCTTAGTAGCAGTTGACATCTGAAGCTTCCAGATATGGTGCACTGGAAGCGCCATAATCGACACATCTGTGACGAGGTTAAACGCACCAATTGTCGAGAAGGCCACATTCATGCTGGCGCAATGGCCAGGGAGTGTCGCGTCCCAGTTCTTCGCGAATGGCTGGCAGATTAGAAACACCTGGAGCGTGCTCCCCAGCCAGTACGCACCCGCACAGCCCATGCAAACTCGAGCGGCGATGCGAAAGCCGCGGGTGACAAAGATGCGGAGATAAAAGAAAAGGTAGGAAAATTTGGCAAAGACCATGGCGTTGTAATAGACGATTTGGTAGACAACGAGCATCTAGAATGATTAGTCAATGGCTAGGCAATTATTGCAAAAAACCGACCTTGAAGATGAGAATGGTATTTTCCGGGGGAATGTCAGTATAATGGTGGCGCATACCCACCCGTGCATAGTGATACTGCATCGCGAGCATTCCATAGGTGTGTAACTAGAGCCAGTCAGCCAGGTCGAGGTCCAACTTTCAGTCCATCGTACCATTGACATTACGATGCAGGCATCATCCCACCAGATCTTACTCTGCCTGATCCGGCGAGAAAAGAATCGAAGCCCGATTGCCAGGGTGCTCAGTGCCACCAGCACGGTGTTAGCGATGAGCTGGTCACGCACAATCGGGAACTCGAAGACATTGTAGTACTCAACCGCCATCCCGCCAGCCTTTGATCAAGCATTGTGGGCGACGAGAAACGCAAGAAAGTGTCTAACGGAAAGAAAAAGTTGCGAGGCTGGCATGAGGGAGGCCGCAAGACACCATGAAAGCCGCGAGTCGGTCGAGACCCGAAGATCCCGCTGGGGATTATCGCCAGACTGACCGGTTTGGTACTGGGACTCGGACTAGTGGGTGGTGATGGACGACTGACAGCGGCGGAGGTCCACCTCGTCGCGGTTGACCGTTGCTAGCTGGGCTGCTAACGCATTAGCCAAACGGCCGCGGGGTCTCCAGGTGGATCACTCTGCCTCAGGGCCAATCCAGGCTGGGTTCGCAACCACGAGTGAAAGCCGTTCGCATGCTAGCCACGGCAAGATGTCAATCCCAATCTGCCCTACCCTGCTAGCCTCCGACCTCCTGACTGCATTTTCTTTGTACAGACTGGGCTGCTAGCTCAGCCACGTATTTGATCCTGTGCGCCCCTGCGCTCCTGTCTTCCGCTGCAACTCTCGCCCGCTACCACCATGACCGTCGCAAAATCCTACGACTACATTCTTGTTGGGGCAGGCATCGGCGGCCTGGTGCTTGCCTCCCGTCTCACCGAAGACCCCAACGTGAATGTCCTCCTGATCGAAGCTGGCGCTAACCGCATCGGCGATCCTCGCATTGAAATCCCTGGATTTCTGGGAACTCTGTACGGAAATCCAGACTTTGACTGGGATTATATGAGCGAGCCTCAGGTAAGTTCTGCGGTGCATTTGATTCACTGCCATAGCTGACCTCCAGGCCCATGTCAACAACCGTCAAATTGCGCAGCCACGAGGCCGGGTGGTGGGTGGAACATCCGCCATGAACTTTTCCGTGATCATGTACCCTTCCGAGAGCAACTTTGCGGCGTGGAAGTCGCTTGGCAACCAGGGATGGGGACCCAAAGACATGGCCCCGTACTTGAGAAAGTTTCATACCTACACTCCACCCCTACCAGGGGTCGCCAATTACCTGTCCCTGAACCGGTACATGGACAAGGATAACCAGGGGAAGGACGGCCCAGTGCCAGTCACCCTGCCCGATGTATACGGCGTATTCAACAAGGCTTGGGATGAAAGCTTTGAAAACCTTGGCTGGCGCAGTGATGCAGACCCCATCTCGGGTCGCAAGATAGGCACATTCACTGCACCATTGTCTGTTGATGGAACGACGGGTCGTCGCGGTTACGCCGCTGCGTACTACACGCCGGAGGTGGCACAACGACCGAACCTGGACCTGCTGGCTGAGACTGTCGTCGAACGAGTATTGTTGACAAAGGATGCCGACGGTCAGGCCGTCGCGACAGGCGTGCAGGTCCGGTCAAAGGGCGAAGAGAGCCGACAAATCTCCGCGACTCGCGAGGTCATCATCTGCGCAGGAAGTCTCAACTCGCCACAGCTGCTGGAATTATCCGGTGTTGGTCAACGCGAGCTTCTAGAAAAACACAACATCCCGGTCATTGTCGACAGGCCCGGTGTTGGGGAGAATCTGCAAGATCACTGCTTGGCAGGCATCAGCTTCGAAGTTGCGGACGGACAAATTTCCGGTGACATAATGCGTGATCCCAACATCGTGCAATCCTTGATCGAACTTTATGAGAAAACGAGGGCAGGTCCGCTGGCCGGAATGCCCATTAGCATGGCATACCTGCCTCTAATGGACCATGAGGGCCAGCTATCGAACGAAAAGATTCGAGAGCTGCTTACCCAACACCTTGACCAAGGCCTGGAGGATGTCCCGCTGACTCGCCAAAAGCAGTACGCTCTGCAGCGGAAATTGCTCCAAGACGGTGGCAATGCCTCCTCTCAGTACATGTTCTTACCAATTCAAACGCACATGTTATCCGGCAAGACGACCATGGCGGATGTGCTGGAAAAGGCTCTCCCAGGGAACTACATCACCATCATGGTCTTGCACAACCATCCTTTCTCGCGGGGATCAGTGCATATCCGCTCTTCCAGTCCCCAAGACAAACCGGTCATTGACCCGAACTATCTATCGCATCCTCTTGACATCGAGATCCTGGCCCGTCACGTCCAGTACCTTGATCGAATCGTCGCCACCGAGCCGTTTGCGGGGTTGTTGAAACCCAATTCCCGGATTCCTGAGCAGGCTATTGATCTGACTGACCTGGAGAAGACGAAGGAGATTGTCAAGGAGCGTCTTTACACGTGTTTCCACCCATCGGGCACTTGCGCCATGATGCCCGTAGAGCTAGGGGGTGTTGTGAACGCACAATTGCGGGTGCACGGCACGCGTAATCTACGGGTTGTCGATGCAAGCATCTTTCCCTTGGAGCCGGCGGGAAACATCCAAGCTACGACGTACGCGGTGGCGGAGAGGGCAGCGGATTTGATTCGGGGTGTTTGATGTAGGCTAGAGTGAAGTGTAGTGTTTGCATATATGCTCGAATGTTGTATTAGTCGTTTGCAACAAGAAGAAACGGCAATTATGGTTCCGCAGTATTCCGGCCTTGTTTTCGCACTGAATTAGCCTGCCATGAACGATATGACATTGCGCCAAGCTGAGCCACAAAAGAAGTTGTGCAGTACCGCTGCGGGAATACCCGAGGGCCTCGATTGCATCCGGTTTCAGTGAACCAATCTGACCAGTACCGTACTTTCCAATACTATCAAAGTACACATCCAACTGTCTTGGTTCAAACACTCGTAGTTTTGCCATGTCGTGCCAACAGCACGATAGCAATCAGAAGTCCAACAACGGGCTGCGGAGTAGCTGACATACCCCTTGTTGTTCTGATATAGAGCTGTCGAGGTTTCATGCCATTTTATACGACTTGATGGGTTGTAAAACAACATAGATGTCTCCGGTTATGGAGGTGTGGTCGCCGTTCAACTGCTCGAGGCAAGCAGACAGTAAGGCACTCCGTGAAAGCAGAGGCAGTATGAAGTCACCATAATTGTTGGAACGAAGGATTAATGAATCAGTACATCCAGTGTCAGTGAGTGAGCCGCTAGGAGTGTAGTCATTCCCGGGATATCAACACCCAGACCAGTTAGTGTTGTCGCAACGAGTCATGGTCAAAAAGGGCCGTGCTGAGGCGGTCGTTAACCGTGGTTCGGTTCATTGCCCCGCCACCCGGTCCCAAGCAATCAAAACAGATATCCCATAATGCATGCTCAATCAAATGTCAATACTCCGTACGGTGAAGAAATTCCTGTGTTGGTTCTGGAAGGCGAGATGCTCGGCTGCAGTGGGCTTCGCAACGATCTTTGGTGAAGACATGCCTCCTTGAGACATCCGCAGGCAACAGAGTGTATCCAATATTCCATCAACTCCACTCAGACATGGGCGGCAGTTGCCGCAATTGTGCACACTGCACAGAAGTTAACAACACACCAGCTATCCAGACCTTGGTTGATACCTGGTTTGAGTCCGGAAGAGGTTCCCAATGTCGCTCACCGGTGCATTGCCGGTCCGATCGGGCCCGAGGGTAAGGCTCGCAACCGAAGAAAAGTTGCGGGACGATCCCTTCCTTTTCTGTAGTGGGCCGCTAGCTAAAGTGGTGCGGAGTACTCCGTACGGTGTCGTGTTGTGTCTTCACCCCTTTCATGGGGCAACCATCCACGGAGTACTCCTTGGAATATACGCTGCTTTGGTTGAATAGACAATTTGTAGAGAATTCCCTTCGACTCTGTAGGTACGGCAGCCTTACGGGTGGCAAAATCACTTGAGCAGGACATTGCGATCGTGTGGCGCCAGCTAGCAGTAAATGGTTGCCTGGAGCGATCGGCACCTGTTAGTTTCCAGACTTTGGAGTATCTTGATGGTCAAACCCGAGGGTTTACTGTAGTCTCTCTAGCAGTGTAGTCGCCGGAATGGAGATAAATTGGATAGACGTTGTCGACGTACAAAGACACTGCTCAGAGAGAGAACAGGTTCTCAAGTTTGTCTGTTTTTTGGTTCGGGAGTTTGCATCGTATGTCTGTGTTGGTGAAGTCCATCTTGCAAATATATATCCGCCACGCAATTCTCCGCATCAGACTGAATTGCATCACCCTGGCTCAAAATATCCTGGAAAGCTTCGAACTACCACTAGTCCACAGCGTCGTCCATGAAAATCGTACATGCTGGAACTCGCAACCACATACTGCCGTGATTCTGCTAGCCGACCGTGGTACTACCCCGCACACAAAGTCCATAAACCGAGTCAGATGTGAGGTATAGGATTATATTCTGGAGAGCCAAGTTCGACTTCTCTAGCTGGTCTAAACAATACAAAGGGGGAAAGCACATAGCACAAGGTATTGTACAATCAAGGTAAGGAATGTCTTGAGTCATTAAAACCATATATCATCTAATGCTGACGTATTACTGATCAACGCGTCGTGGGTACGGAAAAAACGATATCAACCTCACGGAATTCGGAACCATATATACAATTCTTGCGGACTGTGGAATGCAGCTTGGTGTCACTGCTCAGTCAAAGGCCGCAAAGCAGGTGCTGTTGGCCTGGGACTCCTCCCAGCCAATGCACTTCCAGCAGCTCAGAAGACCCGTGGGATCATACTTCTCCTTGATGGAAAGAAGCTTGTCGTAGTTGTCTCCCCACCAAGCCTCACGCCAGTCCTCGGTGAAAGGATTGGCCTCGTTGCTGTAGGCTCCACTGCCAGGGGTGATACGCTCGAGCGTGGCAGTCATGTTCTGCAAGGTGGCAATCTTCTGCTCACGAGTCGGCAGGGTGCTGTTCCAGGCCCAGGAGCTACCCGATCCCAGCTCCCAGATGGCCTGACGCCAAGCGGGGGAAGCACTGGTGGAGCCCTCGGTGTAGTTGTACAGAACGGGTCCGACAACGGGGATGTAGGGGCTCTGGCCGTTGGCCAGAATAAGCTCGAAGAAGTCCATCAGGTTGGCACGGCCCTCGGCCGTCTCAAAGACCGAAGAGGGAACCAGGCGACTGCCGGCAAAGTGGGTGACACCAACGCTAACGGAGGTGGAGGTAACGTACTTCTCATAGAAGTCATACCAAGAAGAAAACGCCTCGATGACAGCGGAGCCGCCCTGCGCCTTAGCGTAGGCCACCACTTCGGCCAGAGACTCTTCAGCTTCGTCAACTGAGAGCAGAGGGGACACATTGACCAGGGTGTCGCCGGTAATGTGACCGCCCCAGCCTTCCTGGGCCCACTTCAGAGTGTTGTTAACAACGATATCCATGAAAGGCAAGACGTTGGTGGAGTTGCTGGTGAACTTGATGATGGCTGCGACGAAGCTGATGGTAGGTTCGACGCGGTGTGTGCTCTCCAGGACGACACCGAAGGTACCACCACCGCCACCACGCAGGGCCCAGAAAAGGTCCTCGTTCTGGCATTCGTTGGCGATGCGCAGCTGGCCATCGGGAGTGACAACCTTGTACTGCACGACACGATCAACACCGAGACCATACACCGGGGAGAGAACCGAGTGGCCGCCGTTCATGACCCATCCACCCGAAAGACCGACAGTGGGAGAGTAACCACCCAAGATGGTGACGTTGTTCTCATGGGCGAAAGCATAGGCCTCATCGAAGTTGACACCGGCGCCAGCGGTGATGGCGTTGTAGGTCGACTGGCAGCCAGAGGGAACAAAGGCGGAGCTGTAGCTAAGGTCCTGCAACTTGCGCGTCCACAGGGCCAAGGTGCCCTTGCCGCTGCTGCGGGACAGATAATCGTGTCCACTGTTCTTGATCACGAGACGCGTGCCGCTGCAGTTGGAGAAATGCATCGCCTCCCTGACATCAGTGTCATCGGTGACTTCGATGTAGTAGGAGGGCATGTTACCCTGACGGCAGGTCTGGTTCACAAAGGCGAGCGGATCAGTGGGGTCGCTGCTGTCGAGCAAACACTGATCCTGGGGGTTGGACGAGCACATCTCAACCTGGTTGTTCATGTAACCATTGGGAGAGTTGGTGCGCAGGTAGGGGTCGGTGTAGTTGTCCTGCACATTGGCGCAGGCAGCATCGTTGGGGGTCACCTCCTGGCCATTATAGTTGGAAAAGCAGGGGAGGGAGAAGGGCGTCAGCGGTTGAACACGGCCCTGAAGGGTGGTGTTGAGGCTATCGAGAGTGCATGCGCAGCCGCAGGCAGCACCGAATCCCAAATATTGGGCAGCCAAAACGGCCAACGTGGCTTTGTATGCAGAAGGCGTCATCGTGCTAGTCTGCCACGCGACACTGAGACAAGATTGGGGGAAAGGAATGGGGAATGAGCGACGATCGCGACCATTTGAATGAACGGTCGGACCGGCCGATAGGAGAATTTTTTACTTCCGGAGCGCTCCGTTTGGTCGTCAGTGCGAGCCAATGTCTCATACGATACAGAAGCTATTGAATCACGCGGTGGAGGTTACTGAATGCAGATGGTTTGTGGACCAGGACTACGTACGGGGGAGTATTGGAAGGAGACTGGAAGGGAGGAGGTCGACGGTGGTGCGGCCTGCAGAAACAATGGAATCGCCGCAGAACCAATCCACTGGGTTCCACTTCTCGTTGGGGCTGCAGGGTGGACCCCTTGCTGGTGTGCCACGCTGATTCGCGGCACCAGCAAACCTTGACGCAGGTCCCGTTGGGGCTGGAGGGCTTCGGCCGATGTCCGATGCGTGGTCTCCCCCCAGAAGGTGCAGGACCTCACTGCAGACGCACACCAGAGCTCAAGGCATCGAATCCATGTGGACCACAATCTAAGACCAGCGTCTCATTTTGATTGCATCCCATCCACTCTCGGGTTTTCCTGTCCGGCTCCAAAAGGCCCCTGAAGGCACGGCATCCCTGATGGCCACGCGATGACTCTGTTTGCTGGGTCGACGATCCCTGCAGCCCCGGAATCCCAATCGATTCAAGTCGGGGTTGCATCTGATATCGATCATCGTGGTGGTGCGGACCAGCCAGCGGACCAGCAACATGTCCAACACCGGGGAATGACGGATCCAAGAAGGGTGGCTGATCATTCAACCACGGGCGCACCAAGCCACCAGCAGATCAGACGTTACATTTCGTCTATCGAACGGCGGAGAAGAGCCAAAAGTTTAAAACCCGCCGAGCCATGGGAATTCAGTCAATAGATCTCCCCCTCCGAGCTTGAAATAGCCCATGACAAATTAGCGGCCGGCTTCCCAATCTTTATCAGAACTCCGACTCTGAAGAACTTTCCCTTTAGGTTTTGGTGGCGACGACACCACATTTGTAATATTAATCCGGGAGTACCAAGCCTGGTAATCTTGTTTGGCGAAGGCCCCTCCTGAAATGGAATCTTATATGGAATTCCGACCCGCCCTGTCGCTTCTTTTTGCAAAGCTGACTCGTACAGCTGGCAGTGCAGGATGACTTACGAAGAGAATCGGTACTGGAAAAATGTGCTGACCATCGTGCCCATTGTCGGCGCCGCCCTGGCCACCCTGTCCTATGTGCTACGGCTTTACTCCCGTCGCTTCACAACCGCCGGTCTGAAAGTGGAGGACTGGTTGATGGGCGTTGGCTTGCTTCTGTCTTACTGCGCGACCGCATTTGTTGTGGACAGTGAGTCGGCGCGATCCCTACAGCCAGATGCTGCATGCCAGGCGTACTAACATTCCTCGGCAGCTGCATTCAATGGCGTCGGCTTACCGGTTAGCGAACTGCCGGCAGACGAGCGGCGACGGATCCAATTTGTACGTTTTCCACCTTGCGAATCTCCACGAAACGTCTTGCTAATATGATGTGATTCCGGCAGGCTTCCTGGATGATCCAGAAGTTCTGGGCGCCTTCCGCCGCGTTTGTGAAGATCTCAATTGTGGTGTTCCTGAAGCGGCTGCTCGGGACTGTCCGCGCATACGCCATTGTCTCGAATGTCCTCATTGTATTCATTAGCTGTTGGGCTCTCACGGCTCTTCTGGTCAACATCTTTCAGTGTCATCCCGTCCAGTACTATTACGACAAGGCACTCCATGGACATTGTATGAGTGGGCAGCGACAATTTTTCCAGGCGATGGGAGCCATCTCCTTGATAGAGGACGTCATTGTTTTGTGTCTGCCGACACCTATTGTGTGGGGGCTGCAGATTACCTTTCGACAGAAGTGTGCGGTGACGCTCGTGTTTTCTCTGGGTGGCTTGTAGGTTTCCCACGTGGTGCATAGGGAATGGTGCTGATACTTGACAGGGTCTGCATATTCAGTTTGATGCGTCTGATTGAATTCCGCACGTTCATTACGACTGATCTAGCTTGTGAGTTACCAACAATTGCAGCTCGGTTCTGAACTAACAAATACAGCGTCGAGTGCCAAAGAATCCGTCTGGACCTGTCTCGAACTCGATATCGCCATAATCTGCGGTTGTCTCCCACTGATGAAACCCTTGATCCAGGGCTTCCTGGGAAAGGTCCGAAGCGGTGTCTCCAAGGCCCGGTCCCATCCATCGTCCGGCACGAAGCTGTACTATCCCTCGAGCGCCACACACAACAATGATGGGTTTCGACAGATCGATGACGTGTTGGGTTCACAGGCCTCCAAGAATCCCCATGTCATGGCCAGTTCTAGTCGATTGAGCTCGGATGTTGAATTGCAAGGCATCGCGGTGCACACCCGGATTGAGCAGGATGTTGACCGCCCGCACACGGTAGACTCGGACGAGATGACCCATGGGCATGCGTGGCCTTGAACCGTATCCGTATTCTGTCAATTCTGAATCCACAATGGATCCTCAAAGCTACGCATAGCATCCGCAGAGGTGGTCAATCAGTGGCACGACCACCATGCTCGGTCCGTTGCTCACGAAAGCCATCGCTGTTCAGCATCACAGTACCTCCGAGGGTTCTCTTCGCCCACCCGATATTCTTCGTGTGCGGGTTGACCTACGGCTCGACTTGGCTTCTGTTCGTCAAACGGATCACGGGAGTTGAATGTGGGCACGAGAATTGGTCGCCGAAGCCTACTATGCACCTGAAGCGGATGTCAACGCCCGGGTTTATGACCGGGCGCTACACGACCGGGACGAATGCGTATAGATTGATACAATCCACCTAATGCCGTCTAATGCTTGATGAAATACCGCCACTAGAATAATTCAATAAATTACACAAGAGTCAATTCATGACGCGGGCTCGTTCCGCAGACACATGCAAATCCACAATGCTGGCAGGGTTGCACCCGTGTGAAACGCTTGATTATACTCTCCATCTGCCCGAGGTTCTCGAAACTTGGAAGAACCCCTGCCGTCCGGGATTAGATTAGCCGTTGTTTAGATGAAACCATGGATCGGGATGTTTCCCCGGGCGGCATGATTTTGCGCCGATCAGCGCAGCCGAGGCTAATACCGGCGACCTGCATCAGCGCATTTATCTGACACCAGCATACAATTTATGCAACATCGATCCCAATCTACAATTCATCTCCGGTGGATCCAGCCTCGTATCTGATAAGAGAGCGGGCAACCCTGCCCGGTCGGTCAGCGATCGCGAAGATCCCGCCACTCTCGACAGCGGGAAAATTAAGGGCCAACGGCTGTCGGCTGCTCATGGCTGAAGATTGACGATCGCAATAAATGATTGACCTTCACGCTGGGTTCAAGATTCCATGAGCTGATCTCTGGCTGAGACGGCCGAGTACGTGGGTGTCTTGGAAGGGTTTCGTGAAAATAGAGTTGTGCGACGCGACTTGGACGGTGCACAGCAGCCGGTAGACCGAGGTAACACGACGGAGATTATGGAGGGGCTGTCCCCTTGCCAGGATCGGGCTGGCCTGGATCTCAAGATGCCAGATCCTCACGAGCGTGGTAACACAGTGAGGGGCATTTGTAACACAACTGTCCCTGTTTGTGCCAAGCATGGCTCGACAGACGCTGTGTCCAGTCACAGGCTCGAGCGGATCCGGGTGGGTCATTTGTTTGTCATACACTGCGTTGTCGGATTCTTCGCAAGGCTGTCTACATTTCAACTGTCAAGCTAAAAGGCGATTTGCGTGGTCTGCCATCTGTGTTACCATAGTAGCCTGTGATTGTGGTTCAATCTGTACAACATTTTGGGATTGAGCAGAGTGACTGGTTAGCACACAACAACTCGCATGTTTGCTTGGTATTGGTCGCAATCCATGCAGCGCCTTCATACCATTGACTAGTGATAGCCAATAGAGTGAATGGCCTTCACTTCCCATGGAAAGATACAGCGGTCGACAGAATTAGCAGCACATGTACACAGTATAGCTTGATGGCATCATGATCTACTAACTGTAAAAAGGGGAGCTTCCCGAACACCAGCTCTGATTGGTCCAGGCGTGTATAAGAACGACGCTACCCCAGACAGGTCAAGCGCCATGCTGCCTGATCCCCGCTGGCTCGTATATTCCACGTTCAGATCCTGCCTATACCCTCGAGCCTCAAGAACCCTACAGCAGGAATCATAGCCACACTGCCGCTGGGCAGATCCTGCTGACGATGATGTGGTTATTTTTATCTCTTTCTGCGTCTGCCTGGACCTGGAGCATGTCAGATACAACATATATAGACCTGAACCTCGCCCATGGTCAAGATACACTTGTCAGAGACATCAATGAGTTCACTCCCTGAATGCTTATGATTTTCTTCACTTCAAATTCTCTCTCCAGCCATCACACCATCATGAGCGCAACCACAACAGTAGTCGCCACAACCGGTGCGATAGCATCCTCAACACAGACATGCACCAACCCTAAGCCAGGCAAAAACGGCTACTTGCCACCAGAAGCATGCGACGCGATATTACTCTACGTGCCCTCACTAGCAGCCGCTGTCCTCTTCTGCATTCTATACGGCCTGACCCTCATCTGCCACGGCGTCCAAGCATTCCTCTACAAAAAGGTACCCCCACGCCCACCAACACCCCCTCTCAACCCATCTAACCAAACCAGAGATACGCCTGGGTAATCATAATGGGGGCCACATGGGAACTAATCGCCTTCATCTTCCGAGCCCTCCTCACCCAAAACCAAAACAACTCCAACTACGACACCATCTACACCATCATGTTCCTCCTCGCACCTCTCTGTACGCCTTCCCCATCCCCATCCCTCCACCCCCTCAATTCCAACTAACATCATCCCCAGGGATAAACGCCTTCCTCTACATGACCCTCGGTCGCCTAATCCACTTCTTCCTCCCCACTCAAACCCTCGCAGGAATAACCTCCCAAAAATACGGCCGCATATTCGTCTGGCTCGACATCTTCGCCTTCATCGTCCAACTCGCCGGCGCAGCCATCACCACTCCCACCGACATTCCCACCCGCACGATCATGATCGGCGTGCACATTTACATGGGCGGAATCGGACTCCAAGAATTCTTCATCCTCATATTCACATGTCTTACAATCCACTTGCATCGAAGTGTCCTCCACCTCGAGAAAACAGGCACATTACCTGGAGAGAAAACCTCCGGGGCAAATATCCCCTGGAGATGGATGTTTTATGCTTTGTATACGGCTTTGGGACTTATTACTGTACTTACCACCCCACCCACATAGCTTCAATTTCGTGATAATGGGATATATGCTAATTGTGAATGTGAATATGAATGTATCAGGTACGAATCATCTTCCGTCTCGCGCAATACGCCCAGGGCACTTCGCCCACAAACCCGGTGCTTACGCATGAAAGCTACGAGTATATCTTTGATGCTGTGCCGATGTTTCTTGCTTTGGGGTTATTGAATGTTATTCATCCCGGACGGGTGTTGCAGGGCCCGGACTCTGAGTTTCCGAGGTTGAGTCGGAGGGAGAAGAAGATGGTGAAGGAGGAGAAGAAGAGGGTTAAGAGGGAGGAGAGGGAGGCAAAGAAGACGAGGAAGGGTGGAAGTGGGGGATGGTGGGGGAGGAAGGACAGGACGCAGAGAGGGAGTGATATGTTTGAGATTCTTCCGATGGAGGAAGAGGGGGTTGTTGGGAGATAGATATATTTATCCGGGGGTGGTGGTGGTGGTGCTTTATTTATGTGGATTGATGGGGTAGGGATATGATCTGGAATGTTTATTTAGTTCGTTTAGAAAAGAAATATGATAAATGCTTTGGAATGTACAGAGTATCTATACATACAGGTTTACTAATCAACCGATTGATAGATTTCGTAATTAATAATTGCCTCATCCTCGATTAGACATCTCCAACAGTTGTAAATAAATGAATAAGCTCAACACACAAACCATCCCTGTCAAATCCTGTCATCTATCCGACCCCCACGGCTAGAAATCCCACCCACCTGCCTACAGCCGAGGTGCCTAATCATACAGAGTATATCAGGCTTGCGACCTGCATTCAATAGTTATCTTGACTGGAGTGTTACCCTCTCTTTATGAGAAGTTGATGCCTCGGCCTTGGTAGGGATCCAGTCACCTGACTTTTTCCGTTGCAGGGGACCAATCATAGCATCTTGCTTCTTCTTCTTCTTCTTCTTCTTCTTCTTCTTCTTCTTCTTCTTCTTCTTCTCCTCCTCCTCCTTCTTGAGCCGACCGCTTACACCTTCAATACCTTTGGAGATGACCAGATCTACCTCGCCGAACAAAGAGAATCCCGACAGACTACAATACCTTGAACTCTCTCATACCAACTCTGTCGCACGTCCAGGGTATCCCTCAGAGAGGGGTTGGTGACAAGCGATGCTATCTGTCATGACACCAATAGTTACACACGTCTGTCAGACAAGCCCCAACAAGGACAGAGTTCACTGTAGGCCATGCGAGCACAGCATATTACACAAGGCCCGTTTTCTTGTGTGCCCTCCATTGCCTTGCTTTCTGTCTCTGCAATGGCCATGGCCCTTGTACGTACAGAGCACCTCACTCAGATTGAATCGCACAAGCCGTCATCGCTTGACGCCCCCAATGATGCGTAGTGCCCAGTCTCATGAGAATGTTGGGGTTATAAGAGCCCGCTCGCTCCCCGTTGCAGTCCTTAGTTCATAAACCACACCCCATTTCCTCTCATCATCTCTTAGTTGACTACAGACCCTTTTTTTATACCATCTTCTCTCGTCATCTTTAATCAATTACCAACCCAATTCTTTTGCCATGCCTAAATTCTATTTCCTGTCTTCTGATTTCGATCAGAACCCCGAATTGGCCATCACTGCCAAGTTGGGCAGTCTGATCATTAAGACTGCTGGTTCGTTTTCGGATGTACTCAACATACGTGATCGCCTTCCTGTTCCCGAGGACGAGATGAATAGAAGCGTCACGGCGGAGTTTATCGCCACTGCAAGATCCACGACCAAAAAAAAAGCGGCTTACTGGCGGGGATCTTCTACCTAACCCAGGAAGGGGAAGAAGACCACGCCTACCAGATCGACGAGCTCGAGACCCTAGAGTTCCGACCGGACAGCCAATTCATCACCCGATCCGTCGACGCATCGCGCCAGGCCCAGGAGAGGCTTGACAATGCGCGCCAAGAGGACAAAGCCATTTTCATGGTTACGGGCCTCAAAGTTGCCACCGGCTTTCGCCTATGGGCCAAGGTGGATTCATCCACCCATCCTCGAATTACGCTACCTTATCTGATTTGGGGCCGAGACGTCACTTCGAACCTCGAGATATCGAAAACCACTGGATGGACAACCCAGTACGGTCCGGTGAAAAACAAGGTGATTTTTGCCATGAGGGTGGTCAAGATCACCCGTGGAGACGATGGCTCGTATGTATCCAACGATGAGGATGGTGGCCAGTTCGCAAAAGACAGTAAGCAGAAGGGCGCGGCGGCGGGTCTAGAGGTGGCCCAGGTGGATGAGGGAATGCGAGACCGTGAGTTTGGTGCTTATTCATTGTGGTTGGAGTGATACGTTCGCTGGCCAGTTTCTTCTTCTCTTGTTCTCACGCGGTTATTTCCTTCCTTCACAGATTGCCATTGCTTTTGCTGTCAGCTAGTTCTCAAATGTCAACAAGGTTGATTTCAAAGCCACTCTTTAGTGTAAGCAGTCATCTGAGCGAGGATAGCACGTCTTGCTTGGGTACGCATCGACAGCCAGAAGACCTTGTATGGAAGTAAAGACTTTGATGTTATGATTGCATTGCTCTATTACATGTCTAGTGATGATCCGTATTCGAAAGTATTCAAATAGAATACATTACTAAAGAACTCTAGTTTCCTCCAATAAACGCCCAACGAGCACACCGTCCCCACGAGTTCCTCCCGGTAAGCAATCCGAAAAGTGGTCACGAGATAAAAGGAAAGACATTCCACTCAATGGGCCCTGATGTACAGGCTTCACTCGATAAGATTCCGAAGATGAAACCCCACCACTTCGTCTGTGACATCCTTGTGGAATGGCTTCCACAAGGTGATCCAGTTGTAAGCGCTGTCGCGCTTCTGGACAGTGAGCAAATCCAGGAGGTTCTGGACGGCTTCGTCGTCCTGGAGACACACCCATTCTTCCTCCGTGAGAGCAACTCTGGCATAGTGATGTACTACAGCGACTATGCCCGCGGCAACTACCACTGCGATTGATGTACCGTGTTATTCCCATCGATTTTTTTTTCTTTCGAGATGGGGTGGGGCGGCAGATTCTATCTTGCCTCCAAAGGCCATGGTCCTCTTGCCGTCTCGAGGGCTAGGGGTACATTTACAAGGCTTCCCTAAGGCCTTCCCTGCATAGATACAGTTCACAGAGGGAGCACGGGCAGGCCATGGTAATCCCATTGGGAGGTTATCCCCGTTGTTGGATGCGGCCGCCCACAGGCTCACCCCCTTGGACTTTGCGTGGCGCAACGCCTCAGCGATCCTTGATCTCCCGGATGGACTACTGGTATACCCCCAGGGCATGATAATCATGTTAACGTTCCACTCGTCGGTAGCGTGCATGATTGCCTAGGTTAATATTAGCCATGAGAGCGTCACTCAACGTAGGGGAGTATATCTTTACCTCTGCAATCCTGTCTTCAGAAGTATCGATATTGATGGGCTGGTCATACACTCGGGCGACATACAGCGCAGCATGAGGTGCAACCTTGCGAAAGATAGCTGCGAGATGAGTCCCGTGGCCATTGTCATCTCTCCAAGCCGTGTTGTCCGGTTTCACCCAATCTTTGAAGACAATGGTCGGTTCACGGCTGTTTGCATTTTTGTCGGCTGTGGATAGCTCGATCCCACTATCTAATAACGCTGCTTTCATAGGCTCCGGAGCGCCCTCGGACATGACAGGGAGTTTTTTTGCAAGCGCATAAGAGTCTGCTGGTGTTGACTGAGCCAGCCGGTATACCTATAGTGATTGATTGTTAAATCTTTGTCAATATGGACTGACCATAGGTAAACATAATTCACTGACCTGTCATTGCCGATCGAGACCAACCTCTCAATTTCCTGGTCTGTAAGAAGGGAGATGTTAGATGATTGGTTTGGCCCATCACAAGACCCCTTGGCCTCTTTCATCGTACAGTTCCTGGGGCTCTTACCGATGGAAGACTGTTCAGCCATAGCGTCTGTCATGGTAGATGTCGTTATACTTTATTTGAACGGGGGGAGTAGGACAAGTAGAAGCGAGCGATCTGGACGGGAAAAGGTCTGGGGCAGTGTGGGATCAGGGAGAGAAGATGAATCCCCCAGGGCCCAGTGAAGGCAGAACTTCATGATTTAAAGAGAGACAGGTCCCAAATATATAAGGTTTGTGTTTTGACAGGAATTGGCAAGAATCTACGGAGTATGCTAAAAATGATGAGACATGCCAATTGAGGAAGAGAGTGGAGAACCTGGAGAAGGGAAGGAAAGAAACTTCGTGGGCTTGCTCGACATTGAGCGATAGTTGTTGACACGGGTAGGCCATGCAAGTTGATGATATAGTAGGAGATCTGTAGAGATATGCTGGACACGCTGGATGACTGAAGGCCATATTCAACGAGCGACTGGGTGGCGAATCTCTCCAATGTGTATCTCTCTGTCTAATGCAATCGAACAGTATAACAACAACTGTACTCATCCGGAGGGAGTCCAAATGCTCAGAGGATCCAGTCTTTTTTGGTGGCTTTCGATTGGTGGCAGCCATGCTGTCTGGTTGGTCATGTTTCCGTGCTTCGGTTTCAGCTAGCATCTAATGGAGTGTCCCATCCGTTTTTCTGTGGCGCATTTAATCCCCATTCGGAATTACCAATTGGTTGCAACAAACATTTCTCCAACCGGCATTGGCTTCATGTGACTGATCCGTGATGTCTTGATCCGCCTCGTGAACTGTTAACGAAGTTCGATGGTTCCGTCGTTGGGCTGCCGCGGCGTATTGGTGGCCCCCAGGAATGCATCTGATTGGATGCAATCCACAGCGGCTGCCATGAGCCCACCAAGTGTTCCCTTCCATGCTGCATCGCTATACCACTGGGTTCATTTCCTTAGGATTCTAGCGCCTCAAACCCCTGACAGCCTCACCTTTTGCTTTCTACTCTTCGATCCTCATCATAGACAATTCCCGACGAGGACACCGAGGGAAGTGAGTTATAAAGCCCCCGACTTTGGCCGAGAGTGACTACCGTCAACGAGATGGTATCACTGAGAAGTCTGAATACCGTAGTCACTGTCGAATGGTATGGAGAACACTTGAATGCAGGAGTGGAGAATGAATGGATTGACGTAGCTAGCTAGAAGGCAAAACACGTCTGTAGGGGTCCGTGGCCGGGGCTCCACTGCGATCGTCCGGTCGGAGCCGGATCAACTGTGGGGCCGACGGCCCCCCCTTATTTTTTCCAACAGTACTGTTACGAAGTGCCTAGTACCTGGACACTAGTAAAGTCAGCTGGCCTGCGCCAGATAGCCTAGACAGTTGCAGGCACAGAAACCTTGCCTCTGTACAGTGTACTGTAGCCACGCTTCGTGCCTCCATAAGCTTGTATGGAACACAAATTAGGGGCATAGTTTTTCACTTGCCCTTACCCGTTTCCCAGTTGATTAGGATGGTAGTGAATTCCACGTAGCGAGTCCATACCCATACAAACGTCGACAGTCATGCCCCGACGGTATGGATTAGGATGGGTATTGTAATGATGTTGAAGAGGTACTAGGAGAGGGATCTAACCGATTTGGGAATGGCTACTCTATGACATCCAGGCTAGGGGCAGGAGAGTTCTGACATAGATTGATCTGTGGCGGAGACCTCTGAGCCCGGTCGGGACTGGTCGACTTACAGTCATGAATTTTGGATAGACTGAAAAACAGATACCCTAGATAATCGTCAGTATTTCGTAGCTCTTGAGCAAGCACAACCAAATCGATCAAGTATGATTACCCAGAGACAAAAACAGAGAGCATGACATTATTACAGGAGGTCTTCTGACTTCTTTCTGAGGAAGCGTGGAGCTGAAGCCCCACTGTGATCCCGCTACCCGTCGTGCTGCGGAGGAGATGGGCGGTGGGGCCTCGGCTCTACCATTGTTCCGGTTGCCCGGTTGCCAAGAACTCCGTAGGAGTGGAACCGTGCCAAATTATCAGTAATTGTTGATGCTTGCTTTTAGTGGTGTTGTGATTTCAGCATGTTGCAGGGTACTTTAGTGGTTGTGCACTGGCAGAACAGCCTATCTTGGGTTATCTTGGGTTAGGCGTAGCGATGAGTATTTGGGCACGGTCGGAATGAATTGACGACGAGTGGGGGGTTCTTGGCTCGATGACGGTTGCTTCAGCTCTGGGAATCCCGCCTACGGTGAACCAGTCAATCATAACATTACTCAAAGATAGTAGGAGCTGCTTTGAACAGTACAGGTGTTTAATCGAATGCTCGGATGATCATATAACCATGGAGGATGTTCTAGAAAATATCCATTTGTCGTAGTTGCTGGCTACAGAAAAGGTACGTGGAAACAAGGGGAAACATGCACTAGACATTGAGATTCGGGCCACTCACCTCGCCGGATTGTTCCGGGTGATTCTCTAATTCGTACTAGATAGTCGGTAATTCCCTCTTTAACGCAACTAATTTACGGGGCTCACAATAATCCCCATGCCAAGAAACCGTAAGATCGGGAACGAAGACCGCTAAATCAATGATCAACGGGCCTCTTTATTCTATAACCAAATCCAGTCGAGAATATAGGAGAACAGATCCCAACAGCATAATGCTGGTAGATTAGGTGTAATGTTCCTTGCGGGACAAAGCATTTCAGCCCGACCGCAACATCCCGCATCTAGTGTCGCTGAACCCCCTCACGAGTTGGGGTCTACAACAATACCGTGCGCTACTGGTGCCGCCGGATGTGTGTGAGCCACAATGAAGAACGCGGTAAGACCGACTTGACAGATACTAGTACCTAGCGTCTCATAGACAGTCCCTTTTTCTGGAAGACGCCATTGAGTTGCGAACAAAAGGGAATAAAGGTAGGTCTCTTAGCCAGATGATATCCAGGAAGATCCCCTCCGAAGGCATGCAACGAAATGACGTAAAATGCTGGCACCGCTCAATTAATTCTTCATGCATGATAGGTGTGGCATGATATTATTCTTAATTATAGAGTAGACGCTTCAAAGAAAAACTTGGATACATGAAGTGAGTCGGCGGGAAATGTGTGTAACGTCAAAGGATACAGACGACAAAGAACAATGGTAGGAGCAGCATGAAAGCAATATGACTGGATTGTACCTCTGACAAACGCTGTGCACCTTCCTCAGATGCACTGCAATAATCATGGGTCCAGTCAAACTTCATGTGGTTGGCTACATTATTTTGTTATCAACCGTCTCAGTCCCCCTGTCATCCATGCAGCAACATTGGCCAAGTGAATGGATCGGAGAATCCCTCATCTGTCAAGGTCATCCTCAACCGTTGATCAGGTCTTCATAGGAGTGATTCATAATCCTCCTTTGCCACCCCAGACCACCACGCTGGTCTGCCAATTCATGAATATTCGAGGGGGCCTGTCCACATTTCCAGTCTTTCAATGCACTCTCAACTAGCACCTTTCAGCTTAGCTGACAGCAAGAGTTTGTTCTTGTGGTAAATCTTTACTCTAAAGCATCAGGGTGAAAACCAAGGTGGGAAAAAAGACCACTAAAATGGTGTCAGCAGCTGACGAGTCAAGGGTGCTTTCCCTCTCAGATCTACCAGTTGAGATCCGAGTACAAATACTCGGCCACCTGGAATGTCTTGAGGAACTGGAAAATGCCATTCGTTCCTCTGAAGTTTTCCGTGTTGCGTACGAGTCCTGCAGTCATATGGTACTGACATTGATGCTAGAAAACGCGCTACACTTTGATCTATTCCCGCTAGCGATATTGCACTGGGAGCTTTCCCAGACAAGATGGTGGAATCAGGATCATAGTGAAAATTGGCTCAATGTCAGGTTCGATGCTATGAAGACCCCGAACTTTATCTGGACTGCAACAATGGAGCAAAATCTTGATATGCTACGATTCTTGAAGCATGTTCAATATTTTGCTCAGGAATTTATTGATTGGGCGCTTCGCCGTTTCCATGAGAACTTTGGGGGAGTTGAAACCCCGGCATCACGCAGTGAATATGACCGTGTTATGCGAGGCTTGTATCTACAAAGTATCATAATACAGGCCACTGTTAGTAGAGGGTGGGATCATTCATCAACTACAACAGAGGAGACTAAACAGTCAGCCTGGAAGAAGTTCGTCTCCTCCTTCCAACCATGGGAGATTGAGCAACTGAGATGTATGGCGCAATGGGTCTCTGGCATTATTCGTGAGTGTTTATGTAGTATTATATCAGGCTGAGTGTACTAAGCTATGTAATAGCGCTACCATTGATTTGCTATTCATGCGTTCAAGGCAGGTGGCTAGAGAAGGATCTACCAAAAGAACAAGGCAAGGAACTTCTTGTAAGTCGTAATACCAATATTATATACGCTTGAAAATACTAATGGTTTTCCAGACACATCATGGATTGGCACTTCTGCGTGGTGTGGAAAGTATTGACAACCGCACTGATCACTACAAGATATACATCATCCGCGATTTCTTTGAGGATTTAAGAGAATACAGCGAAAAGCTGTACAGAGTTGTGTTTGACCTACTTAAAGACAAACCTTATATTGAAGCCGCGGAGCCTCGTTTTAAGAGCGACAATCCTGGTCCCAAACAGCTTTGGGCTTGGGTTAGGGCGGATCCTCAATTTGACGTCTGCAGACTGAAAGATAAAATCGGTTATCCACAATATGGGAGTTTAATCTGGGATGAAGAAAGAGTCAAAAGGTCTCGCCTGATGAAGACTTCCGTGTCTCGTTAGAAATATAACGGGCAGGTAATATGGGGATTGCCTTCTGGTGGGAGAGGGCGATAGTCCTTCTCTACTAGTTCATATACGGACTATCCGGGTGGCATAGGCCAACGGCGGGCTATAGCGGCCACAGGGCAAATATCATATGTCACTGACAATGCTCTGAGGATGATTGTGATGGTTACAGAGGGGGCCACTAGGGTTTTATTTTTTCTTCATTTTTCGGGGTGATTAATATGTCTTTTATTCTTAATGTACCGATCGTTTAACATCTAAGGAGTTTTGTCTTTTGAATCTATCTCTCTTCCAATCTAACGGTCTGACACCCAACACTTCACTATCTAACGTAATCAACGGTCGGACGTGCCACACGGTTGGGCGGGCCATCCTGCTATCCCATATAAAAGATGTCTTTTTGATTCTATTATATATCAATCAATACTACACTTTAGAAGCTCTAAGTCTGTAGATAGATTATATATGTAAGAATAAATGTCCCATACTTTTTTTTGATTTGTAAATTTTTATTTTATATAGTCAGATCAAATTCTTATATAATACACATAAAATACAGGAATCGTAATACAATAAGCTATTAAATCTAGTCATAGGGATTTTTGAAAAGAATATAAATCTTCTTCATATTATTTATAATCTATATAGAAGAAATCTAATCGTTCTAGACTATAATGGTTGAGATATATTATGTTTAAAAAAGTATCTTTTGTATGGTATTACCAGATGGCCCGCCCAACCGTGTGGCCCGTCCGACCGTTGGTTACGTTAACAGTTGTAGTGCTTACCGCATTCCGGCGGGTAGGTACGGTAGCCTATATGAACCATCTATGCTATTCACTCGCCCAATCACTGTCAGTAGATCAAAACGATATATCGCTTCTCTCTGAAGAAACGGACGAAGGGAAATATACTCATGTCCTAAAACCGCCCTCTCAATCTGCCCACAAGGACGTAGGGCTTCATAATACAGCTCACGGCTCTTCCACGGTCTGATACGGCACGTCAACAAAATCATCCGGTTAGACCAGGCCCGGACTCGAACCTGCAGTCTCCGGATTCTGGCTGAGGCGCGGGCTGCGGGCTGACAACAATGAAATAGAGTCACGTGATGTTAGCCTACTGACCAACCGGCTGTTTCAACACTATCACGGGGTTCGTGGCAGCAATCAACTGGTGAAGATAAAGGCAGGTGTTGCAAATTACACGATCATGCGGCTCCCTAGATTCACAGGATGAAGGGTAAGCTCTCGGGGTTTGCTACGGATTGGCACAATGGGTCATGAAAGGGCGAAGCGCGACCAAGACGGTTTTTGATTGCGCATTACGCATCCATAATCGTGACTCTTACTTACATCGTGCTCTGATTTCCCGACTAGCTAGCTGGGCTAAATTGACAATCTCCGGTTCTTGCCCTCCAACCAGCCGACCGTCAACAACTAGGATCTTTCCATCAACCATGGTTATATCTACATCCCGTCCAGTACACCCATGAACTACGGTTGTGATGGCAGTGACACCTCCCCCGTCCTCGTAATGCCATGGCGCGGCTCCCAGACCACCCTTACCATAGGGATCCATTACCACCATATCCGCCTTTTTTCCAACCTCTAGGCTCCCAACGTCATTCTCCAACCGCAGCGCTCTCGCTCCATTTATTGTAGCCATCTCTAGCGCCGTTTCGGCGCCAACCACAGTCGCATCACGACAAACTCCCTTATGCAGGATAGCCGCCAGATGCATCTCCTGAAACATGTCGTAGTGATTCGAGCAAGGCGCGCCATCTGTTCCCAGTCCGACGTTGATCTCAAGCTCAGCTCCCAGCATGGCCGGAACCGGGGCCACCCCTGAGGCTAGTTTAAGATTCGAGGTCGGATTGTGTGCGACCGAAGTATGCGTTGCACCGAGCAAAGGCAAGTCCGTATCAAGATCAAGGTTCACCATATGCGCTAGTACCAGATTATGACTCTCGTTTCTGCCGGCACTCGTGGATATTTGACTGCAAAGCTGGGTGTCCTGGACGAATTCCATCGCGCTACACCCGTATAGATCGTGGTATATTTCTCGATCTTTCGGTGCTTCTGCGCAGTACATCGTCACTGAGATACCGTGTGCTGCACAGACTTCCCCAAGTTCGCGGTATAGAGATGCAGGTGCACCGCGAGGTGTTCCTGCTGCTGCCCATACATGCAGTCTGTTGTTGTGGGTGCCGTGGTGCTTTTCGTGTGCGGCTGCGAGAGCGGGAATGGACATGGCAAGGAGGTCTTTATCTCGCGGATCGGTGATGGATAACTGACGATTTGTCTCGGGGAATTTGACTAGTTTACCCTATGAGAGGTCCATTTGGCCTAGGTTAGTCGCGTCTACGGGTGAACGGAGGCACAAGGAGACAGAAGAAGGTAGATGCGCACCAAACACCCCCGGATTCCCATCTCGCCCACAGCGTCACATACATTTTCCCACCCCGCACGATAAGTGACCATTGGATCCAGGAAACAAGTTGTTCCAGTCTTGAGCATCTCCGCAATAGTGAGTCTGGCGGCGTGGTATCCGTCCCTGCCCTCATAAGACGATTCGAGCGGCCAGACGGCGTCGCAGAGCCAATTATGCAGTGGGAGATCTTCCGCCAGACCCCGAAGGAGCGACTGTACCAAATGGGCATGGATGTTGATTAACCCAGGGAGGATGATCTTGCCGGTGCAGTTGATTGTCACGTCCGGAGAGACATCTGCGGGCGCGGGGCATCTGCCGATGGCGGCGATGCGGGTGTCCTGTACGAGCAGGTAGCCATCGCGGATGATTTCACGGTCATTGTTGATGGTGATGATTGTGGCATGGACAAAGAGGGTGGTCTTTGGCATTGCTGAAGACATCTTGACCTTGGTGATGTTCACAGTGGGCTGAGTTGTGCTCCATTGGGGGAAAGGGAAAGCGGCTTCCTGTCGATCGGCGTGATAAGCCCGCCTCGGCCGAGGGGGCAGCCAGTCAGTTGCCTCCACCGGGGGACGCGCAGCTTATCATATCGCTATCTACATTTCCCCGTTGTCGGGGCAAGCGCGAAACCTACAAAATGGAATTTGGTGCTACATCGGCGTTTTGTGCCAGCTATTCTCCCTTGCACTATCATGGAGACCAAGGCTATCCCCGTCTCTACCATCGAGGACGAGACCTCTTCCCCCACCGCCCGCGAAGTGGTCGAACTGTCTAGATGGAGTTACTGGAAACGTTATCTGACAAGCTGGGATGGGTGGATAGGTGAATATGTATGTGTTAAGAAACCTCTCATGACCCTACTAACATATTGCAGGACTACATGTACCTAATCACCCCCAACGTCTACCCGCTCAACAAGCGTTACAAAGACACCGAACCCCCTTTCTACGGCCTCAATGACGAGGTCCCCATCCTTCTAACCATTATCTTGGGCCTCCAGCATGCCCTGACCATGATCGGGTCGGTGGTATCACCCCCTTTGGCTCTCGCAAGCGGCGCCTTCTATCTGGATTCAATGCAATCTCAGTATCTCGTTTCTGCAGCATTTATCACCACCGGGGTAGCCACAGCCCTGCAGGTAACGCGTGTGCATATCTTCAAGTCACCGTTGTACATCGGGACGGGGTTGTTGTCCGTTGTCGCCCCAACATTCGATGTTATCGCCGTCGCGATGAACTATGCGGACACGCGATACAAGAACGGATCCTGTCCGACTGACGGGAACGGATCCCGGCTCCCTTGTCCTGAGGCCTGGGGTGCAGCACTGGGTACGACCCTGTGTACTGTCTGGATCCAGATACTCATGTCCCTGGTACCCCCCAAAGCCTTGAACCGTATTTTTCCCAAGGTCGTCACCGGGAGCCTCCTACTTCTTGTTGGAGTATATCTCATCTCGAGCGGAATGGAAAATTGGGGCGGAAGTTCGAACTGTGACGGGGGAACTGGGTATTATGCGCTGTGTCCGAATATAGATGCTCCCAAGCCGCTGCCTTGGTATTTATTTATCTCCCCTCCTCGAGCGTTCGATTATGCAGTCAATGGATGGTAACGCATGACAGGGGTGACCCGAAACTGATCGGGCTCGGATTCAGCGTATTTGTCACCATCATTTTCGTTGAAATCATTGGCTCCCCATTGATGAAATCGGCCTCCGTTATCTTAGGACTCGCAGTGGGATGTGCCATCTCCGGTGCAACGGGTTACTGGTCTCGTGAAGAAATCGACGCGGCGCCAGTCGGTACATTTCTCTGGGTGCACACATTCCCGCTGTCGGTGGATGGCGCACTGGTCCTCCCTCTGCTGATCATGTTCGTCTGCGAAGCCGTGAGTTGTATGCCGGATATTCTGGCCACGGCCGAGATCTCGCGGGTGGATATTGAAGGGCGAGAGTTCCATAGCCGTATTCAGGGAGGGATCTTGTGCGACGGTTTGGGGAGTTTGGTCAGCGCGTTGGGGACTTCACTGCCGATGGTCAGTCAGGCGGGCAATAATGGCGTCATTTCCATGACCGGTTGTGCTGTATGTTACCTTCCCCGTTTCTCCCTTTCCCTCTGCTAATTTCTGTAGAGCCGACGAGCGGGGTGGTGCGCCTCGGCCATTCTTCTGCTGATGGGGATTTTTGGCAAATTCGGGGCAGTCTTCGGATCAATGCCACCCTCTGTTCTAGGTGGAATGCAGGTTTTCTTGTATAGCACGATTGTTGTGGCCGGTGTGCGTGTCCTCGGACTGGTTAACTTTACCCGACGCAACAGGTTCATTCTCACGGCGTCGCTGGGGATCGGGTTTATGGACATCGTTTCCCCGAGTTGGTTCAGCTCGGTGCTGGCGTACAGTGGATCGAACGTGCACCTGCAAGGTTTCGAGCAGGGGATTAATCTAATCGTTGAGACGCCGTTCATTATCGCAGCGGTTGTGGGGGTGGTGCTGAATCTGGCGCTCAAGGATGAGGTGGCAAGGATCGAGACCAACGCGGCGTTGCCATAAGCAAACATGGCATTCCCTGCCGGTCAGCTGATCGCACGTGGTCGACGCAGTCGCCGGATACCTTCCTGTCTCAGTTATGGATGAAGCTTTTGGAGTCCCTGCTTGAGTTACGAGTCCACATCGATTTAATTAACTGCCCTACTAATGCACATCAATGGAAAAATATCACACAGCCTGTTCCATCAGCTTTAGCTTTTCCTGCAACGCTGAAAAGTTTCGCTTCATCGCGTTCGCGTTAAATTCCTCCCCTGTCACCAACGGGTACTTTTTCAGAGGCCCCTGGATCAAGGCATCCTTACATGGCTGATTAAAATATGCAATGCTGTACCGATCCCCGAAGTAATCCCCTGGCTCCGACGGCGCCTTGACGCGATGGAACGTTGACTTGAACCGGTCATCCGACCATGACATGAGCAGGTCCCCGATGTTACAGACGATATCCCCAGTGTGTGCCTCCACGCGCGTCCATTCGTCCCCAATCCCGAATTCCGTGACGACCTCCCTCCCCGGACAGATCTCCAGCCCGCCCTGCCCTTCTTTTTGGAAAAGGAGGGTGAGAAAGTCCCAATCCGCGTGTGCTCCAGCACGGTGGTAGGTCTTTCCATGTGTCTGGCTGGGCAAGGCGTAATAGTGCAACAGTCGCATGGTGGTCTGTTCGTTGGGTCGTGATATGTCGTGGCATTCGATGAAAAAGCGGTCGTCGAAACCGAGCCCGCGGGCGAAGCAGCGCATGAGTCGCTCAGAGACTTCCTGGACGCGATGCATAAATGATAGCGAGATGGCTTTGAAGCCCGGGAGATGTGTATCGTCCATCCACAGTCCGACCATGTTTTCGCCGAACTGTAGCTGATAGGACTCCTTGGTGTCGGGCTGGCCGGTTGAGGGCCGAATTTGGGCTTTCTTCTCCCACCCAACGTTGTTTGCGTTCCATGGAACTGTGGCCTTGATGTCATCGGGAAGGGAGAAGAAATGCTCTGCGGTAGAAAACATGTTCTCGATTTCCTCGTTGGCGATGCCATGGTCGACGAGGGTGAAGAAGCCGACGTTCTCGGCCGCGTCGACCAGCTCGGCGGTGATTTGGTCGATGCGCTGGTCGAAGTCCCGCAAAGAGATGCGAGGAATCGGACGATTCACATACCTGGTTGTCATATTGGGATTCAAGGATGGCACTGGAGATGGTATTGCTGAAGTTGGATGACCGGTGCTCTGTATTAGTAGGAGGTAAGCCGTGAGCTCGGCCGAGCTTATCAGCAGGCGGCGTAGGCGGATGCGATGTCGGCCGCTCGCCCGTCTTATCAACGGTCGCGCGGCCCCAGTGCCCGGCCGACCAGCCAAGTCAATAATTGCCCCATCATGAGCTCCATCCGTCGACGCCTGGCCTGTGTGGAGTGCACGCGGCGAAAGATCCGTTGCGACAAGGTGGTCCCATGTCGCAATTGTACTAGGAGGTATGGATCCCCAAGCTTGACCATCACACCGGCTAACTCCGACAGAGGCGTTAGTTGCTCGCGCGCCAGGGGAACCGATGATGAGGTGGAGCGATTGCAGGCCCGCGTCCAGGAGCTCGAAGCTGTTCTGAAAGACGCCACCCATCTACAACCACAGCCCCAACCACAACCGCAACCACGATCCCGATCGGAGATCCTCCGCAATGGTAGTAACACGCCCGTCTCCGAGGCAGCGGAGACCCCCGAGCGTGAGATGGCGGACGCTGCCACCATTCTCGAGTTCCTCGCTTGGGGCCGACGGAAGAACCCAGACTATCACGATGTGTTGGCCCGTAGAGATGGCGTCGGGCACGGGTCTCCTGGAGACGTAACAGCAGAGGGCAGTGGCGTGGATTGCAATCCAGAGGTTACATCTGCTCTAGCGTATCTGCAGCTGCTACTCCCGGATAGCGCCCTCTTGCACCAACTTGTCTCTTACCACTGTGAATGTGTTCTCTGGTACCATGGCTCTTTTCACTCCCGTCGCTTCCAAGACGAATTTGATAATTTCACCCGTTTCGCAAACGGCGAAATCGCCCATCCCCGCGTCGATCTGCAATGGGTCGCGCTACTCTTTGCCGTCATCACTGGTGCCCTAGCCTGTGCGCCTCGCGTGACTGCCCAAGCCTGGGGATTCCCAGAATGGGAACAAACCACCTTGGCGCAGCGATGGTTCAAAGCTGTGTCAACCTGCCTGCACCTCGCCGACTTCACCGCAGTTCATTCTCACTATGCCGTCCAGGCCGTTGCCACATTGACCATGTCTGCACATCTCTTGGGCTTCTCCAATAGCCTCTCTGTCCTCCTCGCAGCAGCAACCCGCATCGCCCAAGGCTTAGGCTTACATCGTCTAGGCTCAGAGCGTGAGGACACGCCGACACCAGCCATGATCGATCGCGAAATTGGGCGCAGGGCATGGTGTCAACTCTGTATCCAGGACTGGTTCTCTATCCCCTTCTCAGAAAGCTACCTCATTCCACGCGGATGCGTCAGTACCGCCCGCCCCCGCAACTGTCGTGACGACGATATGCGGAAATTATCCGACGATGAACCCACCCTAACCAGCTACTCGCGGTTCTTTTACCAGGTTGCCTCCCTTATGCCCTCCCTGCAGGACAGCATGACTTCCTCAAACACTCTCTACACGCGGTACGAGCAGGTACTTGAACATGATCGGCAGTTGCGGAACCTAGCGACGCAGGGCCTACCGCTCTATCTTCGAAATATTCCTGCGGAGGACCATCCAGAGTGGCCGCGATATGTCCCTTGGGCCCGGCGCAGTTTAGCAATCAGCTCTTCACATAAAATCATTATGATTCATCGGAAATTTCTCGAGTTGAGTTTCACAAACCCAGTTTTTGCGAGGACGCGCCGAACGTGTGTTGCTGCAGCAAGGACAATCATCAAAGAACAGAAAGAGGCGATTCATGACGAAGGTCCGGTTCTTTGGATTCACCAGGCATTTAGTGTCGCCGCTAGTGTACTTTGCCACCCTGCACTTCATCCTCCTTGATTGGGATGCTGATGAGAACAATAGATCATCTTATGCCTCGATCTCTTTCACCGCGCTCGTACCGATCCCGAAACCACGTACCATCGGCAACTCGTCAACGATGGTCTGGAGATCCTTTCACACAGCGAATCAAACATGATCGCGCGACGGGGAGTCCATCTCTTAGAGGCGCTCTTGGCACGAGAACGCGATCGAAGCTCTCCGAGACACCTACCGTCACCGCAGCAGGAGGCTGATCGGGACCTGGATCTGGTCGGGGTCATACGGAGCTTTTATGAAAAGGGCCGGTGGCAGAGAGGTAGGACTGCCTCTCGCGATGGAAGTCAGGGATGGCCTCCGGTCGAGCGTGGAGGAAGCAATCGAACAGGGCAAGCTCCGACCCCGGTGGGGGCGACCTCCCCTTCGTTGGAGGGATTGGCCATGTCATACGGCTTGGAGTGTGCAGAGAGCTTGGAAGATATTTTGGTCTTGGCGGCAGATTATGCAGCTTGAGGTAGCTTGGGTTGCGGATTGGATAAAATAAAAGAAAAGAAGAAAAGGTTTACAGGTTATTTCCATAAAATACCTCGGATAGAACAACGTTCCAATGTACAAGAGATATGCAATGTCCGGGACCGGGAAATGCACTGCAAAAACACGCTGAAAGATGGAGCAGCGGGCGTTGTCATGTGAATCAACTGAGTGAAAGATGAGGATGACCTTGGCAGACGCGGGTTGCTCCGATTAACTTGTGAACCGTGGTTCTTGGAAAACAGTGGATAATGTTCAAACCATCATATCTTCCATCCCATCCCGGGCCGAGAATAGATGAATAAAACATCACCATGATAGTCATTGTTCCATAGCATCATTTGAGTACTTCTGGTCTTTGTTTAGGAAAGGGATAGAAGACTATAAACCAAGTTTATGCAGGTAAATTCAGTCTATACAAGCAGGTGGATTGATCCTGCCGGCAATGTATGATATAACTTTAAGAAAATAAGAGAAATAACAAAAATAATAGAAAACAAAGAAACATGCTTGTTAGTGATATATCACCAATTGTCTATCCCTATCATTTATTCTGTTTCGCTTTTTGACACTTATTCGATTCTCCTTTTATTGTAGGTCTTCTTTGTTTCGGCGCTAACTTCAGTCATCTTCCCCTAGAAGCACCTCTTTTAACCTTCCTATCCTGAGACTATAAGTAGCCCATATTCAGCAGTCATCTTTTCGTCCTTTTCCTTGCCCTCTGCATCTTTTCTACCATACTAACCATTCGACCGTTCAATCATTTAACTATTCAACCATCCAACCATGTCGTCAACCGAGCCAAACCAACAAGACATTCGGTAATACCCACTATAAAAAGAAATTCATTTCCTGTTAGTCTATAATGACATTCCACTAACATTCTATCTTTTTAACAGGCTGAAAGACTGGTTATGCCACCATTATAAAGCTCTTTCCCTTATAGACCAAATCCGCAACGATGAGGTATCAGATGCTAAACGAATGCGCATTGCCCTGTTGGATAGCAGGCTGGAGTTATCTGAAAAAAGATAAGATAGAGTATAATTACTCACCTACAATCCAGTATCATGACTAGGTTGAAAACATCCAATCAGAATGGAGAAATGACAAGGGCTATGGAACTCATCTAACAACATTTCTCCGCAAAACCGCCCCCCATGCGGCTGTTTATGTGGCAAAGGTTTTTGACCATAGAGAAAATCTCAATAGCTACCAGGATCAAATTGCGTCGGTAAGTATCCATTCTTAGAATTATTCCCATAGCTAATCATCTTACAGGCAATCAGATATGCGGTAGATGTATGGAAGGTTGACATAATCATCATGCCCTGGTGGTTTAACAAAAATCCCGGAAAGCCGATATATCCTGCTATTGAGCACGCCGCATTTCATGATATTATGTTGGAGTGGCTACTAAGGCGATTCAACCGTGTAGAATGAGATGGATGATGATCTAGCTAGGGGCCTCGTAGGCCATCTATATGGACTAACTAGCGGTGTAGGGAGGAGTGTCACGTGACCCTACGTTGCCTACCGGCGTGGGAGCCCATCGGGGATCCCAACATATTATTATATTAGCTGCTGTCTCTGATAGTAAGCAAAACTATGATATCAGATAACCAGCTACAGATCCGCATGTTATCTGCGTACACTCGGCAACAAGAGACAGAGAGAAGTCCAGCTTTACATCTCTATCCAGTGGAAACCAGAGAATCATCACTATAAATGAAACGATCGAATCAGTCTGACCACTGAGACTGGATAAACCCAATAATCAGAAGGTCTTACGCAGTACATCCTATACTGTTACTTTAGTAGTATCAATCTTTATATCTGTCTTAGATTATTGCTGTGGCATTCAGAATAATAAAGAATATGAACGGCTTCACTAGCCTATCTCAGTATAAAGAATGATCAACACACTGTATTCTTTGCGGTGGATAAAGCCAGATGATTGGAAGAACTTCCAGTTAGGATACCAGTGGATTAGACTTTGGTATTTATTTTGAGATCCAAGCCTCACAGGCTGGACCAATTACGAGATAAAGATGTTGATTGAGTAATCACAGCAATGAATACAACAACTTTGCTACAGGAGAATATATCATAGATATTTAGCTCGGTCATATTTATCTTGGTTCTAGTTTTAATTTTGATTTTCGTCTACCTATCATTAGCTGTCTTCGGACTTAAGCGTGGCCACTGCTCTTTCTTGGACGTCTACTGGATCGCTGAGTTATAGGCTCGCCCTTTGTTTGCGAAGCGTGCTAGCGTTGAGCAATAGTAGGTTAGGTCTTGATGGAGGTTTTCGGCTCCAAGACTTCTCATTTATCCAGAAGAAATTAGTAAATTCTACCTTCTTGTCGGTCCTTCACAATGTGCTGTTATATCTTTCTATATAGTGCTACTGCTCTCCACTTCGGCCGGACAAGTATGAGGAATTCTGGAAAGAGGGAAAGCCCAGAACCTCCCCAGAATAGAAATCGAGATTTGAAATCTGATTTAGATCTTCATGTAGAGTTAAGCCGTAGATATAAAACACAAGTAGTATGGCAGCGCCTCCGGCGCTGCTTACATAGGACTTGACAACTTAGATACCCAGTTCAATGAGTATCTGGTCAGTTGTTATTAGCAGATGGGTTAAACAAAAGAGATTGAGTGTGTATACCTTATTCTACTCTATAAAAATAATAATATAAAGTCTTAAATTATTAATTAACAAAACGTGACGCGGAGTAGTGGGCACGTGAGGGCTAGAAAACAGGAAGAGAAAAGGAAAAACTGATGGGGTATAAACCGGCAGAATACCCGCAAGCGGTGAGAACTACTGGCCAATGAGAGAACCGTATCCCGCCGAAAAGGTGTAGAAAGGTGTACATGTTTATCGATACAGGTTGCCTTTAACTTACTTCATGCTATTTGAGTGTGTTGCATGGTGCTTATTGAGGCGCTTTGAGACTCCTTGGACTGGGGGTTACTGAAGGCCAGGACCTCGTATTAGCCACGGTCTGCTGGGAGGTCTTTGACCAACAACACATGGCTCCCCGTGGAGGCAGGAATTGAAAATCCTTGACCGGTTTAGTCCTTTGGCTGGACGGCAAAAAGGCGTGAGATGCCAGAGTCGCACGTTACACTGGTCACTTGGTAGCATCTAGGTATACGTAACTCTGACCAAGGGAGAAATGCTTACGACTAAGTTCGCGTGGATTGAAATGAGAGAGTAGTTCATATTCTTAATAGCTCACTAGCACCCGTGCGGTGTACAATTTGGGGGGGCAACAAAGGAGATGATAAAAGAAAAGGATGGTTAGGCCTAGATACCTTTGGCAGGGTCCATTTTGAAACTCTGGCCATTGGGACTCTATGTTCGACTTTGAATGTTTATATGTATGAATATGGACCCATCTGATGCCATTCAGTGAGGGTGGTAGTCGCAGAAATTGTGTCGGGGTGACAGCGAACTTCACATACTGATGGTATGCCCAGGGCCCCCACCATTCCGGTTTTTCACCTGCTTCATTCTGTGACTGGCACTAATCCGCATCAGCCCTTCCCAACATTCTCAAGTTGAATACTGGAGCCTGGTAATTTCCTCTACCTCCATCTCACGCCTCCCCATGTTCTCTTTGATTGGATTGAACTTGACACCAAACTTGACTGAAAGAAATTTGGTGACATCCGGCAGGAGCGGGGTCACGATCTCCGCGATGATATCTTGACTATAGGGCAATCAATCGCTATCTATCTTGGGTTGGGAATGATTACCTAGGCTAGAGCCCGATACTACCTATCACAGATCTGCTGCGGGCTTTAGAGACTCAGGTCTGGCGATCCTGCAGATGGAAAGAATTCAATATTATAGCGGGTATTTCCATACTGCAACCCTGAGGATTTACAAATGTGGAGACTTATATTATATGGCTCAATGTAGCAAGATCCTCAGAATACATTATCGTCAGATCAGTATTTCGGATCCCTTCAGGGCCTACAAAATAAAATCTTCGGATGATAACTACCCAACTCATTTCATCAATCTTAACCAGCGCAGGGTAGGTAGTGTGTGAAGACCAACCAAGACAGATAAGATACACGTATAAACAAACAGACACATCCACATCCCCACTACCTCCCTCAAACTCATCCCCGGCCCACACGTCCATCAAAAAACATTCCCCCTAACCTGCTGCACCCTCTTCAACTGCAAATCCCTCCACATACAAATCCCCAGGACCGCCAACGGCAACACCCCCAGCCCAACAACCAGCATGCGTTTCTGCGCCACTCCATACGCCGCAATCACCGCATCCCTCTCTGGCGTCCCTATCGGATACTCCAGTACCTTCGCTAGAGAGCCATACAATTCCGCCGCCTTATATTTCCGATCCGGTGGGAGATACCGTTCGAGGTGATCAGGGACGGTGGATGTCCATATCGCCCCCGAGATGGCTGCACCAATTCCGCTGCCGATTTTTGACCCCAATCCGACGAGAGCGAAGGATACGGCGACGGTTTCGTGGTTGCCAGTGGCTAGGCCGGCGATTTGATGGCAGATGACGAGGGTTCCGCCCGCGATGGCTTTGAGGATTTCGCAGGCGATGACGTAGCTGATGTGGCTGGTGGGGGAGCGGAAGGGGATCATGAGACCGGTGCCGAGGAACATGAAAGGCATGGCTGCTAGGGCGGGGGATTTGAAGCGGCCGAGGTTGCGGATTAAGCTGGGGGGGTTTTTTGGTTAGTGGGTGGGGTGAAAGGGGTGGTGGTAGGGGTAGGGGGACGTACATTCCGACGGGGAGGGAGACGATGCAGGTTCCGATGGTGTAGATGTTGAAGATGTAGCCGGTGTTGCGGATGTTGGTGTCGAAGACGACTTGGAGGTAGGATGAGAAGTAGAGGTCCCAGCAGCTGGGAGGGATGGTAGTTAGTATGGGATGTTTATTGGGTTTGGGTTGGGTTGGAACGCACTAGAAGCTCAGAAACAGAGCGCAGGCTAGAATGCATGCACCTAGCAATGTCGGGTCTTTGAGACGGCTGTACGGGATTAAGCAGACTATGGCGCCATTGCGCTCCCAGTATACGAAGCACACCACACAAATCACCCCGAGGATGATCATCGCGATAATATCGGGTGCCATCCAGCGCTCTGTCAGAGATGTACCCCACATGTTGTTGCCAGAGGTGGCCAGTGTTAATGGGAGTAGGATGAGCACGAACCCGGCGGTGATCAGTATCATCCCGATCGCTGGGAGTGTCAGCAAGCATTGCAAAGGTGGAGGTGGAAGACGTACGATCGAACTCGATAGCATAATGTATGACGGTGTGCATCCATGAGCGACTGGGACGCTTCCCCTTGATAAGCCCTTCAGATTGCGCTTTGCGTCGGGTATTCCAGAGCAGAATAAGCAGCGGTGCAGTCACAACCGGAGTGAGGATGGCAAACGTGCCGAATCCCCACCATAGAGCGTCGTTTTGATAGAATACCTGTGCGGCGGCGGGTCCGATGAAAGTGGTCGCCACGTAAGGAAAGGATGCCATGCCGTACACGAATCCTCGATTGAGTAGCTCAGTGGTGTCGGAGAGGAAGACGTGAAGGACGTAGTCCATGCCATTATATCCAACCCAATAGATTACCTAGCGCGGGTTAGAGGACATCGGGCAAAAGTATGGTACATACCTGTGCGGCTATGTAGGTCTCGATGTTGCGACAGAGGGCCATGAGCACGAGTCCTGAACGATCAGCAAGGCACCTGACGCGGGTGGAGAGTCCTACCCAGCGTGCAGAGTCCGACCATGACGCTGAAGCCTTCCGGGCGCCCCCAAATATCAATCAACTTCGCGATCGGCAGCTTTGAGACTCCTCCGATGATGCTGGTGAGCACATTTGTGGTCGCGATGAGAGAGTGGTCGGTAAAAGCGGAGTAAACATAGGGGTTGAGGCTGCCGGTCGTCTGCTGCTGCAGGGAATTGACGAAGAAGATCACAAACACCCTGTAGCATTAGACAACGAACAAAATCGGCGCTGAGGATACTTACAAAACATATCCGACGTACAACGTCCGCGTGGACCAGGCGGTAGCCAGAGCTTCGATCTCGGCTACTCCGTGCGAGGTATGTTCCGGCGACGTCAAGTCCGGAGATTCTGGGATGGTTCCATAGCCATCCTCTCGTGGGACGGAAATGGGATCTGCTGGGTGTGTGCGACGGACTTCGTCAAGAATCTCCCGGGCTTCGTGGTATTTCCTCCGTAGAAACCCGAGCATGGTGGTAAAGGTGGCCCGCGAACGCGAGGCCTGTCGATGACCAAAGTCAAAGGGAGAAAGCAGAATCAAGGTAGAATTCCCGACCGACAGCGGCCAGCGCCTCAGCGATTAGGATTACATGGAGGCGGTCGCAGAAGAACGGAGACGGAGGTGAGCTGAGCCGGGAAGGGAGAGTGCGAGCCACGGCCATGCATCCTATTGCGGCCGTCCGAGCGGTGGACCCCTGCCTTAGTGACGGCGCGGTCGCTTGCCATTGGCGGGTCAGCCGAGGCATCATATCTGATGGGGTCATCAGATAAGATCCTTCGGGCAACTCGGATCGCAGGCGGTGTTGCTCGGACATTGGAACGCCTTCATTGTCTCTGCAGACAAAACCGGTGAGCTACATTCCTCTGACGTTGTCTCTTTAAATTGGTCCTAGCGTACCACTCTTTCACCCGTGCCGTTGTGGTTCGCCCCGTCACTTCACCGGCGATCGGGTCATTCCGTGGAAATGACATGCTAGTCGGGCCCCACAACAGGCACAAAAGGGGTAGTGGGAATCTGTGTTCCGCCGATACCGCCGTATATCTCGGAGCTAAGCCGTCGGCCCATGTCTGCCACTGGTCGACCTGGTAGATTGGCCAGTAGAATCTATGTGACGGGAACCGTTTTAGAAACGTGTGCTCTTTTGCCCTCTGCAGGGTACCAAAACCATCAATGGTTGCATATGGAAGGCTATCTAAAGCGCCGACCGAAGTCGAACGATAATAATATGACCTGCTTCGACAACAATCTCCCTTCAAAATCCATCAATACTTTCTGAGCCCGTTTAATCGAAGCGTTCCAATAATAGAAATAAGGACAATGCCCTTACAGTCGCTACTATCATCAAAAGCGAGGGTATACTTGCCAGCCGCATGCTCCCCATAATGAAGAATGCCCAAAGTATTAATCGCTGCTTTGATACTTGTTCCTGTGGCCGTTTCTGTGAAAGAAAACCACCTGCACAGTCACATCGTCTCGTGCATGTCGGGAAAATGGGGGGCTCAAAGCGAGACGGCCTGCTAGCATCTCGTGATGATTTCCCCCAAGAGAATTACGCACTAGATGCACAGCGACATTGTCATCCTGCGCTGTTGTCCGTCCATCCACAAATTTCCATTCCATGCCCTTCCACAATGGCCCAAAGTCAAACGGTTCATAGGTTGGCTCCGGGTCAGTGCGGTTCTCAGGTGCGTCCGGTTCCAACCATTTCCCAACCAGGTCGACTGCCTGCTGACTGGAGAGCATATCCCATAAGCCGTCCGTTGCCATGATAAGGAAGGAGGGGCTCTCAGGGTCGATTTTAGTGCTTGTGACAACAGGCTTAGCTGTCACATATGGGGGTGTTTGAATGGCCCCGTTCCAACTTGGACCGTAAAATCTCTGATACACCTCCTGCTGGAAGTCCAAAGGCCACTTCAACTGACTATCACCAAAAGCTCGTGACGTCCCAAAACCTAACACTCGTCCCTGGACCACGACGTTCTCACCAGGATGTTCATCGTGTATCCTAGCAGCCTCTTCTTCGTTGAAACCAGTTTGGTCGACTGATAGAGGTGTTGCCTCCCACTTTCCGTCTGTGCCTAGAGATCCCAAGACTGCTCTTGAATCACCGGTACATGCCACATGTAGTGTCTTTGCAGAAGGGTCATATAGGGATAGCAAGGCGCATGAGCCACTGAAAGCGGGAGTCAATCTCTTCACCTTCTCCTGCAGCAATCTTTCGCTCTGGGACGTAGACAAGGCCGTTTCGATAATAGAATTATCGAGGTTCTGGAACCCTTTCATGATTGCGTGCTGAATCAGCTCTTCGGGTACCATTCTCCCGTCTGGAGAACGCTCGACTTGGTTCAAGCTGTGTCGAACAAAAGGCAGGAGCTTTTCCTTCAGTAGCTCTGCTGTATGTCCACCCCCGTGGCCGTCGAAAAGACCCCAAGCCATCCACTGGTTGCCATCATTCCACGGTGATGGAAACTTTCCATGGATAAAGTAGTCTTCACATGGGTTATTGGAGGCTACCTGGGCACCATCATACCTCACGACACCTGGCACATTTTGGACCGGCGCTACATATGAACCTTGAGATAAGATGCTCGTTACTTGATCTTTGTAAGGACTGGGCTCAACGTCCCAATGATCAGTAGGGGGGTCTTGAAGATATGGGGCATCATCAAGGACCATGCCTTGGGAGATGTGGTCTTGGGCTACATCGCCTTGGGTCGTATCTTCTTTGACCACGTCGTTATGGACCACATTATCTGTGGTGGCATTTCCGTGGGCCACACCTTCATGAACCACAGTACCATGGGTAACTTTGTCCTTGGACACGTCGTCATAGGTCACGAATTCAAATGTCACCTTGTCATGGCCCACATCGTCGGGGTTCCACTTGTCAGGAGTCACATCAGCACGAGCATGTATGAGGTACCAAAGCGCGGGCACAGTAATAGCACATCCAACTGCGACTTTCTTCAAGGTCGAGGATGAGGGTCGACGTTTCGTTGAGAAGTAAGTGCGAGGTAATAATGACTGCGGTGTCACGCATAAACGGGTTCGGGCCACACGGAACGGCAACATTGTTAATGGAGATGAAATGGAATATAAGTACCTGATGTAAAGGAGAGATATTGGTTAGTGAAAAGATGTCTTTCCAATGAGACGAGGAGAATATCTCGAGCTCGTAGAAGAAGTGGGTTGCTGATCGTCCCTGCCTACATTGTACATTGCTTTGGCTGGGAAAACAGATTTGTCAGGCACGGTCATTCAAGTAGTGACTGCGTCTAGTACTAGTCTCCCCATACTTTCATGTTTCGTACTTTGCAGCTCTATTTGTTCAGAGTGAAAAGCACAGCATATCTATCGACTCCTTATTAACAACAACAGCAATTATACAACACACTAATCCCATACTCCGCTTATTTCCCTTGTAATATGTTGGGATCCCCGATGGGCTCCCACGCCGGTAGGCAACGTAGGGTCACGTGACCCTCCTCCCTACACCGCTAGTTAGTCCATATAGATGGCCTACTAGGCCCCTAGCTAGATCATCATCCATCTCATTCTACACGGTTGAATCGCCTTAGTAGCCACTCCAACATAATATGTGCACTTCTACAACCAGCAGAGCTTGAATGCCTTAAATCGATGCCTTAGGCTCTGTATCAATGCCGGAGGACTTATTTGAGGCCTGAGGCACGATATTATGCCCCACATTTATATACATCATAACTCCGTGAAGCAAACTCATGAAACCATCCGTGAATTACTGCAGAAGATTTCCACAAACAACCTATAACTTCCCTTCCCATATTTATAACCAAGTACAATATTAGTTCAGCACTAAGCCAACCAATGTAATCATAGCACCCCCATTACTACATTCAGCAACCATTTCTCTCAGACATCGGAACAAAGCAATCGTATTTCCTCCTTCCAGTAACCTAGAACAATGCAATAATCATACAGACGCAGCTTACATCTCAAAGCCACATAAAACACAAATCTTTAACACCGATAAGAATGAATATTAATATACTTCCATCTCAAGGCAGCAGTCGACTTTCTTTCATCAAATTTGCATCATTGAACCATGCGTAGATTGTAAGGGAATAAATATATATTCTGTAGCGTGCTGTTAGTTATGTGTACGATGTACAATGTACAAGGGGTATGCTGGTGCTGATGTTGTGTCACTTATATCATTTTGTGTGTGGGATATCATCATACTTTCATAGTAGATTGTAGCAAAGGGAGTTGGATCTTATATGAAATGATGGATCAGTGCTTATGTGAACTTGAAGCGCAGATTCGTACTAAAATTATAAAAGAGCCTGACAGGAAGTTCGAATGTGATGGAGGAAGTAATTCAAAACCCGTACGAAGAAGACCAAAGCGATCGAATGAGGCAGAAGGAAAATGGAAAGGATAATGCTTGATACAAAGCGTTGATGATCTTTGATCTGTGGTTACATTGTTAGGTTGGAGTGAGCCATATAGGCCTTTATGAAGCCGATGATCTTTCCAACATCAGAGTGAGCTGTTCATCTGCCTCCTTTGGAGACCTGATCTGTAGTGTATAAAGCAAGGACTGTCAAGAATAGCACATATTCCATACAATAAACTCTGGGTAGAACTATAATGATATTACTACCTTGCTCAGGGTCTACCCATTGTGTCATTCTGGAATTCCACATATCAATCCATTGTCTCTCAACAACCTCCAAGCAACGCATAAATCATATCCAAAGGGTATCCCGGTAGGCCCGCACATTACACCTCTCTCCATATTGACCACCGATTGGGCTCACGCTGTTTCCTGAGTTTGGTGTGCAGGCCCCGAGGTCTCAGTATGGCGGGTCTCGATCTTTGCCTCCACGTCCATATGGCCATGTTCCAACTCCTCGAGCTGTCTGGTCTTAACTCCAGTCTTCCATGCAGGTGTGCCAATGTATTTGATGCCGTTGGGATCTTCAAACATGGCCTCGGTCTCTTCAAGCGTCTTTCCTGCTGTCTCGGGGAACAAAAAGAACACATGAATAAACATCACTGTATTGAACACCCCAAACATGATATACGTCTTCCAGCGAATGTTGGCAAAAGCAGTGGGCGTAAATAGTCCCAATGCCATGTTGAATGCCCAGTTACCCGAGGTCGACAGAGCAACTCCCTTTCCACGTAACCGCAACGGATACAGCTCGGGAGGATAGGTCCATGACACGGGTCCCCACGTAGGTGCATAGGATGCGACAAAAAGGTAAGTGCAGGCGATCAACCCTTTGGCCGGCGCACCGTGGAGACGCATGGATTCGGCTGCGACACCATTGATGCCGCCAGGAACAACCACACCATGAACAGCCATGATGCCACCGTTGGCATACATCAGAATTGCCATCAAGGCGGCACCAATCAGCAAGGGGTATCGACGCCCCCATCGGTCCATCCAGATCAGAGCCGGAAGGGTCATGAACACATTGATGATATACTGGATGGAGGAAGCAAGCAAGGTAGCATTGCCAGTATATCCAGCCATGGCAAAAAGGTAAGTAATGTAGTACACTAATCCCAGTGTCAGTGAATTGTGTCATACCTTCATGGTCTAAAGGTTGACGTGAAAATGAAATAAGGGGCGCACGTACTCATCACGTTCATGCCTGTCAGCTGGGACCAGATCTGCATGAAAAGACCAATCATGGTACGATTGAGCATCTTCGGCTTGAACAGGTCAAGGTAGGTAACATCTTTGTACTGGCGTTCAAGCTCGCACATATCCCGGATATCCTGCATCTCAAGTGCAACAAAGGGGTGCTGGAGATCACCTTTGGCATGAACCAGAGCCAAGACCCGGTGGCAGTCTTCCCACCGGTCCTTCCGAGCCAGCCAGCGCGGAGATTCGGGGAGCAGCATCATGGCAAAGAAGAGGAAGACGGCGGGAAGCATCTGCAAGCCCCAGGGGACTCTCCATGATGCCGTGCTGTAGTTGTAGGACTTCTGGCCCCCAATGAACGAGCAGCCATATGAGATACTGGGAAGATCTATTAGCTGGGTCGCATCATAGACCCGCATGTCATCGACTTACTAGAACATGATGAGAATTCCCCATGTGATCGCCCATTGCTGCATACCGACGAAGCGACCACGCTTGGATGGCGGTGAGAGCTCACTAATGTAGACGGGGACTTGGGCAGACTCGATTCCCACCGAGAGGCCGTTGATAATCCGGCCAACCACAAGCATTCCGATGTTTTGAGAAGCGCAAATCAAGATGGAGCCGATCATCCTACCCCAAGCAGCCGTCAGCAGTGAAGATAAGGTACAGTCAATTTTCCGACCTACCAAACCACACAGCCAGTCATGATGGATGCTTTACGCCCAATGCGATCCGAGAGTGGACCAGAGATTAAGGCGCCCAGCCAAGACCCGGCTGCCATGGCTGCTGTGATACCACCTTGATTCAGGGAGGTGGGGCCGGAGCAATTCTCACTGTCAGTGAAGGGAGGTCCTTCTGGACCCTGGTTGAAATAGCATAGGTAGGAGTTCTCATTGAGCTGAGCGGACATGGAAGAGATGTCGAAGCCGAACAGGCCGCCGCCGACTACGGCGACGCCCGCAATCACGTAGATGTTACCAATCAACATGATTGTTGTCGGTTGTTGACATCTGGGCCAGGCATCCGCGGAGGAGAAAACAAAAGGAAGAATCGAGGGGTAAATCGACGTCGGTAGCAGCCGCCTAATTTATACCGCTCCGGACAAATGCGTCAGTCAGGAGTCATCATCGGGGGAAAAGGACCAACCCCGCATTATGGAAAACATTCTAGAGGTACGAACTGAACCAGTGGTGCCACCGTCCTAGACCAGGAACTTACCGTTGTATGTGGTCGGGCCACCCATCGATCTTAGCCAGTGCATTGGCGCGTCTTGTGGCGGAGGTACCCAATCCCTGATTGGGGGAGGAAGTCAAGTGATGATACGATGAACCTGGCTCCGGCCATGGGAGGGATCGGGATCCTGGTCTGAGCACGGCCTGAAACCCTCTGGGGGCACAGACAGGTTTGGCGGCCAGCTAGGTTGACTGCGAAGACCAACCCACCAGACGGATCCAGGCATGTCACCTGGGTTCGATGGAAGGATTAGCGAGGAAGGATGCGGAGCTGGACGGACGGCTGACCGTGGTTCTTTTGTCTTTCCCTGGATGCCCCACCCGGGACAGTCGATACCATAAAGAAGCAGTGATAAATAGCCACATGGGGGAAGCTTGTTGGACTCCATACCGGAGGAGGCGCGAGGACCAAGCGGTGATAAGGCTTAGGTGAGCTTGTCATAAGGGTTAACGCAGACGGTATGGCGTCGTGGATCCACGGGACTGGGGACAGCGAAAAGCTGTAAATGCAGCGGTGTAGTGGGAAATGGAAGGAAAGCTGACGGACCAGCCCGACAGCATGGCCTCCAGGTCAAGGTGTTTGTTTCCCCGCATCACCCCGGGATGCGACCCCAGACCACCCATAAGGCGGAGTCCAGTGACCTGGCCCGCATTTTACAGTATCAAACACCTAAGCCGTCCTGCCGTGTGTACTGTATGGTCACGAACAATACTGTCATCACCTCCCTGCCCCTCCGTTTCGCGTTTCCGCTGCCTCCCCCAGCTGGGTTGATTGAGGTTCCTGCAGGTAGGGCAGCAGTACCCTACTGTGTAGCCGGACAACTGAGGCTCCACGCTGGGTTAATCGTGCAACCCACACCAGATACCGAACTACGAGCCGCCAAGGGAAAAGAGGCATGGAGATCCAGTTACTTTCTGCGTTTATGACCCATAACGGGTGTATTATGATTACCGGAAATGCTCAGTCCGAGACGCGTGAATCTGACAGATATTTTCACGGGCGACTGGCTAGGATCACTATATTCGCCGGGATTAGGTCCTTAATCAAAGCTGCGCCACATAATGCCTTCGCATATAATGTACGATACCGCTCTCGCATTATATACTTTCACTGCGACCGATCGGTTTATGCGGAGAGTGAGTGGGTGCAGTAAGGGCGAGAGGATACATATATATGTAGCAGGAAGACTCGCTTGAACATGGAAAGAATAAGTAAAGCTCAGTCTCCATCAATCAGTCCTTCATTAGCCAACAACTCCCAGTAAATCAATGTCCCGCCCGAGTGATCGCCAAAGTAGAGTCTCCGCGATACCGGGGAATTACAGCCCTCACGTCATCATACAGCCTGTGACTGTACCCACGTAATATTCTCTGCTCAACAGCTCCACTCGGAAATTAGGATGCTCATTCCAACATAAGCGAAATATCGGATTGGCACTAGTTGCACTAGTCTCTGACCAGGTTTCATCTCATCCAAAGAAACTGGAACCAGCGTAGCACAAGTCATCGCACGCTGATGCCTCGGCCTCTTATTATGCCGTCCAACCCGACCCCGCGCATCTTATGAGGTTTAATATAGGCGGGCGCTCGTTAGCCCATCACAGGATCTAGTGCATTGTCAAATGCCCGACATTAGTCCCATCCTTGGGTGCTGATCGCACCACGCCACATCCAATATCCATCGTTCTTTAAAGTAACCTCCCAGTTCGGTGATTTCTCCGATGTCACCCGCCGCTTCCACATGTTAATTACGGGTTTGTTGGTGGGAGGTGGTTCCGACGGCATGAGGGATACTATTTTCCCCGTCCTTTATTTTATCTTAGTTGTCGCATTGGATCGTATGCTATACGAATGTATTCATGGTTCTGGGCGACATGAATATGCTTTATATTTTCCGTAGTTTCCGTGGCTCGATATTTCATGTCATAGCCTGTTCATTATGCATTTATGAAGATGGTATACGAGGTAGCACAACTGACTGTTAGAAGAGGGCATAATAAAGATACACGGTGCAGCAAGCAAATAATACCGTGGGTTCATAACCTGGCCAAGGCAAACATCAGTAGATGTGACCGGGTTTTACCGTACTCAATACTGTCCTACGTCTACACGTCAGGCCACGGGATCATGGACTTCCACTCGGACGTTCTCTCACGATCCAAATCAGTTGCACAGTCGTCAATGGCTAAATTGATCTATCAAACGCTTTAACTAAACACAGGAGGATATCACACAAAGCACCCCAAAAATGCTAATCTTTCAAAACACATCAGTTCTTCGACTACGATGATTTGGTCCTGTTAGACGCCGCATCATACAGTCCTTGGATGTCAGCCTTCCACTGGCTCTCATCCACTCGCTTGACTCGCCGATCGTATGTCATCAGACCGTTCACCTCACCCTCAACATCCGCGGTTTGAGTCCACACACCCGCACTGCAGGCGTACAGACGGACCTGATCTTGAAGCTCGGAGAGCAGAAGGTGGCTGCGATAATTCCAAGCGTCGAGGTCCAGATCAACCTCATAGGTCTGGTTAATGCTGTTGATGGCTTCTTGGTTGTTCCAAAGACTGTGGCTTATTAGTGTTGTCTTGGTGTCTAGGTGCTCACAAACTTACTGGTCGATCGAGACGTTGTGACCGAGACCTCCGAACTCTCCTTGGATGCCAATCCGGTTCGAATCATACGGGGTCGAGTCGATGGAGTAGAACGGAGTGCCACACTGGGGGTTTGCATAATGGTGGTTGTCCTGAAGAGCGTTAGTCCAGAATAACGTGGTTCAGAACAGACTGAACTTACGCTGAAGTCTCCCGCGCCGTGGTCATGCCAGCCAGAAGTCGCATCAACCAGTCTGGTAGGATCAAGCTGCTTCACAATCGACGTCAAGTTGAATTCGGGATAATAACTGGTAACCTGGCCCCAGCCTTCGTTGTAAATCACCTATGCGCGCGGAAAGAGTTAAGACAATGCGCGGGATGAAGAGGTCGGTGATTCATTGACTTACCCAGGTAAAGATGCTGGGATAGCTTTTGAGCTGATTGACGAGAAGCTCTAGCTGTCGACCAAACTCATTCTGCTGGTCGGCGTCGGGAAGAACAGTTTGTGTCACCCCGTTAGCGTCTATTTCAGTTTCCAATGGCCGAAGGGACGGCATGTCCTGGATCACTAGGAGACCCATTTCGTCACAGGCACGATACCAAAGCGCTGGCTCAACTTTGATCTGCAACACTGTCAGTACAGTTCTTCAATAAGGCTTCGGGATACTCACATGCTTGCGGACCATGTTGAAACCCAGCTCCTTGAGGAACTGAAGATCATAAACCATAGCTTCACGATTCGGAGGAGTATACAGTCCATCTGGCCAGTAGCCCTGATCGAGTGTTCCGAAGATGAAGGTGAAGTTTCCGTTCACTAGTGGCCGAACAACGCCATCCACAGTACCCTTGGAAAAGGTGCGGAATCCGGTGTAGCTTTTGATCTTATCCTGCCCCATAGCGACTGACACATTGTACAGGTTGGGGGAATCTGGGGACCAAAGCTTCGGATCGGACACATTGAACAGCAGGGGCTGATCCGACATGCCGCTGGCAGATCCCACCACATCCCCACCATCCAGCACGGAAATATTGACTGCCGTACTGTTGCCCGAGGAGCTATGAACGGTGACATTGACTAGGTTCTATTAGCAGCCGAATGCCTGAAATGATAGACACTACCCACCTTGGCCATGCATGTCAGCGCTGAGATCCAGTTGTGTGACATAGTCTGCCGGGGCAGTCTCGATCCACACGCTTTGCCAGATTCCGCTACAGGGAGTGTAGAAAATATGAGACGGGGAAAGGTGCTGCTTGCCGATAGGGATGACATATCCGTCACTATCGGTGGGATCATGCACGAAAACAATCCTATTGTTGTCAGTGGGGTCCTTCGCACATGGGTCTATCAGATACTAACATTTCGTTAGATGCCGATAGGTTGACAAATTGCGTAATATCAACTGTGAATTGGAAGTAACCGCCCCGGTGGAAACCCGCTTGCTGTCCGTTGATAAACACAGTGGCTTCATAGTCCACGGCTCCGAAGTTGAGCAGCACATTTTCTCCGTCCCACGTACTCGGAACGGTGAAGTTGGTCCGGAACCAGGAGTAAAGTGTGTTGGTCCCTTGGATGCCTATTGAAAATTAGCACGAATGCAGCTGATATCCGAGAGCAGAACACCCACCAGAGAGACCACTTTCGAGACAAGACGGAATCAAAACTTCTTGGGCGAGATCTTGGCCAAATGGCGCATTTTGGCTGTCGTTCAGGCTGGAAGCACTTTGATACTGCCAGATGCCATTCAAATTCTTCCACTGAGTTCGCTCCATCTGAGGACGAGGATACTCAGGCCATGGATTGGTTCCGACATCGTCGGTCCAAGGCGTGGTCAATGGCGGCTGTTTCTGAGAATACTGAACAGTCGTCCGGGCGGTGTTTTGGTGTGGTTTCCCAACACTTCTCGCGAAGGAGCAGGTCAGGAAGAGAGCGAGGTAGGCGAAGGTCCCATGCATCTCGACGTCAAGGATAATTTATGGAGACGGGGCTATCGACTGAGGCATGAGAGAAAGGACAATCCGGCCTGGTACTTATACCTCCCTGCTTACGGCACACCAATTGCCGGAGGCAAAGACGGCGATGGATGCAATTCCGGGTCAGCATCTGATCCAATTTCGAAACCCGAAATTGTATGGCTCCCCGCATATTGCCATGGCTCTTTGGCCCACAACTGCAGACACAAACGCCATGGCAGCGTGCTCAGAGAAGACATGAGACGTTTCTAATCCACTGGGGTTTGCTTGGCACATTAGCGGCGCATGGGGGCTGCAATTGGCGCGAGAGAAGTTTCCATCGGCGCTACTGGATTGCCACTTGCCAAATTTGCGCATGGGACGTGGATCATATCTCCACGCTCTACCTACGACGAAAATCAGGTACTTTCAACTTCTACGGTCTCCTCTCGGGATGTCCCTGAGGCAAAACAGATCCTGCGTGAATGAGGCAAGCCCCTTGTTTCTGACTCAGCACAGCATCCAATCACAACAGTGCCCTGACAAGCATCCGCTGGAACAAACGGAGCTTGGAAAGACTTTGTGAATCGGAAAGCCAATGGGAATAGCAGGAGTTAGGGATCCATGATTCGGTGCTGAATTCAAAGATTAAATTGCCATCTTCCCCTTTTTGAGGCCTTGGTCCGGACCCTGTGCCCTGGTTCCATTGGTAGCAATCCATAGCTTGGAGGCATATCTGCCGAGCCTTGGCACTGGTCACGAGCGATGCGACTACATTGCTATTCTCTTGTATCTTCTCCTGTTCATGGTCTATTATCGACCCCGCATGGATTTTTTCATGCTGCCTAACGGATTATACTCGGCATTTATCTCACCGACAAATTAGGCAAGGGAATAGTATGCAGGGTTGCGTCAGCCAAGTCGTGGGCAATCTATTCTAGCGCTTATCCTGCATCATGATTTGACAGGGCCTGCGCTGCTGTCAGCCCTGCCAAGGTGGTTAGATAGGGTCTTTTCCTGGCTGTAAGCCCAGCGCATCCATGGATATGGCCTGCAGATCGTATTGAACGTCTGAGTGACAGTTGTCAGGAAGTCCTTACCACGGAACAAGGGGCTGCCAGACGGGTGTCTAGACTAGACTCGACATTAGGCGCTGCTGTCCCCACTGTCCTTATGCCAATAAGATTGTACTCATTTTGGTAGCTAGGTTGACAGAATGTGGCCAAGATACACCGGATTACTCGGATCTGCGAGACCCCTCTTTCTCCGGGCGTCTTCTCCTAAACACCGGTGAGGCACCGTTGCAGCCACGAGGCTGTTTGCATCGCTCTAGCAATGTATTATCAATGTTGCTACTATCCAATTTCGCCTAATCAACATATGAACCACAAGTGAGCCTTTTGTAGTTGCGATAACACACACTAACCCCACTCTGCTCCATGAAACAAAAAGCACCTCAATAAATGGGGCCCAGTTTATGACCCCTACTTCTTTGTCCCGTTTTGAGAGCCCAGTCTACTTTTTAAGAACGTTCCTGGCGCCTCACGGCGACCCAAAGGAACATCTTTTAAACCTAATCACTAGCTGAAATCTTTCATATAATCACCTCGTATGTCCCCAATCACAATCCGGAATCCAACCCTCATCTACAAGAAAGGACCGCACTAGCCATAGTCCAAGTTCTACGCCCATGACACATCACCTCCTATGCCATTTTATGTCGCCAAGGATGGCATGTGATAATGCTTTTGTTGTCAGGAGCGTGGTAGGAGCGTACAGTAGTGCGAATCAAACGTAAAAAGACCATCGTCTGTACGTGGGCTCACATGCCATTATTCTATCGGTGGGCGGATGGGTACTGGGATACAAAGACCAAGATGAGTTACATATATATTTCTCTCTCCCATTTATTGTTCCAGTTTGGTATCTGGTCATCGTCCGATTCAACATATGGTCTTTCGGGCTTCATTGGTAATGATTACCAAATTCCATGTATCGCCTGTCCATCCTTCTCAGGGCTTTCTTTCTCTCGCCCAGTTCATCTGAAATTGTGTCAAGACAGAGAGCAGACACGTCTCGAACCGCGACAGCCATGGCTAGGATTTTGGCTGCGCATTTTCGACATCACCAGGGACAGGCGCATCCGTGTATATCCGAAGTAAGATTTGTTCGTTCTGTTTCAGATCGGAGTTCTTCAGGTCAAGCGTCTCCCGAGCCTTGAATTGAGCACCTGTTTCTTACTACCCCACATGCAATCCTATACTAGCTATCTTCAATCAACGTCCCATTCTCCCGGCATCCACAATACGTCTCCTCCAGAGAGTGACACGCCTTTTCCAATCTCGTCTCGACTTTATGAGAATCACGATGTGTTCAAAAAATGGTGGTAAGAAGCAGACCCCATCACCCGGCCCTACGATGCAATTTTGTCATTCCTGCGAGATACTAGTAGTATTTCATACATCACCTTCTTATTGTACTCTTGGGTGCCTGCACACATATCTGGTAGACAGTGGGTAGTACGTATCGTGCATCAAGGTACCAAAAATTGTTAGTTCTGAATTCCTGGGGAGAGGAAATAATAGACAACGGGTAGAGACTTACCAAAAATTTCCTCGATGCTTACCATGGTCTTATTAACACATATCCCAAATACAATGATGCCAATATAACTCGGTGTGGAAGTCATGGTTCAAGTCATTCCCACAGACTGTACTGCGTCAGTCATAGGTATATATATGCACCGGGGATTGCGGCAATCAATACTGACGGATATTGAAGAGCATATATTGCTCACAGTCAACCTAAGAAGCATGACGATATCCACCAGAAAGCTCCTATATGGTAACCCGTACTTATTGAGGTCAGATTGGCGAAGTACCATACAAATATATAGAGACTGTGTAATCCGGATGCACTCTTCGCGTGATAGAACGCATCCAACCCCTGCTTTCCCAAACTGAAATGAGATGTCTGAATGTTCTGCCTCTGTCCTGTTTGTGAACAAGCCAGCAGGCGTAGGCATCATAGTGATACTATGTTTATCGACTTCAGAGAATTCAGAGTTTATTATGAGGGTACTCTGTATCAAGGGGCAGTTAGGAGCGGTCGATCAAAAGTGAATTCTCATCACTATGATGACCATCTTCCCGGTTAATCTATTTGCCGCATATCTTGTGCTGTCTAGTGAGCACAGCAATCCACCCATTATCTTGGGGTCTCTCACAATAAATAATAAACATCACTTACTTGGTACATAGTGACCCGGGGGGGTGTGACGGGCTCAAGAGCTCAAGAACTACTTAAGATATATAAAGATAAGTAGAAGTTAAATTTTCTGTTGGAGTGGCTACTAAGGCGATTCAACCGTGTAGAATGAGATGGATGATGATCTAGCTAGGGGCCTCGTAGGCCATCTATATGGACTAACTAGCGGTGTAGGGAGGAGTGTCACGTGACCCTACGTTGCCTACCGGCGTGGGAGCCCATCGGGGATCCCAACATTTTCTAAAGAGTTATTTAATTACAGATCAAATAATCTTTCTTATAATTAAACTTTCTTAAAGACTTTCTGTACAGTGTTAAGAAATCTCTATATCTCTTAACTAGTTTCTCTGTAGCTTTAGGGAGCTCCTCAGATTTCTTTTTTTTTATTACATAATTTCTATACTTCTTTAAGTATTATTAATTTAGAGTTGTAGGACTAGACAGGCCGGAACATAAAATGTTCCGGTTCCGGATGGCTGACAGGGTCTAATCCTTTTCAGGGGGTTAGCAGTTAGGCCTATTCAATTGGTATCATACTTTTATAGAAGGCGGTAAACTATTATTAAGTTTTTAATAGTTTATTATGGTTGTAATAGTCTCACCGTTACAGTTTTCTACTATTAAATTCAGTTTATAATAAGTAATGAATATTTAATCTAAGTATATATAAGTGTCTAACTCTTAATACATATAATAGTATATTTAGCTGTATCTGTTACCTCTAACCTCACAAAGTTAAAAATATAAATAAAATAAATATATAAAATAAGTATAGATAAAATTTTATACTATTTATAAAATATATTAATATCATACAAGTATAGTTTATATATAGTTTTAATTGTTGTATTACTTTATAACTATTATAAAATAGAATTTAATAGTTATAAATTAATCAGTGATTGATAATAATTATATTAAACTATTTATAACTGTTCTACAACCCTTTACAACCCTTTACAACCCTTTACAACCCTTTACAACCCTTTACGACCTTACTACAACGGGTGTGTTACGGACCCCTGCTAGCTGAACAACTAGTGAGGCGGACTCGTCAGGTAGAAGGCCACGACCGGAAAGACAAGGACTCTTATCGAGTAGAATCCCGATCTGAGTAACCGACGCCCGGAACGGTTACACAGCACGTGACCACGATGGACATGTCACCGACACGCTACAACATGTCGGCGCTACGACAGGACATGGCAGCGACATGAGATAACATATCAGTGGCATGACATATCATGGCGATGCCATACGGAGGATAGGATATATAAGGACACTCTTTCATGTACTTAGCTAGTTCTGTTCTTCGTGCTCAATAACACTGTCTTTAAGTAACCATACGTTTGGAAAGCTTAGCGACAACACTCGTCCGCACTCACTTACGGATAGCTGCGCGGCACTATCTGGCCTTACTTCTCTTCCTTTGGTTCAAGACCAGTTGCCCTTAGATAGTCATCAGTCTGACACTGCCTCGACTAAGTTCGACGGTACGTACACTAGTGAAAGCTAAGCTAACAGGAACAAAGGGAAGCGATCCTAGGGTTTGACAGGGTGCTACTAACCCCCTCGGGACACTATGTACCTCGATGTCTCTCTGAATTGCCAGATTCAGCGACATTCGATGGATCTTTCCGAGATAGCCCATCGTTGCCAGCTAAGAAGCGGCAATATATATATTGGGGAAAGCTTGGCAATCTTATTGTCACTTTTCAACCTAGCCCCACCGTTCCTCTTGATCAGTCTAACACTCGCCACAAAGCAGATACTCCCTAGTACTGCCCATATTTGCATAGTACTTCAGGACCAAGTCTTGGTGGTATTGACTTGCGCCTCATCTAAATTTGTCCACGTGACGAAAAATCTCTCGATCGGACATGCGACCACCACTCCACCATACTGACAGTTTGCAGTTTGCACAATACGAGTACGACAACAATTTAAGACAACCCTAGTAATCATAGTAGTAACAGGAGTAGACTAGCAGACAAGATAAGAGCCGAATCTCTTATGAGTGGATTCTCATCAGCCCACCCGGTCAAGGACCCTACATCGAAACCCTGCACCACTAGACCCGAAGAGGGGCCCGCCTGGCCGGCCATTGGCCAGATCCGACCCCAAAGGCGGTCGATGACTAGCCGATTGAGCCTAGTGCCTGAGCCCTGCCCAGACCTCGCCCCACTCTGCTGTGCTCTACTAACCAATGGAGTCTGGCACCAACACGCTGTCAGCTGCTGATTGGGAGGACCCGCCGCGGCGTTCTCGGCGAAGGGCCAATGGGTGGAGAGCAGCCGGCCCAAACGGGCCAAAAGGCAGAGCCCCTGGCGCCCGTGACCCCACCGACTACGCAAATCAAGAATTGCCGGCAAGATTCAAACGTCGATCGTCATCCTCGCGGCCGCTCGCCTCTCGCTTCACTCCGTTTCTGCTTCCCTCGCCTCTCTTCACCTGCCTCGCCCTGGTCCATCGCCGGGAAGGTCGTTGGCAGCCTCCGTCATGTTCATCACGTTTCCTCGCTATCCCATCCATCTTCAGAGATGATCGTGCTTGTTGACGCCGTCGATTCCCGTCCATGAACCATCATCCCTTGGGCGATGACAGTGCATCCGGCCCCCTCCGACACCGCCGTTTGCCCCCCAAGGAGCATGTCCCTCAAGCATGTCCGGGAACCTGGAAAAGACTCTGTCCAATGTCTGGCTGTATATCACCGGTGCGTCCTGTTTCTGACCTTTTAACCCAGTGGTTCCAGCGCGACTGACCTTTTATGCCTTTAGAGCGTATGGGCCTCAGCCGCGCCGGCCCGCACAATGGACAGTCGATTCCCTCGGGAGGATGGAGGCCTGTTGCCCTGCGGCCGGTATATCTCTGGGTGATCGCGGGTATCATGTTTGCGATGCTCCTTACACTCGATGTCCTTCGGCGATACAGTGAACAGAAGGGCGGACTATACTTTTTCCCGGATACTGACACCGTTTCCGACGCGCAGTCGTTCGCCTACAACTACCTTCCCATCATCGCTGCCCTCATTCTCGTCACCCTTTGGTCCTTTATTGACTACGATGTTCTCCGCCTCGAGCCATACTTCCAGATGTCCCGACCGGAGGGGTCGCCGGCGTCGGTCCTCTTCATCAATTACAATTTTGGCCAATCGTTTCTCACTCCGCTCACGTCGGCCAAGCGCGGTCACTGGGTTGTTTTGCTCGTGTCTATCGCCACTCTACTCATTCGCTTGTTTCTCCCGGCCCTGCAGAGCACTCTTCTCGAACTTCGGGAACTGAACGTGGTGGATGACGGAGAGATCAAGACATGGCCTCAGCTCCTGGATCTACACACCCAAGCTGTGTGGATAATGGCGCAGAAGAGCAATGAGACGCTGGCCCTGGACTCCGTTCTCACCGCCCGTGACAATCTGCGCAGCACTCGTTCCTCCAGCTACGCAGTGGCGCCCGTTGAAATCAGCATGGAAGACCGCCGCGAAAGCACGGTATGGACGCTAAATCAGACAATCTACTGGGCTCAACTGGCGTGCCGCGACGTTCTAGCGGACGACCATCTCTCGGTCTCGATCAATGATACGTCCAGCGACCCCCCTGTACTCTCATGGAACGTGACCGGCGTTCAGCTGCAGGACATCCACGGGACCGAAGAGTCGTGCACCTTGGATTTTCACTACAAGAATATCTTCTTCCCGACCACGGATTACCTGCAGGTCCGGTATTGGGAGCCCGCTTGGACGAACCGGACGCAACCTGCCCACAACCAGGGAAAGGCATTTACCGCCCAGGGTTGTGATGATCCCTATGACTTGTATGGGATCGTCATCTCAGTCAACGCTACGGTGGGTGGGGCTGACAGTATCAGCCAGCTAGGCTCCGAGTTTACCTCGTCGGCCGGCATATTCGGCTGCAAAGTTAGCTATCGTCAGGCGGAGGCCAAGGTGTCCATGCACGCCAATAGCTCAATCACCAGCATCTATGGATATTCGGATACGGAGCGGCCACTGTCAACCGACGATTTCAATATCGACGCTTTCCAGGACCTGCTGGCTCAGCGAGCCCCATACACGGGCGACATGTTATTCATCCAACTGAACCAGACCACAGACGACACCACGGTGACGGAGCTGCCCGTCATCAGTCAAGACCTGGGTGACCTCGAGCCGCTTCTGGTCTTGGATGCATCCACGGTCATGACGCCGGGACAATTTGAAGCCAAGGTCACACGGAGCGTTGTCGAGACGTTCGTGCTCACGATGGGTCGCTTGTTCAACCCGGACCAGGACCCGACCAGCGTACCAGCGCATCGGCAATCGACACAAGTCGCTATCTCCGTGGTCTCTTTCGCCTCCTGGTGGTCGGAGGTGATTTTGGCCATCGCAATCATTCTCACAGTGTGTCTTATCTATTTCTACGGCAGGCGCCCCAACATTCTGCAAAACGATCCTAGTTCTATCGGGGCCATGTGTAGCATGCTGACCGACCTATTCGGGGCTTCCAACGTTCTCGGAGATCCACTGTCTGACGTTCATCAATTTTCGACGCGGCAGCTACGTCAGGTCCTGCGAAACTGCCGGCTCCGATGGCAGCAAGGGCCTATGGGGCCCCGACTTGAGATTATTACGGCAGACGGTCAGTAAACAACGCTGCAAGCCTGGATTGCGAACTAACTCGAGCAGGATCACCGGTTACTCTTGGCGAGCAAATTCGCACACGGGTTGACCCCATGCCACACTTTCTGGTGATTCCGATCTTCATCATAGAATTTCTTCTCTTGGCTGCCGTCATTTCGGTCATGGGAGTGACGGCGGCAACTCTCGCTCACGACGGGAGTTTTCAGCACCTCTCCCAGTCAGCCTCGAGCTTTCTGCAGGTTGTGACGTCGTTTTTGCCGTCCATCGTTGCGTCTGCTGTGGCCGCCTTGTGCAACTCCATTCTTCGCAACATCAGCATTTTGGAGCCGTGGGTTCATCTGCAACGCGGGATGGCGGTCGCCCGGACATCCGTGTCTATGAACTATGCGTCACAGAATCCGTGGTCGATCTTGAAAAAGGCCGTCCAGAACCGCCACTCCCTGCTCAGTCTCGTCTCGTTTGCTTGCGTCGCCAATATCCTGCTGACGGTCGTGGCCGGTGGGCTGTTCACTCAGAAACTGACGCAATCATACCTGCCGTCCACCTCGTTGTACATGAATTACAGCAACTCCCAGTTTCAGCGACCAGAATTTGCTGCGGACTTTACCGAGTTCGATCTCATCCAGACCAGCATCACGAGCGGAGTGCCGATGCTGCCGTGGATGGCTTCAAACTACTCGTTTGTCCCCATCAAGAATACAGATTCGGACCCCGACGTGATGTACGGCGCGACCACTCTCGGGATTGGCAGCGATCTGGAGTGCAAGGCGCTGTCGATCTCGCAAAACTTGGTGGAAGAAGGCCAAAGCACGTACTGGGTGTATCGGCCATCGCAGGATGTCAGTCGGCAGTGTATGGTGAACATGACGGCGCTTGTGCGGCCCAGTGAAGCCATTGCTCTCTCCATCCATTTTCTTTCTCCAATTGCGGAATCGGACATGGATCTGTGCCAGATGTCGACGGTGCTGGTGGTTGGACGATGGCACTACACAGCAGAGTCGTCTTTCACGGACAACAATACGATCGCGCTTCAATGTGAGCCACGGATGCGACTGCAAAATTTCTCCGTGACCTTCGACCGACGGGGTCAGATTTCCGACATTGACGCGGTAGCTGGCACGGCGATCACGTCGGGCACGATGTATGAGAACGCCACGATCGCGCTCGGGCAATTCAACAAGATCTTTGCGGCCATTCCTCAGAGTTTCGTCGGAGAGGAACCCGGCCGAAACCAGTCGTATGTTTCCTCGTATGACTGGGCGGGATTCCTGGTGGCCCGTCTGTATAGACAGCACGAGAAGATCGTCCCTTTAAAAGCCGCGGACCTAATGGTGGAGGTGCAGGTAGTGTATCAGTGGGTGTACAGCACGTACTTCACGCTCTGGCGAAACATGTACCTGGTGCCGCTGGAGACGGTGGTGTCGGCGGCCAACGCGACGGTAATCTCCAACACGTGGACGATGGCCCCGTCGGTGCCATCGCTGGTCATGGCATTGGTGATCATCGCGCTGGATACCCTAGTGGTGCTGGTGGTGTTTGGAACGCGGCGTGGACGGTTCCGAGGACCGCGGATGCCACGATCCATCGGGGCGATTATTCCGTGGATCGCGCACAGTCGCATGCTGGACGACTTTCGCAACACGTACTCGTGGACAAACGCGAAGCGGCGGGAGCATTTAGCCCGGTTGGACAAGCGGTACGGCTTCCGGATGTTTCTGCAGTCGGACGGACGATGGCGGTTTGCCGTGGACGAGGAGGCCGTGGGACTCGAAGACAAGCCACCGGAGGGAGCAATGGACGCGAGCAAGGGGGCGGACGTGATTGAGTTGCGGTCTATGGAGGCTGGCACTCCGCCGGGGTCGGATCATGATTAATGTGATATGAGGCCAATGTATTATACTCCGTAGGGATAGTGTACATAGATATAAGCAACAATTTCGGTCTGCACTTGATTCCGATCCGGGCCGTCGGACTTGATCCGATGATCCGAGGTGGAGCCTACCTGCATATAAACCGGATGACCCTGCATTATCTTGCACCCCGCATCCCCATCAACCCCTCGCTCTCATGGCCGACAAGCTGGACGTTCTCCTCTACGGGCTCGGAGCGTATGTCAACCTCTCCTTCCTTTCTGGATGACAGCAGTCTCATTGAACCTACAGCATCGGCTCCTTCTACGCCTTCATCCTGCACCGCACCAACCGAGTCCGTCTCACCGTCGTCGCCCGGTCAAACTACACGGCCGTCAAAGAAAATGTACCCTACCCTAACCCCCGCTCCCTCCCTCCCTCACCTACCCACTCACCCACTCGCACAGGGCATCCTTCTCAAAAGCGCCAACCACGGCGACCACCACTTCCACCCGGACCGAGGTACCTCCTCCTCCCCAACCCACACCACCCAACCCTAACCCAACCACCCACCACAGTAATCCACTCACCCTCCGAACTCACCCACCCCCCCTCCTACATCATCTGCACCAACAAAGCCATCGACACCGCCAACATCATCCACTCTCTCGCCCCCGCAATCAACCAAAACACCACCATCGTAATCATCCAAAACGGCGTCGGAAACGAAGACCCCTTCCGCGCCGCCTACCCCACATCCACAATCATCTCTTGCGTCGTACGTACCCCACCCCCCACATTCCCCCCATCCCCCAAACTAACCCAATCACCCAAAGACATGGGTCGGCGCCTCCCAACCCACCCCAGGCGTAACCATCCACACCACATCCGAAGAAACCGAACTCGGCCTGTACCCTAACCCCACCAATTCCCCAAGTACCGAATCCACCCGGCTCACAACTTTCACTTCGCTCCTCGCACAGGGCCAAACGCCCTACACGATCCACGAGGACATCCAACCCACACGGTGGGGAAAGGTTATCTGGAACTGTGCGTGGAATACCCTCACTACGCTGACGGGGCAGGATACACAGGCCTTTTTGCAGTCCTCTGAGGATGCGATCCCGTTGACGCGGCGACTTATGGGCGAGGTTCTCGGTGTGGCGCGCGCAAGCGGGGTGAGTCTTCCGGATGGGTTGATTGATACGCAGATAGCTAGGATTCAGGGTCTGGGGGCCGTGCGAACGAGTATGCAGGTTGATCGGGAGAATGGACGGGCGATGGAGATAGAGGTTATTGTGGGGACGGTGGTGAGGAAGGCGAGGGAGGTGGGGGTTGAGACGCCGGTGTTGGATACGTTGTATGTTTTGTTGAGGGCTGTGGATGGGGGGAGGAAGAAGGGGGAGGAGGAGGGGAAGATTTGATGTGATGTGATGTGATTGTTTGTTTAGGGTGGAGGGGGTTGAAGTGCATATCCAGGTATGGATATAGTGGGGAGATAGCTGGAAAGAGAAATACTCTTCAGATCCAGGAATAGGTGGGCATGTCGTACAAATTGGCTTGGCAGGTGGATAAACCCGGTCGGACTTACATTAGGGCCGTGTAGATGACCCCGGGCTGAGTGACGAGTAGGATCCGACGTCCCTCCCAAATGGACTCGCCTAGGTGGCAGTTGTAGACGTGGAATCTCATGTGATCAGTGCCACAGTGATACGATTTGCCCAGTTGTGGAAGGCACTGAAAATCAAGATGGCCGCCCGTGGACATCTCGCATCTTGTCATGGCTTGGATGGCCCGTTCGAAGATCCGAATCAGCCGGTTCCTTCGGGTGGTGACATCGGCCGGCGTGAGGGGCTCGATGAGTAGTAGGCGAAATGGCTCACTGGCCAGCAAATCATCGGCCAGAGAGGGTGGGATGGCATGACGGCGTTGGGCGTTGTAGATGCCAAAGGTCACGTTAGGGGCTTGCGAGGACTCGGCTGAGTTGGCTAGACGATGCGTCTGTCGCTTCCACAGTGCCGCGGATTGTGGGTTCGCTGTGCATTAATTAGCTTCAGATTAAGATAACGGGGTGTTAGAAATGTGAAAGTAGTAAATACGTACTTTGAAAAATCTGCTCATAAAGATGTTGGAGCTTCATGGAAAAGTGCTCATCTTCGCCGTCATCTGAAATTCCAGTCTTCCCATCAAGATACCAAAACTAATTTTCAAAAACCCTAGTCATGATCGTCTTATAAATGAGGGACTCAGCGAAGAGTTCTCCAATAAAGTTGCGGGCAGCATCTGGAAGTCGCCTTTTCAAGGCAGTCCATTCCTCCTGGACGCAGTACCCTTCTAGGCTTTGAATGATAATTCTCATCTGCTCATTGGAAAGGTGCTGAAGACTGTGGAGAACAAAGTCCAGTATCCAAGGGCGCATTCTCTGCTCCATGACGCGGTACAGCCTTCCAACGTACTTGTGTGTTGTCGACCATCCCTCGCCGTCCGAAGTGAGGAGACGCCCTACTCCTCGAATGGTAGCCACGTAATCAGATCTCTTGAGGAGGTCCTTCCGTTTGTAAGGATACATCCGGTCGTCATCGATGTCTATGTCCATTGGATCAAGCGGCTGGAGAACCTCGGTTTGTTGGTATGGGGAGCTGGGCTCAGGGGATTCCATCTTGGGAGGCTTGCTCTGTTCCGCTGGAGAGCTTGCCCGAGCACGTTTCTGCTTGGGAGTCTCCAAATTTATGGATGTAGTATTTGCCCGAGGGCGTTTGTGATTAAAATCCTCCATCTTAATCGACGGAGTGCAGCACAAATTATGCGCCTCCATGTTTTTACCACCCTGGAGGTGAATCTGGTGGATCTGACTATCTTCGTAGTATTTAGAGGGAGTGCAGAATCTGGCAGAACCTGGAAAAATTCAGGAGAGGTGGACGAGGAGCGTATTCATGTAGCAGACAAAGGATTGATGTCCGCTCTTTGTCCTCCTTCGTTGCATCCTCGGCTCGTCCCTTTCATCTCCATCTCTTGCCATGCAATATTATCCCACCCATCCGACCATTTTACATGCAGTCCCAGTTTCCCAACCAAAGCGGACAGGTCATTGAGGATTTCTCCAGTAAAGTTCAGGTATCCGTCGATCGAACAGAAATACGGACTGTATCGAAGCAACCCCCTGCGCACTTTGGTTTACCAGGTCGGCAATCCGGGAGCAAGACACTCGGTATCAAATGGAACAAGCCGTGCCAAATGCAGGATTTGGATGTACGCCTAGATATCGCGCTTTCTACCTTCCGAGGCTGAAGCAACCGCCTTGTATCTCTGAAACACCCCCGTGGTGAATGGCTAGTGGGATGTTCAGACTGGGAATAGAGAATGGATACCTCTCTTAACAAGGTTGTATATATAGTAACCTATTGGAAATATCACTCTTAACAATTAATCCATCCAGTCCGTAGTAGTAGATACCGGAGATCTAAATCACTCTTATCCAAATTCTAAATTATAGTCAGTTGATAAGATTCTTTCCGTGGCGCTTTAGTTTTAAAATGTCTTGATCGTCATCAATTCCTTGGAATGACTGTTGCAAACAAAAAACATTTGAAAGATTTTCTCAATGACTGATCAATTGACGAGAATAGGAAGATTCCTTCCAGTTATTCGTTCCTTAATCTTATTTTATATTTCAATAGACCTGATTGTTATTTTCGTGTCATCCTAACAACCCAATATACTCTCGCATACATATATTTGATTATATCTAGAACACAATGGCAATTTTAATTCTGCTGTGGCATTGCAGCGGATGTTAAGTTTACCTCTATCTGTTCAGTATGATATGAGCAAGATGTTCTTTGAGACTTATGTACACTACTTGCACTCATAAAACGAGTCAGCCCGAGGAAGATTTGGGATGATTCAGGTGACAAGCCTTTATCATATTCATCCTCGTAATACAATCAACATATTCTGGCTGACGGTTTATCCAACTCTGAACTTACGTTAACGCGCGGATACAGGTATTGGGCATTAAAACAAGGTAAACAGCTATCATCCGACTCGTTTTCATTTTCGTTGGTCTATAAGATATAATTATGTATCTTGTCTCACCTTTCCAGCGGAAATAATCAGCCATTACACTTATCTCATTGCCGGGATTATCATATCATCGTTAATCGTCTGACACAACACCCAGAATATAATCTACGTAGACAATCTCACCTTGATCATCAGATACTTATCAGCCCACTCAACCAAAAGCCATATCCGTAGCTGAATTGACCTATCAGTGAAATACCTCATCCCCACCCATCCCCTCTGAACCACCTAAAACATCACAAATGACAGGATCGTGGAATCACTACCGAGGTTGATGATAGCTGAGTCCCGGTCTAGACCTATTCCATGCCTCACTTTGAGATGAGATTACAGGCGGGTGATGTATCTGTTTCATGATGTTTGGTTTTCATTAATGACGTCTTGTCCGCTTGTATGCCAATTTGCTATAGTCTCATTCCTTTGATGTAGATGATCTGCAGGTACGTCTCTGTAGGAGTCATGGTCTGTTATCAAATGTCCAATCTGAATGCTGTTCAAATCCATTACACACAATCACCATCACCACCATTCAACAGTAATCCAAATCTAGAACCCCAACAGCAGCAGTCCAACTCTAGACACCCCAACAACACAATCTAGACCCTGACAGATCCCTCCCCACCACCACTCTAATCCTAACAAGAATTGTAGCGACAGCGACACAGACTCCCAAGTGGGTATGCTCATACCCGGAAGCCAGGCACCAGCATCATGAAACCGCGACGCAAATGCTATTCCACGGACACACACGAACCTCGGCAGAAAAACTCAAGCCTTAATCTGCTGGTCCCTGTTTCAGACCGATAGACCGAAGTTTATCCAATTGTCTTTATCTTCTGTGAGTGGTAGCTGAATTGCTGCCTGATTTACCACACACGACTCCGTACAACAGAATAATCTACACTAGGTACATACCCCCAACCAACCAACACACTCACATTCTATGAATAGCACACTACCCCCAAATCAAAATCCATCCCGACGTTCCTAATCCCCAAGCGGGTCCCGAAGCCTCAAGACTCAAAAATGAGCAGCCCTAACGCACTAGCGGCGGCCCCGGGCGCAACAGTAATCTATCGGCGACAGACCCTACCCTAGTCAATAGTCATACGGTCGGACCACCAGACACACACCACCGCACCGACACATAACGGTTCACTGGTACTGTCGGTCTGTTGCAGCCTGAGACTAACCCGTGATAACCATGGACAGAATCATGAAGGATGGCTCAGCCGCTCAGCCGCAGGGTTCCTGAATGTTTCAGACTTTTAGTCAATTTCTGGATCAGGAACCGGGGTTAACCCTTATTGTATGTATCAACCTTAATAGCCTTGTTATAGTGGGATCTTCCGGGTACCTCGGAGGAAGATGAAACGGGGTACCGCTGATCGCTCAGATCCTGGCCGTGGAAGTGGTCCGTTCGACCCAATTTTGTGTCCCGGGATGGAATGTATATAACCATGCTATGTTCTCGCGTCTGGATAGGAGTTTAACCAGCAACACCAAGTGCAGTGCACATTGTCCATCTCCTTCCTTCCTTCTTTTACTTCCTTGTTAGTCGTTCGTTAGAGCTGTGCTCATAGTCATTCACTTCACCACCACCACTACAAAAGGAACAATGAAAGCCTTCATCGCCCTCACCCTCCTCGGCACCGCCCTCGCCGCACCAACCTCCACCCTCCGGGACCGCGATTTCGACCTCTCCTCGCTCACATCGGGCCTCTCAGCCCTGAGCTCCGGATCGGCCGCCACCTCGGGATCAACCGAGGCAGCGGGGTCGGGGTCGGGAACCACCTCCAGCTCCAGCGGCCTTAGTGCCCTGGCTTCGTTGTTCCCGTCTAGCAGCAGCACCAGCAGCGATGCCACCAGCAGTGGTAGCAGCAGCAGCAGCAGCAGCGACGGGCTGAGTAGCCTGTTGAGTTCGTTTTCCAGTGGAAGCGGTATGATCCCTCAACTACCCTAACCCAATCCAATCCAACCCAATCCCCTCTCCCCACAAACACCACAACGAAGTCCGGAACTAACGCTACGGAAATACCTACAGGCTCCATGACCGAAAACGGCGTGACCCAACACTCCGGCAGCTGCAAAAAGCTGACCTTTATTTTTGCCCGGGGAACCACCGAAATGGGAAACATGGGGAGCGTGGTCGGACCCGAAGTCGCTAGTCAATTGGCTTCTTTGACGGGGAATCAGGTTACCGTGCAGGGGGTGAATTATCCTGCTGATTGGGAGGTACCTATTTATCCCTTTTTCCCCTACTATACATCAATGCAAATACTAAAATAATGTTAATGAAATAAAGGGCAACATGTCCCTCGGCTCCTCCGGCGGTCCCACCATGGCCTCGTACGTGAAAGAAGCCCTCCAGCAATGTCCCTCTACCAAGGTAGTTTTGGGTGGATACTCCCAGGGATCGATGGTCGTGCATTATGCTGCGAACCAGTTGAGTGCGGGACAGTTGTCTGGGGCGGTTCTCTTCGGTGATCCGTTGAAGATGGAGGGTGTGGGGAAGCTGTCTTCCTCGAAGGTTAAGGAGTTCTGTGCGAGTGGTGACCCGGTCTGTGAGAATGGGTTTAATGTCATGGCGCATTTGTCGTATGGGTCGGATGCGAAGGAGGCGGCGACTTTCTTGGTGCAGGCTGCGGGACTTTCTTGATTTATTCTATATATGCTTTTGACTTGGGGGGGAAGGGGGTAGGGGATGGGGTTAGGAATGGGGGTGCATGTTGGTGATGTTGTGTAGGTTTGGGTAGATAGGAATTTATTAGCTGGACTATATACTTTTCTTCTCCTTTGTCTTTTTGTGTGTGAGTGTAAGGAGTGGGTATCGCTGTGGTCGTCTAGTTGATGTATGATTGTAATCTATGTCTATCTTCATTACAAGGTAGACACCATACATTAGTAAATGACTACCCCACATCATATACACCCCCAACTCATACTACTATGTAAGAATTAATAAAGCTTAAACCCCCCCCTCATCAACCCCTCTCCCTGCAACACCCCCTTCGGATCATAAACCTTAGCCACCTCTCTCAATCTCTCCAGATTCTCCTCTCCATACCCCCCGAAAATATCCTGCCAGCCTGCCGCATCTCCCATGTAGTTGAACGCATCGTACAGACCCGCCTTCTTGGTCGCATTGTTAATCATCTCGGTGGTTTCTTTCAACCACTCATTCACAATGTCATCATAGGCCTCGCCAATCCACTCCACTACTTCTGCGTAGCAGAGGTAGATTTGGTTGGAGTCTAGCCCGAGGGCGTTTCCGCCGCGGGACTCAGAAGCAGTGAGCCAGCTGTTGCCGATGGGCTGCCAGTCGAGTTCGATGAGGGAGATGTTGGCGCTGGGGATCTGGGAGGTGAGTTTGGGGAGTTGGTTGAAGAAGGTGTTGTTGATGAGGGCGATGCCGCTCTGTAGGGAGGTGTAGCTGGTTGCTTTGATGGTGCCGGCGACGAAGATGTCACTATTTTTATTAACATTCTATGCTAGATAGCAGTGGAGAGGGGGAGTACTTGATGTGCGGCGTCACAAGGGCACCAGTCTCGGTTGCAAACTCAGACAAGGTCTTAAAACCCAATGTGCTGCTGATAGCCGGGATATCGGTAAACGGCTTGAAGATCTCGGGATAGCTCTCCGTGGCACTGTCGTAGAAGAGAATCACCGATCCAACGGTCGTGTTACCCTCAGGCACGACAGCAGGAACGATGTGAGTCTTGGGATCGGAGATGTTGGCGGCGTAGGTGGCAGCGGCCTGTTTTGTCAGTCCTCATTCAAATCCACGCATGTGAATCGACCACAACTCAAGATGGGGACATACATCCAAAAACCTCTCCACATACTCCCCAGCAACTGTATACGTCCCCGCCCAAACCTTGGTCGACTCAATAGTCTCCATATCAAACCGTGTCACCAATCCAAAGTTACTACTTCCTCCCTTCAGCGCCCAGAATAAATCCGAGTGACTACTGCGATTCGCCTCCACGATGGATCCATTGGCCAACACAACCTCGTAGTTCACCACCGTGTCGCAACCGAATCCAACCTGGTTGCCGAAAAAGTTGATTCCACCCGCCAGAAGCAGTCCAGGGACACCGACCGGACCGAGACGGCCACCGGCTGCAGCGAGGCCGTAGGGTTCGAGGTAGGCGTAAACATCGGCCCAACTGTTTCTTAGTTACCATCATGTATGATACCACTTCAGATGAAGGAATACCGATAAGCCGGTCCAATGGACACAATCGATTGATCCTCCGATAGTGACAGGGTGGTCAAATTCGACATGACGACAAGGACCCCATTGTCGATGTTATTCGAGCCCTATTTTCGTCAGCCATTATTCCCTACATAAAAAATGCAGGAAAATGGGGGGTGTACACGAATGCCCATATGTCCTCCTCCCCGCACGGCAAACTGCGCATTCGCATCCACCAGCGCCTTGACGCCCTGGCCCAATTGGGCCGCCGATTGCGGGCGGAACACGCATCCCGGCGACATGATCTCCGTGTTGGACCAGAAGTTCTGCGCTTCATATTTGTAGACGTCGGTGCTGGGAGTGAAGACCTCATCGGAGAGGTATTGCAGGGCGGTGCAGCCCGAGGTGGCTGCAGCCGTGGCGGCCAGCGGGAAAACAGAGGCGACGCGCATGGTGAGTGATGGATGCGAATGAGGGAAAGAAGGGAAAGCGCGGTTTTTGACTGGCGATCTAGGCGGAGCTGACTAGCGGAGTGCTACTATACAACAAACAGGCGGGTGTGGCTAACACCGTAGCCGAGGCTAAGTCTGTTTGCAATGTTCTGCAGCCACGGCAATTCACTTCCTGTTGAGCCGTCCCTGAAAAGTAGTCTCGGGCCAGCAGCCGAGAGAAGTTAGCCGGTCGTTAGTGCGTCGTAGTGCGTCTCTAGCGTGCTCCACTGCAGGCGCGGGCACAGGCACATTCCGAGAATTCTTCCAGCATACATTCACTAGCATCATTACATACATCATGCCATTGATTCTCGTCCCCCTCGCGTATCCACGTTAAACTCCACCGTCCGGATGATCCCGTCGTCATCTTTTCTCGCTGGCAGAATATGTTCGGCACTCCCCCCGGTACCCCCTTTCAGTCGCGTCGAATACTGGCTCCGGTTGCCAAAGTCTGGTTGATCGCGGGGGATGGAGTTAAGGGGATGGCCATACTTGCGCGAGCTGGATTGCCCATAACCGTTCGACGATAGGCCCAGCAGACGAGGGAAGTACCGTCGCACAAACGGTCGCATCGCGGTGATACAGCCCCCGGTGATGCCTAGGTTCAGCTCGACTGTACACCACAACAGGGCATTCGTCGTGGCCCCTATTCCTTAGCTGAGTTCATCAGGCAAGGGATGGGACTTACAAGTCAGGTCCGTACTCTTGAGCAGGACATATAAACTCGCCAGACGGATGCAACTCACGATGCCGACACTATCCAGTCAGAAAGAACTTTATCGCGTCGTTTCACTTACAAACAACCCATCGCTAACATGAAACCAATGGCAATCTTCTGTCGCAGTGGCATCTGCAGTCGACGCAACCACGGTCTATCTCATTAGCAGCTAAATGAGCAAGGTATAAACGGGTCACTTACATCGGCACCAACACCGTCGCAAAATCGGTAAAAATGCCCAACCCCGCATTGGCAAAGTAAAACACCGGGCGGTTCATGCACGTCGATTTGATGGACAAATCCCAGGCCCCTGCTACCGGGGTACAGCTAAACACGTTGGCCAACACGCTGGCCACGTTGTAGCCCACCGCGATGAAGACGATTGTCCACACGGCCAGGTGGAACCCACGGCTGGGGAAGATGCGTAGGTAAAAGATAAGAACTGACACCTTGGTGAACCCAGTACCAGCGCAGTAAACAATCGCCGCGACAACATTATACTAACTGAGTTAGATTGGTTACCGAGGATGCAATGCACGTACCTTTAAAAACGGAGGGGTGACTTGATGCAGTGGGACATCCCACATGTGTTTCCCCAGACCATACTTGAGCACTGCTGGTCAGCAGCAGATACCATAGGAATAACAACACTTACTATCCAACGTCACCCCGAAAGCACCACCGACAGAATCTATCTCATCAGTCCAGTTCAACAAACCAGATCAACCCACATACCACAGCCAAAACCATCAAATCTACCCATCAGTCAGTCACATATACCACTCAGCCATGGCCTAGTATTGTCACTTACAATCATCCCACGCCACACTCCTCACAACAAACAACCTCGTCCACATCCTCACCCCCAAAGCCACGACCGCCACCGGCAAAAACACACAATTGACCACAATGAACTTCGTCCCGCAATCTGGTGGATCCACGAAATTCGACACCAGCCCGGACGGCGGCGCCATGGCCGGAATAATCGTGTCATTCATATCGATCGCAGAGCTGCATGACAGCTACTACCCTCAGACCACACTCACTACCTATAAGACGGCAGACCAGCCCTCTAATAATAACCCGGAGAGTAACACACGGGCCGCGCAGGGCAACAAATAAGCACTGCGACACACGCAACGAACTCAATTCTCAGCCGGGGGGAAGATATATCCCTGTATACTCCACTCTGCGACGGTCGGAAACCACGTCCTTGGCTGGCGATTGGTGCTCAGATAAACTTTGAGTGGCAGCCACCCGGAGGAAACCGAAGTCAGCAAGTATAGTAGTAACAAGATTTGATCGTCGATGGGATATCATCGCGGAGGGTGCGCCTGTCTTGGTAGCGATCGGATAGTTCATTATCTAGTAGGTATCTAGCTGGAGTGTCATTCCGGTGGACCGCTTGTCGCAGAGCTACCTATGGTGGGGTTGACCGAACCAGACCAAACAAGAGAATGGTTTTGAGGCAGTAGTTCGGAGTATATTCTATGCTACTGTGTAGGGTGTGATGATCGCGGCAGGTAGAATTGCCGTGAGACTCTCTATTCATTCATCAGTTTTATTCACTCCCACTGCCATTTTGATTCGAATCTTCGTTGGTAAATAGCATGACCCTGACCAACCCCTCTCATGGCAACCTCACGAACTAGAATCTAGAAGCCTCCCCCCCGAACCGCCCCACAAATACGAGCAAAGCACCACATCAATGATGTTATTAGCCCTGCTTAGCCCTGGCCCATCTCACACTAGGGCTAACTCGGCACCGGCACCGGCTAGTCTGATCCCATTCCTCGGTTCACAAAACTTTAAATCCTTTCCTCCCCGACAAGCCACCTCAGCAATCATCCATCAGTGGGATACTGAATAGATTATCATCGATAGTTTCGGGCGATGAGACGATCGGGTGTATGCACATCATAGTCTCCCTGGGTTCGATTTTACAACGTGGGTTGTGGGTTGTGGGTTGAGTTCGAACCATCCGAAAACGGTCAATGAAGGTGGGAGGTGCGTGGGGGTATCGTGTCGCATTTCATTTATTTGACTTTGGCTAGGTATTGGGGTGGGTTGGATCTTGGATGATCCACTGCTGAGCGAAGTGTGGTGGTGGTGGTGGTGTGGTGGTGGTGGTGGTGGTTCCGGTGAGGCCGGAATGGGGGGTTGATTTGATTGTCTGGGTGTAGATAGCAGGTGGGATTGTCTTATGTCTTGGGTTCTGCATACTATGTATGCATGCCAATGGTCGGTCTCATTGAAGTTTGAAGAGGAAGTAACCAAGGCTACGATTCTAAGCAAACCGCTTCATCGGCCCATATCGTCCCGTCAGTCCCCGCAGCTTCTCCCCCCAAATAAACAACGGCACCGCCATCACTACACTCACCCCCTGAATGGCCGTCATTTCGCCGAACACTTTCGCTGCGCCTTGTCGGTTGATCCAGTCTGCTGCGTACAGCGAGAGCAGCATCCCGATGGTGTTGCGGATTACGAAGATGATTACCAATGCCTCGCCCGTGATCTGTACCGTCAGTATGCAGAATACAGTGATTGATGGCATGTTACTCACGGGCTTGTAACAATCCAGCGCATAGGTTACCGCCACGTTGGATATCGCAGCCACTCCGAATGCCTGCATGGCGTATCCAACTGCCGCGCCCGCCCAATGTGTCTGGTGAGCTACGCATAGTCCGAAGATCAGGATCCCGGCGGGCCCGATTGTCCCGGGGATAATCATCACGGGTAGTCGGTACTCGGGCAGTCGGGGACCGCCGTGATGGCGCGTGTATCGCGTGGAGATGATATCGATCAGACGACCGCCCAGGTAGAAGGCGAGAAGGGAGCCGATGAAACCGGACAGCGAGAGGAGACCGATACTCCCGGCCGGCCAGTTGTAGGGGGGTGCCGTGAAGGTGCGGGATGCGGTGAGTTGGACCACGATGTTCCTGGTCTCGTTAAGTTGGTCCTACTCCAGGAAAGGGGTACTCACCATCCAACCGAGATACCGATGGTGAGGGAACACCATAGCAGCTGCGGATATGCCGCGTTGCGGAGAATATCCCAGGTGGTTCGGATGAATGATGCATCCGGGTTATATCCATGTGTCAGCGACAGCCAGTCCCGGTAGTTTCTGCGAGAGACAACGTGTCGGAGGTAGGTGGTTTCACGGATGGTGAAAATAGCGACCACGAGAACGGACCCCACTGCCACTGCGAGAAAGTAACACATCCAACGCCAGTCCTCGTCTTGCACCAGATAAGCGTTGATCAACGGCCCGAGGAATAAACCACTGGTCAGGGCGAGGTGGAAAATCATGAGGTAGTGGCCGCGCTCGTGGGGAGCGACCATGTCGCTGACCACAGCAGGGACGGTGGCATCGGCGGCAGCAGCAGCAAAGCCGGACAGAATGCGCGCGGCGAGTAGCTCGCCGTAGCTGGTGGCACGCGATGACCACACATTCATGGTGGACAACAGCAGCATGGAGACCAAATAGACCGGTCGCTTACCGATGACGCGCATCAGCGGGACCCAGAAGATGTTGCCAAGGCCGAAAAGGAATACATTGAAGCAGACGAGCTCGCCGGCTTGAGTCTGGGAGACGTGAAACTCGGCGATGATGGCCTTGGTGGCCACGGTAAAGTTGCTGCTGTTGACATTGGCGAGAAAGGTGTAGAAGCAAATGGTCAGGTAGGTGGTGAGTTTGGCAGCGGTGGACCAGTTCTGTGCTATTAGCTGGGTGCAGCTGGATCGCAGTGAAGTACCTACCTGAGGATCATTGGGGTCAAGGTTGACGACTTCCTTTGTCATTAGGCCCCCCAGGCCATGTTCCTCGGTTGCGCGATCGATATGACTGGAAGTGCCCTTTTCCTCCATGGTGGTGAGAATAAAGTGTGGCACCCATGTGGCAGCAGGTGGGACAGTTATAGTAACACAACAGAACCAAGCTGGGAGGGAAGTTCCGATGTCGGATAATCCGAATCATTCTCTCTTCCAAGGGATTGGATTACACAGGTACAGCTTCCCCGGACTTGCAGGGATGTGGTTACCCCGCTTCTTACCCCGGATAAGCTGCAGCTCTTGACTGGCTCGGCTATCCCGACTCTGCAGTCAAGGATATTAGTCGGGTCGGTTACCAGGCAGCCGGTTGTGCACGGCAGCGGCAGTTGTGTTTGTACCACCAGTAAGGTATCATCAGGCCGCACGCGATTGTGTCACGCTTGTGCCAGTGCTTGTGTCACTGCTTGTGTCACTGCTTGTGTCACTGCTTGTATCACTTACTGTATGACAATGGCTGCATGGCGCTGCATGGCTGTACACTGGCTGTGTCACAGAGGTTAATCACATGACAATGTCATCAATATTTCAAAATACTCTGTACAACCACATACCCATAAGGGCTATTGACTGAATTTGCGATACAGTTTGCAATTCTGACTCAAGTCATGTGCCGTAAGACGGGATCCTGTGATTGGCTGCATCGGCTACTTGTACCAAAGCAGACTAGCGCCTTCTGCTCGAGGTGTGCTGAATAGATTCACCATCTCATCTTCAACTCATCCATCATAGTGATAGTCTCCAACCTTATGATATCCACCCTGACATCTAACCAACCCCACTCCCAGCGCCGCCGCGATGGCTGCTCCGAATGCCGCAGGAAGAAAGTCAAGGTACGCCCTCGTCATCCTCCTAAGCTATGCTAACTTGCCAGTGCGATCTGCGCAAACCTGTTTGCTCCCGATGCGCTCGGTACCCGAGGGGCTGTATCTACACTCTGAGCGTGAACTTTGTCAGCCCGCAACCGAGAACCAGGTCTCCCGATCAGGCCACTGATCTGTCCATTCTGGCCAACCAGCCAACTCTGACACTCTCCCCGTTTCTCTCCTCAGCCGAGTCCAAGTTCTTCATGCACGTCCTCGCTACTCAGACTGCTCCTGTTTTCTTTCCTGCGGCACCGAAGCTGTTCGTCGATAGGTTAATCAGCGCAGCCCTTGACACTCCGCATCTTCTGTATGCCCTGCTGGCATCGGCCTGCAGCCACCATGGGCGCTTGATCGGTGACAACTCAGGCACCTCCTGGACTGCTTGTCTGAAGTTCACCAATCTGGCCATATCCGGGCTCAATTCTGCCCTGAATGAGCCAACCCAGATGCTGCAGGCCGAGACGGCCATGACGGCCATGACGCTGTGCACGAACGACGTGTGCAATGGCAACATGAATGTCTGGCAGATGCATCTGGCAGGTGTCATGCGCCTTCTTACCGCGTTTCTCAAGCAGCCATCCAACATGGCAGACTCCTTCACCCTCTGTCTGGTCAAATGGTTCACCACGCTCGACGTGCTGGCTGGAGTATCTAGTTCAACCAGCATCACCCATGGCCTTTTGGAGCACTTCCTGGAGACTCGTCCAAGCGAAGTCGACGATATCTGCGGATACTCTCTGGAGCTGGTGCCTGCGTTGACACGCATCGGCCAACTCGCTCGTCAGGATACCCTCTCACATCAAGACATGTACGAAGCGCAGATGCTCGACCTCACCATTCACTCCCTGGTAGACCGAGATGTCCCATCCAGTACGCTTAATACCCACGGGCCCGAGCTCGCTCACGAACTCCAATACACCCACCTGGCGTTTGTGCACTCTGCCCTACTCCATCTCCACCGCTGTGTCCAGGGTTTCCCTCGTGACCATCCTGACGTCTGCGCTGACATCCACAACATTGTTGCTGCAATCCAACACATCCGACCATTCTCGCAGGCCAACATCCTCATTCTATGGCCTGTATTCAGTGCAGGGTGTGAGACCACTGTACCCGAGGAGCGGGATCTCATCCACACGCGAATGACTAATATGCGCAGCCTGGGGATGGGCAACTTTACGCGCGCGCGTGACATGCTCGAGGCTTTTTGGGCTGCTGCTAGTCCTCTACCATGGAACGTGTACTTTGCACAAAAGGGGCTTGAACTGGTTCTATTCTGAGACATGCTCGGGGTGTACTCTGCCTTATAGTGGCCATGCAGCATATTATCGCCTCCAGCAGTGCGCTGAGATCTGTCTTGCTCCTGGTCATGGGTCTTAAAGCATAGCTTCCTCGGCGAATTTTCATTGTCACATCTAGGACTGCCGGATCGCCCGTTAGACTACCCGCGTGGTTTGTATCTGAAGTTGCATTCTAGATGACACGCCTAACTCAAGGTACGCACACTACCGCCAATCTATCCTCCGTGAGATGGCCTGCTTCGAAGACAACAAAAATGTGCCTCACAAGCAGGAACACCAGGCCACTTCAAACAATCTCACGCGGAGTACTCACCAATCATAACGGCGAACAGCGTTACAAGGACCAAAGTCATATTCAACAAGCAGCGGAGCCAAACACACGACCGCAGGCCTGTCACGACATTCAAGCCTACTAACATCATGATGAATGCCCTTACCACGCCCGAACAAGTCACCCGGAGTGTATCCAACGGAACAGCAAGCGGGAGCGTGAATGAAGACGACACTGTGTCTAAAGATGACTTGCAGGACGAGTGGTTGATCGACTTGTTAGTGTGCACTGAGTTGTGTCTGCTGCGTATCAATCTTCCCTATGTACGCGCCGTTGACACTGCAATATTCAAGATCAAAGGCGTTCGCTCATATGCATGCTCCAGCAGGAAGCAACTCCTTAGCAAGAAATACATATAGCGGCTCTATTGGCTAGATCATTACCCACAGTAACACCAAAGCTCACATCATTACACCAGTACACCAACCCATATGTAAACGCCACATCGGCATGTGTTGAATTGGACATGTATCCGACGCAACCAATCATTCACTTCATCTACAGGTCTTAGAATCTTTCTTTCAGTAGTGATAGTGGATCCCCCCATTCCGGCAAAGCAGCCGACTGGACCAATCACAATCCATTCCCTCAATCCACCCCCCACTACATATACAATGTCCTTCCCTCCTCCACTCCTCAACCCCAACACCACCTCATTCTACAAATCTTCCACCACCAAAATGCCCCAAATCAGTGACTTTGCCGTTGAGAGGGTATTCTTCCAACCCCAGCTGACACAAACACAACACTAACAATAACAGTGGATGGATGACCACGAAACCACCGCAACCCACAACCTCGCCGAAACCTGCTGTGCTTCCATCTCGCTCACCGACCTGGTCTCTCTCTCGCAGAACACAATCTCAGCAGAACAGCTCCTCAACCCAACAACCAAGCAAACCTACGGCGCAATCCGCGGCTCAGAAGCCCTCCGCTCCAACATCGCCAACCTCTACTCTCCATCCCCCATCACGAAAGACAACATCCTCGTCACCAATGGGGGCATCGCAGCCAACTTTCTCGCTCTGTACTCTCTCGTCAAACCAGGCGACCATGTCATCGTGCAGTATCCCACCTACCAACAGCTCTATTCCCTGCCGCGGTCTCTCGGCGCGGAAGTGAGTCTTTGGCGCTCAGACGAGAAGAATGGATGGGAAGTGAACGTGGATGAGCTCAGAAGCTTGGTGACTGATAAGACGAAGCTTATTATTATCAAGTACGCCTCCCCCTCCTCTCTTCTCACAATTACTAATATTATACATAAAGCAACCCCCAAAACCCCACCGGAGCAATCCTCCCTCACTCCATCCTGAACGAGATAATTTCCATCGCAAAGGACCACGGCCTGACAATTCTCTCCGACGAAGTCTACCGTCCCCTCTTCCACTCCACATCCACCCCACCACCCCCCTCCCTTCTCACCTTCAACTACCCCAAAACCCTCGTCACCAGCTCCACCTCCAAAGCATACAGTCTCGCTGGTCTCCGAACTGGATGGCTCGCTTCGCCCTCTACGGAAATTCTCGACCTCTGTGCTTCTGTCAGACACTACACCACTATTTCTGTGAGTCGGATAGATGATCACATTGCTTCGCTTGCGTTGTCCCAATCTACAGTGAATAATATCCTAGAGCGAAACATCGCCCTTGCCAAGGGAAATCTGGAGATTCTATCCGACTTCGTGGATGAGTTCAGTTGGGCGGTGAAATGGACAAAGCCCGTGGCTGGAACTACTGCGTTTTTGAAGTTTGTGGATAGGAATGGACGGCCAGTTAACGATGAGGTGTTTTGTTCGAGACTAATGGAGAACATGGGCGTGTTGGTTGTTCCCGGGGGGGGTTGTTTTGGGAATGGTCGTAGGGATGAGAATAGACAGAAGGGGGATTTCGCGGGATACGTACGGATTGGATATGTTTGTGAGAGGGAGGAGTTAGTCGAGGGGTTGAAGGCTTTGAGAAAGTTTATGGCGGAGGAGTACGAGAAGTTACCTGTTATGATGGACTCGGAGTAGTGATGGATGGAGGGTTGGGATCTGGAATCGCGCATAGGAATAGTTAGTCAGGTGTGTAGCTAGCTAATACATTTATCTAAATCAAACTGTCACAATTTTCTTCTTTTCTTTCTTTTAATTAGAACCAACCCCCAACTCCTCAACGTCTCCATTCTATATATCAACAAATCAAAATCAGTCTTTCCTCGCATATACCCCCCTTCCCCGCAAAATTCAATTCATTAGATATCTCCCATCTTTCTGATCTTCATCTCCAAATATCTAGGAAACCAAACCGACCAAAAAAGAGAATACAGATTGGCGCAGTCTCGTTCCAGATAAGGTTAAGGTTGTTAGATATCCATATCAAGCTGGGATCCCTCTCTCACTCACACAACAGTCTAATTTTCTGGTTTCGCTTAATGAATGTCTATTTATTCTGGTTGCTGCTTTGAAAAGTATTCTCGGTTGGGTTAGTATCCTCATTCTTACAAATGAAAAACCCATATAGTAATTCTACTTAACCTTCCATGAACCATTCTTATCTCGCCAAGTCTAAGTATACAATATCTCGGAGAGATGTGACAATGACGCCCACCTTTGGTTTTTAGTACTATAAATCAGAGAGTAAATTCATGCTGGAATGGGCCTATTCGCACTTATGAGGATCTGGAATTGAGGACAGAGCCACGGCGAGGCTGAATACTCAGTAGAGCAAGCTGTTCGAGGTGCACCTTTTTGATGATAAATTCCCAACTTCGGATACCCATTGATGTCAGGAAAACTAGTAGTATCTAGTACTAGTACGTATCTGCATCTGTTGGTCTTGTCATCAGTTTTGCGACACGCCTGTGAGCCTCAGAATGAATCTTGGGCCATATATACACCGCTTTGTCCCTTTTCATGCGATTGCAGCCGATCTTCTCTCCCACTCTTGACACACCATAGTCTGCTTGGGGATGGAGCGTTTCCACGGCTACAACTACTACTCTCTCGACCAGCCCTCAGGCTTCTACCCCGATCTAGCCAATGGCATCGACCCTTGTGTCTAGTGTGGGGCCACATCAGCGAATGGATGGGCCCTAATGAACGGCCCGAACCATAGTCCGATGATGTTTCCGCCAATCTTACCAGTTACCACGGCAGGAATATACTATCAGGTCTCCTCCCCCGACGTGATCCCCCGGGACCAGTGACAGCAACTCAGACTCATCAAGCCCCAGCATATGCCCCCTGTTTCCCTCTCCAATGCGACCACTAATCCCTCCACGTAGTTCCCCCCAAGGCCCCTTCTAGTGCAACTGGGAAGGAAGGCTGCCACTATTCCGGGTACTTCAACCGCGAGGTGAGGCTGACCCGCTGCGCCACGTTCGAAACCTGCACGACCTGTCGCTGTGTGGCCGACAACTGTGGCGGTGTTTTTAATCGAAAAGATAATCTTCGTGACCATACTCGACGCTATCATCAACATCGTGGATGAATTTCTTCTTCTTTAATACTTCTAAGACGGTTCGCTATGACTTTATGTTAATCTTTTTGGTGTTCGGTTGATACAATGTTTTCTGTGCTATACATACCTCTGCTATTTTGATAAGCTATAACTTTTTTATCTTTATTCTAAATCAGATCTGCCCTTCTAGTATAATAAGAACAAACACCCACTATTATCCAATTTGTTTTGATCAACCCCATTCCTTTTGTATCTTCTTTTTCCTTCTATTCCCGTCTTTTTCCCCTGCTAACTAAAAATTCACTAAAATCCAATTTATTATCATAACTTTTTGAAAGTAACTAGTCCCTACTCACACTCATCCAACACAGACCCTTCCAACCTTGATCACAGATATTTCATTTCATTTCATTTCATTTCCTTCCCGTTTCGCTGAATTCCCATACGTAGATTGAAAGCATCTATCCTTCCTTGAGTATTCATCAGTATATCCATAGTATAGTATAGTATAGTATAGTACAGCATATTAACCCCCTTATTATCACACACACATATCCCCACTTTAACTAAACAAGTACCTCTAGGCATGCACAATTGAAAAGCCCCTTCCCCCTCCCCCAAACACACACACATTTGATACTACTACAATATAATATCAATTCTATTATTTCAACGGGGTCGGTTGGACATGGAGATACCATTACTTATCTTTTCTTTTGGGAGGGTGGGTTTGCTCTAGGTATTTACTTGGTTTGGAACGAAACGGAAACGGAAATGGATATGGATAGGGGATGTGAGATTTCTTGTCTTGTCTTGGGTTTGGCTTTTATTTTGTTGTGTTTTGTATTGTTTTGCTTGATGATTGATCCTGTTATACTTACTTTATATTCCGTTATATGTTGAGGGATGGTTCTTAGTACTTCTCTTATGTTATTTTGGTGCTAATAGCTAGATAGTAATAGTGAGTCTAAGGAATGGATTACAAATAACTTCATAAGATCGATAAATCTGATAAACCAATTTCTAATCAAAAACAAACTGTGGTATCTCATATCCAACTATATACAAGTCTTTTATCAATCTTATGTATCAACAAGAAGAAGAAGAAGAAGATATCGTCATCTCGTAGCCAGCCATAGCTTAGCTTTCAGCCCTCCAGGCAACTAAGCACTCTTCCACCGCCTCAACCAATCCTGTGCATATCTCGCCAGAATCCCATCCTGGATGATTCTCAATCTCCCATTTCGTAACGTCATACTATCCCGTTCGGCCTTTTCGGTGAGGAATTTGACTTGCTCCGGGGCATCCCCGCTGTACATGGCTTCGTAATGTGATGTCAGCTTCACGGCGGGGTTGATCTCCTCTTCGCCTCTGGCTTCACTTTCACGGAGAAGTTGAAGCCAGGTGTGAAAAGGGACAGTTTTGAAAGCGAAGCCGCTTTGTTTGAGAGTCGAGAGGAGAGAGGACCAGGTGAAGACGCGCGAGTTGCACAGGTTGTAGATGGAGTCATCGTCGGTAGGGGTGGTGTCATCCCAGTGAGAGTCGAGCGAGTTGATGGAGCAGGCTTTGGCAAGTTCGAGGATCGAACAGGCGAGTTTGTCGACGGGGAGCCACGAGCAGGTCATGTCGAGGGCGGGGAGGGCGTGGAGGGTCAATGCGGATCGGATCATCAGCGGGATGGCTTCCGAATCGTTCCACAGACCCTTTTTGGAGTGGCCGGAGACTTGGCCGATGCGGAGGGAGTAGGTCCGGGCACCGGATTTGCGGGCATTGCTGATGAGTTTCTCGCCGATGAGTTTGGAGCGTCCGTAGCCCATTTCGAGGGCGCTGGTGAGGTCGGTGATGGGGGTTTCGTCGACCGGGGAGGAGGAATCCAGGGCGGTGGAGATGGAGGAGCAGAAGAGGAGGACGGCTGGGTCGGGGAGGTTCACGGAGAGGGAGAAGTTGATGAGGTTGTGGAGGCCCTTGATGTGGGGTTCGAAGCTTGTGAGGGGCAGGTTGAAGTTGACGGGCCATGCGCTGTGGATGATCAGGGATACGGATTGTCTCATCTGGGCGAGCATGCTGGGACCGAGGCCGAGGTCGGGCTTTTCGAGAGAGCTGGTGAGGGCGACGATCTTCTGTAGACGGTGGGGAAGGACGGAGAGGCTTTTTTGGGTAAGGGTGTTGGTGATAGCCTCTTCAGGCTGGGATCTCCGGGTCAGGCAGTAGACGACTGAGACTGTGTCGTCGTTAAGGAGTTTGTAGAGGGTGTGGGCACCGATGGATCCGGTGGCTCCGGTGAGAACCTGTGCTGGTTAGTGGGAATCGGACGGACTTGGTGGAGGGGACCTACGACGCTCTTGTTGGAGGTCACCAAGCTGGGGCTGGGAGTGTGGCTCTGGAAAACAGAGTACTTTTCGATCAGCCCTGGCATCATGGAGACTTCATCCTCGGTCTCCTCCTCGTGGCCGGATTGGATTGCGAGGATATGCCCAGCCAAACGGGTAATGTTTCCAGTCTCAAAGACAATGTTGTGACTGATGCTCTTAGGGTCTTGCACTTTAAAGTCCTTTAGTATCAGACGACGCAGGTGAATGGCCTTCAGACTGTCCAGTCCCTCGGCGAAAAAGTCCGAGCTAGGGCTAGAGATGGGGAAGCCCAGTTCCTCGTGGCAGAGCTTGATTAAATGCTTCTCTGTTGCGGGGAGATCCAATTGGAGGGTTCCATCAACAGTCTGTTCATTCGTATACATGTCTTCAATGACATCGGCATATTTGGTATACACCTGGGCTCTGATCATGGAGCCTTTGTCTGTCCGCGGGCAGACCGAGTCGGCAGACAAGACCACGATCATATCGCGGGCGATCTGGGAGAATTGTTCGGCCCGTGAGTTGGCATCCTCCACGGTCGGCCAAATGAGGTCCAGAAACTCCTCGTCGGAGAACATCTGGGAGTTTTCTGTCCGGAAGACCAACAGCCCGGGAACGGCCTTTTCGACCCCAACGACAACCGCTTCCTGGATGAGAGGGTTCTGCTTGATACAGCCCTCAATTGGGAGGGGAAGCACCTTTTCACCATTGACCAGGGTGACCCGGTCATCCAAGCGGGACACGTATTTCCACCGGTCGGCAATAGTGGGATGAGGAGTAAAGACGTCGCGAGAGTGGAACGAGCCAGGAGGGTCGTTGGAGTTGGATGCCGTCAATGCTGGATGGCCCTGGAGGTAAACCACTTCATATAGTGCGTCGCTGATGGGCTTCATCCAGATGAATGGCTTGATGTTGTCAAAAAAACGCATGTAGTTCCAAAAAGGATCTCCTGCTGGTCGCGAGATCGACTCTGCAACCAGACCAGCTTCCGTTCTAGAGATATTAGCAAAGCACTCGGGTAAATGTTGATTCACTTACAGTCCAAAAGACCCTCCAAATCTTACACCTTCCTCCACAAGTTTATCGCCCAACTCGTCCGGGCATGGGGCACCACCGTAGGTGACGAATTTGCAAGCCCTCAACGCCTTCAGCCCGCGTGGGTTGTCGATGAGGAGTTGAAGAAGGTAGGGCACGCCTTGGACGGATTCCGGCCGGGCTGCCTCCAGGACAGCCACCGCCGTACTTGCCGTCAAGGGCAAAGAGGCATCCCACATGAATGCTGTTCGTCGCATGTACATGGCTTGCAGTGCTGTGGATAGTCCATGCAGATGGTACCAGGGTAGTGAGTTGAAGGAAGTGAACCCCGGACCCCGCATGGGATGGGTCATCAAGGCTTTGTGGCTGAGATAAAGAGGCTTTGGGGTACCTGTTGAGCCGGAAGAGTGAAGGATGAGGGCAGTCCGGTTCACCAGGAGCTCGGGACGACGATTCCGGCGAATCATAAAAACGTCTGCATCTTGCGATGCCTCTACAGAGGCTCGTTGGATGATTGGCCGACAGGCAATTAGTTTGAGGCGCAGAATGTCACCCAATGTGGCGCGAATATTCGGCGATTGGCCGTACAAGATGGTGTCGCAGCCGACCGTGTCTAATAACGACACGCAAGCTGTGGCTGATAGACGAGGCGACAGCATCATGACGGTGTATCCGAGTCTGCTGAGGGCAAAGAAAGTGACGACCATGTTGAGGTCGGAGAGCGTGAAGAGAGCAACCGTTGCTCCATCTTCCCGGGGCTAAACCAATCAGTATTGTGCTGATATGGTGATCATCTAACTTACTGGCTTGAAGCCATAGTCCATCAAGGTGTACACCGCATGGTCCACCATGCAATCTAGATCGTGACCCGTAAAGTACTCATATGAAACGGAGTCATCTTCTGTGGGTTTAGGATAGGCAAGGATAGGATGTTGAACAGCATCTGCTGCTCGTAGGCGGATCAAGTCGTCCAACAGATGAAGACGACCGAAGCGTGCCACCACGTCGGCTGTGGAAAGTGCTGTTGGCTTAGGGGCCTCGTCAGGGACCCCGTCATAATATTGAGGAATTCCCATGATGAAAGTTGACGAAGCTGAACATCTGATAAAACCTGGAGGGTTGTAGACGGGGAGCCATGGTGTATTTAAGTCCAACCAGGGGAGAAATATTCAGCTCTGTTCGGTGGAGAACCACGGATCCGGATTAAGGAACAATTGGATCCCTGCACGAAACGTAGCGGTGTATGGCCAGGGGACAGCCAGAGTCGGGCTGAAAGGCCCTCTGCTGGGGATCCATGATGACGTTTGCCGGCCCTAAAACCGGGAGGAGAGTTAATTGCAGGAGCCACTCGACGTATGCGAACTGTGGCGAGTGCTCCTGACAAGGCCAAAGTTAATCAGAACCTAACCATTGCACGGGCCCCAATCTGGCCGGTCCATGGCGCACGATCGCGATCAGCTGGCTGTCAAATCAAGGCCCAGGGCCGGCCTGATGGGCCTCATATGACACCAGAGTTCCTCCGGGAGGGGGATCCCTTGCGCTGACTGGGTGACAGGCGCACGGTACAATTTGTCAGTCACACTGCAGCAGGAGATGCACGAGTGGAAGTAGAGTTCGCAGGATGATGGACTGGGTGCATCATGTTGCATCCCGCGAGTACTAACTAAAAGACTAGGGCCAGGCTAGGGCGGGAACCCGCCCCCGTAACCGGGTTCCCGGCCCAGGAACCTGGATCGCTCCATCGGGAATGGTAGATCGATCGCTGATCGGGCAGTCTTACGCTGGGTCGTACTGTCTTACAGGGATCCTGATCGTTGCTTTTCCCATGATTGTTTTTTCGGCTTTGCTCGCTTCCTGGTTTTTTTGTTGGGACTTTTGCGGGCGGAAATTGAGGCCCGACGTGCCACAGCCGACAAATGAAATGCCCGCAAACGAGGGTTACGACGAAATGGCCGAGGGGTTAGGGTCCACTATACCCGTGCAGAAGGCCATGTCGGACACTCGGACAGTCCGTGGACTCGTGTTCAACCTTACTGCCTGGCTGTTTCTGACCTGTCGACTGGGTGGGGACGCAAATGGCTGTTCCCATTCTTCGACAGGGGCTGGACAGTGGATAGACTGGAAGTACTACATACGGCCAGAGGACGATGGCTGCACCGCCACCTCGGATGGCTGACAATTGAATTCATTAGTTCGAGCCATTGCTCAGCCATAGTCGGAGCTCTCCAGTTGACCAACTGGTCCGTGCAACTGCAGCGTACTTTCTCTTTGCATCATCCCAGCATGGTACTTGATCACGACGGACCGTGCGACAACTCTGACGCGAAGCGATGAACTGACAAATTCTCCGCCTCACTCTGAATTATTGTGTCCAGTATGAGAAGCTATTGACACTGATGGTTTTATCTGTGTTTCACATACAATGGTGGCCCTTATTCGAGGGGATGGCCACATTCTCCTGATCGGAACGCCACGAGCTGAATCCGGTGGATCGTATATTCTATGATGTGACCTGTTCGGTGGCCACAAAAGTCCTAATGGCTGGCCGGAAAGGGGCCGTCGAGAGATTCGGTTGTCGTGATGCCCCGGGAGCTACGGGATGAAGCAGCAGTGGCCGATAATATTGCAGCATTGGGACATTGTCGCCATGAGATGCAGATGGACGGCGCCAAAGCTGTGTGTATCCATGGGATTGGTCTTTTGACGGGATTTCCTGCCTGCAGCTGCTCACCGAATGTTCCCCAAGCCCTGTTCTTGAGAATGCCGGACATCCGACGCGCCACCAAGCCAGGAGCTGAAAAAGAAACGACCATTATTGGGCTCGCCGCGCATGATCTATCTAATCTCCTGCCATTTCTCTGAAAATAGACGGATCGCCTGTCAGGATTGGCTGGCTCGTGTTACCAATTGCATCCGGGGGTTTAGGGTCAGGCGCCTTTGTTGAGGGATCGGCGGTCTAGCCAACTAATCACATAGCTCGCATCACTGGAGGATCCGACCAGATAAGCACCATAGCAATGCCACTAGTTACACAGGAGGGGCTCGAATTTTCCCGGTGTCTCAGACCATGGCCAATCCACAGGCTCGAAATTTCTTCAGCCCATTAGGGCGGAGGCCAGGGGGGCCAGGATGGATCTGGCCGGGAGTCACGGGGGCCGGAAACCCGGGGGTTACCATGTCTGCAGCTATTCAGTCGGTCGCTTCATTCCATACTCGCAAGAATCCGATCGCAAACGTGTCGAATGATTCATGGGTGTCGATCCCATCATCCCAGGAGGGGGGAATATGTAGCTAATTGGATATTGATCTTGCCTCACTTGCCGGCGATAAGCACGGACCCGGAGTCTATTTTTTTTTACAGATTTCCGTACGATCAGTCCAGCCCAGCAACCAGCAGCCAATGGGAAGCCGCATGCAGCTGTTTCCAGCATCCTGGAACAGATCCGCCTGGTCGATGGCCCGACCGTGACCAAAGTCCTGACCTTCGTACATAGTAAGTACCTCTGGTGACAGGACGGGGTTTAGCCCAATCCCCGAGGAGGGGTATCTCTGGTTGCGCTGGAGGCCTATGATCTCCCACGGATCTTCGGGTCTGACATACTGCTGGTGGGAGCCATAGCTTCATACATACATCACACACCTACATTCAGATGTACCGAGCTTGGGCCAGCCGGAGCGGTGGCCTTTGACTGACTTCAAGGGACTAACGGAAATTTAGTACTCCGTACTTTACTACTTTTACTGAGTTTAGTACTTTCCGGGTGGCATTGTGGCGCTGGCCAGGAACAATGGGCGGAGCAGTCAGGTTTACGACAAGGTTCTGCAGCTGCGTCAGATCCATTGAACCTTCACTGAGGGAGGGACATGACCCCAGGCTATTGAAAGCCATTGCCACAGATAGATTGGATGCCTGTATTGGGAGGTCATTTGTCAGCTGGACCAGAACTGACTTTAGGCACTCGAGGGAGACCGTGCGACGTGATTCATGCGGCGAGGTGCTTTTGCGACCATTGTGTCATGGTGAGACGAGGCCTCCCCGGCGATCAGGATCTGGTCCACACCCCTTCTGCAGCTATCCTGGCCCTGGGAATCCTGCCGATGCGACCGTCCTACCAGGATTGCCGTTTTCAGAAGTCTAAGTACGGGCAGATCGGACCGGATGAGCACCTTGCTCCTAACCTGGTGAATCGACGGAGCTATTGATCTGGATTCTAGCTGGCGCGGCTTTTGGATCCGCGAAGCTCTATATAATCCCTGGACCTGCAGCTGTTTCACCGCTGCACCATCATTGCATCTCTCTCTTACCTACGTGCTTCATTCTCCATTCCTCTGTATATTCTTCTGTCACGACTGCACTCACGACTGCATGTAAACATGGCGACATTCGACGAACCAAGCCTTCTCTCCATGGTGGAGGACATCAAGCAGGCCGCTTTGCAGGATCAAAGCCCGGGTCGCTCCCCAGCATCGCATTTCCAGCTACTTGGTCTGATCGACAAGTTGCGTCTGGCAGTTGAGACTCCAACGGAGACGGTGCTGCGCCTGATCTACCAGGTAGGTTGCTTTTGCCATTGTTCGTCGCTGGCGGCTAACATGCATGCAGCCTCCGCAGAATGCAGCCCTCCGCACCGTTATGGACCTGGGCATTTTTCCCTTGTTGGAGCAGAGCAAGCGCGGACTGTCGGCCACCCAACTGGCCACATCCACTGGGGCGGAGAGGGGACTCATTGGTGAGAATGAGCGATCCACGAGCCTATTATACTTTCTAACTTTATAGTCCGCCTGATGCGAGTTATGGTTGCACTCGGCTTGTGTGCCAGCCATGAATCTGAGGTATACATTGCGACCGACAAGACCGCTGTCCTGACCCAGCCGATCGGGAGAGATGGGATTCCCTGCATGTACGTTTATCAATATCTGCGTGAGTATGCAATATTAACGGCATAGATATGATCTCACGTTGCCGACCCTCGCCAAACTCCCAGACTACTTTCGGGAACACCGCTACATCGCTCCCAAGGACTACTCTCGCTCTCCCATGCAATGGGCTGTCGGCCAAAGTCAGTTCGAATGGCTCGCCCAGAGCAAGCACCGTCAGGGTCTCTTCAACTCATACATGTCCAGTCGTCGCTCCGGCAAGCCCAGCTGGTTTGACGTATATCCAGTCGAGCGCTTAACTACCGATGTAATGGACCATCCAGAAGCAGTATTTCTCGTCGACGTAGGTGGAAACCAGGGCCACGACCTGGTGAAGTTCCATGACAAGCACCCCGAAGTCCCGGGACAGCTGATCCTACAAGACCTTTCCAAGGTAGTGACTCGCTGTCCGGGCGAAGGTATCCAGGGTATGGGGTATAGCTTTCTCGACCCACAACCTATCAAAGGTATACACCCCCCCTCCATATCCGCCACCACCTTTTACATCAACTAATCAAACACAGGCGCAAGAGCATACTACTTCCGCGCCATTTTCCACGACTGGCCCGACCACATCTGTCGCAAGATTCTCGTCAACACCATCTCGGCCATGGACCCTACGTACTCCCGCATCATCATTGTAGACTTTGTCCTGCCGGACACGAACGCCCCGCTTCTGCAATCGTCGCTGGACATCCAAATGATGAGCATCGGGTCGGGCGTGGAGCGCTCCGAGCGCCAGTGGCGCGAGTTGTTGGATGAAGCAGGCTTGGAGATCACCGGCATCTGGAATGGGAATCCCGGGATGGAGTCGGTGATTGAGGCGGTAAGGAAAGAGGATTCGTCTATGCTGTGATGTGATTTGGCTTTAGTATTGATACCTAGGTTGTTTGGTTGGGTTGGGTTGGCGTTGGGTTGGGAGGTGTCATATTTGTTCTTGGTTTATTGATTGATATACATGGTGTTACTTGCCGCCTGAGACTATGATATTATACTACATCGAATGTCTATGAACTATCTATAACTAGGTATTGATAAAGTAAGATCCCTTACTTCCAACACACATAGTATTGGATCTGAACTCCAACTTGGATTGAAGAATGATATACTCCGACCGACATGTCTGCAATATCCAAACCCCTTACATATACATCAGCTGCCCTTCCTGTCTGCTGAATGATAAATGTTGATCTAATCTGCAATCTGCAATCCACATTCCAATGCAGAAAGATAAACTTTCCGTTATTACTTAACGGGTTTCTTCACATGTGCAGAAATGCAGAAATACATTTGCGGATTGCGTAAGATGGGGATTATCGTGCATGGATATAGATATATATAATGCAGGATTACCGTTTCAGGGCTTTTTATAGTTTGTGCATGTATGCATGTATGGGGATGTGGTGTCATATGTGGGGTGAAAGGGATGGGTGTGGGGGAGGGGTATTCACCGCTACACTACTAGTATTAAATTTTTTTGTAGTGTTTAACGGGATTTTCATCCTTTAGGGATACTTATGGCTTGGTCAGTGGTATATATTTAGTAGGGATAGCCTGGTAGGAAGATAGGTAGGTTGTTCCCTGTTTGACTTTGATTTACTAGTATATATTCGATCTGGATATTCATATCTTGCCTACTACTAGTAGTGTACTTCCTGGTCCAGGTGGGATGAGACTGAATTCTCTTTTCTTCCTTCCATCTATTTATCAAACTCACACAGTCAATTGTGCTCTAATCCAATACTTTCTCCTATACTAAAAACGACACCTAACACATTGCACTCCTCACCCTTCCCATTATCCTCATCGCCATAATCAACAAAGTTTCTTAAACCTACCCAAACTCAAACAATCCTACCAACTCCCTCAAGATATTTCAATTCGCTCCAAGAAAGTAACATACTAACCCTACCAACAACCAACATGCAATAAACCTTCCTGTCACCACGAAACTTACTCAGAAATAATGCCCCCAAAACCGAACATCTTCTCAAACCTATGATTCGAATGGACTTGCGAGTAGGTACTAAACCACATTACTAGGGTTCTAAATCCCAAACCAGCCCTACCTACTAGTCCTATTGGTAAGTACTAAAGTTAGTGTTAGTATTGAGAGTCCGTGGAATAGGTACGGTACGGTATAAGATATCTCATTCTACTTATAGTAAACCCCCCAACCCATACCCCCTCCCGCGGCATTTCTGTTCCGTGGGAATAAGACGGGGATACCGATCAACCGATCCATGGTACATATAACATATAACATATAATGTTGGTTTGACATGTGTCAGTCTGTCACTACTACTCTTACCTGGTCCTCCCTCCGTGTTGAATTATGTATTTAGTGTACTGTACTAGGTTGGTTTCTTGTATAAGACATCCCATCCCATCCATCCATCCTTCACATTCAATTCCATTCACTCTTGATTTAGATTAGGTGTTTGGTATTTGGTATTTGCATTTGATGTGGGTTTAATGGATTGGATGAATTAATAGTAGGCTAGATGGATGGGAGTGTGGGTGGGTTTTCTTTCAGGACAGGATAATTACAAGGATAAGCTGGTTTGTATGTGGCTTTAATCTTGTGGTTAACTTTATTTTATCCAGCTCTGGTAGGGACCGGTAGGGGGTAAGGTGGGGTTTCGATCGGGGTTCGAGAATGTTGGGTGGGTATTTACTTGGTATTTACAAGTGCTTCGTAGATTGGTGTTCCTTGTCTTTCTTGGATATTTTTGGATTGTTGTAGTGGGTTCAAGGGTGGGGGATTTATTATTGGGTTGGGTTATTATGTGTAATAGTAGTGGTAGTAGCTGGTTATTCATTGACGTCTTGATGGTCATTATTTGGAGGTAATATGAGGTCATTCTTTATTTATGTCTTCCTGATCATTATGGAGGTGAAGTGAGGTGTAATGTAAGTGTAGTTTATCAGTACTGCACCACCATATAACTTCTACCAGTAACAAGACCCCATATTAACAATCCAGTAAATATCCAATCCACACCTCACCAACCACCCGATCAACCCCCCCCAATTCATCCCATCAGTGCATGAATTACCGCCAAATATTCCCCAACGCCGTCTCCAACCACAACTTAGTATACTGCTTATGCAACCACAACACATGCGAAGGCATCGGCTCCCCCTCCGCCTTTCCCTTGCCCTGGAAAAACAAACTCTTGAGACGGAATTCCGCAACGCCCTTTTCCGGCTTCACCTCCGTCGACATCTCAAACAATCCATCGGATTCCCGCACGTCCGCATTCCGTGGCGAATCGCCGCACCGCACCACAATCCGCTCCGGTGTCTTCTCCACCACCTCGAAGTGGTCCGTGATCTTGGTGCCGACGTCGTAGGTGGCAGCGCGGAGGTCGGCACGGGTCCATAGGTGCGAGGAGGTTTCGGGTCCTTCATATTTCTTGGAGAGGTAGCGGCGTTGGTAGGCGTATCCTATATCCGATGTTTGTTAGTTTGACTGGATTGGGTGTTGGAGGATTGGAGGGGATATTGGGTGTTGTGTTGGGGAAACGCACCGAATCCACTCCATACACCGGCACAGAACGCCTCGGTCAATCGACCCGGCTTTTCAAGCAACGCGGGCTTAATGTCCTTGAGAGGTACCTGACGCACGCACAGATCGTAGCTGGCGGGGTTGTTCGATGGGTTGAGTTTCTGGTACAGAGGGTGCTGGAACAGAGGGTCGGTCGTGGTCATCGGCACGAACTCATTGTGACGGACTGCCGCGAAGAAGAAACCCACGGTGGCTCCGGCACCGATGGTGGTGATTTTGGCGGCGCGGCCGAGAAGACCCATTGTGATGATTTGGGTGGGAGTGGATGGGAGTGGTGAGAGGTAGAGGTAGGTTGGTAGGTAGAGAAGAGAGCTGGGGTGAGATCATCGGTTGGCGGAGATGCGGAGTCGAGCGCGGATCGGAGTTGTTCCGAGCTTGGCTTGATGCCGTGCGATGCTACTCTTTCAACAAGATTGGTTGTTTCGTAGATGTACAGTTTCTAGATCACATATGGAATGAATCTCGCCGTCTTTGAATGCCATCGCTCCCATTGCTGTCCGAATTGTGCCCGCAACATGCCCTCTTCATCGCGTACCCGCATCACCGTGGAATGAATCAGCACTGTCACCAACACTCCTACCACCCATCCTCCCCATCCGGACAGTCTTGCCAATGAGATGGAATCTATCGTACAGGCGACCGCACCATCCCATCGCATTATCAGCCCCAAGTATCCTGTCGCGAGTAACCATAATCCCGTGTAGCTCGGATGCTGCACGAATCGGTAGATCCCCCCGGTGACTAGGGTATCTGGCTGCGCGAGCTGAAAGGTGAAGTTCCGACCGAGGAACTTGAATGCAGAGAGACGAAGGGAGGCACCCAAGGTGAGGGAGAGTAGGCAGAGGGTGGTGGTGGCGGACCAGGCGAAGAGGTGCGGAGGGAGGTTGCTCGGGTGGGGGCAGATTGCTTCGAGGTAGGCTCTGTCACTAGTGGTGGTCATGTCATTGGCACCATGGTGCCCATAGTTGCCTTTGAACAACGCGATAAGAGCGTGGTAGATGATGCAGGCCGAGTTGAGGTGCGTTACGACGGTGGTGATCGGGCCTGCGATCAGGCGGACACGGTCGGCGCATTGGATTTGGTGTTGGCGGGGAGGTTCGGGGCGTGAGACTGCAGAAAGCGAGATAGCCTGCTGTTAGCAGGGAAAGTGAAAATGAGATGGAGGAGGGGGAAGGCATTGCGTTGAGGCCGTGACGATGGTTGGATGGATGTTTGTTGGCTGGATCGCCGGGCGGGGATCATTGCTGCCTGAGGAAGAGATCTTACTTTTCCCTCTCGGTTATCCTTTTGCTTGTCTCCTTAATCTACCCCTCAGATGAGTGCAGCATCAGAGAACGCACTCTGGACTGCACCAGCTAGGAATTCATCATAATATCAATCGAAGGAGAAGACTCTGTTCAGTGATAGACAATGGCAGGTATCCTAAGTTCATGATCTTGCCATGCGCCGACTGAAGATTACAGTCGGATAGAGGCAGACGATCGACGGCCCACTGGTGCCATGGCATCCATCTCTTGGTCCATCCCCAAAAGTGGAGCAACTAGCCAACTCAAACTGAGCTTATCATGGACAGTGACCATTGGGCACACTAACTCCACACCCTGAAAGCGAACCACGCCGGACGGAGCAGTGGTCACCATCAGTCACAGGAATATTACTTGTCTAAGCGGGATGGCATTCAGCATTTGACATGTACAGCACGAGTACATGTGCGGACTATTCCATTATCAATGTTGCACTTACAATTGCTTCGCTCTGTTCAACTCGCTACTTCCGATCCCATACTCAAGGAAGCTGAGCCTCGTTCGACGTCACCATTGTTTCCGTTATACCATGAGGCGCCTTGCTGATATCATTGCGCAGATTTGGCCTGATTTCGTGTTGCCCTGCAGATGCAAGGCCGGGTGGCACTACCAACAGCCAAGAGCTGAGAACTTGAAAGCCAAGTCAAGAGGCAACCTATTGTTAGCGACTCGGTGCACCCGTCTCGCAAGCTGCCGATTGGCACCTGCAATGAACGGCAATGCATGCATATATTGTCTATAAATGCATCATCACATCATATCCGGTGATAGGTCATATCCGCTCCTTGGACGCCTGAGATCACCAACCGGGCACGAACACGAATTGCGCCACGATGCTGACCATCTATGCTTATCTCAGCTCGAACCTGGTGTATGGCAATCACCTGTTCACTGATTACAGCCTTGTAGCATTTTCTGAACCCTGATTCGGGTGGTCAACAGTCATACAGTCTACACATTTGACTCATGGCATACACTAAGCCCTGCATATGCGGTGAAACCCCAGCCACTACTGCCAGGCTATTGATATCCCCACAGGATCGACAATGCCCCAACACTGCCAACTCTCAGACACCTCAGCTAATGCAAGCTGTCAGGCCGATGCTTTAAATGAAGGGTGCCGCCGGCGCTGCCCACCGGCGATGTCCTCTCTCAAAGTCAACACTCATCACGATGAATCCCGACTGCCTCTGCCCTCCAGAAAGTCCGACGCGGGAGTTGGTCCTCTGTTTCGATGGAACAGGGAATACCTTTCGCGCGGATGGTGGAGAAAGCAATATTTTGAAAATCTTCCGCATGCTGGACCGCAAAAAGAAAGACAGATGTGAGTCGTCTTGATGTTGTAATGGTCATAGCTGACTGATTAGTTTGTTACTATCAACGTAGGTTCCTCCTCGCGGTGGATGATACATATTAACATAAGTAGCTGGAATCGGAACCGAGGACATGACGCCTGGGAATGTCGCCAACATTCCTATCCCATTCAGCAACCGTCCTATCTACAAACTCATTGACTCAGCATTTGGCACCTCATTTGCCCAACATGTTATTAACGGATACCGCTTCCTTGCCCGCCGCTGGGAGCCGGGATCCCACATCTACCTATTCGGGTTCTCGCGCGGGGCATACACAGCGCGGTTCCTTAACGAGATGCTCGACTTTATCGGGCTGACCTCAGCAGACAACGAGGAGATCATTCCCCTCGTCTGGAAGGCTTTCATTTCGTGGAAGTTCGCCGACAGCGGCAAACCCGCCGACGACGCCGACTTCATCATGCGGAGCTTCCGTGACACAATGTGCCGGTCGGTAGGCCGAGTCCATTTCCTCGGCCTGTTCGACACGGTCAACAGCGTCTTCGCCAACGAGGCCCGCAAGGACCTACGAACCCACCCCAAACCGCGCATTATGCGACACGCGGTCAGCATCGACGAACGCCGACGCAAGTTCCAGCCCGTGCTCTTTGAAAAGCTACGTGCCCATGCCAGGTCCGCCCGGGCAAGTACATGGGTCCAGCGTGCAGATCTCGAGTACTGGGGCAATAACGGCTTCATTCCCCACGCGGACACGGAATTCGAGGAGGTCTACTTTGCCGGTAGTCACAGTGATGTCGGTGGTGGATGGCCCCGAGAAAACGGACGGGACTGGTCGGCCAGCCAAATCCCTCTGATGTGGATGGTGGAAGAGGCCATTGATGCCGGACTGACCTTTGAGTCGGGACAGTTGCACAAACTGGGCTGTTTCAACTTCAAGGTGTCAGAAGAGTGCAATAAAGACGTGATGTACGAAGCAGAGCGAGCATTCCTGCACAACTCTCTGATGTATGACTCGGGCGACCCGTTGGAGACATTGATCTGGCGCACGATGGAATTCATGCCGATCAAACGACCCAAAGTGGCGCCCGACGGGACAGTCACCATGTCGCGATGGCACATGGGCGGCGAACGACGACTCCTACCAGACGGAGCCAAGTTACACTTCAGCGTGATCGAGCGGATGAAGCGGGACCCGGACTATCGGCCGTACGGCCTGGGAGTGGGGTATCTGGCCGAGGTAGACGAGACAGTCGACAACTGGAGACATGTCATCCACGACAAGGACGGGGGACATGACAAGGTGATTGAGAATGGGGAGGAGGAGAGCCGTGATCGACGACGACGAACATTATGTGAATACTATTTATGGAAGCGACCAGAGAGACGCACTCGAAGGGGGTCTCGGCGATCATTTGTATAATTCTTCTTTACGTTACCGTGTTCAATAAGTTGATAGTTGTTTATAGCCTGTATGATTACATCTCACATTGTTATACATTAACCTAATCCATCCCTTGACAGTCTAACAACCTACCCACTCATAACCCTACCTCCTCCTTCCTACCTACCACAAGCCTGAGTAGTGTATTGCACAGCTAAAAGGTACCCCGCTTGCCTGATACAGTACACTCCTCCACACTCTCACGACTAATCACTCACTGGATATATAATACTAAATATACTAACTAACCAGCCATCTTACCAAGTAATCGATCCGAAAGCCGTACTAACTTCACTTACTCTACCTATTTCTTCAATGAATTACCATGATTTTCTCTCCTCATAACTAGCACCCAATTTCTATACTTATATAAAAATAAACCGTTTCCTTCTTTTTATCAGGGAGTAAATATATACACAAGTTAATCTATTTCCAAGTTCATATATATGATCCTATTCCTTGAAGTGTTTGGTTTGGTGGCTCCACTTCAGTTCGTAGAGAACTATACTTGAATTCTTTCTGATCAATACGTAAGGAACTAAGAATAGTATGGTCTGGGTTTTAATTTATCTATAAGAGTTCGTTGTAGGCTTCTTGTTCGGGGGAGAAAGTGGGAATGAGATATCTAATTGATCAGGTCCCCACCCAGCCACAGACATAGGTATTTACTTCCGGAGTAATGGTAATGAGGATAGATTTGTGTGGGGATTGGTGGGGTATTATTAACTGTACTTTGGATGTAAAGGGGTAGATGAGGGGAGAGTAGGAGTAGGAAGGGTTTGTGGTTATGTTGGGATGGTATTTGATATCTTGATTGATCTGGTTTGGTTTGATTTAATTGGCTATCTAAGCTAAGTATCTAATTTCGATGTTGATATCGAATGTGGAAGTGAGGCCCGAAAGGAAAGGAAATACAGGCGGATATCTAAACAAACTGAACTGAACGACTGGGATAGGATATGATGTGATGTGCTGTGTACCCTTATCGTAAGGGAGAATTCCGTGCGTCAAGCAAATAAGGGTTAAGGTTATAGTACATAAAGGGTGATAACTTGCAGGTAGCATAGGATATATGGCTTGCATAGGACAGAAACTAGAGAGATGGGGGGGTGGCTTAAAGCAAAACGGCAAGAACAAGAGCACCGATGACACTGGATCCGCCGAGGCTCAACTTGTTTGCACCACCTGTGAAGACGGGAGTTGAGGGGGTGGTGGCAGATCCAGCGGAGGAGCCTGAAGAGCCCGAGTCCGAGCCGGAGGAAGAAGAGACACCCTGGGTGGCGGTTGAGGCAGCAGCGGTGGAAGTCGCGTGGGTTGTACTAGGCGTAGTTACAGTGCTGAAGACAGAGACATCTGAGCTCGAGGTGGGAGCAGCATAGTATTCCGATCCAGACTGGCTGGAGTTACCCTCGCCGTTGGCTTCAGCACTTACACCGCTCACGTTGGAAGGGGTAGAGGCGGCGGAAGAGGCGGCGGAAGAGTCGCCAGTGTTGGCCTCGGCGCTGGCACCACTGACACTGGAAGGGGTGGCAGCAGAACCAACATTAGCAGCAACAGATGCAGAGGTACTCTCACTACCATTAGCTTCAGCACTGGCGCCGCTCACGTTGGACGGAGTGGCAGCAGCAGAAGCACCCTCGCTACCATTAGCTTCAGCACTTGCTCTAGTGACACTGGAAGGCGTGGCAGCAGCAGTACCCTCGGCGGTGTTACCTTCGGCAGTTGCACTGGGGGTAGAAGCAGAAGCGCTGTCACTACCATTGGCTTCCGCGCTTGCACCAGTAACACTGGAAGGCGTGGCAGAAGCAGCAGTCTTAGCTTCCACAGAGGAAGATCCCTCACCACCGTTAGCTTCAGCGCTTGCACCAGTGGCACTAGGCGTAGCAGCAGAAGCGCCCTCGCCACCGTTGGATTCAGCACTAGCGCCACTGACGCTGGGTGTCGAGGAATTTTCACTGGAACTAACCTCGGAAGCACTGCTCCCGCCAGCAAGAGCAGCTGCGGCAGAGCTCTCGGCAATAGGGCAAATCGTGGTGGTCATGGTGACATATTCAGTAGACTGGGAGACAGAAGATCCGTCCTCAGTTGCAGCCGAAGCATCTGCGGTAGAAGCAGCGACCGCAGTAGTTTCAGGAACGATTGTCGTGGTTTCGGAATCAACGGCACTGGAGACAACAGTGGTAGCAACAGTATTAACAGCAGTGTTGGCAGTGTTGACAGCAGTGGTAACAACCGAATTGGTGGCTTCGGCAACGGCGGAGACCGTCTCGGAGACTCCGGTTGCGCTAGAAACACCAGAGGCAGTCGCAGCCCCCGTCTGGTAGATCTTGATATAGTTAATCTCCCAGTAAGACTCCTCAAATGCGGTCGGGTTCTCGGCAACATAAGCAACACAGCTCTTGAAAGAACTGCTACTATCGCTCACGGGGCAACCAGAAGTGCTGTAAACGCCACCAGCCCAGTCACCACAGAAAGTGGTATCGAAGATGAACTGTTGAGCCTTGAAGTGTTCGGCAATGCTGCAAGAGCCTTGCATGTGGGCCATGGGAGTGCCAAACGCGGTAACATTGGGGCTGCCTTCGGTAATGGAGGTAGGAACCGAGCCACGAGCGAAGAACCAGAATTTGATATATTCGTCAGTCCACTGCATAGCGTATACACCACCGCCGTTGTCGTTGAATGGCGTGCCCGAAGAGCCCTTGGTGCCCTTAACAACACATCCAGTAGTACCAGCATTTTCGCCACATTCGGTAGACGAAAGCGAGCCGGTCATTGTCTGACTGGATACTTCACAGGTACCGCTCGTATGTAATACAATCTCGTTGGCCTCGTTCTTGTTGACGCCCTCGATGATATCAATCTCACCGTCACCGGGCCAGTTTTTCCCCACAGACCAAAATGCAGGCCAGGTACCGCAGATGCTTCCGGGCATGTGCTGAAGATCGATAATAAACAGACCCTCGTCGTAAAACTTGTTGCTCTGGATACGAACCGACTCTCGGCCGGGTCCGGTGGTGCTTAGTTTTGTTGTATGGTCGACACCCATGTAGAAGGATCCGTTCGAATTGACTTTGACCAAGCCCGAGCTTTCGGCGTAGCTCTGGTTCGCGTACGTGACGAATCCATTTGTAGGGTCGGCACCAGTATAGAAATCGAACAACTGGAGAAAATCGTCACCCTTCCAGGTCTCCACCAGTCCGTAGCTGCTAGCCGCCGCAGGCAAAATCATCGACGAAAGAGCGAGCGATCCTACGCTCCATAATAGCGATGAGGAGGGCATTGTTGTTGAAGTCCGGCAATGGCAACCAGTTTGGAGAGTAAACTATGCGCGGAGGTGGAAAGAACTAAGGACCAGGGGATCAAGGCGCTTATCAAAACGATCGACGTTAGAGCGAAAGAATGGAAACAGCCGTCTAGGCTACGGGTGGAAATGAAAGTAGCACAAACTGCAGAGATCAATCTGCCAGAGTAAAATAGTGAAATAAAGAACGTAAATAGGAAGGATGGGAAGAAAAAATGTAGAGAATGCAGACAACAATGTGAACATGACGCAGGCCGGGGGTAGACCAGGCGATATACAAATAAGAAAAGCAAAACGCCCTGACAATATGACTAGCGCAGCCTCTGTCCAAGCCTGCAGCCCACCACTGGCATTATTGTCGATTCCATGCATTCACGGGCGGCAACGAGCCGCCCATTGGAAGGACGGGTTCGTGCCTCGGGCGGGCCATCAGGGACCAGACGAATCAGAGCGCAAAGAAGGCCGGAGGCAAGATGGGAGTTGAGGAGTCCACAGCCTTCATTCTTTGGCCAGGCATGTCGGGTGGAGCGGCGACAAGAGCAGCAGCGTGGTGGTGGAACCTGAAACGCGACCAGACAGCCCAGCGGGATGATGAAACAGGAGAAGCCCAAAGATTCGACTAACACCGTGGCCTGCCAATTCCCTGCATGAGAAATCAGCCAGGTCAGATTCCCCAAGGAACCGCCTGCAGGTTGGTTTTTCACTTGTGGGCCATCAGATTGATTCAGCCGAAGACTTGTTGTGGTGTAGCTGTTCCCCTGACGCTATCCCGGCAACCGTCACATTCCTAACCCACCAGGCCACCAGTTGATTCTGACAGGTCACAATCACTCAGCAACCGGACCAGATTGCCGATCTGGGGCAACAACCCGGTCTGGCAGTTGACGACGTAATTATTTTAGGAACATCTTTTTCACCAGCAGCTTCTGTCCCGACGGAGCGGACTAGTCGAGTCTAGACACTGGGTGGGGAAGCGCTGACACGCCGTTGTTTCTTGAAGTCACATAAAGAGTGGGCGAGAATCGCCCAGCATGGGTAGCGCAACCACAGCAACCACAGCATGCGTAGAGCATTCGCGTTCCGCTCTAGAACCCAGCCGCATGGCGAAGGCTGACCGGCAGCATGTCATGAACCCCGATCCTTGACGTGGATGAAGATGGGGAGACGCAAAGAATGAAGAAAAGACCGGGAAGAATGCCGGCGAGACCCAACCCGGTTTAGCCCCGTCAGCCACGGGACCGCGCCCCTGGTGTGGCTGGAATGACCCTTCCCCTGGACGCGCCTGTAATTGTCCTCTTCTATCTATCTGCTGCTGGCCGGTAGATTGCCGTAATCTCCGATCGCTAAGCCTTTGCTATCCCTCCTATGGGTCATACGAAATTATTTCAGACTCGGGAGGAAGAAAAGGTCAGGAAAAAAAATAAGCTGTGGCCTCCTGGCGACCCGTGGCACTCCCATGGATGGGTCCGTCCACCAGCCCGAATCAAAAGACAATTGGGTCTTTAGAATCTAGGTTTCCAACTACCAGCCCCATTGCTCGATCCCGCTTAAACATTCATGACCCGGGTGACGAAGTATAAGCTTACGTATATCGTAGCTCGATGAGCCAAGTCAGCCTGACCACCCCTTGCATTGCATGGCCTCAATTGCAATTTTGCCCGGCCACCGTCGTACTTACAACCTGAGGCTTTTATTCTGGCAGGTTGTCGGGAATTGAACAAAGTACGGAGTAAGGGGATCGAGACTCGTGAATATGACTGCAGAGCCAGATGCAGGTCCCACGGGACCTAGCCCTGATGAAGGATCGCTAACACCATGTCGGGTTCTTGAATCTAGGATCCGTGCATTCGCTTGTCTTTCCTCGGCCGGCAGTCGCCTAGACTCTTGCTGAATACACTCCATCCAGCGGAATACCCCATGACCTTGTCGAAGCAGCTAGATAGATGCTTACGTTGAAGGATATCTGGCGCATTTAGAATTGGGGATGATCCATATTCAGGAGGGATCAACAAAAGATGTCTGACGGACTGGATCTTAATGCTTAACAGAACCACACTTCGAGGGGTTGTATTTGTCATTTGTCACACTCCATAGCTTAGTGCCGTCCCACAACTGCAAGGCACACATCTGACATATGCCCCACTGCATTGCGTTCTTCTGTGGAGGGCTAGCTAAACCGGAAGAAGGCTGGTCCCGGTGTAGGTGTGCTTCTTGTTAACTCATGGCCGCCTGGTTCAAAATATGTCCTGGAAACTGGTTGTGTTATTGGCGAGGCCAAAGACACATCCGTGACAGGCAGAGGAAGATGTATGAATCCGGGTACATTTCCAAATACTACTAGTGGGTAGTGTAATCACTTTGGCCAGAGCAGATTGATTCTAAAATGTTGCCCACTAGTCGTACCTATTGCGGACTCACCTCGGGCATGGCTGGAGAACGACGCCTTTCAGAGCTCGGGTGCTGAATGGGGAAATCCGAAGACTGATCTGGCACAGCTTCATCATGGAGCACCACTGATGGAGATAAGAGTAACCTTCTAGGGTATACAAAAGCTCCAGATTAATAATCCGATATGGTCAGGGTGAGTACATGATTCCGTTTGATCGCGTTAGGTCACGGCGAGCTGGATGTCCTTTGGATGATAACCCACACGGTAGTCTGAAAGGTAGTGGTAGTATTGACCCTTCGTACTTGACTCCTTGCCCTTTCACGTCATTCATGCATTTTCGACACCCTTGCTATACCGATGAGATTGTCGCTTCATAGCATTCCGTCTGTGCTGAACTGCTTGGTATCTGGTTGTACCTTGGGAACAAATATTGTATCTCTCTGCTGTCCTTGACTGGGGGTCTCTACCAGAGCCAGTATGTATTTGCATGGGAAAGCACGCGCCATTGTACTATACCACTGGCCACAAGAAAGCCCGTAAGACGCATTACGACACACGGGATTATGGTATTGCACACTTCACAACACAAGGTCGGCCGTGGTGGCTTCTAAACCGAACCTGAGGTATCCCAGTGTCTGTTTCACGGGTTAGTTGGCATGGCCACTTTATCTCCATATACAACCCTGCAGGGCAATCTCCACGTCGCGGCGACGGAAACCCGGTGTCCATCCCAGACATATCGCATTCGCGGACAGTGCTACAATGGTTAGTGTCAAGGCTCCAAAGAAATTGGAGTGCGAGTTGAGGTTTGAACCCTACCTTGTATGAAACGTGCTGCATTGATCGCTTTCCCCTTGGATTGGTATTGTGCACGATCCAGTGGAGGGTATGTGAGAAGACGCACATCCTGCTCGCGCAAATATCCTTCCAGGTCACCCATGTCAAACCAGTCCCCTTCAAGCTGCTTCTGTATATGTGGTGGAAACTGTGACACAGACCGCACGGAAACCCATCGCACTCCAGGCCGAAATGGACGATCCGCGGCTTTGCACTTCAAGGAAGATCGAGAGTAATGTGTTCCTGCACCCCCTAAGCTGAAGAATGGAACATCTTCCCACTCCTCGAAACGTTTCCGGCTCTCTTTCTCGTTCAAAGCTGATTGGAAATATGATGCAATACGTTTCCTGTCCATTATTTGGAGAAGCAGACAGAAATGCTTCTGTATCCTGTCCATACTGATGGAATCGTCACACAGGGCGAAACACCCCTGGTAAACGCACGACATGTGGAGGCGGTCTGTGAAAAGAGACAAGTCCATTTCAGATGTCTCCAACGATTCGAAGAAACGAGGACTCTTTCTAATTCCTGTTTTCTGCAATCCTTCCTGCCCCAGATGTAGATTAAAATTAGATCCGAAGCTGAATGGAAAGCTTTCATTCGATCCCACGATTGGTGGTTGGGTCTGCTGCTCAGGCGTCAGAAGTTCCGGTGAGCCTTGTTCTGTCTGCGGCGGCGAAACAATGGGAACATCCTGTTCACCATCATTGCTAGCCTCCCTAGCTAGAGTGAGACATGCTTGTACCGTATCTCGCAAATGCGTCGTCAGGCCAGTATCGCCTGCCAAAACCCCTGACTGAACCAGCTTATCACTAAAAGAGAGAACCGCCGTGCTCATTTGCTCTACCACAGACTCGAGTTCGGAGATGCGGCTTTTAAGAGACGAGATGTTGGCTTCTTTTCGGGAGCGATAAGCACGTTGCGCAAGACGGATTTGTCTCCGCCGTCTCTGCTTAAGGTCATCAATGTTCCGGCGGTAGCGCACAAAGGATCAATCCTCGCGTACCTCTTCTGGATCTTCATCCACAGCGCCGTCTACTACTTTTCGCGGTCGACCTCTTTTATTGAGCGATGATCCGGATCGATTTACGTCGCCGCGGGGGCGTTTAGGGGGCTTCGCAGCGGGCTGAGTCGCCTGCATGTCGGGATCGTCATTGTATAGTGCAACTTCTGGCACATACCCAAGTAATGGTGCCTGAATGTACCCTGGTTCTCGTTGCGGTTGCCTAATTTGTTGGGGTACGGGATATGAGCAGGCTGACAGCAGCGAAGTGATCTGCGGTGTGGCTGAAGAGTCTAATCGCACGTGCTGCGTCCCGAAAAGCTGCTCGTTGATGCTTTCCCAAGGGACTAGAGCGGTGTCTGAGTCGGTCATAATTCCTCTTGACGATGGAAACGACATTGCATCGTTGGCGGGGATGGCTGATGCAAAGCGGAATGCCGTTGGGGGGGGGTTCGGAGAGGATGGAGAGTCAAGGAAAACGCTGCTGACATATCCCCCCCTCCCGCCCAGTTGCCACTTGTCACGGCCTTCATCCCGTCCAAACTGGGTCACTTAATTATTTATTAGCGTGGGTCGAATAGAGTAGGGTTCTAGACGGTTGAAGACTTTACTTTTATGCATGTATATCGCCATGTTTTCGAGCATAATATACGAGATGTGTGGGACGGAAAAGGAGATGCCTCGGCTCGGGCTGTTCACTAATCGGAATTTTGATTACGCTATCATCCGCACCAACCAATTGTGCTTGTCTGCATATTTAATGCTAATGCATGACTTTGACGTCCACCATAAGGCTTTGCTTCCTTACCTTGACCACAGCTTTAGCATGGTATCGAACTAGTTCTACTTGCTCTATGCTATGCAGAAACTATCATGCAAAAATTAAATAAATGAGGCTGGTCGTTGAGCAACCATCCTTAATAGGTTGAACCTTCGAAGTTGAATCCGTTCCTGTATATACCCTGTAGCCCCTGGCCCATGTGATGAATAACAATGCTTTTGCAGATGAAGACCCCTTCTTATTATTTTTTTGCTCTATGCCGTGGCGAACTCCTTGAGGTACGCCGCAAGCTTTTCAATGCCGGATTCGGGAACGGCATTGTAGTTGGACGCACGAATGCCTTTATTCTAGTCAGTCACGGTACTTGACCACAGCTATGCTCATCACTTACCTCCGACGCTTCTGTGGCCCTTCAGTCCGGTAAGTCCACGCTCGACGGCACCCTTCAGGAAGGCCTTTTCAGTATCGTCGACGTTTCCACCCTACTAAGATTAGCCCTGTCTCGAACACAAGCGTTGGGGTACATACCTTGACCACACGGAAGCAGGCGTTCATTCTTGAACGCACAGCCTTATCCGGTACGACCTTGTACACCTCCGGGTAGGCATCGAGCGTCTCATAGAGAAGCTTCGCCTTTCTGTCAGCCACGGCCTGCTGTCCGTCCACCTTGTCGGGGAACGTAGCAAGTAGTTTCTTGAGAACTTGGCCAGCAATATAGACACTGAAGCTGTTAGTGAAACCAACCTGGACCTTGGTACATCAGTGGAGACTTACTCAAAGATGGGAAGGGTGTTATAGAGGGAGTTGTTCTTCGCGGCAACGGAGTAGTCGAGAATGGTGGGGGCAATTGGCAATCCCAGCTTGCGCAGGATAGCAGGAGACGCCGAGGGAGAAACGGGGGGCAGAAGATCCTTCTTAATGATCACTCCGGTAATTCCAGCAACACCCAGGTTCTTCTGTCTGTAAGGGGTCAGCACATGGTGCCTGGTGCAGGCATTGACAAATCTTACGCTCCGAAGAAGATAATCGAGTAGTTCTAGGACCAGTAAGCAGGGTACTGACAAGGACTTATAGGGTCATACCTCAACTGGGATCCGTCTCGACAAAATGGTGGAGGAGTAGTCTCCGATAACGATGGGGTCTTCGTCGGTTCCCTTGGGTTCCAGGACCTTGGGGAAGCTAGGGTACTCAACACCATCAACCGTCTAGTGGACATGCGTCAGCAATCGTTATGATGATGGGTGCATTATACACACCTCGTTCTCGCACTTGTAGACCATGGCAGCCTTGCGGCTCAACTTCCAGGTCGACTCATCCGCGATCTTTCCAAACTTGCCATCATTGACTGTCCTGGCGTCACTGGCGATGTTGACATATTCAGGACCAAGAAGGCGAATGGCTTCTTGGCTGGCCTTGAGCGACCATCTGCATAGTCAGTTAGTACAGGGTATCATCCCAATGGACCGGGGTGACTTTCGATCCAGTAACCAGGTAGTCGAGTCGCAGGTCTGATTCGACCTTCTTGCGCAATTCACTCAGTACTTCCTGCTCACTAATTTCGCCTCGCTGCTTGACGATAAGCTGTCTCTGTTTCTCAACCCAGACAGCGACGAGGTTGTAGACGGTCGCATCGAATTGGCCGGATCCGCCACCTTCAAACCATCAGCGAATTGCGGTCGCAAACAAGGATAGAGCAGCGATGTACCTTGCAGGAAGAGAATCTCGTATGTGGAGGGGATATCCAAGAAGTTGGCAAGATCAGCCTTGGCGCTGTTCAGGATGTTGGCCGCGATTTCGCTGCGGTGGCTGTGTTCGGCGACACCCCTAGATGTGAAGTCAGGTACGGTTGCAGATAAGATCGCACAGATCAGTGCCCCTCACAGGCCAGTGTCCTGGTAGTTTTGCAGAGCCTGAGCTGCGGTCGCAAGAACATCGGTCGGGAGACTGGCAGGACCAGCGCCCAGGTAGGTAATGTCTTCTCTCTTCATCGTGGGCGCAATTGGTACTTTGTGATGGATAATGGAATTGCGGAGGATAAGAGAATTTTAAAGCTAAATGACGTGCTCAGTACGGAGTAGTGATTGTGACTCACTAAGTCCGGGACTAATGTGTTTCCCCAGGCAGGCCGGGCATGCGTTTCCCCGGGGCCGTGGTCCAACCCCGGAAAGAGAATGCAGTGATCATATCCAACCTGTAGGGGATAGGAGCGTTGCAATTGTATGGGTTACACATCATTGCTGCTGTATACATAGGATTGAGGTAACAAAATAAACTGAGAAATGCCAGGATAAATAAACAGAAAAATAAAAGAGAAAAAAGAAATCTCCCCGACTGGGAGTCGAACCCAGGTCTCCCGCGCTTGTTCCCGTGTGGGATTGACAAGCGGAAATCATGACCGTTAGACCATCGAGGACTTGTTATGGAAGCTGCCGCAGTTTTGATTTTATCAACCACTGCTAGAAGAGTCCATCAGAGCTGTCGCTACGAGAATATTAACCAACAACTAGGCCAGTCTTCCACATTATTCAGATTCCGCTCATATTCTGCTCTGTTTAGTAGTCTCTTGACGCCTGTCTTTGTTTATCTCATAGACCCATCTATTACTCATCTATATGCTGAGTATTGATTCAGGGATATATATTCAGACGTGTTCAACCATCCATTCCCATTCAACAAGAATCACAGGACCAGTTGCACCTGCAACATAATGCGTAACCACAAGGGAATGTCCAGCCAAACACATGACAGCCGAGGAGCAATGATACCGAGCACATGTTCATGGTCAATCCCTTGTCCTACATGCCGTCAAGGACCCCACCCTCAAGCCCGAGAATGGCTGTGTAAATTCACATTGTCTCGCAGACGAGGAAAAGATTCTCCCGGACACACGTCACCTGGACTGACCACATTTAGCAGTAGGTACTTACTATAGAACCGGTATCAAGCAGAACATCCATGGACTGCCTCCTGGAAAAACATGCCCCACCTGCGCGGTGGGTCAGCCGAGCCACAGGGTCCGATCCTACCAAGCCGGATGTCCACGGCGAATGCAGGCATATCCAGCACCCTTCTTTACACCAAAACACAACACAAACCACGTGTTGTCTCAAACAAACAGCATCAAGATGACCACAATCGCGGTAGCTGGTGGTACCGGCGGAGTAGGAAAGACAATCGTCGAGACATTGTTACAAGAAGACAAATATCAGGTTATCGTCTTAACTCGCGGTGTACGACCCCCCTCCACAACCCATATTCAGCAACTTACACTCGAACAATCAGAGCCCCAAGGAGGACCCTGCCCTTTTAAAGACGCGGCAAGTGCAGATAAACTACAATGACGTCGACTCCGTTGCTCAAGTACTCGACAAGCACGCCATCCGCACAATCATCTCCGCCATTAGTATCTACTCGGATGAAACCAGCCAAAGCCAATTGAACCTGATCCAGGCTGCTGAAAAGTCCACTGCAACTAAGACATTTATCCCAAGTGAATACTCGTTTATCCAGACCAAGGAGTATGTATGTCCGCCCACTCCGAGCCAAATGCAAGCTCACTGATCAAATAGTATCCTATCCGTCGACCCCAGTATAAAATACTGGCTCGCAGCGGCCGAATTGCTGCATAAAAGTAGCCTGAAATATACCCGGGTCACACCTGGGATCTTCATGGACTATTGGGGAATGCCCAATGTGCGGACCAACCTTCAGCCATGCGTGATCGGAATCGATGTAGCTAATTGCTGGGCGGCCATTCCCGGTGATGGCAATGATAGGATGAGCGTCACTTACTCGTACGATATGGCGGCGTTTATTGTGAAGCTTCTGGATCTTGAGGAGTGGCCTGAGTTTAGTGTGTTTGTGGGTGATGAGATTACCTATAATGAGCTCCTTGAGCTTGCTGAGCAGGTCCGAGGTATGTAATTTACGACATGCTTAAGGGGCTAGGCTAACGAAAACAGGCAAGAAATTCGAGGTGGTATATGACAGCGTCGAGAAGATCAAAGAAGGAGATGTTACAATCCCTTCATCCCACCCTGGGACTTCTGATGAAGAGACCCGGGAGACGGCCGCGTTGGTGAGCCGACTCACTATCGCCGGAGCCTTTGACCTGCCGAAAGAGCGCATGAATACGAGGTTTCCAGATCTGAAGCCCCTTGAAATGAGGGAATTCCTCCTTGATGTCTGGGAAAACAAAGCATGATCATGCAATACTGGTCAACATTAAATGACTATCTACTCTGTAGATACTCTACATAATCTTGATTGACGCCAAAATATGGTATATCACCCCCGCAGCTCATCCTTCCTCCTTCCTCCTACCCCATGACAACCAACTAGAGATGATCCTCATCTTCCGAGTCCATAGTACTCCCAAAAGGGTTATCAAATATCAATGCATGATCATCATCTACACAAACATCAGTTACTAACCAACACCACTCGCCCAGAGAGTAATACACACCATCCGATGGATTATTATCATCCTCCGTATCCGGGTTATAGTTAAACCCAAACTCCTGAGTAACAATCCTCGAAGCCGCACTACTGAAGTTCAAGACATCCATTAAGGATACTTTTTCACTTGCTGGTTGATTGGGGGCGTGCGTCGGCATTTGGGTATCGGGTTCGGACATTGTGGGACGTGTCTTAGTCATTTATATGTAACAGGAGAGACGGATGTCAACGAGACAAATGGCTGTTGTTCATGTCACTGTTATTCCTGTAAGACCTCATGACTTATATCCATAGGATCCGCTTATAGTTGCCACCGGCATTCTGACATCAGCGAGAGCTAAACCCTGTTGTTTCGGGGTTGAAACTGGACATTCGCGAGATATAGTCAATTACGGTAAGAGACTATTTAGTACGCGACAATCTTATGGTTGTCCACTACCTTAAACAGCAAACCCGTCATGTGAGCATCATTCCATGCATTAAAGTAGCAATAGTCAATCAACACCGGACCTTTAAACTCCATTCAGCCCAGATTATAACGGATTGACGATCATCGCCATCAAGAACACAAAAGCCAGACATACCACACACCAACACCCAAAAAAGAAACACAAAATCAATCCCAATCATCCACATCCCATGTCGAATCCGGCGGCCCATCTGCAACCAAATCAGCCATCTATCTATCATCTCTCCAAATCACATCTCACCAACAGAATACATACACCCATCCTGAATCGAAAGCAAATACCCAATTGTTTCAATCAAACTCGGCGAATCCTGCATATCAGGAACCTCTTCAACAAGGTCCTGCGCCTTCGGAGAAGTTCGTTGATCGGGCGGGCCCTCAGCCTGTTCAACTTCAACAGTGAAGCCCAGTTTTTCTTTTTCTGACGTTGCCATGACTGTTTCGACGGCAAATATGCCTCTTCGCTTCGTAGATATAAAATGTATATTGTATCTTCCAATAAGAAGTTATAGATAGATAGATAGTATAAAGAGTGTGTGATCCTACGTAGTGATATTCGCCATCTCACCAAGTATAAATAACCCCACCGGTCCATCAATTCCCCCTAGTCTTGACATCAGATAATTCCCCAACCCGGGGTAATGGCGCGGGGTACACGAGACCAGAGACCGAGCCATTGGATCAGTGGTAAAGTTTGCAAGGGGGGACGTGCTTTTTGGTCGAAGCTTGCATTCACTCTGGGTGGGAAAATGTCCTTGGTTGGAATAACAGGATTCATGGTGCGGGTGACCGGATAAGGTACCGCTAAACCTAGTTTCAGTCCCTAGGGAGACTTTAAGGCGCTGAGGGAACCTGGGAATTGTTGCCAGGGCTGGAGGCAAATTTCTAGGATTGGGAGGAGCCATTGTTGATGCTGAGAAGGTGGGCGCTAGTTGCTGATGCAGAAAGAGCTTGCTGGTTTGGCTTTGAGTACAGTACGTAAGGAACCGATTTTGGGAGGACACGTGAGGGATTGAGTGCATTTGAACAGATGAGTCTGTTCATTCCAGATGTAGTAGTGACATTGCTGAATAATAAGAAACGAGCAATCTCATCATTTTACTTATCTCTCTCTCTCTTTGTTTGTTTGTTTTTGTAGTGAGGGGAAAAAAAGCAAAAAAAGAAATGTCAAGGCCCGAGCCGCGGATCGAACGCGGGACCTCTCGCAGATATGCTTGGGTTTGTAGGCAGAAGCCATCCCTAAGCGAGAATCATACCACTAGACCACCCGGGCTTGATATATTCGTTGCGTGAATATTTTGTTAGAAGGGAGTTGGCAATGGACTAGTAGTGCTGCTTCATGTGATGATCGTTGTCCATCAGGACTGTTATATTTCGTTCAGTCTAGTCGACCATCAGTGCAATCATCACTACTCCTGGTAATATTGGCAGGTCTCAGCGTGACGTCAGAGCGTTACACAAGTCCAGATGCCCACTCGTCATCTCTCTTCCCCTCATCCTCCCAACACGTATCCCAACAATGAATAATCATCAAACAACTTCGAGATATCACTGCATCGGAGCAGGATTCTGCGGCACAGTCTGGGCTCTCCCAGAAGACCGTATAGCCTTCAAGCGAGAGGATGGTGGCCCAGACAGGTCTCTAGCTAATGACTACACCATGCACCAGCGAGCTTTTGACAGCTTCTCCCAACTATCGAACCTCAAAACCCAAGAATCCAATACATATCAGACGAACACATTTCCCCAAGTTCAGATCCCGAAATGTCATCGATTCATCACCCCAAGCGACCCATGGTGGACGAAGAATCTCTCCCTGTTTCCCTCGCAATACTCACCCTGCAATGTCATCGTTTCGGAACGCATCCCACCATTCCCAGAAACGAGCAGAGAGCTTCTGGTGGAAAGATACTGCAATCCGAAGATACAGACAGAGATACTGAAAAGCGCTAATAACAAGGATTGTCTCATCCGACCATACCTGGGTAGGAGACGAACACAGAGGACTGAGATTCACGGAACCTCGAGATTTGCAGCATTTTCGTTGCGAAACTATCCACTACATGAAGATCAGATGGAGGATATTGGTATATCTACTGATGATATGCAGCGCTATGCGCGTATGATGGCCGAAGCATTAGCCACTTTACATTGGGTTGGTGAGGTTGATGGGAATGATATCGAATTTGTCCTCGCTCCCCCACCTCCATACGAAGGAGATGGCACGAACGTAATTGTTAATGTACTCGGTGAACATACCATGTGGATGCTGGACTTTGATCTGTGTCGGTCTATGTCCATGGATCAGGATGGGGTCGAGCAAGCTGTCGCTGCTTATTGGCGCAATGACCCGTTTTATCCTCGACCGCAGAGCAAGTTATGGAGCGACTTTCGAGAACAATATTTGAGAACTAGTGAATGGGTTATTCGGCACAGGCAAACCGATGTTGACGAGCGATTATCTCTCGCTCGACGGTTTGTTGAACTAATCGAGAAGGTTAGACCAACAGTGGATGGCATTTGAGTTATACTGTGGAAGAAACGCCTGTATTATCTAAACGAACAGTGAGCTTTAATAAGTATGTGAGGACACGTATGGTGGTCGCCTGATAGTCCGTCCATGTATGCGACTGTTGGGCAGCCTCACGGCTGGCCCGGCCCAGGCACATCTCCAGTCTAATTATATACTTGCATGCAACTGATGCAAAAGAATCGGATTGCAGACTCTTAAGCTCGCTACTCAGCATCTGATTCCCTTTGCTCGGAAGGCTAGGAAAAATAGGGAATAGGCATAATGCAAGGGGCCGATCGGACCAGCTGTCTCTGCAATGTCAGACGGTCAGCCGTTGAGTCAGTGGATGTACTGTGTACCTGGATGACGGTGGAGTTAATCACCGACCCCGTCGCCCGACAAATCGCGTTGTCAATCAGGTTATCTTCCGAGTTCCGAATCTTCAATGAAAGTCGAATGAAAACTTGGCATGGACCACACAATAAAGACAATTGTCCTTTGAGGCATTTGCCAGGATTTCCCATAGCCGAGACCAATTATTGGGCCCTGACAAGGATGGTTTCGAGGAAGGTGAACAACAAAGCGACGAACCGTGTCACCATTTATTGTGACGTAACGACGATCCCATGCGACTTGGATGGCCAGGTCCAATGACAGGGGCGACACCGAGTCTTGCCCCGTGCCATGGAGGACCGTGTGCTGGCATTCCGATGGCGCGGGGTTTATAAATGCTCGGATCCCTTCTCCTTCGCCTTGTTATGTTCTCTTTCTCGCGGACTTTGCTGTCAAAAGTCTCCAGCCTCCCTCTTTCTTCCGCTTTCACCCTATGGAAAGATTTCGTCGGTAGCAGATTGCGCGGGTACGCTTTTGCAGTGCCAGAGTGATTTACCTATTTATTCTCGAGATCCCTATCGACCGGGAATGGTTTGAGCAGTGACTGGACTCATCTTTTTCACCATAAGGGATGCTCAGGTATGCACTCGAAATTTCAACTCAAATTCACCGCCATCATCACGTTGGACAAATAGGCTAACGATCTCTAGATTAGATTAGTACCCCACTCTAGCACACACCAGTCGAAGTGGCACCATCAGCGAACGAAAACAACAGACGCCATGTCGGACACGGTAGCTCGGCCTATTGGGGAGTCGGTGAGCCACGAGCTGGCTCGGAACAACCAGATGGGGGGAGAATGCTTCCTGAAGCGCTTTTCACAATGGTTCTGGTCGGTGTGGATGATCGCCGGCTCGGAGACCCACGATGCCCTGGCGGATCCCGCAAATCGCTCTCGGGGCACAAATTGTGCTTCCAAACCCAACGGCCATGGCACTACAAGAACCTCTGGAGGTGAAAATGATACCGGACTGCAGGAACAGTCCAAGCACAGCCATCCCTGCAAGGCTTGCCAAACCTGGGGAGCTGTCTGCGATCAGCAGAAACCGCGATGCTCGCATTGCCTGGATCAGCAGATCTTGTGCTTTTATGTGTCGCCCCCTCGGAGGTCAACCAAGCGATCGACCAAAGCGCGTTCCGCCCACTTGGAGGTCGTAAATTCCTCGCCAAGTTTACTGGCGAACTGATTGAACGAATAACGAATGAAGAGACTCAATATATACGAAGTTATTGCTCTTACCACGATAGATACCCGATCGATAAGGGTGCCTTAGATAGGATAGCTTAACGTCTAGTCGTTCCCACACGCGAAGAACTCGAGCATAAGGCTGACGAATGATTGGCACACGCGCGGCGGAGAATTAGACCTGCTTGCCAGCCATCCGGTTCGGACACATGTGGTATGGCTCGACATGCGTTTGCCATCTTCCATGGCGGAGACCCGGCTCGAAGGTATGCATAACGGCAGAGAATGTACCAATTGCTGGGATTCAATAGTCATTTATTGTGCCACATGAATCAGATTACCTCGGATATCCGTGTCCACCATGCGCCATGGAAAGTGTCGTCGGAGCACTGTCAGCCGATACCCCCGCAACTTGATAGCAGATATCCGGGGTGTAGCACCTACTTAATCGCAATAAATTTTCACTCGATTTCTATATTAGAATAAAATGAAATCTTGTCAAGGTAAGTTGACAATGGGCTTCACCCTCTGCCATTAACACTTCAAGTTGACTGAGATACAAACAGATGAACGCAGAATACATCCGAATCGCGAATGCAATCCAGCAAAAAGCACAAAATAATAACAAGAAGCGACTTCTAGTGGCCATAGCCGGCATTCCAGGTTCAGGAAAAACAACTACGGCTGCAGCTGTCGCCCAACATCTCAGGATCGAATCACCAAATCAAATCGCCCTCGTCTCCATGGACGGCTTCCATTTGTCGCGAGCAACCTTGGACAGTCTTCCGAACCGAGAGGAGGCATACATCCGTCGCGGTGCCCCATGGACATTCGATGCAGCACGTTTTGTTGCGTTCGTTCAAAAACTACGACAATGGGCAGATTCTACTCCACTGACCTCAGGGAGCTCGTCTGACCCGGCCATTATCTATGCACCCTCGTTCGACCACGAGGCTAAGGACCCAGTCGAGAATGGGATTGCTATCACGAGTGATGCCTCGATTATAATCCTCGAAGGCAACTATCTCCTCCTCAACGAAGAAAACTGGCGCGATGTTTCGCAACTTGTCGACTACCGCATATTTGTCGACGCAGACGTACAGGAAGCCCGAGAGCGAGTCGCTCGACGACATGTTATTGCAGGAATCGAGAAGACCTTGGAGGATGGCTTCCGGCGTGTCGATAGCAACGACTACTTGAATGCGCTTCATATTCAGGAAAAACTAATAACCCCTGACATGGTGATCAAGAGTGTGACGGAATTGGCTAGCTGATCTAGTATACATGAAGATCCAATCGAACAACTCTAACAGGCTAGATTCGAGACAGGAGCAAACCATCACTCTTTAATCTGTTTCTTATGAAAGACATCTACCAATCAAATTAGCACAACCACCATAACCAAATAAAAGTCACTCACCCGGAATCTCAGGCATCCAACCCACGCGAGTCTGACAGAAGAATTCTCCCTTGGGTGGCAACACCTCTGGATCATCCAGTGACCCGACACAAATATACCGAAAGTCATTTTTGACAGCATCCTTCGATCGTTAGCATACCAAGGAGCCTGAATCCGTTGTAGAAACCTACCCCATACTCGCAGATAAAGCTCCCGCAATCCCCACAAAACTCCCGATGGATCATACTCCCCGACCCATTGTCTCCCACGTATTCTTTGGGGTTTCCGGAGGTGATGTGCAGGGAATCTTTGGGGACCTTGGCGGTTAGACCATAGTTTGTTCCGAAGGCTTTCTATTTACTTGTTAGCCAATGGCACAGCTTGTAACGAATTAAGCAAGTCGATCGTGAATATCTAACCTTGCAGCTACCACAGTGACAGAGGGAAGTGCGGGCATCATCCGGGGAGGAAAGGGAGAGATTGTATGTGATGTTGTGACAGAAGCAGGATCCTGGATAAGACGGCATTTTGAGATTCTGTTATTCCGACGATGATGTTAATTGCTACAATGTTACAATCCAAAAGTTGAGCTTTATCCCGGACATTGTTGTATACGACCGCCTGACGAATGTTGACGTCATGGCTGTGCTACCTCCGGCGGTGGACGGCATTTCTTATTCCCCGGACAATTCTTCTCGAACGTCAAGTCAGATCTCGTTCTTTGTCAAGATAAGCACGAGAAGGCCGAGAGCAGGCTATTGAACATGAGTCAGCCTATATCAGCGACAGTATCGGTCGTAAGATGTCTGCGATGCTGCGATGCAGCGATAGCGTGATGTGATCATGATAAAATCCCCTCATTTGTCGGCAGTCACCCGATCATCTGACTCCTCTACCAGTTCGTTATATTCCTCGGGTTTCTCCAGGGAACTGACAGAGACGACGGTGACCCTATAAATATTTCTTCGCCGGAAGGCTTACCTATATTTCTCTCAGCTTTGCATATCCACGGTAACCAAAATGTCAACCCAAGAACAACCGCACCAATCACATCTCGAGAAGCGTTCTGTCGTTTCCTCGTTTATTTTCAATTTCCCTAAAGGTCCATGCGAGAAACCAGTGGTCGCGCTCTTTAAACGAAGTGAGAAAGTACGGACGTACAGGTTCGTTCACTATCTGCACTACCCCATACGATACTAACAATTCAGCCACCACCTCGCCCCGATATCCGGCAGTGTCAGTCGCAGCGATTCCTCCGAGCTTGAAGCCGCCTGGCGCGAACTCTCTGAAGAAACCTCCCTCGATAATTCCTCCCTCACTCTCTGGCGCACCGGGAAGCCATTCACCTTTGAAGACCCATCCGTCAATCGAGAATGGACCGTTCATCCGTTTGCATTCAAGCTCAAGGACCCATCGGAGGGAGGATCGGGTGAAAGCGCCATCAAGATTGACTGGGAACACGAGGGATGGGGCTGGTACGATCCATACTCTGTACTCAAGGATGAAAAGCTGGAAACTGTCCCACGTCTACAAGATTCTCTGCGACGAGTCTGGTTCGAGGGCGACTTGAGCGAGCGCGCAGGCAAGGCACTATCACTTGGTCTAGAGCGCATCCGTAACGACCATGAAAGCGGAGCGCAAGAGCTCACCGCGATCGCGCTTATGGCCTTCCGGGACTTCATCATCTTCACCGAAAATGGGATAAACAGCAAGGAGTGGTGGAACACAGCTCGCATGGCAGCATGGCATATCATCAAGAACGGCCGAGAAAGCATGGGCGCAGCAACTATGAATGCCCTGCTCTCTGTCTTGGATGAGATGGAGGATATTCTCAAAGACGAGGAAACAAGCTCCGAGCATAAATGGGAACGGGTGCTTTCGATGCTCGATCACCATCTAACGAGTCGGAAGAGCCGCGCCATGCAGGTGAAGGATGCGTTTGCAAATTATCTCCGATTTAGATTTCTACACCACGGGGAAACATTGGACAAGCTTACGATATTGACTGTCTCGGCGAGTTCAACAATCCGGGATAGCATACTAGATGCGTATGCTTCGCTGGATATTCGGAAGCTGGAACTCCGGATTCTGGAATCAAGACCGTTGTTCGAAGGAACGAGTATCGGTTCATCCTTGCTCTCCAACTACAAATCACGGTTCATTGACACCCCTGGCAAAGATCTAAAGGTCAAGATTTACACCGATGCATCCGCTGCCTTGGCAGCCGCCGACGTCGACCTACTCCTTCTAGGCGCCGATCGCATATCTCCCACAAAAGGCGTGAGCAACAAAACAGGATCATTACCTGCCGTGCTTTGCACCAAGCACGTCAGCCCAAACGCCCAGATCGCCGTTCTCAGCGATCTCGAAAAGATCAACTGCGCGAGTAGCATGATCGACGATGACCGCTATGAAGACAATGACCCGATGGAGGTGATCAGCGCCTGGCGCAACGATGGTGTCAATGCGGCCCGGGTGCTCGAAGACAGCATGAAGGAGGATACCTCAACCGTCGAAGTGAAAAACACCTACTTTGAATGGGTCCCGTTGTATTTTGTCGATGCGTTCGTCAGCGAAGAGGGCGTTATGGATGAGAGTCGGATTCGGGAGAAGTCGAAGGAATTGGGTGAGACGATGAAGAGATTTTTTGATGATTTGTAATTATTCTCATGAGTAGTATTTGTTAGTTAAATAGAATTGGTAGGAGTTGCGATGTACATGCAACGCGATTCATCCAGGCTTTGGTGATGCTATGACTGCCCAGTAGTCCGATTCCACAACTCAACTCAATCAATATGCAACTTATAACATTCCCGCTTCTGCATAGTGTATCATCACCTCGATATAATCTCCCCAAACCCCGCACCCCACATAAACCCATGCCCAAGCCCTCTCCCATCTTAAACCTAAAGGACTGACCGACCCCCTGTATGACAGCTAGCCACGAGCCGAGATCAACCAGTCCCATCCCAGGGAAGTCTATGCTTCCGTCCAGCTTTATAACAGCAAATCTACTCAGTACCCTGTAGCTCCCATTTCAATAATTAAATCTATCAAGTACATTCCAAATCAACCCTAATTCTAGATCTTAGAGACACTTAGCCGGCCACCTTCTCTCTCCATAGTTAGCTATATATACCCTATGATTAAATGAAAGGAGAATAGCTCTATACATATGCACGGGAGAAGATTTAGCGAGAGGTGAGTGATTATCTATTCCCTGGGTTAAGATGTGTCTATCTATACTTTCCTATTCATGTTACTGGGGTGGGGGGGAATATAAAAATTGCACTAGCTGGATTTGGTTATGCTATACACTACCGGACCAGGCTTAGTTGTATACTATATCGAGACTGCATTGTATTAGACTGTATTGGATTTAAGAGCAACGAGGGTGTCATTTTGAGTAGTTGCGAATTGGTTTTGGGAAGTGGAATGTGTTATCCATGCGGGAGAATGGCTGAGGATGCAGGGATATATCTGTAGGCAGCGTAGGGTGCGGGCATCTTGTATGTCTATACCATTCTGTTCATTGGATCTCATCCGTAGTCTAGTAACCTCCCATCTGCCCCTTATAGACTGAGCCTCTACTCCCTAAATAAAGCCTTTGGCTTGTCCCCCCACCCCAAGGCATTACTTCTTCAAAAACGTCAACGCACCCAAACACAACGCATCCACCCCAACCCTCATGGTCGGCTGAACAACCGGCGCAAACAGCGCCGAGTGATTCCCCGGAATCTCCTCCGTACGCCCCTCCCTCTGCGCCCTATCCCACACCTCGGGATCAATCCCGCCCACCAACCAAAAACAACTCGGAATGTCCCTACACGTCGCCAGAGTCGAAAAGTCCTCTGCCACATTCGTCCTCGGGACATGATCATCAAAATCCTCAAAATGCCCCGCAAACACCCCCGCCACTCTCCCCGCCACATCCCCATCATTGACCGTCGGCGGAAACCGTCTCGTCGGGGTAAACACCGGCGGCCTGGGCGACCCACTAGCCAAACACTCGGCCTCAACAATCCTCTTAATGGCCGCAATAATCCGCTCGCGAACCCCAACCCTCACCGACCGAAAATCCACCCCAATCTCCGCCCGATCCGAAATCACATTCTCCGTCTGTCCCGCCTGCAAACTCCCCACCGTCAAAACCGCCAACTCACTCGGATCCACCTCCCGACTCACAATACCCTGCAACCGAATCACAATATGCGCCGCCAGAACCACCGGATCAACCGTCTGATGCGGCTGCGAACCATGTCCCCCGCGCCCAAACACCGTAATCTTCATACTATCCGCCGCGGCCATGATCGCCCCAGCACGTGATCCCACCCTCCCCGCCCTCATCCTCATCACATGCTGTCCGAGGACGTAATCCGGGACTGGGATCCTATCGTACAACCCATCATCGACCATGGCCTGCGCGCCACCGCCCCGCTCCTCATCCGGCTGGAACAGCACAATGAGCGTTCCGCTCCACTCATCCCGCATCTTGGCGAGGGTTTCCGCGGCGGCTAAAAGGCACGTGATGTGCATGTCGTGGCCGCAGGCATGCATCACGGGGGTTTCGATTCCCGAGGAATCAGGCATGGTCGCGGTGCTGGCGTAGGGAAGTCCGGTTAGTTCTTTGATGGGGAGAGCGTCCATGTCTGCGCGGAGGAGGACGGTTTTGCCGGGTCCATTGTGGAAGACGCCTGCTAGGCCGTGGCCGCCGATTTGGGTGTGGAGGTCGTAGACTTGGAGGTTGGTGAGATGGGCGGCGAGGGTTTGCGAGGTGGATTTCTCTTGGCGGGAGAGTTCGGGGTGAGAGTGGAAGTGTTTGTAGAGGGTTTCGTAGGGGGTGAGGTCTATGGAGGAGGATTTGAGGATGGTGAAGAGGGTTGGGGGGGACATTTTGCGTTGTATGCGGGGAGGGTTGGTATGATAGGGAGATAGATGATTTTAGTTGATGACTGGGGTTATGGCGTGGGAGAGATTCTGGGGATGATGGATGTGTCACGCCATGGTTAGTTTGAAGCGATCCCGGATATAGATTAGGGTGGTTTCGGGTCCGGGCCGAGAATTAAGCATGAGGTCGATGGATATTATGTTATGTTAATCTGATCAATCTGGGCTGCACCTAAATTGCATGCTTTTCCTCGAGAGCTCTCTGTATGTACCATGTGTAAGGATACATGTAATTGGCTTTGTATGATGTAGAAGCTCAATATCTAAATTAGGATATCTAAATCGTGATATAGCCTTTCAAATGGACGTTTTTGTTGACCTTGACAAATGAGGTAACTGTTCTTGCCGCCCTGCAGGAACCTGGCACCGAGTCCCCACTTATTCATTGAACGTTTGATAAGTCGTCAGTCTTCCCGATTCATTACCGCGCCAGTTGCCGTGCTCACAAGAAATAAATATTTACTCCAAGCATGTCACGACTTACCAAGTCGACTAAAAACTATAGCTAGGCACTAGTCAGTCCTTGTATATCAGCATTTACCCACAGAAGACGAACCCGGAGTTTACAGTCAATTCTTAATTGGAGCCCAGCATAATAGTGAGTGCAGCCAGGCTTAATCATCCACGGGTGGCGTCTAACTATCACATGCATATAGCATTGCTACTTATCTCTCAACCCCGCATCATCTCTCCAGAAACAATCCTGTCAATGCGATACCATGACTCTGAGCCACCGAGTGATATCGACAGTTTGCCATATTTAATATCCCTAAGCGTGAGTTCATGATGGTAAGTTCCCGCAGAATCGCAACACCACCCAATTTAGCTCCGTTGACCAGACGGAGGAATCCATCCTCGAGATGTTCGGATCAGGACCAATACCGACTCTTCTTACTATCCTTATAACGGTCATTCCATCAGCCTCATCCATATGGACCGACCGAACAGCGCGTCAAGCCGCAGCCGCCAAAAAAAAAGCAGCTGAAGCAAGTCGCATCGCCTCTGAAAAAACAGCACAAGCGCAAGATGCAATCTACGAAGAGGCAATCAGGAACATGGCCGGAAACGAATACCGGGAGATTTGTATTCCCAGTAATGGCTTCAACGCCGGGCCGGCATTCACTATATCTTTGGCCGCGTGCATCCTTGTCGGCATCAAGCTCACGGAGCGAGTCGGGAAAGATCTCCAGATCATCGGGCTGCGACTGAGCGAAATCCGCAATGAGCTGGGCCAGCAAACAACAGCAATGATCCAAGGATGGCAGACCCACGGCTTTGGGGCGTTCATCTACTGGTTCCTTGACAATGAGATTCGAGACGCCGGTGGGGAGGCCTCTGTCGGCTGCCATGCGTTTTATGTTTATAACCCAACAACCAGCGCTAATGTCGTCTTCAAGAACTTGTTGCGAGAGAATCCACTTCCGGCATCGTTTGCAGGAATCTGTTCCGATATCGAGGCGGTGTTTCTCCTAATGTGGCAAAACCGTCAGACTCTATTCCAGACGGATCCCCAGAAAGCGAAAAACATGCAGTTCCATTTGCTTGTTCCGGCTAAAAGGTCCTTTGCCATATTTGAAAGGATGGTAATTGACAAAGGAGTCGGGAAGCTGATCATCAAAGGTCATACAGACGAAGGCACCTGCTATGCTTGGTTTAATTTTGTACGTGTGCCACGCCACGTCGTACTGCAAGATGTTGGAAACCTGGATACAGATCATGCAGACAGGGAGAGGTCGGACCGCAGATTCATATGGAGCTGGTCGACTGGAGTTGGATTCTGGTTCGCTGGGTTCATATCCACATTTGTTTTCCCTCCGGCTGGACCTTACTGTGCTGCTGGCTTCATGGGATCATGGGCAAGCGCTGCGAAGTATGGTCCGGTAGATGACGTGCTACAATCATTTCGGTCTGCTCCTCGAGTCCTGGGTCCCCCGGCGAATGTGACCAACCCTAGTGGGGCGTAAAGCCCTTCGTAGTAGGAAGGCGTGCTCTGCTATCTCAATGATGTTCTGCTTACCATTTTTAAAATTGATTTTCGCTCATTAGTCACAGCAAGGCTTTATACATTGTTCAATCTCAGACTGTCTATCAACACAACATTTATTCTTGTATAACAACCTTGCTTGTCAGCCTATCTAGCACGTAGCTCTACAGTCTTTACTATGCATATAAATAACATCTCTACCTTGCACGCCAGTATCCCGTGGGGGGGGATATATCTACTTGGTAGTAGCCTCACTGCAATAAGTAAGTAAATTCTATATAATGATAAATAGCAACACATAATCACAAATAACATTTTCAAGACCATTAACACGATCCACTACTCCTCAGGGCTTAATCTATAATAAACCCAACGCAATCAATACCCAACCAGCGGAGCGGCTTGATCCATATTATACAAGTTCTGACTGATAAGCCATCATCTAACCATAAGATCTAGAACAGTGGGACTAATTAACCAATGAAGGGGAAATGGTATTTATTCCCATTGCGAATGAACTTCAGGTGCTAGATAATCGAAATATTTTATCATAATACTTACTATATTTGAAGGGTGTTGGATAAGGTACTATTAAGGGTAATAAATAATAGTACATCTATGTGCTGACTGTCATTATGCAAAGCCCTCAGTACACATTACCATTGTATCAATAGTAGAAACAATAGCCCCTATTTACTCCCAAGGACCGATTAATCACTGATACGCGCAACCTTCTGGAAGGTTGTTTCTTTGTCTAGGGATATATAGTATCTTCACTTGATCTCGTTTAACCCACTCTGTATAGTGAAGATTTGATTAGATAGAATAAAACCTTTCTTTGATATATATGCTTATTCGAGGTCCGTAGACAGTTCAATTCTGTAAAGGCATCTTTGGTGAATAACGGAGCAGTGTTGAACAAATTGAAGTCCTGTGGTGGGATATATAGTCTCTAGTGGAGACCGGGAGTAGAAGAGATTATTGCAAGCTGTTCCGTTAACTAATGGAAAAAGTAATCGGACAAGAAGGTAGATCGCTCTAATACGCACTGATTGGACTCTATTATCTTACCATACTTCTTCTATGGAGATCCTCCTACCGATGAGCGAGGGACGCGTGGGGACACATCGTAGAAGGTTGACTGACTCCTGTGTTTTTTGTTCATTTTGATTAACATACTGTCTAGATGGGTTTTGGCTTCCCTCGCGACAGAACGCAAGCCATTTGTAAGTCTATGGATGAGGACTGTCTTCTTCCCATTGAAAGTAGGTTAGTGCAGCTTAAGAACGTAGCAAAATGGCTTGTGGTGTTGATAGAACACTGGTTTTTGTTGCTGTTCCTTGGAGTACTACTAATTGAACTGCGTGCGACTCTGTGGCTGTTTGCTTTTCGTGATCAATGGATTATACTGAGGGCAGGAATATATCTCCACTTCGTTACGCTGTGCATAAAAGCACTGGTATCTGGCGTTGAAGAGAATGCTCGAATGTTAGGCCGATATCACACCCGTCCCTTTCGAGGAACGGCATGATAAGGCTGGGGGTTGGGAGACCCGGAATGCCCCTCACAAGTGCAAGGGCTTTTCTTTCTCCAATGGCAAGCAGATCATAAGTGTTCAGGCATAGGCAGCTAGCTAGCTAGCTAGTAATCAGTGGGCCTTTCCTCCTCCTAAGAGGCCAACCGATCAATACCCTTATCTGACCGAACTGATTGGCCTACCAGTTCTTTGTCCCTAGCTATGACCGGAAATATCATGTGACAATCAACAGGGGTCAGAGACAGGATATAAGGATAAGAATAGGCTGCCGCATTCCCAGCAGCTACCTACCTAGCTCCCCAACACTCCCCCTCTGCCTCCAACCTGCCAATCATCACAATGCAGTTCCGCTATTCCACCGGTACCAACGAACCAACAGACTTCCCCTGGGAAGCCGCCATCCCCGTCTCCACATTCTGGGACTCATTCACCTTCAAAGACGCCGCCTGTATTATCAAGGCCATTCCCGTCGAGGAACTCGAACAACATGACCTCGATACGCGATACGGATCTGCAACCCAGCCGGAGAAAATAGCCGTTGCGCTTGATATCCTCCGGGAAAGGCTCCAGCGCGAGGAAGCCAAATACCCACCTCCGGCTGAGTTTTGCACGGCGGACCATAATGCTTGGAGTCATCTCTGGTTGGCAATCGCGGCTACCAGTATGGATCTAGGTCAGGTAGATGTGGCCGAAGAAGCACATCGAACCCTTGTCGTCAAACGACTGGATCCGAACGACTTGGTACCTGCCAACAATCTTTGTGCATTTTTGGCTAGGAATACCACCAAGTATGATGAGGCTATAACCTTGGCTGGGCCATGCAAGGAATGATTGGATAAGAAACTGGGGAGGGGCGTCGCCCCAGGCGATTGGGGTGCGCAGGAATATCGCGGAGGCGGAGTGGAAACGAGGGGATCGGGAGCGTGCTCGGGAGATGATTGCGGAGGTTTTCGAGTGTATTGATGAGTTGAAGGGGAGTAGGTTTGCTGTGTATGAGGATGATGAGAGAGAGTATGCTCGAGGATGGGAGGAGGAGCTGAAGAAGTGGCAGGGTTAGTTTGTGTTGTTGTTTACTAAACTGGGGGTTGAAGACAAGAACACTGTATCGCATGTAGCTAAGATGTCAGGTTTATCCATGTGACGTGGAACTTCTTAGGAAAGTATAAACAGGAGATAGAGGTGAAGGATCCTAGTTAGTAGAAAGAAAGAAAGGTCAGCGAGAACAGCTAGTGGAGGACCCAACTTGGTGCCCCAGGTCTCTAAACCATTTTGCCTGATCACCCGAAACGGAGAGGTGGCAGAAATGGGACGCGATCTGTCCTCTAAGGTATTTTATAATGCGTTTCCACTTCTCGTAGGACGAAGAATAAGAAGTGCGTCAGAAGGATCTGTTGTTGGGTATCCATCAATCTTCCGATGGTCTCTCATGAGAGTGACAGCCCACAAACTAGAAAAGAGTAAGAGATGTGACGGGATTGCTCACGTGGTTAAGAAGATATGGTACACTGGTATAGTACATGACATGACTACCAAGCACAGAAACAGGCTAAGTAAACGAACGTGGTCTGGAGAATGAATATGGGAATCAATAACATCACAACCAACGCTGCACCAAACTCAAGGAAGAAAAAGTACATAGATATAAAACAAGTCTAGCCCCTAAATCCCAACAGAATCCATCAGCGCAGCATTTATTGATAGCCTCCCGGGCTGACATTCGGATTTCCCGAGTCCACCCATTCAAGCGACGGCTGTATATCATACAAATCCCACATCTGGGCGTTGTTCCATGCCGAAATCATCGGATCTATGACACTATCCCCGACCACATCCAGACGAGATGAGTCGAACATGCTGGTATCAACTGGAGGTATGCCTGTTTCTAGTGCAACATTCGGCTGGAATTCGGGCACGGTTGTCAGATCTGGCGGCATATAAATCGGGCTAATACTATCTGATTCTCCTTGCACAAGAGGACTGCACAAGGCAAGGAATGTGGTAAATAGGTGGTATAGTTTGGCGATCGCTGGGTTAGAGTCGATGAATCGGTACAGTCCTTTGGTGGTGTCTCGCATAAGTTGGAAGTCTTCCAGACTGGATGTTCCTACTACATTGCAGAACAGAAGGTAAAAGGGTGTCATGGGGTAGAAGAGGACAGTCCTAATGATTGTCAGATCATGTCAGACACAGACGGGTAGAATGCTACTCGCCATGATAGGAACATCGGGTATGCATCAACAAAGGTATCGTCGTCATTGAGAATCTTCTGTAACCGGCCTAAAGCCTCGAGGGCATGTCGGGCATTTGCCAGACACTCTTCCCGACCTTGTGGTCGCTCTTGTATCTTAGAGGCGCAGTGCAATATAGTGGCCAGGATAGCGTAGTATCGGAACTCGGTTGCAATCCATTCCACCTGAAAAAGGCGTGGGGAATTGACACATCGCTTAGGCATGATTAGAGCACAGTAGGGAGGAAACCTGAGAATGATCACATACCTCGTCAATGACGCTCCGCAGTGAGACCAGGTCCTGGACTATTGCGCCCAGTTTCGTGGCCACTTTATTGCGGTCACTAGGTCCATTCCGACCGCAGATTAACTCCAGCGCGGCCTCTTGAACTTGGGCGAGCTCGACGACCGTCTTCACAATCATGCCGAGCGGGACGCCATCATCGAGCGGTACCAGTATTGATGGGTTGATTTTTAACCTTGGTAATGAAGGGGGTCGCAACAGAAGCATGCTCAGCATTTTATCGAGATAGAAGCAAGAAAAGAGACATTGGCGGGCGTCCTCATCCTCCTGGCTCCGCACCGGGGTATCCTCTCGGATGGTGTGATAATTCATAGTGACAAGAAGTTGCGAAGCGAATGCCGTCAGTGTCCAACCTCGTGTTGGGTTTCCTTGCATCTGATGCAGCAATGCCTAGTTCTGATTAGCCCTTCCACTGAGAGATGAAGTAATAGTTGCAACATACACCCGATAGTAATGCTTGCACCAGAGATATGGAATAGGTTCCGACAAAGTTGATTTGATCCAATACCTTCACGGCCGCCAACGCATATTTTTCCTGTGTCCTTTTGATGTGTGTGCGAAGCCATGGGGTCAAGAGCCTTTGTGGAACGCGGGCGAGGAAGAATAAAGCTTTGGTGTATACACATACTCGATAGTGCAGAGATGTCTGTCTATCGAGCTTCCCCTCCGCAAGGGAGAGGCTCATATGCTCGAGACCTTTAACCGATACATGGTCGGGCCAGTGGAAGTGGTTCCCGGTAGAGAGCGAATGTGGCATGTCTATGTGATGTTAGAAGGATGTCACCGTAGCTACCTGATCCTGCAGTACGAACTCAACGACATCATGAGGTATGTTTCCAGAGAGAATTCTTCCAGGTCCGACTCGTCCTGATATTCTGCATGCTTGGCGTTGCCACCGAAAAACCTAGACTCCAAGGAAGAACTCGATAACTTGTTGACCAACGACAAAGCGTTCTCAAGCACAGTGCGTCTATTCAGAGACAAATGATCACTGTGCTGCAGCTCCTGTTGGATGAAACGTTGCGCCTCGGAGACTTGATGGATCGGAATGTTCTCAGCCACGGCTGGAGACTCGGTGGCTCGATGGAAAGCAACATTTACATTGGGGGCCCTGCCAGTCTGGGATCTGGAGCTTGGAGGATGAGAAGACGTGTTAGGGTCTATTTTAGAACCGTTCACATCATCCCCGTCTCGTGAATGATGACCGGGGTCTTGTGCAGATGCCTGCACAACACTTGGTGGGTAGGAAATGAATTGCTCAAGGGTTGATAGCCTGTCCGATAGTCCGGCGATTCTGGACAGGGTGTTACAATCCAAAACGCCAGAGATGATCGGACATATTTGGAGAAGAATGGATTTGCCCTGAGGTCTCTGACTGACTTACCGGGAAACCCTTGGACGCATACTGCGCCTGGGCCGGGAGCGCCGACATTCTGCCCGCGCATCAACGCAATTCATGCAGGGATCCAGCCGGTCACATTTCACCTGAGGTGCATGTGTTAGGTGAGGATGACGGTAAAGAAGCGGATGAAGTGACGAACCTTCCTCGAGTGGCAAAGATCGCACTTGATTAAGCCAGGGCTGAATATCAGCCTTCATGGGAACATTCGTCTTGAGCAGGCAAAGAAACACATCCACATTTTTGATATAGAGACCTTGAGCATAGACTTACAGCGGATCTTTCCAGTACCATCTGTGTGGCCATCGTGGCATTCGTCTCTCACTCGACAGAATGCAAGCACCAATGACAACGGTGAGTTTTTCGGGCAATTGATGATCGGACATCCGAACATCCGGCTGAAACTGGTATCACGTCTGATAGAGGCGGGCTTGGAGCGATATAAAGCCAACGCAGAAGAGAAGGGGATATAAATTGGACAAGCTGGAAGACAGAGTCTGATAATGACTTGGCGCGTGGGTGATGTTTGCTTGCGGGCACTGGGGATGGTATTACCAAATGAAAGGGGTAATTTTCGGTTCGGTCTGGGGCACCGGCAGAACCTTTGGATGGACCGATGGAGACTTCTGGGTCGGTCCTCGCACGAGTATTCCTAGCCCATCTTCATTGGTAGAAAGGTTACCGCATGGCAGTGAAGACTGAAGAGGCCTCCTTATGACGTGGACCAAAAATCCATCATGCAAAAGAATGATGGAGTAAAGGGCAACTCAGCACGAGATCAAAGAGGAAATCTCAAAACCATGCCTCGCTAAATTAAGCTTGGCTCTAACCTGCAACGGCAAAGCCGAGGCCTACCGTCCCAAACCAGGCCACGTACACTCGATAAGGTTTTCCGGATTCTCTAGGCTTCCGTATACGCAAAACTGTATTCACTAGTTAGCAACAAATTGAGAGGCTTATTCTGATGGCTGAGCTTACGGCATAGAGATTGTTAGAAGACAAGCTAATACAGGTGGGGGCATACAGGCAGAAAGGAGGCTGTGTCCTGGGCAGTAGATACACGCTAGCCGGCCCTTACAATTTTATCAATCAGTGCGGCCTTTTCGCCTCCGTGCCCGGATTTGCAATAGTCCATGGCAAAGCTAGCCTTTTTAGGTTCTGGAAGAGTGAAACCCACCGAGTGAAAGACACACATTTGCGCTATCCGAGGATGAGGATCAAGAGAGATTCTTATGGTTATGAGAATACTAGGGAACATGCAGCGCCTACTTGTATGTGTTGCGCTCTATCGAGCGAGCGACTTGCACTCCAGTTTCTGTCTCGATGAGTACGGATTTGAAAAATACCGGCTATCCGGGTAGTCGGCTCAACTCGCCCACGGGTGCCTTGGCTACTACCAAGCTTCTGTAGTGCTCAATGGTGCGACTCCGGTGGAGCTGCACAAGTACTTTCTGCATTCGACGCCCGGGTGAAGGTTTAGACGAAACCAGTCACGATATACCAATAGTCAATGTGCTTTGATCCCTGGATTTAAGACCACGGATTACGTATGTCCTTAGAGGCACGGAAATATAGAGATGGCGGAGTCCCTGGTAGACAGTTCGACAATACCACCCAAGCATCCGTGTCTTGTTTGCTGCCGTGACTCAACATGAAATGGGTTCTGCGACTTTTACTTTGCTCGAGTCTATTCCTCCTCTTCCCATTGTTTCTGCTGAAAACCCATCTCGAGGATCTCTGGGATCAGTATGGCACAGAACAATACTTACTTGATTGGTTGGACCTTGGCTGGTCACGTAAAGAGATAAGGCCTTTTCCAGTCAGCCCCGGGGAAAAGGTCGTGGTGGTTGCAAAGCTGCAGGAGGAAAATACCGAGTGGATTGAGGAAGAACTGCCCGAGTAAGTAGGGTAGCATTAACCCGAAACATTCACTAACGTGGCTTTTATCTGAAGCTGGGAACGAGCTATCTATATTGTCAATCCATCTCCAGCGATCCTGGCCGACGACCAACAGCTCAAAACGCCCCTTAATAAGGGTCATGAGTCTATGGCTTATCTGACTTACCTAATAGAGCATTATGATAGGCTTCCATCGACTATTGTCTTTCTCCACGCGCACCGGTCGGGGTTTTTCAGGGCGTGGCATGTTGACGCACCCTTGCATGACAATGCCTGGGCAGTGAGATCATTGAAGCTCGGGTTCGTCCAGAGGAATGGATATGTTAACTTGAGATGCAATACAAACCCTGGATGCAAGAAGGATCAATACCACAATGCCCACATCACGGATGAAATTTTCACAGAGATCTTTGAAGGCACCAGCACACCACCCCGAAACCGGACGGACATTGAGCCTGCAGATGATCAAAAGTTCCTTCCGATTCCTGACAAGGTTGCAGTAGCATGCTGTGCACAGTTCGCGGTCTCGCGGCAGCAGGTGCTCGAGAGACCGCGCGAAGATTACGTCAAGATACGACAGTGGGTTATTGACACCGATTTGGATGATGCTCACAGCGGTCGAGTCATAGAGTTTCTTTGGCACATAATATTTGGCAAGAAATCTGTTTAGTAGGTTTGAATAATGCTTGTCCGCGGTGTTCTGAGCTGACTTGATTTCTAGTTGTCCGGACGAGGAGGTATGCTATTGCCAAGTGTTTGGGCAATGCTGGATATGACTGCACCTGTGCTCACCTGTATAATTAATCTGTTCTTTTATTATACAAAATTCGTTAGCTCTTACCATATTCTTTCCAGTGCCATGCTCCGGCAGGATGGTCGGAGTGCAACCAGAACCGGTAGCATACAGCAGGCAAGACACTTCTCCACAATCAGCAAGTACAATCCAGGGTATTTGATTGAACAAGGACGCAACCATCGCCTGATTCTCGGGGAACATTGGCCCGGGGAACATTAGCCCCCACAGAGAATAGGAGAATAGATTGCAACAAGCCCAATCCCTCACCTACCTACCACCCAACACACTACTCTCCTACCCCTTGATCCCTGCTCAATGTACACGAATGTCTGCCTAGTACATGTACAGGTCACGACACATCCTTCCGGATTTGGTCGGAAGTTCGGACATCCGAGAGTCAAGATATGCCGCACAGGCAGTGCTACATTCTCTGCAACTCGTTGGACCCCTTCAAACGATGACCAATATCAACCCAAGAGTACTATGAAAAGCATCGTAATGGATGGGGCTGAGTGTTCCACGTGCACAATCCCCAGACCCTCATTGCACACGGTGATGGTCGTTTGAATAGAAATTGACTGGGCGACCCACAGAAAATCCACGGCAAGATCTGCGGTGGGTCAGTCCCGGCTGTGCCCTCGAGACTTTTTGCCGCATTGGTCTGTGTGTTGGACAGGGTCGGATTATCAATCAGTTTCTGTCTCTGTGTTGCTTGTTCGTTGCTTGGCTGTTTGGGTTTGGGGTTGGGGTTGCCTCGTGGGTGTTACGCTGGAGATGATTCGATATGTCTGCGCCCCATCTCGGTAGCATATGCACTGCCTCGGTCTGATAGTGACGGGAGAATATTCAGAACATATTCAGACAGTATGCAAGCTCATGTAGGTACAAAATTTCAACCAAATAGGAACTATCCAATAGCAGCAATATCACTCTACGGGTTCGCAACCCGTAACATTCCCTGCGACCCGTTCATAGCGCCAAGCTCTAAATCCTCATAACCATCTCGAGTAGTCGAGGCCCGGGTTTCAACTCCACTCCCCGATCCCTCGGATCCAAACCCAGTTCCAAATGCCCTGGTGCTGGATCTTGCCCCCCAGGCCCATCCACCATACCCCTGTCCCGCAGGAGCATGATACCACAAAAAGCCCAAGATAGCAAAGCCGATCCCAATAAGACTGCCTCCCAGAATATCCCACCCAGCGTGCATATAGTCCATGTAGCGACTCGCACAGATATAGAAAGCACCCCCAACAGGCACCGCGATAAGCACCAGGAGATACAAAGGCGGAGCCGCTACCGCAGAAGCCCGATTATGGGATGACTTTGTGGGACCGCCGACGGAGAACATCGACCGAATAGGAATAGAAACTGAGAACTTAGCCCCCAGCCAAAGTGAGAGATAGAGAAGACCAGCCCAGGAGAAAGAAGAGTGACCCGACGGGAAAGCAGCAAACCCGGCTTTGATGATAGCAGAGTCTGCATTCTGACAGATGGCCGATGTTACCAGGATGGGTGATTCTTCACGCTGGAGACCGAGGCCGCCGACCGCGTACGCAGTGATGTTGGTCATATCGGGTTGGCATCGGGCGAGGAGATCCGGTCGCGGCTTACCCACCACATCCTTCAGACCGGAGGTGAGGAAGAAAGCACCGGCCAAACTAAGGGCCAGTCCTAGCCATCCAGCGTGCCATTCCCAGAGACGACGGCTCCAGGGACCGGGGGTAAGGAGGCAGATAAGGACAATCAGGATGGCAGGAACAGCGCAGGCGATGATCCCGACGATCACGATCGATACTGTGTCGGTTTTGAGGGGGTAGGAGATGCTTGCGTCGTCTAGGGAGAAAGCATGTTCAGAGCCAGTGATTTTGTACAGAATGGCGCCTATGATTGCGAGTAAACTAGGCGATCGGATGATGTGTTAGCGATTAGTTTTGACAGTGAAGAAGGGTTGGGCAATCGAACATGATGAATACCCAGTCAAGCACGTAGGAGCAGACCACGCGTTTCGAGGTTCGCTTGGGTTCCCCGGATAGCAGGCCGAAGCCGCCATTGTCCTGTGGTGTTGATGCCATGATGGTGTACAAAAACATGAAGATGGTAGAAGACCAGGTACCAGGCTGTGCCCCGAAGGGATCTTATACCGGTGGGTCAATCGATTTGAAATGACACGGCATCTCCTGGTTCCATCTTGGCATCCGGACTGAGAAATCCAATAAAAACCGATGGGGCCATAAATAGATGCCCCAGTCCTTAATAGGTATGGCTGTCTGGCTACTTGCTTACTCGTACAAAGTCTTTAGACTTTATCTACATGTCCCCCCCTATCTAGTCGTTCCAGCCTTTCAAAGCCACCCACTGTATACTTCAATTCAAGTCTTATAGGATATGGGCAAGAGAATTCTGGGCCTTTTGTTCTCTCTATAATTTTAGAGAAAACCTCAGTTGGGATTTAATTCATACCGAATATGGAAGTAGCTATGGAAAGGCAGGTACATCACATTAACCAAAGGCTAGAGGTCCATCTTAAATAGTATTGACCCCCTCCCTCCATATCTTCCTTCTCATCCTCATTCTCTGCGTACTCTTTTCACTATTACCAAGTCACTATGTCTTCGAACCCCAATGCAAGGTTGCGAAGAACAATGCCCAGCTTTGAGGTCCCACTAACTCCCGAACAACAACACCTTCACAGAGTAGTTACTTATGAACTTGACCGTATTGAAGGCCCGGGATTCAGGGAATATCGCAACATCCTAACCTACAATTTTGACAAGATCAAACTCATCATCAAAATATATTCAGTGGTCGAGAAGAGTCCGTCCTTCTGGATGACCCATGAAAAGGTTCTTGCTTTTACAAGTGGCTTCTTCACGCCACCTGAGAGCCTCAACGTGCACCTCAGTGCTCCCATTAGTGAGCCTCCAATTATCCAACCAAGTTCTATCTATATACAATGCTCATCATGAATATAGGCGCTCATCAATTCTTTGCCCCCTACGAGGGCACTTACAAAGAGTCTGCTGCCTGCTTCTAGGGATCAGGTGGAGATTTTACAATGCCCACTATCGTCATGGAATGCGGGGGATACGCAACTCGCAAATCAGTCCTCAAAGTCGAGAAAAACATATGGTTCAATGGAGTAGGGGGCTTTGTCAATGTTGTGATGATTGTGAAATGGTCACGTCGGTTTCGGCAAATCAATGGCTCGCTTGACGTTTGGAGAAAGGGCGAGCGCAATCCGACCAGCATGGTAAGTGTCAATTGCTTGAGAAATTCCCCAGTTCTTACATGACGATAGCCAATTTTCCCAGCCCCTCCAAGAGGGAGCCCTCCACAAACTGTCACAATTTACAGGAAGGATTTTTACCCTGAAGGCGAGGTACCTGCCGGACGGAACCCAAATGACACATTGTTATGGGATCTAGACGTTCTTCGGGCTTTTGCAAGAACTGCAATTGAACTGGAGGGTTATCATCCTGAGTGATAGGATTAATTGGCATTTCTTTGATTGGTATCGTTAAATTGGTAGTATACGATGAGAAGTAGACACAACACTCGTTAGTAATACTTACAAGATTGTCTCCGCTGCCATTGGTAGTCTAAAATGTCAATATTCTATAATCCAGGAGATGTCCGTAATATAACTGACAATTGCCAAATAACACTTGTCATGTAGCATCTATCCACGTGTCCGACAACTGTCTATAAAATGGTCAACCAAACCCCCCAACCACCTTTCGTCTTCCACCTTTCATCCACCACCATCCACCACCATCCACCACCATCCACCACCATCCACCACCATCCACACAATCCACACAACCCACCAAAATGCCCTTCTACTTCCTGAACATCCCAACAACCCTCTTCCCCGAATACCAACACCACCACCTCCGATACCAAAACTAATACCAACCCCCCTCCCCACCCCACCAAAACACCATCACCATCCAAATCCCCATAACCAACCACCACCAAACAACCCACACCCACAGCTCCCTCCACGACAGAGGCATACACATCAACACCGCCTCCACCCAAAGCACCAACATCAAGTCAGATCTGTCCTTTCAGCTATTGGGTGTCTCCGAGACATGGACTCCGGTCTGGAAAGTAGAGGAGATTAATCCTGTTCCGCCCGTGGACCTTGCTGATGTGGCGGTCGCTGTCAGGGACTCGTATCGAGGGCATCCAATTGGGACGGTTCTGGGCGGGTTGGGAATTATGGCGTTTGCTTGGGTGTTTGGGAGGGTGATGAGGTTGGGGTGTAGGGGTGGTATTGATGGGGGGGGGGGGGGTTATGATGTTATGAATGATGAATGATGGATATCTCTGCTCTGTGTTGTGTTACTAGTTGTTGTATAATCACACTCTTTCTCACTTGCAATTACATTCCATGAATAATTACCATCACCATCTAAACAAAGCATACATACAACCCTACATAGGGCTACCTATCAACCCTCCCCAAAAACCCCCGCACCACCTCCCCCACCACCTCCGGCCTATCCTCCATCACAAAATGTCCCCCTCCATCAATAACACTCAATTCCGCCCCCGGAATACACCTCTTCAGATTCTCCCCCCACTGCAAAACCTGCCACCTATCCTCCCTCCCCCAAACAATCATCACCGGCACCCTCCCCAACTCCCCAATCCGCCCAGCCACCTCCATCGTATGTCTCGAATCATAATGCTTCACCTGATGTTGAAAGAAACTCGCCTGTCCGACCGGATTCGAAATATATTCTAAATATGCATCCAAACTCCCTTCCTCCTCCATTCTCATCTTTCCTGTATCTGTGACCGTGGAAAGTATCCACTCTTTGAAATGTTCCCGATGGGTTCCATTCGGGGCCTGGATAAGGGTTTCTAGACCTTCTTGCATTTGGGCTTTCGTGCGTTCGGACGGATAGCTATTGAAACTGACCGTGTCGATTAAGGTAAGGGAGAGGATATTGATTTTGTCCGGGTGGAGGATGCAGAAGCGTTGGGCGATGCCGCCGCCGATGTCGTGCGCGATTATATGTGCGGAGGTGATGGACCAGTGGTCGAGGAGGGAGAGGAGGATAGGTACTTGCCCGCTGATGGAAGTGTCGGTTTTTGGGTCCCAGGGGCGTTCGGAGAGGCCGTAGCTGAGAAGGTCGTACACGTGGACTTTGTAGCCCGTGGTGGTGAGTGGGGGGATGATGTGGCGCCAGATGAGGGATGAGGAGGGGGTGCCGTGGATGAGGATTATGGGGGTGGGAGTGGTGGTGGAGGTGGAGGTGGGGGGGCTGTGGATGCCGTAGGCGATGCGGTGGTTGTTGATGAGGATGTGTTCGGTGACTACGGGGGTGGGAGGCATGGTGGTGGTGGTGGTGGGTTGTGGATGTTGGATGTTAGAGGAAGGGGGAGGGTTGGCTTTTGAGGTGTAGGGTGATGGTTGTTATAAGGCTTAGGTGCAGCCTGAGGGACATGGATAATGCGGGGAACTAAGTGAATCATCGCTGCCTAGGAATCCCTGTCTTGTTCTTTGTCCTAGCCGCGGTTGAGGGCAGATGTGTACATCGTCCTCTGAGGACTGTGATGATGTCAGCAATGTATCTAGTTAGTTACCCCGGTTATCTGATTAATTGATGCAAATGAGAAGCTGCTTATGTGTGTATGAAAGGAGACATTGTAGCCACATCTTCCTTTTACTCTACCCGCATGACTAGACAGCCACTATAATATTACGATGGCCTAAGGCATGTACGGCCTTGGAAGTGAATAGAAAGCCTCAGGCATCGTAGATCCAAACAGTAAAGATTCTGTGAGTCATCAAATAAGCCATTCCTAATATGGTAGGCGAATTAAGCAATAATATAGTTGTACTAAATTGGAGACATCAAACAATATCCACCTAGAAGGGTGTGTTACTGTTAACAACCAGCTTGACTGAAAAAGCAGGTGCGAGTGTATCTTGGTTATGATGGCAGTCCCGAATATGATTCAGAAAGCATGCAATTTAGAGCGGTAAGAGTTTTCAAAAGACCAGAAGAACATAACGATTAGAGAAGGGTGAGAATAGACGAAACAACCCTCTGACTAGTGACTACCCCCTCCATTCTTAAGGAAGCCTTGATATAGATAGCCTGACTGCCAAGCCGGAACAGGAACGCTAAGTTTCCTAGTAAACCACTATGAAACAATCCAGATTGGTCAGTTCGTGAGTGCTTACACTTTGCCGTGTTTGCACGGCCTTATGGAAGGATGCTTACCGCATGGGGTTAAGTCCGTGGATTTATACTGGGTCCTGGCTTGTCTGACATCGAGTACAAATACCTCGTCTTCATCTATGGTATCATTCTCATCTGGCCTTCTTTCTTCTCGGATTTAATCACACTCCCACTCTTCATCTTCATTCAACCTTTTACATCATGACTACCAGCAGCTACTCACTCCCCCTCGGATCATGGATCCTAGTAACCGGAGCCAACGGCTACATAGCCTCCCAAGTCATCGACGCCTTTCTCACCAAAGGCTACAGGGTACGAGGCACTGTGCGCTCCGAGAAACCTTGGATGGACGAGTATTTCCAGGCCACATATGGTCCTGGCAATTTTGAAACCGTGATCGTCCCCGATCTGGAAGCAGACGGGGCCTTGGATGGCGTTGTCCAAGACGTGGGTGGGATTGTCCATGTCGTAAGCTAACCCCCTCCCCCAAGTACATTCATCCTTTAAGAACCCAAGTTAACATCAATCTATCTCCCAGGCATCCGACATGTCCTATCGATCTGACCCCAACATCGTGATCTCCGGCGTAGCAGCACAAACAATGAACGTCCTGTCCATCGCAGAGCGAGTATCTTCTATAAAGCGAGTGGTGCTATGCTCATCCGTAACTACTGCATTCCCTGCCATTGATGATGCAGTCGGCCTAGAAGACAAAACAGTGACTCAGAGTGAGCATCTCCCCTACCCCTATACAACCCCCTGAGTTACCATGTCTAACAGTCAAAGATACCTGGAACGAACCGTCTATAGCAGCAGCCTGGGATCCAAACACCCCAGAGTATCTGAAACCAAACGTGGTATACACGGCAGCCAAAATCGAAGCCGAACGGGGTGCCTGGAAATGGTACGAGGAGCATAAGCCGGATTTTGTGCTCAACTCAGTGCTTCCTAATATCAACGTGAGTGGCTGTTCATCTTCCCAAGGACTAAACTCCAAGGTTTTAACACTCACAGTTCGGCAAAATCCTCTTCCCCGAACACCAAGGCTCCTCGATGAAAGTCACAAGCTGGTTTCTGGACGGGAACGATCTGATGATTTCTTTGGCTGCTGCACGTAAGTGATACCTATTTCCATCCGATTACAAGTATCTGACGAAATGGTATACCAGAATATTACGTCGACGTCGAAGACACAGCGCGCCTCCACGTTATCGCAACGCTAGATCCCAACGTAAAGTCCGAACGAGTCTTCGCTTGTGCGGGCCCGTTTAAATGGGACGACGTAGTGCAGATTCTGCGGAACCTTCAACCCCAGAGCTCCGCCATTGTTAATGCTAGTAAAGATACAGTCAAGGAAAAGTTCGACATTGTGCCTTCGGCGCGGGCTGAGCAGTTACTGCGGGATTTCTACGGCCGGTCGGGCTGGACGTCCCTTGAGGATTCGGTGAAGAGGGGTTTGGCTTCTTTGGGAGTGTAGGGTTGGATTTAGGGATGATGGGAATTATACTTTGTTTTGTTCTGGCTGTTTTCGATATATAAATCTGTTGTCATTTCTCTGCCTGTTTATATTAGTGATGCCTATACATAGTACTTATATTTCATCTCAACACCAACATCCCTCTCTAATAATCCTATCAAATTTATTTAACACGCCATGCAGTGGCTAAAGAAAGCACAGTACTCTCCACGCAGAGTCCTCGCCCAACTCAACACCATTATCACGCACCATCATGAAGATATCGTCCAATTGGCAATTTCCAAAAGCACGACCACCAAGTCCACCGCCTATATTAAATCCATAGTGAGTGAGATGAAAGCCTCGCCAAGCCTATAAAACGTCTTACCACAGCAGGTAAGTAATCTTAATAGGAAATGAAATATCACCACACCCATTAAAGAATTTCGAGAAAGGGGGGAGCGGCGCATTGCAAAGGCGTCCAAGTATCCGATAATGTACATCTATCAAAACCAGTAGTCAATTATGAGTGATAATCCAGCTAATTAGCACATTTTCTTTTAGAACTTAGTTTAAATGGTTGGTATATAACAACGAGGATCTCTTGCCCTGATACTTGTACTATTCTTAACTCGGGAAAAGAAAAACCATCGACTTCTATTCCGTATATTGAAGAAGCAGGCAATATTAACAATGTCCGAGCATAATACTGAAATAAAATCATGTCCTCCTCTCTCCCATTATCAGCAGTGTTTCACATCCACCCCGTCCACTGCTACTTTCCAAAGTCGAGATCATTCACAAACGAAGGTCTAGAGGCTTCATCCCATGATATAGCAACCAAATCCAACTAAGTGAGACCATTATCATCTTCCACGTGGATATCAGCACCCTTTTGTACGAGAATCTCGGCGACTTCCGCATGGCAGTTTTCTATAGCCACTAATAGTGCTGTTCTGCCATCAGGATTCTTTTCGTCAAGATTGGCCCCATTATCAACCAACAGCTTGACCACCTTCACATGGCCTTTCTCCACAGCTGTCAACAACGGTGTGTTGAATGAGACTTTTGCCTCTATATCAGCTCCCTTTTCAATCAGTATTTTAGCCACTTCCACGTGACCATATTTTGCAGCGCTCAACAATGGTGTGCCATAGGTGCGTTTTGCCTCTATATCAGCCCCTTTCTCAAGCAGTAGTTTGGCTACTTCCACGTGACCACATACTGCAGCGCTCAACAATGGTGTGCCATAGGTGCCTTCTGTTTCTATATCAGCACCTTTTTCAATCAGTAATTTTACCACTTCCAGCTGGCCAGATCTCACAGCTGTCAACAATGGTGTGCCATAGGTGCCTTCTGTTTCTATATCAGCACCTTTTTCAATCAGTAATTTTACCACTTCCAGCTGGCCAGATTTCACAGCTGTCAACAATGGTGTGTCAGAGGTGCCGTTTGCCTCCATATCGGCCCCTTTCTCAAACAAAAGTTTGAACATTTTCAGGTCGCAATTTCTCACAGCTATCAATATCAGTCCAGGCGGAAAGTTCTCTGGGTTCCCAATATTGGAAAGCAGTAAATCCACCACGTCTATATACCCCTTTCTCACGGCTGCATACAAGACGTCTTGTCGCATATCACCCGTCTGAGCCAGTCCAATGCGTCCAAGAAATAGCTTTGACATGTGCTGGTTGTTGCTGAATAATGCATAAGATAGCGGTGTTCCAGATACGTCGTCTCGAATATCGACTCGAGCACCTGCTTTCAGCAATAGCTTGACAACACCCAGATGACCATTCCAAACCGCATAGGTTAAAGGAGTTCGGCGATAAATGTCTCTCGAATTGACCTTGGCCCGCTTCCTAAAAGGAACTTTGATAATAAGTTTGAAGAAACTCCTTGTGCCCTTGACCAAGTGTTGGACAATCACATCAAATCCGTTCTCTGCGGCCCATGACAATGCTGTTCGATGAAAGGTCCCGTCCGTAGCATCTACATCATCATCCTTTGACTGGAGAAGAGCCTTGACCACCGTTATCAAGCCGAAATATGAAGCCATCATAAGAGGAGTAAACTTTTCAGGAAATTCCCTCTGAGTACCTAGCCAGAAGATCCTGAACCACGTCAAGCAGCGGGATGAGCTCGTATCACATAACTGCAGAGCTAATCGGGATACAGTGAGTTCACAACCTGACTCCCGGACGTGAAAAGCCCAATTCTTCGCAGAGTATTCGAGAAACAAGTGACTCTTTGCATAACTGTCCACCGCTTGGTCTCCCTTCAAAGGTTGGGTATCAAATTCTGCAAATGATAGGTGCCACATACATATCTCCATCAAAACGCGATGTGACTCCTCAGACCTCAAAGAGTGCTCCCATGTAGTAGTTGCCTGGGGGCCCATAGGAGAACGCTTTTGGTAGGATTGAATCAGAAACTCTTTCGCAGTTTGGTGAAGGAGATATATTCTTGAGCCGATAACCATTACAAAAAGGCCGCAATAGTCCCGTATGTTCTCACGGATACGCTCCTCTGATTTGAGCTCAAGATCGTCGTACGAATTATGGTGCTCTTCCAGCGTCAATGCCAGGTCAATCTCTTTCAGAGTCAAGGGGCGAACGGCGGCAACGACGATATGTAACAGTCTCCTAGCCTTCTTGGCATTCAGGCTTCTGGACAGGATTTTCTCATAAGCCTCATCAACTGTTCGTGGTAGGTATGAGGTGACTGCAATCATTCCACTCTTTCCAAGGTCAATATCGTTCTCAATAAGCTCCAAAGTAAGATGAACCCAGAGATATGTTCTGTTCGGTACAAGCGACAGTCTGTGCAATAAGAAAAGCTGCTCGTCCATTCCCAGTCTCAACTGCGCGCCGATCATTGTAACTTTAGCTTTGATGTAAACATCAATCTCTTTGGATATTTTCTCCGCTTCAAGCTCACTTTCGCCACTCAGATGAATGACAGGTAGTCCAGGAACCTCCAGAGGCTGAAAGCCTCGCCGAATATTGCCGTAAGGTCGACTGGTTAGCAGGAACTTCAAATTAAACTCCGTATTGACGCTATACAGTCTACACAAAGCCCGCGTGAGCTGAGACTTGCCGTGATCCTCGCATTCATCAAAAGCGTCAAGTAAACAGATGATTTCACCTGCACTGGGATCCTTTGAGACAAGAATAAGGATGTCCCAAAGCTCGTCAAACAACTCTGTGAGCTTCTCTCCGTTTGTCTCAAGGCGCTCAATGACCTTGGGGGAGAGTAAGATGGGCTTATGTAAAAACAGCTGGCGCAAAATGCAGCATAAAGCAGTAGCGGCATTCCTTTGATCTTCAAAGTCATCCTTGAAGAAGAAATAGCATGATGACATAAGAACAGAATCGACTAGGTACTTTGCAAGCACGGACTTCCCACAGCCGGGATCTGCAGATACCCAGAGCATCCTTGAAGACTCGCTTTTTCGCCAGTCTTGAAAGAGCTCATGGGTCACAAACCACTCGCATGTTCCTGGTATCCGGTCAGGATTTCGCTCTTTTCGTTCTCGGTAGGGCGACTTGTCAAGCATCTTCAGAACTTTCACCCTCCGACCAGAGTCTTCTATAATGGAGTTCGCAACTGCGGAGGGTGACAGTGGCACGCTTAATCCTGGGCGGCTTTAGTATCATCGATGACCTCAGAATTGACCGTATAATCAAGAAATTTCGGGACTCTTACCCGTGCTCCATTTTTCCAAAAAGCATTTTGTGACAGCCGCTGCGGTGGCTGCAGCATAGCCTTGCCACCTTTTGTTTTTATGACTGTCTGAATAGTCACAAGCTCCTTTGATGACCAGGACTTCCGGGAAAGCCTCCCACACTCCTGCACCTTCCATCTCAAATGCAACAACGCGATCCCGGGTGACAATTTCGTCTCGATCTTCTCCAGATTTCATCACCGTGTCACCAGATGCAATCCATCCAAAATGGATTGTCGGCTTCAATGACTGAGGTATCCGAATGCGAGACTCTTGTTCCGTTTTGTCGCATCCGAGGTCCTCACAATGTAAGTTGCATACATCAGTCCCACCGTCAGAACATGTCTCGCAATGCATGAAAACATGATGCTTATGCCGATATGTCGCTTTGAAAAGTATGTCATTCGATGCTCCGGGATACTTGACCATGTCGCCCAGCTTCTGATGCAATAGATCCAGATATCTTGATGATGTATCATGAAGCCAAGTTCGATCATGCTCCGTCTGTAACTTGGCCAAAATGGCGCGGATTCCAGGCCCAGGCCTTCCTAGATTTTCCCAGGGTGTATTTTTCCGAACGAATTTTCGATCTGGGAATTGTCTTCCAAAGTCGTACTCTATGAGCCCTTCACTGATAACAACATCACCCAAAAACATTTCTTTACCCGGTTGGTTCGCAAAAGGCGCACAACCACAAATGCCAACTACCAAAGCTAGCTGAACCTCCTGAAAGCTAGCACGAAGGCATGTTGCAGCGGTCGCCGCAGCGACTTTCCCCATATTTGACACGTGGACCAGGACAACATTGTGATACCCTATCACGCCAGTCGAATAGGCGTTTGTGTCACCAGGCGCTTTGCCAAATGCATTGTCATCGTACTGTTGGTCGAATATTCCGCCAATAATGCTGGCTTCCAGTGGTAGGGCACATATAATCGCTATCTTGAATGCTGTTCGATCGCTGGGTAAGGGAGGGATTCTCATATTGTTATTGGGCATTTTGCCAGGAGTCTCAGGTAGCATGGCACCTTTGCTCTCTCTAGTTGGTCTTGTTGCCTATAAGGCGCATACAAATAACAAGTGTGAATTCAACAATCGAGTCCTGGAGGGAAGGGAATTTCGGCGAAGCCCAAAGGAGTCCCATAGCCTCGTGGTGAGGGGTGATCGTAACGGGCCAATCATGCAACTAAGGTAGGAGGCGACAAATCGCGAAGCGCCACGATGGGTTGCAGGGATTCGTTTGCGGCCGAGCCCCTCGGAAGCTGAGCCTGGCGATACGACCTGGGAAAAGATTTTGCAAGATTTTCATCACGCCCCGGGAGCTCAAGGGCTCAAGAAGACGACTGCACGTACTAATTGGACAAGAGCCAGGTCGATTCCAAGAATGCAGCTTTCGGCATCCCCTTCACTGCAGGCAACCAGGATACCAAGCCTGTTTATTTATATCACAAGCAGTCGGTTCAGAGGACCTATCTTGCCAAAGTCAATTAGTAGCTGCATTTAATCTCATCTGACCCGCAACTCTACAAATAGATAATAACTGACCATATTAAACTTCCTATTCCATGGCCTTAGCCGGCACCCGGCTTTTGCACACTGGTTTTCCGGTGCCTGCGTTCGAGAGCCAGGTTGTAGATAATTTGGACCAAGCAACTAAGTGAGTAATCAAATCCATCGCTGCGGAACGTGTACGGCGTCAGTATCCAAAGCCATGATGGAATTCGATGGCCTGATGGGGGTGATCGGATTGACTGGACGACCTAAATGGAAAGAGCAAGCTAGGATCTTTTTGGGACGGACGAGCGTGACCCGACCTATAGGAATATCTATTCCTTCACAAATATTATGCCATCTCAACGAACTTCTGAGCAGATCATGGCTTGGCTCCGCAGTAACCTTGCCTTTAGCAAATATGGCAACCCGCATGGCCTCATGACGAGCTGGAATATTACACTGCTTAGGACATCTGCAAAGAGCTAGAATTGTATGTACGGCTAGTCTTGACTACCCAGGTACCTCGATAATAAACTCAGGCATTACATTAAGCCAAGTGATCAAATCCATATGTATACCGAAACAGAAACAGTTCATATCTCACTCCCAAGAGAGGAAAAAAACCTCAAACACCTCTGCCAAGGCCTGGTTCATGAAGGCCGCCCAGAAAGATCAAAAGGTATCATAGTTTAGGAATCACGAACGCGTGCCTGCCGCTTGGCCGTCCCAATGTGCGTGTTGTGTACCTTGGTCGCAAACTTGAGACTGGTCAAGGTTTCCGACAAATGCGCCTGCAGCGGACTGACCATGACAAACATCAGAGTCTTGGAGTTTCCTCCCAACGAGAATTGAAGGAGATAGGTAAGCTACATGCAAGTCAGTCACTTCGTTACTGGACTTGAGGCGGACGAAACGAACCTTGCTGTTTCGGTAGGGAATGTGTCCACCATCCTTACCCTGTCCGAGGGCAGCGATGACGTCGCCCAAACAGCTCAAGCTGCGGTTGATGTTCTGCGTCTCTTTTAACCGTTCGCCGGTAGCACCGCTGTGGCTTAGACGCTCACTACCAGCCAAGTCCACCAGGTTGAGGGTACCTTCACTGCGTTCACCAGTAATGTCGTTCTCTCCAATGAGCTTGAGGATGAAGACCGAGTGTGACCGGGAGGACCTCTCGTTGGCCTTGGTAGCTGCGACGGAGCGGTTGGAGGCAGCACGTCTGAGAATTGTCTCAACCATCTGAGGGGATTCCAACCGAACGGTAGTGACATCCGTGATGATCGTCTTTCCTTTTTGCATGTCGTGCCGGATCTCAAGCTTCTTCTTATCGAGTTCTTCGGGGTTGCCCAGTAGATCGTTGAGGTTTTCGTTGTACACTTCGACAAAGTTGCCCTCCATCGTATATCTCCAGCCCTTTTCTTCCAAGCCCTTGGCTGTCTCATAAATCTGGTGCACTGCGCGAGGAATCATACCGTCAAGGGATGACATAGTGTATGTTTTCCCACTACCAGTCTGACCGTAACAGAAAATGCAGACGTTGTATCCATCGAGGGCGCTTTGGACAAGTTGGCTGATTTCGTCGAAAACTTCTGCGTTCTGCGTAGTCGGCCCGAAAACACGATCGAATGAAAAGTTGCTGTTCTTTCTCGAAATCGTGCCGAGACTGCTCTTCTCCTCTGGGCCCAAAAGAGCAATCTCTTTGCTGTCCTCGGTCTCATCGGGATACTGAATCTGAGCCACTCCAGTGGTGGGGTCCGAGGGAAGCGATGGTCGGACTCGACAGAACACCCGGATGTTGCCTTTGAGTTCTTGCACCTGGTTGTGAAGCTTCCTTCTCAGAGTCTCTTCCTTCCTCAGCTTGTCCTTTGTCGTGTTGGTCTCAGCTAACGCGTCCATCATTTTCTGGTTGAGGCGCTCAAATGATTGGGATTGCTCCTCTCGTCCAGACTCGAGGAACTCGATTCTAGCCTTCAGCGCACGAATAGATGACTCCAGCGTCACGCCGTTGGTACTGGCTGTGTCCAAGTTTTGCCGGAGATTCCGGTTGCTCTTGCGCTCACGCTCGAGTTCTGCCCGCAGTGCCTGCACATCATCCCGAAGCGTAGTGATTTCCCGTTCCCTCCTGTCAAGCTCCATATTCGACCTTTGTGTGTCAATGGCGGTCTGTGAGGTTAACTGACTGATTTCTCGAAGCCGCGCAGCTCTTTCATCCTCAATCTCATGCTCGTACCGTCGCTTTAGTTCTTGGATCTGTTCTTGATGCCGGGATTTCAATGCTTCCAACTCCTTCCTACCTTCTGACCGCGCGGACTCCACCTCGATGCGTTGATGGGCGCTGAGGTTGTCGACTTCCATATCATGGTCTCTCTGCGCATCCTTCAAGGCATCCTCCGCCGCACCTAGTCGGACCTTGAGTGACTCCATCTCGACCCGGAGGGTAAGATTTGTGTCGGTAATTTCCTTTCGGGAGGCTTCTAGCTCGCTGACTGCATGAACCTCACATCAGTGATGTCCAGACATCTCTCCATGTTTCGCTTACCTCTGGATTTGTATAGGTCAAGTGCTTCCTTGAGGCCATTGCTTTCTTGCCCGGCTTGGCCAATTCTCGTGACGAAGGTGTTCAAAAGGTCTTCCATTGTCCTTTCCCGACTTTCCTGGTCCCATTCGGCCCCTGTAGAAATGTTAAATGACTCGATCGTTGAATCCTTGGTAAGAAATTGTGGCAAAGGGGCAGGCTTTTTTTCTGGCAGAGTGCTTGGGTGGGGATGAAAACTGATGCGGCGCAAGCTTGACTGGGGTGGTCACAACAGTGACCATTGGAAGTAATGATTGCACTGCTTCACGACGTGAAGGCAAAGGGGTAGAACCCAATTTCATAACGCGGGATGGGTCCAGGTCCAGCTCTTTCATGGAAGCGCACAGTGAAGTCTCACGACGGGTCTTCCGGAAAGCACCATTCCTTGATGTATTCCACGGGGCATGGGGTTTTGCAGCAAAAAAACGAACAAAGCAAGAGTCTAGCCTACCCTTTCGTTTTCCTAGTACGCTGGTGGCGGAGTCCTCCTCATCATGGGTATCCAATGACGTTGCCGGGCGTGGGATGGCATGACCATTCGGTTTTCGGGAGCTCGCAACGGAGTGGGTGCGAGACATGCTGGTGTGTGGTCGCGGGGGACCGGCAGTCGCGGCTTTCGTTCGCGCGGAGGTGGAAGCTGATCTGGTCAAACTAGTCGATGAGTGGGAGTTGGCGCGGCCATGAAATCTGGTGGTGTTGCTGTTGATGCGCGACGATGCTGCTCCGGCTCCGGCTCTGCCAACCTCGGGCGCTTGCGTGGTAGTTCTTGGACGAGACGGTTCTGCGACGGTCAGCTTGTTCTGGCTATACTTCTTCCACAGCTCCTGACACATACGCGACAGGGTCGTTGACTTGCTGGTCATGGCGCTCGCAATGGTACCGGGTGGCACAAGACCGGAGACCCCGGAGCGGGCATTTGTCGTGGCTGGATTCATCTCTCGAAGACCGGGAATGCGTGTGCGCGTGGATGTTCTCGACTTAATACAAAGTTTATCTAGTGGCGACAATGCAGTTTACCATATATTCGTTCTCCATCACCTCCACAGGCAGGGCGACTCGACCCCTGACAAGGCGAAAATTCGTGTCTCAAAAGCACAAGGATGATAGCAGCGTGTGTGACAGGCGAAAAAGCAAGGCGCAATTAATTAGAGTCCAGCTGCGATCAGTTAGGGGCAGGACTGCATCGTAAATCTGGCTGTCAGCAAGTCGTCGTGCAGGTCGAGGGCAGCGCAGGAGAGTTTATCAAGGTCGTTCGGTGGTCGGCTGCTTTGGTTGCAATCAACCCTACCGTTTCTGGAGTGACGGCGGGCGGTAAACAAACGTTGCTGACTCAGCCCGACCTGGCGGGGTGCGCCATTGCCCCATCGGGCTAGACGTAATGCTGGTCATGCCGTTCCCGCCAGAATACGACAATACCGTTCTGCCCGCATGGCACTCGACGACGGTTGTGATTGTTTCAGTGATAATTGGGAGTCTAGATTTCTATATAATACCGCCGAACGAAGACTATCACAAGATTATTATTGGATTCATTCTATCTCCATCTCTCTCTCTTTCTCTGTCTTCGGAACCACCTGCTGAGCCACACGGTCTAATCGCTGGCCCGCCCGCGGGTGTTCCCACTTCCCACTTGCACTCCCTCCCTGACTGGCTCCGTAACGGCGGCTGCTTTCAGACCGACAAGCTTTCCCCGTCCCCCGTTCAAGGCCATCGAGACCCTTTTGCCTCTCTCAATTGCGTCTATTTCCTTCATTGTTACTTGCTTTTTCTCCATTCTTTCGCCTTGTGACTCGTTGGACAACTACCGTCATGTCGGGTCGATTCGTGCGTTCCTCGAAATACCGTGAGCTTAATCTTCCCCTCCCCCCGTCTGCCCGCAATCTGACAGGTAGCAGGACACGTCTTCGGACGGTCGACGAAGAAGGTGCGCAGCGAGCCCCCTGATCCATCGCAACCCCGGCATCATCTCACCATTTTCGCAGGAGCAATGCTATGATAATCTTCGTGTCTCCAGGAACGCCTGGGATACCAACCTCGTCAAGGTCCGTCGGTCGTTACCGCCCCTAATCCGCATGTCTAACGCTACGACCAGGCCAACCCCAAGTACCTGTCCGTAAACTGGGAAGCCGGTGGTGGAGGTGCCTTTGCTGTTATTCCCCTCGAGGAGCGGGGAAAGCTGCCCGAGAGGATACCTCTTTTTCGGGGTCACACTGCCGTGGTCCTCGATACCGACTGGTGAGCAGTGATTGAACGACCCTTATCTTAGCCGCCGAGCCAACATAGCTAGGAACCCTTTCAATGACGACCTCATTGCATCTGGATCCGATGACGGAAAGGTATAATCCCCATCACAACTCAGGCCGCGTTCGGCGAGACTAAACTACCGCATAATAGGTCATGCTTTGGCGAGTGCCCGAGAATTTCACTCTCCATCCCGATGTTGATGTCGATGAGATCCAAGATGTAGCCCCCATCGGCAAGCTTGCCGGCCATTCCAAGTGAGTCCACTGTTTCACGCCAATCTGCACTGTGTCCAGTCCTTTCGCTAACAGCCTTGTAGAAAGATAGGCCACGTTCTCTTCAACCCCGCAGCCGAAAACATCCTGGCAACGGCTTCCGGCGATTACACTGTTAAGATTTGGGATATCGAGGCCGGCGCTCCGAAATTGACCCTGAACCTGGGCGACATCGTGCAGTCACAATCGTGGAGCGCAAATGGTTCCCTCCTGGTCACGACCTCGCGAGACAAGAAGCTGCGCATCTGGGATGTGCGTCAGGAGCGCCCTGCGCATGAGACACAAGGTCACTCGGGAGCCAAGAACAGTCGTTCGGTCTGGTTGGGTGAGCGCGACAGGATCGCAACCACCGGTTTCTCGAAGATGAGCGACCGGCAGCTGGCCCTGTGGGATATCCGCGCTCCCCGGGAGCCGATCAACGGTTTCAAGACCCTTGACTCGATCTCTGGTGTGTGCATGCCGTTCTGGGACGAGGGCACTCAGTGTCTGTACCTTGCGGGTAGAGGGTGGGTTTGCAACCATGCGGGAATGTGGGCTGTTACTGACTTCTCCTAGTGACGGTAATATCCGGTACTTCGAACTCGAGAACGACAAGTTCGAATACCTTGCCGAGTACAAGTCCGCCGACCCCCAGCGTGGTATTGCATTCATGCCCAAGCGTGGTGTCAACACTCACGACAACGAAGTCGCCCGTGCCTTCAAGACCGTCAACGATGGCTACATTGAGCCGATCTCTTTCATCGTGCCCCGCCGCGCGGAGACCTTCCAGGACGATATCTACCCCCCGACTGTTGGCCTGAAGCCTGCTATGGGCCCCGCCGAGTGGTTTGAGGGCAAGGAAGCCATCCCGCCCAAGATCTCCATGGCCAACCTCTATGAAGGTGAGGGCCTGAAGGAAGTCACCGGAGTGCAGGACATGCCCACTGCGACGATGGGCGCCTCGGAACCCGAGGCTGCACCGGCACCCAAGGCCTCCGAGCCTAGTCCGGTGCGGAAAGCACCCGAGCCTGTGTCAGAGCCAACGCCCGTGGCCAAGCCCGCCCCGTCCATGAAGGAGCAGGGCGCCTCGATGGCTGCCATGGTGTCCAAGTTCGCCGATGATGAAGAAGCCGAGCCAGTGGAGGAAGAGTCGAGCTTTGACGAGGTGTCCAAGCCAGTGGAGCGCCCTGCACGTTCTCCCGAGGCCTCATCTCCTTCCATCAAGACGAGCCCGTGGCACCAGCAGGAAGAGGCCAAGCCCCAGGCTAGCCCCTCCAAGGTAAGCCCCTTGCATTACCCAAAGAGGCCACCCAATCTAACCCACCCGCAGGAATCCCCCGTCAGCACTCCCGTTGACGCAGCGGCCAACATCTCCACCGGCGCTGCCGTTGCGGCCGACGCCGTGACCCGAGAGATCGGAGCCATCAAGGAGCTCATCGCCGAGCAGACGAAGACGATCGCCTCCCAGGCGCAGCAAATGCAGAGTCTGACCGCGGAGATCGAATCCCTCAAGGCTAAGCTGGGCTAGCCTTTATGCTTTCCAAGACCCTGACCCTGACCCTAATGTATTGTATTGATTTCCTTCCATTACTAACTACACTTATTCACCTTCCCCACGTTCTCTGTTGTCCTCCCAATTTTGCTCAAAAGCCCGTCCCTCTTTTCTATGTCCATAGCCGTCATCGTTGTTGTGTGTTATATTCTTGATGACCTGCAGCATGATCGCAATGTCAATGTCAATACGAATACCAATCTCTGTTCATCATTTATCGTTGTTAGTTCTGTGTCGATTCTTCAGCGGCGACCACACCGGGGATGGCGATTGGATAGATGGATGTCTTGGTATCAGTACTTAGTATTGGGTAGACAATATAAGTACTACCTACTCTGCTTTCCACTTTTATATTCACCCCACAACATCCGGATAAAGAAACAAAAGAACCGTAAGTAGGATACGATTAAAAGGACCCGTCAAATCCTCAACCATTTCACCAGATATTTAAATTCTTATCTACAGAAGAAATTGTAGTTCTCGTCCCCAATCGTCCCAGACATTGTCATCACCCACTGCAGTGAGTAGGGCGTCACAAGCACCATCACCATCAACCACAAATGAATGCTTCGTCATGACCATCTTCACAATCGCATGCAATCTCCCCTTTCTTTCTTTCCCTCTCTCTCCTTCAAATGCAACTTGGAACGAAATTGTAACATGAGAAGAAAATATCTGAATGGTATGAGACCATTTGGTTATTGGGTTGGTAGCCAGCAGGTAGGTAGGTAGATAGATTAAAAAGGAAGGTAATGATATCCGAGTGGATCTTTTTCTATATTCTTTGATTTGAGTAGTGGTGGTGATGAAGTGGATGGGTGAGAAGGGGTGGTAAGTCGTTTGTTGTATAGAACGAGATACTAGTAGATGGGTAGGTAGGTAGGTAGTAAGGGGGATGAGGGACTGGGATTGGAGGTGGAGTAGGTGAACCTTGACAAGACAGAAGGTATAGATTGAAAGGTGTGATGTGATTGATGGGAGAGGTAGTAGGATTACTTCCATCGACCAGCCTCACGCTCCTTCTCGACTCGAGCAGCTCGAGCGTCATCGTTCTCATCATCCTCGTACTTGTAACTGAGACGGCGACCACCTGTCAATGCACGGCCGTCTCGTCTTCGGGAAGACTTGCCACCATCGCGATCTGCGTGCATGGCTTCCCGGCGCTGTTGCTCCTTCAGCATGCGCTCGCGGTTCCGTGCTTCCCGCTCCAAAGTGTGAGGGTCTTTTTCAGGTTCTGCGGCTGGTGGCTTCTGGTCATCACGGTCACGCTTGGCCCGGCGGGAATGGCGCGAGGAATATTCGCTGTTGACGGGGGACTCGGAGCGGTCTCGGCGGGAGCGTTTCCGGTCCCTGTCGCGCCCCCCATCTCGCTCCCGATGGCGATCTCGTTCGCGCTCTCGCTCGCGGTCCCTGTCTCGGTCTCGGTCTCGGTCTCGCTCACGCTCACGCTCCCGGTAGCGATCGCGATCTCGATCGCGCTCTCGATCGCGGTCGCGACGGCGAGAGTCCCGGTCTCGATCCCGTTCGTCATCGCGCCGGTTTGAACGGTCCTTGCCGGAACGGTAGCTGCGGCTGGGGAGTTCCATGGTGTCGCTGGGCTTGGTTCGAGAGACTAGAACGTTTTCCTCGGGGACCGGTTCGGGAGCTTCGCCGTTACGACTTGGGCTGCGGCTCCAGCTGCGGTGACGATGCGAACGATGGGACCGGCGGCCACTGCGTCTGTCCCGCTGTCGATCACGACGGTGAATGGACCGTCTGGACTCGAGGGATGGGGAGCGCGTACGATGGGCGTCTTCGACAACAGGCGGCTCGTCGTACTTGTCCTCTCGACGAGGCCTTCTGGGCCGGTCTCGTCTACGCTCGGATTCATCGGGTCCATGATTGACACTCGTGGAGCGTTGACGGTACTGGCGGCGACTGTCTGAGCGCGACGGAGCGGGAGAGCGCGATCGGGACCTCGATCTCGACGCTGATCGAGCGCGCGATTTGGACCTGGACGCTGACCGTGGCAGCTGATCCTCTTGTCCTGGGGTTGGGGTAGCACTGGGGAATAATGTTAGTGGGCAAAGGACGATACTGGAAACATGGTCTTACCTATGTGAAGCGTCGTTGGGTCTCACTGGGGGCGCCGACGATCGTCCCGGACCCTGGAAATTCCGTTGCCGGAGAACACTGGTATTGGGGAGTCCCTCTCTCATGGCTCGGGGGGCAGCTGGCGCACCTTCCACTCCCTGTCCCCGGGGCTCGGGATACATGTTGGCGCCGCCCATCAATGGCGCACCGTTGAACCCACCTGGACGTGCGCCGGGGAAGGGACCGCGCATATAACCTCCTCTTCCAAACCCTGGGCCCATCGAACCCGGCATCCCCATGGGACCCGCAGACATGCTTTGGGCGGCATTCACTTGATCTAGACTATCAATGGTCGGGATACCACGAAGCTGGGTTTCATCCTCATTCAGATGCTCTTGTGCGCTGTCTCTATGGATCGGGTCGGATTCCCCATTCTCGCCCATGGTCATGTTCTCGGCAGGAGCTTCTGCCGCAGGAAAATCTTCAGCAGACGCCCCCTCGCCGCTTGGGGCATTCTCGTCGGTGATTTCCTTGTTCGCATCAGCCCCGAGCTCTCCCGACATCTCAGCAGATACACCATCCGGAGCCTGCGACAGGTCCTGGCCATCACTAAGAGAATTATGGGATGGAAAATCTGACGGGTTAGCATTAGCAGGATAGTTGGCTTGCATCTGCCCACCAAAGCCACCACGCGCGCGACCACCGGGGAACATGCCACGACCACGGCCCCGGAAAGCGCCTCTGCCATGGCCGGCATAAGAGCCATTCTGATAGTCTTGGCTAGGGAACTGCGGCTGCTGCATTTGAGCATGAACTCCGTTGGGTTGAGACATATTATATCCGCCAAATCCAGAGGGGCCCCCATACTGCGAGCCCATACCATTTGCGAAAGCATTTGGATTGAATTTATCTTGGCCTCCATTCCACATATTGTTCTGTGAGCCGTCCCATCCCCCGTACATTCCCTGACCAGCGTCGAAACTCATGCCCATGTTCATGCCATTCATGTTCATCCCGTAGCCTCCAAACATACCCTGATTCGCGGCCATCGGGTCCATCGCCATGCCAGGCATGCCTGCAACGCGCGTCAGTCAATCATCTTGCCTCAAAGGAGCCACGAGCTCAAACTCACCCATAGCATTTGGAAAATTGAACATCCCGTTGTTCATGAACTGGGCCATGGGGTTGAACCCCCCGTTGTTGTTCCAAGCCATGTTGGGAAACATCCCCGTGCCCATGCCAAAACCCATGCCGTTGGGAAGCACGGTTCCAGAGTCGGGTTCTTGGGGATTTCCTTCATCATTGCCTTGATCGGCCTTGGCTTCATCGGCTTCTTCGCCTTCGCCAGTTCCGTCGTGTTGTGCATCTCCCACTTTCTCCTGCGTGTCGACTGGGACACCTGCCAACTGATCCTCCTGTGCAAAGACAATGTCAGCCTGGATCAGGCGATATGGGTTGGAAGTAGTACCTGAGCCTGAGTGTCCGTGGGGGGCTCGTCACCAGCACCTGGCGCGTTCTCCGCATTTAGATCTCTGGCGTCCGCGGCGGTAGATGGCTCCTCCAGTGGAGCATCAACAGGATGGTCAGGTGCGGAAACTCCCTCTGCGGCAGAGACCTCGGGAACACTGGACACTGCAGGCGTCTCTTGTTGGATAGGAGTGCCATCCGCGGTTGTTGCACCATTAGTCGTAGCGGGAGTCGCGGGAGTTGCGGACAGCCGTTCCTTCTCGCGCTTCTTCTCTTCGGTACGCAGAAATGCCTTCAAAGTCGTACGGAGAGCTTTGTTCGGCTTGCATAGATCGGGTGAGATAGGGGTGTGCGCGCAAACCGGGCAAGTCTCGGGGAGTGAAGCCTGGCCTGTCGGGTTCTCGTTAGATTGGCAAGGGAGTATAACACCGAGCCGTGGGAAGATGCGTACAGTTTTCGCATATCGCTTGGTCGCAGCAAGGGAGACGGAAGGCATTGACAGCAAGCTTATTGCAGATGGCGCATCGCAGCTTGAACGGAATCTCATCTTGGGTGAGAGAGCTAGGTAGATGGACAAGCTGGTCAGCTACCGGGCAAACTCCGGTTGAAGGCAAGGCGCAAGGCTCGGGTCTGACGTACCTGGCGATGTCCATCAAGCCCGAAGGCTGATCTGCGACAGCCATCGGGATGACGAGGCTAGTCCGGGGGAAGATAGATCCAGAAAAGAGAGGTCAGACTTTGGAACGGTGAGGCAGCCAAGGCGGCAAAGAAAGACGACGCGACCTAATTCGCCATCAATAGGAGGAGGTGGCCATTCCTGCTGGCGTCACGCGTGAATGCAAGGCCGTGAATCAACAATCGTGGTGACTGTCGCGATGGACAATCTGTGCCTGTTGACCAAATTTGGAGGCCGGAGGCGGGCCGGAGCGGAACAACGCCGTTCCGAGCCTGGTGGTGTCTCGCCCCGCCCCGTCCCAACGCTGTCATCTTGCGAGTACTTCCGTCGGGTGGGAGGTGGATGATGTTACTGATGATGGTACTGATGATGTCGCCGGTTATGCTGCTGGCTAGGGTGAGGTTCAAATACAGATGGGGACTCAGCGGGTGCCGTCTACTCATAGTCCTCCACGCTACAAAGGATCACCCGTTTCAAGTCTAAACAACGTCCACAACGTGCCGTTTGAAATGAGGTTAGTCTTTGCAGGCACTCCACTAAAGTTTTGGATAGGTCATGGGCATGGCCAGATGTCGCCGCACACCGCCAACTGTTGCGGCTCGACCCCTGGATATCTATCACAAGGCGTCTCGGCAGCATCCCTGCGCGCGCGGCGGATCCAGGCAGAGAAGTAGTTGTCCATGTATCTACTCTATCGATTCCAGACCCAAGGCGTTGCTGCTAAGTGGTCGACGCTAGGCTGACTGCGGCGACATCTGCATTGTCTAGCTCTATCTACTATCTATCTATGTGACTATGGTTGATTGCGAGATCTGCCTCTCATCTCCGACGGGCAAATCAGAAGGGTGGAAAGTACCGCCCCAGGCAACCAGCGACGTGCTGTCAGATTAGATCAAGTAATTTTGGCCATCACCGATTGGACGGCGTCGAATATTCGAACTGCCTTGAGAGGTCAACGGCGGCGATACCTTGGCGGGTCTCTGCGCGCAACGTCATCCCTCTCCCCGAATCTCTGGAGCTCTGTATCATCATCACGCGTCGTGGGGGGTACTCAGCCAACCAATAAGGAAGGCAGGAAGCTGAAGCAAGATAAAAGAAGATGCAAGACATGATATGACCATTCCATTCCCAGCCGATGGGCTCGCGCATTAGAGGCACCATATCAAGGTGGGATGGTCAGGGAACGCAACAAGGCTGAAAACGATATCAACCAGCGGTAGTGGAGAGTAGTATACGATATGTGGCTTTGCATCATCGACGCCGACTCGATGGAGGGAATCACGCGCGCCCAAAGCCAAAAGCCGAGGGGGGCCAATCAGAACAGGATCCCTCCGAGGTGTGCCTCCGGGCGGGGTGGCGACGAAGAGTGGTTCGTAGGCAAGTTGACACCCCGAACCCAAAGGTACGACTCATCATGCTCATGGCCCCCAGGGGGGGTGGATGCCATCATCGGACGATCGGAGGGATGGACCAGATGAGCGGCTATGTGCGACCTGGCTGGATTGATGCCAGAGGGACATGTCCTAGAGGGGACAAAGAAAAATTACTGTGTAGTGTTCAAGGGGATAAAGTGATACAAAGCAGAGACCCTGATCGGGGGGGATGGAGTGAGCCAAAGGAGTCATGATGATGATGAAGGGGGACGGAGTACGGAGTAGAGTAGACAGGTGAGCCTGGGGGTAGGTACTTAGGTAGTAGGTACCTGGGACTGGTGAGAGTGGCAGGAGAAGAAAGAATAATGACTGGTCGGAGGGAGGAAGAGCCAGCAAAAGCAAAGTGTATTTTTAGCGGGCGCCGGCAACGGGCGGGCAGGGTTAAAAGGGCGACGGGCTGCTCCCCCGGAAGAAATGGCGGCCGGACGCTTCTCTCCTTCTGGCTGCTGGGGCCACTGCCGGCAGTCTCTGGGCACACGCACTTTGCGCACTTCTTTTGTCTCTCTGTGACAGTGTGACTTTCTCTGCAACCCAAAGCTTGGACCACCCGCGCCGCCGCGATCCTCCAAACATTTAAGGTATTTCCTCCACAGGGATTGCCGGACCTTTGAAGGAAAGTGAATGCTGGATGGGCATTGTTCCTGTATTCTCCTCTTGACAGCCCTACATTCTATCTGCAATCTGCGCATACTGTATCCCCCTTTACCCTCCCCTCCCCTACCCTTTCCCTTCCCACGCCGGATCGATCGAGAATGATTTAAATCCGCGCATTCCCCATCGTATTGTTGTTGTGACGTTCCAAGGTAAGCGGTTCCCCATATTTATTCCCGACTAGCGCGCACGCGCATCCCATCGTTTGGATCCCATCGCTGAGGAAAAAATAAAAATCCCCACAGCTATGACCGACCAAGACCACTCCTACTATCGACCACGATCCCCTGATTTTTCCACCTTCCAATCCCCCATCTCTCCTCCTCCACCACCTCCTCCTCCTCTTCCTCATTCTCATACTCATTCTCATTCTCATCTTTCTGCTCCTGCTCCTCCTGTCTTCCACCATCTCCTTCCCCTTTACCAATTCGGCAATCCTCTCGGCCATCGCGCCTCCTACGACGCCTCGCCCTTTTTCCCCCCGCAGTATCAACAACCCCCGGCCCCGCCGACCAGGGTTCCCCAGCACTACCATATTCTAGACCCGGTCATGGCTCGCCGCTCTTCTCGTATCGCTCAGGCGGCCGAGGTCGCCCCCCTGCCCCCCGCCAAGTATGTGGACCCGGTCGTTGAAGAAGAGCCTCCGGAAGAAGTCGAGGAGATCGAGGAAGAAATCGAAGAGCCCCCTAAACCCGCACCCCCGGCTCCTGTCGAAGTCAAGACCAAGTTTCCCGTCGCGCGCATAAAGCGCATCATGCAGGCCGATGAAGATGTCGGCAAGGTGGCCCAGGTCACCCCAATTGCAGTCTGTACGTACTCTCATCTCTCAACTCCCCTCCCAACACCTGATGTTCATGACTAACCATCCCATCCCTACTCCACAGCCAAAGCTCTCGAACTGTTCATGATATCCCTCGTCACCAAAGCCGCCAAAGAAGCCAAAGATCGCAATTCCAAACGCGTCACTGCCTCCCACCTCAAGCAAGCCGTCGTAAAAGACGAAGTCCTCGACTTCCTCGCCGACATCATTGCCAAAGTCCCGGACCAGCCCGCCGGGCGCAAACACGATGATGACAACAGTGATCAAAATGAACAGCCGAAACGAAAGCGCGGCGGACGTCGCCCCAAAGATGATAGCGACTAGCATGGGATTATAACCGGTGTCTTGATCATTCTTTACTTTCTATCTTGCTTTCGACGCCTTGCATACTGTGCTTATTTTTATTTTTACCTTGTCGTTCACGGGTTTTGATGGCGATATTTTAGACCGGGCGGGAGAGCGGGCGCATACTCTCTAGGCGTTGCGGGTGGTGGGCATGGTTGGACTGGCATTCCGCGATGTGAATAGGTCTTATCGGTTTTCTCTTCTTCTAATAACACACGCGATCATCTCGAGTACTGGACTGACTCGAGTGATTGATCCGCTACCATCATAATTCTGGCTCCTGCATCTAAGCAAAACTTCTCCAATCGGTCGCCCCCTTCCCTCCACCAGACTTTGAGTACAGCTTCATCACCCTCCACCACCTGCAATACACTGAAGCCGAACCCACAATCAATCCATCAGCAATCGCGACCGAAAGAGTCCCCAGCAGGAGTATAGTACTCTACCGTAAGGCCAGGGCCTATTCAGTCATGACCCAAAGAGGCCCAGTAGTAGTCACTCTATCGTAGGGCCAGAGGCATTTTCGATCGCGAATTGTGAAGACGCGACTTGACTGCCTTAGGCCAACTACCTAACTGCGCGTAACTACCTAGTAGGATAGTTCTCCGTAAGTAGTACAGGCCCACCCCACCCGTCCGAGCTACCTCCAAAACAAACTAATCTGCACTGATTCACAGTTTTGATGTCTTTCCTTTCTTTGAGCACAAAATCCCTAGATTTGGTAATTGGAGATAGTATAGTATTTCATAGGCTTGTGTTACTATATTCACTACCACTAGAATATCTACAGATACGTACTTACCTAGATAGATAGTTGGTACTAGGAAGTAAGTAGAATCACATGACACTTTCCCCATTAGGTTTAGCCTAAAACTACAACCATAACAAAATATCCGGCCAATCACAGACAAGTAACACCATCACCAACATTAACACTAACACTAACATTACTATTGAACCTAAGGCAACAGCAAACACGTCAATCCATCTATACAAATACACCCGGCGTACCGACGGAGTATATATACTCAATTTGAACTCAGGTAGCCCTACCATTCATTATTCAGACCCGCCCACAGTTAGTAATCACATAATCTGGAAGGGATGCACTACCTAACTATATACTAGTCGTACAATATATCGTAATAATAGGGGTAGTATTTCGTTGTCTTGATTGGGAAGAATAAACAATACTACCAGTCTAGATCACTCCTCAATGGGTTTGCCGAGTTGTGCGGAGGGTAGTAATAGTAACCGAAAGGAATGTATCTAGTAGTACTGCACTGCGCAGGTTGATAGCATTGGGGTGCTGGTTAAGGGAGCTTAGGATGTAAAGTAAGTAGTACTTACTGCCTGGCTTGTTTTGTACGGATTCGGAGTTGGAGGGGAGGGGAGGGGTTTATTCTATTCTCTTGCGATCTAACCTTCCTCGGTTACTGAGTAAACTGACATCTGGCTAGCAATATAACCGGACTAAGCTCGGGGTTACTACGTCAAGTGATGTGAATGAACAATGCGCATGTGTATGCTCATGCTCTGTCACTCTCTCCTGAACCTCTCCCCATTTTACTGGTCGTCCCGCGGCGTCCTTGTCTTCGGGTGGTGGATGGCACGCGGCACTGATCGCGGCACTGCAATGCGTTGCCAGGGGCATATGGGCCCGGAACTGACGGGCCCCGAGCCCCAGCAGGAGTCCTAGTGCTAAGATGATGACCCAGAGGGTAATGAACATGGCCATCGGGGAGTAGCCGCAGCTCCGGGACGATTTATCATGATCTACCTCGTGAAAGACGTTGTAGGCCTGAATGTTGACGAAGAAGAGACTCTGTGAGAGGAGCCAGTGCAGTGTGGTGGAGAGTGTGAGGAGTGGCACGCTGTAGCGGTACGGGAGGCTGAGGTAGTAGGTTGATCGTTGCTGGTCGCGGGGCCAGGAGACACGCAGGGGCCGGCGCTGGTGCGTGTAGCGGTCCAACTCGGCTGCCACGAGCATGCAGGTTAGTAGCCCGTTGGTAAGGAAGTAGGTGATTGAGAGCACGAGCTGCGGTGTGTTGGTTAGCAGGACGAGGGCGATCATGTTGGCCGAGAGATGCTTGATCATGGTGTCGGCTCGGGTCTGCGCGAAGCCGAGGCTCATGGCGGTGCTGAAAGAGGCGCTCTGTCTGACGGCGTAGGTGAAAAGATAGATCGCGGTGATGAGACAGGCGAGAAAGCTGGGGCCAGCGTTAGTGAGTTGGTGAAGGAATGAGATTGTGGAGGGAGCATACATGCTTAGGACGACGGCCCAACGTTTCCGGCTAGCCGCTTGGTACCATCGTTGACGACACGGAAGAAGGCTGGGATAGAGTTCGCTGGTGGTAGGCATGATGGGATCGAGGGGGTACTCTGGGGCGCTCAGGGTGTATCCCTTCGGTCGACCAAATGAGATGGCTGGTAGATTCCAGGCTTGGGGTCCATGGGTCATGTCTGCGTGGGAGAGGAGACATCGACCAAGCGTGGCCGGATCAGGGCGCGTGAGAAATGAGGCTAGAGCATCGCCTACAGTCAACATAAGGTCCGTTCGCTCGACCCGAGCGGTCAACGCCATGCAAATCACTTTCAAGATATTGCAGATGATCACGACAATGGCGATTGGGGGGCTGAAGAAGAGCTGGCAGCGCTGTTCCTCCTCTTTCACCAGGCAATGGGATACCGGAATGTGTTGGGCTGTGGTGTGATCTACCCAGTAGTGATCGTTATCAAACCAGTTGCCAATGCTGGTCAGGTCGTCGATGCCTATAAGCTCAAAGGTAATCATCGCAGCCCAGGAGCTGTTTCTCCAATTCGACGGAGTGTCCAAGCACTCGCGCAAGGCTTCCTGCGTGGGATTGTAGGCATAGTTGTACTCCACCAGAGTGAGCAGGTCGGAATACAAAGAGCTGCCATAAATGTAAGACTCCAACGAAGAGTGTATAAAGTCGTAGAGGGTATCATCACGGAGATCAAAATAGAATGGATCTCCAATTGCACGAAGATCTCGCGCAACATACGGCATATATTCCGGCGGAATATTCAAGGCAATGTTCGAGGCAAGATCGGCCACAGAGTAGTTCCACACGCGATAACTCCAATACTCACTGAGCAGCGCCCAGTCACCTGCCAGGATCTGCTCGGAGATGCTGGCATTATCTAGATTTTGTATATAATTATACACGGAAGAGGTCATCACCCCGGGATGAAGACTGCTCGTGTTATGGAAATACTGACGATCAGCCACGAAGATGAGCGTACCCAGATGCGTATTAAAGCCAACATTGTACTGACTGGCACAATCTTTAGTCGTCACGTTGGTAAACGTCCCGTTGAAAATCTCTTCCTTCACGACAGCTGCATCAGACCCCATCTCGGCCCAGAAATAGTCCCTGCCGGTAGTATCGTTACCAACTAGGGACTCTGCCGGAGACAAATCATTCGGAATTATGAGCATGCCATAGTCGATGGTGGAGAGAGACGAAAAGATGACCGAGTTGTAGATCATATGAATCGGAGTTGAGCTGAGAAAAAGCACAAACCACAGGATCTTCCGCCGGCCGTCCATCACCGCCAAGTTGCGAATACTGAAGGTCCCAACATCCAGCCATTGTGACTTGGCATGCGCGCGATCGATGTCAGTCCGAGATGGCGCGCCCAGGCATTGCATCACATAGCTGCTGGCTCCCAAAAGGATAGTGCTTAACACGTTGATAACGACATGGAGTCCTGTAGCCCAGTGACTCGAACGCGTGCATTGGCCGATATACAGCTCCGCCTTCTGGAATTGACCTCGATTGGCCTTTCGACGATATGCAAGGACCATGGCTACGATAGCCAATATCGCGTTGATGGCGAGAATCAGACCAGTGATCCAGGTGCAGATGACCGCCCCTTTGATCCATTCTTTGCCTTTCTCGGGCTCGTCGGACAGCCAATGTGGGAGCAAGATGGTTTTCCATCGCGATCGCTTATGCTGGTTCTTACCATTGGGGATGGCGGAATAGCGAACCTGATCTCGCCAAGTGGAAGGCAGCCTTTCGTGCGTCGTGACGTTATCTTCCCTCATGGTATCGCGATCGAAGATATAAAAGTCTTCGACAAGCACGACAGGCTATGTGGACTGCACGGTCTGGGGGTTTTAGACCACATGATGGCGCCAGGTCAACCTTATATTGATGCAGATTATAGATGGAAACAGAAGATAGGCTTTCTGGGTGATGGGGATTCAGCCTTGTGGTCAATACGGAGGGGCGTAAGGCAAGAGGCCCGAACACTGCCTGAGCCCTGCACGTGATGGAGTCATGTGGCAGAAGCCTCGCACTATCTACCACTTGGGATTTCTAACTCCATAACAGGTGCTACTATAGATAGGGATATTCTACATTGCGTGGGGTGCGTCTTGCTTATTTAGCATATCAAAGAGTTCTGCGTTCTCCGCTATAAAAGTGTTGACTTTTGTAGTCATTGTTGGGACACACAGTCTTCGTTCCGTCTGTTCTCCAGAAAGTCAGCGGTATATCGGTTTGGCGTACTGGTAAGAACGCGACAGTCATTTTAGTAGTCATCGTCAAAATTCATTAGTAGTCATTTAGAGCCTGATTCCCGATACTCAGACCTGTGCTCCTCCTAGGTAGCTTCATTATAAGTATTGTCCCTCCCCAACATACCAGGATAAAGACAACAAATCCATATACAGAACAACAATATCCCGACTTGAAACGATATATCTCGCCCGTTTTCCTGCTAGATCATCTACCCAAAACAACCCGCTGCTCGCTTTTGTAGAGCTTGACTCTCAGCTTTCCCAGCTTACTAGCCTCGTCCTCAACCTGTGATCCACCTCCAGGCCCCTGATTAATCCTGTCATGGTAGAGAAACAACAGTGGCAGTGGATCATTGTTCCATTTTGGCGCCTTGGTTCGACGGGTCTTCCACCAAGTCCCAATCACTACCAGTGTGCCCAGTACCCACACAAGGGCAGGTAACGCTATCCATTCCCAGTGAACAGAGATATAGGTGACGCTGACTAAGGAATCCCCCCGAGCCATCTCTGCATGGTCGGGGTTCGACTTCGCTTTGATGTAGGCCGAGTCCCGAAAAGTCTTGGAGATTGCCTCAGCCACATTCTGCATGCTGCAGTTTAATCGACCAGCTAACTCGTCGCCGCAGCCGACAATGCCTCCTCCCCACAGCGCGCGGAGGATGTCTGCTCCTGCGTAATCTCTCGAAGCAGGATAGAATGTCGAGTGTATCAGACCAACCAGATAAGAGCCGGAGAAGATGGCTTTTAAAAACAGTTCTATGCTTTGTTCAGTTTGTCGTATATCGAGTTCGAACTTTTGGTTCGGCTGTGTGACGCCCAGGTCGGGGCCCCAAGGAGGCTGGAGAGTCCATTTAGGCGCGGTGGTGCTGTCATTGATCCCGGTGGCGGTGCCGTTGGCCCAGACCGCAAGTGTTTCTTCCCTGTAGACACTATTTATGACCGAGGCCCGAAAACTGCGTACAACAGGCTGAATGGTGCATTCGGTGGCCTCCCATTCCATGTCTTGCCGGCTCTGTACGCGATGATCTGTAGTATTTTCCCGTTGCGCAATGAACTGGATAGGCATCACGTACGACTCATTTGTATACATCGACGCCTTGTCCACATTCACCACGTCAACAACAAATTTGAGGCTATAGGTTCCATCTTTTAGATACCAGGCGGTTGTGTTGCTCTTGGGTAGACTGACGGTGCAGTTCATGCCTTTTTCTACTCTCTCGCATGATCGCGTGAGACGATCGGTGATGTTTGCGCAAGACGCCTGAGCCTCCAGTGACGCAACGGGCTTCCAAGTACAATTGGACGAAGTGCAGATGTACCGAGGAATGGCCCATGGTTTTGTCTGATCAGTGTTGAGTAAAGAGTTGTATACGTTGGACATGAGAGCCGGGTCAACTATCATTACTGATAGCCCATCTCGAGATTAGCATCATATAGGTCCCGTGCCTCATCATTACTCACATGGGAATGCCAGCTCCACCTCGGCAGTAGTATTATAGTAAGAGACATTGGCAGCCAATGCCGCATGTGCATCATCGACGACCATCTTTTCGAGTAATGAATTAGATTCTGGGAAAATGGATCGAACCCGAGGGCTAAAAGTACAGCCAAACAGCCGATAACTGCAAAATGCCTGAGTATACACGCATGGTTAGTTGTATTCCCCAATCTCTTATCAGGAAAGCTACTGACCTCGCCCTCAGCGTCCAAACCAGGGCTATTCCACCAAAAGGCCCTCTGCTAGCCGAGTCAAATGTGCGGATGTCAAAGACGGGCCGTGAAGTTTGCGCGAACCATACCCACTTCAGCTGGCCCAAGGCTTTGTTGACGGAGAATAGTATGCAAGCTTTCGAAAGGGTACTCATCCAGGAGACGAGCGAATTGAGGGACATGTATCTCCAGTGAGGCTGAGGATGTTTATTGCGGGTGTTCAAAACAACGACCATGGCAATCAGTAGTCCAGCAGATAAGATGACTCCGAGTATCTCCAGGAGAAACCAGTCACTCATAATCTCACTTGCCGTTTGTGTTTGTCCCTCCTCTTGTTTCTCGTCATCTACCTCAGCAATGGTGGTTTGCGGTTGTGGCGTCAGCGGGGGCGGGGCCGAGAGATTTTCAGGGTCATCATATCTAGTTTGTTGTGATGAAGTGTCTGTATCTCTGTCCCAGTCATCATCCTCTGGTCTCTGTACACCCTCGAGCAGGTGCTCGTAGACCGGCTCGTTTAACTCGGTGTCTGGAAGCATTCTTTAGCAGTCAATACATCAGAAAAGCGATAGTGACAGTCACGTCGATGGTGGGCCACATAATGGATATGAATGTCAATAGTTAATATAGAACCCTTGGAGTCCATACTGAGGCTGAGTCCGTGGCTAGGTCGGCTGCTGCTGCTGCTGCTGCCTCCGGGCTGAGATGACTATGGTGTAACCAGGTCGGTCTAGATTCCAACATCATAGAAAGCAGCAGTCTCCTCACAGCCATGTCATACAGTCAACCTGCAAGGATAGTCAAAGCACCCTAAAGTAAATTCAATGCAAGTCAGTCATGGGCACTGGTATAGATGACTTGGAGGATGGTGGAAAAGGAACTTGGGTGGTGACGGAGACCCCTCCGAGGTAGGCACGAGTAAGCCCAGTGAGCCTCACCGATGACAGCTGATGCCTAGCCCATACGGCCTGGCCTTTGAAGCTCACATAGGCTTTTTGCTTGCTTCCACGAGGCCGTTCTTGTCACGGGTTCCATTGCCTTCACAGTTGACTTGACAGCCTAAAGTCTTGGGTGGTTACACACGAGCAATGGATGTCGATCCACTCCGTATTGTGATCTGACATCATCGTGCCTTGTCAACTGTATGGCTGACAACCTCGCCATGATCTCGCCATGATATCAAGTTGGATAGTCATGGGTATCAATAATCTGGCCCGAAGTAAGAAGATAGCCGAACAGTTTCATGCATATTATCACAAGTAGAACAAATAAAACCTAACCATACATTGGAGATATACATGCCCTTCCTTATTCCCATTCAATCGCAGGACCCGCCCACGACGCCGCACAATACATAGACAAACTGACAGTTACGACTACTCCTCGAGTGAAGCTGCACCGACTTCAACTTCCAATTCCGGCCCCGGGTATCCAGCCTCCCCGAACAACGTCCCCCGCGCTTGCACGACGGCCGAGGTTTCCAAGAGGAATTCGTAAAGTATGACCACGTTGGTGAGGACATGGCCGAGGGTTGCGGTGCGAGGCTCTTCGTCGACAACCGCTGTGTCTCCCGCGTCGCTGGGCTCGTCAGCGGGCTGCGCTGATTCGGTGTCAGAGTTTGTTTCGGGTGTCGTGTCATCGACGGGGAAAGGCTGTTCCAGACGCTGGCGCAGTTCTTCAGCGGCGGATTTGCGCGCCGGGGAGGGGTCGCGTGGTGGTCGGAAGGGGAGCTCGCGGATGGGGGAGCTCATGGTGTCCCGACTTGGGGAGGAAGTGGCGGTGGTAGAGAAATCAAGGGGTCGAGTGGACCGGCCGCGGGGCGATCCGTAGTCGGAGTCGAGTTGGGACAGTGGGCGTTGAGAGGAGGAGCGGGTGGGGGGCTCGGAGTTGCGTTGAGAACGACCGGATGCCTTGACGGGTTCGTCGTCCTGGTGGAGGAGATCGCGACGCGCTGCGACCAGGATATCAAAGTCAGACACATCCTTGCGCCAAATCTGAATCCGTTGCACGAGTTTCTGCAAGATTGAGGTAAGGGCTGGCGTGTCGGTGCTGGCCCAGGATGGTTCCTCATAGGCTAGCTGGATTTGCTCGAGGATGTTGGTCGAAAGATCCTCGCTTGAAGATTTGGTCGTTGAGCTGCTGTAGGTGTACTTGGAAGGGTCCACAAGAAGCCAGCCATCAAGAGAGATCAGATGTGATGAGGCGATACTTCCGAGAACCTCTGTCAACGCCAAGTTTACAATGACACTGTTCGTGAAAAAGTTCTCCAAGCAATTCAACAATTCGCGCACCATGGGGTCATCGTGTCGCAGCTCAAGCGGTAGGTTCTCTTCTGGGTAATCCTCTGCTGGAGGAATGCACAGGCGGGCCTCGAGGATTGCCATTCCATCTTTCAGATAGTTGTCGTATGAATCGTTCAACGTGGGGTCGTCAACGATCGACGTGGCCATGCCCATCAGCTGCCCCAGCTCGACATTCAGCGCCCCGACGGTTCGCTGCTTAGCATGCTGCCCGGGAATGGTTCGGATCAACGACCGGGCAAAGGTGTGATGCCGCTGCAAGACGATGCTCATCAGCCGCAGAGTTGCCAGAACAGTCTGTCGATTTGCGGATTGAAGGCCGAGTAGGGCGAGATCTCTCAAGTTGAAAAGAGATGGCGAGGGCCTGGCAGCTTCTTCTGAAAAGGCAGCCAAGACATCGAGTGACTTGCGTCGGCTGGCAGACATGCCTATGTTCTTTCCAACTGTCGCAGGCTCCGAGTCAGATGGAGACGCAAGGAGGAAGTGGAGAATCCGGTGAACCAGATCCTCCTGATGTACCGACTCCAGAATGCGATATAAATAGGTAAGAACAGCAGCCGTTGAGCCCCCCTGCACGTCAGAAGACTCTAGCAAAGACGGATACCTGCAGTACTTGTGAGCAACGTTCGACAATCCATCAATGCAAACTTACAAGAGTTGCTCGAGGAAGAGAATCTGGAAATGGTCCAACAGCGTGCCATTCACCTCAGCCGACTTGCAATGATCGATGGTATCCTGCCAGAACAGCAGGTACGACATGAACGAGTCCATAGACGCACCAAGCAAAGGTGGAAGGGCAGTATCTTGCTGCGCGTGGTCCGACAACGCAATGATGTGGGGAATCGTCTCGTCCGTGTTCTCGGGGAAGGTCAAGCTTTCACCAATATTAGCCGACTCCTTCACTCCACATCATATGTTACTCACCTGCCCAACTGACTATAGAGCGCTCCCAGCCCAGTAGCCATCAGTGTAGCAAGGTCACTCTCGATCAACCACCTCTCGAGATTCTTGGATCGAGACGCCGTCTCAATAAGATAAAGTAGACCTGTCCGAGCAAAATCACCCGCCCTACCAGCATGATGCACGTATTCAACCAGCAGATAGAATAATGGAAAGTCGCCCTTCCGCATGGCGCCAGCGAACTCAGCCCCAGCCTTACTCTGTTCGCGATCTTGATCGTCAGACCGGGGAGAGAACCACGCCGGAAGGATACTAGGCTGCAGACGGATATTGTTGGCTACACCAAACAAGAGCTCCACGAGTCTTCCTTCCACATCCTCCGAGTGTTTGTCTGCCAGTCGAACCAGATCCACCAACGCCCGGGCGAAGAGACGGTTGTCAACGACGCCATCAACCTCGGAGTCGATCAAAGTGTTGAAGAAGACGGTCGCGGATCGAAGCATGCCATCGTCGTAGGAGGATAGGGCGAGCTTGGTAACGGTGACGAAAATTTGCGAGGAGGAGGCATAGGCCAGGCATGGATGAGGAGCCGGGCCGCGGGATTCGTCGCTCAGCACGGAGATGAGCCGATCAATGCAATTGCGCGCGTTGACTGTCGCAGACTGCTCGCCGGAGGAGGTGGAATTGCTAGAGCGCCATATTTGCTGGATTGGATGAGCGGTCAGATCGCGAGGGATTCTGAGGGTGAGCCACGCACCTGAAGGGTATTGCAGGTCCGTTTGAAGGATGCCAATCGTTCTGTGGGAGTGGCTGCTCGAAAGCTCTTAGTTGACAGCGAGCGGGAGCCCCCGATGAGACGAGACCACTGGAGCGGTTAGCGAGAGAAGGCACTGAAAAGACAGGCCAACGTACAAAGTCCATGATTCTGTAAGAACAGCATGTTACTGATAGTCCGCGGGGAGGACGAGGAAACAGAGCAAGGCGGTGCCGGGCCCATTTCGTCCATCCATGGCCCCAAAAAGGGGTTAGTGTCCTCGGGACCCGCATCCTGCCCTATCGGGATTAGTCGCGTTTCCACCCAAAGGGTCGACGAACCTTAGCCTTTTCGAGCCTACACTCTATGGACTATGGAGCACACCATGAGAGATCATCCGCATCAACCCATCGCATAGAATCTATTCCCAACCCCCACCATACGGAAACGCTCGCACGGTCCTCGTCGAAGCAAATGCACACTAAAACCTCTCGTTTGCCAGCGTCACCTTCCCTGCTCTATCCGCCGACACCAACCCCTCGAGGTACTTCTTCATGGTATCATCCAACACCCCCCCAACAAGATACTTGGAAAGGAGATAACCGGCCATCTGATCCTGTGCGATGAAACCACATCGGACTACGTCTTCTAGGAGCTCGGTAGTGGTATGTTCTTTGATGGCTCGTTTGATGCGCCCTATCGACATCCGACGTATGTAGTTAGCACAGGAAGTTGGGCAAGAGATATACCTGCTTGGGAAGAGTAGGCAAGGGCGCCGCATACGTCTCAATGCGCGATGATAAGGTTTGCTGATCTCGATGGTCCATTCCCCGACGGACGAGATTGGGTATCGGGTTTGGAGGCCGACTTCGTGTCCCCAGCTGTGGACTTTGTACGACGTGGTGTTGTCGAATTGTAAAAGGTTCTTGGGTGACTGTTCGGTGACTAATGGCTGTTAGAGACGCTTTGCAGGTGCGAGATTCTGATGACAGGCCTTGATTGTCATTGGGCGGCTTTTCGAACTCCCCGATCTGGATTTCCCCCTTCTCGCCTGCTTGACACATTGTCGCTGACACCTCGCCCGAACGAGCGAGGTCTGCATCCGAGCGAGCTTGATCAACCTTTTTGAGAAGTCTGTCAATGTCGTACCTCTCCTCTGGGAGACGTCAATGCCGGTCAATGCGGAAAGCAACTTTCACACGACATACTGTAGACGATAATCCCCTTCTCGAACCGCGCGTTGGCTGAGTAGGAGATGAGGAAGAATACGTCCACGAAGCCGATGAGGCGAATATTCCCCGGCCATTGTTCCCCATTGATTTTGATTTCCCATGGATGAATATCGCTGGTGGAGTATCAGCAGCGCTCGTTGCATGTCGTCCTGTGGGCATGTCATACCAGTCGCACTCCAGGGCCTTGTCTTGAACTGATCTGCCAAATGCGGCCAGGACTCGGTGATAGGAAGCCATTTTGGTCTCGGAATCTGAGTGGAATAGGTTGCTGACAAAAAGGTGCGCAACGGTTAGGGTTAATTAGTTTACTCCCGCCCTTCCCTGCAGGAATTGGGTACTGCCAGCTCAGCTGAAGAAATGACGGGGTAAAGGCGGCGAATGTCTGCAGCTGAGAGCTGCAGAAGATGGCCGCCTCAGAGTAAAGTAGGGACAGGCCATTGCTGCTTGGGTGTTGATAGATACAGACCACTGATAGAGAGGAGCATCCCAAACATGCAACTGGAGGCCTGGTGATATCCGTTATCCAGCCATCACCAGGGCGCATCTCTCTCGGGAACCTGCCCTGGAACCTCTGGTTCAGCTGAGCTGCATCCCAAATGCAAGCCCTCCCCGCTCGGGTGATGTGTCAACTCCCATACAGCTGTCCTGTTAGCTTCCTGATTGGCGGATCAATCGGAACAAGGCTGTTGCGTCCAATGCCCACAGATCGGGCGACAGGTTGGCTTCTATGGCCGAGCCGTTGGGTATACCCGCCAGTCGACTTGTAGCCACGATGGGGGTAGACGGTCCGATTGCGATGGCTAATGATATTAATCAAGATTTCTCTTTATAACTTGGCACGGTGGCCAATGTATTTCGTCCGACACCATGACCTGTTTACCGAAGTTGTCGTTCGCCCATCAGATTTGTTTGTGAATTTTTGCAAATTCTTGACACTCATCGTGTTGCTTGAGCACCTGGAACAATGTTCGGGCATAAATTCGGCCTGCCGTTGTTGAAAGATGGGCATCTGTCCGCCAAGCAGCCAGCCATGTCCACCATGTCAGCTACTGGTGACGACCCCGCCACAGAAGATACCCCATCGACCGCAGATAGAGCCCCCCAGAGAAAGAAGCTGTTAGGGGGTCTACGGGATGTGGCCCTGAGCACGAGCCTCGTTACCAACGCCATGGAACTGAAACACTCCGCGGTCAACGAAATGACCACGGTTAAAGGCAGCGCGACGAAAGATGAGAGCTCTAGGGAAGAAAAGCTTCAGTCTCTCCTGAATCTTCTTGTGAGATCTCGCAGGGAGGCTGTGTTGTACAACGACTTCGTGGACACGTTGGCCATCGAGGACTCTGATCTCCTTCTTGGTCCTTTTGCAGGGCAGGTGGATGAAACTGCGGTCCCCCTCCGCATGTTTGACTTGGACACGTTGAACATGGTCGATGCAAGTTATTTTGGCGAAGAAGACCAGTACTGCATGCTATCACATAGCTGGAAAGGTGCGGAAAATGATTATGCATACGTATGCGAAGCTCAACTTGCCGAACGGATCTCGAGATCGGATGATCATAACGATGTGTCTGCAGTCCTCGACCTTTGCAATCATCGGATCCTGAAAGTCGCCGGTAAGCTGGAGAGGATTCTGCAGGAGCGGTCTGGTGTAGAACGATCAATTCGAAAGCTGCTTGTGGAGTCACTTAGGACATCCATGTTAGAAAGAGCTTTGACAGCGAAGAGGAAGATGCGAACTATGGAAGATGCGAACAAAAGACAATCAGATCTCGAGCAGAACAACTATCAAAGGTTGTTGGATTTTCTGGGAGAGGAGAGAACGATACTGAGTCTGGAGAAGCGCAGACTCGATGCAGAGGAGCAACAAGCGAAGGCTCTGAAGGAATGGTCTAGCGCCGAGCAAGACTATGAAGCTGCAAAGTCTGAAATATTGAAATTCCGATCGGACCGCCAAAGTATCATATGCGATCGACGACTTATTAAGGGTGCTGCAGCAAAGGAGATCGGCGCGTAAGCTTGAACATTCAATCAAGCGCGCGAGAGAGATATACGATAGCCGACCCTTTTCAAAGACAGGGAGAAGATACATCTGGTTGGACAACTGCTGTATCGACAAGCGCCAGGATGCTGAGCTAACCGAGTCCCTGGCACGCATGGGAGAATGGTATGCAAATGCTGATTTCTGCCTGGTACATCTAGATACGCCGTGGGACAACCGAGAATGGCTGGATGAATGGGATTCATGGTGTAACAGCCCGGCGGTTGGGGCCGAGAAATATAGAGGAGAAGACTCAGAAGACTCAGACGACGACAATGTAGTGGTCAGTGCTAACGGAAAGGCAGAGCCTAGACGCAAGCCTGTGACACAGTTCGAGGAAATAAAGGAGTGGAAGCCAACATGGGCGACCCGGGGCTGGACACTGCAGGAACTGGTGCTCAGCAAGATGACCTTTTATGTCAATGCGGAATGGCAAATGTTGTCGAGGCCGATTGATGTCCTGGGCACCTACTACCACTTCTGCCCGTTCGTTGACTATTATACCCGAAATCTCAGTCATGTACGGGATCGAGAGCATCTTGACATCAAAGCAGAACTGAATAAGACCGAGATACGGGAGGCACTGGATGAAATAGCGACCTTGGAAAATGGGGAGGTAATGAAATGGGAACACAGCAAGACCGCAACGCCAGGCGAGGGAAAAGAAGTAAGTTTAATGAGCTCTTGTCAAGGCACCGTTGTCTAACCTTATCAAGATGGTTGGTGTACAGAGCATCATCCGAGCACTGGAGCTTTTCAAATATGTTGCACCAAAGGAATTGAACAAAGAGACTGCCAGATCCCAGATCGGCTACTCGGTTCAAGTCGCTGTTAGAGCAATTGGCGATCAATCGAGTAGCTCAGACTCGAGCCGCCACCAAGTCGCTAGGGAGCTGGTCATGAGAAGGCTCTCTGATGATGTGCCTCCTGGAAAGCGAGTGAAACAGACAATTGATCTTCTTCTGAGGGGCCTTGCAAAATCAGCCAATGAGTTTGTTAGGCAAGATCGTCAAATAATCGCCAGTTTCAGCAACATCCAAGACTTGAGCAGCTGGTCTAATGGCACCGAAAGGAACAGGTTCTCTGCCCATACTGTTATGACGCTGGCAGCTCATCGGGAGTGCACCAAAGCCATCGACAAGGCATACTCGTTAATGGGCGTGCTTGGGGTGCAATTCCCGGCGTTTCCAGCTGAGGGACTCACCAAGGCCCTCTCGCGGCTGCTGGATGAGGTAGTCATCACCTCTAATGATATATCCGTCTTCGACTGGACAGGCAAGTACAATGGCAGTCCCTTGAGAGGACGGTCTCTCTATGCGTCGAACGTTGACTCTTTCCAAGCCGAAAGCGAAGGATATGAAGCGCGTTCTGATGTGAATGGCGAGCTCGTTTGTCTCTTCCGGGACGATCGCATTAAACGCCTAAAAGTCGCCAAAGGCATCACGAACCTGCTGCTTGATGCCACCAAGTTCGTCACAGTCTTCCAACAAGCGGAGGCTACAGTCGATGCGTTACTGAAACTGGTCGAATTTATCCGAACGGAAAGACTTGAGTCTTTAAGAAGCCGGTTGGGCTCATCCGAGCTTGTTGAGATAATAGCAAGAGCCGGTAAATATTCCCAGCAGAATGAGAATGAAAGGTTGCAGAAGGAGCAGGAACGAATGCAGAAAGAGGAGCGAAAGTCGCGGGGAAGATTTACGACACCGCTACCATCCCTTCACAAGGTGCCCTCCTGGAGGAGAGATAGTGCAGCCAAAGATATGGAGAAGCGAAAAGAAGACAAAACACATGAAGATCGGCTGGCAGAACTAGGCAAGAAAATCCAGAACACTGTTCCTAAAGCCTTGAGGGGAGATGTGACATGTGCAGATGAAAACAATGCATTCCTAGCTGCGGGGCTTCACTTCACAGACCCAAGAAATGACAACATCAGGAGTGAGGCGCGTGACCGGCCAATCATTTGCCCCAACCCGATTGTCGTTAATAGTTCGGGAATCAAAGGCGTATTCGATATCCAACGTATCGTGGTGAAGCTGTTGCAGGCAGAAGAGCTTCGCACGAGAGTCAAAAATGCGATCAGCGACAACGAGAAGATCGAAGGGTGGTGCACTATCAGCACAGGATTTGCTCTCACGATGGTAGCATTTTGCTGTGAGCGACACATCCTCAGCAAGCAACTGGATCTGGTGGATGTAGTCGACCAGAACGTCTTGGAAGAGCCAGACAGTCTTTGCAGAGGAGAGGATGATACTCTGCAGCAGCATGTTGGCCCAGGGGAGGTTTCAAACAAACCACTGAGCACCAAAGTCTTGCCATCTGGTGGAAACGGTGACTCACCAACCAAAAAGCCACTCGGACCTAAGCGAAGTCAATCAAGTATGCATGATTCAGACAGCTCTGAAAGCATAGACCAGCCCAAACTCGACAATTATGGCCGTTCGGCGGAACAGAGGAAGGTATCCCGCATGATTGACTTTGTCACCGAACCCCATCTGCATGCTATAGCCGGTGAATGGGTCCTGGCACGATTCTCTGGTGCGGTAGGGGCGAAATGGTTTCTTTGTCGACTTGAGTTGGGATCGGGCAATGAGTTTTATGCCCGTCGGATTGCCACAGATGAGTTTGACTTCGCTAATGCTGTTCCCGAAAAGGGCTTGGTTGAGTTCTGGCACAGTTTTCTGCACGAAAAGAAGTTAGCGATGTGTGACATGCTTGAACACTACCTGGATGCGCAGAAGGCAGGGAATTACGCAAGCTCTCTCCATGACAACCTCCAGGAGAGTTTCGGGCTTAGGAAGATGGTTGAATCCAGCGACGATGAGGACGAGACGGAAGCGCAAGAGCCAGGAGAGAACCCCAGAAATTATGGCCGCTTGACGCCAGCCAGCAAGTTCTTCAAGATGATCGGCTGGGGACTCCGGTATACCTTTGATGAATTTTGGGCTAGGCATTTGGAACGCCATCTCGAGGGAAGGGCCCTGGCCAAGGTGCCGCTGACCCTCCATGCAGCCATCAAAGACTTGGATGCAAACAAGATTCTCTTGCCTGTGATGTTCCACTCAGGGAAAGATGTGCATTTCTTTTAGATTGGTCTTTGTTCGGAAAAGGTTTCCAAGGTTTCAAACAAGGTTGGTTGGTTGCAAGTTTGTGCCTCGCGCATCCGCCCTTGAGCCCTGGTTGTTTGCATCCATTTGGATATCAGTGACCATCCGTCTCCGATAGTCTGATAGCTGTGCCATTATCAATAAAAAGCTGAAACCCGCTCGAATGGTGAAGAATGAGGCTTTCATACTTTCTTAGATTGGAGATGCCGTCAGTATCCTATCGACAAGGTTCGCTAATAGACAACAGAAACAGCAAGGCCAGAGCCAAAATAATAACATCTATCTACTCGCATCGGTTGCCCATCCGCAAAGCCAGAACAGACGGTGATTCACCATGTCCAGTAAGATCTCCTATACAACCTTACAAATTCCTCCTTCTCTTGCACATCCAAGGCTACCCGCCTGGCTCTACCTAATCGAGCCAGCGATTCCGCCACGTGGTTTGGCACCTGCTCTTGAAGAATGATCACGTGATCTTCCCCATATGGAGGGGGGGCATTGGGCAAATTATCCTCGGGGTCGGACTCGTATGTGGGTGGATCTTCTACAGGCAAATCTTCTGCAGTGACGCCAAGGACTGCCTGTCCAATGCGGACCCGAATATAATGAGTTGGTCGACCAAGCAGCCGCCATAGCCAAGTCAAAAACGTTCCCGGTATCGGGGTCATCACCTCTCTAGGATCATATCGCAAGGTCACGGGGAAGATCTTGGTCCTGTGAGGAGTACTCAGTAGGGCGGGGCTTAGTGGCAGGACGGCTTGCCCGTTGGTGGTGGTGCACTCTGGAAACAGGGCAATAGGCCTGTTGGGGTATTTCTGCATGATCGAGAAGAGGCTGACCATACGGGTCTTGGGCTTCGGTGTCGGTCGCGGGTCGGCAAAGGCGCGAAGAATCGCTTGCCAAAGGGACAGTTGCTCCACTTCACCTGTGTACGGATAGCAAGCCACAAAGACGGGATTAAAGACGGCGGCCAAGTATAGGGGGTCAATCGGAGAGGTGAAGGAGGAAGCAATGACAGAGCCGGGGCCGGGGAGACGGGTTTGGTTTTGTGCGTTACTGAGAGTTCTACTAACAGACGTGTCAGTCAGGAATCTCCGATGAAAAATCAAACACATTTCGGAGCTGCAAATGCAGGCCACTAACCCTTTTCTGACTCCGTCTACTTGTAGATCAATCCACCAGAAACTGGGCACGGCTAGAATGAGCCACAGGGCGGCTTTCCTGAGTAGCGATGGGAGTGGGAGCCATTGGAGCAACAGAAAATAAGCGAGGCATATGGGAACGAGGAAGAAGAGACGAATCCAGAAAAGAGTAGCCCATACGATCCACTGAATGAAGCCAATTGAGGGAGGAGGGGTAGGGAAGAAGGGCGCGACTCCCGTGCCTACACAGAAATCGTTGGTTAGTGGGAACAACAGCTGACTGAGTCGGTGACAAAGATGCATACCTCGATCGCGGAACTGCGTAAATCTCTCCATGGCAGGTTGTAATTGGATTCAGATTAAGCAAAGGAGTTAGTGAACTCGCAAAGTGGACATGACCAGGCTATCACAGCCGACTGCCGCGGGCTCGTGCTGAAAGTGACAAGAGGGAAAGATGCTGATAAACACGAGAATGAGTGACTGGTAACGAATGCGCTATCTTATCAATGATAATAGTCGATCTGGGATGGAAGCAGACGGGCGTGGTGGTGGAATGCGCTCCGAGCTTGTGCTTGTTGACGGTGGAGGGCAGGTTTCACATGCGACTTGTTGGAGCAGCAGGTGCAGCCGCGAGCTAGCCTGTTGAGGAAGGACCGGGCTGCCGAGGCTGCTGACTCAGCTAATTATGTTCACCGCCCGCGGCAATATTCATCCGGCTTCGTCATAAAGTGAACCGCCTATTTACTCCGTATCATCTATCTATATCAGTACTATTTACATCCAGTGAAAAGTCAAGTCTCGTCGTTCATATGTACAGGTCCCGGCTCAGTCGTCATATCTCCTCCTCGTCGCTCTCCGTCTTATCCGGTTGACGAGGAGGTATACGAAACATCCACACAGCCACGCCCACTAGCGTGAAGGCTGTCGCCGTCATCATCCACGCCAGTCCAATCCACGGACCCCCGATCTCCAGCCCGATTTGGAACACCGTCGTGATAGACAAGCTGGCAATGACGTTCCCCACCGACTGCAGAACCTCAATGATGGTGAATAAACGCGCCGTCTCATCGCGGTGCACCAACGTGGTAATCAGAGCCCGGGTCAGGAAGACAAAGCCCGACCCGGAGGTTTGAACCAGCAGGCTGGGAATCAGCATGGCAATGCTGGAAGAAAGCCCGATTCCCAAGGTCCCCACGGCCAACAATCCGATACTAATGCGCATGAGCTGGAGGTCCTTCTGGGTCGGCTTCATGGTCTTTAGCAATTGCCGTGAAATGGCCGGTAGAATAAACAGGAATAACGGAATGGTCAATGCCGGCTTGAATGACATGAGAAAGTTCGCTTCAGCCAGGGTCCACTTAAAACGTGTGGAGATGTACTGGACCAGGAACCAAGACGAGCCACGGCTGAGTCGGTAGACGAGAAATGCAGTGAGAAGCAGCATGATCTGCTTGTTTCGGAGAATGAAAGAATAAGGGGCCAGATAGGCCCGGAATCGATGCTTCACCATGGCGAAGAAAGGTCGTTTGGTTGTATTTGTCGTAAAAGCAGGCTCGCCGCTCTGAACCGTCTCCTCATCGCTGAACACCTCCCGCTCTTGTTCTTTGCTCGGAACATCTTTATACTCGGCGCTTCCGGAGGATACTTGGCTCATTTCCATGCTCGTTTGCTTCCAAGTCGGTTGCGAGGGTTTTGCGGGCATCGTCTCTGGTAGCGACAATGCAAAGAACATGCCAATCACAGCCAGACCCCATCCCAGCAGCAGGGGTAGCCAGGGGTCTAAAGACATCATCCAGGAACTAGCAGCACTAGACGCGAAATCGGCCCCCATACTAGCCACGCCGAATCTGAAGAATATCGCAGCTCTAGAAATCATAAGCAACGGCCCACATTGGCTTGCGGGTCACGCGTACCTTTCTTCCTCTGTTGACACATCCGACATCATCGTCCAGATGATAGCGAAAGCCACGACAGGACCACCACCGAACAGCCACGCCAGGGACGATGCCCAGACGGTTCGCAGGGGGAAGACGTGGGGAAACCACATGACGACAAGCTGCATAATGCAATTGAGGGCAAAGCCGGGAATGCTGAGACAGATGGTGGACTTTCGTCCCCGTCGATCTGCCAAGAGACCATATGGGATTGCTAGCAGAGCACCTGAATGAGAAGCAAAGGTAAATAATGGTCCTCGCCTAGGTGCCGAACAAGAGCAAAAGGGAGGCACCTGAACGGGCAAGACTAGGGAACAAGAAATGCGACATAGCCTGGTCCGAAACAGTGGTGTCTTCGTCGGGACCTACTCAGAATTCCATCGAAAAACTCCATATAGCCCTTCACCGCAGCCAGATCCTGCTGGACCGCCTTGACCTTGCACAATTCCTCCCTGACCTCCCCATCGGCCCCGATTTGGGTGGGGTCATACTGCGCGTAGTATTCTCGACAGGCGATGGACTCGTATATGCGGGTGACGGGGCCGTTGGACATGCAGATGCCGACTTCGACGGCCAGGATCATGGCGAAGAGGGTCACCATCAAGCGAAAGCGAATTTTGCGATTGGCTTCTTTCTGTGCGTCATACTGGCTGGGCTCCTCTTGGACGGGCGGCGTGGTTTCACCCGAGGCGAGGAACGGGGCATCCTCGCGATCGAGGGGCTCATTAGACTCAAGAGGCATGGTGCCGAAAGACCATTGCCAGTCGAGGGAGAAGCGAAAAGGAGGGATATACGACGGGATTACATATGGGCGCAAGAACCCGATCAAATACGTTCATTTAAGCGGTGAACCCCCCGCCTAGTCATGAAACCCGATAGGGGAGGAGAAAGGAGATTGGAATGAAACCGGGCAGGGAGCGAGGGCCAATATAAGAGGGCCAGGGCCCGCCCCGAAGATTAAAAATGGCAGCCATGAGAGTATCGTCGGACGGGGGGCTGGCTTAGTCGACGCGACTCCACCACAGGCAACCCATTTGACCCCATTAGTGAGACTAGTCCACGGTGGCCAGTCACTTCTCCTATTTTGAGACAACCCTGGACGCCTGGACGGTTAGACTTTTTGACATTCTCCTCCTCAACTCGTCCTTCGTCCGTCCTTTCCCCGTCCCGCGCGCATCCGGGGAGGGGGACACCGGAACCTGGCGCGTCTGCCTGGCATTCCACGACGAAGGCCACGCAAGACGATCTTACTTATATATGTACGTAGTACACGAGCCCCCCCATCAACCTGTCGTATTGTCACCGGGCTAGGGCTTACAGGGTACGACCAGTGGACAGTGGCACCAACCACTCAATCTTCCTGATGATCGGGTCGCTCGATTCTATTGGTCTTCTCGAAACGGACATCCGTCGCATCCCTGCAAATGTCAGCGGGCGCCAGCCAATCCGGGGCCACGGCCGTCGTCAGCGGGCCTTTCAGGGGAACTCCTGACAAGCCACTTGGCTCCCTGCCGGCAGCCGCTCGACGATCCGTCCGATCCGTCCTCGACTGTAACTGGAACAGTAGTCCATTCTCCGTGTCCCTTTCTTTCTCTTGTCTTTATCTATCTACCTACTCCGTACAGAGTACCCTGGAATACTTGCTGTATACAGATAGGGACTCAGGCTAACCTTCCATATCGGCATTACAAAGAACCCCATCATTCTCGGGAGATACACGCGATCGCCAAGTTGTAACATCAAATTAATACTATAACATAAGTAGTAGTAACAATATAATATACCTATTTTGTCTCTAACACCGGGTACTCCCTATTTCATGGGTTCATCTTCCTTCATTCCTTAGTTCCTGTCCTCGATCCGTCGATCCTTATTCCATCACTAATAGTATGTACCCAACGGAACCACTGGTAGATGAATGTATCTTTTTTAAGGGTATAAGTAAACTAAACCCTGGTCGGAGGTATTACGCATGAGCGAGCGGGAATGAAAAGAGACAAAAGAAAGAGAGAGAGTAACAACAAATGCAGGTGGTTTAATTAACGGCAGAAACAACAGATAGGTAAGTACTGTGTAAGCCCATATTCAGGACAGTGCGCGTATCGTCGCTCAAAGACACGACCAGGATCAGAACTCAGCCCCAAGCCCAACCAGATAATTATATATTGGCGCAACGCGCGTGTAAAAGAAAGTAAGAAGAAAGTTGAGTGAATGAGAAAAAAAGAGAGAACGTAAGAAAGAAAGAAAAAAGGTAGATAAGAAGAATGGTCTAAAACAGAAAGGTAAGAATGGTAAGTAAGGTAAGGTAAAATGTACCTCAATCGAATGTAATGAAAGGAAATCTCCAAGAGACCAGCTCTACGGCACTTCCTTATCCCCCCTCTTTAGTTCGCCGGGTACGTCGATCGCCTCCTTAACCCACTCCATCGAGGCGATCTCGTCTAGGCTTCTTCGTTTCGTACTCCGTTTCAGTAGCGATTCCACGCATTCGCGTGCACCCTCCAACTCCTTGCCCTTCTCGGGGTCCCATTCGCCGTCGCTATCGGCGTAGCGGTACCAGGACCACTCGACTCGCGCGATGCGGTGGGGCGTCCGCGCTCGGAGTTTGGCGGGATCGCCTCGGGTGCCGGGCAATGCGTCGAATGGGAGCCGGTTCTCCATCATGGCGTACAGCAAGACACCTAGAGCCCAGGCATCCGTTGACCGTCCATCATAGGGTTGACCCATCAGAATCTCCGGGGCCGCGTAGTCTTCGCTTCCACAACGGGTATGAAGGAGGGGGCTTTCGGGAGGCTCGGGTATTCGTCGGGACAGACCTAGGTCGCTGAGAGTGATGACCGCTCGGTCGTAGGTGCGCCAATCCGTGATGGCGTCCATCGTTTGCATCGGAAGGTTGACGAGTACGTCTAATCACAAGAGCATTCCTGTCAGTCTGGGTCCAGAGGGGGCCTGATAAGTACACTCACTCTCAAGTTTGATGTCTCGGTGGACGATGAAGTTTGCATGAAGGTAGCGCACAGCCGCCACCACTTCGGCGAAGATACGACGAATAGCTTGCGGGCCCATTGGCCGTGGACTCGATGAGGCCACATCAAACAGGTCTCCTCCCGGGCAGTAATCCAAAACCAACAGCGCACGCTTCTCGTCGCTACCAAATGCTTTCAACTGTACCAGTGACGGGTGGTTGACAGATTTCAGGATTTCTACCTCGCGCTTGAGCGAAACCTCCAAGCGCTCCTCGTCCGCACCACCAGCAGGTCCATACTCGATGATCTTAACCGCAACAAGCTTTTGGGTTGCCAAGTTCACATCTTGGAGACTGGAGATAGTGCTGTCGTCGTCACTTTCCCGTCTCTCCATACGTGCAGCGAGGCAGACCTGACTAAAGGTACCATGACCGAGCTGTCGCAGCTTGCGATATTTGCGACGCTGCTGCGTGCGAACAGAGCGTACCGAGTATATCTCATCAGAGCCGCCCATCAATGGCGAAATGACGGGTTCGTTATCGCTGTCGTCATATCCGCTGCGACTGCTGCGAGGAGGCGTGGGGGGCCGAACCGTTGGTAATGCGATTCCTCGGTGAATTGCCAGATACTCCTCCCGGTGCAGGTTGTTTGACTTTGAGTCTGTGCTAGACGATGAAGTGATCCCCGGTGGAACGCCTGTTCCGGACACCGCAATAGGCCGCGGTTTGACCGGGACGGCCCGGCCTGGAGGGACGTATTCACTCAGGCTGCGGTTGCGAGCATGTTTCGATCCGGATCCCTGGTAAGGTTTTGTTGGAGACTCGATCGGTGTCTCCGACAATTTATCTGGAATCGTATACTGTCTGCTTCGTGGACGGGATTCGCAAGGGCCGAACATTTGCGACGAGTCGCTGAGTCGCAAACCGAGGCTTGAGCCACTCCGGGAAGCTGTGGAGGGTGTCCGCGACAAGGATTGAGAGTTGCGCCGGGGCAGTTTCCATGGCGACATACCACCGATGGGCGATGGCAGGGGGGTGATGTCTCCCATGGCCATGAGCTGGGGGGATGATATGAGGGAGGCTGGAGACAGAGAACCCCCGCTGGTTGGAGGGCCGGCGAACAGACCCCGGAGGCTTGGGGTGCGACGGGGCAGGCTGCTCGACGAGATACTGTGGTGCACAAACGAATCCGGTTCCCTCGGGGGACTCATCTGGCTGGCGTGGGACAGATCCGTGCGAATCTGGAGCGAAGGCACAGGATGATGCGGGAAGGATTGGTGGTGCAGAGTTGCATCGTGCAGTGGACCTGTTGGGTATTGGTCGATATATAGCGGAGGGGTATGAAAACTCCCTTTGCCAGGGATTATAGAAGAAACTGCACAAATTTCATTGTCACCCGAAGCCGTTGGTTTGCTGGCTTCGTGCAACTCAGGCTGATGGATGGTAGATCCTGACCTGTCGGTCGGTTGGGCCGAATCCGAATGGACCATCGAACGAGAAGAAAAATGGACCGGACTCTTTATCCTTTGCGTCACCTTTTTTCGGTGGTGGGGGGGTTGTTATTATTTTTTTTAATACCCTTTGTTGCACCTGAGAGGAGGCCCGGGGGTTGACAGGACGGATAGTGGACTATGGTTGCGGGCGAGTTCGGGGCCTAGATGCTAATTCCTCGGGTCAACCTTAAGCAAACCGCGTGGTACTTGGCACTGGAAGAGGCCCTGGGCCCAAAGGGAAAGAGGAAGGTAAGAGGATGGTGAATCAGTGCATCAGCCAGAGGGAAGATTAGGGAAGAGGGAGAGACAAATGAACGGAGAACAAAGGAATGGAAGAAGCGAGGAGAAAGGCAGGAAAAAGGATCGGACGGCGGAGGGGGAACCGAGCAGTTCTTCCCAGGCCTTAAAAGCCAATCTGAAAACAAGTCGAGAGTACTTCAGAAGCTCGGCGCTGATGACGCTGCAGGAAAAATCCACGCGGGGTCAGCTGATAACCCGACTGCTTCGAGTCTAGCCGCCACGAGGAAAGGCGCTACCCCGCATTAAGTAATACCGTTGGCGGAAGGGCCAGAAGAGGAACGGATCTTGCCTGCTGCGGTTAGTGTCCTCGGTCTCGGCCCTATCGCAGACGTCGCTGTATCACGGTCAGATACGGGACGCGCCACCAGCTGATAAGTACAGACTCCTAGGAAGTGACTCTAATCTCCTGGGTAGATTAATTGCAGCGTCAGCCGTGGTTGTGATGAAGATAGTGGCCTTTTAAGTTCCAACGTGATCAATCTTATCACTGAATATTAAGTACGGTCCAATTTACATTATTTGCAGGGCCAGTGCCTTGCAGGTCCCCAATGCATTGTTGGAAACGGGGCTGATGATCTGCCATTTACGCCTCTTTTTCCTTGCCTCTCAACAGCCACCGACCGCGATCGCTTTCTAACCCAAAAAGTGCCAGTCGTGGTTACCGAATCGGGCAAGATTGAGGCACCGCGCCTTCCAAAAAGAAATGTTTGTGGCAGAATGCGGGAGGTATCGCGACAATCATCGGATCGTGGTATTACCTGTCACACCCTGTGGCGATCGCAGCTGATCGTGATACCAGTTAGTCAGTAAATTCGCGAGATGTTACAGGTACAGACAGACACAGACAGACAGACACAGACAGACAGACAGCGAAAGGAGTACTCCAGCATTTGTCCTCCGTTCTGAGACCACGGCCATCCTCCGTTCCCTATCAACCACATTTTTTCCTTTTGTTGCCCGGTTGCGGGAACATGGAATTAGACTGGGGAAGGGATTTGCTGCCAATCCAGACCAGTCTGGATGCGCCGGTGTTTGAACGGTTGAGTTGGTTGAGTTGCCCGAACAATCCCATAATAGCAACCGACCAAGCAATCAGGATCCAGAGCCAATTAGTGTCACCAGCTTAATCTCGTTAATTTCCTATCTGCTCGCGATCATTTGACGCACTGTGCACATCGCCGCCCACGCTACTGTAGCGCGTGCACTAGCCCGTTCGCCGTCTTCCAGTTTCCACTCGAAATTGGACCGAGTCCATCCTGATGTCCTGTTTCAGGGTTTGGCGACTGATCGACGCGTTGTGCCCCGATTCTACGTAAGCCATCCGGATTTCATCATTCCTCAGGGTTTGCCGTCTTGTTTCGGGTGTGGAAAATCGGACTGCCAATCGGACTCGTTAAAATCGTCCACAACATGTCGTCGTTCTTTCAAGCTCAATCGCTAGTGATGGGAATGAAATCATGGATGATGAAAGCCCCGACCGCCAAGACCCCAACCGGCTGTCAAGACTCACAACTGAGTCATGAACACATCAACACACCGGGCGGTTTCCCGGTCCTCGGGCTTCCTTGTCCAATCCTCCAGTGACCTATCCAGTTGAGAGGGTTGTGGCTGTGCAGTGCATGTGCTTGTGCATGAATCTGACTATCCCTCTACTCCGTACTACTGTAACCAACGACTGACCATCTGTTGACCAGGCTATTGACTCCGGACATGGATTACCCTTATTGACGGGATTTGATGGTTATCATTCCTTTCCCCTGGTTGGTTGGGGATGCGACCGGTTTACTCCGAAGCGATGGGAGGATCCGTCGATGGCCAGGGCGCTAGCTGTTTATTGTGTCGGATGCGTGAACTCTGATCCAAATAATGCGCCCATGCGGCATGTCAGCGTTTCCGCCTTCTGGCAACTGTTGGCGACCGTCGCAGTGGAATGCGTTGTTCAGTGCTACCTACATAGTATGTACTGATGTCTATTTCTATCCTCCGCTTCCCATCTTCTGGTTCCATCCGGTATTTGCTGGCGCCCTTTGCTTAAGTATGTGTGCGGCAGCCGTGAAGCCCGGAATTTGTGCATGACGGCACCAGGGCAACCTGTGATGACACTGCATGCATGCACCACTTACGCATGGTCGCTTCCCCGATGCATGGCAATTTTGCTTTTCCCAGTCAGGCAATGGATGCATACATGGTCCTTGCTGTTGCGTTGCCAGGCTCTCCTGATTGCAAACTCAATTGTTAAGGCTAGCATTCATCATCATTGCTATTGTCGGTAAATTTGTCTTTAATGTTTACCTATCTATCCTCACTGGGTTCATCGCATCATTGAATGTGGATTCAGCTAATAGACAGCCGGTCCGGAGCTGTTAAGCGCACTAACAGCCTGCTCAATTGTGATAATGTTGACGGGCAGATTGGGAAGAATGCCTTCTAATATGATCTTTTGAATCGAAGGCGCATAGGTTGATGGCGATTCAATGGTATTATTCGCAATGACGTAACTGGTACCACGTACGAGAGAGTTAGTATTTCCCTCGATGCTTCGAATCAGCGCTTGCTTACACATTATAGTTGAGATCCAATAGTCGGAGCGCGGTGCTAAGCACAACCCCCGAAGTACGGATCCCGGACTATTCTCGGTCAGTCATTGTGACTGTTAGTTGGTCCAGATCTATCCACCTACCAATATCACCGTGTCGATTCTCTGACTGCTGAGGATCTCCTCGAGCGGATTTCCAGCCCCTGCGTAGTACCGGGCTTTATGCACCACCACATCCCAGTTGTCCAGGGGTTTGAAGGCAGGATAGAGCTGTGATCCTGGACTCGACGCCGTAATGTTGCCCAAGGCGGCCACGGCCGACCCAAAGGGACTGTCTCCGATTTCGGGACGCTGAATGTTCGAGTAGTAGATGCGCGAGAAGATGCTCAACGGAGGAGGGGTCTGCTTGTGCACACTGCCAGAGATGGTCAAGCGTTGATACCAGTGTTCATAGACTTGATTGTTGCTAGTACTTACGTATCAATCCAGGTCGCAACGTTGTTAATCCATATCTCCCCGACCTTGGTGGTATTCACCATGGCGACCAAATCATCGATTAAATCGAGATTAAGCACGGCATAGTGCTGTCCGAAGCTGAACGAGGAATTGGTTACGGTCGGAGTGATGTTGAACGAGTATCCGGGGGAGGTAGTGAGAGCGCCTGTAGCGAGAAGCGCCAGACATGCGAGGGACTTGAGCATGGTGCTTAACGATGCTTCAAATGCAGAATAGTATGACGAGCCGAGGCTGAGTTCAAGTCGCTCAGACGTGTTTATATATCTACGCCCATCTCTCATAAGCACTGGCTAGTTACTCCACCCCTCAACCAAACTATTACCTCTAAATAACAAATCATTTCCTTCCACGAAGCTTTCCCTCCTCGCAGCTCTGAACATTCGCTTAGGCCGATGGCTGCCCAAATCCCGATTCTGAAAACCGGCTGCCGCATTGACAATCGACCTGTGGCTACGGCTGACGGAGTATCTATTACTGAGAAGCAGTTGACAGCGGAATGATTCTGATCGCAAAGTAAACTATCGATGTGACTGAGCTCGTGAAATGATAAGGGGCACCAGGAATGGAGTCGATCTGTTTCTGCAGATCTTCCAAGGCCAGGCCGGCCAAGTGGGCCGCCTAAAGCTTAGGCTCGTTGCCGAGAATCAGACGATGTTATTCCCGCTGCTGCAGATGTCGTTACTTTGATTTAGATGTGCATTGTAAGTGGTTGGATGGGTATTGTGTATAGTATGACACATGCTGGCTTTCACTTGGAAATGTATTAGTTAGTTGATGTAGGGATGGATAATAAGCCGGAGTACGGAATAAACAAGAAAAAGACCCCATGTCTCTCTCTACATCCATAGGCTATAGTCTGCTTTTCAATTCCACCAAGCCTTATACCCAAATCCATCATAGATGATCCAATAAATGTGATCGATTTTCAGTCATTCATCCCAACTCCTACACTATCTATCTACTGCTCTCAATCACCCCTCCAACCCAACCCACCCCAAAATCAAACCCCCAAAATCAAAGCAAATACCAAAAACCTGCCACCCCAATCCCGACCCAAACCTGACATCCTGCGAAAGTGTGGGAGGGAAGTGGGGAAAGACTGAGGCCTGAATAGACTTTATCCGCGGTCTCCACCCCATCAACCAAGCATCACCCACAGTCCTGAATTCTTTCCCGGATGACCCATCCTACCACATCCATTCATCCTAACATCTATGTATAGCATAGATAGACAGACCTATTTAAAGATTCGATTCACACTGGCAATGGTGGGCTGTGCGGACTTGAATCTCCTCCAAGGCGAGTGAGTGGGGGCTATCACTACCATAAGCGATGCCGTGGTGATTGCTGATCTGACAACACAACTTGGGACTTGAACTTAACCTTCCTAGATACCTACCTAGGGAAGACAGGGCAAGGCACGGCAGGGAAAAGTTATATCCTCGATTTCATACGCCAAGCTATGGATCCCAGCCGAGTTCGCCTTCGTTGTCGCCTCCGTTTGGCGGAGTGAGCCGACACATAGACGAGACGTGCTTACCTGACTTTGGTTTGCCATGTGTACATGCTGGTGGCATGTAGGCATCCATCATCCCTCATTTCATCCCCCAAACATCACAGTTTAGAAATAATTTTGACATGGACCCCAAATATCTACTATTTAGTATCATCTGGGTAATATGCAGTAAGCATGTAAGGCCTACCCAACACACAACAGCATAGTATATCAACGCTCTAAGTAATCAGCCCCAACATGTATCATGTATCATGTAAGAATCGATGAATAGATGGAAGTAACTTCATCCCCATAGCCCCATTCTCATTCCGCTGCCCCCCGAGTGGACCACCATCCACATGTCTCACTTCCACTTCCACTTCCACTTCTACTGCCTTATTCATTTGATTCGATACATTATTATTATTCTTCTTCATATGCCAAGGACAACACCACTGTAGAATCATACTGTCGACGCATCAGCTATTAACCTCTAGGTAGGGTAGGTATCTCTCCATCCACGAGCTTTGGTACAGTCAGCCCAGCCCAGCCCAACATGTACCTGTAACTGTAACTGTAAGTGGAAGTGGAAGTTTAGGCAGGGATTAATGCACCCTAGCGACGCCAAAAATAGATGAAATCAATCAATCAATCCCCTTCAAATCAAAGGGACTGACTGAGGCGAGGGTCTAGTCTACCTAAGTGGAGAAGAAATCAGGGGCCATGGAGCAGGGCCAGCCGTAGCTGTAGCTGTAGCGGTGACGGGTTGGGTTCTACTATTCGTGGCTGGGTCCCTTTTTAGGTATCAGGCTGTGGTACCTAGACCCATACTTATTTACTTACTAGTACTAGGGTAGTAGGGCAGAACTTATAAGAGGAGTGCATGCACCCTATCCTATCCTATTTTATCTTACTCTGTGGCTCATAAGTCTCCATATCATATCATTCTCACATTCATTCATTCACCCATTCCTCAACCCGAATACTATCCTCTCATCCATCCAACTCTACAAACAAAGCAATAACAAAAATGTCCCAAATATCCACCGTAACCGTCAGCGCCGCCTCCCCCTCCTCAACCTGCCACCAAGACCTCTACAGCATCCCCATCAAAGATGCCGCCTGCGCCATGCCCATCTCCGGCAACAACTCCGCCATCATGAGTAGCTGCTGTGGCTCCGCGTCCGTCGTCTCCTACGACAGCTGCGATTACTACTGTCTGGCGGAGGACCAGACCGTGCATACCCTGGCCGAGTGTCTCATCAAGGCGTCCGAGGCCGGCGAGGTCTGGTGTAATACCAATGCTAATGCTACCGCTACGGGGACGGTGCCTGCTACGGGGGCCGGAACGGTGGTTTCGACGGCGACGGCCACGGGGAAGACAAAGGGTAGTAGTACTGGGACGGGGACGGCGAGTGGGTCGACGGCTTCGTCGACTAGTAATGCTGGTGTGGCGGTTACCAAGAAGTCGGTTGGGGTGTTGGCGGTGTTGGTTTTGGGGTCGGTGGTTGGGGGGTTGTTGTAGGGGGGGGAAATTGAAGATGAGGTGTATATGTACCGTGTCTGGAGGGGTTGTGGGTTTTGTGGAGTTGGGGATGTTGGGGGGGTTGATGTGGATGGGGGTCGGGTATATCTAGTCAGGGTTTGCTGTATAGTAGTAAATTGATGCATCTTGGATTCATCTTACCGGTGACTATCAGTTTTAGCTTTATCTGTTTTAATACTATCAACACGTTCTTTTCACATATTGTGCACATCTAGGATGATACTCACATGCAGCTCTGGTGTAGTTTACTCACTGTTTCTGGCTGGACACACCACCATAAATGTGCATGTATATATCTCGTCGCCGAGAACAACAAGGCTGCAAGGCCGTCAATCCTATTCACCTGGAACACAGAGATTCACACGCGTGTTCTATCAACATGGAGTATACCTTCAACTTTTGTGTCGCTCAATCTTTTCAGATGGTCTTGCTATTTCCTGCTGGTTGAAGATACGACATCGTTTCTCTAGTTGAATTTGTTGATCATCATTCGTGGTGTTTTTTCTATACCTCTCCTTCCTCGTACCAGTTAAAATACTCGATCGAAAAACTGAACTCATGGCGCTTTTCCGTTCCCTCAAGTCCTCTCCGGTAGATGAAAAAATGGGGTTGAAGGATCTCCCTCTCGAGACGGTGCTCGACTGTCTGAGCTATCTTAGCCTCGAAGAACTGCTCTCAATCCGGCTTGTTTGTCGTAAGTCTCACTGTTGATGCCAGGAAAATCAAGTCTAAAGAATCTCTGCATATAGGACGCATGAATGTGATCATCCTGAGTAATCTGTTTTATATTACCGCGGTTCCTGAACATCTCAGCGATAGTCTGATGTCTCAACTCTTGCACCAAGAGATCATCAGAGATAAAGAGGGTCAGGGCTATGTTGCTGGTATCGTAGCCCGGATGCAAGAGTCCGCAGGTGGAGATCAACTCAAGCAATGCACCATTCCTAATTGCTATCAGGCAATCAGTACTGCACTGACCATTCACAACGGCCGGAAGTGGGTGTTGAAGAACCACAACAATGCAATACCCTGGCTCAAGCATTGGAACTATTGCACAATGATGATCTTGGCTGCTTGGATGGGTCTTAATGACGTCGTGAAAGTGGCCCTGTGTGGAACCATGGATGCTGATTCTAGCCATTTCCGACTAGGAAATCTGCTGTATGCTGCTGCGTATAACAAGGATTTGGCCTTGACCACGGATCTGATCATGAATGGCGCTGACAAACAGCGAAGGGAGGGAGTCTTTGGAGATGCCTTACAGCTGGCGGCTTACCGAGGTGCTGATGACATTGTCCGGATTCTTCTGTCGAGTGAACCTGGATTGAGAGCTTCGATTGTTTCTGGTTCTGCTTATGGACTCTTTGGAGGTCCTCTTCATGCTGCAGCCGCGGCAGGATATGACAAGGTGGTCAAGACATCTTTGGATAACAAGGCGAACCCGAACCTCCTTGGTCGTCTGTATCGAACCCCGATGTTCTTAGCTGCCAGGAGCGGAAGAACGAATGCGGTACAGGTTTTAGTCGAGAGCAGAGAAGCCGACCCAAACATTTGCGACTATATGAATCGGTCTCCATTGCTGGCTGCTGTGCAAGAAGGCCATGAGTCGGTGGTTCGGGCTCTCCTAGCTTCAACAGATATCCGCGTGAATGCTGCCGGAGTGACGGGCATCACGCCAGCAGCACTGATTGCAGCTTTCCGCTCACGCTAACATCCACATAGTGAAGTCGCTTCTGAATCGGCGTGACTTTGAATTGAATTGGTCCGTGCAGGGGTCCTGGCCGCTGCTTCCCACCATTCTACTAAAGTCATCGATGTCTTGCTCCGACAACCAGACATCACATATCTCTCACAAGTCCGGCACCTCCTGCACTGGGCAGCCACGTCTGGACTTCAGGATACTGTCAGGACTTTGATCCACATTCAACAACCACACATCCAACTCCTCTCACAAGGCCAGCACCTTCTTTAGGCACCTGCCTCTGGGGAAGACACCCCTGCTGACGGCAGTCCTTCGAGACAACAGACTCATGGTGCTCCTCTTGACCAGTGATGGTTGTATGCAGTACGACCATAACGGCATGGCCCTCAGCAATCAGAGGCCACGAAGGGCTCTTCCATCTTACTGCCAAAGACATCAACATCCGAAGCAGGGGGTCACATATCTCCCAGACGCCCTCTAGACCGTGGACTACCTGTTGCAACGGCCGGGGATCAACCCCAACCCGACGGACATCAGAGGCTCACCTCCCAGTCGGCTGCTCCATACATCTCATCTCTCCTCTCTCTCCTCTCTCTCCTCTGCATTCGTCCCCAAGAGCACAACTACCGGGGTATGACTCCCATCGCCATAGCCACCGAGCAAGGCAGGCAACCTCACATCTGTCTCAGTCCTCCTTCAACATCCCCTGGTGGACATAAACCACCCTTGCTACACACCCCACTCATCATCGCCGCACACGAAGGTCATCTCCATCTCATTCACACCTTCCTCTCCCACTCAGCCCTAACCATCAAGGCATGTATGGGTTCATCGTCTCTCACCGAGGCCACACTCCTGTCGTGCGTGCTTTCCTCTCCCACCTACACCTCCGCCCCGAAACAGGCACCACGCCCCTCGTCACCGCACCATCGTGAAGATGTTAATTGGGAAAGGTGTGTCCGGATGTTTATCTGCACAATCCGCTGCTCGTTGCCGCAGCACAGGGTCACGTTGCCGTGGTGGAATACTTGCTTCAGCTTGAGGATGTAGATCTCAGTCGCAATACGCCGTTAATGGCGGCGGTGAGGAACGGGCATGAGAGGATGGTCAGGCTGTGTTTGTGTCGCAGAGACGGACGGCTCAAGCGTTGATCGAGCATCCGAGGGAGATGCAGTATATAGGCATTATGGCTTTGTTGCGGATCGCGAAAGTCACTTGGACGTTGTTTGGTGGTAGGGATTCTTGAGACTTTAGATGGATAATGCAGGAAATGGATCTGGATCTGTTGGTATAGATATGGGTGGCTACGGAGCGGGCCGGCTGAAAAAACATTAGTCCATGAAATATTCATTGGCACTCATAGTGACATTAAGGTCAGACAAAAGACTCCGTCCAACAGTCTCTTTCATCAACCACCACAAAAGCACCATTATATGTACAGAAAAGTTAGAAAAAGAAATAAACCCATTACCATGCCGGTCCGATCCATGGATAATGCCACATAGAAATGCTTCATACGCCGGAGGGAAGATGTGTGAGACAGAATAACGACCAAAAGAACCCGTTCTAATACAGCGAAACCGACCGAAGTGTAGGTAAACAACACCACCCTCCACTTTTGCTAAAACACGGCCATACAATCATATGGGATTCCGAAACGTGGGTGGATGGACGGACGGACGGACGGATCAGGTCGACTCGACTCGATTCGATTCGGTTCGCTTCGAGGTGCTAAAATACAATATAGGATGCAGCGGTTGCTGCTGCTGCAAGCATGACATCTACAGGAATGTCTTGCTCAGGACCTAATTTTTGTTAGCCGATCTCCCATCATGCTCAACGGGCAAGAACTTACAGTCCAACCACCAGCAATAGCAGCCACAATACCACCCGAGATAGCCATGGGCTTCAGACCCCTCGTGCTCTTAAAGACCGCTCCACTCAACGCACCCGCCACAATGCTGTTCGAAGCATCATGCTTACCCCGCACATATCCAATACCGGAGTTGACTCCATTGTACACCATCGCAACCACACCGGCCGAGTTACCGAGGAACGGGCCTCGTCTCGTAATCGAGTTCAACGCGCCGTTAAGACGGATCTTAGGCGGAGCCGTCGCAGGCGTCTTCTGCAGTCCCTCAGCCAAACCCCACACACCACCCAGAGTCAACGCAGCCAGGTAAGTCGTTCCGGTTCCATAGCACAGATCATCGGACCAGCCGCGGGACGGCAGCACGGAGCGCGACCCGGGCGTTTGGTCCAGCGCGGAATCTTCCAGAGTAATGTAATCGAGAGTTTCTTGGTTCAGGCCGGCGAGAGGGTGAAGTTGAGTTGGGTCGGGGAGGTCGGAAAGGAAGCTGGATGCATCGGGGGCCGTGGCTTCGGAGCCCTTGGATTGTTTGCGTCCGCCGAGGGAATCCCAGATGTTCGACATTGTGAAGAATTAAAGGTGTATATATGAATACAGAAAGAGAAAGGAGGAGGAGGAGAGGAGGGAGGTAGAGGATGATGAAGTCGCGAACCCTGACAGCTTGGGGGAATGGAGTCGAACTTGAGATGGTCGCGAGGTCGGAGCAGGTAAATTCAAGGTCCGAGAAACAAAAACTTCAGCCCCGTGACTTTCACCCGGACTGACGGCCGACGGCCAAGGCGGCGGCGGCGGCCCGGCAGTATTCCTCAGTCGTACCTTCCCGTTGGGGCAATGCGGCAATCCCTCTGTCCGGATTATGGTTCTCCCGAGGCTAACCCGATTCGGGGACCCGCTCTCGAAAATCCACCAGAGGCAAAAGTCGCGATCAGAAACGCGGGGGCGGGCTGGAGCTTGGGATTTTTTTTTTATCTGTGTTGGTTTGCTAATTGAACCCCCTCGTTGGAGGTTGCCATGCCGTTTCTGTAAAAAAGTATGTCCGGAAATCCAGCATCCGGTGTCCCTGGGGGCGCCGGGCTCGCCTTAGAAATGGAGCAGGTGTCGCAGAATATACAAATCTTGCCGGAGGAGACCCTCGTGCGCATTGGCAAGGGTCCGCTGATCAAGTTCACCAACGCATGTGATGATATTGAGTAAGACAGTTACTTCTTTAATGTTCGTTGGGTGTTGTCTGACATCGTGAAAAGGAAAGTCAACCGGGTGTTCCAGTCACTTTTGGAGACTTACTCTACGGCCTCGCTCTCTCATGCGCATACTACCGCCGCTTGTAATGCGCTCAGTGCCTTTTTGGATGCAGCGCGGACGTCCACCTGCGAGAGCACGAGGCAGTTAGCTCGCTCCGACGAGACTTGGCTGTCGGTATTTGAGGTCTTCATGACCCGATACAAGGATGTCAAGCCCAAGCCGATGAAGCAGGTGTTGGAGTCGCTGGTCGCCCTGCTGGTGAAGACTCGCCAGGAATTTGATCGGTCAGCGCTCCGCAAGAAGATCATTGAGACTACGATTCCCAGCGTTGTTCTCGGCGAGCCTCGCGCGCGGCTAAAGGCCTCGTTCGCCGCGTTGGAGATGCTGCTCCGCAAGAGTGCAATCACGCCGTTGGAGCTGATCTCGCTAACGGACCAGTGGCTTCTGGATCATTACGAGAGCTGGACGGCTCTTTTCAAGGAGGACTGCAAGGCTCTCTCTATCGATATCTCGCAGTACCTGCAGGATGTCTCGGAGAGTGATAGGTACCGGACAGCCACCGAGATTCTGGTCCTTGGTATGCTGGCCCGGGCTACCAAGGCCGAGCTTGCTGCCGCTTCGGGTGATACGATGGCAGCCTTCTTCCAGAAAGTAAAGGCTACGTCTAATTCTCAGTACCTGACGTCTGTTTGGGTGGCGCCCGTTCGCTATATCTTGCTGAGGAACTCGGACAACATGGAGTATATGTGCACCTATGTTCTCCAGCCATCATTCTCTATTGATCCGGCTGGCTTCAAATCGTTTATTGAGCGACTGCCTCTCAACAGTCTTCTCGCTGGTGATATGAGCGATGCCCCGGTGGCGGAGTTCATGCTATTGTTCTCTTCTCTGCAGGTCGCCAAGAAGACTGGTCTTGTTCATGAGGATCGTAAGTGGACTTTGTGGTGGCTGCACGAGAAAAGCTTACGTTAAATAGAATACATCGCCAAAGCAGGCTCCAACACTGCTTCCGACAATGTGCTTGTCTTGAAGAGCGAGGTCATTGGCCAGTTCCTCTTCCATCGCGACATAACTATCAGAATTGCAGCCCTCTCTCTGCTCATCACTGCGCCATCGACGACAAGACCAGTCTCTTCGGCAACGATGAAGGCGATCTTGAGCGGACTGCCCTCTATGCATACCGAGTCGGATTCCTACTCGAGAGGCGAAATCCTGAGTATGATCCGCAAGTTGATTATCCGCCTGAAGGGTGGGCTTTTGGAGGATCAGGACGGTCCCATTGAACAGAAAGCCCCAGCGAATAAGAAACAGCAGCCAAAGCTTGCACGGAATGACACGACGACTCGGGCGTGCATGCAAGAATATCTGGACTTTTTGAAGGCGGACCTGCGGCCCACGGCTTCTTACCCTCGCCACGTCTCCGCCCTGAAGACAATCATTCTCTTCCTGGAGTCTGGTCTTGATGGGAGATACACCGCGACGGACAATATCAAGACAAAATGGCTCTCTAGCCTCGAAGTGTTCGAGCCTACCCTGCTCAGATTGCTGGTGGATCTTCTGCTTGATCCTTTCGAGGAGGTGCGAGCCACTTCGCTCTACATTCTGAATTTGTTCCCCCAGGAGGTCTTGTTTGATAGCGCCAAGCAGACTGGAGGAGAGATCCCCCAAATCATCGAAGGTCTCGCCAAGGCGGAACAACTGGCAAGCAACACCAGCCGAGCCGACTATGCAGATACCGTTGCTCGTTTGTACCATATCCTCTTCCGCGCAGCAGCCGTGGATGGAGCGAATCTGGCTGCGCCCTGGTGGGAGAACAAGACCATGGTTGTTGATACTCTTCTAAACAAGCTGGAGCAGAAGCTTTCCCTTGCAGGGGGACTGTTCAACTCTTCCATGCGTGATGCACCGCTGCATGGATACGTCTCCGCTCTCAGGTATTTGACAATCACAACTTTTGCTGAGTGAAACTAATGGAATAGATACATCATTGCTACCCCCAACTTTTACTCGTTGGTTTCAAGCGGGCAACCTTTGTATGACAACTGGAAATCTATCCATGTGAGAATCGTGCAAGTTTGCGACCAGATCTGGAATGAGGTGAAGCCTGTTCTCTGCATCGACTCGCCTGAAGGCCATACAGATGACCCCATCGAGGAACTTGGTGTCGGCCCTAAGGATATCCTGTCTTACTCGTGGCGTGCTCTTCGCGAATCAAGGTGCGTTGCCTCCTTTGACTGTATACTGTTACTGACTTTCCTAGTCTTCTTCTGCATGCCACACTTGCCAACAAGGCATACGGCCCAGAAGGCGAGACCGGGCTATCGGTTGAGCATTTCGAGAAGATTGGAACTCTCAGCTTCATCCAGCTCGCTGAACTCCGGCACAGAGGAGCATTCTCGACCGTATCTCAGACATTTGCTACTTGCTGCCAACGGTGCGGTCAATCAAACAGCGAGGAGATTTCCGCGCTGCCTAGTCGGTGGTACCAGGAGGCGAAGAAGATCATCTTTGAGTCTGCTTCCAAACTCACACGCCGCTCGGCTGGTCTTCCTGCACTAGTTGTCGGCATTCTCTCCTCGAAGCCAGGCGGACCGCTGTTCCAAAGTGTCATCAAGGACCTTCACGAGATCTCCCACTTGCCTGCGGAGCATGACCCGTCGAGACAGGACGTGCCTTTGCCGCAGGTGCATGCGATGAACTGTCTCAAAGATATCTTCACCAACACCAAGCTGGGACCCCATACGGAACCTTTTATCATGCCTGCGTTGAGACTTTCTGCTGAACGCCTCGGATCGCCTATGTAAGTGTCATTCGAGTTCTGTGTCCGTCCGTTCTGACTGTCGTAGTTGGGCCCTCCGTAACTCGGGTCTGATGCTGTTCCGCGCCTTGTTGACGCGCATGTGCCGCACTGGTACTGGTCTGGGATTCGGTGGTATCTCAGGCTCCGAACCTGGTGCCCGAGTTTCCTTCCAGAAGTATCCTGGCCTGTTTGAACTCCTGCCGACCCTTCTCAGCCCGTCCGATAAGAGCGACAATGCTGGCGAAAGCGACAACGCCAGGGTTACGGAGCGAGTTTTCCCAGCCCTGGAGCTCATTGCTGAAAAGGTCCCGAATGTCACTGGAGTCGACGATGAGCTCTTGCGGGCACATGTCCGGGAGCAGTTCAAGAGCCCAGTTTGGGGCATCAGAGAACATGCAGCTCGAGTTTATGCCTCGCTGTTGAACCGTTCAGATGTCTTGGCCAGCATCAAGGCGTTGCTGAACGTGCAGAGGGACACCATGACGCAAGACTATCTCCATGGAGAAGCTCTCTGTATCAAGTATTCTCTTCGGAGGCTTGCGTCGAGCTCGTTCTCTTTCTGGAACGGTATGTGTGTGACCGAGGTTCCATGAGCTTTTACTGATTGATTGCAGAGCACATTGATGAGGTGTTATCCACCCTGAAGAACATTTTCGCGTCATCCTTCCCATTCGCGGAGTCCCCGTTCGTTGCCAGTATTCTGCTGGAGATTCTGAGCGACGTCGTAGAGAAGAGCATCGAATCTGGCGCCGAGGGTAAGTCGAGCCACACATGTAGATGGATCATCCGTTAACCTGTTGCAGAAAAAATGATCACTACCCTAAGCCAGCTGTCCGAATTCTACTCTTTCGCCAGCATCCGGCAATTCGTGTTCGATTCGTCGCACCCGTCCTGGAAGACCTTTAGCACCACCCGCGCTCCTTCTCTCCTCCGCCGCGCCATCTCGTGGGTCACCGTTCTGCAGATGTTCGTGACAGACAAGCTGAGCGAGGTAGAGCCGCTGCTCGGTGTTGTTTCGCGCTTTGACCCCAATGCTGGCCAGTGGCTGTTGGAGCGCATCCAAGAGATCTTTGGCGAGAGGATTCAGTACAGACAGGCTCTGATCAAACTTTATTACACTGTTATCCTCGGCGCCTACCCCGAGGAAGTCAAAGCATCGGCAATCTCATGCCTAGCATCTGCTCTGTCGTTCGTCCTAGACGTCCACAATGATGCTGTCACCCAGATTGACCTCCCTTGGAAGACGCTAGAAAAGCATCTAAAACTTGCTTCAAGCGAGAACATATGGAACAGAGATCGTTCGGACGCCGAGCTCATCCTCGAAGGATGTCTCCTTTCATTGAAGACGATCTCTGGCCGCCAGAGCTCCGATCTTGATGTACTGGAATGGGCAACACGGCTGCAGTCCGCCATGCAAGAGGAGACAGTACGTTCAACGCCCCCTAGTTTCAAATCATCGCTAAACAGCTCAGGAATTCACCACGCGTCTTGCCGCCGTATCCTCCGTCACAGCATTTGCGCGCACACTCCGCCCTGCCGGCAGCGCCCCTCGCACAGAGAGCGCCTTTTTGGAGATCTACCTGGCTCTATACGATATGCTCAACGACGACGACGAAGAGCTGCGCGATCTGGCCGCTTCCACCGCCTCCTGGGTCCTGTCAAGCTCCTCCGTCTCCCCGGACAAGGCAGTGGCCCTCTCCCCCCTGAACGCAAGCGAGCTCCTCTCCAAGTTCATCACAGAGAACTACACCAACTCGCGCCTCCTCTACCAAAGAACCACAGCCTACATCGCCGACGCGGAACCCCGCCTCAGCACCTCCATCCCCAAATACGTATCCATCCCCAACCGTCTCTCCGACCTCCGCAAGGAAAGCACCATCCTCTTCGAAGAAGAGAAACAAAACCTCTTCATCGACGAAGTCCGCGAAGTAGACGTCTGGTCCGCCCGACTACGCCAGCTAAGCGAATCTGCGTACGACGAAGCCTCCCTCAGCACCCTCTTCAACTGGGTGTCCACCGGACTCTCCTGCTTCGGAGAGATCTTCGCCAACGAGACCGAAAAGGACGGACTTCTGGGCTGGGCCTCGAAGCCGGAGACGTTCACTCTGGGCGTGCGGCTTTTCGGCATGGCTGGGGCGATGGTTTCCAGGGACTCTGCGGCTGCTAGGCTTTTGGGTCCGGAACGGGTTGAGGTTCTGAAGGAGAAGCTTCATGTGTTGCTTGCCAGCGGGGAGGGATCTTTGGTGCATGATGATTGGATTTCGAGGATACGGGCTGCTTTGGAGTTATGATTGTGAGGTGGTTGGGCGTGGTGTGGTATAGAGAAAAGTATAGAGATGAATTTCACGCTGTCCTTTTTGCATTTATGGATTGTGGTTAGGCTTTCTGAGTAGACAAACAGGTCCTACAGTAGCAGGTGCTTTCATTCATTCACTGCTGTGGATACACCCAGGCAATGGCTTGTTTACACTCGCCTTCTCATCTTACGTTCCATGGCGATAGCACTACTTTGCACGTCATCTCAGACGCGTCCATCTACTCACTTACCTGTCATCACATACAATCTACCATCATCAGTGAAGCCAGTAAAGCCACCCCCCATACAAACCATGATAACAAAACCTTACTAACCCACACTCACCCCAGACAAGCACTCTCCCTCACAATGCACTCCAACACCACAATCGTGATAATCCTCATTTCGATACTCATTTTCACGGCCATAATGGTCTACTTCCTCAGGATCTGGTGGCGTTACAAACTCAGAACCAGCGCCCACAACGGCCGCTTTGAACGGCGTCGAACCCGCCAACCCGAAGTCGCCGTCCAGAAGATTGAGCTCGCGGACAGAGGAGGCAAAAGACACTGGTTAGAGTGTCGGGAGGCGGAGAGGAAAAAAGGGGGCGAGAAGAAGGCTGGAAAAGCCGGTCCTTCTGCGCCGGGTTCAGGGCGCGGTGGGATTCCACCGGGTGGTGGTGCTGGCCCTGGTGCTGGCAGTACTGGCGATTCTGGTGGTAAGCCTGCATCTCAACATCCTAGCAAGCCTGCGTCGCACAACGGATGGAGCCCTCAGATGTCTGCATCCCACCCCCCTAGGAACAGAAACGGAATGCCGGCTCCCCCGACTCCAGCTAAATTGCCCAGCAAGGCTTCTTCGCGAAACGATTGGGATAATCAGCAATATGCCCCACAATCTCCTATCAAACCTCCTTCGAACAGAAATGGGATGCAACCTGCTCACGCTCCTGCTGTTAATTTTCCTAATAGAATTACGCTGCAGGATCAAGGGGATATTCCGCTGCGTGATGCGGAACCTAATAGCAAGGCTGCTTCCGTTGGGGAATGGGAACAGATTGCCCTCAATCCTCCGGCCATACCTGCAGCTAGCAAACAGGGTTCGAAGAGGAGCTACAGGCCTCGTAGTGCCGCGCGAGGTCCAAGTCAGGCGGGTTCGAGAAGGGGGCAGCCTCAATATGGGGTGGATGCCAATGCGTTGATGGCGGCTCTGCAACCGATGACGGGGGAGGCGCAAGCACCAGAGGATGGGTGGTAGTTAGGACAGATAGCTTGATGGGATTGTATTGGTGCCTGTACCTGTGGAAGCTGTGGACTGTGGACTGTGAAGTGGTGGAGAGATGATCTATTTATATGTAAGGCGGCGGAGATGGTCGCTGCGGCACGCCCGAGGCGGTGACGTTGATCCCCGCGAGAGAGCCGGCGCTGCCTGTCGGGGTTCCCAGCTGATTCCTCCCTCGGTTCCTGTCCCTTAGAGCTCTCAACTTGCTTCTTTCTCCTATTCTATTGTCTCTCCCGATTCATGGTCCACCTTTCTCTCGCTCTCCCTCTCCCTAAAGACTCAGGCTGCTGATCAGCCTCCCTCCCTCCGCCATGTGGAACGACGAGGATAACAACCCGTACGGCGCATTCGATAACGAGGCGCATCTCTCCGAGTCCCTGCATTCGGCCACCCTCTCTCCCAGTAAGCCCCTCGATCTGCCATCTCCATCTGGCCGCTGGCTCGCTCTAACCTCTGCAGCGCTTTACGATCGCGAATATACCCCTCCCTCTCCCTCCAGCCGATCATCCACGGACAACCCACCGGACTTTCTCTCACAACAACAGGATCTCAGCGACGAAGACGATGCCCCAGGCTACGTTGCTCAACAATCTGGCCATGGCTACCTTCGCAAGAGTGCCTACGATAGTCGGATAGAGCAGATTCTGTACGAGAATCCGGAGATGCCGATCCTCATCACAGACGCCGGGAAGAACCACGAAGGCGGCGGCAGCTTCATCGTGTACACAATACGCACGGGAGTATGTCAGAATCACGCCCGAGCTGCAGAAATGATTCGGCTAATCAAATCTAGGATCTCGAGGTCCGCAGACGGTATTCCGAGTTCGCGTCGTTGCGACAAACCCTGGTGAATCTCCACCCAACCCTCGTTGTGCCGCCCATTCCCGAGAAGCATACGATGGCCGATTATGCCGCCAAGCCCACCAAAGCCAAGGAAGATACCGCCATAATTGATCTCCGCAAGCGAATGCTGGCCGTGTTCCTGAACCGTTGTCGCCGGATGAAGGAGGTGCGCGAGGATGGGGTCTGGTGGAGGTTTTTGGACCCCAACGTCAGCTGGGTAGGTGTGCCGGTGATCGCCGACGAGCCATGTACTGATTCTATCTAGAGCGAAGTCCTCCATTCACACCCCGCGTCGTCGGTGCCCAAGAACAACTTGAAAGCTCCACCTCTAGACCCCGCCAATCCCACCCCCGCTCATTCCTGGTTACCAGTGCCTTCGGCCTCTGCTAAACTCAAGTCGGCGGGTGCGGGGGGTACTGCGCCCACTGCTGCTGCCACTGAGACACCCCCCGCGCCGGACTTGCTAACCCGCTTCCCCCCGGAGTCGCGAAAATTGAGTGAGAAGGAATTGGACCCATACTTCATCAATTTCGAGGCGTCTACGCGTGAGCTTGAGCTGCTGCTCCAGGGAAACATCGAGAAGGTCAACCGTCGCACATTGGCCCATCTATCATCCCTATCTGCCGACCTCATGGAGCTCGGAGCACGGTATAACGGGTTTTCTCTGTCAGAGCCGTCTCCAACCGTGGCGGCAGCCATTGAACGAGTCGGACAAGCGGCCGATACTTCCTACATCGAGACGGAGGAGTTGTCTGCTTCGCTGAGCGCCAGTTTTGCAGAGCCTATGCGAGAAAGCGCACAATTTGCCAGCGTTGTGCGCAGTGTACTCCGGTATCGGGTTCTCAAACGGGTGCAGGAGGAGATGACGCGCGATGAACTAGCCAAGAAGAAGACGCTGCTCGACTCGCTGGAGCGCAGTGAGATGGAAGCAAAACGCATTGAGCAGTACCTCAACCGTACATCGCCGCCGGGGCCACCCACAAGAACCCAGCGATCCCTGTCAACTTCATCGGCCGTGAGCGCTCCCGGAGGGTCCGAGGGCGAAGCCCGTCCAGCTGGCTCTGAGGACAGTGCATCTGTAGACTCGGACTTTCCTCCCACACACGGCGAATCCATCAACTCGCACCCGCCGCAACAAAATCCCGCACTGCGACGCCCCGATTTTGGGCCCTCGTCCCCGGCACATCGCAAGACGTCAAGTGGGACCTTCGTGGCCAACAAGATCTTCGGTCGGATCAGCCACGCTGTCCATGGCTTTGTGGATGTTGATCCAGAACGGACACGACGCGACCAGATTGGGAAGACGAAAGAGAGTTTGGTGCAGGTATGTGGTTGCTTCCTTTGTGCTGAGATTACACTAACGGTCGCAGTTGGAGCAAGCCCTTGGGGTGTCCGAGAAGGACGTCAAGGATGCCAGCGCAGGTGTTTTACAAGATCTCAAGCGATTCCAGAAAGACAAGGAGATGGATCTCCGGCGGTATATGGTGAGTTTCAATCCTCTGCTCAAGAGCCAAGCTGACTGGTTAGGTTGCCTACGCGCGGTGCCACCTGGACTGGGCGCGCAAGAACCTGGAAACATGGACGGAGGCCAAGGACGAGGTGGACAAGATCGTAGTTCGGTAGTTAAGGATATTTTTAAGTGATATTGGAGCGCTGGGCGTTGGTTTTAACTGTTTACTGGCATGATCAGCGGCCGATGGATTCGGACTGGCAATCCAGTATGACCTCGGCCATGTAGATCTGAACGTGCTGGTGTATATCGGCCGTCGTCGATCGAGTACCCTTGTATGCTATTGATGCGTATAATGATGATACTTCAGAATTTTCACGCCAATTGTCAGACATCTATATAAGTCGACTGATACAATAGATCCCTATCCAAATATATATTCCGACATGGTCCTTCTGAGTCGCACTTTTATATCAGTGGAACTTCAATCAGTTCTTGGGCTAAAACGATTGCCTCGGACAACCCGGAAAATCGAAACAGAAAAAAAATGGACCGATTTCTCTACAAAAGAGGGTGATGTCGATGGTGTAAGAGTAGATGATGCGGTGCTGCGAGACATTCATCATCTGCCCCTCCGTGATTGGCCAGGCTGCCGTGCGATCGACGAGGCCCCGGAGACAGCCCGCGAGCTTGATCAACCTCTCAGGCTCTCTCCCTCCGGCCATTGCTAGCGCCGACTGCATCCTCACCATGCTGGTCCTGCCCGTGTGGCTCCGCAGCATCCAGGTACGACGTTCCCCTTCCGAGCCAGCAGGCGCGACTAACGCGGTTTTAGACAAGACACTTGGAAGGGGGTTGACCGGATGAACGGCTGAATCGGCAATATCCATGACAACAATCCCTGAAGGACCACTCAAGACCCCTTGGCCGGTCTAGGTTCGCTTTGCTACGGCATACCCCTCTATCCTACTCTCATCGACATCGCTGGTCGAGATCGCACCTCCATTTCTGGCTCACAACACCACTACTCGCCAGTTGGCGGTCAATCGCGACGACAGACCAAGCTTTCTTGGCACCCTCACAGCAAGGAACAAGCAATGAGCCACTGGGCTCATCAAGCCCACAATGATACCCAAACAATGGCCCCAGCTACCATGTTTCACCGTCTCCACATCCAGTGACGACAACTCCATCCTCCCCCAACCCCCACTCACCCGGCCATTGCTCCGGCGCATCATCAAAACCATCTCCCTTCTCACTCTCTTCTTTTTGCTCACCTACGCCCTCTACACCCGATTCCACACCCCTTCACCACCCCAAGACACTGAACCCCCGACAACACTCTCCCAGAACCCGACTATGACGGCCACTTCCCACCCACGCACATCACCAACCTCCACATCCACGACCCCAGCATCATCCGGGTCAACAACATCTACCACTCCTACGGCTCCGGCCCACATATCCCCATCCACACAGCCCCCGATCTCTCCGGCCCATGGGCCAAAGCTGGCACCGTCCTAGACGGCCCCAGCATCCTCCCCAAAGGCGACCTCAAAGCCCCTTGGGCCCCCACTACCCTCTTCCACTCGGGAACCTACTACTGCTTCTACGCAACCAGCAACGGCGGCTGCCGCAATAGCGCCATCGGAGTCGCAACCTCCTCTTCCCCCGGCCCAAACGACTGGACCGACCACGCGCCGCTCGCCCTTTCCGGCGCAGGTAAAAAGTCCACCCTGTACCCCTTCGACCGGGCCAACGCCATTGACGTAAGCGTCATCCTTGACCACACCACCAACCAAGGGTACATGAACTTCGGCAGCTTCTGGACGGGTATCTGGCAAGTCCCGTTACAGCCGGGGCTCCTGGAAACAGATCCCCGGGGAGAAGAAGTTCGGCATCTGGCCTTCGAACCAACAGTCGTGCATCCGCCGGGAAAGAAAGCAGATGGGATTTGTGGAGATTCGACAGGAATGCATCCCATCGAGGGTGCGTTCATATCTTACCGCGAACCGTGGTATTATCTTTGGTTTAGTTGGGGAAAGTGTTGCCATTTCGATCGGGAGAAGTTGCCCAAGCCGGGGTTGGAGTATGTCCCTTTCTCTTCCCTCAGCTCCCTCTCTCCAGTCATGTCCTAGAAATATGCTAAACGGTAACCTGAAAATAGATACAGCATCCGCCTCGGCCGCTCCTCCAGCCCAAGAGGCCCCTTCGTCGACAAACAAGGCCGAGATCTCGTCAACGGCGGAGGAGAAATCATCTACGGCTCAAACGGAGATGTCTATGCCCCTGGTGGACAGGGCGTATTGACTGATGATGGCGAGGAGGGAGTAGATGTGCTTTATTATCATTATTGTGCGTATACCTACCTACCCCTACATTTTTCTCTTCCCACAGTTCTTTTTCCTTCCATCCTGAATGAATAAGTTGGGGACTCTCGGTAATTGCTAATTCTGATTATTGTAGTGAATAAATCGGTGAGCTTGGAGTTCAAGGTACGTTTTTTTTCGTCCCCGTCCCCGCTCCCTCCTTCGTATAGTCGTTGGTTCATGTGAGATGAGACTGTATGGTATGCTGATAATAATGCTGGTATGTAGGAAGCCCGAATGGGATATAATTTTATAAAGTACGTGGATGGATGGCCCGTTGTGAGATGATCATATTTTCACTGTCATGATCATGGTCTTGGTCTTGGTCATTACTATCGTTATAATGATCCCGAAGATCACGATACAATATCCAGGGAGAGTATAGTATATATTATACTAGAGTGGGAAGGTGGGTTTAGATGTATATAGTCATTATAGAGTACATTGCTTTCTTTTATCATTGTGTTGTGTTGTTAGTGTGTATAGTAGTACAAGAAGTGGATGTAGATTTATTGGCTGGTACTGGTACGGGTATATCTGGTCCATGGGATTAGTACTCCTGAGGAAAAGGTCTTGAGCATCATAGTGATCATTCTGATTAGTAGTAGTAGTAGTAGTAGTAGTAGTAGTAGTAGTAGTATCTACAGAGGAACAAATGCCAGTTTAAAGACCCAGGCATACAGAAAGAAAGTGCCATCCCCGACGCCTCAAGCTATTCCCTCTTATCCCCAATCTAGAAATTTTGACCAGCTCATGTCCCCTGCCATATCTATCCTCCTTCATCCAGCGCATCATCCAGTTCATAAGACTCCAGGTAGCAACACCACAAACCGAAGTCTCCTCCCATTATCTGAGATTCTCCAGCATGATAGACCGCACCCGTCTCTCCAACCCAGTCCGATCAAATCCCCCAACCCCAAGCCCGACTCCCACCCCTTCAGCTTCCCTTTCCCTCCTCCTTCCCCTCTCCCCATCCCCATCCACATCCACATCCACATCCACATCCACATCCACATCCACATCCACATGCCCATTCGCATTGTTCTCCCCTTCCACTCCCTCCACCACAGCCTCCCCAGACATAGTCCTAGACCTTCCCCTCCCCCTTCCCCTCCCCCTCTCCCTCTCGCCCTCCCCCTGCCCCTAGCTCCAACCCCATCCCCATCATCCCCCGTCAAACTCGGACCCAAATCCAACAAACTAACCTGACTATCACTAAGCGGCAATCCGCGCTGCCTCGGGGTAATAGTCGGATTAGCCACCCTATGTCTATTATACATAGAAGTGAAGTACGAATCCCGCATAACCGCATCCTCCTGCCAACTGAACATGGGAAGATTCGTCCTCCTATTGACAAGTCTATTATCCCTCCATTCCCACTCATCGGGAATGATGGCATTCCTTCTTACTATTGGAATGGCGTATCTGGGTCGTGGGTTGTTGGGGACGGTGATTCCGTTCGTGAGCGGTGGGATGGTTTGTATGGCCGTGGTTCTGGTCACGGTGGAGTTTGTGAGGGGTGCTGTGAATGTAGTAGATGTGAGGTTGGAGGAGGAAGAGGAGGAAGCATGGTCTGAGTCGGAGCGGGCGGAGTGGTATCGGCTGAGAAGGGCTTGGAGTTGAGAGTGAGATGTTGTTGGTGGGCGAGGTATTTGGGTGTGAAGTGGTGAGGTGGGACGGGAGAGAAGAGGGAAGTTGGTGTTGATGTTGGTGTCATTGTTGATGTTGATGTCAGTGTCGTCTGAGTTGGGGTCGTTGGGTAGGAGGGACATCATGGCTGGACTCATTTTGGGTGGTTGGTGGGAGGTAGGTTGGTTGTGATGAAGGAGGAGAGGAGACGAGAGGGTTGGATTCAAATGAGAGCTGAATGATGAGATGAAGAGATACTGGTAAGAAATGTCTCTAGGGAAATGAGACAGCGATATTGATAGTGAACGAGTGGTAGAGATGAGCTAGCTGTCTGCTGGAGTAAAAGGTGAAGCCAAAGAAATAGTGACGGGGGAAACGAAGGCGGCAGCAAAGGCGGCAATAAGAGAGGGAGACAATGAAAAGAAGGAGGGAGAACGGAAATATTGACCGGTGGAGGAGGCAGGCACAGGAGTATAGCGGAAGGTAGAGGTGTACTGGATATTATTCAGACAATGTACGATGGATGATGCGCATCCCATGACAGCTGCAGGCCCCAATGACGGATGCCAGCTCCACGTGGTGCCGCCACAATAATCAATCCCCCGACTGTTCCTCCAGATAGATACACGTTCATGCACAATTCCCCCAACACGCTTTTCCCTCCTTCATCCCGCTGTCTCCCCCCCACCCCTTGAAGAATACAACATGTAAATGCAGGTCCGTATAATGCATGCAATCCCACCCAGTCCCTGCCAATCCCACCGCCCCTCTATTCCGGGCATCGAAGGAAAAACACCATAACTAGCAAGGGTCATCGACTTCATCCCGCGAAATCATCAACCACTCTGCGAAAGATCATTGTCGCCATCCCCGGCGATCTAAACACCTGTATCATTCGTTGCACATTTCCAAAAGTGAATAAAAATTGCCACTTCTCTTCTCCCCCCGACAACAGCGCTTTACTTGTCGTCATGCACTTGGAGCTCCACCACTGGTAGCTCGTCATCCTCATCGTCATCCCCGGCGGCTCCGAACGCCGTGATGTCCTGGAACGATGACTCCTCCATCGGTGTCCCCGGGTAGGCCGCGCCTCGCGGACTGTCCATCAATGAGGCCATCCGAAGGTCCGGGTCGCTGACATCGCCACCGCCAACCGCCTGGTTGCTGGCGCCATCGTCGAGTAGGTCTTCGTCGTCAGTTTGCGTCGTGGTCATCTGTGAAGGGCCGTGAGCATCCGAGACGCGACTGAACGACCACGAGGGCGTGTCCATGGGGCGGAACGAGCTGGGTTGGGCGTCGTCGCCAATCTCCTCGTCTTCGAAATTCATACCTTCCAGTCGCGGGGTGCGTCCTAGGCTCCGCTCGCCGAACGAGGGGCTGTTCGAGTAGTCCGGGGGCGAGTCTTCATCCCCGCTCTTCGGTTGGGTTCCAGTTGGCAAACCACCATCTCCCGATTGGTGAGCTGCTGCGACTCCTGGTAAGGCGCTCGACGACCCATTGCGGGAGGAGCCGCCGAGACGCCGGCCTTCCCCCGACGGAGACTGTCCGCGAGACTCGGTCTGCGACTCCATGTCGCTATTCGCGCGCGTCGACGCTTCCGTGACCTCCTCCAACACCTTGCCTCCCAGCGGCCGGTCCGACCGACGCCGGTAGAACAGCAGGTACGCCGACGAGGTGACCACACTCTGGGGATCAATAGGGCGCGACACGGAAGAATCTAACCTCTCTGTCAGTTACTGCACGGGGATCGGGTACACGCCTGTCTTACCATTGTACTCGTTCCACTGGCCCGTCATAAAGTTCTTCGCGTAGGCCGTGTAATGGCCGCCTCCAAGCCCACCGTAGTGATTGTCGACGGCGAAGAGGTCGTAGATTTGGCTCTTGCCATCCTCAGGGGCCTCCACACGACCCGTCATATCCAGCCCTTCCACCGGGAAGTCGACCAGAACGTCCAGCTTGTCCCGGAATCCGCGACTGGCGCTGAATCGCTTAAGATGCATGACGAGAATGTCTGGCGTCTTCCACAGTTCGAACTTCTTGCTGGCTCGGCGATGCTCCTTGCAGCGCGGGCAGTACCACGCATCGTTCTCCGAAAGAACCTCCTCCTTGTTGAACTCGTCCAGGCACTCGTAGAGCGTCACGCCCCTCTTCTTACGGTTCTGCCGGAGAGAACGGCGCTTGCTAAGCTCTGGGTCGGGTACCCTATCGACATCCGTCCACGTCGGCACTCCACGCACGGAATCCTTGTCGCGGCTGTTCCCGGCGAAAAGGGCGTCGTAGGCCTGCTCGTTCCAGTCGACCACGATGCCCTCCCCGGGACGAATCATTGGTCGCTTGGGAGCCGATTCACCGTTGGCATTATCAGAGCCCTTGTCGCCGGACTCTTCATCTTTCTGCTCAACAGCATTCGAAGCTTCCTCGGACTGTTCAAACAATCAGCCATAAGCAACTCCAAGGGCGATGGAAAACTTACCTGTTTCTGTTTCTTCGGGGCCGCCTTGATTCGGAACGACATCCTAGGATACTCCTTGTGGTCATCCACAGACGAAAACCCGGTGGGCACCACATCGTGCGACTTGATGAGCTTCATCTCGAAGAGACCGCGGAGATTGGCCGAAATGGTACTCTCAGGGCGAGCCGGGGTGTCGCTCGGGCTATCTTCTGCGTCACGCATTGAGACATCGACCATGCCGTCCTCGCCATCCACGGACGCAGTCTTAATCTTAGAGTCAGCCGACTGCGCATCATCTTCGTTCATGACGACGGTGTCGGAGTCTTCTTGGCTGACCTCGTTCATGCTCTCCTCATTAAGGATGTCACGGGAGGTCATCGAAGCAACCTGTGACAGGACCTTGCGGAAAATAGCATCATAGTCGCCAATCTCCTCCCGGTTGATAACCACGTACGAAGGGACACCGAAGAGCGACCTCTGCGCATTTTTGGCGTTGTTCCCCCGCGGTTTCTCCACTCGGTTGAAAATCGGTACGAGCAACCGATCCGATCGTGGCGAATCCAGAGCCGGGATCTCCTCATGGTCCGAGCGACTGAATGAGATGTAGCTCTTATGGACCTTATCCGGGTTATAGTTGGTGGGGACGGACTCGACCTCGTAGATAGCAATGTCATCATTGCCACTGATCTGGCATTCCGCGATTGAGATCGTGTTGTCAAACATCTTGTAGAACTTGTTCTTGTAGATTTCAGCCATGACCAGCCGCTGGGGGTCGCTGCCCATTTTCTTAGCGACCAGCTCCTTCAGCGACTTCACGCTGGCGTTCTTGTCGATCTCAACATCAACGAGGACTGGCTTCTTGTTGAGGGGAAAATAGAAGAGCTCCTTGCTCCAAAGGTTCTCGATCGGAAGCTGGAGGGTGAGGTTGTTGAACGGATCGAAGATGATGCTGACCTTGTCGCAAGCAGGGCAGACCAAAGTCGACTTATACATACCGGCAAAGAGGTCAGTGATGACCGAATCATTGCGCGCTTTGTATATGTCCCAGCATTTGTCCGCAAACTCCCGGAGCGCATCCTTGTTGTGCACCATTTCGTCAGTCGAGTCCGGCTTTTCGATGTAAGGCTTCTTCATGATTCGATTCAGGTCTTCCTGCAGACCATCCAGAAGAAAGAGAAGGAATTCCTGGGAATCTTGTTGACCATACCCAGAGAATGCCGGACCGTAGCGGCCGATGGTGTGCTTCAACTGCCGGGGCGCAAACGAAGACTGGCCGGCCTCGTCATAGATCTGGCGCAACAAGTTCGCATATGCCTTGGCCACATCACCATTGTGAGCCAGCGGATTGCTGGGGTTGAGGTCCTTCTTGTAGATGTCATCTAAATAGTGATTAGTAAGGTACATCTCAATCTCGGAAACAAGACTCACTCAAGAAATAGTAGCTTAACTCTTCCACACTACGGACACACTGCAGAGCAGAGTTCATGTAGCAGGTGTTTCCAAGGTTGCTCAGACCCGTGCAGCCACGGGGTTTCCCGTCCTTGCGTCTTCCCCGGACAGGCTCTGAAACTGGAGAAGAGCGTCCGCTGGTAGCAGGACTCTTGGTCTTCACCTTGGAAGGAACACTGTTCTTCACGTTGCCCGATGGCACGCCCAGGCGGCTCAGGGTCTGCTTGGAGGCTTCCGACACCCACTCTCCGCTAGATCCCGAAAGCTTCTCTTCAAGCACCACCACTTCACTGCTATTGAGGCCTGCAAGCCCCAATGTCATTTTGCCGTTGTAGTTAGGGTTGTTTGTTTGGTCCTTGGGTTCGTCAAGCACCTCACGCTGAGACCCCTCGGACAGCGAAAGGAAGGTGTTTAGATCAAGTACCAGGTTGCCCCCAGCGTTGGCGATGAGGGACGCGGATGGGGCGGGAGAAGCACTGCGGGATGCGGCTGGGGTGACTGCTGCCGACGCAGTGGCGCTACCGAGCCCGCCGAGAACCCTCCAAACACGAACCTTGGTTGACATGTCGATGTGGGCCAGATCTTTGGCTTGCTTCAGCCACTTCTGGAAGTTGGTGTGCCTGCTCGCCAAGGTTCTCACAGGGGCCATAGTCTTCTCCTTCATCGACTTCATAGAAGTGCCCGCGGACGGGTTCGTGAGCTTCAGGATTGTGAAGATTGGTGGGTTGATTTCGTATTGGATGTTCTGAGCATCGCCGACCGGAGCGGTATTATGAGCGTAGCGGACGATGGCTGGGGACTGTTCTGCAAGACCATACCACTGCATGATCAAGTCCCAGCCCCCTTGAGGGATAATCTCAAAATCTTCCCCCATCTCCAAGCCCGGTCGCAGAGGAACAAAAGGCTCTCCGCTCTCATCCTTGAAGCCCGTATTGGCCGGGTCGGTCACCAGGACAATGTCCGAGTTGTCAACGGGTCCAATGTCTCCTTCCATGGCTGTCTTGTCTGCCTTCTCTGCATGGGTAGCGCTCCGCGAGTACACCCGCTTCAACCATGAAGTCGACACCACATATCCCTTCTGCTTCTCCTTCATCGGCTGCATCATGAATCGGGTGACCTGTGCAACCTGATCGTCATAGGACGGCCGGTCGGCTGACCCAACGCCGGCCTCGGCTTTAGACTGGGAACGGGTGTCGGTCGGGGCAGTATAGGTGGACATGCTGGAAGAGGTGGGATATACACTGTCGGAGGCCGAGCCATTGTCATTTCTGGTCGAGTTGTCGTCGCCCGATCCTGTGGTGTCCATCGAGTCCGGGATGTTGGAACGGGACTGGGCGTTCTTCTCTGTCGGAACCAAATCCATCTCCATGTCATTATCCGCTTCGGAGGCTTCGTGGACATCAGGACCGGAGATGGGGAGACCGGAGTCTCCCTTGTCGTCGGAGCCGGACATATCGGTCGCGGGGTCACTGTGGAGGGTCAGACCAGCGCAGGCGGCCGAAGGATAGTCGAGAACACTTCCAGCGGAGTCTGGAGTGGGAGAACGAGCGGTGGCCTGGGATCTGGAGCCGAGGACTTCGTCCTGCAGATGAGCGGGAATGTAACGTGGAGGCGGTGAGGTTGAGGAACTCTGGCTGCGATGCGATCGGGAAGAGGATGAAGGGCGACGGGACGAAGGCCGCGAGGGTGAGGCCTGGCCGGAGCTGGATTGGCCGTGACGTCTTCCGGCCTGCGAGGCGAACGACAAACCCGGAAGCGACCCTGGTTTGCGAGGCTCTGCTACCTTACGGCGCTTTGTGGAAGACGTCGTGACGGGGAGCTGCGCACGTTTCGTGGCAGCTCGAGGTAGCACGATGGATGGGTTCGAAACTGAGCTCGACACTGGAATTGATTGGGTTGGTCAGACCGGGGGGTGGGTTCTAGGGTGGTGAGTGGTGTTGTGTGGGTGGAGGAATGGAAGGCGAGTGGATGTGGAGGGAAGAACCTAGAAAAGGCGAGATGGGAAGGGGAAGGAAAGAAGTCGCGCGCCGGCCTTCGTTCGATTGGAAAAGAAAATCCGCCTCCGTTTTTTTTTTTGGGCTTTCTCAGGCTGGCCAGATTTGCCGGTGCGATTTTCTCTCACCTTTTAGTCAAGGATTTCCGAACGCCAACTTGATGGTGGGGTAAATGACAGATGAGAGGAAATGATGAAGAACCATATGGTCGAAAGACAGAAAAATGAAATAAAATAAGATAAAAAGAGACTGACAGGGAACTAGTAAAAAGAAACTAGGGAACCAATCTAGATAGGAAGCGTCCGACTTACTTTTTTCTGTGGGTGATGCTAAGTTCGGAGACGGTGGATGCGGTTCTGCATTGACTACTAGTAGTAGTGGCCAGGCGGGTTGCCCCTTCACTGGCTGCAAGGGCGGCAAGGCCTCATCACCACCACCATCGCCGCCGCCGCCCCCGTCGTCGCCATCCCCGTATTTACCATCACCGCTCACCCACCACCAACTAGTATCAATAATAGGTCTGGACCACCAATTTCCCATTGTGTTGATAATAGACACCGCCGAGGGTTGAACCAGATCAATAATGCATCAAATTATCAATCGATATCAATCGATCAATGAGAGCGGGGACTCCTGCCCTGATATACCCTATTCAAAGCCACCCATGAATCCCTTCAATACCGGGCGGTAACTGCCCAAGCCGTAACCGGCATCTCCCTTAATGACGGTGTCAGAGGCCCCCGTGAATGAGGCCCCGCCATCCTCCCTTGAAAGAAACTCAAACCCAACTAGTCATTATTCAACGCGGCATGTTCCTTCACTGGGCTAACAATGCCAATGAGGATCCATTGCAACTCGGAAGAGAAGCAAGTAACACAAGATCAAGTGATACTGATTCTTGAAATAGATTGGGTCCTGTCTCGGAAGACAACTGACGGCAGCCGAAGTAACACCAGGTCCTGCAAGGCGAGCTTCCGCCCTCCCTCGACTGGTCTCCAGTACCACTCGGAACAGTCCCGCCAGTCTCACCATCTCCCCGCCGCGAGCCTTGTAAGCCTGGCACATGATGGCAGTCGCCGTTTGCTTGGGAATATTCCCGGGGCAACACCCAAATCACATCTGCCGGTTCATGGGTACTCGCGACTAAATCCAGGGCACTGGATGAAGGAGCGCTCTTGCGCATCATGGATGGGAAAACTGTCTCTGTCAGGCAAGGTATGCATGAGCCACATGGCAGCAGGTTTTTATGCTCGCTTATTCAGAATCAATACTGTGTCTGTCACAGCTAAAAGATATTTCTTACAACACACCCACCTGGCATTTGCTTGCAAGAGCTAGAATGAGAATACATGCAATTGGGTTCCCACATTAGCTTTATATGGAATTTACTGGAATGAGGCCTACATGCAAGTTGTCTAGGTCTCAAAGGCACTGGATAAGTAACAAAATAATAATGTATCTGCATTTCTCTGCTACATGCTCGGGTCAGTGGTCATAGCCTCTGTGAGTTGAGCAGTGAATTGAACGCCATGGTATCCTCATGCGATCAGGATGTCACCGATGGACGAAAATTACATAGAGCTTTGTCAAAGTGGCGATTCTTCAACTTAATAATGATAGAAGCTGTCTCTTGGCCATTCTTATCAGTCTTGCTGCTGACATGGTCAATACCAAACTCCAAAGCAGCCTGTCCACAGAGTGAGTGGAGGTCCGATCGAGAGGAGCCTTCTGTAGCGTGAACCAAACTGTCCATGTCGAACGATGGATCCAAGTCTGACTCTTTCAAGAAAACCTCAAGGATCTTGCGCCTTTCCATGCTACCGGGAAGCTTGAACTGCACTTTGAGGGGCATCGTTCTCAACAATGCTTTGTCCAGGTCAAGCGGCTTGTTCGTCGCACAAAGCACAAATGGGGCATCCTTACTAGAGGCCAAGCCATCCATTTCCTCAAGGTACTGAGTCAAATCATGTTGTCGCCAGGGAATAACATCTACGAAGCCTTGGCAGGAGAGAGCATCGGCTTCGTCAATGAATAGGATGCACGGGGAAAGTTTCTTAGAAAGCGTGAACGCGGCTTTGATAGTGCTCACTGCTCTTTCAAGACCTGCGGGACTGACTCTAAGCATCACAGCGTTCGAATCACTCGCTATCGCCCGGGCCATCTCAGTCTTTCCAGTACCAGGCGGACCGTAGAACAGGGCGCCAGAAAGCCTCGTACTATCTATAAGAAATTGTGAAGAAGCTTCGAAATGTAGCCTGGACTGGGAAACTAGATATTTTATGGTCTCTTTTGTCCGTTCTTCAACAATGACATCATCATATGTCACTTTTGAATTCGCTATTGCATTGTCAGTAACTGCAATTTGTTTGAACGTCACAGCGTGCCAAAGCCATTACCTGGATCAAAAACACAGCCAAAGAGATTGACTTCATGTTTATTGCAGCATATCTTAAGTTTGTCAAGCCTCTCCTCGAGCGTACTCTTGGTTTGCTGGTCGTCGTCCGAGACTTTGCTCTTCTTGCGAACGGCGCGAGCCAGAACCTGCTGGACATCATAAGGCTGGAGCGTACCTTTTCTTCCCGCGAGACCCACAACTTGCATGGCAGTTCGAACTATATCGATGTCCGGAAGCTCTCCATCATGAAGGAGACCAGATAGATCAAGTGGAGCGTTCTCGGAGAGCAAGGCCCAGCCTAGGTTCACCGGAAGAATGGAGCGCATGTTCCCTTTGAGACGCCGGATTTGCCGCTCAAGACGAATCTGCTTAACTTCCACATGAGATGATGCTGCGTTTCTGTATGAGATGTTGGATTCAAAGTCAAATTCAAATAAAGGCTCATGTGCCAGGATTCTTTCTGGGTAGTAACAGCCCAAATTATCATCACTGCTCGAATGACTAGCAACCATAACTATCGGTTGGTTGTTCTGCCGACGATTCTGGACTGCGGACCGGAATCTCTGGAGAATACTTTCCCCTTTTCTCAGGTTGGCAATACCAGGAGCGTTCCGGAGGTGAAGTATTACTGGATTGCATGTTTCGGTTGAAGTTGCGTACGCATTCTTTGTCCGCGACGCATCAAGAATGGTTTGAATGACATTATGGACCCGTTGGGAGGGAATTGATGCACCGAAGTAGAACATTACCATGGAATTCCGATCCCTGTATTTGGGTTGAGGAGCTTCCGGACAGCTGGCGGCTTCTGGCTCACTTTTGACCTCTGAAGCCGTTTGTCTCTCTTGCTCATTGAAATCGCAGGCAAGGTCGTAAAGGTCCTCAGCATCGACGGATACAAGGGCTGCACCGATATCCCTGGCTAGATACTCAAGTAAGGCTGTGATATACATAACACTCTCTGAATTGATCTTCATGGTGGGCTGCGTATGGTCGAGTTTCCGGCCTGGAAATGCACGCTCACTGAGCACCGTTGCGGCGATGATATCGCGTAGTTCCACATATTCATCTTCTTGGACCTCATACGTCGTCATGGGTGCCTCGGTTGGGAACTTCTCGATATCTTCGCTCTCACTAGCTATCTAGTCAGCATTGTAGCATCCATATGGACTGTCACCAGCTGTTTCACCTTTTCACCAGTGTAATCCTTGGATCTTGAGAGTCCGCGACCGTCTTAACACATTGTGTGAGAAACCATTCGGGAAGACGATAATTTATGGAGGCTTCGCTTCCTGTAACGTTGAGTTAGATATATCTTGGAGAGCAGAGTATCAATAGACGACTCGCCTGACTTCTCGTATGTCTCCGTCTCTGCGGTGCTTGCGGGCCCCCAGCCAGAAACCACACTCCCTTTCTCACTCTCAGGCCAAACCATTTTTACCAAAGGACACAAAGTCTCTTCGATTCCTATAGCTTGGTGAAGTGAGGGTATTCCTGTCAAGTTCGACGCAGAGGAAAAGTTGAGGGGAAGTCTGTAACGATAGCCTCAGCCTTGCAGGCTCTAATGACCTCAGAGACAGACACGTCCGTAACTGCGAGACCGGAAAGAGCTAGGTCCAGATGAAGAATAAAATGACAATATTTGTTGGTCAGTACTAAGGGCGCCTGAAAACTTATATGCGGAAGGTGGGGTGAATTCAGCAGTGGCCTGCACTGGCAGGGAAAGACGAGGGAATGGCCCCTCTAACCTTGTGGTGTGAGTGAAGGGGACACATTCACTACTTCCTCACCGGGGCTCATGATCGCTTTCCTCAGTATCCGGGCTAGTTTTTATTCTATAGTGACCACCCGCTCACCTGTATGCGCGGACTTCTAATATCAAAGGCCTAGAGATGAAGGGTATTCAGTTTGAGGCTGGGCCACGGTTTGAGCATGTACTAGTCATCATTGAGTGCAAAGGGTTCATACCATGAGGTGTAGTACCAAATATAAATATGAAAGGGGTCAAGCGTTAGACTCGAGCGAATGATGTGGTCGGACTTTTTCTGTCAAGGTGCGCTGACCACAAGTCAATCCAGCAGAGGAAAGACAGCACTACCTACCCTGCTTAGAAGGGATTAGATCTAGTAATTTATCCATTTTCTCGAGATGTTGTGGTGCTTTGTTCAGATATCTCGCAGTAGAATTCGTTTGACATCACAGTAAACACCGTCGATCCCGGCCGAAACTATAGATAAAAGCCCCCCACAACGAAATCATACGTCTAAACGGAGAACAGCTAGGCGAGTACTTTCAATAAACATACTGTCTCACTTCTACTTAGACGGCTGTCTTATCCCTCCTAAGCCAAATAATCTACTCACGAGACGGAAAACAGGCCGAGCCCATTACATCACATTGATTTCATGTCCCACCACCAAAGCATATATCAAACAACCACCTCCTCCCCTGACCATAATCCCAACCCAAAACCAACTACAGTTCGCAGATCACTTCAATCCACATCTATTCTGGCCAGAAATCACTACCTCCAAAATGCCAACCGCCATCGTCACCGGCGCAACCGGTATGCCTCCCATCCCCAACCCACCAACCATTCTAATCACTCCCTCCCTATAGGCATCCTCGGCCGCGAAATAATCGCCCACCTCTCCAAAGACCCCTCATACCAAACAATCCACGCCCTCTCACGCAGCAAAAAGTCCACCTACCCGCCACACGTCCACCACGCCAGCATCGATCTCCTCGCGTCGCCCGAATCCCTCGCCTCTCAACTCTCCTCCCAAGATGTCTCAGGCGACTACCTCTTCTTCACCGCGTACCTCCAAGAAGGCGACGAGAAAGACCTCGAGCGAATCAACGGCGACATGCTCGAGAACTTCCTCAAGGCGTTGAGTATCTCAGGGGCAGAGAAGAAGGTCAAGCGGGTTGTGCTGGTGACAGGAGCGAAACACTATGGGGTGCATTTAGGGCCGGTGAAGAATCCAATGGAGGAGACGGATCCCTGGGTGGAAGGGGAGGGAAGACCGCCGAACTTTTATTATAGGCAGCAGAGAATTTTGAAGGGGATGAGTGAGGGGAAGGGGTGGGATTGGGTGGTGACGTATCCGAATGATGTTATTGGAGTTGCTAAAGGTGAGTTCTTCTTTCCCTCTCTATAAACATTCTGGGGAGGTATGTGGTAGTGGTTGGTTGGCTAACGATGAATGTATGACAGGCAACTTCATGAACCTAGTAACAGCCATCGGACTCTACGCCGCCATAACCAAGGAGCTTGATGCGCCGTTCATCTTCCCAGGATCACGCATCTTCTACCCCAAGACAGACTGCTTTACTTATTCGCGACACCATGCGCGATTCTGCGCCTGGGCTGCTACTGAGCCCGCGTGCTCGAATCAAGCGTTCAATGTTGTGAATGGGGACACGCAGACGTGGCAGACGATGTGGCCTTGCCTGGCGGAGCGATTCGGGGTTACGATTCCGGCGGATCAGTTCCAGGCGGAGGATGAGAAGGTTGTTCCGCTGATTGAGCGGCCACCGTTGGAGGATTATGCTGAGACGAGTGGGTTGAAGGGGAAGGTTGAGAAGGGGGAAGTGCGGATGCGGATTGATTTGGAGAAGTGGACGGAGAGAGAGGATGTCAAGGCGGCGTGGGAGAGGTTGGCACAGAGGGAGGGGTTGGAGAAAGATGCCTTTGAGAAGGCGACGTGGTTTTTCCTGAACTTTGTGCTGGGGAGGAATTATGATCTGGTGATTAGTATGAACAAGGCGTGGAAGCTGGGGTTCCGGGACTGGGCTGATACGTGGGATGCGTTGGAAGAATGTCTGGATGAGTTGGAAGATGAGAAGGTTCTGCCTAGGACGGGGAAGAAATGAAGGGAACGTTGGTATAGGCAGATAGGATGTAAGGTTAAGATTTGGAATGTTGGGGAAAGTTAATATAATTCCATCATCGATAATATGACACATGAGCGAGCCTGCGTGGCAGTACCAATCAGGCGTTCCATGGGGATAAAGCAATGTTAAGGTAGCTTAGGGTTTACTACTGCCCTTATTGGGCAGCTTAAAGCACGAAATCTTCCATGAATCCACTGTTCCACCCTTCATGCATGGCCTGACCTGACCTGGCCTGACCTGAGCACGCGGCTGGCTGCGGATGTGTACCGTGGAATCTCTTAAGTTTGCTTCGTATAACCGCACAGTCGCTACCGTATGGCGATCATGCGCAGACAATAATCGAGGGCTTTCTCGCATCAGCGTTCGCCCAGACACCGACTTTGAATTCAATCACAAGAGCATGCCGATCACTGCAGATCTGGAGAACAGTCCGCAGTCAAGACCGTTTCCCATGTGGCTTCGAGTCAATCAGGTCTTGTCTGACGACTCATTTGCTGATCCCACTCCCGCGGACGCCTGCTGATCTACAGTTTCGGTTCCTTGTGCGGTAGGTGCCGCAGGGATCTCGCTTGATCGGGCACCAGAGGCCAACTCACTAACCTGGCGCTCTATACGCCGTCAGCGTCAAACTCTAACGTAACGAAAAGTCTTTAAAAAAAGCCGCCCTGAGCACAGAACCGCAAAGGAACGATAGAAGAAAATAGCAAATAGGAAAGAAATCGCGCACCTAAATCGCGGATTCGTTGTCGGAGCATTTGGTTTTCGCGCGTCAACATGGCTGCCTCCGCCTGATAGAATGCGGTCTCATCCCTGCTTCCCCGCCGGAACGAACTCTCACCAATGCCCGCAGTCCAATCCGATCCCTCTGGCCCGCTAGACGGATCAACCAGCGGTCGGAGGTTGGGCGAAGTGGCTTGACTAGACGGACGGGAAGGTCGTCGGCTAGACAAGGATGAAGGCAGCTGGGTTGACGCCCGACTGCTGGTTGTGGGGAGTGGAGGAATGGGGGGGAATGGGGTTAGTCGTTCCGAAGGAGGCCCGGAGTCGTCCACAACCGCCTGTGAGTGTTGCTGTTGCTGTTGGAAATGTTGCAGCTGAGCTTGCTGGCTTCGGATCATGTGCAAAAGTCGGTTCTAGCCATTGCCAAGACTTGGAGTTAGTAAAATTTATCTCCGGTTGGTGTGATGACAAGAAGAATGAGCCGGATAGTGACACGGGACAGTCGGATCATACCACTTGTGCTTCTTGTTCTTGCTCTAGTTCCTGATGGAGCTCCCCCAGTGATGGCGCACGCTGATGATGCGGGTCCCCAGTGGCAACGGTCGGGTTGACCCCGGCGTTGTATGGACTGGAGGTGCGCAGCCCATTATGGCCTAGGGAGGACCGGTGCTCGTGAGGGGTCAGGGGCGGTTCCCCGGGGGCCGAGTCGCTAGCGTTGTTGTTGTTGCCATTGTTCAGGATTGAACTGGAACCGGCAGCGGACCGGCGACGTTCCGACCCTGACATGCTTGAGCGGTGATTTTGGGAGGGCCGATGAGGTAGCTCGGTGGCAATCGCGTTGTGATGGTTGTTGTTTGAGGGACCGTTATTCATGCTGGCCAGAGCTGAAGAAAGGAGGCCTGGCTGAGAATGTTGGGGCGATAAGGGGTCGGACAAAGTCGGGGGCAGCCGATGTTGACGCGGGGAAGACGAAGTGGACCGGGTCGGGGACAGCGAGTTGATATCGGGCGACATCGCGTGCAGAGAGGGTGGATGTTGAAGTCCTAGAAAAGATCGGGGTCAGTGCAATGCCGGAGCACTCTTCCTGCCTGCAAGACGATTCGAAGAGAGTCCAGACCACCGAGGCTATCAATCTGTCTTGTCTGCAAGCACTCCCTGCCACGGACCAGATCAACAATCAACAATGGTTGCGGTGGATTGCAGAGCGGGTGCCGCATTCCTGCAACAAAGGCGGGGTGTCCGTAGGCGGCAGGCGGTCAGGCTGGGCGAAAGGTGGACATGACGCTTTGCTGACGATCACGGGATGGCTGGATTCGCCCTAGCGCGCCGGCCACGCTTGAGCCGGAATTACTCAACGAGGTCGGCCTGGCCCGGAGAGCCTGGCAACTCCTTCCCCTGGGAACGGCGATCAGACCGGCCGGGTTTTCGGTCAACTCCCGAATATCACCCCATGCACGTGAACAGATCGATCTGATGCCTCGGGGAATTTTCTCAGTGGATTAAAATCTAGACAGTAGTGTGGCAGCACAATAATGCGATCGAACATTCTGTTGACTCCCAATGGAATGTTCGCTATGGCATGGGACTCCCACCCTGGGTCCCTGAGAATCCGGTACACTGGACTCCGGCCTTGCCTGCTTAACCAGGGGATCATCCGCCACCTTACCTTAGCGTCAAGTCTTAACCAACCTTGAAGGAGGCTGTCGGCACCATCCGACCATACAAAAGCCACCGGGATATTGGCCTCGGTGCTATCTAGGCTATTACTACCGTCAGCACCGTGACAAGTACCCTGGTTCCTAACTAGAAACATATGGCCAAAATCCTTCAACATTCCTGTCGAATCGAATCGAATCGACATGGGAAAATATCTACCCTATGGTTAATGGAGCTTTTATATTGCTCTGGACTGGCAATCTTAAAAGAGTGTGGCCTCATGTGCACGACACAGATACACAGTAGTAAGGCTCGTCAACTCCACCTGAATCGCTAGAGACCAATGGACCCATCCCTCCTGTAATCCTGATCATCCTGGGGGTCTGCCACCTAGTGGGTGGCTGGGTGGTCACGGCTGTGTGTACGTGCGACAGCCTGGGGCTTGTCAATGGGCCCCGTTGCTACTCTGTACATAGTATCGATTATCCTCTGGCCTGTCATGGTGCTCGATCCTTGACAAGTTTCGATACAGCATTCTGGAACAGGGGCCGACCGAGCGTTCTCCATACATGCCTCCGGGCGATGACTACATCATACATCCACTTAGTTAGTGATGACAGTGAAAGAACGAAACACAAGCGATGACACATTTGTAATACGTGAGGAAAAGCGCTGGGAGTGCCGATCGCCTTGGTCACGGCCGACTTGACGTCACCCCCGGCTACCCCGAGGCCAGCTAGTCAAACCCCGTGGGAAACTGGGAGGGAAAAAATGGGTCCAGGACAGAAAACAGCCTAAAAAGCGGAACACAGACCAACGCCATGATTTTTTCAATTGCACTTGGCTCCAAAACATGGAATGAAACACCAAGAGTAATTGTCGCTTGTCTCTGGGGTTCTTTGTCAGGATCCGTCTGCTCGGGAGACCACCACGCAGTGATGCAGAGCGCCCATGGCCACCTGGAATCCCGGCCCCTTGCGTGGGACACTTTCGCGCCCGCATTATTGACAGGCTGGACCGTTTCGACCTACACGGGGCATCCATATGAAGTCTGGGTTCCAAAGTCTAAAGTGTAGTCTTGTCGAGATGTCCGCAATCCCACACCGCAGCAACTCTCGCGCAGCCCGTGCCGTGGCAGGCTGTCCCGAAGCGGGCATTCCTGAGATGGTCCCGTCGGCCCAGAACGGCTCCGGCAGTTGTAATGAATATCGACGACCACCGAAGTGGAGAAGCCGTGATGACCTCCCCGGCCACTCCTGGCTCTGGGGGACTGGTCCGGTTTGCCCCAGAGGTCAGGCGATGAGTGATAAAGGAATGATGTTAGGGCCGATGGATCCATCCGGCAGCACCGTCCCAGAACTACATCGAAAACGACTGGCTGGCTTTGGTCAGCGTGGCAAGTGGGTGCTTCGTAGTCTGAATTAGGTGGTATGTACCTATAATGTCGCTCCTGATTTGGCAACCCAAATGCATCATCATTCGGCCCTAACCGTGTGCGGCCGCCTGCGGTGTCAGAGCCAGCCAATCCCCAACACCACCGGCGCGATAACGCATTCAAGGCCCTTAATTTATTCATGCCGGCCAATTTAGAAATTAATGCGAGTGTACCCTAAGTGTAAGCCACAAGGAGCACAAAAATTGGTGGGAGGCGAAACAGAAAGGGGGAAGGGAGATAAAAAAGTGTAAAAAAAAAAAAAGAAAAGAAAAGAAAAAGCCAGGTCCATGCATGAACTAACTAATCCCCCATGCCCCGAGGCACACACAACCCCCCATCATCGGAGACACCTGGACCGTCTGAACTTTAATTGTAGGATTGTTATTGGGAGAAGACGAGTAACCGGTGGATTGATATAAAGCAGAGTCATTCCTGCAGTGCTGCCTGTGATCCATGGGTGTTGTGGACTGTGGTAACATCGCCCACTTGTTTCCCCGATACCACTGGTTTACCTGAATATAAGTACTATACCGGGACCCCATCGTACTTGCCCTTTCTGGGGTACCTGCCTGAAAAAGTAGTCGGATCCTAGTACTGACTGGGTAGGCCTCCGCTGAATCTTCTCCTGCCTTCTTCCGCTTCTACTTCTACTTCTACTCTTCACCATCTTCATACTCGTGTTCTCTTCTGCTTTTGAACCATACTCAAAAGCTCAACGTTTCTACTCTTGACTGTGTGCTCTTTGTTATCTGCGTTCATCACCACTCTCAGTTACCGATCTTGTCTTTCACCTCTCTACCTCTGTCTACTCTGGGTCAATGTAAGTACCGCTCATACCTCCCAGGTGATTGTCATTTCCGGTGGCATCAACATCCTCTCCATCAACAGTCTTGGCCAACCTTCTGCTTTATCGCCTTCCTGTTGCTTGCACCTTTCATATTCTACCTTACAGCAGACTAACTGGATGCAGTAGTGCCCATCATGGCGTCCCCAGACATGGACGTGAGCAATCATGAAAAACCTCATGAGTCAGAGGCCTCGTCTTCTACTCATACCGATGCTATCATTGATCCGACCACTGAAAAGGCTTTGGATCAGAATTTGAAAACCCCTGTGCCTTCTTCGGATCCTACCGCTGGAACAACTCTCCATCAGTTGGAGAATGCTTCCGAAAAAGTGGAGCTGACTGAGGACGATTGTTACGACCAACTCGGTTATGCGTTTCCTAGTTGGAGGAAATGGATGATCATTTCGGTCATCTTTCTTGTCCAGACTTCAATGAACTTTAACACCAGTCTGTACTCCAATGCCCTGACCGGTATTTCCGAGGAGTTTGGAGTTAGCATGCAAGCTGCGCGCTGCGGTGCTATGATCTTCCTAGTTTTGTACGCCTTCGGTTGTGAGCTGTGGGCTCCGTGGAGTGAGGAGCTCGGCCGAAAGCCAGTCTTGCAGCTCAGTTTGTTACTTGTGAACATTTGGCAGTTACCCGTTGCCCTCGCCCCCAACTTCGCCTCCATCATGGTAGGACGTGCTCTTGGAGGTCTCAGTTCAGCTGGTGGCTCGGTGACTCTGGGTATGATCGCCGATCTTTGGGAGGCGGACGATCAACAATACGCTGTGGCTTGTGTGGTTTTTTCGTCTGTTGGTGGCTCGGTGATCGGTCCCGTTGTTGGAGGGTTCGTCGAGGCCTATCTGCCATGGCGGTGGAATATATGGATTCAGCTCATCTTCGGGGCTTTTGTGCAGGTGGCACATTACTTTCTTGTTCCCGAGACTAGGACGACCATCCTGATGGATCGTATCGCGAAGAAGAAGCGGGAAACCGGCGAGAATCCGAACATTTATGGCCCCAACGAGCTTGTTCCTTTCAAGGATCGATTTTCGATGCGTGAGGTCCTCGCCACATGGGTTCGGCCGTTCAAGATGTTTCTGACGGAGCCGATTGTCTTGACTCTCTCCCTCTTGAGCGGCTTCAGTGACGCTTTGATCTTCATGTTTATCCAATCGTTCAGTCTTGTCTATAACCAGTGGGGATTTGACACCGTGACACTGGGCTTGTCATTTCTTCCCATCCTGGTTGGTTATTTTATCGCATGGGCCTCTTTTATTCCCGTCATCAGAAGGAATATTGCGGAGCGTCGCAAGAAGCCGGACGATGAACGTGCTCAGTATGAGTCCCGACTTTGGTGGCTACTTTACACTGCCCCCTGCTTGCCAATTGGCTTGATTGGTTTTGCATGGACCAGCCTCGGACCTCCTGTTCACTGGATTGGAAGCATGGTCTTCTCCGCCATCGTCGGTATTGCGAATTACAGTATCTACATGGCTACTATCGACTATATGATTTGTGCCTACGGACCATACTCGGCTTCCGCAACTGGTGGTAATGGATGGTCGCGAGACTTCTTGGCTGGTGTGCTTACAATCCCTGCCACACCTTTCTTTGAAAGTAAGTCACTTCTTCGATGTACGTGTTCTTATGGTGCTGACCAATATTTTGCAGACATCGGCGGCAAATATCATCTCGAATACGCCTCCACCATCCTATGTAAGTTTTGCGCCTGATGCACCCTTTGGACGATGAGAGCGTGGAGACTAACGCCTGCCTTCTGCAGTTTGTATCTCGTTCCTTCTCGTCGTGGCAGTTTATGTTATATACTGGTATGGTCCAACGCTTCGCAAGCGATCGCCCTTTGCCCAGCAACTGTCCGACGCCAGAGTCGAGCTCCACACAATTGGTCGACGTCTGTCGAAAATCCCCTCCGGCTCTAGGGCAAACTCCTTCGCACGCTCGCAACAGAACGTGCGTGTTCGTACCACCCTCGGCAGTCGCCCTGGAAGTTATGTGGCGTCCCGCCCAGCTTCAAACGTTAATTCCCGTGTCAACTCACGCAGGAACAGCCTTACCCACTAGGCGTTGATACGGACTTTTTACGCATGCGGTCTTAGCCGCTCGTCTACATTGCTACGATATTAATGAGACGATTGATGAGCGTTATACCATACATGGCCAATGCATTTGCTGGTCATAGTGCTATTCGTGTTTCTTTTATCGCCAGCTGATACATGCGCTGGTCTATAGGTAGTTGGTTGCTTTTCTATTATTCCCTCCTCTCACCCCCCGCACTTAACTAGGGCTCTGCGTTGAATAACGGTGAAGAGATGCATCTGTCTTACTTTCGAGCGTGTACTAGTACTAGGTTAGTTAAGTTTCCCTGTTTGTCGGCTTGGTTAGCAAGGGTATTTAGGACGCCCTTCTGGATGTTTTGGTTAGTTAGGTTTTGCTTTTGTTGGGTGGGTCAGCAAGGGTAGTTAGGACGCCCTTTTGGTTGTTTTGGTTAGTTAGGTTAGTTAGATTAGCTAGGTTTGTCTTTTTTGGCGTGTCTTTTCTTAGTTAATTTTTTTGGCAGGCGTGTTTTAGCATAGCTTCCCGACATGGTGCATCGGGCGTCCACCGATGCAGCCATCGAGCTCGAGGAATTTTAGAACTTCTTGGACTGAAATCAAAAAACACAATCACATAAAATCCTGACGCTCCACAATCTCTCCTGGGTGCTGTAGAATGACGGCGGGAATAGCAATGAACGCATCATGGCGATGTAACCAGGCGGGAGCAGAACCATGGAGAGCCGAGATAAGCAGACCGCGCAGATCCGGATGGCAGGGGAGGGTCACCAAAGGGTTGCAGTGCTGCAGAGATGATGTAGGTAGAGCCGGGCCATGCCGACTGATGACTGAGGAGTGGAATGTGGGGGCCGGCCTTCCTTCAGCCTTCTGGATCCGGACGCTGCCTCAGCTTCGGTTTCGGCGGGCCCGGAAGGGATGGCCTGTTTCCCCAAAAGTCCAGGTTGAGGATCCGGTCTGATCTTCATGCCTGCTTTGAGTTCGCAGATGCAGGTACCCCGGGAGATCAACAGCCCCGTCGAATCACATGCCAGCCATCTGGCGTATCGAAACGCTCGCCGATTTTCTAGAATGAACATACCCCATCGAACCATTCAGGTACTACGGCCGAACATGCGAGGGATGTCGTTGACTTGCTATTTTCTACTTGCTAGGGTGATTTCCCTCTAGCACAAGACTCTATGAGCTTTCGGGCTCTGCGATGCTTCTACGAGCTCTCCTTTTGAAAGGAAAGAATCCGTTTTTTAGGGGCTTCTGATTCTTGATCGAGTGAGGTATGGGCAGACAATATAATCGATACATGCACAGATTTGTAGCATTCTCAGCGCGTAGTTCGCTATCAGCTACATCACAGGGAACAAAGATCCCGTTACTCAGTGTAACCAGCAGCAGGTTTCAAGGATGGCATCAAAATATCTACTGACCAGCGCGCTGGGGCTGAGGGGGCTTGTTAGGGCGGATGCAGGCGCCTTGATTGCCGACGGGAGATCGACCCGTCCGCAGCCACACGGGTCACGTGCCGGGACTCGGTAGCCATGGTCGACGCTTAGTGCTACGAGTCTCCGACCGGCTGCCAGCATGCGATAGCGTTCTCTACACCGTCCAGCATGGAACACGTATCTAGGGTGGTTCAACAGCCCCGAGCGGTGGTCTCTCGACTCCAACGTTACTACTTCAGCCGCCATTACCATCTGCGAGTCTCTTCCTCGCCCGTTGTTCCTCCCACTCATCTCCGACAAGTACCGCTTCTCCGCATACGCGCTGCCACCGCTGCTACCAACCTTCCCAGTTCTTTGATCGCCCCTTCACTTCGGATAGCTTCGCGTCACGCTTCGACTATGGCGGACCCACAATTTTCCGAGGGCACTGATCCCGAGCAGGCACGCCAGGGACTGCAGGCGCTGCAGGAGCAGGGATGGGCGTTGGATGAGGACGGACAAGGCGTGAAAAGGACGTACTATTTTCGGTCGTACTTCAAAGCGGTGGTAAGGCAGTCCGATTGCGGCCACATTGATTGATAAGCCACGAGATAGACTGATCCCTGGGGAATAATGCAGAGCTTTGTCAATGTCGTCGCGTCGCAGAGCTCAACCAAGAAGCACCACCCGACCATGACTGTGGTAAGTGTGACCCATCACAGGGAGAAAAGGGGGGAGATCATAAAAGACAGACACCGAGGAAATTGCGATTGAGGCTGATCTGGCATGCTAGAGAATTGGATCGGTCGATATCCACTGGACTACCCACAATCCCCGGGGGCTAAGTGAGAAGGACCTGGAAATGGCGCAGCATTGCGACGAGGCGGCGGAGCTGATGGGGGCAGTGGAACAAGGACAGGGGAAAAAGTGCGCGCCGGGACGAGACTAAGGGGATCGAGATCCTGAGTTATATGATGAGTGAGCTGGAGTGCAGTGGAACGGATTCCTTTGTTGGATGGAATGGGATTGTGTGGATGAGATTAGTGATTGAGTGGCGTAAGGAGCTGAGAGGTTCATCTTAGCAGAGAGTAGTATTAAAGGCGTAATATAACCACGTCTATCCGTAACCGGCAAGGGAGGCGGGTGAATCTTAGTCAGCCGGTCGGCCTCCTCGTGGGTATCGAATTCGTACTATGGATTGATTTAGGCTAGGCAAAGCTAAGCTCGTCGTTGACTTCCTGACTTGCTGGTGATCCTTACCGGGGAGAACCAAGGAATGTGCCACAAGGCCATCCACCCAACCAGCGAGCATCGATGTACATCTCGGCGGACACGGACATCCTGTCACTCTCCAACTCTGCAGCAGGACATACACAGTACCTACGTATCCCCAATAATTGATGTACTCAGCCGGAGGAAATCAAATTGGACTAGGTAAGCCGACTCCCCCTCCTCTCGAGTCGTCTAGTTCGCCCATCAACCGACAAACCGTTGCCCGGAAAGTGGGGACTGCAAGGTTTGGTTCAATTCAGGGGCATCAAAATACTGACTTTGCATTTCATAATAGTTTCTCGCCCATCGGTGGATGTCCCGCTCGGTGATAATGCAGCGCCGCATTGTTTGCTTCACATCGCATGGTCTCACTTCGAATCTGTCTTGCTCGGTCCAGATCTCATCCTCTCTCCAGCCCATCCCCAGCTCAGTCAACCTCCCCCCTCCACTCCTCCACTCAGGGGGTTCGCTTGCGCGCGCAGACCGTTTCAGATCTGCTTGTCATCACCACTAGTCCTCTAGTCGCTGGCTAGGCCCGACCGGGCAGGTTCTATGGACGGGCAATCAATAATCTAATTTAATCCCAGAAACCTTGGGCTGCGGGCTTGCCTGGAGCCTGTTTCGTCTTGTTTCGCGTTTGCCCGTTTTTTCTTTGTCACACTTTCATCACCTCCTTCTCTTCTCTCGTTCACACGCTCTCTTGTGGCCTTTTCTCTACTCCGTACGGGCCTCCAGACTCCGTCCGTCGACCATGAGTGTTGCCTCAACTCAATCTCTACCCTAATCTGGCTGTTTGTTGATCCAACACGGTCAATTCGTCGCTCCCTGTCGCGCACGCTCCAAGACCTCGAGTCCATTCGTATCCACCATCCACACGAAGCCAGGCCTGGTGCAAGATACCACATTGCTCCGAGATCTCTCCTTTTTTTCCATACACCTTTGCTGTCCCTCACACGGTCGGAGATGATCTACTCTTGAATCCTGATCATCAGCTTGCGATGAGCCCGATCTCGTCAATTTCGAGCACTATAATCCTTCCTTATCGATCAATGAGGCACTCATCCATTACACCAATCTTTAGTCGCGCCATTCGTTAATTATACCCAACCCTGCTGTGATCAGCTGACGTATGATATCTTTCCTACTGATATACCCATTCCAATCATTACTAGAGCGCAGGGCTTCCGACGTTGGCATTCAGGACATACACTGAAAGTCTGACGAAGGATGACGTTGGATCTTCACCCCCCTCAACAATCGGTCAGCGAGCGCAGAGGCCAACGATTGGCCCCCTTGCAAACCAACTTCAGCCGTCCAACCGCACGCCCGGTGCAGGTTCCACCCGCGAGACCACAGCGTCCACGGCCCACGGACTACCAGGACGATGCGGAGGCAGGCGAACGAGTCCCATTGCAGCCAGCGCCAGTGAAGCGCCAGACGTCCAAGTCTAGCCTGCGAAATATTTTCGGACGCGAGAAATCTGCCCGTAAGCAAGCCAACGACGCTAAGCTGTCGGGTATCGAGGAGGTACAGCAGCAAAGCACACAGTCTGCATCCGAAGCGGCGCCGGCGGTTCAGTCGCCTACTGCCACTGCTACACCTAAGACCACCGTCTCAACGGCCACGCTCCCCACGTCCCCGACCACCACGGGGTCGCAACGATCCAGGCTGCCCTCCAGATCTCGCACGAGAACCAGCGACGAGAAGCCAGCCGCGGGTGAAATAGGATGGAAACCCCCACCGCTTTTCCAGGCATATCCCCAAGCGATCAAACATGACTGTCTTCCCGTTCCAGCTATGTCAGTGGACTCCATAATGCGCATGCATGCCACCTCGAAGGCAAAGGCTGGGTCTCGTGAAGAAGAATCCCAGAATGGAGAATCTACGGAGGATGGTGGCGCCCGAAAGAAAAAAGAGGACAAGGAGAGGAAGAGACACATGCGCACCTTATCTGAAACGATGAATAAAGCAGAGTGGACCCAAAAGGTTTACGTTCTAGCCACCGCCGGCTATATTCTGCAATATTCCGGCGTAGGGAAGTATGATCGACTACCGGAGAAGATGTTACAGCTTGGTCCTCGAACTGTGGCTTTTGCTAGCGATGCCATCCCGGGGAAGCATTGGGTGCTACAAGTGTCACAGACTGACGAAGATGGTACCGATTCGACCAAGCCTCACCGGTTTCGCTTCGGATTCCACAGATCCCATTCCAAGAGATTAGACCGCTGCTTCCTTCTTGTTTTCGATCACCCGGAAGATATGAGCTCTTGGCTGTTGGCCGTTCGGGCCCAGATAGAAGCTCGAGGGGGCAAGAAGTATGTTTCGGAAAAGACAGCCGACGACGGCTCTGAGCCTCAGCTCCAGACCAAACCCAGCGTTCGCCAATTGGTGACCAAAGATCCAAACCGATTTTCCACGATGCTCCAATTCCAGCAGACTATACCTGGGGAAGAAAAGGACACTGGTTTGAATGACCAGTCTCGTCGGAGCTCCTACATCTCTGTCAACCGCCGGTCAGTGGTTATACCACCGGCATCGGAATCTCGCTCTGGATCGGTATCCACCACACATACAGAAACAACATCGCCCGTAAGCGCAAGCGGGCGATTTTACTCATCAATCGCCGGTACAAGTCTCCCGAAGCCTCCACTCAACGGTAGCGTAGCAGCAGCTTCGCTGGACGGGCCATCGAGCCCAACTCTCTCGAGCTCAACGAAGCGACGATCGCTGCATGTGTCGTCACCAACGACAACAAAGACAGCCGCTGAAATAGCCGCTGAGATACCACGATCACAGTCGACGCAGCCAGATCCTGTGCTTCGCAGCACCTCGCCGCCGGCCCCTAATTTCAGTGTGCCGTCTTTTAGCAAGAGATTCACCGCCAGGTTCGGTCCACTCCAGGTCCCGCAGCTCTCACAGCTTCCTCCGGCCCTGGATGATGTAGGCAGCAAAAGCACTACCGCTGCTCTTTCTGCTTTTCCTTCTCCACCTCAATCTCCGGGCAAGATTATGAACGGCTTCCCGCAGGACGATCCCAACGAGCAGCAGCAGCAGCAACAGTTACAACAAGAAGAGCAACAACAACAACAGCAGCAGCAGCAATGGCCGCTCCACGCCGGGCAAGCCAAGAGACCGCCACTACGCGTTTCCAGCTCTCAGGATTCCCTGGCAGACCCGCAACGTGCGGCAGATCCCAGAAGCCATCGGCTCTCTCGCATGCCCGGGGGCATGATGGCTAATACCGCATCCCAAGTGCCGCGACCAACAACTGCTGTCAGCGGAGGGCCAGGCCACGGCCCTCAGTTGGGCCCAGACTTGGCGAATGCGCGTCGCGATCAGCAACGGACCCGAGGTTCTGTCATGTATCAGCCCGATCCAAACGTCCGCCTACCGCCAGTAGCCATGGGTCGTCGAAAGAGCATGCCAGGGCTAATTGGACCACCTGCGGCGCCTCCTCCAAACTGCCCACTGCCTAAAATCCCTTCTCCAATCGATCCACAAACACCTAATTGGGGTGAAGTACCCGCAGAGCTGCGACAGTGCATCTCACCCCCGCCGCTACAGACTATTCGAGAACAACGGAAGAGCTTGGCGCCGTCGCCAGCCGGCCGCAGCTTCCAAGGCCGCAGTGTCTCCCGGCATTCTAAGATGCCTCCGATATAATCGATCCTTAATCACTCCTTATACATACATCCGTTCGCATGATGAACTCCATGTCTTGTACGAGTTCATCTTACCCTTTTTCAACATTATGCTTCCATGTCGCCACGGCACAACTCCCTACCGTCGACTTTGACAGTCGACGAGGTCGATCAAAGTATCATTACATAGCGATCCAGCGTTTTCACCTTTTCTAATATTACATCTGATACCATTACTGTACTGCACTTATGCCCCTGCGGGATTGTCATACCTAGCAGGCTATTTCCTTCCCAGGTGGTTCGAAACCGATAGATATTGCTGTTTGTTTTTCTTTTTTCCCCCTCTGTTATACTTTCTGATTTGTACTTTACTCTACCACATATTTATACATCGACAATACCAAATAGAACTCTAATACTGCTACTAAAATCTTTCCTCTGCACATCTAAGTACTAATGTTAAATATACATCTCACGACTATATATTACTCACAACACCCTTACCCAAGGACACCACACCACCAACTACAAGAAAACACACCAAACCAAACCAAAACACCAACTCTCCACCGCCTTCACCTCCCAATACCCAGAAAACCTTAGTATGGCGATGCACCCGATCATTTAATAATAATCCTGTATGTAACTGATGTACATCTGACCGACCGTCCACCATAAACGACCGCACCGCACGGCCGGCCCGGCCCGCCGAGAATCACCCGTCTTGGCTCCGAAGTATCATGTAATGTTATTCTTTGGGTGCAGTTGTGAATGGGATAGATGGTAGTAAGTTGATGTACGAGTATGAGTGAATTATGGGGATGGGCTTTCTGGGTTGGTTATTGGGGGATTGGTTGACTTTGGGTGTGGTGGGTGTGGGAAGGGAAAGTGGGATTCTTGTGAGGGTGGGGGTGGTTGAGGTACTCCGGGAGTAAGGGGTTAGGGAGAGAGGATATGTGGAATTAGTATAGGTGGATGATTTTGTGTTTGTGGTTGAACTCAGGTGTGTTTAGTGCAGATTGATTTATGGTCTACTTATGCGTGCTCGATGGGTACGATGGGGAGGGGTATGGTTCAGATATACTCTGTAGTAAGGTAAACCAAGGTAGAAGAATTCATTCATAGCTATCTGTAAACCCAAAACCCGAATATCCCTGCCTGGGCAATAATAAAAAAAAGAAGTGTAGGAACAAAAGAGGCGTGCAAGAGGTACTGTACCGTACATTTAGAAAGGGTCAGAAAGAATTTACCGGATCATGCCATTTGGATATCTCGCCCACGTATAGGGTAATAGTGAGTTCCGCAGTTAACTGCATCGAGCACGTTGAATTACTCTTCGGTAATTTCTTCCACTCGGGGTGCTAGATCGCGCTTCACGGCGCCTGAAGCATCCGATGCCGCTGTCGCCGTTGTGGTGGCTGATGGGGTGGAATGGGTTGCTGTGGAAGTTGCAGCTTGAGATTCCTCGCCTGCTGTCTTCTTGGCTTTCTTGGACTTCTTCTTGTTCTGCGAGTGCATTAGTGGTCGTCCTCGTTAGAGTATGAGGGACAGCTTACCTCTTGCCAGCCCCACAAGGGCTTGAAACTATCCACAAATCCAACATCTTCGAACAGGTTCGGGAAGAGCCAGAGACCAGGGGGAACTGCGATAGCAGTGATACAGAACAAAATGAGACGGAAGATCGACATGGCAAAGAACAGACCCAGCAGTCCCATCATGCCGACACTCAAATACCACACACCCTGACGCATGAACATCGGCCAAAGGGGGAAAAGCACCACCGCGAAGATTCCTGCCACCACGGCCGCGGCCATGACCTTCTGCTTCCACTGCGGCCCCTCCCACAGCCAGACGTAGTGCATCATGGGATCGGTTTCCTGATGCTGCTCGATGCGCACCGTCCACAGTCCCTTGACGCGGTTCTTGGGCTTGCCATGGTTGTGGCCCGCATGGGGATCAACCTTTGTCACGCGCAGAGCAAGGAGCGACAGGGGAAGCAGCTTGAAGACGTTCTCTGCGGATGCGCGATCGGTGACTGGGGGGAGAAGGGAGTTCTTTTTGGAAGCCGCTTTGGCGTAGGCGGGGGACTCGAGGGCGCGAATGGCACGTTTCACTGAAGATCAATCAGCCGTTGTTCAAGCCAGTTACCAGGATAGGAGAGCATACCTTTGAACATTTCCTTTCGCTGACCGTCCATGATGCAAGTCCGCGTCTTCAGGTTCTGCGACCGCAGAAACCCGGCAACGGCAAGCGCCTTCGGATCGGGAGGGTTGTTAGGGTTCACAGGGACCTGGCGAGTCATCTGCTGGGGCTGGGGTTGTGGAGGAGCTGGCAAGTTCTGTCCCGGTTGGGCCGGCGATTGAGGTGCTTGTCCTTGTGGCTGTGGTTGTCCTTGAGCCTGGGCCTGAGCCTGGGCTTGCGCTTGAGCTTGTCGTTGGGTCTCGACCTGTCTCTGGTGGGCTTGGAGGGCTCGCATTCTCAGCTGAGTGACGTATTGCTCGGTGGTTAAACCATGCTTGGCTGCCTCTGCAGTTAGTTGTTCGCGCTGCTGTTTGGCAAACTCCTCGGGTGTCATTCCGCGCCGGGCAGCTTCAGCGGCGAACTGCTGTTGCATGGCGGCAATCTGTTGGGGGGACGGCTGGCCGGGCGCCGCCATGGTGAAGGAGAGTGGCTGTGAAGATGAGGGTAGGTTCTGGGAAAAGAAGTGAAAGAGCGCACAGCGCAGTCCAGTAACTTGCAGGAAACACAAAAGGGTGATGGAATGAGATGGCAGGAAGTTGGCGGGAGCCAAAAAGGCCAGATGGTGTTCCGCCGCCAGGGTCCCGTGGGTCCCTTTCACCGCCTTCTTCTCCGCACTCCTTTTTGCGCCGTCTGCCTGCATTCCTGCATATCCACTACAACTGCTGCTTACTCTCATCCTCCAAGGCCTCCCAAGTCACAACAACCCCCTAACCTGGTCGGATGTGATTCCAGCGCTAATGCGCTGCCTGCCGCCTGCAGCCCATGTCATTGAGTTTCTCCTCGGATGTGTCCTTGAATGCTACAGAAGCCGCTGTCTTCCTCGTGAGTCTTGCTCCACCATCACTGCATGGACCCCACCGCTAACCCTCTCTAGAGTGAACGAGATGTAGCCGGTCAAATCCCCATCAACTTTGTTACAACATCCGCCGTGTCGCTTCACGCAGCATGCTTCGGAGACAATGTCTTCGATCGGACCTCTGCGGGAACATGCATCTCCAACTTGCTAGTCATCGGATACCGTCGGTTTCTTGTCGACGTTTACTGGTCCCCTGACCAACGGGATTGGCTGCTCTGTCCGGTGTCTCTCTCCGAGGATACTCCTGTTGTGACCGTGTCGTCTGTCTCGACAGCCTCGTCCACCTCGTCGGCCACGGCAACGGCAACAACCAATTCGGCCCAGGCCACGGTCACCGCAGTAGCTAGCTCATCGGGATCGGTGCTGTATGAGCTGGGCCCGTATCGCTGCTCAAAGAACCTCGACCTGTCTGACCTGATCAATGTGTTTCGGGAATTTTTTCAGACGTATAATTCGGAAATGACCGTGTATACGAGATATATCTCTCTCAATTTGCATGCGGCTGCCAGCGCGACTAGTCCTACTGAACCAGCATCGCCGGTGACTGGATCGCAGCTCCCCACTGGTTCCGAGTTTATCAGCTCTCTATTCGATGATCGTTTGTCTTCCTACATATATATGCCGTCGGAGCTCGCCTACGAGCGCGCCGATCTGAATAAATCATGGTACGAGGTTGAAGATGGCTACAAACCTATCACCGAGTACTTCACCATCCAGGAACACCCAAAAAAGGAACAAAGTACTCCTGATGGCTGGCCGTGCGAAAAATACCTCCAATTGGCGAAAAAGAAACGTCTAATCATAGACTATGGGACCATCGATCCTCAGATGAAAAATTACAATCAATCCTATATGAGCGACGTTATTTTCCCACCTGGATATCTGACTTCCACGGTATCCGTATCCCTCGACGCCGACGGCAGTATCGACACCGGCTGCTTCTATAACCCCGATGCGACCACCGTATCTCAGGTCAACAACTCCTGGGCAATGTCCGACTACATCCCCGTACCAGCGGGGCTCAGCCAAAACTCGACACTCGCCGCAATGACCACCGTCGTCACCAATCTAACGGCTTGCGGACTCACTCCAGCGCTGAACAATACTCTGTTCAATAAAACAGCCGATAACGACCTCCAGCCCTACGACGAGATATCGCTCTCCACTTCCTGGGCCTGGGCCATCGGCGAACCCGCCGACGCCGGCTCATCCGACGATAACAGCTACGCATCAGTCGACCGCTGTGCCGCCATGGACCTAACCAAAAATGGCCAATGGAGCGCCATCAACTGTACTAAAGTGCGGTACGCAGCCTGTCGCGTCGGAAACCTCCCCTTTACCTGGCAATTATCCACCTCGCCTTACACCTTCCGAGAATCCTATGATCACGGCTGTCCAGAGAACACCAGCATGGCGATACCACGGACCGGGCTTGAAAACACCTATCTCTACCAGTACTTGCTGACACGGACAGACGTTCTCGATCCGACGTCTACAATTGAGAACAAGACCCAGGTCTTGCTGGATCTCAATTCCATTGATGTGGAGTCTTGCTGGGTAACCGGTGGCCCGGATCATGGTTGTCCATATGCGTCGGATCCGCAGCAGCTGGAAAGACGGACGGTGCTGGTTGCCGCTATTGCAGGGATTGTGATATGTATCATTGCGGCTTTGACGTTGTTTGTCAAATGCAATGCGAATCGGCGAAACTCGAGAAGAAATAAGAGGGTTATCAAGGGATGGGAATATGAGGGTGTACCGTCGTAATAGATATTATTGTTGATACGTAGTGGATATAATATTAGTTGTATATAGTTTTGATTCTACTTAGATGAAGGAATGAGATGTTTAATCAAAAGGAGCAATGCAAATCTCCGTCATGAGCTATGTTAGACAAAATATCTGTACTGTCTACAGGGGGAAACAAAGGGGAGTATCAATAAAAAACACATAAATCACATCAATCATTGTCAGAAATCCTCATGTCCAAACCATATCCATGAAATTCATAAAGCCAATCGAAGAAGCTTACATTCGCCTTTTGCACGTATTGTTGTTTTTTGCACGTTGGTGCTATAGACCTGCAAAGCGTGCCCATCCAGCCGCGCGGATAGGTGTGGTATTCTCGTTTTGCGGCTTGCTGACCTCGACTCGGCCTTCCTCAGCCATTTTGCCACTAACGTCACGTCTCCTTCCAGCTCCTAGTCCGGAGATGTAGTTTCCGTACGATAATGACGAGTTGGCATGGCTAGCATCGGCTCCTGAGTTACTAACCACGCGACCCTTCCGATCGCCGACGGGGTCTGCATATGGGACGTCCAGGCCGTTCAGATCGCCATCATCGTGCTGCTTGAGTGCACCGTAGGCATTGAACTTCTGGCCCTTCCTGATTGTCATCTTGCTCTTCTTTGAAGAGGGCTTTGGCTCGTCGCGGCTAGCCTTCCGGGGCGTATCCAGGCCAGATGTGTTCAAGACTCCATAGAAACTTGCCTTCTTCCGTATGCTATCAAGGAGTGGCTCTTCGGCAGGGGGCTTGGGCGAAAGGTTAGGAATGTCGGTAAGCGCCATGCGACCGTTGCTCGGCGTGCGGTTTCTTATTTGGTCCGGCTTTGGCTGAGGAGAAGGTGGGTTCAGCGCCAACGGGTTAACCCGGAGCGAGTTTAGTGTGTCCTCATCAAGGTCCTCGTGGTCCTGGAAGATATCAATTGGGTGATCGCCGAGGTCTTGTTCGGCGTTAGCGTAGAATCCTCGGTATAAAATGTCATGAGCTTCATCATCGTTTCCATAGTATTCGTTCGCCGCGACAGACTCGTATTCTCCGTGCGCATTTTCGGTAATTGCTCCTCTCATATTCAGGCCATATCGCTGCGGACTAAGCCAATCCATAACACCCCCCTTCGAAGAACCTGCGGTTTCCGCCCGACTGTACACAGAGGACGGGTCACGAGGAGCCGGGTGCTCGTCCTGGACCTCATCTACAGGTGTAGCAGACCGTGAAGGATACACAATCCAATTGTCTGAAGCTGGGCTCACGCATTGTGATCGGTTAGGAAGGTCAGGGGATGGTTCGCGAACTGGCGATCCATAGGGAATAGTTGTTGTGGGTCTGGTGAAAATATCTGGGTTCTCTATTGGCGACGAGATTGTGATATCATCCGCAATATCATTTGGCTGATGAAAGGGGAGATGTGGAATGGTCTCGACGCGAGGCGGGCGATGGAAGGAAGGCGCATGTTGCGGGTGCGTTCTGTCTGTGAAACCAGAGGGGAATCGGCTGTAGTCGTTGTTAAAGGACGAATTGCTACGGGTATCGATGAAAGGCACATTGCGAGGAACGCCGATCAGTGGGTCTTCGCTGGATATATTGTCTGAGCCCAAAGTGGACTTGCTGGCGTGCTTCTCAAGAATCTCAGACTTGGTTCGTTTGAGAGGGCGGGCAGTCAAGTTGTCTTCTAGCGGGTTCATGTCGGGGGGCAATTTCGTGATCTTGCGGAGAATATTACCCAGAAAGAGGGAGATTCCTAGGGAAATCGCATGAAGTGCTCCATTGATTATACCCAGAAGAAACGTAGCCTCTGCAATTTTAGTTGTCACGTCAATGTCAGAGCCGAGCATTGTAGTCCAGTCGTATGCATTGTCGGAGTATTGCCTATAACCCAAATAGGCTGCAAAGACGTAAAAAGGGACCAAGCCTAGATCGAAGGTTACTGCAAACAGCATATAACTGGCCTGTGAGCCAGGAGGCCTAGTGATAGAAGAACGGCTCAGATGGTATATGCCATAGAGAGTGTGCAGAATTGCGACAGCTGGCTTAAGGGGTGTTAGGTTCGATTTACGTAGCTCGGGGTTGCATGACTTACACCGACTCTAACAATCCAAATCGCAGTTGCTGCAGCGTTCTTGATCACGATAGAGCAGAACAATGAACCGAGGGCACCGACAAGAGCGAATACGCGCAGCCCGAGCTGAACCTTCCGTCCATAAACCACTCGACCCTTTGTTTTTGGACTCATTGGGGTCCATTTCGGCTTGCTATCCGAGGTATTCCCCTTGTACAAACATCAGTATGCAAGTTTTGGCCGACTAAGCTTAGGAGACAAATGCACAGAACATACCAAATCGTGACTATTCAGATCAACCAACGGTCCTTTCACCTCTGGCTTTGGCGCCGGTCGAGCCCAGCTCGCCTGGGTCACAGCCTTCGGGTTGAAAGAAGGGTCGAACTGACCATAAAACCGATTGGAAGGAGGGGAGTCATAAAGGAATGGAGGGGTGTTATTGTTGCCCATGATCGCTATGGTAGAAGCCTCAATCTAATCTCGAAGGCTTGACCCACGCGATGAGCGGGGGAAAGGAATGTGCACAGATGAATTAAGCTTAAAGAAAGAATGTTGGGTTAGACAAGTAGATTGGTGGTGACAGAAACCCACGGGTAGAGAGGTACGAACCGTGGGACGGGCGGAGAAGGGTCAGGAAGAGATGGAGACAGGGCAGCAGCCATAGCAAGAGGAGCAGCAGCACATGCACCACATCATGCATCTGCCGGAGCATCCTCAGCTTGGGTTTCTCCATCCACGGGCTGAGCGGAGGATCGTCAACACGCGATTGTCGGCGCGGCAACCAACCCGATAAGCCTGTCACGTGCACTCCTCTTATGTCATCGCTGCTCGGAGTTAACCGTCTCTCCTCCGTCCTCGGTCTCCGTCCGAGCTGCCTCTCTCTTCCCACCTTGTCGGCACCACCATGAACCTCCAGCGCGCTCCCTATGTCTGCGCCCAATGCACGGCGCACATTACCCGCGCGCCACTGCGTCATATTTTGCGTCGACATCCCTCTCGGTCGATCTGGCAGTCGCGTCAGTACAGCCAGGTCGTCCAAAATGATCGACCTTTCCGCGTTGCCGTCATAGGGTCAGGTCCAGCAGGCTTCTACGCTGCATATCGACTACTTTCTAAGGTGGACCATGCCATGGTGGATATGTACGAGAAGCTGCCGGTGCCCTTTGGTCTCGCGCGGTATGGTGTTGCCCCCGACCACCCGGAAGTCAAGGTAACGTTACCGCATTGTGAGTCACAAGACAATGGGCAATTTAACTGATACCATGCGGTCCCCAGAACTGCGAAGATAAATTCACCGAAGTTGCTACATCTCCACGATTTAATTTCATCGGCAATGTTGAACTAGGCGAAAGCCTTCCCCTCAGCTCTCTCAAACCACACTACGACGCTATTCTGTTCGCATACGGTGCCCCGAAGGACAAGGAATTGGGAATTCCGGGCGAGAAGGCGACGCGCAATGTTTACTCGGCTCGGGAATTTGTTGGGTGGTACAATGGTCTGCCGGAACATCGCGATCTTGCCCCGGACCTGACCGCCGGCGAAAACGCAGTGATCATTGGGCAGGGAAATGTGGCCCTGGATGTTGCTAGAATCCTTCTGTCAGACGTTGATGCTCTAGGGAAGACGGACATAGCTGAATATGCTCTGGAAGAACTAGCGAAGAGCAAGATCAAGCGTGTCCGGGTGGTTGGTCGCCGAGGGCCGATGCAGGTACGCTCGGATTGTTGCATCTATTATAGCAATATGCTTACATTTTCCGCACTCTAGGCCGCATTTACCATCAAAGAACTCCGCGAGCTGCTTCAACTACCGTCGGTAGCATTTGACCCGGTGCCTAAAGATCTCTTCCCTCCGGAAGACGTCATGTCTGCCCTCCCCAGAGCACAGAAGCGGCTGATCCAACTTCTCGCGAAAGGATCAACCAATGACCCAACAACCTCCACCAAATCATGGGCTCTAGACTTCCTTCTATCCCCAGAATGCCTTCACTGGTCTCCCGTTCATCCCTACCGTCTTTCTCACGTCAGATTCGCGCGGAACGAGCTGGACCCTTCAGATCCATTTCTCGCCAGCTCCAAGGTCACGCCCAAATACCTGTCCAGCGGGAAGCGGGCTGAGGTCGACATCCCTGCCAACACTTTCTTCCGTAGTGTAGGCTACAAATCGCTACCACTGCCTGGCCTGGAGGACCTGGGTGTCCAATTCGATGAACGACGCGGAGTCATTCCCAACGACGGCTTTGGGAGAATCACCACGCCTATCAACACAGGAGAAAACGAGCGGCTTCCTGACGGCTCACTGATTTCGCATCTGCCAGGACTTTACTGCGCTGGCTGGGTCAAGCGCGGACCCACTGGTGTGATCGCTACAACCATGATGGATGCATTTGCTACAGCCGATGCAATTGCCGCCGATATAAGCAGCCAGGGAGGCAAAGCGTCTCTACTGAACTCGCCAGATTACAGCTTCAAACTGGGCTGGGAAGGTGTCCGTCCCGAGGCCGAAAAGTGCGGTCTGCAGCCAACATCATGGGAGGACTGGCAGCGGATCGATCGTGCCGAGCGAGAGCGTGGACAGGAGAAGGGGAAGATTCGCGACAAGTTCGGTCGGGTAGCGGAGATGCTGGAAGTCTTGTCGTGATGCAATATTATATAGACCTGTACAGTAGATACGACTTTAGAATTCCATTTCACGCATAAAAGCTGTGTCCATGTTCAACTTCGCTATGTAATAAATGTATGTATGACCCATGCTATCATGATATTAACAATTAAAGGAGAGTATTTGAAGTGAGCATCCAACGTAAACCCGAAACAAAAAAAAATACCATTCAATCTGCTTCAACCAGTCTCCATTGAGACCAACTTTCATTCCGGGCGAAAAGCCAGATTAATCGCTCATTTTACAGAAGCTGGCATCCACTGGAGTGTAGGTGGCAGTGATGCGGCCCAAATCGACGGCCTGGCCATTGGTGAGGGTGTTCATGGCGTCCAGGCCGATGTTGAAGCCACTGGGCGCGGTATCAACGGCAGTGATGTAGACGATGGTGCCTTGGTACTCCAGGGCATAGCATGCGCCACAGTTGGGAGAGTTCCAGCTCGGAATGGTGAGAGCACCGCCAATGTTGGGGAAGTTGGGGAGGGAACCGAAGGTAGGGTAGCCCTTGGTGACCAGGCCGTTGGCACCGTCGGAGCATGCAGTTGTGCTCAAGGAACCGTTGGAGTCGTCGTATTTGGTGTCGTATGAGACAGAGACAGAAGTGCCGGTGGCGGCGGCGTCGGCAGGCATGGCCAGGGCCGAGGAGAAGAGGGAGATGAGAGAGAAAGCGACGGTAAAGGTCTTCATTGTGATAGGAAGTTTGAAGATGGACTTCTTTGAGTGTTGGAGTGGTTGTTTTTGGGTGGTGGTGATTGGGGTTTAGTAGAGTATTGGAATGGAGGCTTGATGAGGACTGAATGAGAGGATATCTTGGGGTTGTCAGGCAACTTATATAGGTTTTTTATCCCCATCACCCTCTTTCTCCATGAAGCTGCAGTAGCGGTGAATACGGCAATGGATGCTGTCGTGTCCGTCTGTTCCGGAAGGCTTTGCCAATCGAAGCTGTCATGGCTCAATCTGCTGGCATAGGCCTGGGAGGCCTGATGCTGTGAATAGAAACACGATTCTAGACATCATGCCTATTCGCCAAAGTAGGCCAGTGACGGGTATAGATCTGCAAAGTATCAGCCCGGAGTGAGACAGTCTCCTCATCGGTGGCGGGCAACACCGCATCAATAGCGAGCGGAGAGACATGCGGGGGGCGCAGTGATCGCGGCTTAGATCGCCGAGGCCAATAAGGTCTCGAGTTGGACCCTGAATGAGACATACAGCTCTAGAGGCTTGTCTGTACTCTTCCGCCCGGCATCTCCGGCTTGGATGAGGCGGGTGACTTGTCCTGTGCAGGTATCTGTCCATAGGCCAAGGACCTATTCATAGACCGGAGTCACTAAACTTGGACACTTCCGGGTCATGCAACGACCCGCCAAGTGATGCAGACGGAGAACCCGCATTTAGCCGACAAACAAACAACCCCTCTCAGGCATCGGTGGAATGACCTTGTGCTCAGAATATGTGGAGTATAACTCATCGCCCACGTTGGTATTCGGAACTGTACAAGTACAACATCAGCTCTGAGCCTCTGGCACTGTAAAATCATTACTCCAAATCAGGCATCTCCAACTACCAAAAGGGAAGGTTCACAAACTGCACGCCTTGAATGAGGCACCTGTATGCCAAGGCAAAGAGGCTCCCAGAAGGGTTGCTAGCCTTGGCTTTAAAAAGCAGCTCGCTGTCGATCAATCCTGCGGGATCCGAAATCGGAATGCGACTGGATGAGATTTCGGGTATGCATAGTTGCATACATGGGATGCCTGATGCGTCTCGTGTTGTTGGATGGGCGAAAGTCCAGTATCCAACATTTACACCTCATGAGCCCAGCTCCGGCTATTGTTCAGCAATGCTCTTGCCGGTGTGACGCTGTCTCAGCGACGGATGTATCCGTCACGCCTCTTGGCTATCCGAAAGGGCAAGTCGTCGGAAACCCCCCAACGCGCCAAGGCCGAAATAAGCCAAAAAGCAGATCGTGACTTGCGTGACGCCGTGAATACTGTAGATCCTTGGCGAGCTCATAGCGCGCAATGCCCCAGTGTTAGCTTATAAGTGCCAGACTCAAACCGCGATGAATGCCATAGATGGAAGGTCAATTGAATTGAAGTGGTTTAAAGATGCTGGACCACTGGCAAAGTTCCATGGGGAAACGTACTATCTACCACGACTGGAAGAACCACGGTTCCGCAGCAGTAGTTGACCGGACAGGACCTTTCAATATTTCCCAGCATGGCAATTCCAGAACAGCCCAGTGGCTATGGATGGGCTCACCGGCTGAGCGTTTCAATGCTGACTCCTCCCCCGCTGTTTCCCTTGGTTCGAACCACTAGACCATATGGAGCCTATTGGATCAGCATTCTATCAACGTGGATTCACGAGGTTAAGCTTTCGGCCACTGTTACCAAATGCTCGTTCTCCCCTGAAGATCGTCGTGCAATAACAAGCATGCATAGTGCAGGGTTTTCTGTCTTTCCTCCCGTTCTTGACCTGAGCAGGTAGGGAAGATAGTGACCTAGCAATAGATATCTCGAAATGTCCATGCTTCGAAATCCAATTTTGCGATAAGCTTTTAGGCGTGCGCGATTAGATGGGATTGCAGCTATCGAACTAGCACAATCCGCACCGGGGAATGGAATATGGAGATGATATAATTACGATCTCATCAATCGACTGGGAAGCTTTGGAGTCCAAATGCCGTTGAGGCTCCTGGGTCCTCAGGTGACTTCCCAATCTGGCAAGTCCTGACCTCCACTGCATCTTTCGAAAAGTAAGTCATCGCACTCACAGGAGTCCACCAGACCACCAGTATGGTCTGTATGCTTCCCAGAAAGCACGACACCCGTCTCTTCCCGTGCTGACACATGACTCCTAACTCTTTCCTGCTGAGATTGGTCCCAGCTCGCTGGATCTCGATAACTTTCTTTCGAGGCGCCATCGCGCTAAGTCTGCTGTGTGCCACCTAAACCCTCCAAACCAGTGGACGCGCTGCTGATCCGATATCATTCTTTCTAGAATATCCAATCAGATACCGAGAATGCGCTAGGTATAAGCTACGGCTCCGGTGGGTTATTTCCACCTAATCAAAGATCATACTCCGGAGGAGATCGACTCCTCCGTAGCCCGTACACGACACCAGAAGACACCAGAGACCCCTTAGCTTCGTTTGTTAAGATGCCGTGCAGATCATCTCCCGTTTGCCGCAGTCGATTCTGCAAGAGAATACTTCCGCCCCTTAGCTCGGCTGGAGCCAAACGCCCAGAGGTTTCGTCATCCCCGAAGTGGCGAATGCACTATACCGGGCCGAAGACGCCTCTCAGTCTTAGGACAGGCCTACGTTTGTCTCACCCATCGGGCTGTCATAGGCAAGCTTTAATTGAATGTCATCACATAGCATTCTCAACTCCATAGCCGCAAGGGACTCGGGTTGACGATTGATCCACAAGCGTGGTGACTCTCAGCTCAACGATCTAAGCCCAATCATAACAACCCCTTTCCTTCCCAAGCCATTGGGAGATCGACAGTTGCTCACTAGTGTGGGAACGTTCGACCACTTTCTTGACTCACTGTTGGCGGTACAGCGGAGAATACCATGCCTCAGGAGTGGGGCTTGATGAAGAGACCGTGCAGACTATATCCCACTAAAATCCTCACTATGCGAGCTTCGGTCCCTTTGCTACGCGCGCTACTCCTCACTAAAGCCGTCCAGTCCTCATCCATTCGCGTGGTCCAAAGATTATCTAGCGATCTTGGGCCCCTTACCAAATCTTAATCTTTAGCCGAAGAGGAAAATATAGGGAAAAAAAAAAAAATCAAGAGCGGGTAAAAGAACTGCGCAAAGCTTTAATGGAGACGGGACCAAGCCCAGACTTCCTGATCCATAGGATCTCATTTTCTGGTCCGCAAACCGTGCTCCAACTTTCACTTTACATAGCATGATTTATTTAAAACACCACGCCTGTCACTTTCCTCGAGTCTCGCTTTGACCCTTGGACTTCTCTCCTTGTAACCTCAGTTCAGGGTGATGAACCATGTTTGCTCTACTACGACTGGCACACCTACTAACCGGCGATGGTGCTGGCAAAGGGCACCTTGCCGGTCGCTCAATGGAGGAACCAGTCGAGGGTAGTGATAAAGCCGGGTTCATCGCCATGGGAGTGATTGCACTCTTTTCGTTCATTGCGGCCTTTGGCCTATTGTCTTTCCTTACCTACCGCATGATTTTCTGGCGTCGATACTATAAACGGCCTCTTTCGGAGAACCAATACGTCGTCCTGATTTACAACCTTCTTATCATCGATATTCAACAAGCAACAGCGTTTTTAATATGTCTCCACTGGCTTGCAAAAGGCCATGTCTACTATCCTAGTGCACCCTGCGTCCTTCAAGGGTGGTGGATCCAAACGGGTGATCCTGGAAGTGGTTTGTTCGTGTTGGCGATTGCACTTCACACGGGTGCTGTCGTGCTACGAGGCCGACAATTACCGTACCCGTTATTTGTGGCTAGTGTCGTTGGACTGTGGTTATTTATCATCATTCTGGGATTGGTCCCCGTCGGGATGTTTGGGTCTGAGACCTTTGTGATCTCCGAGGCCGGCTGGGTAAGCGATCGCAAGGATATCAAACATGCACTCAATTGCTAATCATCTGTGGACATGCAGTGCTGGATCGGACCGGCCCATGAGACCGAACGTCTTTATGTACACTACCTATGGATTTTCCTTTCCGAATTCGGCACCGTCGTTCTCTACGGCATCATGTTCTTCTACCTGCGACGCCGAATGAAGCAGTCCGCCACGCTCCGACAAAATCACCAGGAGAACCTGAAGCGATTGAACCGAGTTGTCATTTACATGGTTATCTACCCGCTTGTATATCTCGTGCTTTCTCTTCCGCTGGCCGCCGGGCGTATGTCGACGGCACGACATGTCGTCCCTAGCCGAGCGTATTTTGCCGTGGCCGGATCGCTGATGGCACTGTCGGGATTCGTGGATGTGCTTGTGTACACACTCACGCGCCGCCACTTGCTGCTGGAGACGGAGCTCAGCACTACGGATCAGATGTACGCCTACACGGAGTCTCAAGCATACCAAACCCACATTACTACCGGCGATGGCAAAAAGATGCGCGTCAAATCCCGGTTCCGCCGCAACAATGGCATGCAGACGATCGACGACACGGTCAACGACAACCGCGATTCCTCCACCGAAGACATTGTGCGCAAGACCGACATGGAGCTTGCCGAGCTGGGTCATGGCGTGTACCAAGAAACGACGATTGAGATTTCGCACGAGCCCGCGGACCCGGAAGAGTTTCAGAAGAGGGGACGAGTAAGCGGTTGATGTGAGCGGTGGATATGCAGCCCAGAGGGGAGATATTTGGGCAATTCATTATACCTTCCTTACTTTCCTTTTGTTTTTCCTATATTTGCAACGATGCCTATCACGAGAGACCCCATGATAACCCCTAAGTACATACATAATATCCTAATGGCAAATAATCTCTAATCCATGTCACAAAAGCCCCCTAATGACTGACATCTACGGAGAGCTGCATTTCCCATCCGCTTTATCGAAATCGGTTTAGAATCCGCCCATCCCAGAACAGACGGTGTAACCGTGTAATACGTATAGCATCCCCCCCACCCAATACGAAGCCTCCATGAAATCCACCCCCCCACCAATCACCACCCCCAAATACCCTCCTGCATCACGATCGGCGCATCTCCCCCACTTAGATCGAAGCTCGAGGCAGCCCGGCTGGGTTCCACAACATCATCGGATCGCGCACTTTAGGTTTGCATGGTTCGGGTCCAGCTCTCATCTGATTCGTCCCTTTTCTCGTCTGAGTACCCTCATCCTTACCCCTTCCGGTATGGCGTTCGGCCCCAGGTCCGCTTTTCCCGAGTTACCTAATGGAGCAATTTCTGTTTCGGTCCTAGAAAAGGAGTGGTGCGAGGTTCTCCGTGGAGTTGGCCTGTCCCTTCAGCAGTTACTTCTCTGGTTGAAGTGTAGGAAGTTGCCGCTCCGTACCAGTCTCCTTGGATATTTGGTTGGGTACGTACAGACCCAGACCCAGACCCTGAGAACCGGTGAGTAGGGTAAGGAACATTGAACTTTATTTTGATCTTTTGGGATTGGGATTGGGATTGGGATTCGGGGGCTAGAATTTCTATGTATGCAGGTAGGCTAGCGGGTTGACTATGGGCTTTTTGAATTTGGGTTTTTTACTTTTTAGATTACTGTTAAAGTGTATGTTGCATGTGCATGTGCATGGCCATGTGCACGCTATTTCGCGACTTCCCCAGCTAGGTAGTACTCCGTACTACCTACTCAGTAAACTTTTCTTCTTTCCTTTCCTTGTGCGTCTATCCAGTTCACTCACATAAATACTTGGATTTAACGTACCTAATCCTCTTCCCGACCATCCAACTACCTTACCTATACGATATCTGAACCAGAAAACGAAATGCACACCTAACCCACCAACAGCAATAATAAGCGATTAAGATACGATACCCCCACCCCACCGGGTCGTACAAATCCTCCCGTCATGTCCACATCAATATACCCAACACAAGCCACCGCCCACTTCCCTAGCCGAACCGACCGACCGACCGACCGACCGACCGACCGACCCTATCTAGTCTCTATCCAATGACACTTAGTGGCATTTTTAATTGTCGCTCCGCTGGTCCGTAGCGCTAGGATGGAGGGACTGGGAGGTCTGTCGGCTGTCTGGGACGAAGATCCCGGATGGATCCCGGTTGCCGGTGGGTGTAGGTAATTGTTCCTTAAGGAAAGGAGGTTAAAGAGATAGAAGATAGGTAGGGGGAGGTTCTGCTGCCAGTTTTTGAGATTGAAATGGGAGTAGGAATATCTTTTGGTAATGATGGGTGGGAGGAATCTGGGGAACATTCAAGAGGGTAGGTTTGGTAGAAAAAGCTTGTCCAACGCCATCTTGTATTATTCTTTTGTGGACAATTCTGATTCTCTGCATCTTTGTTAAATACTTTTGCAAGGAGGAAAAGTGGAGGTTGTAAATTGAGAGGAGATCCTGCTTGTGCGTAATACTAGGTATTCTGAGCTCTATTGAAGGCTCGTGAGCTAATACTTTGGGGGAACAAGTGTGCAGTGGGATTCCTCTTGTATTGATGCATGGATGCATTAAACAGTAGATGGAGTTCACCCGTCGTCACCGGATCTGAAAGAGCACTCACACTCCATGGCTCTAAAACCAACCGGATTCTATATTGGAGTCGCCAAGGCGAGCATCGCTATCAAATGGCTTTCTAGACCGCTCGCAATATCGACCCCAAGAGCCGTCATCGTCGTAAGCATCAACATCCGATAGATCGGTATCCAAGCTCTGCTCTTCCAGAGGCGCTGGGTTCCACGGCCCATCACTCGGGGTATCTGGTCCAAGCGATGATGGCTCGAGTGATGAAATGAACGCACCACCATGGCGCTCCCGTTTTCTCCCTCTCGGCACTGGTCCATCATCTTCAACAAATGCATCGTCGGGTTTCCGTTTCCTTGGACTGGAGCTTCGAGGCTTGTTCCGAAGAGGCATCAACCGGCACTGCTCAGCACTCCAGGACTTCACGGTTGGGGTGACCTCACTCCCAGCCTCGGCTGATCCTGTGGGAGCCTCGAACTGTGCAAGCCAGGAGGACAATCCCGCCTGTAGGAAGATATGGACATGCTGAAAGATTGTCCACGCAAATCGCGCAAAGAGAAACTCCGGCGCAACGCCAGAGATGGGTTGCAGGCTTACATTATGATAGAGAGCAGTGAGTTCGTGTGGACCCGGAGAATTAAAAACATGCGTAACGTATCGTAGAGATCCGCCCGCTGAAGGCTCGGTATTGCTTGTTGCTGCATGTTCGGGTTTGGGTATGAATGCAAATCGCTTAGAATCAAATGATGAACATATATCGGAGCGCAAAAGAATGACGCTGCGAGGATTATCCACTGGGTCGCAATTTGGTCGAGGAAGCCTACCATATCGAGTCATCATATTTCGCTGGAACCAGATACTTTGGTTCCTATGGATCAGATGCGCACACTCTGTCCCTTCAATATGGTTTGTTATGCGGCAGCGGACATCGCGTGAGAGAACAGCCTCAGCCAGAGTGCTCTGCCTGGGGGTTGGATGAGCAGCTTCTCGGGGTATGTCAATTTTCCACCCTCTCGGAAGTGACCCGTGTGGAAAAGCCCAGTTGCCAAAGCTTGATACAATGGGGTACGGGCCTATGACAGGTACTAAGCAGGCATCTGGCAAGAAATGGAAACCTACGGGCGATCTCACATGAATGATCCCCCGGTATATGATAATAATAATCTCGTTTTCGAAGGATACCATCCAGCGGCGTTGTCACTCGTATATGTCCCTCACGGTCTTCAGTGAACCACCCATCGAACTCGTTGGCCGCAAGTATTCCGCAGGCCCAGAGTGCTACACGATGATATATTCCCCCGTCAGGGTGGTCGAGGCCGGGAAGAATGAGCAGTATATTGTGGGGATCTTGGTATCCTGGATGGTGGAAGCAGACATCGTATTCCGGATCAAATACCAAAGGCGAGCCAGTATGGGTGGTTGGATTCCCAAATGCAGGCCGCCAAAAGGCAATCTTTTGATCGTCAGAAAGAGACATCGATAACATACCTAGACAGTCCCAGTTATTGTAGTTGCGGAGGAGAAAGTGGATGCGCTTCAAGCCCCACTTGGATTGCCGTGCGCTGGTCATGTGATCCAAAACATGACACAATGGCTGCGTAGTCACTTGTTTTGTCAACGCTAACTTCTAACTAACTTCTACTTTCAGACTGATGAAAGCGTGTAGCTACGGTAGGTGAAAATGAAGCCAGAAGCCCAGTCAGACAGCGAATAGTGAGAGTGGCAGTGTCTAAACTCCACTCCCCGCCATTAGCATGACATGTCTTTGATGAATCCACACCTGTATATTAACCACACAGTATTATGGAGAAGGTAATAACCGGGTGGTATTGGCGTTGGAGTCAGGGTGTCTCAGACAGTCCATACGTTCAATATAATGAATGTGGACCGGAGGACAAAAGTACCGTCTGACTAAATCCTACCGAGGGTGGCAAGAACACCGAGCCACTATAACAGTCTATTGATAGTTACAGGACCTAATGTATAGTGCCTACTATCGTAGCAGTGCTAGCTTGTTCTGGATGGCCACCTATTGCAGAAAATAGTAGGGCTTTGGAACTAGGCTAGCGACTAGCAACTAGCAACTAGTAGTAGCTAACTAAGAAGTACGGGGTAGAAACGAATTGATGATTTTGTCGCCGACAGGAAACGGCTGACCCTATTGCCTATTCAGACATATATGGGTGTCTTTGTGTTCCTGGTGGCTTAAATGGCGTAACTTTACACATAAATCCGCCAGTATATTTGCTTTTCCGTTGTGAGTAGATCAACCCTGGGACGAACGATGTCCGATTCCGTCGGATGGTTGCTTTTGTGCCCCTTTTAGGATGCTATGTGTACGGACTACGATAAGGCTCTAAGGATGCGTCGAACTTCTTTCTGCCACCAAGGGACCTCCAGGGGTCGTTCAAAACAAACGCTACTGTTGTACAAGGCTAACCCAGAGAGGCAAATGCAAGGTTATCGCTATCAAACGTTTGTTAGCTTCATCACTAGCCTGACGTTGAGATCCTCGCATCCAAGGTTTTAGACCGTTGCGCTTATGTATGCCTTGCAGCTAGGCTAGAGGAACCATATCTGATTGCTGATCCTTGTGTCGTAACGGTGGGGTTCATTGCGTGGTAACCGGCCTTGACGACCAGAAAAACAATGGTCAGTAAGGATCAGAAGAGTTATCATTGGCCGCCTGGGACTATGGCTCAGGCATTGATAATCGCGTAGACAAAGTGTCCGATGTGAAGATCGAATTTCTAATGTAGTTAAAGCGAGGTATACGATATTCTTGATAAAGTGACAGCATTATTGAGAAGTCAAGGTTTGATCAACCTTGCAACGGAAACTAGGACAAGAAAGTCACGGCTGACCACTGTGTTCCGATGGAGGTGGACTTCCCTCATCCCTTGGTTCGGACGGAACAGGTCGACGTTTGATTTCCTTGCGTACCTCCAATCGAGAAAGACGTTCCCTGGTCTTCTGTTCCATTTCAGCATGCATCGCTTCCTCGCCACTTCCTTCCCCGTTTTCCAGAATGCGATGCGCCGACTCGTCCCCTTCCACACCTGCACGACGCTCATTTTGAATCCGCTCCTGCTCCTGCTTCCTGACCTTGACGGCCAAGGCTGCCTCTTCCCGGGCCACCTCGCGAGCATCAATGCTTTGCAGACCAACCAGACCTAAGATCCGTCCAATCAGGAACTGGTAGCGCAGGTGGCCGCTAACAGTATCGCTGACGTCTAGATTCTCAACCCCAGTCACGCCTTGAACTGGCTGTAGGCCTGCAACGCCGAGCTGCAGACTGCTAGTTCGATAGAGTAAAGCGAGGACGGCATCATTCTCCGAGTACACGTTGATCAGCCGGCCGCTAACAACACTCCGTAGACGACGCCAGTGAGGCGCGTTGGATGGAGTAGGCGATCCCATCAGAATTGCAGATTCCACCAAGCCGTATGCACCCCGCTTTGCCAGACTCTGGAGACAGGAGAAGATGACGCGAGATCCCATCGAGTAGCCCACGAGAGTGACGGGCCGCTCACCCTGAACCTTGCTAATCAGCGCATCCGCAAGGACCTCGCCCGCTTTGTCTGCACGGGCCTTGGCAACACTGAACGGGTTATCAGCCACACGGGCAACTTTGAGGAGACCAAGAGGAAGCATCACAGCGCTCATGATCTGCGCGAAAATGGTCCGAGACAGAACCTGGCCGCCCGCCGCCCAAGCAGCGCTTGTGACTAAGAGATTCATGGCATTTCCAAGTTTCATCAAAGGCTCTGTTTCCCAGCGCAGACCAAATACCTCAGTATCAGCACCGATGACTCGCCACGGAACAACAAAGTTGTCCTCTTCGGTCACCCAGCCAGTGATGCCAATTGTGACACGCAGCATATGGTCATTCTGAGCAGCTTCCCTTTCATCCTCAGACCTCTGTTGGGAGCCACGGATGGGCAGAAAAGCAAAGTCATCTACCTCACGAGCGTACTTGTCGACCATCCGTCCAGTCATCCGGCCTCCATAGGCACCGAAGAGACCACCAACAATGACCCCGCTGCCTGCGAGAGCACCTAGGTACCCCGCGGCAGCGGTGGCACCAAGACCAATGCCCCCTAGGACAGTTCCAAGGCCAGCCGCAACCAATGGCGCAGCAAGTCCGCCGGTGATGCCGATCAGTACAGCTCCTGCAACAGAGGCCGCCCCAACCTTCCACTTTCTGGAGGAGTCCCGTTTTTTGCCTTGGCTTTCTGCTTCAGCACTTGCAAGCTGAAGAGCCGTGTCAAGCAGCCCACGTGCAACCTGGGTTTCATCGCCGTTGAGGATGGTGATATCAAGGTTCAGGCTGGAGGAGACATACAACATTAGGACACGTGAGCGAGAATTGTAGTGCTCAAGACTAAGCATTAAAAGAAGCAGCGAGTGGAGAATCAGAAGCCTCTTAGCCTTGGGTAGCTGGGCAAGAGGCGTCTCCACGGGCGGGTAAACCTCACAAAGTTTCTTTAAAGAACCCTGATCCTCATCTATTTGGGGTTCCTGCAACTGTTGCGGCGTATAATCTCCATCAGAACCCTCGTTATCTTTATTCACAACCTCGCCGATCCTCAACAGTACCGAGTCTCGCCAATCATCGAAGCTGGTGAGGGCCCTGGTTTCTGACTTGAGATCTTGCGCAGTAGGTTGATACTCGGATTGACTGGTCACAGCCGAGGTTTCCTCTTTCTGTGCATCTGACGGAGTAGACAAGGAATCAGTGTCATTGTTGTGGTCGCCTTCTGACTGGTCACGTGAAGCATGATTCTCTGTCGAAACCGGACCATGGAAGTTTTGCACGATTGCATCTCGCATGTGCTGCGTGATTTCCGCGACAAGAACCGTCAAGTCAGCTCGCTGTGGGCGATCCAAAGTGGTAGTCAAGTCTTGGTCACGGTCGCTCTTCGGAGGAGCAGGCGAAGGCCCCGAGCCGAACTTGCTGGCATGCTTTTCTTTGAATGACTTCCACATAAATGCGGGTGCCCCAACGTCACTTTTCAGAACAGATTATTTTGTCTAGCTTTCCAACCCCGACTACAGAGGGTTTGTAGAGGGACTGTCACGAGTTGCAAAGGGAAAGGAGGTTGTCGGTTTCAGCATTGGCAATGAGATCATGGATGACTCAGCGCCCAGACCTCAGGCGTGCAATGTTGTACATTCGAGATGGGTGTCCGGTACCTGTCACAGGCTGAAATCAACTGCGCCAGCCATCCAGCAATTCCCTTGATGATCAATTCCCCGTCTCGACAATAAAGAACTTCCCCTTAGTCTTAGACGCATAGGCAAGCGCATTTCCATCCCAGGTATCCCCATCCGGCCGGTCATTCCTCGGACTCTCAACTCGTTGGATTCTCTTGTTGCGTCCGACCACTCGTTCCTTCGACAAGGCCTCTCTAAGCTGTTCCAACCCAATTGTGTTTTCCTTCACCGCGGCCGGGCTTTCGTCCCGGATGCTCTGTAGGGGCTTCACGCCGGTGGTATCGACGCGCTGAATCTGTTTCACAAAGTGAATCTGGGATTCGAGAGTCTCAAGCATATTCTTCTCTTCCTCCTCGTTTGCGGGTTGCGGGAGAGCTGACAGACGGAGCAGATGGCGAAGTTGCGTCGGGGTCACGGACGGTGCAGATGCGTTTGCGTTTTCTTCAGGAAGCAACGAACGGACAGACCACGTAGGCTTCGCAAGCATGGCGTCAATGTCTGCGTCATCTGATTGAGAAGAGTACATTCTCCTGGCGTTGGATCGTAGTTCTTGACGACGCACCAACCCAGACAGTCGAAGAGAACCGGTGCGGAGGAACATGATTGATTAGATTGTAGTAGGTGCAGATAATATGTAATCGCTAGTAATTGAACAAAGGAAACAAATGGATTCTCTTCGGACACTTCCAAAAACTATAGAATCTCAGAATCTCTCAGGACTTTGGCACGGCGAGAAGCAGAAAAGAAACCGGCGACATCCAATGGGGAGGGCGAAAAGTGGCCACCGCCCACGATGACGGGCCGGCGGGGGGGAAGCTCGGGGCGGTGCTGCGAGGCTGCCCAGTAGATCCTCCATCCCATCGCTTCTCCTCATCTTCCAGACAAACCCCCCACTTGGCTTTGCCCGCAAGTTGATCTCAAGCGTCACTCTCCTTTTCACCAGCCGGGGCCGACAACAACTTTACAAGATGGCCCAAGATCCCCGAGTCCTGCTCCAACGAGTAAGTATCCCCAACCCGCCCCGCTGCTCATCGTCACTATGCCAGAAGCACGACGATCGCTAATCTCCATGACGCACACTAGGCCGACAAGGCGCTCAGCAGCGCATCCGGTGGCTTCAGCTTCTTCGGGGGGAAGACAGAGAAGTACGAGAACGCCGCTGATCTGTACACACAAGCTGCGAACGCCTTTCGAGTGCAGAAGCAGAGTAAGCCGAGCACTCGTCCTGCCTTCTCTCTTCGACCCCTGGCCTCTAACCAATTTTCAAACGATCAGACAAAGAAGCCGGTCTTGCCTTCGAGAAGGCCGCCTCTATCCAGAATCAGAACCTTAACGAACCCGACGATGCAGCAAACACCTTGACCGAAGCCTTCAAGGTCTATCGCAAATCTGATCCCGAGGACGCCGCTCGCGTGCTCTCCGGCGCCATCCAGCACTACGTCTTGAAGGGTAACCTCCGTCGTGCTGCCACGCAACAGCAACATCTGGCCGAGGTGTACGAGGTGGAACTAGGAGATACGAAGAAGGCGCTGGAAGCCTACGAAAAAGCGGCGGAGTGGTTTGACGGTGACAATGCTGAAGCGTATGTCGCTATTCCTCACGATCTATAAACAGACCTAACTTCGGATGATTTCCTAGACTTGCCAACAAGCATTACCTCAAAGCGGCCGACCTGGCCGCTCTTGAGGGCGACTACTACAAGGCTATCGAGCACTACGAGCGTATCGGCCGCGCATCGATCAACAATAACCTGATGAAGTGGTCCGTCAAGGATTACTTCCTCAAGGGTGGTATTTGCCACCTGGCGACGAATGTATGCTGCCCGCTCCTATTTTTCCCTCTACATTCGATACTAACCAAACCAGGACCTGGTTGCTACCAACCGCGCCCTTGAAAACTACCGCGACATCGATACCACCTTTGCCTCGACAAGAGAGCACCAACTCCTCGTTGACCTCATCCAGACCATTGAAGCCGGCGACCAGGAAGCTTTCGCCGACAAGCTCTTCCAATTCGACCAACTCAGCAAGCTGGACAAGTGGAAGACGACTCTTCTGTTGCGGATCAAGAACAATATCGAGGAGCAGGGGGAGGACTTTTCTTAGATATATCCCCAACCCATTTCATTGTCTCATATTCCCACCGTTCTTGGTCTGCGATAAATTACCTGTAGTGTGACTTGCTTCACTCTTGCTATCCTCTTTTCGATTTTGGCTGGTCTCATGGTAGATGGATGCTGTCATGATTAATTCGTCTTGCTGTCACATAATTGCGGTTTGCCCCTTCCTGCAAAGATATATGGCGTCACTGCCTGTCCTCTTCTATCTTATTTCTCCACACAGGGTTGTGTGTGTGAGAGATATCGATGTTCGTGGAATGAACAAAAACTATCATCCTGGCGATGTACTCGAGACTAACTAACTTGTAATATGAGGAAAGAAAAAATACCCTCGCATCGTGACTGAACTTCTTCTACAAGGATATCATTTGAGTATTCCGTATATACTCTGAAAATTCGCTGGCTATTTCCCTTGCTCGCTTTGGATTACTCCAATCTAATGAGTACTATAACCCGGACCGGGAGTCGCATAAGTGTTGGGGAAATCTAGATTTCACTATGACTTTTATCGTAACTTAGTGTGAAAGGTCGAAGTGAAGTATACGTAAGGCTAGTGTATAGGTATTTATTTCTAACTTCATGATGGATATCTAGAGTAGTAGTACTTTCGCTAGCGATGCACGGTATATGATAGGGCTTCTGTGGGGTTATATGGTCATAGCAGGCATGGATAGGCCTGACAGTGGCAAAGCCAAAATATGCACGAATGTATAAGAAAAAATGAACAAGTCGGTATGAAAGGATCTCTTCCCAATTTTTTAAACAGCCTTCAGACGCAAGTAAAAGATGTTGCATTCCTGAAATCTCCCCCAATGTATGTTTGCCGAAGAGGATACGGGCAAAGGTCTCGCGCCGTATTGTTGCTGCCTCTAGTAGCGTGCAAAACAGCAGGAGCCTGGTCATTCTCAACCCACTCGACGAGTTGAGACATTGCTCCATTAGGAACAGGCCCGGGTCCACCATAACAGTGAGCAACGCCAAGCGCTTCAAAGAAGCGATGATAGTCACGGGCATCCGGATCGGCCTTCAGCACTTCCTCATAGTACGAGACAGTTCCCTTTGGAGGGATAACTTCGTCTGCCAGTCCATGCCAAGTGATCAGTTTGCCACCAGATGCTTTGAAACTGGAGAGATCGGGGTCAGTGTTCCCGACCAAGGATGTATACTCAAGGAGAGAAGAGTGCATGGCGTCGAAGAACTGCTTTTCAGTCATGTTGTTGGTTGCAAACGTGGAGTCCTTGGCAACAAGATACTTGAACCAGTTGCCGAATAAGTCGCTTCTGGCCGAGGAGCATGTAGAGTTCGCTGAGCATGTAGTAGAAATATAGTAACTGCTGATATCTGCGTCCTTGTTGACTCCAAACCAGCCATACTGTTCAGAGACAGAGCGAGAGCCAGACCAAGCAGCTTCGATTACCTTTGCGCTGGAAGCACTAAAGGTCCCTTGGGTCCCGTTGCAAGTATAATTCAGCCAACAAAGTGGGTAGCATTGATGTAGCAGCGATCTGGGTCGCTGATGATGCCATCTTCAACTCCATCGAGCCGATCACATATCTTTACTGCTGCTTCTGTGAAAGCGTTGATTTCACAGGGTGACGGATAAACGTCGGTTTCGTGCATGATTCGGGAGGGCCAATAACCTGCAGGAATGAAGGTTTGTAGATTGATAGCTGGAGCAACAGCCAAGATCCCATCGAATACGTCCGGGTACTGTTGCGCCATCATGAGGGCTTGTCGTCCACCACCCGAGCATCCGGCGAAGTATGAATAGTTTGCGGGCTTTTGGTAGTAGGATTTTGTGATCTGCTGTCCGATCACGGCCATGTCGTTTGTTGCCTTCGTCGCGTAATTGTGCAAGAGAGGCCAGTCCACATTGCCCTTACTGATAAGAGCCCATGACAAGTCGGTAGGAATGGTGGACGACCCATCAGCCGTTGTTAGTCCCCCATCAGTAGAGGCCGATGCGAATCCCTGTGCAACGGCGTATGTCATGTAGGTGGCGCCAAACCCGGTGCTGTAGCCTCCACCACCTAGGCCTTGAAACCGGCCATTCCATCCCTCAAGCGGGAGCCGGACTTGGGTATGGACTGTGTCATTCCAGCCAGGATGGGTGTGAGTCACTGTGATGTTGCAGAAGCTGATGGTGTATCGGCCGCCTTCGTTGTTTCCTGGGCCAAGGCTGACAGCGGAAAAGTTGTGGGCTTCTTGAGCTTGGATGTCGAGGATTGAAGCCCCGACCAAGTCTGGCTTTTCAATAGCAGCTGATGAGCATCGAGAAGCGGAGGATATTTCAACCTGAATCGCACTCAGAGCGAGTAGAGTGCGGGCAAAGACAACCATGTTGATTTGGCAATTGACAATGAAGCATGATTTGAGTTCCAGCTGGGGTTAATCGTGAAAGATTATATATATTGTATTCATGCTCCAATTGATCGACAGGAGAACTCATCCAGGATCCGTTACTATACGCGTATCCGTATCAGCCCTATAACGGCGCCACAGATGGCGTCCGAGATCTTGAAGAAAATTGATCCGAGGGAACATTCGGGGGGCAGTTGCTATGATAACTCGTAGTAAGAACCCGGTTGTGCCTTCTGTCTTTCGGCCTTTACTCTCGTGTCTTATTGCTTCCACTGGGAAAGGTGAACAGACTACAACAACTAGTAAATTTCAATTGACTCCGAATATAACCTCTAAATTAACATCAGCATGATCCGGTTAAACAATTCATCAATTCATGCGAAGCGACTTTTGTGGTATCATAAGTATGAAGTATGTATGTATCTATATCGGCCGTTCCTGCAGCGAACATGCATGCCATGTCATATGCCAAATCCAACGGCCCCCAAAGCAGAACACATGACAACCCCCCAGATCTTCTCTAGTAGAGTACATCTTCCAGAGCGCGAGCCTTGCGAGGGAAGACGCGCTTGTACAAGCTGATACCGATCGAGTCTTGTGGGTTGATCTTGGCGTCGAACGTAGCCTTGAAGTAACCATGCGTACCGAGAGATTCCTTGATGTATCCACTGCGCCCACGTCTGGTCCAGAGCTGGAGGGCCTTGAACCACTGGATGTCCTCGGCGTTGAAGAACATGTAACGAACGGTGACCACACGCTTGTGGATCTTGTAGGGGTGACCGGTGAGGATGGCGCGCTTGGCGACAACGCGGGACTGGTCGGGGGCGATGACGGTACCGTTTCCGATGAGCTCGAGCTGATCGAAGCTGGGCTCCTCTTCGGCCGAGTCGAGAACCTCGGGGTCCTGCACAGACTTGTTCTTGAAGACCAGGACGGGCACGGCGCCCCAGGTGAGAGGACCAACCCAGGAGGCGACGGCACTGCGACCAGGGTGGAGGAAGCGGTCGAACTTGTGCAAGTTGTTCGGCGTGTTGTCGCCCGCGGAGAAGATGGGGTTGACAACGAGGCGACGAGGTCCGCACTGAATGACGAGCTGCTCCTTGGACTTCAAGGGTTCCTCGACGTTGGAGTTCAGGTGCATGTTGATGTTGACAACGGTGTGCTTGTGCTCATGACGGAGCAACGAGAAGAGGGACACTGGCTGCGGCCGGCTGCGGAGCGTGGTGGGCACTGCGCGCAGATGAACGTCGACGCGCACACCCGGGTTGACACCTCCCACGAGGGCTTCCCGGAGGAACTTGTTCCTGGATCCCTTGTAGTCGGCGAACTGGAGCAGACGGCGCCAATCTTCCGGCTCGTGGGCACGATCCTCTGATGTCTCCCACGGGCTAGTCTTGAAGCTCTTCAGGCCTCTGAAACGGGCCAGACGCTCCCGGGCGAGAACGTTCGGATGAAGTTCAATTTCGTCAGGGAATTCCAGATCCTCGTTAGCCTCATTTCTGCGGCTTGCACGGAATTCCTCCAAGTCTTTGGCGTCGTCCTCTGGCGACTGGTCCACGAACATTTCTGATTGGGGATACTCCGACGGGCCACCCTCCGTCATGGCATCCCTGTTGTCTGGGAAGACACCATCTTCCGGCGCTCCTGCGGTGTCCATTTCCATCTCTTCATCCTCCTCGTCCTCCATGTCAGAGCCGGAGTCGGACACGTCGTCCAAGAACCAGGCTGATTGGTACTCGGAGGTTCCCTTCGGTAGCCTCTTGGGCTTGGCGGGGATGTGAGAGTCGTCGTCGGAAAAGTAGTGATGGTCGTCCAGAAGAACACCCTTGCGCTCTTCCTCGACAACGGAGAAGTTGTCATCCTCCATTTCAATCTCCTCGGGTGCCACGGTGGCGATATCATCGCAGTCCGCAGTGGGTGTATCCAAAAGCTGCGTAGTCTCAGTCTCGTCGAGATTCATAGCATCGTCACGCTTAGCACGGGCAGTCGCAAGAGGTGCTGCTGTGATCGAACCAATCTGAAAGTCACCCCAGCTGGGGATGTGGACCAGGCGGTCTGCCTTCAAGCCCTTTCCACGGACAACACCAGTGATAACAACATCGTCCACCACCTCCGCGCTGCTTTCCGGCCACTGGACATCCTCAACGAGCATCCAGCTCCGCTCATCACGCCAGCGGATGCCCTTGGGGGTTGCTGTGCAGAGAGACCGGATGGCGTTGGAGCACTCCTGGCGAGAGTCCATCGAGAGAACCTTTTCAACGGAGGGGAAAAAGTGGTTCGCGAAAGACTTGAGAGAAGCGGCCACCTGCGGGCGTTTCTTGGCCGGGTTTATTTGGTCCAGACCCTACCGAAGTTCTAGTTAGAACGAAATGCAACCCCGCAGACACCAGAAGTTCAACTCACCTGAACCACGGCAATAACGTTCGAGATACCCTGGCCCTCGATCGACCTCAGCAGCAACTCTCCTTGTTCCTCCACCTCGACCTGAGCGGAGAGCGCCAGAACCACGAAATCCGCCATCCGGCACACATCCATTGCGTTCATCAAGTCATACTTCGCCGGAATGTACTGCAAGGTCTGTCGGAAGCGGTCGACGCGCACACGAGTGGCGGTATCGGGGGAGATCTCGGCGGAAACATCGACACTCTCGTTCAAGGCCTTGATGATGGCGGCCACATCGATGTCGACGGAAAGCGGCACAACAGCCACATGGCGCGGGGCACCATTCTGGCCGGAGAAGATGCTGACCGACTGGGCCTTCTCCTGGTGCTTCAATTGCTGCTTCTGACGAGCCTGGTTCCGGCGATCGAGTTTGGACTTGAGCTGCTGGTGAGGGGTCTTGCGGGTGCCCCGCTCTTGTCGTTCGACTTTGCCTGGAAGAAGTCAGTTCATGATCCTCTTGGGACAAGTCAGTCACCGGATAATATACTCCGGTGCACATACCCTTGGCCTTATCCTTCAGCGCGCTCTTGGAGGCATGGCGGGTCTTGTAGGGCTTGTTGGAGGATTTGGTGGTGGATCGGTGGTGATGCTGCACCGTCGGGGTGGGCGCCATGTTGGCTCCGCTGGACCCTTTGAACCGGAAGGGAAGAGAGGCCAGGGTGGATGATAGGAGCACGAGAAGGGTCAATAAACCCGATACCGGTAATCGCAAGCAAGATAGTGACCTCCTAGAAGGATCTGGACTTGATATCGCCGGCGGCGGTTGAGAGGAAAAAATTAGGCGGTGGAGGAACAAGCGAGGAAGCAAAGCCGCTCGGCACGGATTTTCGTCTTTTGACCCGCAGAAAAAGCTGCGGATGAGCCTCCGTTCTGCTCCCCTTCCACCCACAAGGTACACCACTCTCTTGGGCCTGGGAATTTCTGCGAATTGCTCATTGCGCATATCATCGTCTCCAATTTACACCTATCTCACACACATCCACCCACAGCCATGTCGGACCCCGCACCGACAACCGCCGTTGCGCCGGCCGACCACAAGCGCAAAGAAAGCAAAAGGATGATGGAAGCGCAGAAGACCTACGGCCGGGGTAAATCCATCCACACCCACAGTGTCAGGGACAAGAAACTGCGCAGCAACCTCAAAGCCGTCGAAGACAAGTACAAGGAAGCAGCCCTCAAGGCCAAGGATGCGGAGATTTTGCTCGAGCACGATGCCGGTTTCCTCGAGCCGGAAGCAGAGCTGGAAAGGACATACAAGGTTCGACAGGCTGATATTCGCGAGAACGTCAGCCTCGAGACGGCCAAGAAGGGATTCGAGCTGAAGTTGACCGAAATGGGACCCTACCGAGCGGACTACACGAGAAACGGTCGCGAATTGCTGCTGGCGGGACGGAAAGGGCATGTTGCGACGATGGACTGGCGGAATGGAAAACTGGGATGCGAGTTGCAGTTGAACGAGACAGTGCGCGATGCCCGGTGGCTGCACAACAACCAGTACTTTGCGGTGGCGCAAAAGAAATCCGTCTACATCTACGACCACAGCGGTGTCGAACTGCACTGTCTCAACAAGCATCTTGAGCCTCTTTTCCTCGAATTCCTGCCATATCACTTCCTCCTTGCGAGCGCCGTGAGTACTTCGATTCCCTAAAGTCAAATGAACCCAGCTAACTTAGGCGTCCATAGCAAATGAGCGGCTACCTCAAATACACCGACACCTCGACCGGCCAAATGGTCGCAGAGCTGCCAACTCGCCTCGGTGCTCCCACCTCTCTCGCCCAGAATCCTTGGAATGCCATCCTGCATGTCGGCCACCAGAACGGAACTGTGACACTGTGGTCCCCCAACTCTCAGACGGCTCTCGTGAAGGCGCTTGTCCACCGCGGACCGGTCCGCTCGATGGCGATCGACAGACAAGGACGGTACATGGTGTCCACCGGACAGGACCAGAAGATGAACGTGTGGGATATTCGGATGTTCCGCGAAGTCCACTCGTACTCCTGCTACCAGCCGGGTGCCTCGGTCTCCATCAGTGACCGGGGTCTTACGGCCGTCGGTTGGGGCACGCAGGTCAGCGTCTGGCGGGGTCTGTTCGACGCCGCGGCGGCCGACCAAGGCAAGGTGCAGAGCCCGTACATGGCATGGGGCGGCGACGGTCAGCGGATTGAGAACATGCGCTGGTGTCCGTTCGAGGATGTTCTGGGCGTTGCGCACAACCAGGGCTTCGCCAGCATCATCGTCCCTGGCGCGGGTGAACCCAACTTCGACGCCCTGGAGGCGAACCCGTACGAGAACACGCAGCAGCGCCAGGAGGCGGAGGTGCGCGGCCTGCTCAACAAGCTCAAGCCGGAGATGATCTCGCTGGACCCCGACTTCGTCGGAAGACTGAACACGATCAGCGACAAGAAGAACCGCGAGGAGCGCGATCTCGACCGCAAACCCGAGGACCCGATGGAGAAGCTCAAGAACCGCGGCCGCGGCCGCAACAGCGCGCTGCGCAAATACCTCCGGAAGAAGGGCCGTCGCAACGTCATCGACGACACCCGCGTCAAGGCGGAGATGCTACGCAAGGAGCACGCCGCACGACACAAGGAGAAGCTGCGCTCCGAGCGGGAGAATCTGGGCCCTGCCCTGGGGCGGTTCGCCAAGCGGGAGATGTGAGGCGAGTCGTACATGCGTTAATTCTTCTGTCGTTCCGTTGGACGACGACCGAGTCGAGCTTTCAGATACCCTGCTTTATCGCGCGAGAGGCTTGAACCTCTCCCGTCTGTCACGATTCTTCGAGCTGTCTGCATTTCCAAGGGCGTTGGGGGAGGGAACCGGAATGGGATATTATAAAAGTGTTATGATAGAGAGCCTGAACCAGCACATTTTGTACATTGAGTCTGATTTATACGTAGACTCCAACAATCAGTAGGATCCATAACCCTATCTACTACAATCAAGCCTCCTCCACACTCCCCGACCCCCTCTGCCCACCATTCTTCCACCTCGCCAAACTAACATCATAGGCACCACTCGCCTTCCACGCACTCAAAATCAAATTAACAATATCCTTCACCCTCTTCCCATTCTTCACCTCAGCAAAAACCGTCGGTCCACCCTCTCTCATCTTCGCCGCATCCCTCTCCATAACCGACAAATCAGCCCCCACAATCTCCGCCAGATCAATCTTATTCACAACCAACAGATCCGACCCCGTAATACCGGGTCCACCCTTCCGGGGCACCTTATCTCCACCCGCAACATCAATCACATAGATGATGAAATCGGCCAATTCACGACTATAGTTCGCAGCGAGGTTATCGCCGCCAGATTCAATGAGTAGGATATCAGTCTGGAATTGTTTGTGGAGGGATTGGAGAGCGAGAAGGTTGGCACTGATGTCTTCGCGGACGGCGGCGTGAGGGCAGCCGCCGGTTTCGATGGCGCGGATGCGCGACGGAGGGAGGGCTTTGTGCCGGGTGAGGAATTCGGCGTCTTCTCTGTTTTTTTTATGGGTTTGCCTTGTTAGATTTTGGTTTATTGGGGGAGAGGAAGTGGGTGGGATTGGGAAAGAGGGCAGAGGGGGTGGGGGTACCTGGTGAAGATGTCGTTGGTGACGGCGGCAATGTTGTATTCGTCGCGGAGAGTTTGGCAGAGGGCAAGCATGAGAGCGGTTTTGCCGGAGCCGACGGGTCTAAAGGGTTCGTGGTAGTGCGTTAGTAGATGAGAACTAGTAGTACTACTGTGATGGTTCTGACTTACCCTCCAATGCCAATGGTGAAGGCACGGTCCTTCCAGTCGCGGTCCTCGGACAAAGGCATCTCGCGGTTCAGGTAGGAACCGGGGCCTTCAAGAATCTCGTGGGAGTGGCCGTGACCGCCGAAGTCATCGTGAGAATGGCTCACGTCGTTATCGTGGGAGTGGGAGTGCGACATGGTTGGGAAGTGACACGGGAAGAAATAGATGTGGATTGTGGAGGGAGAAGAAAGGCAGGAATAATATGATGGAGGGGCGGATGGAGGGCGGATGGAGGGCGCGGGATGGAGGGGTCCCCAGGCAAACTACCATCTAGCCTATCTACTATTTGATGGCAGGCCCGGAGACTGCCGATGCCGATGGCGGTGGAGCTCCCGCGGTTCCTGTTAGGTAATCGATAGAGACACAGGTAATTCATTAATCGAATGGATGAACAATGCATTGATCTTCGGACGTACAGTAGCAATAACTATCAACACAATTATTTCCAGTGACAAAACGCCGGAACACTTCAATCGCCGGGAAAACGTGGATATCAAACATTCCCGCAACGCTCAACTTCAGTAACGTGTCAAACACAGCCCATGCCCGGCAGGCAAAGCGCATGCACAGAGGGGCATCACACAGAAGGAGATCAGAAGATCAAATCCACATAATACGGATCTCCATACTCACATGAGACATCAAACGAAAGGAATCGGCAGCTATGTTCAATGAACAGGAACCCCGCAGATGAAAGCAGCGCAGAAGAAGAGCCTCGCACAGGTATCCTAAGGTACGCCATATCCCCGCCTAGTGAGACTGAAACAGATGTCGGAAGTAATTGGAAAGAGAGGACACATGAAAGGTGAGGAACAAAAAAAAAGAAATGAAACAATGAAAAAAGGATAAAGGTAAAAGTAAATAAAGATATCACACAACAATTATGCAGCTGCCTGACACAGAGGCTCTTTCGCAGTGTTGTTCCGAGCCTTGTTGTATTGGTCATAATACATCAATGTGGTCCCTGATGGTTAGCTTGATTGAGTTGACTCTCAGCTTGGCGTCTAGTATTCGGCATCATTACCCACCACCCTTCTGCTTCTTAGCCCCTACTCGAGGACTAGCCTTGACTTTCGTGGGCCCCTGAACAGCAGTCCCATTCACCTCGGGGCCGGTATCATCGTTCTCCATCTTCACGGTGCTAGCGCGGCGGCGTTTGTTGCCCATGCCGGGGCTAGCGCTTGCACTGGTTCCCTGCGGAATGTTGCCCTGCACTTGACCGGGGGGAACCATCCCCGGAGGCCCCGCCAGATGGCTCTGGGCCGGACTAGGGTGGGCGGACCCAGTCAGATGGGGTGAACCCTGAGCGCCCGGCAAACCTAGATGGGCCATCGCCGGAGACGCGAACTGATTGGGCACTGGTACATTCATATTGGGGGGCCGTGGCTGGCCCTGCTGCATGGCTGGGTTCATGGGACCCTGCATATACGCAGGGTTGGGAGCCTGCGTCTGTTGCATCTGAATGAGCAGATTCCGCAAGGCTTCCGAGGGTGTCAGTTGGGGGTTTTGATGCGAGAACTGAAACAGCATCTGCATGTGCGAGATTGTTTCCGCCACCTACAACACAAGACCGTCAGAAGGATAGTGGAAGGCAGTAGAACCATAGAGAGAGCTCACCTCAAGAAAGCTCATAACGGCCGTGGGAACGCCATTCGGGGTGACCATGGATTCGGGCAACGTGAACGCAGGCTGTTGCGCTTGTTTAGCCTGGGCCCGTTTCCCCATGTTTTTAGAAACCTTGGGACTTTGTTTCTGCTGGTCGGCGAGCTCCAGGGCCTGTAGCTGACTTCGAGGGAGGTATTCTGTATGTGACATCACCACAATATCAAGCATTTCAATCTTGTTATTCATATCAAAGTGGGCCGTCATGCTTCCAGTCGTGAAGAGCTATGTTTGGTCAACATGGCAGTTCACATGTAGCGGGGAAGTCAAGCATGCATACCTGAGTTCCATTCGTGAACCAATAAATGAAACATGTCCTCGGGCTCTCCACAATGTGGACTCCGTTTGGTGAATCCCTTTCCCGCGCCCCGTCAACAACCATTTGGATATGGCAGATACCACTTGTACACTGGGTGTGGTAATAACGCGCTAGAGCAGGAGTGGCAATCTCGAATTGTTTGGAGCCAGCCTGTGGGTTGTAAACACCCTGTCTCAATACACCACCAGGCGCATAGAATCTGGACACGAAAGTACTCCATTGACCCAAATCAGTGCCCATCTCAGGACGACTCTGGAAATGGTTAGCATCGAGTCTTATAGGCAATGCCAACCAATTGATCATATTGGACATACTGAAAGGTGGCTCAAATTTTCTGCGAAGGTGTTGAGCTGCAGGATTGCAGCGCCCTTCATGTTCATCCGTTGTTGCTGTTGCTGCTGCTGCTGTTGCATCATCATGGCAGCAGAGTTCTGCTGTTGCTGCGCCTTCAGTTGGGCCTCCTGCGCGGTCATCGGTTGTTGTTGCTGGCCCTGTTGCTGGCCCTGCTGGGCCTGCTGCGGCTGAGGTTGGGTCTGTGGTTGCTGAGGCGCTTGTGATTGCTGACCTGGTTGCTGTACTTGTGGGAGGTGTTGTGGTGGTGGATTGGGAGTAGGCTGCGGCTGCGGAGCAGGGGGCTGCTGCTGCGGGGGCTGAGACGTGGGTATGTGTTGAGGATTCGGTTGCGGCGTGGCGCTTCCCTGGTGCGGCGGCGGTCCCGGCTGAGGTTGAGGGGTAACACTTTGAGCGTCGTGTACGTTCTGGGGTGCTGCTGGACGCTGTTGAGGTGTCTGCTGGCCAGGTTGTCCCGTCGAAGTAGCCTGCTGGACTTGCTGCGCCTGATGCGCCTGCTGAGCCTGTTGGGCCTGTTGGGCCTGTTGGGCTTGCTGGGCTTGCTGGGCTTGTTGAGCTTGCTGCATAGCAAAAAGATGTTGCTGCTGCTGGAGGTTCTGCGGCTGCCCATGAGGCATCTGTTGAAGCTGCATTTGCAAATTAACCGGACGCATCGCAGGGTTCGCTTGCATCGCCGCGATCTGAGCCGCATTAAGGCCGGGATTGCCATTTGGCATCTGTACTGGCAACCCACCATGCTGCTGTTGTTGTTGTTGTTGTTGTTGTTGTTGCTGCTGCTGCTGTTGTTGCTGTAGCATCATTCGCTGCCTTATGAGTTGGTGTTGATGCTGCTGCATAAGTTGAGGGTTGTTTGCAACTAGAGATCAATCAAGACCAAATTAGCATGCGATCAGTATCGGAGAAAAAAGGGCTCAAATGCGAAAGGCCAAGAAGCTAGGTGGTGCACGTAGACGACTGGTAGGGGGGAAGCACTAGATCGATGGGGAACCTACACTGCTGGGCAAAATGCGGCTGCTGGAACATGTGGGCTTGAGCCGGGCCGAGGTGGGAAAGAGCATGGGCCTGAACAGGGCCCCCAGGCCCTGTTGTTCCAGCTCCCGGAGGCATCCCGCCCATCACCGGTCCGCCCTGACTAACCTGGGGTCCTCCTGGCGCGGATACGCCTGGATGCACCGGCTGTACCATCCCAGCGCCGGGGTGAGCATTGGGGTGTTGACCGGGGGCCATTGGGTGACCGGGAGGCAGACCAGGATGTTGTGGGATGCCTTGATGGGCAGGAAATGGTTGCGCCATCATCATGTCGTGGTTACGAAGTCGCCGATAACGGGACTCCTAACGTTGCTGGTGTTGAGAGAAGCAGGAAGGGGAGGAACCGAACCAAGCCAGAAAGTGGTGTTTTTGAAGGACCAAACCAAGCCAGAAGGTGTCGTATATGAAAGAACCAAACCAAGCCAGAAGGTGTCGTGATCGAGGAACTAGAGCAAGCCAGAAGGTGTCGTTTTGAAGAACTGGGCCACGCCAGAAGGGATACGAAGAGAGGGGAACAGAATTAGGTGACAGGCAGGCAAAGGACTATCAGAAAGAGAGACACAGAGAGAAATTAAACGACCGTCGACTATCCGGCACGCAGAGGGCGGCGTCGGACTCGAAGAAGAGCGCGCTTGACGTGGAGGCACAACAGGCCGCTTTTAGTGCCGGAGCGGAGGCCAAGACGCAGCTGACGGGGCGATTGAGCCTGCGTCGGTATCACCCACGACCACACGAGATCTGGAGCATGGATCGGACCGGCCTAATCACCTGTGCCCACCAGGTCGGGAGGGGGATAAGTTCCTACACCTCCAATGTCAGCGGGAGAGGGCGACCGGAGGACGAGAAGGAGGAGGAGGTTGGGTGGCACGGGGAGATCAGAGGTGAGGGTGAGAGACTAGAGAGGGAATGGGTTGGTTATTGGGAATGGGATTAGGGAGGCCGGAGGTGTGGAGGGGCTAGGGGCCAACGAAAAGCGAGACGGGCACCTGTCGCGATCGCCAGTTCAATCGCTCGATAACGAACGGGGAGTGCTGGACCGAACCTCGCGGGAACAGAGGCTACCCGAGAACAGACAGACACCACACGCAGCAGATGTGCAGCCCAAGAATGGGAAGAGGGGGGAATTTCCTGGAGGGGAGCGGATGAGGAGGACAAGAGGGAGAGCAATAAAAAAAAACCGTACGGTAGGCTTAGCAGGCGACCGGGAACTGGAAGGGGGACAGACAGACAGCCAGCCAGAGAGTCAGTCAGTCGGAACTTAGAACTCAGAAGAGGCCCATGGCGAGATCTGCTCAGTTCCTCTGAGGCTTTTCTTTTCCCTTCTCCCTCAGCGAATGGCGATGGCCGCCCACCGCGACTCCCGCGCTAGGGGGCACCCGCCATCACGTGGAGCGCGGATTATCATTCTTGCGGGTGTGCGGCCTTTATTTTCGGTCGCGCAGTGTTTTTTCTTCTTCCTCAGACTTCTCTACTCTTCATGGCTCATATGATCTGCCAGGTCGCTTTTTCTTCTCTCTTTTTTTCTAAACTTTTCTTTGGCTTCAGAAAATATCAGGTTCATCTGCAACATGCCATGATTTAGGCTGGATACATCACGCGCCAACTTGGCCAACAGTAGTTTTCGCAGTATAAATGCATACTGATACATCAGACCACTGGACTAACTGATCAGGTTATGCTGCAAGATCTGGTTCGTCATAAGGTTAGTCTTGATCTCTCTGCCCTTGTCCATCCCACACCCATTTTTCGAAGATGAAAAACTTCTTTTTTCTTCTTTATCCTCTGAATCGTCCATGAGGAGACATTCGGACCTTCCTTTCCCGGTTGGTCTGCTACTTGCCAGTATATTTTTTCTGAGAAAAATTTCTGCGTATCTGTACTTGTTGTCATTTGTCCATGTCGTTGATCATTGGCTGACAATTTCCAAAGCAAAATCTAGCATTTGTTATCCTGACGCCGATGCCCTTGGCAGTGATTGGTGGCGGGGTCCAGGGTCTCGGTCGCACCAGGCTTTGCTTCGATGTCGATCATCATCTGTGGCCAGCGGAGGGAACTCCGTGCAGATTAGTAGTTAGAATGAATAACAAACCATGTGTTCTGGATGATTCGATCCTATTTTCTTGCCTCTTGTTCGACGTAGATTGGGCACTTGTTGTAGTATGCTTTTTTGTAAACGACGTCCGTCCGACAGGGAATGCATCTGGCCGCGGCGCCATTAGCATGGATGATGCACCACTCCCGGTTGACTCTTGAGTTCCTAGTTTACTGGAATCAAGCTTAATTCCCGGCCTGTTCCAATCAGCCTCTTGCAGCAGCCACCGCCTCTATCACGTGATATCGCACTCGCCGCTGACAAAGGAGGAGCACCCGCAAGGAACAGTCCAGAAGGCAAGATGAAAGTCTTGCTGGCCTCATCCCCTCGCAACTTCGCTGATGCAGACGGTTGTTCCCTGCAGCATCGGCAGTAACTCGATTTTTTAGTTCCGGCGGCATCGTTTGCCCCGGATGTATTCGTCAATGCACCAAGGCAGGTTCCTTCGGTCTGTAGCACGACCCTGCCGTTTCATCGCGCATCGCCGCTATCCCGCCGCGGTTGTCTCGCATTCGCGTCAGTTCCATCTCTCCCGAGCATGGCTATCATCAACACCTTCCGATCCCCATAACTCGAGAGATTCAACTACGGAGAACGCCCCTGGCGACATCCCTCCCCTCAATGCCGAACCCACACTAGCAGGCCGTGAGGCTTCCGTCGCAACACCGTCGGCAGATCGAACTGCGAAAAAGGACTCGGGCCCCTACGGTTCAGCGGTTCGCAGAGCACTAAGAAATAGACGGGCAACAAAGGAGTGGACGGCTCCCGTCGCGACTGTTCCCGACTGGTTTTACGAGCGGAACACGGTTGTCAATGATGCAAACAGAAACGGTGACTCCGGGTTACTACAACAAGTGGAGATACGATCGTCAGAAGCTGAACCTGAGAAGGAGGCAACTGAACAGCTGGGTCGTGGTGGTAGTGGAGAAGAACCGCCTTCGTCTGAGGGCTCTGATGCTCCGGAGAATCGGTATGCCTTGACTGATGCGTTATGGGAAGAGCTTTGCGCATCTGCCAGGGCAGGGTTGCGGCTGCCGCCGACCAAGTACGCTCAAGAGCCCTCCGCACGAAAGTCACACCTTGTCCTTCAGTATCCAGGCACCGATGGCATTCTATTCTTAGACGCGGTGGTCAAGAGGGTAGCCCAGGAGTTGGGCGCGGATTTGGTCACACTAAATGCGCAGGACATTGCCCAGTTGTGCAGTGAACAGGACTTGGCGGACGTCGGCACAACAACGCCCATCAGATCACTTGGCTACGAAGTATACCGGCCTTCTATTTCGGACACCTGGCAAGACGATGGCATGCACGATGGGGATGCCGATGACTTCGTCATTGACTCGCCGCGCAATATCCGGCCAGGTCTCCGGGGCCCCAAATTCATCACCATTGAAAGTGCTCGCGACTCTGGCGATATCCCACTTCCCAACTTCATGGGACTGAAGTCCTTGGTGGCCTCGTTCAATGCCCCGGTCGACAATGCAGGTGGCTCTTCATCGCAGAGCCCTGCTAACCGAGCGGAGGACAGGCGACTTCGGCTTGTGCGTGAGCTTCTTTCCTCATCTAGCAAGCCATCGAAACAGCTGTCGCCAGCGGTGGCGGCAGGTGGAGAGTCCGCTGCCCCCGGAGGCTCGGAAGGTCGCATCCCTAGCCCAGAGCGCGATGTTATAGTTCAGATTCAAGATTATGGAGACATTCAGGCCACTCGGGAGGGCTCCAAGTTCATTACTGTCTTACAGAAAGCTATAGAGGAGAAGAGACAGGCCGGCTCTAGGGTCCTATTCATCGGCACCTCGGCACAAGAAGCTACACCTGAATCGGATGCTGCAAAGCTCATGCACAACGCCTTCGATGACCAATTCTCCCAAATGCTGGTCATTACACCCGCCATGAACTCGGAAGCGGCCGAACGCACATTTACGGAGGATCGAAGGAAGCGAACACTCGACATCAACATCCGCCACATCCAGGATCTGCTTCGGACGCGGCTCACCGAACAGCCCTCGGCGCTCAAAGACGATGTTTTCCGCGACCGAGCCTGGCCCTTGCATTCATCACTCGTGAAGGAAAGCGGCCTTGATGAGCGGTATTGGCCATACAGCCAGGTTCACTGGGCCACAACCCTTGCGCTCGGCTCTCTGAGAACGGATGGGGCTTTCGGTTATGACGACATTCGGCGGGGAATCGAGATGATGCAGAAGACGCAGCGTATCAAGAACGACTGGTTGCAGGAGAAAATGCCCAAAGCGAGAGCCAGCGAGACCGGGAATGACCGGGAGCGCTTGCTGAGCTCCTTACGGAAAACATGCAACACCCACGAGAAGAAGCTCTTGACTGGGGTGGTGGATGCGAAAAGCATCCGTACTACCTTCGCTGATGTTCATGTCCCACCCGAAACCATCGACGCATTGAAGACCCTGACCTCTCTTTCTCTCATCCGTCCCGAGGCGTTCACGTACGGTGTGCTGGCTACGGACAAGATCCCTGGCCTGTTGCTTTACGGGCCACCCGGTACTGGTAAGACTCTCCTGGCAAAGGCTGTGGCCCGTGAAAGCGGCGCCACTGTGCTGGAGGTCAGCGGGTCGGAGGTCTACGACATGTACGTCGGCGAGGGGGAGAAGAACGTCAAGGCCATCTTCACGCTAGCCAAGAAGCTAAGCCCATGTGTGGTGTTCATCGACGAGGCCGATGCTATCTTTTGTTCACGCACGGGAGCCAGCAGCCGGACATCTCACCGTGAGCTTATCAACCAATTTTTGCGGGAGTGGGACGGCATGAACGATATGTCGGCCTTCATTATGGTTGCCACAAACCGGCCGTTTGATCTCGACGATGCGGTTCTCCGGCGCCTCCCTAGGAGACTGCTTGTGGACCTTCCTACTGAGCAGGATCGCCTGGCCATTCTGAAGATCCATCTGAAAGAAGAGACCCTGGACAGCTCTGTCGATTTGGCGGAACTGGCTCGTCGCACGCCTCTGTATTCTGGTTCGGACCTTAAGAACCTTTCTGTAGCAGCCGCTTTGGCATGCGTGCGGGAAGAGAACGACCTGGCCGCACAGCACCAAGGCGAGGAGCCGTACCAGTATCCTGCGCGACGCACCTTGACGTGGAAGCACTTCGAGCGTGGCATGGAAGAGATCAGCGCATCCATTAGCGAGGACATGTCGTCGCTCTCCGCGATCCGCAAGTTCGACGAACAGTACGGCGACCGCAAGGGCCGACGCAAGAAGAGTCCCGGCTGGGGCTTCATCACGGCCGGTAAGGATGATTCTGCAGCTGCTGTGGATGCGGCGCGCGTCCGGACCTGAACCAGCCGGTTGGGGTTGTGCCAAGGGAATCAATGGAATTGGATAGGTTGGGTGTTAGCCACATAGATCAACTGAATTAATCATCCTCGCGTTTGTAGGGCAGGACCGGATCGGGATGGGTTGGAAAGGCAGGCGAGGACGGGACTTGTATACTACTCATTAGCGACACGAACCTGAATGTATCAATATAGCAGACGATACCAATACCAAGATCATCGATAGACAGACAGACAGACAGACACACGCATGCAGGGAGGGTGGCCCCGACGTGGGGATCGGCAACGGCGCCGATCGAAGCACGCGGGGGAAAGAAAATAGACGCAACAAATGCAACACGCGGGATTGAATGACATCGACGAGGCGGCAGCCCCTTGGATCAGCCAACCTTCTTTTCTGCCTTTCTTCATCTTTGCTCTCCCGCCACCATCGCTTTGCTTGTCGGCTTGTTTGTTCTCGGCTGGCTGGCCTTGTCATCATCGTCTTCCCCGGTAGATTTGCAGGTTCTCTCTCCCACACACTGGGTCTCTCCTCTTCTCCTCACGCGACGAAATCCCCGCCTCCTTCTCTCCACACGCCTTACCCCTCTCTCTCTTCCTCTCCTCCTGCAGATCAGGTCCCCTCACAATGTCAACAACCGAGGCCCGCGACGCTGCCATCCGAGATGCAAAGCGTTATGTTCGCGACACCGTCCGCAACGACTGGGTCTTCGAGCCCTCGGCCGAACCAGGAGCCCCTCCATTTTCGTCTCCTCCCACCCCCGAGCAAGATGTCCTGGAATGGCGTCTGCGCGAATACGACAGCTCCGGCTCCGAACTAGAACCACAGTCTTCCCCCACCATCGGCCCTGCAGGTGGACAGCAGCACCCTGGCTACAATCCTTCCGAGCTCTCCAGCCCGCTCGGGACTCCGCTAGGTGACGATTCAGACCGGAGGCGCAAACGGCGACGTCAGATGGAGGAGGAGATGCAGTGGAACCAGGGCCTACGAGTGTGGGTTGAGCGTCGGGACGCATGGTCGGGGGCTCTCTCAAAGGAAGAGATTCGGGCCAGGGAGTCGAAAACCCAGCAGACTACGGCTGTGACGCCTACAGCATCCTCCTCGGAACAACCGCAGAATGTAGCTGCGAATACTGCGGCTGCGGCTGCCACTCTCCCCCTCTCCTCGTCACCATCCAATTCCCAGAACGAGCTCGCTCTGCGAACGGAAGCATCTCTCAGCATCGCCGAGAACGATGGCTCGCTCCCACGACCACCATCTCGCGGCGAGGAACCCTCCACCGCAGCAGAGCAACCACCCCCACCTCCCCCCGCTGGAGATGATGCGCAACGAGAAACCACCACCTCTGCCGAAACCCTGATCACTGAACCGGACTCTACCCATCAGCCTAGCAGCGAAGATCCCCTCATCCCCGTCGTACCATCTCTCATCTCCAACACCAACCCCGTTCGCGCCTCCATCACCCCAGCTATGTATCCCTCCATCTACTCTAAAGTCGTGGTCCAGGGACTCACTCCCACCGTGCCGATCAACCTCGCAGATGTGACTAAAGCCATGGTTCAAGGATGGAAATCCGACGGTCAATGGCCACCAAAACCCACCTCGATTGTGCTGCAGGATACCGCGACAGTGCGTCGCAAGCCCGAGGAGTCTGCAGCCGCAGACAAGCCGCCGTCGTCACCAGAGTCAAAAAGACGCTCTGGGGTAGCGAGTGCAGTGCGCAAGGTCTTTCACTTCTCGGGCTTCCATCCCCATCACCCGTTCCATCGGAGAGGATCAAGCAGTCAACAGAACGATGGGGGTGCCGGCGGTGCAGATGGAGGCGTGAATACTTAGCCTTAATGCTGCTACAGATCAATAGCCTTGCGATTGCCTCATGGCAGAGGTACGGTACTGTGGTATGGTATGTAAATAAAGCCTGTCCTCAGTTCTTTTACGAGCCACGACAGCGGCTCGTTTTCTTTTTCCCAACTTTATCATGCATGACTCTTACTCAGCACCTTTGTCATTGCTGCCGCTGATGTCCCCTCCTCCGGCCCTCTTACCTCCATCCCCCAATTCTTCCTCCTACCACCCACTTAACCAAACGACACACACTCATGAGACACGGGTCTGAGCTGTGCATTTGTACGCTTACTTTTACGTTTTACGAGTACGAGGGAAAAGAAGAAAAAAAAAAAAAAATCTCATGATTGACGGAATGGAATGAAATAGGATTTTCTTTTTTTTCCTTCATACTATGTCATCTTTGTTTTTCTTATTCTACCTAACCTACCTATTTATATTTCTCCATACCTACTCGACTCAGAATATCCTTTTGTTCCTACAGACAGGTTGATTAACGTTTTTTTTTGAATGTCACGAAGAGTGTCTCTTTCTATCTTATCTTTCTATTACCTAATAAGAAGGTACGACGAGGGGGACAGGTGGGGGGTTATACGTCCTAAATAGGAATGGAGGAAGGTGGAGCGGGAAGGCGTGGTATCACCTGGTCGATTGATTTACTGAGACTACTTCGTTTACTAGTATCTAATGTTGAATTGTCAGGGTTTGGGAAGATGATAAATTTTAATGCAGTCATAGTCTATCCAATTCGATTCAACTCAATTCGTCATCTATAAATGGAGTGAGGGGGGGGAGGGGTATATGATATCACGGGTCCCGCGAGGACGACATGGCCAATCAGTAACCAATGGCATCAACAAGGTCGAGGGTATAGAGCACATCTGTAGTGGATACTTGGTCTGGACTGGGGAGTCCAAAGGTGGGCCCGCTTATGTGCTCAGGTTCCAAGTCATCAAGGAGATCAAGACCCCGAATTACATCGAGGAAGTTCTGGACCACGGGTCCGAGGATCTGTTGTGGTGATTGTTCGAGTTCCACGGCGACGGACGGTTGGATTTCGATCTCTTGTGGCTGGTGCCCGCCTCGTCGGGTGAAGTAGTATTTCTTCTGATATCGGGACCAGCTCTCGTTGAGGTAGGATTGTAGTTCGCGGGCTGCAGAACGGCGGAGCTCGTGGAAGAAGGGCGGGTTCGTGGCTATGGAGGAGATGGTATGGCCGGTGTCGAAGGTTTCTGTGGATCGGGGTAGATCGTATAGATCTGTTGTCGACGATGGTTGGTCGAGATGGGACATGGCGTAGAGTATAGAGTGGTAGAAACAGTGGATTTGGTGAAGGATCCTTTGGTCCATGTTGGTTCCTCGGTCTATATAGTCGATGACTGGCAAGGCGGCCGTAATCATCCTGATGAAGGAAGCGATGCTGGTCGCTACAGCGGAATCCTTGAGCATGGTCACATTGTTGGTGGTGTTCAGCAAAACGGTATGCGATGCTTGGAAGACAGAGTTAAAGATGTTCAAGACGGATGCGATACAGGCGACATCTGTGGTGTCCATATTGAAGAGGAGATCCTGGAAGACGAGCGTAATAGTCTGTAAGATGGGTCGACTTAGAATCCAGCATGCCGGGTTGTTGAAAGATGCCTCGAGATAGACCGGGAACACCGCCTGCAACAATGTCGCCCTCAGGGTAGGTTTGTCAGGAAGGCCAGATTCATAGGTATCAGCCATAGAGGCGTGAAGCTGATTGACGAGGTAATCCTGCTGTCCGTCGATCGCCGCTCGCTCGGAAACGCTCTGGATGAACATGATGAGTGTCTTTGCTATCTTTTCCGAAGAGAGTTTCGGCTCGTAGCTCTTCAACCGGGCCACAATATACGTCGGGTCCCCTGAAGGTAGAGGGAATGAGGCAGGGTCGGTAAAGAAAGGGTCGATGGGGCAAATGTCCCGGCTGTGTTGTTGCAGGAAGCCGACGATCCGGTGTACAAAGTCCACGTAGGCTCCCTGGACGCTGGCTGCACCGTTGCCCAATTCCTGATAGTTTGCCTTCATGGCCGACATCATATTCTGAATGATCTCCCTGTGATCCTGCTTGGTACTTGAAAGCTCTCGGGCATCCACATCCTCCAGCACTTGTAGATGTCTACGCATATTGGCTAGTAGACTGGATATGAGAGACACCCGGCGATGGCTGAGATCTTCAAGAGAAATCACATATCTCCCTTCCTTTCGGTCTCTGGCGAAGGGCAAATTTTGCAGAAGGGGGTCCATCGTCTCGTGGTTTAGCAAGGCTTCCGTCAATCGGTGTTGATATTTCAACATTGAGACTCGCTCGACCAAAGCAGACAGCCACATCCCGATTGCTTGGACTTTACATTCAGCTATAAAGCGAGAATCCTTCTCGATGCAGCTCGCCAGGAACAAAGGTGTGAACTTTCTCGTCTGTGTTGTCAATCGCAGTGATGTCCAGGAGTCGCCGTTGTAGGGACTGAGGTAACTGTCCCAATGTCGTAAGCCATGCTTGACAAGTGTCTGGGCAATAGACGTCCAGCATTCCACCACGTTGAGCAGGATCGCATCTTCGGGACAGTAGTCCTCTCCAAAGCAATTGGATATAAGTCGGAATGCAGCTGGATGGAAGACACGTTCCACATACTCGACTTCCGGAGCTGTCGGAGGAGGTTCATCATATACAGCTGCAATATCCGCCCAATCCCCATACTCCTGGCTATCTTCACCAACTGCTACAGGAGCACTTGTTGATTCGGCTATTGGCGAAGAGTTGCACTTCTGGATATAAGCGACGATCACTTCAAGGGCATCGGAGACGGTCGTATTGACACGAGCAACTCTGGGGTTAAAAAGAGCTAGTAGCGCTTTAATAGGTGCACCTAAAACGAGCTTGTGAGCATGCTGCAATGTTGGCGCCGAGCGAATAGCATTATGTAGACCATTGAGCGCAGTCTTCAGCAAAGACTCGATCTGCCGTTGATTCTGTGCAATCGTCCTTTCTACCAGCTGATCAGAGAATTTGTTGTCCGCAGTGTTCTGTGCTTCAACCTCTTGGCGTGCAAGTGCATGCTGCTTCAACAACTCGGTGACAAAATAACAATGCCATTCAGCAAATGCTTCCAGGCCAGAAACCTCCTCATCTGTCGACAGCTTGAAGCGAACAAGCCTAGCCCATGACCGCAGACTGATATTGCACGTTTCGCGGTGGGAAGTGGCTGGATTGACAAGGTTTTTGATTGTCTCAATGCGAGGTCGGCATCCATCAGGGACAGCGTAGTACAATGTACAGAGGAGGTCATGGTGGTTCCTCAAAGCATCCAAATCCTCTTGGTGAATTGGTTTCTCTTTGGGATAAACACGGCCATGGTTCGGTAGCAAACGCCACGCAAAGTTGCGAGTCTTCTTCTTGTCATAGATTTTTGACAGGTAACGCAAACCACTTGCGATGATTTTCAGCAGGATATGAAAGCACGGGTCTCCAGACTGCACTTCCAGGGAAGGATTCCGGTCCAGTTCGTCGAGAAAAGCAGGTGACCGATATCCTTCCTCATGCTTCAGATTGTACAATGTGTTTTTCGCGAAGAAATCGTACAGTGTATCGAGGATCGGTTTGCAGTCCCGCCAGCCCCAACCATTGATGAGGTGGAAGCATCTGTGAAACAAAGCCCTGCAGTACTTGTAGTATGAGACCGGCTGTGTCATGGAGGTGGCCTCATAGCAATCTAGCACTGGACGTAACAGTATTCTAGTTATGGGCCAGTTTCCGTGTGCCTCCCAAAATCGAGAACCTATCCGAGCGATACCAGAGCTATCAAGTTCGTCCAGAGGCAGTGTGGTGAATATACAGTGCCACACTCGCTCTAACTTATTGATATCCGTCAAGCTGATCAGATCCCCATTGTGAATTGAGTAGACCTCCGTCAGAATCTCTTGGAGGCGCCCCTTTAGCTTGTCTGTGCCACGTAGAATATGACGAACCGTGACATAGGCTTCAACAACAGAATGGCCGTTTGGAATTCCTGTGTCGCGCGTCTCAGGAGAATCAATTTCTGCAAAGAGTCTGCGGATAGTGGCCTGCCCCAGTGGGGTTAGCACAACTGTGATGGCCTGTTTGGCAGTTCTGTTTAATGATTCCAGCACTTCATCAGCAACAGTATCATTGACGAGACCATGCCCGGCAATCTGAAGTATTTGGTACGTAAACACAGTGTTGTATGAACAAATCGCCGCCAAAAGCTCCACCTCTCGCTCGGCTTTTGGGGCAGAAGTCGTCAGAGTATCATTGAGCTTGCAGACAAGGCTCAGGGCCCGTCTCACAAACCCTATCCTGTCAATGGGGTCGATGAAGGAGAGCGTATCTGTGACATACTTGACCACGGGCCTGTACAAGCTGCAGACATCCTTCTTGCTGTTCTCCAGCGACTCGGCTGGCCCTGCGTCGCCCCCTTCAACCCACTCGATCATCTTTTCAAAGACCATTCCCAGCTCCGAAGACACGGTATCGTTCCATGCACCCCAACGATAACTCTTATCTCCGACTCTGATCGAAAGATGCCCGGCATCTCTGTCAATGTCGCGTTTAAGGATATTAAGGGAGCGAGAAAATTCCCCACTTCCAAGAAATGTGTTTTCCTGAAAGAATGTTCCCGTGCACAAGGGAGTGACGTTGAGCTCTATATTATAAGATGCTTGGAATCCGTGCAGTACACCAACTGAACTGCTACCAGCCAAGCCTTCTGGTTGCCAGTGAAGCTCCAATTCGGTTGATTCTATGACCGAAGGTTGTTGATCTTGGATGACATTGACTGCAAGCCGCTTCGGTGGCCGCTTTTTCGTCTGACGTCGTCGAGCTTGGGCCTGGACACCTGGCGGTCTGTTATCCAATTTAGCCAGAGATCGGCTCATACCCATATGCTGGGGTCCGGCAGGAGCAGGGGATGAGCTGCGGCTTGAGATAAAGCGGTCCAGGACCAAGTTACCTTGTCGTACTTCGGGCAGCCGCTTACGTCGATAGTCCCGGTTGAGCAATGAGAGAGACCTTTGAAAAGAAGACGATGAAGCAGGCTTGCCGCGAGGGTTTGTTACCTCAAGCATTGCAGGCCGCGGGTCTTGTCGTGTCAGGGAAGAAATGGTTAGGTTTCTCTGAACAATCCATTTGTTGGATCGTTGCTCAGGTTGCATTGGCTTGCTGGAGATGCTAGCGGTCTTCACCAATTGGCCTGCCCCAGTATTAGAAGCATGCTCCCCAGCTGCACTGATTTCTCCAGCTTGAGGTGCTGGCGAAGCATCAATCTGACGGTTTCCGCTCGTTCCTCTACCCACTCTTTCCTGGAAGACAATAGGTCGGTTCGTAGAGAGAGCGGTTAGCGGCTGTCGCCGAGCTACCTTAGCCTGAGGTCGGGGCTGGGGCTGGGGCAATTTTGTCTGTCGAATCTGTCCTATTTGCCACTCGTGCAACGACTTATTGGCATCCTCCGTATCCACACGCGAACTGAGATTGAAGACTTTCCGAGAGGGGCTTCGTCTTCCCTTGTCTTGACGGGAACGTGCTTTTCTTGCAGCAATCCTTAGAAACTGCGGTTGCTCACTGCGAGGCCTAGCAGCAACATCTGGTGCATCCAAAATACCAAGTTTAGGCAGACGGGGTGTAGGTCTCTTCTGCTTTTGAGCTCCATACCCGGGATCAGTAAGTCTTGCCTGTCTTTTGACCCGAAGACGTTTAGGTGCTTGAGCAGAGCGAGTACTATTTCCCTCGGTCATCGGCCGTTTCTTTCCTGACTTTCGGGGGTTCGTAAATGAAGTGGCACGAGATACTGGTGGGAACATGTAGTCGATGCGATTGTCTTCTGGAATATCGTCTCTGGGGCCATAGTCATTGAACGAATCTTCAAGCCCAAGACTGGCTAGCAGTTTGTGCGAAGTGGCCGTTTCACCACCGTTTCCGTCTTCGCTCTCATCGCCAGAATCTGGGTCAGCAAGCTCTCTTAGTGAGGTAAGCTGCGCGTTTGGTCCTGACGGTGTCTCTCTATCGCTCTTTTTCGTTATTTTACGCGCAACACCTTTGGCGTTTTCAGTTCTCGGGGGCACTTTGTCACGTTGCTGCGTAGCACTCAATCGTTCTTCTTGTCGCTTCTGGTCTATTCTTAGCCACGAAGCCGGTAAGACCCCTTTGATTCGCCGTTGATACCGCCTGACAGCAACTTCATCGTGATCGTTTTCCGCTTCACTTGCATTCTCAGCATCCGATCGCGTGTTGCTTGCTTCGAACTGAATATCATCAAGGCCATCATCCGCTTCGGCCTCGGACCAATCCATGGAATCCGCTTCCTCTGGATCTTTGGGCTCCTGTCCCGGCACCACATTGGCAGTGATTGATGGTGGTGTAAAGCCACGGGGAAAGCGAAACACGTTTGAGGGTTCCAGGGCAGGCGACGAAGTGACGTTCTCTTCGGAGCGTGGTGAGCTTGGAACACGAAAGGTCGGTGCATTATTCCGATGCATAGGAGACGAATTTACAATCACGACACTTGGCCGCGGTAGAGGTCGTGATTGATGCCGAAGGTCATCATGGGGCTTGGAGACCTTGCGCCTTTTCGGCTGACGACCTAGCAAGCCACCTGGGGATTGCCCCAATTCTTGAGATCCAAGTGACTGCGAAGGCTCCGGGGAGTTCCTCGGTCGCCTCCTCTCTACTGAATGATGGAACTCTGCCGGCGACGAAGGTGGAAACTCAAAATCCGCCCCAAAACTATCTGCTAACGTTCCAGCAGCGTCGACATACTCCTTGCCCTGACTTTCATTCCCCGCAGCGCGAGCTGCTTCTTCCTGGGCCACTCGCACAGGCTTCACGCCTCTTGCGCGCATCATATTCCGGTACTTTGCGTCTTCCAACATATACGGATGTAGTTGGATAGCTTTGCGTTCCCGTAGTGATCTCCGCGCGGGCGGCGACATTGCCCGTAAGATTTCTTCTGGGATATCGAGCGGCGGTAGCAATTTCTCGATCGGATCCTCCCTTGGCTCCTCTGGTTGTTCCTGGCCACCTTCTCCATCCTCGTCCAAACGAAGGGAGCCCAGGGATGACAGAGGCGACGAGGGGGTCGAGATGTTGTGGTCCTCGATTTGCCGCGGCTCGCTGTCACGGTTCGTCCTCGAGTACACATGGATCGGTTTCCTTGAGAGTCGGTGATCAAAATGTAATGCATCTTCTGAACTTGGGATATCCCATATATCATCGTTCTCCTTGGCTGGCGGGGTAGGTGGCGCGCTGGCAGTGGTGGTTTCCGAAGATTGCGTAGGCAGGCGAGAGTCGTCAGTCTTTATACTAGCACGAGGGGTCTCCTCATCCTCAGGAAGTCCAGGCAACGGTTCCTCTGGTCCATTAGCCTCGTCAACGACCTTCGATGACGTCCCAGTAGGCTGCTCATGCTTCTCAATTTGGACAAAAGAATCATCGGAATTCTTCTTGGGGGTCTCAAGACGATTATGATCGACATTGTTGCTCTGAGAAGCGTGTGGTTGTAGCTCATGCTGTACTTCATCCGGGGATTCAAGGGCGATTTCCTCCGTTTGAACTGGCACTGCAGCGCCAGGATCTGCAACCGTATCTTCGACCCCATTGTTCAGCGTTTCTGTCTCCTGGCTGTCGAATCCGTCCTCCGAGTCCGAGTCCGGTACGAATCCTCGCTCCCGCCATGATTCCATTTGTGTCCTGGGCGCGGATGGCCCATCTCCCTAGATGTTCATCCCCTCGTAACTGCAATACTGCACTCGTTAAATAACCGAGACTGGAACAGACGAAAAATTGCTCTCGGATCTGACCAGTCAACTGGTGGTCGTGCAACAGATCCACAGTGTCGCAAGTCTGTCGAGTGGTTAATTGAGGAACCAGCGGTGCTGGTCGATTCGACGCGTCGAAAATGTGGGGGGACGCGACGGGGCTTAAGCTGTTAACGTCGGGCCTCAGGCCTGGCGCAGTTTTGGCGATTGCTCGGCGGCCCGGCCGGGGCTTGGCCAGCACTTCACTCCACGCCGCACCTTTGCCAGCTCGACTTCCGGCATTGAATTCCAAACCACCCCTAGTGAACCTGCATCATGAGTCGGAATTGGGTTCCCGCGCTTATGGCCATTGGCATGGGTGTCTGGACTGGTAGGTGCAATGGATTCCAATGCCCACGCATGTGACGCCATCAGCTTGCTAATCGTCATGCTCGTCTGGTTTGCAGGATACTATAGCTTCCAGCCTGCGTTGAGAGATCTACAATCTGAGAAGGGGAATGGACCCCAGTATGCTCACCCTATCAAGTTGGCTTTCTTTGCACATCAATCCCTGTGCTGATCGAATTGAATCGCCAATAGAACTCAGCAGTCGCCAGATCAAAAAATCGCCCAGCCATCCGCACCCAGTTCAAATGGCGATTCAAGCAAACCGGCAGCATAGCTTAGCGGAACATAGTCCTTCGAAATGAGCAGATATAGATTGCAGCTAAATAACACGGTTTGATCTGCGTTCACCGCGACGCCGCTGGTCGGTGATACTCTGCAGTGATACGAGAAGGAACCTATCTACCCAGAAATTCAGTATCGTACGGAATGCGAAACGTCGTGCCATGATATCATAGAAGTATAGGTAGAGGGCCCCGCTGGTCACATTGGTGACAGCCTGTGGTGGCTGGAGAATGCTGGTTTGGGGTAGGCTAAGGGATTCGAAATTCGCCCAGATTATATAGTATGGGTTACAGCTCGACTGTATTTGTACTACTATGAGCCTTCACAGCACATATAGGCCAAACAGTTCATGATAATTCACTGTCAACTACAGGATGTGACTGGCTAACTCCTTTCCCTCGAGACTTGTTGGAAATCATTGAATGAATTGAAAATGTACATCCGTTATCAAGTTACACAGAAGCCTATGCCCTCCCTAGGAACCGTGTTCCCAAACGCCCAGCTCCAAATGCGCCCGTCTTTCCATGCTAGCTAGCTAAACCTCTTGCACGAGCTTGCCAGAGCCATTGCCACCAAAGACTCGTCCTGCAGGTATACCGAGCCACTCCTCTGGCACGCCCACCCTGCTGCCGTTGCGGCCACTTACCCATCTCACCATCGTCGGGTCCGCTTTCTCATACTCCTGGATCTCCTGCTCTGCAGAAGCTGCCTCGGCAGCCTCGGCCGCTGGAATGCGCCCTCGTCGCTTCGGCGCCTGCTTCCGAAGAAGTCTGTTTATGGTATCCAGCTGTGATTTCAATGTCAGCATCAGGGCGGAAACAAAGGCATCCAAATTCTTCTGGCTGCAGTTGAAGTGCACGCACCTTCTCCTCCTCGTTCCGCTTTTCACTTAGATTCTTTCTCCGACGAGCCATCTCGGCGCGACGCATGGCACGCTCCTCTGCCGTTAGGTGCTTCTTAACCTGGGGTTCTGCTTTCAATCAGATCTATGTTTCTAACGACCATGCAGTACATGGAGACTCACCCATGGGTAGTTGCAGAAAGTCGTTACCCAAAGTACCCCTTTGCCGTTTGGTCATTCGGCTCAGATCGGCGGTCGGGGTATCGTCATCGCTGTCCAGCTCTTCTTCTTCCTCTTCCTCTTCTTCGTCCAGGTCCTCTGCACCGCCGTTGGCCAGTATACTTTCGTCCTGGTCGTCTGGCTCGCCTTCGGCGTCCGAATCCAGCTCCGAGAGCTCCTCATCGTCATCGTCGTCGTCCTCATCGTCGTTGTCCAACTCCATCTCTTTCGCCTCTACACTCTTGACTGCCCTCCCCGCCGGTGCTGCAGCTGCAGCTGCTTTCGCTTGGCGTTTGGAGACTGGTGGCTGCGGGGGCACATCGTCCATGTCCAGATCTCCATCAGCATCTACGTCATCGTCATCTTCACCGGGTGCATCTTCATCGTCCACCTCATCTTCCTCCTGGTCTTCCAGGTCATCTTCATCGCTTGTGTCGACTTCCACAAGCTTTTTTTTGGGCCTGCTAGTGCGAGGCCCCGTCACAATGGGGTTTTCCGTGAAGACGTTGACCGAACGTCTGGTTGACGCACCACTCCGAGTGCTACCACCGGTAACTTCACGAAGTTTGCTTGATGGCATCTTTACGGTCAGGCGGATTGACTTCTTAGAGTCCCCGCTGAGATCGGATGCAACGCGAACAACCGTCACTGCTGGGGACGATGTCGCAGCTCGGGTGAGTCTCGTGGGCCTGGTGCTCGTGTTAGCCTCCATGCTCGGCTGATCATCCCGCCCAGGGCGGGACCGTAGAGAGCGACGTAAGGACATCGTGATGGATTTCCCCGCGACAAAGATGGCAGTGGCAGAAGGGAGATAAAAGTCACGCCAACGGAAATTCAAATTAATCAAAGAGAGCAGTTTAATAGAAGCGCATGGTGCGACAGGCAGACAAAGGGGAATGCCAGATTGAGAGCTGGGGAAAAAGCAAACAAAGGCAGGTGGGAGAGTTGGAGGCTAAATAGCAGAGGTGGTGATGGGAAGCGAAACTAGAGGGCGGCCGGAGGACCTGATGGAAGCGGGATTGGGGGAGGAGGGGAGGGAGGGGAGGTGATGAGGGGAGTGAATGAGCGCATCTGGAGGTCAAGAGGGATGGATGGGCAGAAGCAGCGCCAGATTACCATCATCCACCGCTAATAACGACTACGTGGGCCAGTGTTCAGGATGAGCCATGCACTCCGGAAAGGCACAGGACATCCACCCCTATCACATCTCTGACAGACGCCACTTGGACATCCCCCCGCGACTTGGACACCCGGCTGGGGCCAATGGGAGCATTCTGACCCCAGACGTCCAGGGCGATGGGTAAATCAGAGGTGCGGTGAATCCAACGGCCCTGCCGTATCTCGCGCAACCCGGACCGACCTAGGGGATTATTCCCTGGACTGGTCCAGCAGGGGTTTCCCGATGGTGCGCCGATACTAGGAAAGAAGAAAAAGGGGGTGCGGCGCAACAGAAATAAAAACATCATCCGCAGTTCTGTCGCCGACAAGGGAGGAGAAAGAGAGGGAGGCAGAGATGGTCCAGTCAATACGAGGGCAACTCACGTAGCAGTAGTGGTGATCTAGTTGGTCGGAGGTCGTTCAAATGCAACGCCAGTAAGACCTGGGCTGAGACAGACTGGCTGAGGGTACACGTATGTGCACGTATCGTGTCGGTACCTGATGAAGCGACCAGGACAGAAGACAGAATGAACCGGCGCGATCAATTCGGCGTAATAATGAGCAGGAAGAACGAACGGACCAAGCCTGGGGATTGCCTCGCCGGCCCCGTGATGATGTTCTGCCAGGCGGTCGGTATCCTTGGCCGTCCTTCTGTCTTCCTCCCAATTCTCCCAATCCTCTCCATCCACCATCACAGTAATGCCCTCATCGAGTCCAATTGGTCCTGATCCGTGTTTCACACCAGTTCGAAGTACAATATGGCTCTTTGTCTCTTGACTTGTGCTGCCGTTTCCCTCTGCAGTGGTAGGATCTCGTCAACCCGGACTAGATCCTAGTCCGACTAGTAGTACTGTCGCCATAGATCGGACAATATATTTCGAGTGGAGAGGCTAGCAGCAGTACTAGGTAGCATCGCCGTACGGAGTAGCCTAGTTACTAGATAAGTAGCACACGATCAGCCAGACAGCCACCTTATCTCCATTGTGTAGCTTTATCCAACAACCGATTGATCTATTGGCTTGAGGTGTTTCAGTGCCATTTCAATAAACCTCCCTGGTCAAACTCACCTCAAACCTACACCGGAACAAGTACCAGGTATAGACTACCCGTACCGCGCCCATACATACAGCCTGACAGCCATACAGCCGAGGTCGGGCAACTCTCCGTGCCTCTCTCCGCCTCTTGACTATCTTCCCTCACATGGTTATCTCCTCCCTCAAGCTACTCTCTCCCTCCCATTCCTCTACATCCCCTAATCGTACTCCATTTTACACGCCATGGCAGATTCGAAGCCCAAATCATCCTCGATCCCTCAATGGCAGCAGCCTAACAATGCCTCCAACAATGACACCACCTCCACCTCGTCGCCGACCTCCGATGAGACCTCCCGATCAGCGCTCATTGAGCAAGCAGCCAAGTTCCTCGAGGATGACTCCATCCGTGACGCTCCCACCGATCGCAAAGTGACCTTCTTGCAGTCCAAGGGTCTCCGAGAGGACGAGATCAATACCCTCCTAGCCATATCACCCACCCCCGAACCGAGCGATACCCCCGAGGAAGAGAAGACTACTTCCGCAGAGACCACTGCTTCCACCAGCACCGATTCAGAACCCCCAACAAGCAATGCCGCAGCTTCTTCGTCCCAATCTACTCCTTCTCCTCAATCTAGCACATCTGCGCCACCTCCAGCACCCACAAGCAAAACCAACAACACCCGCGACATTCCCCCCATAATCACCTACCCCGAATTCCTCTCCACCCGCACCAAACCACCCCCACTTGTTACCCTCCGCAGCATCCTCTACACCCTCTATGGTGCCGCGGGTCTTGGCGCAACATTCTACGGCGCGAGCGAATATCTCGTGAAGCCCATGCTAGCGAACCTCACAACCGCCCGGGAGGAGCTAGCCGAAACCGCGTCAACGAACCTCAAGAAGCTTAACGAGAAGCTGGAGCAAAACGTTTCTGTCATTCCAGCCAGTCTCGACACATCCCAGAAGCCCGAGAAAGACAGCGACTCTGACAGCGAGTCCATCACCTCTGACCCAACGGAGCTCTTCCACCGCGACGTCGCCACACAGACAGCATCCTCCGACTTCGCCCCAACCTACTCCACCTCCACAGCCAAAGATGCAACAGCCCCAGCAGAACCTGTTGCAACAGTAAACACTCACATCAGACGCCTAGAGGTGATCAATTCCCACCTCCGCGAATTCTCCGACACGGAGAAAGAATCCAGCACCCTGGATAACACGATGCGCACACGCCTCAATGAATTGCACCATTACCTGGACGGCTTGATCTACAGCAAGCCCGGATTCAGCCCGCTTTCTGGGTACGGGATGTACAGCACTCCCGGGATGGATTCGGGCAATGGTATGGCAACAGGAGTGGGGAAGGGCGAGGAGGATGCAATCGCGAGCTTCCGGGCAGAGATAAGAGGCGTGAAGGGTGCATTACTGAGCGCTAGGAATTTCCCCACTGGTCGTGGAGGAAGGGTCGGAGGCGTAGCGGGGAGGTAAAGACAGACCTCCAAGACGATTTACATATACCTCGACAGTCTGTACTCTGTACCCGTGTCACCCTTTCATGAAGTTTAGTACCAGTATAGAATGACCTTAATGCATTCATGGTATCACGTACCTTCCCCATGATCCTGCAATGAATGATAAAGACAAAACAGGCACCACCATAAATATTTATGGCCCACTGGGCAGTACCTACTACCCACCAGAAAAAGTATATATTCCTGATTGAGTCTTAGACAGATCCTCGAAAAAGACATCGAATACCATCATACATTTGGATAGTACGACTTACTGATCGAAAACATGATTACATCACGAACAAAACTAATAGATGGTATATTTACGGAAAGGTTCATGCCTAGAGTATATAGTAACTTAAGTGCTTTGATAGTAGTGGAGTTCTCCTACAAGAGTAACCCACAAATGGGAAGAAATATTTTCAACAGGCATAGGAAAGTCTACCACAGGTGCTACGACACGTTCAAGACCCAACGACAACAGAAAGACATAGTTATAAAATTGACATATGAAGGACAATTCGAAAGCAAACCCGGAATGACCGGAGCATATCACGTAACCGGGGGGAAAGGGCGATGGGATGAATGGACCGTGGAATGATGAGGAGCAGTACAGTGAAGCAATAAGAGGACTCTTCTTTCCTTTACATACAACTCATAATCGTTGTCTTTTCTTCCAGACGTAGCCTCTTACTTTTGAGTTTCTCATGGGGTGGCCCGGCTCATGCTGATAAGACGCTTCACACCAACCTATTGAGGGATTGTGTTAGTATATATTGTGAAAAAGAAGTCACGGGGTGCTTACCATCCAGTTGCCGCACTCGTCTAACCTGTTGGTCATGATGTCGACGTGGATAGTCCGGGCAGTATCGTAGTCGCGCGCCTGGATGGCGCGAGCCAGCTCCGCCATATCCGCAACAGTATTGGGCTTGAGCAAGTCCTCGTTGTTGAGGTGGTCGAACAAGATGCTCAGCCGCCGTTCGGCATCATCGACCTGGGCCTTGAAGGAAGATGGGGCACGGGACTTCACGCGCTGCATGTCTGCGGAGAGGATCTCATACACAGGCATTGCGTCTGCCGGGATGTGGGAACGGTCGCCCGGAGCTTCAAGGGGTCAGAACTAAAGGCATTGTAGAAGTAGCGTATAGGGTTCACTCACGGTACTTGGGCGCGGCAGGGGCAGCAGGCTTTCTCTGCGAGGATGCCGTGCTTGGCCGAGAGCCGGGGGCGGCCTGAGGTGGCGGGGCATGCTGCAGGGGCTGCACGTGCGGCGGGGAGTTCCCGGGACATACTGACTCACGGCCGGAGGCTGAGGGGCATACGGAGAAGCAGCCGCCTGCGGGGGTGGTGGGACAACCGCCCGCGTCTGCAGTTGCGGGCTTGCAGCCTGAGCTGCTGGGCTAGGAGCATACCGGTTGGACGGTGGCGGCATGGTAGGCGGTGCGTTGTAAGGAGAGGGACCGCGAGGGATGGACGCTGGCACGCCCATGGTGGAGGCCGTGGGAGGAGATTGAGGCAAGGAAGCGTAAGGGTTGGCCGGCGGAGGAGGCATCGAAGCCGAAGCCGGCTGGACTGCCGGCGGCGAGGTGATCCGTGGCGGAGGAGCAGTGCCCTTTGGCGGAGGGGGGACTGAAGGTGCCCGCTGACCAACCGGGGGAGGGCCTTGGGCGATAGTGGGGGACTGGTTGGGGAACGGCGACGCAACAGCACCAGCGGTAGCGGCAGGGGTAGACCGGCGTGGCGTGGGAGCTTTGGCGAAGCCTTCTGGCAAGTCGTTCCATGCGGGCAGGTTTGTGGCAGTGGTGTACGTGGTAATGGTGGGAGCAGGAGACTGGTTGGACCCCGCGCGTGGAGGTGGTGGCACGGCGCCGCCTAGGGGCTGAGCACCGTAAGCAGGTGCCTGTGGTGGCTGGTATCCTGCAGGAGTGTAGCTGCTACCGCCAGCTGGGGGTGCATATGGGTTCGTAGGCTGCACCGGCGCGGCGGCGGTAGGAGGAGCATAAGGATTGGCAGCAGCCGTTGGAGGAGCGTAGGGGTTGGCAGCAGCAGTTGGGGGAGCGTAAGGGCTGGCAGCGGCAGTGGGAGGAGCGTAAGGGTTGGTGGCAGCAGCGGCCGGAGTGTAAGGCTTCGCAACAGCAGCTGGAGTAACAGGTGAGTAAGCTCTCGGGGGCTGGAATGCATTGGGCTGTGGGAGAGGCTTGTTGATAGCTGCCGCCCTGGTCGCGGCAACGGCAGGCTGGGTCCTCTGGGGCACGGTGGCCTGTCTCGTAGCCAGCTTGATACGGTTCCGTGCGATCTCAGCTTCGGGGTGCTTCTCCGGAACAAGGTCGAGGTACTTCTGCGCAACTTGAAGACGACCGTGGGTGGCAACGACATCAGCATACTCAATGTACTTGTCGTACAGGGTGCTGAGCTTCCAGTCCGATTCCTTGGTGCGTTCCGTGTCTTGGAACTTGGTAACCTGACGGAAGATCGTCACCTTCTCGATGAGCCCTTGCAGAGCACGGACATGGATGGAGAAAGCGGTGTCATCCGCGGCATCCTCAATGGCCTTGTGCTCGTTTTCACGGAGCTCCTCGATCCAGATCGCAACAACCTTCTCGAGCTTGGAACCGGCCAAGAAGCAGAACGAAGCATCTTTGCGTAGACCCTTCTCCTCGGTGTTGCGGAGTTCCTCCTCCAGGCGGTCACCAAGAGCCTCGCAGAGGTCAGCAAACTCCTTCTCATCAGCGAAGGTGCAAAGAGCTGCCATGACCTCCTTCCAGTTGGACAGATCAGCGTTATAGACGACGTCCCAGAGGTTTTTCCCGACAATGGAAGCCAGCAGGCGCACATAGTTGGGGCTGTTGGTCTGCTTCTGGAAATAATGCTCTTGAGCCTTCTCAATGCATTTGGGACCGCCGCAAATGGCAATCATGAACGCATCGGACAGGCGATCTTCCTTGAGGGCGACCTCAAGGGCCTTCTCGAAGTCACCGACGAGCAACGCCCGGGTGATACCCGTGTCAGCCTCGGTCTCCGAGCCGTTGAAGATATGGAAGGGGTTGTTGGTCTTGGCTCCCTTAGAGGCAGCGAGGTCGGACAAGAAGTTGTCAGCCTCCGGATTGGCATCAAACATAGATTGCAGGCGCCTGTGCTTCTTGGCTCCCGACCCGCGGGATTCCTTCGCCGCCTCTCCGTTGACTTCGTCGTCCTTATCCAGCCCGAGCTTAGCCAAGCTGTCGGCAGCCTCATCCGCTTGGTCGGCGAATCCGAGGTACTCAACAAGACCCTTGCGGGGGTTGTTGGAGATCAAGGCTTCAATAACCTTCCAGTCCGCCTTCTCTTCATCGCTGGCTGCGTTAGCGGCTCTGCTTTCGCAGATGCTGCGCAGATCACCCTCCTTGAGTGCGCTTTCGAAGGTCTCAGTCGACTTTCCGACAGCCTCATCAACCTCAAACGGGCTGATCTTGATTTTCGATGCGCGCTGTCCCTTCTCAATCAGGTTAACCGAGACCACTCTGCCTCCGAAACCGAAGGTGGCGCTGCATGGTCTTTCGAGCCACTTAGGGGGCTTCGGCAACGAAAAACTCGAGACCTGGGGCTGAGTCTGGGCCTTGGCAAAGAAGTCCTCGCCATCCAGAGCCTGATTCTGGTCAGCGATGGCTTGCGCAGATTCGGTGCTGGTGTTCTGGATTGTCTGAATGGAGATCTTCCCATCGAACGAGGCGGTGGCGAAGAAGTTGGGGTTATGCGGGTTCCAGCGGGTCTGGAAGGTCCAGTTGGTAACGACGGGGAATTCGCCATAGGCATGTCCGGTTTGCGGGTTCCAGCACATCGTGCGATTGTCTTTTCCGGAGGAGAGGAGTAAGTCGGGGTCCTGGGCACACCAGGAGAGCGACAGTACGCCGGATTCATGGCCGCGGAGGGTCCTCTCGGGGGCATGTGAGTTGCGGAGATCCCAGACGCAGATCAGAGGATCGGACTCTAGGGGTGTCGCGGTGACAAGTTTCGTAGGCTATACTGCGTCAGCTCGGAACAATTGTCCTGAGTGATGTTCATGAGCGCCTCACCTTCTCCGGGTCCCAGGCCACAGCGCTAACCGCTTTCCGGCCCATGTTGTTAAGAGTCAAGCTCTCCTTCTTCGTCTTGACATCCCACACAGTAACAAAGCCCGCACTGCTACCAGTGACCAGGATGTGTGCAACCTTCTTGTTCCAATCCAAGCACTCGATATCATCCGCGCGGGCAGCCGTGCCTCCGAGGCGGTATGGGTTCGCAATATTGTTCAGATCCGAGATGTAGAGCTGTCCGAAAGTGAGCATACAGTGTCCAAGGTCCTCTGACCTATGTAGCCTACCTCGCCCTTTGCACCACCGGTTGCTAGCAAGTTCGAGTGTTTGGGGTTGAATTGGAGAGCTTTGATAGCCCCTGAATGTTTCGACGTCCTCGATATCACAGCCTCACTTGCCGAACGTCAGCCAATTGTCCGGCAGCTGCACATAGCACACCGGTCAACTCACCTGGATCCATCAAGCAACTTGTCGGCATCCCACAGATCCAACGAGCCGTTCTCGAGTGCACCGGCGATGACACCCCGCGAGTTATCTTCGGATTCGGTCCATGCTAAGTCATTGAAGCTATCGGAGTAATACAGTCAGCCCATTCGGCTCTCCTTACACGGCGGAAGATGGAGGGAGGCAAGAGGTATTTACCCGGAATCGGTATCAATCTTAGCTACCGGCTGTAGCTCGCCGCCGGCCTCGTGGCGGCTCAGGGCCAGATCCCAGAGCTCCAGGCATGTCTGATTGGAGAAGTCGACGTCAACAGCACCGGCCCGGGTACCAGTGGCGATCAGAGGCGAGGCAGCGCCGGGGGACCAGGCGAAGGTGGCCGTCCGGGGAATCTCCCTCAGACGCACCATGGTGAGATGAAAGGAGCGGCGGGAAAAAGGAAGGGTATAGATTAGGAGAGGACCAGACTCAGATTAGGAGGGTCTGGCACCAATGGTCATAGAAAGGAGGACGAAGAGCAACACCGGGAGCAGGGCAACCAAAAACACGAGCAGAGAAACGACCCAAGAAGACCTCCCCTCTCTAGTGCAGAAGAACCGAGGGGTGCATGTACGGTAAGTTGCCAAGTATGCGATCGAGGGCGTCACTGCAATCAACCAAGTGTCCTCCTGGAGGCGCTCGGGGGGGCTGCTGGGCCCCTAAACCGCTTTGGGCCTTCGCCAAAACACCGCCCGGGGCACCACGTGATATCAGGTTGCTCCGTCCCAGAAAGTCTAGCCAAACGCCGGAGTCGCTTTCCCCTCTCCCCTCAGTGACGTCTTCCATCCTCGTCTCCTTTCCCATCGCTACCCGGGACCATGAGCGAAAAGGCTCGTTTGAAATGCACCGTCTATGTGGGGGGCCTGGACCAGGCCGTGACGATGCAGACGCTGGCCGAAGCATTCGTTCCCTTTGGTGAAGTCGTCGATATCACCCTCCCCAAGCCCGATCTCCCCAACTCGAACGAGCTCCACCGCGGGTTCGGCTATGTGGAGTTTGACCTGCCCGAGGATGCGAGAGAGGCAATCGACAACATGGATGGGAGCGAATTATACGGTCGGACGATCAAGGTTGCTGCTGCGAAGCCACAGAAGGATAGCAACGAAGGACTCGGCAGCAAGACAGCTATCTGGGAACAGGTGCGCAGTGCAGTCACCTTTGTTACACGTCAATTGCTAATTACCTACGGAATTACAGGAGGGCTACCTGGCCAAATATGCTGTCGACGAGGAAGACAAATTGGCCGCCGACGAGGCCCAGGCAGACGGGAACGAACGTCAAGACCCCATGCAGGGACTGGAGGAGCTGGACGTGGCCGGACCCAAGCCGGAATGAGCACTATCACGATGCAACTCGCGCCAGGGAAAGAAGCAGAGAAGGCGGCGACAGTAATATTGCGATATTACTTCATCAGAACCCTTCGTTTAAAGCCGTACTATTTACACGCGCTCCAACCCCGAGCCTGAGAAATTTCGAGCATTCCATTCTTCTCTGCCGCTGCGCGACAGGGTCCAACTATCCCGTGAATGATACAGATCGCCGACAAAATCAACCAGAGAATCGCCTCATTGCAATTGGAATCAAATGTGATGGTACATTCTTAGTGGTCACGCTCCTCGGGGTTGTTGCGGTAGAGACGGAGGGTCTTGTCGGTCATGAGCTTCTTGGAGCTGGAGTAGATGGCAGCACCGACGGCGACACTGCGATGGAACTGCGTCAGCGAAAGGCAGAGAGGACTGCGGGAGTGGGAGGGGTAGGAGGAGACTGGGCTGATCTTCCAGACATGTCATCTAGAACCCATAGGATATCGGGAAAAGAACATACCCAAGGACCAGACCTATATCATTCAAGAAACACTAGTTAGCCTAGCCGTCTTCCAATGGCAAGGGGTTCTTAACCGCGACGTACCGAGAGGGATCAACTCCGGAGGGATTCTCTTCAGAGTGCGCAGACGCTGAGAGATAGTGTGGGCTAGAAGCCAGGCGTTAGTCCAATTCCCACCCCCAACACAACGATCAATCCTGCACGCATCTGCCAATTGCGCAACCGAGGGGGAACCCCATACCGCTGTGGTTTTCCTTCTGTAAATCGGTCAGCCATCATGCCAACTCGCTAGCGTAATTTTTCCCTTGTGCCACGCCGACACGGGGACCGAGACAACTCACAGGAGCAGGAAAAGCGAAGGGCCGGGAGGCCTGCATGCGCAGAACACGAGTCGGGAACATGGCGAAGAGCTTGGGGAGGGTGGTGGTGCAAGAGACCAGAGGTGGGTGTGGGATGGCAAGATCGGAAGTGGTGACGGAAGTCTGAGCTTGCTGGAAGGGGAGGTTGAACCAATGGGCCGAGGGGGGACTTAGGTAAGGCAGTCGGGTGTGTTTAGGAAACCTTGGCGCATGAGTGGCTCGCTAGGCCTGAGGCGGTCACTCGAACTTCCGGCTTCACTGCTTCACGGGTCATTCCACTCCACCGGCCGCAGAACCTCCTCTCTTTCTCCAGATCTCTGCTCCCCCCTCCCCCTCCGCCCATCCCCCCCCAATTCCCCCCAAGTTTCCTTCACGAGTTTACTACTCTTTATATCTTCACAATGGGTGCCATTCCTGAAGCCGATCCCGATGAGCCCGTCGAGACCAAGCCCTTCAAGTTCGTGACAGGTGAGCTTTACCTTCGGCTCCCAATGGGGTCAATTCGTGCTGCAAATGAAGTCAATTGCTAACTATATTACAGCTGGTACGTCTAATATAGGAATTTAAGCATCCGCGTCGCTATCACCACCGTCGCGGTCGAGATTTTCGTGCGCTAACACTTGACGTGATGGATAGGCTATGACGCTCGTTTCCCCCAGCAGAACCAGTACGTGATTTTCACCTCCAGACTCGGCCCCAGCTCTGCATCCCGAACTGACCTTCTCCCCACAGGACCAAGCACTGCTGGCAGAACTACGTCGACTACCACAAGTGTGTCACCGCCAAGGGCGAGGACTTCCGCCCATGCCGTCAGGTAACTAACCGCCATGTCCTCGATGTACAATGCCAAACAACCCACCCTAACCACCGGTAAAACAGTTCTACCACGCCTTCCGCTCTCTCTGCCCCAAGGCCTGGACCGACAGATGGGACACCCAGCGTGGTACGTAATCCAATTCCTTACTATCCTATCATATATCACACCCTCCGTGATATCCAACCCAAGCTCCAAACCATACGCACCAGAACTAACACCATCCACAGAGGCCGGCAACTTCCCCGCTCGCCTGGACCGGTAGATGCGTAACCGCTTTTTATCACAGTTGATTGAAATTTCAAGTGTTTTCCGTGTCTATCAACATGTACTCTACCCTTAGTTGATCCAGCGAGAAATGTTAGATCCGGACCCCCAGACACGCCAACTGGGAGAGATGGGTGTATATAGACTCGCGTAGTTGGAATGGATGTGCGAATGTCTATCACTGTAGTTCTGTAGATGCCTACCACACAGTATATCATCCCATATAACCCAACCCATCATATTGAATATGATTTGTTCCTTTAACCCGGTATATACCGACCCGAACCGACCGGATAAAACTCCCACCGGATATTTACCTAGACAGACAATACCTACCCTAAGTAGCAAATACTACCCAGCCAGGTACCAGGTACATCATCTACCCCGGGCAAATAGGCTACAACCAAAGTACTCCGGGTACGCGGTAGACACCACTAAGATAGTAGAGATCGTATGATCAGCTATCTAACAACCTACTAGAGATTGCTTACGATCTGCTTATCTCATTCATCTACCCAGCAAGCTCTAATCTACCAACTAACCAACCAATCAAATCCCATGCATATCCAAATGCATATCCAACAACTCACCTCCATTAGAATGACCCAACTCCGACAACAATAAGAGAGTTAAATAGCATTCACTCTGTCTACTCTATCTAAGCCCTTTCCGTCTCTAACTGAAAAGATAGAAAAATAGGTACATCGATAGATCAAGCATAGGGAACCATCCAAGCGCATTCTCTATAAAGATCTAATCTAATCAAACATATCGCAGAGGGATGTTCTCGAGCCGAGAACTGGTAGTGAGAACCACATGTGTAGCCACGAGAGAAATGGGATAAAAAGGAAGGAAGGGTATGTAGTGCTGTTCCAACGGGATCAAAACACAGACAGATAGACACAGAAACTGGAGGACAGAAGTCGCGCAAGCCAGCCCAAGAGATAAAAGCAGAAAAAAAAAGTAGTCTATGGATTATGTACAGAAGTATGATCACAGAAAAGAAAGAAACAAGACTTTTGTCCTCCCGGTAATGCTTCGCCAAATAAAAAAGGAGATCAGAGAGAGAAAGAAAGAAAGAAAGCGAAAAGAAGAAAACCGTCTATGCCGTGAACGAGAAAATCGGAACGGATATCACAGATATATGTGTTGAACAAGAAAACGGGCAAAAACAAAGCACGAATACAACCATCTATGTCTTAGTGCTTGCCGGTCTCGGGAATACCCTTGAACAGGCGGTAAAGCTTCTTGTGTTCTTCGAGGAAGATGAAAGTAGCGATGGTATGGGGACCCAAGCGAATGAAACTGGGAACCCAGCCGCGGAAGGCCCAGGCAAGACCCTCCTTGCGGGTAATATCGCGTAGCAAGCCCAGGATGCTCTGGCCGCGGCCCTCAGCGGGGGAGGCGCTCATGACGCGGGTCTTGATGACGTCCACAGGACTGCAGACAGTGGTAGCGACGAAGCCGGCCATGAAGGAGGCCGTGAAGTGCGTTCCCATGTTATCGGACATGCCGAGGTTTTCGATGCACAGGCGCTTGAAGGAGTCGTAGGTGGCCAATTGGGAAGTGGTCATGAGAACGGCACGGGTCGAGTTCGGCCAGACTCCACGGAATAAGCTGGCGAGACCCTCGGTGCGGGACATGGTCGCCAGACCGTGCAGCGCATTGCGGTAGTTGCGGCGCTGGGCCGGGGGAAGGGCGGCGTCGGATTGCATGCGCACGTTCATGACGTCGGCGGGATTTCCGGCAATGCCGCCGATGAAGCCGGAGGTAGAAGCAATGCCGATCAGGGTTAGGAGGCCAGGAGGAGAGTCCGGGGATGTGAAGTGGTTTTTGAGTTCCTCGTAGATACCGAACCGTGTGGTAGAGTAGGTGATCTGGCGCAACATTGCGGCAGACAACTATACTCGCTGGTCAGTTGAAATGGACCCTCTCTGATATGGGACTGGCCTGAATATCGATTGGTACGTACCCCGCTGTATAGACCCCGGAATCCGTCATTCTTGAACACATGTCCGAAGGTGCCGATCATAGTCGAGGGGGCACCGGGCCCACGGGTTTGCAGACGGACCTGTAGATTTTGAAGCGTACATCGATCAGTGTCTGGCGATAACGGAGTATAGGACCGAGAAAGCGAGAAAATCAGGGGATTCGTGTATCGATCCGGGAGGCGAATTTACCTTGACTGCAGCGGAACATTAGTTTCCTGACCAGCATAGTTTTAAATTTAGAGCTTACCAAGATCCAGAGGATGAGTGACGGCAGCCGCTAAGCATGATGCTGAACCACCAAACCAGAAAGGATAATGAACTTTTTTTGCAGGGGCTGGGACAACCGCAGGCTGCGGAGGATGCGACGCCTCCAACTTCGCACCGCTTGCCATGGTGGACATTTCAGCGGAGGGAAGATCCCGGGGAGGGGGGAGAGAGAGAGTGGGGAGGGGAGAGGGAAGAGAGGGAGATTGAAAGTTGGAGAGAGAATGAAGGCAATTAATGAGCCGAACAATAATAATCTTCGTCTGACGAGCGAACGAACGTAAGTGGTAGTAATAATACGCTGGTAATCCTGGTCGGCGCCGGCCATAGATCAAGTCTCCGAAGCCCTGCCTTTCGGCTGCGCTAACCGATCCTGGACCACTTCGGCCAATCAGTGTCTCGGTTTCCCGCGGTCGGACGGAGGCCGAGCGGTAATGCTCGGTAATGGGGGTATTTCAAGTAGCCTTCTCCAGAACCGCGGGGCGACTCCATCGTGATTGTCTCGCGAGGTAATTGCATCCTGCTGCTGTCGGTCTTTCAATTGCCTCCGATTGATAGGGAACAAGGAGATCAATTGGTTGTAGCTTTTTGTTAGCCTGTCGGCTGACCTCGACAGCAGTATTCGATCAGACCCTGTTTGGTTCGCCACTACGTCACGCTGCATATGTCCCATGCGGTCGAATAGATTAAGGTACGATACGAAGCGGCTACGCTGGGTGAGATGATCACGCATCATCCATAGGATGGTCTTGGTTTTGGATCCTGGCATCGTAGGGAGAAAGGTAATTTATCCTAGCGGGAGGATACACAGTTATGGTACAAAAGGGCTGGTCGGCAGTGTCCTGCATATAGTACATCACAGCAATCGGCAGTAGAACCCGCTACAATCAGCGGAGCTCGACTCCCAGCAAGTTCACAAGCTTTTGGCGCACCCTGTTATGTAGGTTGTTCGTCTTTTCATTTGTTAGTGTGCGCTCCAAGCTCCGGTAGTTAATGCGGTAGCACATGCTCTTCCGGTGTGTCTTGGGGTGAGTGAACTCGTCAATGAGTGACACATCCTCCACCAGATCTCCTGCCTCACCACGGACAATCTCCATGATGTCATTTTCATGAACAGGAGAAGCTCCGCCCGCAGCACTGCCACCGCTGACGGACGCGGAGGGGAGCCAGAAGGCCACATCCTTGTAGCAGGCAGGGTGCTTGGAGAATGGCTCAAATCGGGTGATCTCACCCGCTCTGAACTGGGAGAGGAATCGCTCATCACGCGACCAGAACAGACGAATATCCGGGATGTTGAAGAGAAGCATGGCGATGCGCTCTAGACCGATACCAAACGCCCATCCGACGCGGCTCGGCACGTCCGAGTTGTTCAGCAGCTCCTGCTTGATAACACCGCAGCCGAGGACCTCGAGCCAGTCTCCCTGCCAGAAAACTTCCAGTTCCCAGGATGGACTGGTAAAGGGGAAGTATGCCTCCACCCAGCGGACCTTCAAAGGCTCGGGTTGTTCGGCGGCCCCGGCGGCGGCTTTACTGGCCTCAGTAAATATCTTGATCACCATGCGCTCGAGTGACCGTTTGAGATGGGCGGCGATGGCCTCGACTTCCTCCTCACTGTGGTATTCAGCCTGCAGTGGGTTCCTCTCAGCATGAATGGTAGGGTTGGGGTCCTCGACCTCGACATCATGAGTCGGGATTTTATTGACATCCTTCATGATCTTCGCGGCAGTTTGGCTCGCATGCTTCAAGGGCTCGTTATCCGGACGCTTCCAGAGCATGGCACCTTCCATCTGATGGAAAATCGGGTAGTGGCTGCGGTCAATTGCATCCCTCCGGTACACATCAGCGACAACAGTATATCCAACTTCCTCAGGCCGCGTGCTCTCATTGCGACTGATCTGCTGGAAGTATGCCTGTTGGTGGGCACTAGTGTGTGTTCTCAAAACCGTCTTATCGTTGATGTAGTAAGTGTCCGTCCGACTCCGGCCGGGGTGGTCCAAGGGGAAGCCTAGAACATCGAAATTCTGCGCAGTCGAAACCACGGGGTTCTTTTCGGTATAGTTTCCAAATGCTGGACCGGGGAACTGACTCTCAATCAATTGGCGTGTAATTGCTAGCGGGTGGTTCTCATCGAGGTATAGCCGACGTCCAACGTGGGAGAGAATCGTTTTCGGGGTGTTTGTCCATTCATCTGCTCGGTAGGACTGGCCTTCAATGGTCAAGGGTTTCGGTGAGCGCCGTGTGGCGGGCTTTTGATCAGCATCTGTGTTGTCGCTGGACCGGCGGATGGCCGAAGAGCTCCAGTCTCTCCGCTTCACGGCCAAAGGCTCGGAGAATTGCGAAAGCGGGATGCGGATGCTGCGACGGGTTGAGGCAATTGCCCATCTGGCGCTACTTGCGCGCAGGGCCCTCCCTGTGGCAAAGAGACGCATCTTTGAGTGCTGTGTGGTGCGGAGTGCAATTCACAGCTGGATGCGGCGCTGGAGAGCTCCGAGCCGTCAAAACGCATCGGGCCGGGAAAATGAGCCCCCGAAGAATATGCGACGGTCAATGATAACTTCTTATTTTCCATCAACCGGGAGAGACAATTGCTTGCTTGCAATAGAGGACAATCATCATTGTCATTCTTGTCCTCAATACACCGGAGAAACCAAAATGATCGACAACCCGATAATTCATGTCTTACGGTAGATACTACGAAGCACGCTTTAAACTCATCAGCCGATTGATCAGTGGACTTTCTATTAGTCGTCTAGATCAAAACACCCTACATTGCCATCGAGACAACCGAGGTGATGCAAGAAAAACAACATGATCCAATGCCATGCAAACGTCATCCATATCCGGGTCAATGCCAATCCCAACATCACAAGACCACTTTTCATGAGGAAAGAAAAGGAAAGACACCAGCCAATGATATGATACAGAGTAGGGAGGAGAGAGTTAAGAAGCAACGCCAAGAAACAGAAGAGCAGAAGCAAAAGACCACACAGGAAAGGTGTATCATACACATGCGTTCATAGACAAAGCAACAGTGATCCGGGGCGGCCCCAGCTGTTCTAAGCCCCGTCGAATTAACATAAGTCGATCCCCATCATAGCGAAGACATATTTGGTATATTATACAGGAAGATAAGACAGGGATTCAAGAAAGGAGAAAGGGTCAACGTATTTGGAGAAAGGTCTAGTTGTTCTTGACGACACCGACCTTAGCAGCCTATAAATATATATTAGCATAACGTTTCCGCAAATAAGTCAGAAGCAAGCACTTACCCGCAGAACGCGGCCGTTAAGGCGGAAACCAGTGCTCTGAGTGTACATGATGTCGCCGTCCTCCTTGCCCTCGACCTTGGCCATGAAGGTGGCCTCGTGAAGGTTGGGGTCGAACTTCTGGGTCTTGCCTTCCTCAGTAGGCTCGCTGGGGTCGTAGCGCTCGAGACCGTGCTTCTTCAGGGTGTTCAGGAGAATGTTCTGAGTCATCTTCAGACCGGAGACGAGCTCCAAGAGGTCCTTGTTGGCTTCGGTCCGGGGAGCATCAAGCTGGTCCTTGGGCACGGCAAGAAGAGCGCGGTCGAAGTTGTCGATGGACTCGAGAAGATCACCAGCAAAGCGCTGGATGGCGAAGTTACGAGAGTTCTCCATATCACGCTTGGTGCGCTCCTGCAGGTTGAGGAAGTCTGCCTTGGAACGAAGCAACTTGTCCTATTGAAAGAGTTAGAAAAGGTCATGAGGCGCCTTCAATTACAGTAGAAAGCAGAGCAAAGGGTTGTTTGAGCGAGCGCTCCGATTAAGAGCTGGGGAGTTTTACCTTCAAATCGAGGGCCTCCTTCTTCTTCTCCTCGAGCTCCTTGCGGACAGGGTCCTCGGCCTCCTCAGCAGCAGCATCGGCCTTCTTCTCACCGTTCTCAGTGGAGTAGAAGCGGTAGGCAGACTGGCGGGCAATTGGACGAACGGCCTGGGGAAGCTGTGACGTGCGACGGAGAGCCGATGTGGTGGTGGAGGTTGGGCGGACGGACAGGAGAGACCGCTGGGCCTGTCTGAGGAAAGTTCTCTGGAACATATTGGGAGATTAGAAGGTCAAAGTCCGTGACAATGGATGAAAGAGCAGGGATAGGCAGTGAATGGAGTCGCGAGGTTGAATAAAAACAAAATCGCCGATATCGAAACAGAACTTTCGGCGGCTTCATCTGACCGCCTTCGCCGGGAGAAACCTCGGCCCGGTAGATCGCGTGCCTTCCAGTGATCATACCATTGCAAGGCTCCTGCTGAACTGTGTTTCTAATTTTCTTTCATGAAGAACAATACCTTCTTACGCTTTCACCAATTGATCAGAAGCTGCATACAAGAATCATTTACCATGACTGCATTATCTGGTAAATATGAGCATGGCAAGGTTCCTCCGATACAGGAAGGCGGTAATTGCCGCAGTGGGTATATTGCCTGTACAACCACCCTGTCCCACGTGCTCATTTGTACTGATATTCTGAAGGGAGCAACTTGCGCTCTGCAGAATGGTTGGCGAAGGTATAGAGGGTATGGAAGAAGCCAAGGTATTCAGTGAAAGGCCCTGCCAGCTCTCAAGGGATTTTTCGTCCTTGTTCTATAGAATGGCGCTGGAGCAAGACCGAAATCTTCTTTCTACAGCTACTGAAAGAGGTCAGGTATGAGTAGCGCATAGACTCCGGTACTTGGTCACTGTGAAGATGGCGGTTCAATGCAGCAGACCCTCATCCATATTGGGTCTACCCCGCAATCAGCGAGGCTGTGCTGAGTTGCAGTTGTCCCACAGGATATGTTCCATCTATTGGCAGATGTACGCTTATTCAGAGCACGAATAAGGATATTCGGCTCTGTTTATCACAATTGCGGGAACATAGGGCCGACATGTCCCGGAGCCGTGACGCAAGCCTTTGCACAACAGATACGCAATATGTGTAACTGACAAGGAAAACTCGTGTTCAGCACGCAGATGACCTCCGGCTCAGAGAATGAGACTCGAGCCATAGATGGATCTTTCGCCTTCTGAATATCATCGGAAATGACCGAACTGTTTTCCTCGAATTTCCTCGGTCGAGTCCATTAGTTAGCGGGTGGCTTCATCTATCAAGAAGGGGTGGATAATGCACCAGCTAACACAAGCCACTACATTTGAATACCCATGTTCAAAGCCAGTGGCAAGTAGAGATTGAGGGCCGCTCAGGGTGGGTCTGGAATGGGACAACCCCTCAGACGGCAAATAAATGGCATCTCTTCAATGATACGGCAGCCCGGATATGGGATGATAGTTCAGGTTCCATCCACAGGATATCAAAGCCGTCTCAGGCTATGGCATTCCCTTGAATTAGGGAGTATTAGCGTCCGCCTCCAATGATATGACGGCTCATTGGCAGACACCATAAAGATTGTATGGCAACTTTGACTGGATGACCCGGTGGTTATAAAGCCTTGGACGGCAGAAACGAGACGGCCTAAGTAATCCTGGATAAAAGCCAGCGAGCAACTACTGCCTAGGCAGAAGAGATAGAGGCGTCGAATGAGGTGGGGGAAACGGTTCACATGAAACCCAACTCCATGGCGTATTTCTGGGTCGCTTTTGGTGAGCTATCAGCTGAAGCTGCGCCCAAATGCCAAGGATGGTATCCAAGATGAGCCTACACAAACCCAAAGAAGGCAACGAAAAGATTCATCCAGATGGCCCCCAAGATCAATGGTTCCTACCACTGATGGTCGAGACGAGTGCGGAACAAAGGCGTTGCTCAGTATGCGATAAGCGCAGCTGCCAAATCAATATAGTATAGAGCAGATCTGCCTGGGGCTCTGCAGTCACGTTTCAGTGCATGCGCCCTCATGAGCCGAGCCAGAAAGGCTTGTATCGGTTGATCCAATGCCTTGCTTTGGTATAGGAAGCTGTGGAGATGATAGTCATGCATCTTCCTGTCAGTCGGTATCGATAGCCTCAATGAAGGCTAGATTCTACGAGGCATTCCCGTGAGGCTCGATGTACATCTGTTGTCACAGCCTACATTTGGCTAACCAAACGCGCCAGATTAATCAGATTGGACCCTAACGAGCGGGTGCATTGCATGACGGAGACGATACCGGGGCAGCCGAGTGGCTATGCCAGTGACCGGTCCGGTGGTCAGAGCTCAGGGCTTGGTTCATGCAGTGTCACCCACGCCCTCTCCAGGCAGACAGGAATCGGCCGCAGAATAGGAGAACAAGGAAAGGATGAGATAAGCCGCACACAAATTAAAGGGTCTCAAGGCATCATGAGCCTTGCAGGAAGCCACTTTACAACCGAGTCAAAGACCGTTCTGGAGATGAGAGCATGGGCAAGGCCACCAGCCAGAAACAGTAACTGTAACTCCGTCGCACAACGCAAAGAGGCTGTAGATAAAGTTGAGCGGAATCTGGCGCTGCAGGGTCCTGGGCCCGGGGCATTGGCGATGGTGACAGCCAAGCCGCCTCACGTCTGGAAGGCTTGGAACGGAGCCGAATACGTGGCCAATTAGTATAAGTGGTGGCGGGGGCGTGTTATGCATGGGCCAAGGTCAGAATCTTGCCTGCCTGGAGTAGCAATGCCGATAGCTTGGGGCCATCAACAGCTGGGGACCGTAGGTATCCGTATTCCGTGATCTGCGATTCATCACCGTCTCTCCACTGTCGGGGCGGAGCTGCATGTCTGCGGAGAAACCGGAACCATGGGACGTGTGAGATCCTCAAGGAGTAGGTAGATACAGATAGGGGCAGAGAGAAACTAGTGGGCAATCATGTGTCACTATCAGTGGGCACGACGTATGTGTAAACGATGCCGGGGCTGGTGATGGAGTCACATTGGACACTAGCGAATTGAGGATCGTCTAGGATACTAGCAGCCAGGGACCAGAAGTCATTGACACTACTCCGTACCTACCCTAGTAGGGAGCAAAAGAGTCAAGCCACAGTTGAATTCATGACTGCAACGAATGCGAGACTCGCAACGGACCAATAATGGAGGCAATTAGTGGCAATAGTGGCCGTTCAGCCACAGCTTGGCCTTTGGGCATGTGGCGAATGCCGCCCGCGTGCGGAGATCGCCAGGAACGAAAATGGGCAAAGCCCGAGTTTTCTGGAGGGCAGTGCACCACCTAGACGCAAAAGCGGGCGCTGCGCCTCCCAAGTCAACGAAGACGGCCTTTGCACTCGCGCCTATAAGACGCAAGCGGATGCGTCTGCAGAATCCAGATATTATCTACTACTCCTACTACTGCTACTCACTTCAAGATCAAATCAAGATTGGATGTTCCTGTGGTTGTGGTTCACGCCTTGAATAAGCGCCCGCCAGTCGACGTCCCGCCGCTTATCTATCTGCATTCCACTCGCTTTATCATCGCCGCCTCCTCCTCTCCTCCACTTCTATCTACCTTCTACTCTACCATCAACCTTCTCAACTCAACTCTTACCTCCACCATATTCTAACAACCACCAACACAATTAACACAATTAACACAATTAACACAATGAACACAATGAACACAATGAACACAATGAACATGAACACATCACCTCCCCAATATCTCACCTCCTCTCCCTCCTTCGGCGCCCGTCGGTCCTCGGCCTCGTCTCGCCCAGCTCTCACTCTGGACCTGACCAACCTGCCACCGCTCTCTCAACCCACGCCTCCCTCTAACACTCTCATCATCACCGATCTCAACGACCTCGTCCTCTTCCAACCCAACTCCCTCGCTACTCTCCGCGCCTACCTCGAATCTCTCGCGCCCCTCAACTCGTTCTCTCCCCTCCCCTCTCTCCGTCGAATCGTTTGCTCCTTCCACACGGACTCCGACGCTCTCCGCATCCGCAAACTCCTGACCGGCGCACCGCTCCTGGACCGTCCCGTCCGCCCGAAGGTCTACTTCGGCGAACCCACCCCCATCCTCGCCGACATGGAATCGCGCCCCAAGCTCCTCGAGGCACCTCAAATTGACAAGCTCTTCTTCATCAGCCCGCCCCCGTCTCCACCCCACGGCTGGGTCATGCGCCAGGAGGACCCCCCGAACAAGGAAGTCCACGCCAGCGATCTCGCCCACGCTCTCGCAAAGCTGAAGACCGAGCAGTCCGGTGCGGAGGTGGAGCCAGTCCCAACGGCCATGGCCTCCATCGAACCCGGGACCCCCATGTCCATGACCTCTGATAAGAGGACGGGGAGCTGGCCCGTGGCCCTGTCACAGACCCGCAGTCGGAGCAGCACGCTAATTTACCACCCCGAGGACCACGGGGGCAGCCCCAACCTGCCGGCCGTCATGGTGGAGGATACGAGCGCCTTCCCTGATGAGGATATGGACATGGATGTCGATATGAGCCCGATTGAGATGCCGGTTAAGAAGATGCCGCCTAAGACGTCGCGGCCACCGGTGGAGCTGATGGAGGGGATCTGAGCGCAGTGTTCCACTGCCTTCTTTCCTTTCTATCGGCTTTTGAGTGTTATTTATTTGGCCTTATTGTACAGTCTGGCGCGCGGGGGTGTTTCTACTATTACTTGGCGTGCGTGGGATGCATTGTTTTTTTGGGCCATTAGGGTTTGCAGTTAACATTGATGGCGTTTCTCTTGGGATGGGAGATTGTCTTGTGCGCATACATACAGCATTGGTTATGAAGCATATTTCAGCATCGTTGGCTTGGTTTTCTTAATTTCTTTTCATCTGTGATCGATTCTACAGGCCGGTCGGTATACATAGTGGCATACATAAAATGGACCTCCCCTTTTCAAATTGTGCATCGTGCGTAGTGCAAACATATCTTCATTTTGTAGATATGGCTTCAGCCAGCAGCATATCTAAGTATCTAATCAAAGAGCACCACGGCACTGTGCTGGACGATCTCCGGACCCAGCACCGCCGCCAACTCGGCAATGATTCCCTTGACTGATTGCGGGTTATTCAGAGGCATTGTCTCCCACCCGACGAGGTCCTGTAAAATTAACGAGTCAGAATGCATACATCTAGATAACTTCGATGTAGATAACAAGGAGATGTGCTCACAATCATATGTACGAATGATCCATGGTACAGAAGGAACCAGTGATCCAAGTCCAGGGCTTTAACTTCGTCTATTGTCAGAGCTCCAGGCATGTGCAGGTCGAAGAGGGACACTTCTTCGTCGTTGATTTCAGCATCTGCTTCGGCGCGATCGTCCCGGGGGTTAGTGTTGGGTTGTCTGTCCCGAGAAAGAGAGACATAGGGCCATTCATCGAGCTTCTTGGAGAGTTCTCCATCGAGAGGGTCCCATGTGTAGGTCTCTGGGTCTGTATGGGTGTGTTAGCTGTGTCTTGGGGTACTCGGGGCTTATTTAATAGACTGCTGGGAATTACCTAAGATATACTGGGGGCGGAAGGTGCCCTTGTAGCGCATCTTCTGGCAGGAGTGGATGTAGTAGCCTGTTGGTCGACTTAGTTGGGTTCACATAGAGATGTCAAGGGTGAATAGCCTACCCATGTAGTAATACTGGTATTGAGCTTCAACCGCAAGAGCGATTTCTCGCACTGCGCTGAGTTTACCAAACTCCAACTGCTCGTATTCCGGATCATAGCTTCACTTGTTAGTTGTGTGCACTGCTGCTTGCAGTCAGGTACTTACAAGATATAGACCGAGCTCACCCCGTTTGGCATGAGGTCCAAAACTGCCACGGCGATGAGTTTTCCATCCAGTCGGTAACACTGGTGCCACGACCCTAGCTTCTTTTCGTCCGACTTGGCGGAATTGGCAGGTGACCGCGTCAAGCCTGAGCAGAGGAAGCGCTTGAAGTCCTTGTTTGACCATTTGGAGACATCCTCTTTATGCACCGCGGTTTGGTACTTGAGGAACAGCTCGTATCTCGGGAATGTAAGCCTAAGTCATCAATGATAGGCAACAGTGTACTTACTTGGCCTGGGAGATGGAGTCGCCCTCCAGGTTCACCTCGAAGCGATGAGCAGGCTCTAGGTGCTTCTTGGTTTTCGGGTCAATGGGCCGCTTTACGTTGTTGTATTCGGCCTCGTGGACGACACCGAGCACGTCAAAGTTGCACTTCCGATGCTTCTTCTCCCTACGACATAAGTCGATAAGCCCACATACTCCACCGCATTGGACGGGTTTACTTACTCCCGCGTCTTGGGGCAGAGATATGCTGCTCTACGGATGTACTCTGGACCAAGAACAAACTTGTTCCAGCGGTTGATTGCCTTCCGTTGGTCTTTCCTGGGCGTAAAGGCGGAAGCCTCGAGCCTGCAAGAGTCAACGGAGCGGATCAAGAACGGGGATTGGACTGATTACGCACCTCATCGTATAGTGAGGGCAGCATGATCGTTGCAGGTTCTGCTTGTAGTACAGTGTCCCCGACCTAGGCCAGGATCAGCAACTGACAGCCAGACGGATGGTATGTGGCTCGCATTACGAAGGCGAACCGCCGTACCTTCTCCAGCCCCTATTGACAAGGGACTCATAATGCGCCGGGCGTACAGAGAGCGAACTAGTGTAGTAAGAGGCACCTGCAGTAGACGCGCATCAGCGGTCCCATCCGGCAGCACGACGACATTTCCGCGATTGACTACAGAGGAGAATCCGAGGTGGGTCCGGAGAGACTCACTGCCATTATCGGATTTGCAGTAACCACAAGAGTTGCGCTGGTAGCCTAGACAGTCGAGTTAGGGCATGTTGATGCAGCCAAGATGGTGGAAAGCCGCAGGGGACTCTGGTTTGTTGATCGGAGAATATCTGCACTAGTGACGAGACAGAGTGGGCTTGAATGGGATGGAAGAGGACAGATGGTACAATGTGTATCGTGGTGCTTTTGGCCATTGCGGCCGTCAATGGAGGGGAAGCTGTGGATGAGGGGCAGCAATAGTACATCAGGATTCAGCGGGAGGGGCACAGAATTCCGATCTAGAGGATCGGTGGAAGAGAAGAGTGACTAGGGCCAATAACCACTGCACGGGGAAAGGGAGACTAATCTGACTGGCTGCTTACCAAGAGGTCGGAAGAGCGACAGCTTCCTCGCCTGTTCGGCATCGACGATGGGCTCCATGGCGTGTCGTCCTCGCGGGCAAGTAGTGCGATGGAGAACGGCTTCGCTGGCAGCGCTGACGGCGGGAAAGGCAGAAAAAAAAGCAAACGGAACAGAACCAGGGGAGCACCGGGAGCAAATGGCCCGTCAACAAGAAAGAAGTCAGGAGATCGGACTGGCTGTTGAGGCAGTCGGAGTTAGTAATGGATGGATGGATGATGTTGATGCGGCGGGAAGAGAACCAAGACCCTCAGGCAATACTGTCAAACATTGCCCCTCAGGCAGGCAACCGGGGATTCTTAAGCACGCCGGGCGCTGGATTCTACAAAACTACCTGGTTTCTCCAACACGGAGAACTGGGGGATATCTACAGGTCGCTCGAAATTAGTCGTGCATTATCGTAGGCCTCCGCAGTCTCCGGAGCTGTTCCCGTCACTTCCCCGGGAGGTGGAAACAAGGTTGAAGGGGTCGTTCACTCGGCAGAAGTTCATGATGCTTCTAGAAGAGGACCTGAGCTGCTGCAGCCCATGTCGCTGCGGCATGTAAGATCAGAACCGCCAGCCCCTGGTCCTGTTGTCTCTTTGGTGACAGCTGCCGTGAGGCTTAATCATTCTACCCCGTAACTATCCTCCACACCTGTCTTTTCTTTTGCCACCAAATGGCACGGCAATTCGGAGATGAAGGCAATGCGGAGCTGGCGGCCTACTATAGTACAAAGTACAAAGGAGCGACTCAACCACTGTTACTGCAAGTTGGTCATAGCTTCTCCCAATAGCTCCATTGCCCTTTTCAACCAAGTACAGAGGAAGTACTATGAAGTACTCCCCTAGGTCGAGGGACATGGTCACCACTACGTAGGTTAATACGGTGATGACTGAATGAGGCGGAGAGGGTTCGATCGATACGGTATGGTCTGCCTCCATACGAACAGCCCCCGTTACGATACGGGTATGTAAAGCTGGCGGTACCTGAACACCTGAACGGACTCAATCGATCGAAGCGGAAGTTGGCCAAGTGTCAATCCTCGCGACGAATTCTTGCTGTGTCGTGGGAGCTAAGAGTTGCTGGAATGTGGTACGGTGCGCTGCTGGACGATCCTGGAATCTCGCCCAAATCAGAATCCTCCTAGCATCGGCGCTCCGAAGGCAAAGTGGCCTGGATTTCACAGCCGATGCCCCAGACCATGACATCACGTGCAGCAGCCCCCCCAACGTCCAAGCATCATCGGCATCATTATGGCCGGCGATGCTAGGATCTCAGGATCCGCACCGCAACAGATCGCTGCTGTGTTGTCGCGTCCAGATCCAATCGCCACCAGGGAGTTTCTCAAGCCACTATTAATTCTTCTGTGCAGGCTACCTCAGTAGTTTCAATCCTTTGCAGTTAGTCACCGCATTGTCCGAGCAACATCAACGCTCTGATCGACCCCATGGTTCCTCGGCGGTGGGCAGGCAGGGTAAGTATCTACTGGGTAAGTGGTAAGTAAGTAGGTAGGCCCTGGACGCATACATCATCACCCACGCGCAGGTCGGTCGGTCTGGATGCCTTTTGCCTTCATTGTTGGGCTGTCGCATGCGCATCCCTTGTTCTTTGTCCGGAAGGAGGTCACAGCTGCAGACAAATAGGAAAACTCAGAACAGCCACCCTCCCGGTCATTCGAGGATTTGGCGGCCGGCCGAGTGGTTTGCTGGTGCCCCGCATCCGCCCAAATCAACCTTTTTTTTTTCTTTGCTGGTGATGCCGGTGACATCGGTGTGTCTTCCAATAAGCCAGCACGGATCCGAGGGACCTAATGTATGCAGGGCATGCCGTCGCACTTTATGGTATCCAATCCGTAGCTTGCGCGCAGGAAGAACGGGAAAAAGGAACTCAAAATCCTCACAAGTAGATGAGGTGCATCCAACTAGACAATTTACCACCACTCGTCTCTGCAGCGTGCAGCTACCAAATTTATCCCTCGGAAATAGCACAACACGTAGCAGGTACCACCGGATCGCATGTGGAAGACCAATCTGATATCATTCGTTGATGAGATGCGCTACGCGGAAATGTTACATAGAGCTACCAGGTATAGTAGATGACTTGAGAGTTGGGATACATCTGAACCAAACCTAGTCGAATGTCCGGCAAGCAGATCTGCTGGTGGATAATTGGAGCCGAGGGGAGGAGCTGCGAGTCGCAGACTGTTCCACATCGAGTGTTGGATTACTATTACACAGCCATCTGAGAACAGGCACAGGTTCCGTCGTACGGAGTACCGCATCCAGAGTTAGTAAACGAGGTGGATCGATCCCGGTTTTGCTTCGGGTTTTGCTCTTCACCGTGATTCCGTTGGGCTGAACAGGTATAGTATTAGGACTTTTGTTGTAGATAGAAAAAGGGGCCACGAATAATGATAATAATAATAATATCTGAGTGAATATTACTAGAGGATCAGAACCCAAAAAGGGGTTGCCAATATGTCATCAGGGCCGGTCCTAATTCACGATGGAATGAAAGCGGTTCATCTATCATTAACTATAATTCCCACGCTGAAACCACGACACTAGCGCTTACGGCGGATAGACGAGGTCCGGTTGCTTCCCTCATAGTAATAATGCGAAAGCCGATGGAGACACGACTTAAACTAAGCTAAATTATTATTCCATGCTAATATGTGTCGAAGGGGACTCTCTGTTCCACTAGTCTGGGGCCCTAGTTTGATAGTGCCACAGGGCCTGAGGTAGGTAAATGATGGGCGAAGAGACGCAGCCGTAAGTACCGAATCAACCGAGCCGCGAGTTAGGGACACGGAGCTGCAGTGTCCTCAGACTCGGAGTCTCAGACAGAGAGAGAAGACCCCCTCCAGAACCGTCAAAGCAAAATTAATTCCGTTGTGTGGAAGAGAACTCCTGATCCCTTGGTCCAGCCGGTTGCTGTGGAACCCCGAAGAGCCCGCAGGCCCTCGGGAGACTCAGGAGCAGTTCATGAGAGGGCAACAGACCTAGTTTGTCACTCGTGGACGCGTGAACCTCCAATTCGACCCAGAGGCACAGTAGTAGTAATACACCATCCGGAGGTACCAGCATAGCGGGTAGGAGCAAGGCCCCAATAATGGATGGCTCTCGGTCACACTCCACCATTTACGTAGCCGGACGTACAACTGGGGCTGGGGAGGGGATTTACGACGAAGGCAGGGAGATTAATACTATTATTGGATCAATCAATAAAAAAAGGTTGAGGAGACCAGAGCGCCCCTGGAACCAGAATAATAGTACCACCAAAAAAAAAAAAAGATCCCGGCGATTAGAATGATGACACTATAGTAAGCGCTGGAAAGACCAGGTAGCATAGGCTGACCGGGGGGGGAACGCCAGCAACGGCGGCAGTTCTGTCGCGGCGGTACCTGTATCTGTAACTGTAAGGTACTAGTACCTATCAGATGACCGAACGACGCGTATGGTTTGAGCAATACGGAAGTGCAGCGCGCCCGAGTGACGCCAGAACGCAGCAGAAAGCAAGCGGGAAGGCGAACGGGGTCGACGATCGGTATAGTAACGGGGTGTACACCAACCGTACCGCCCAGCGCAAAAGCCAAAGGGCAAAGGGCAAAGTCCGCTCCGGGCGAGAGAGAGCCTGAGGGAGTCGACCTTCCAGGCCGGATCGCGCCGCCCATTACTATCCCCAAAGCTGTCTCTGATCCCCCCCTCCGTCCTCTCGCCTCCCCCCCCTCCGGTCCCTCTCTTCCTCCCTCTCCTATCCTTTCCCTTATTTTCCTGCTGTTCCTCCGATTATGATGTCCATTTATCTTCACACGTCTCTCTCGAGGTTCCCTCCGCCGCGGGAGTGATCGCGGATATCTAGTCCCTGAAACTTCTCTCCAGATTTTTCTCCCAAAAGTTTCCTGGCCTTGCTCGACCGCCTGGCCCATTTTCGCTTCGGGAACAGAAAACAACCTGACGGTTCACCGGCCAGCTCTCATCCACCAGGCTGGGGCGCTTGTTTCAAATCCCCGTCGCCTGTCCTTTTACGCCTCCCTCAGCACTCATAGTGTCGTCACGCTCGTGGTCTGAGTTGGTGTCATTGACCTTTTCTTTATCTCGAATCGTTCCATTCCTTCCATACCTGTGTCGCGTGAACCACAGCTCTGTTGTGTCCCACTGGTTTCTGGATTCTCGCTATATAGACCGTGTTATAGACCTTGTTTTCTCTCCTATTCTTATTGTCTCCTCTCCTTCCATTCCAAATGTTCAAAATGGCGGATCACCCGCGTTCAATGGAGTCCAGGGTGGGACGCAAAAACCAACGTGAGTGAGATCCCGGGCTTGTAATCCCACTTACATTGCCCTACAATGTTGTCTTGGCTGCCCTCCCGCGCCTCAAAACTCCTTGCTGTATCATACATCTTCACTTGTCGCGCAACTTTGCTGATCCGCATGTGCGTAGGGTACGGACCGAAAGGTGAACGACTCGTGGCCGGTGTGGTTCCATTGTCGACGGACAAGACGAAGGTGCTTATGATCCAGTCTGCGGGACGTGGCGGCTGGGTGCTTCCCAAAGGTGGTTGGGAGACCGATGAAGTAAGCGCCCAGCAAGCTGCCTGTAGAGAAGCGTGGGAGGAAGGCGGGATAATATGCACGGTACAGAAAGACCTGGGGTTGATCCCGGACTTGCGGCCGTCTGCATTATTGACGTCCACGGCCCCGAAGGCGTCCTACCAGTTTTTCGAGGTCACAGTGGACCGGGAAGAGGACCAATGGCCTGAGATGCACAAACGAAAGCGTCAGTGGGTCAGCTATGCGACAGCGGCCGAGGCGCTTGCCAGTCGTCCCGAGCTTCTGGAAGCGCTGAAACGCAGCTCTATGCGGAGGTAGCGATGGCGTACCCTCTCTCACCCATTCAAGTGGGAGGGGAATCCAAAAGATGGAGACTTGCCTGCGGGCGGGAGCTCCATGACGACTTGAAATGATTCTGCAACCGAAAAAGCTACAGTCGATTTTACCTTCTGCTTCGATTCATTTGCTTGAGTTACTGCCTCTGGTTGGCTATACTGCTTTGCTGTTTTCTTTTTTTTAATCTCTTTTCGGGCCATCGATTGGCGGCCCGACGGCTTTGCGCGCGAGGCGCACTTACCACTATAGAATCTCTGACGGAGCGTCAGCATAGAATGTTAGAGGAGTACGGTCTGATGGCGGTCCAGCCGACGGATGGAGCAAAATTTGCTGGGGTCGGCATGACATGGTTTGGGATCGGATCCTACGGTTGGAGCGGGCATCTGCTTTTGGAGAGGGTTATTTCTTTATCGGCTTGATATACCCTTGCGATGACATTGCTGGTTGACTGTGTGGCCCGACAGCCGATCTGGCTTGAGAGCTGCCGACAGGTACCTACGTTGGTGCTGGGATGGACTGCCTTGTGCTCATGCAAGCTAGGAATCTGACCTGCAACGGAAGAAAGCAAGCATACTCCTGATTTTGCGAGGCAGCCGACCACCGGGGCTGACTGTCTGCTCAGTATGTAATGATAGTAAACTTGTAGAGAACGTAGAGCTGTAGACTAGAAGATAGTTCGAATCACCTATCCCGTGTTTTCCCTTAATCTCTTTGATCTCTTTGTGATCTTTTTTCGTCCGATGGAATTGCTCTGCGGCAAACGCAGCAGACGCATTACCCGAACAGGCAAAGCGCGGGCTGCAGGTCGGCGACGAACTTCAACTCGGCTCCGCCATCGTTCACTCTTCATCGCCAGCTTGATCGCTGTTCCATCCCTCACAACTGCCACCATTTCGCTCGTCCTCCTCCAGACACCCCTCCATTTATCTTACAGTTAGCGCCTCTGCGCTGCTAACTCCACCACAACCACCATGGACTACGAGATGGACATCGAGCCCACCGGGCCCCAAGTCACCGTCCGCGAGGTGAGCTACCTACCATACCATACTAACCTCAACCTCAACCTCCCCCATCCATAACCCATCCCCTTCAAACCCCACTCACTAACCTATTCCTCCCCAGGCCGAACCCAACCGCGTCGACTTCAAACTCACCTCCGTGGACCTCGCCTTCGCCAACTCCCTCCGCCGAACCATGCTAGCGGAGATCCCCACCATGGCTATCGACCTCGTGGAAGTAGAGAAAAACACCTCCGTACTCCCCGACGAATTCCTCGCCCACCGTCTGGGCCTCATCCCCCTGAACAGCAAAAACTGCGACCAAGACATCGAGTACACGCGCGACTGCGAGTGCGAGGACCACTGCGCGCGGTGCTCCGTGACGCTGACGCTGCATGCGCGGTGCACGGGCGACGACATCATGCGCGTGTATGCGCGCGATCTCGTCGTGAACGGGGAACGGGCAAACGAGTGGGTGGGAAACCCGGTGATTCTGGACCCCGAGGGAAACGGACCCTTGATTTGTAAGTTGAGACGTGGGCAGGAGTTGAAGATGACGTGTATTGCGAAGAAGGGGATTGCGAAGGAACATTCGAAATGGGCGCCCACGGCGGCGATTGGGTTCGAATATGATCCGCATAACAATCTGCGGCATGTGGATTATTGGTATGAGGAGGATCCGGCGAAGGAATGGTATGTTCTTTTCTTCCTTTCTCTGGGGTCTCGGGTTGGTGTGGAGGGTGAATGGGGGCTAATCGTGGTATTTGGGCAGGCCGGTATCTGCAAACGCAGCATGGGAACACCCCGCTCCTCCGGATCAACCATTCGATTACGACGCCCAGCCGAACAACTTCTACCTCGATGTGGAGAGCATCGGAACCCTCGACCCGGATATGATTATTCAACAGGGCATTACGGTGCTGCAGCGAAAACTGGCCTCCGTGATCTCGTCACTGTCGGGCACTGAGGGTGCGGATCGCAACGGAGTCATGGGCGGAGACGACGAGGATATGATGGGCGTGCGCAGTCCGGATGCGTACGAGCCGCCAGAGGGCATGGATGGTGGATTCACGGCATACGCCAATGGCGGCGCCAGTGCATGGGGTGCCAGTGCAGCAACGCCGTACGGAGTGACACCGTACGGAGGTGGTTATGGATTCTAGACATACCTAGTCTCCCATTCAGCTTACTCCTTTCCTTCACCTACCTCAACTCAAAATAGAGACCAAAGAAGAGGACGAAGGCAAGCTAGCTACCACCCACGACTCAAGAAAAAAACCCAACCAAACAAAACACATCAACAATCACCAAGAAGTAACAACACATACTTCGAATCAACAGCATTAGGAAGGAGTTCGGGGTTTCTACCTTACTTTCCATTTCATTTCCATCTCAAGTTCTGGCTGGGCGTGCGGATTTGCTTCTCATTACTTACTTTATACTTTTGCTTTTTTTTTTGGGCCTTACTATGCAATATGCACTACGCTTCTTGATTACTTCCTATCTTCGCTTCCTGCCTAGGGATCACTAGGCTTGTGATATTAGATTTCTCTTATTATTGTTACTACTACTACATATTGAATTGCTGTATGCTAAAAAGGATTGATGAGAAAGGGAGGCGGGGAGAGAGATGGATTATTTAGCTGGGGGTGAATATGAATATGAATCTGGATTTGGATTTCGAGCTAGATATGAATGTGGGTGTAGGGAGAGAGATGTGTTACTTGATTACTTGGCTAGTTGGCTGGTTGGTTGGTCTTTGCATCGTAGTCTGGATAAGGTAACTGCCTATCTAGCTAGTACAGGATAGGTGGATGATGGTAAGAGGATGAAACATGGAACATGGATGTGACGTTACAGATACGGATCAAGCCGTGCACCGGAGAATGAACAAATGTCTAGATTAGACTATACGATATGATGAACCCTTGATAGATAGATGAAATAACCACAAGACACCATGTACCAAATACCATACGGAGTATACCACCAATACACTCCGTCCACCAACTATGAACAGGAAGAGAGCACTGAACCAAACCAGACCGAATCACAATCAAACCAAGTTGGGCCCAATGGCCCACTCAAAGCGCCATAGTAAATAACCAGGCAACTGCCAGCCAGCCTCTTACCTTTGCAGCAGAGGGATGTGTAGAGAGAGGGAAAGAAAGAAGGAAAGAAAGAGATGTATGGATGGGCGCCATAAAGGGATGATGACAAGACATGACACGACATGCAAAATTCCAACCGCTAAATGGCATCCGTCTATGTTTTCCCTTCCCGCTTTACTTTCCATGCCAATCATGAAGAGATGTCCGTAGATGTCGAGATCAAACGAGATGTAGGGGTAGATTGAGGGGTGGGGAGGGGAGGATATGAGAGAAGTGAAGGGAGAATGGGTGGAGGATGGAGGATGGAGGATGGGAGACGGGTGGAAGCCCTGATGAGAACCAGCTCCGCGACGAGCGCCGGTATACGCCAACCAGCCAGGTGATGCAGAGAATGAAAGCAATCGAAGAACGGAAGAAAGAGATGACTTGTAGATGAACGCCCTCCAAGTGCACAGCAGGGAAGATCGAAAATGGTTCCGAATGGACAACGCCTAGATCAATGCGATGCGGATGTAGAGACAAAGAAGAGCAGAAAGACAAGGAACGCCTGCCTATGCATGCATGATCTCGACTCTGTCGCATCACACGCCGTCAATCGCGTCCGCCCCAAGATCGTCCGACCCGTCGGCTAGGACAGGGTTTTGCGGCAAGCGCCGCCCGAAGCCGTAGTAGAACTCCAGGGTTTTGGCTTTCTGTTTCTCGCGGACGGAAAGGAGATAATCGTAGCTGCCCTCTAGCCCGCGGATTTGACCCTCGATCACTGCCTCGACCGGTCCGAGCATGCGGCCGTGGCTACGACTACTAGACTCGACGCCCATGAAGCTCACGGAGTCATTGCGCCGGACTAACGGGCTGACGAGTTTGCGTCGCAGCGTCTCAAGGTTGACCTTGAGCGTTAGTAGACGGCCGCGGTGGTCCATCAGGAGGTGTTTGTTAGTGACTGTGCGACTACGGACGTTGGCCAGCAGCCGCTTGTTCTTCTCGTACTTGCGGACCACGGCAGCATCGGGACCGAGGACTCGAGTCCACAGTGAGCTGAGCATCTCGCCTTCCTCTCGCTCCTGTGCGTCCGACTCGCGGACCACCGTCCGTTGAAGGTTGAGGAACTGGCGGTCAATGGATTCGAATAGGGCGAACAACGCCGTTGAGTGCGTCAATTCGTTGTTGATGGCCTCCTCGAGCACCGACAGCATCTCGGTAAAGGTGCGCGTCAGGGTTGCCCGTGTGCGCTGGGCAGAGGTCTGGCCAAAAACGGCGGTCACGAAGTTACCAAAGGTAGTTGGGGTGCTGGTGAGATCGCTGCCGGACCCTTCTCCACTGGAGCCGCTAAGCCGCTCCAGCGCCCCCAGTCGCGCAAAGATATCGTGGAGATTATCGAAGACAATCGACGGCATCGTACTGGGCGGTTGCGATGATAACGTCTCCAGCTCGCGCTTGGCCCAATCCATGGCGATTAGAATGGAGTCTATATCCCCCTCGACATCGGAGAAGAAGCGCGCTAGCTCGAGGGAAAGCGATTTTAGTGACTCGGAGAGCTCGTCCAGTTGGCGCACGATGATCGGCGCACTGGTCATGTTGGTCCCGCGCACCGATTCCCCGAGGTCCCAAACGGCCACCCCGGTCTCCTGCAACGCGGTGATTTGATGCGCGCCATTCTCCGAGTAGTAAATGAGTGGCTCGAACGAGCGCGCAAACCCCGACAACTTGACCAGGTCGGGGATCGCCTCGGGGATGCTGGGTAGAAACAAGGCGCGCATGAACGCGATCGAGAGAAAAGCAACGATTACAGAAAGGGCTGCATTGGATTTGGAGCTAGTGATCTTATCGAACTTAGATCGCAAGTAACTAAAGAATGCGACAAATGGTTCGCGATGCTGAACTTCTGCGCGCACAGCGAACCGGATATCTTTGAGCGGAAATCGTAAATTAGTCACCTATTCAAGGCAGCTGCAAAGGGTAGCAAACCAAGGTAGATCCTACAATTGCTGAGGTTATTGCCCGACCCAAAGTCTCCCTCGATGTCGGGGCTGGCTCTCGCGGCCTTGGGTCTGGGACTTGGCGATCGGCCTTTTTGCGGTGTCTTTGCATCGGCTGGCAACGGGACACTGGCCGCGATAGTTATGTCGCCCGACTCTGTGGACTGGCAGCGTCTACCTGCGGTAGGCGCCTCGAGCGCATCCTCATACTGCGGACTGGGTTCGCGCGATTGCGACGGGCTGAGCCCCACGGACGGCATGAGGCAGAGACGGTCCTGGTTGATCGTGCGCACATAGGGCTGATGACGGTACCATCCGCTTCCCCGGACCTGGTCATCATACCCGCGTAATGCCGGAGGGGACCAACGCACACCGTTAGGCGTGAGGTCCTCTTCCTCCCCTTCCGACTCCTCGGAGCGGAAGCCGGAATGTTGAGAGGGAAGGCCAAAGGTAGGGGAGCGACGAGCGGTGCTGCTGTTAGTCTCGAAGTCCTCGAGCGACGCATCCAATGAGGGATGATCGTCGAAGGCGTTGTCTAGCTCGTCTAACATGATAGACGGCGTTGCGCACTGCAACACCAAAGAAGTCAAGGCCAGTTTCGATCGCTGCGACGCCCTGAGAGACGATTTGCGCAGCCAAGGCAATAACTTCAGAGGGGTGGGTGCTAGCAAGGTGATAGAAGGCGGGTTAGTCGCGGGCGCGCTAAGATACGGATAAGAAAGGGAGAGTCTAATGCGCCAAGAGAGAGGACAATCAGGGAGAGAGGATGATGTAGGTGATAGTACGTGGGAAGCATAGGAAAGGGGTGAGGAGTACAGATGAGGTGGTCAACGAAGATCCTGCGAGTGAGATCGAAGAGAGAAGAGGAGGGAGGAAGAGGAGGGGAGGGACGACATGGACAGGTGAATGGTGGGAGGGAAGTAGTAGTAGTGGTGGTAGTGGTAGTAGTAGTAGTAATAGTAGTAGTAGTTGTTGTATGGATGCGCGGGACGAGAACCCCGGGGGGTTCAGGCCTGGGTGCCTGAGGAATGGCAGGCAACGCGACCAGGCCGGCCCGACAACGAAACGGACTCCAAAAGTCCAGAAAAGCCGCCCGTCGAATCAGTCAAACGGTATGGAGTAACAGGCTGTCTGGTACTTCTGGCTGGCTGGCTGGCTGGCTGGCTGGCTGCCAAAGTTGATGGACGGGTCAACGGGGAAGCGACAAGTCACGGCGGGTTACAGAGGCGCTTGCCAACATCCACACGATGTGCCACGGAGACCCAGTTCTTGGGTTGCTGTTGCGCCGTTAGTGAGGGGTGCGAGTTCCACGCGTATAGAGTCAATCGGATATAAAGTCGCAGGCGCGGTCGGTCGAGGAAGTTGCAAGTCTTCAGGCCAGGTACGGAGTACAGGCAGTTACAAGTCAAGAGGTACAGGATACGGCCCGCCCCTCGCATGCCTTCCACGGCTGGGGTTTTATCAGAAGGAAAGAACGTCTCATGGAGGGGGCGCCGCTGGTGGCTGGGCCAATCAGACGTCGGCCGCCACGGGTCAGGTGGGATCATGGGATGCTCATCCCTACAGCCCCCATCGTAGCCTCCAGTCTGTCTATCCATCGGTCGCTATTCGCTTACAACCAAGGACAATGCCCTTTTCCTTTAAAAAGAGAAAATAAATAATCATTCTACAGTGCATCTCTCTTCCAGCGCTTTCAGGCGATTGTTCTTCTCAAAGAAACAATCCCCGATCTGATAGCCGTTCGCGATACGAAAGCCTTCCAGCCGGGAGAAAAAAGCATCCTGACGGTACCGGGCCCGACTGGTCGTTGCTTAGGTTCGCCGGCGCATGCTGGACTAGATATCTACGCTTATTTTCAGTCATGATATATAGTATTTCACTTCCACCACGCGGACTAGACTTGACCGACAAATCCTCCAGGCGATAACGACCCTGGGGGCTCCGTAGATATCCACCCGTCGCGACATCGCGTCCGAACCCACACCCTCCATCATCCCCTCTGCTGCGGTCCAGCAAGAGTAGGAGTCCGGCCAGTTAAACTCTAAGGCACCAAGATAAACCGCCATTCGATAACCACATCAGCGTGACTCGCATCCATCCTGCCCTCTTGCCCGTCGGGCCCCGGGCCGACCACATGACCCCATGGGAAGGTTCTCTGATCCTACCTATCACCCCCTCGATCGAACCGGTAGCTTCCGTAGTTCGCAACCCTTCCCCAAGCTCGATGGCTGAGGGGGGGTCACTGAGGACTGATTCTCCCCTCAACGCCGTAACGGTTGGTGCTGGGACTCTTACCCTCCGGTCGACGCTCAATCTGGTTGGCCGGAGACCCTCGAGGGACGATATTTCGGTACCATCCACCTGCCTATCAATGGCGGGCTGACAACTGGCCCAACGGCCGGTCCAATGGCCACACCACGCTGCCCTCCACGCCTGCAAGGATCATCCGCCAGATTGCCGGTGCAGTGGCCACCGTTGGCCGGGGAGGGGACTACCCTGACTCGAGGAACATTTCCAGCCAGACACTACTCACCGAGGGGGACCCCTCCTGGTCCATCTGCAGCGCATACGTGGTTGCGGTCGGACCAGGGCGAATCCCTGGCCAGTACCGCCTGCACGTGATACTTTTGAAACACGGGACCGGTCCAGCGCACGGTCATCGGTCCGTCAGGCAGGAAAGCAAGCAAAACAAAACAGGCACACGCACGTCATCATGAGAGGAGATCTCTTCAATTCATTATGGTTAACCATGATACACAGAGAGCTGGATGAAACACGTTCGTCGAGGAAACATAGGAAACGGAGAAAAGGGAAACAAGGGAATATGTAGACAGCGGTCGCGAAGGAGACAGGAGTCTATTGTATCTGCATCGTTCCAGCGCAGGAACACCAAAGGTCTATCGCGGGAAAGAAAGGGTGGAGTATTGTTACAGTCCCTGTCTGTCGGGTTGCCGAGCCTTCGCCTGTTTCCAGCGCGCAGTGATAGGATCAAGCAGTATCCGTCAGACGGGTTCTAGAAGGGTTCATGACGAGGAAATTTAGGCGGTGCTCTCCTTGAGGTAGCTGTTAAGGTAAACAAGTTAGCGCTTTGTATCTCCAATCTTAGAACCCAGGGCGGCACATACGTGATGAGGTCGTTACGCTCCTTGCCCTTCTTGAGACCACCGAAGGCCATCTTGGTACCGGGGATGAACTTCTTGGGGTTCTCGAGGTAGGAGAACTACGGAAAGCGTGTTAGTCACAGGGCTTCGCAACCACGTGCGGAATAGGTGAGCCGGGGCATACCAGAGAGTTCTCATCCCAGGTGACACCAGCCTGCTTGTTGGCGTCGGTGTAGGCGTAGCCCTCGGCCTGACCGGTCTTACGGCCGAAGAGACCGCTCAAGTTGGGGCCGACCTTGTGGGGACCACCAGCCTCGACGGTGTGGCACTGAGCGCAACGAGTCTAATAACCATGTTAGTAAAAAGAAGGTTCCCCCCGAGTAGTTGCCATCGTGCGGCGCAGATCGAGTAAAACTCACCTGGAAGAGCTTAGCACCCTTGGCGGAGTCACCTGTAATGGTTCCGACGTTAGCAGTCTGTTCGGCCATCATTGCCGCCTCAGCCTCAAGCTGCTCTTTCTTCTTCAACTCCTCCAGTTCGGCTTCACGGGTGTGGAGAGTGGTGAGGAAACAGAAGGTATCCCAGCTGGTCATGATGACGGATGTAACGCTTGACTTGAGATGCTGTGCTTGGAATATCGCGTCTTGATGCAGGGGTGATTGGGAGAGCGAATGGGAAAGTGAAAGCCAAAGTGCGCAGTTGCGGATAAGATAGGTAGTGGTGACAACACCGACGCGCCCAAGATGTCACAGCAGGCAGAAAGCCTACCGCCAGTAGCCGCCATCATGCAGTGACAACCCGCACAGCATTGAGTGAATGCCATGAATAGGAAACCAGTGAATGATGCTGCACCGGAGACAAGGAGTGACGAAACAAAGGAAAACGTAGCTGCTTACCAGGAGCGAAACCAGCGTCCTTGCCCATTTTGAATGTATGTGGGGGGTTTTGAGGAGGGATTAAAAGGTATAGAAGTAATGTACAAAGGAATTGGAGGCGTGGAGGATATCCTGGGGAAGAATAAAAGCACTGGAGGAGAGAAAGCGGACGAGGGAAGAAAAACTTGCGATTCAATTTGTACAAGAGCGGCCAGCCTTTGCCCCCAACGACTCCCGTGATCCGGGCTGCGGCCAATCAGGGCCGAGATGATTCAGCGCAACGGGCGCTTCCGGGTCAAGATGCCGGTGTCTTCTTTGAGAATTGAGCCATGCCTGCTCCAGTCTCCGTCTCATCTTCTCATGATTTCCCTGAATTGTCTCCATTCCAGATCGATCCAGTCCAATTCCCGGCCTTTCCAGTCCCATGCCCTGGCTAATCCCTTGGTCCAGGCGCAATGCCTCCCTCTAGTCCGAGACGATCCTCGCTGGGATCCTTCGAGAACAATTCGTCTTTCCGTCGGAGACTGACGTAGTGCCCTCCGGATGATCTCATCCTACGTTCATACTTGCCATCTCCGTGCTGCCGTGATGATGGGAGATGGGCCCGTTCACAAAGTAGCAAAGGGCGGTACGGGCTACGGAGAAGATACTTAGACGCCAGCATGGAGCTGGTCCACTGCAATGGCTGTTGGGGTCCTTCAAAGAGCAGGCGTTTGAAATTCCTGGACCGTCATTTGTCCTCCGAGTTTGGCCGAGTTGGTAGTGGAAACTCGTGTTGTTCCGCTCCGCCGGCTTGGTCCCGAGGTGGCCTGAGGCTGATGGAGTGTAAACATTATTATTCCATTTTCCACAGATCTTGGTACACTTCCACAGGCACCGGTCTGACGAGGACTATAGCTATGGTACTGCAGACACTATGCGATCAATCGCAATGTAGACAAATACCTACTTAGTAGACGTACTATATACATGATGGTAACTACTAGATACTATTTAGCTACTATCTATCCACCCAACCAATCACCAAACATAGACCAAAATAGATACCCCATCCAAACACACCACCCTCACGTGATCCGTATAGCCTCCGCAACACCAGAAAAAAATACCCGCGCCGCAACACCAAACCCGGCCAGGCACTTACTCCAACACCGCGCACCAGCGGCCAGCACCAGCTCCCATCGCCCTCACTTTTATCTACCAACAGCAACCAAACCCCACACCATGCCGCCCGTCACAATCCCCCAATTCCTCCTCCCCCGGGGCGCGCCCTCCCCGCTCACTCTCCGCGCCGCCCTGACCCGGCAAACCACCTACCACATCACCACCCAGCGATGCGCGTCCTCCAAGCCCGACAACAGCCACCCGCGGGTTCTCGCCAAACCCGACAAGTTCCGGCCGCCATCGCACCCGGCGCGCCGAGTTGTGCAAACCCGCAATGGAAAGGTCGTGAACAGCGGTCCAATCAACTACCCGGGTCCCAAGCTCAGCGAGAAGGAGAAGGAGGAGCAGAAGAACAGACAGTACCCGCATATGTTCCCACCCGAGGGAACAGTCATGCATAAGTTCTTGACGCATCGGTGGATTCATATTTGGATTGCGATGGTGAGATAGAGATATACCTTTTTCTTTTTTCCCCTTATATGTCTTGTTTGTGGACATATGATGGGGTTTCTGGTTTGTGGGTTGCTAATGGCTTTATGTTTGTGTGTGTAGGGTGTGTTGACTTCCTTGGCTACGTTTACGTTTACGACGAACTTCAAGCGGTCGTCGCCGTTCGCTCATTTGCTGCCGCCTTGGTCGGGGCTATTGGCTCATCCGATCGATACGATTCGGCAGGCCGTTTCGGTGTTCCGGATGCATGTGGAGCATAATTCGATGGAGACGAGGGAGAAGCGGAGGAGACGGGTGGATGATGCGGAGAAGAGACGGCAGTATCGCATTGCCCATGGGCTGGAGGAGCCGGATGAGAGGGATGAGGTTAAGGCGGATGAGAAGGAGCAGGTCGCTGTTGATGATCAGTCACCTGTGGCTGTGGTGCAGCAGGCTCAGGATGACAAGAATGTGTATGTTGATTGGGAGGGCAACAAGAAGCCCGTTAAGAAGTGGCTGGGAATCTGGTGAGATTGGTCGGTTCGGCCGTGAGGTGGGCTTTCCCTGCTATAACTAAATGTCGTGGAACCATCATGTGAAGACCGGTTATGGAGATTGTATATTAGCCTTCGATTGTCCTTTATGCCCGTTTCGTTCTCATATATTGTCTGCTATGTACAAGTTGTGGGTTCTAGTCGGTTACCCTATCATCATGGCGATGTGTCATTGATTTGCTTCATTTCGTCTCAAGCTCGCCTGTTTGCTGTGGTAGATTCGAGCTTCATCGAGATCTGTATCTTCTCAGCAGCAAGCGTGTGGGATGTTTCAACTTCAAACGCTTGTGGTTTGTTCGGCTGCAAGTTCAGTCGACTGTCCCGATCAGCTGGACACTTCGATCCATCGTGCGACAGGTATATGCAAACTGAGGCAAGGATTTCGGACTGGGACCCGTTTGGTGGCCAACTGAGTAGGTTCAGCCCACCTGGACACCCTCCAAGCCCTCGAGGACCTCTTCGCCAACACCTCCCTTCTCCAGGACTAGTTTGAGCATCTTTGCGATCGTACGCCTCTTAACACCGCCACGTCGCGGTTTCCAAACTCCCGAGACCTCTTCGCCGGTGGATGGCTCCAGCATAGCCGCCTCTTCAGCAGCAGAGCCTAGAGTCGCCAGGTTCTCCGAGTTCGGTACACCCGGTTGCGTGAGTCGGGATGGAGGGTCCACGGTACGGATTGAGAGCAGCTTCAGGCCCTCGGAGTCGGTGTCGCGGGTGACAGAAACAGCCAGAACAGTGTCCGCAACAGCGATTTCTTCCCTGTTGGGATCGAAAACAACATTATCGCCTACGGAAATAACAAGCAGCGTCACAGGAGGCCGGACTTGTTGCGTCGACAGGTGTGACTTCAGCTGAGAACGAGGGTACAGGTATTCGGCGGCATTCCAATCGTCATCAAAGAAGGGATCTTCTTCTCCCTTCGACTTGAGCTTGGGCAGCTTGGTCGACAAAAGCGCCAGATGAGTCGTAAGAGATAGCAAAGGAAGCGGGTACGACAGAGGCTGGGACAGTAGCAGCACCTGCACGAACCGCATTAGCACTAATAGGTTCAATAGTGCAGGAGAAAGCAACTCACATCAATGTACAATCGCCAATGCCAGCGCTTATTGATCACCAATCTATCCTTCAAGCCACCCGCCATTTCGCCGTCTCCACCTTGGCCTCCCGCGACAGATTCAACCAGAGGCTCACGCATCATTTCCGACAAGAAAACCGGTAGGGCGTCATCGTCCCGAAACCCGGGAATCTCGATGGACATTTGCACCCATGACCCATGCCCAGCACTAGACGATTGTTTCCCTTCACCAACTTCATTGTCGGCGTATTCCTCTTGAGTGTGTTGTGATAGATTCAGGGCTTCTGCCGCCACAACGGTCTTTTCCACCTCAGCCTTGACTCCGACAATGGCCTGGGTACCATCTGCGAAACCGACGCGCGCGCTACCGTTTGTTCCCGGGAGTATATCGGTCTCTGCAGTCAAGGGTCGGAATTGCGTAGCTGAGCGACCGTCTGGGCGAATCGGGCCGTCAGGAAGAGACAGCGAGGTGTAGAGGTAGGAAAGCTCTGCGGGAGAGATGAGCGGGGTCTGGGAAGCAGACGAGGCCTGACGCTGAGCTGCCATTGTGGGTAAGAAATGTTCTGAGCGTCAGAGGAGGTAGGAGAAGAGAGAGATGGAGATTAGTATTAATCGCCAACCCGCAGCCTGACGCTTTGAAGTGCACAAGCGAAACAATGGGCAGATGCCGTTCTAGTTGAAAAAAACTGGCGATGTGTTTTTCAGTTGCAGGGCTCACCAGGTCAAGTCACCCATTCCGACAACAAAATCATATACAACAGTGCTTGCGACAAAATGAAGTCGTCTCGACAGGAAACCTTTTGACGTAGTGCTGCATTAGGAAATTCTGCCGGCGGGCGGGGAAACGGTTCTTCCGTGGCTATCGCAGATGATGGCCTCGAGTATCGCATCTACCAGCTTTACTATATACGATAAATATGATGAGAAATTAATATGAAGATCATGGATTAATCTTGTCAGACACTGCAGCTTTTGCGTGTTTTTATTAACAGTATATATAAACAGACGGCTAGACCGTCGGGATAAAATCCTATATTACAATAGTGTTCAAAGCCCAGAACCAGCCACCAGTGCTCCTTCCCAGCAGGTTGTGAAATTGTACAATGGATGAATGGAAAATCTTTTGTTCTTGTGAGGAAAGCCCGATGCAATGCTTCCGATCCGCGCATTGAGGAAGGAATGAGGGGGGGGGGGAGAAAGAATGATGAGTGAGGATCAATGTCCAGGAAATATACAGAGAGGTGAAAGGAGTTTGACAAAAGGAAATGGTCGGCTGTAGTGGTCAGCACGGGGTCGGGGAGGTGAGTATATATATATATATAAGGAACGGGAGCAAACATTGCGACTCGCGCGATTGGTATCAGGGTAGAAGGATGGGCAATGTGCAAAGGGGGTGATGATATCAAGGAACGAAAGACACATGCAAGCGGTATACCGAAAACAAGGTGCGAGGCCGACGGTATCTATAAAAAGGCCTTTGGGGTATGAAGACAGAACCAGACAAATGAAAGGAAACCCGGGCTGAACCATGGCCTATACAAACATGGGTAGAAATCGACGCGCAGGATGGAAGAACAGAGAGGAATTGAAAAGACGAGAGGAAAATGAAAAGAAACTGCCAACCCTCCACGGAGATAGAAAACAAAATGACACCAGATCCCGTACGCCTTGCTCGGTTAATTCGCCGATATTCCGCGCATGACCGCCCCCTTTTTTCTCTTTCGATTAAATATGAACAAGATCAGTCGAAGATGGTGAAGAAATGAAAAAAAAATAGCGTCATCTCCAACGCCGGGCAAGCTAGCGGCAAGTCGCTGAACCTGTCAGGAACTTAGCCGGGGCTGGCTTTGCCCATTCGCCATCCTCATATGGAGGGGTTGGCCATTGGCGACTGGAGTTGGCATCCGCCTGCTCCTCCGGCAGGGGTAGTCGTCTGCACGGCGTTGTTTCCGAATGGCCAAAAGAGACGCCATCACACTTTGCTGATGGAGAGGGTGTGGGATAAGGACTGGGCAACGGACGAGAACTGTCATTTCCCAGGGGCTGGCGGTTGTAGTTCGACGTAACATCAGATGGAACTTCCGTCTGTGCTAGGCGTCTCGCAGCCTTGCTTGCGGAATGCAGAACTTCATCCAAAAGCTCATCCTCCTCTTCGGGAGTCTCGTAGCGGTGAATTGGGTTGTTAGACATCTGCATTGCACGCCGGTTTCGACTGGAGATTGGACCTCCGGTGCCATTGGTCGAGACAGGACTTTCACCCATTGCGCGAATCGAACCTTGCGGCATTGACTGACGCTTCGTGCCATCAACAGCGGAGGTGATCTGAACAGGAACATTTCCTAGAGCGGCCGAGTCAAGCGAGCATTTCACAGTTTGGAGGGCTTTGTCCAGCTCCGAAAGATCAGAGTTGGGCTTAGGCTCGCTCACATTGACCGAGTCCAGAGCCAGGGAAGACCGATTTGACCAAGGCATGCAGCCGGCGTTGGCTTCAACATCATCAGCCGTGTTGGCCTGGTTGCGACCAGATAATCTGCGGGCTCGTTTGCGCAGGTGTGAGAAGAAGCTCTCCTTTGGGGTGATGGCGGGGCTTAACATTGCTCCACCGTTGAGCGCCCGCTCCGCTTCTTGCCGATGGATATCAGCGTAGTGATTACCATGCGAGTTGACGGAAAGCTGCCTGCCAATTTTCTTGCTCGCCTTGGAGTTGGCGCTGTCGCCAGAGTGTGCGAGGGACGAATTGGCTTGCGCTGTGACCGCATTAGAGAGAGGAGAAACAGGCCGAATCGAGGGCAGGATAGGCATTGGAGCCCCATTAGCCCAAGTGGCACGCTTACTGGGCGCAGGCTTGCTCTTGGCAACCTGGAGCTCCGAGTTATTATAGGACACCGATTGTTTGGAAGAATTCTCTTTCTCCACAGGCGGGACAGGGCTGTCGGACCTGCCGATCAATGACCTCCGGAACCACGATGACTTGTATGCCAGGGTCGGGGAGTCATTGGTATCCCGGTTAGCGGATTTGAAGCTCTTGTCCGATTGCTTCCGACCCAGAAGCCGAGCTGTTGACGACTTGGGTCTCAGCGGGTCAATTGCATCAGCAAAGTACTCGTGGTTCAGGGCCTGCGTGGAAGTCGGTCTGTTTTTGGGATCCCACATCAAGCACCAGGTGACAAACTGACTAAGGGCAGCCGACCACTGAGGAGCTTGTAGGATGCTGTCCATGGAATGAGGAGCCATCTGCGTTTCATTAGTCATCGACTCGCGTCATGGCTAAAGCATTGGGTAATCATACCTTCGGGAATGTGAATCCCAACTTCTGGGCCAGGCGGGAGCCTTCTCTCCACTCACCACCTCCAAGTTTGGCCCCCGACTTACTGTACCAGTTACCAGGGCTTCCCATGATTTCACAAACGCGCCAGACCTGGTCGACCTCGTTGCCACCAGGGAATAATGGCTTCAACGTGGCGATCTCAACAGCCATCGCACCGACAGCCCACATGTCCACGGGTGCGGAGTACTCTCCTGCACGCAGAAGAACCTCAGGTGCACGGTACCATCTGGTAGAAACATATGTGGTGTAAGGCAGCTTGGAGTGCGTCTCTCTTGCGAGGCCAAAGTCGGCTATCTTGACAGTGTATGTCGGAGGAGTAGAAGGAGGAGTAACAAGGTTAGAGTAGCGGCTGAAAGCAGAGTCATTCGGGGCGGATGTAGAGACGAGGATATTTTCGGGCTTGATATCACGGTGGAAGAAGTGGTGGGCATGGATGTGGTCGAGACCCGACAAGATCTGATAGAGAATGCTCTTAACGTGCTTTCCATCGAGGGGCTTGTGGTCGCGGGCTTTCATTAGTTGGTAAAGGTTGCCATCCATATACTCCATGCAGATGTGTAGTTTGCGGGAAAGCGGGTCGAGGAAGATGTCGAGGGCTGGGACTAGGTGGGGATGGGGTGGCAGGGTTCGGAGGAAGATGACTTCACGGAGCTCGAGACAGGGGGCCAGTGAATCGAACGTCTTCTTCATTGTCTTAATAGCAACCTAGACGGGGAATCAGCAAACCAGCAAGAGAGTAAAGCAGCCTGGCGACAACATACCATGGTCCCCCTCCGTGCAACATTGGAACCAGCGGTCCGTACACGTGCGACGGCCACGCTACCAAAACTGCCATCACCTACTTCTTTGAGGACTTCGAACCTGTCCTCCAGGCTCGCGACTGAAGTGGGAGCGGCGCTCCGTAATGAGGAGTGGTCGTAGCAGACGGTCATCGTGTCTCCCTTCTGTTCTCTGCCAGCAGAAAATCCAAGAGAACTTTTGCGGCTCGAGTATGGCTTGAACAGCCGAGGTAAGGAATGTTTCGAAGGAGTACACGGCTCCCCCAGGTGATTGTCGGAAGGGTCGAATTGGATCAGGTGCTCATCCTTCGCAGTTAGACAAGGCGGTGGTATCCACGGGGGGTGTAGTTCATTCCCATGGATGGAAGGACAGGGTGCAGGATGGGGATAATGCGATAAGGTATTAGGTGCAGGAGAGGTTCGGTACGAGATTGGGTCCAGAGAGGAGGGGGAAAGGGGTAGTCATGTAGTTCTCAGAGACGAAGCGAAGGTGGAGGAGAGGAAGATCTGGAAACCAGATGGAAGACCCAGAGGATTGGACGTGATCACTGGAGTGATAGGAGCGGATCCGTCTGGGTGGACACAGCTAAACGAAAGGATGATCGGAGGCCGCCTTGGGGAGGGGGGGAGGAAAAGGGAAAAGCAAGCCCCTGACGCGGTGACAGCTTTAGCCTTTACCAGCTCCAAGACGAGGAGAAGAGTTGGGTCCGGGCCGTGGGGACTGAAGAGGCGGTCGACGACGAAGCGGGTTTGGTGAAAAAGCGATGGTGCAGATCCGAAATAATAATAATAATTATGCTCCAAAGGATAGTACTGATGATGCAGGTGGGTTTATTGAGGGGTTAAAAAGGCCTGAACCGGAGGGACGGACTGGTGCTGACATGGACCAAAGGGTCGAATGGGCATTTCCCTTGGGAATTGACGGCCGACGCACGACAGAGAATGTGATGATCATGCAGAGTCGTCTTGAGGTCAAGGAGCAGAGATTGGGGGGGCAGAAAAGAAGGCAACAATTGAGGTGTTAATGTGAGTGACGGACAGTGACGCGAGTGGTCCAACGAGCGAACAGGCGACAGGCGACGCGAAAAAGGCCGGGGAGAGAGGGGGGGTGGAAACTCGAGAGAGGCAAGATTACCTATTTCCAACGGGGACTCATCTTACTTCCTAAGTCTAAGTAACTAACTAACTAACTAACCAGCTACCCAAGTGCTAAGGGCCTAGTAATAATAAAAATCCATGATCATTCGCTCCAGGTGCCGTACTAGCCCGGCCGCTAAGGTGTCTGCGCGAGGTCGGCCTCCGTAATCATCCATCACCAGCAGGATCCATACCGACCGAATCCGTATTTAATACTAGCTACTAAGAATAATAACCATGAATAATGTGGTCACCACCATACCCAACTCCGTTTAGCAGGCTGGTCCTCTACCAAGACTAGCCCCGACACTCGTCCGCCGAGAGAGGAATGGTCAAGGAACGGGGATCCACTCCCACCCAAGGAAAGCGAAAAGGAGGTTCTCTGAGTTACCACTCCCGGGCGGCCCAAGGGGACGAACCCTCGAACACGGCAAACAGAGGTGTTTCTGGGACGAGGGCCGAAAAGGGCCAGACGAAAACATATCTAGAGGAAGCAAGCAAAAACTAAAAGGTTTGATCATGGGACAACGATGGTTTAGAACAGAAGTACGGAGGACATACCACTTACGGGAGAAGTGAAAACATCCTGAAGTTTGGAATAGAGACCACCGGGAGGGGAAAACCGAAATAGATCCATCGTTCTATCGAGTCGCTCAACTTACTTGAGAAATGTGGTTACTTTTTCCCCCTCAATTTACTCTTAGTTGGGTTCCGGTGTTTACGGTTTGTTTGTTTTTGAGAGTTCCCATCCGAGAAGAATGTCGTAACTTACGGTATTGCGATTACCAACATTCTGCCAGGAAGTCCCAGGATTTCTGCCCATCTTCCCGCCCTCGACTTAGCTAAGTATGTACTACACTGCTGACCTGCCCTTCACTAAGGTGCTGAGCTATCTGATCTGGAAGGACGGGAAAAATCGTGATGCTGAGTGTTTCCATCCAATCGCCTGTGTCCAGATGTACCGTCCTAGGTACTCCGTACTTGGTGCTGGCTAGGCAATAATGAGTTATCCGAAGTGGTGATGCACCCATTCATAAGAGAGGGGGACCTACACAGGCCAGTCGTATCCTCTCATTACGATACGTCTGGATCGGGGTACAGCCCCGATCCTTGAGAGTTGTCATTATTAACTATTCTAAAATCATGTGGCGCAAGAGTCGTTTTTTGGGTCATGCCAGGCAACTTGAGATCCATTGCGACTGAAAGAAGGATCTAACAGAGTTCGGCCTAGGATGATGTATAGACTCACTGGCGAGAGTTAGACTGTGTATATCCAGCCCGTTGACATGGGGGGTTGGACTGTTGGAGGGGCGGACTTTCAAAGAGTTCGAAATGAAGAACGGCCTGGGAGGAGCCGGAGGTGCGCCATACGACCAGTCACCATCACACGTCGCTTTGAAGACTCTGGGCTCTTGGGAGGTCCAGCCTTAATAGACTCCACTTGGACCCCGCCTCTAGTGATCGTTAGACGGGCGCTAGCAAGGATGGCCAGGGGTTGGGCCGCGTCTCTTGCTTCCTGAGGGATGCAACCTGCTCGACCATCCCACCACCCAGGGTCTCGGAGATTCGACTCTAGACCTCAGCAATGTGACATGTACACCTCGTCATGGTGTACGAGACGAGAGATCGCTCGCCTCGTCCTCCCTATCTCCCATCGCTCAGGGGTTGCATGTGATACCCGCATTACCTCATCTACATGGCCAGGGAAGCGGACAAAGGAAGGCGAGCTGCAATGAAATCAAGATTTGAGTTAACATAATAATAATTATTATTATTCCTTGCTGCTATATGGGAGCGTTAAATAGTCAACCTGCCAGCCAAGTAGTCATAATGCCTGTTTTGGTACTGACTGACAGTCTCAGAATGGAGGTGAGTCGGACGATGGATCCACCGAAGCGAGAGGGCAAAGACGATACAGGCTGTGTGGGCAGTTACAGTTCATGCAGGTTGTTATCAGGATCCATTATTGATAGTTCATCTGCTGTCTTAAACAATGGCTCCAGCCAACAGTGGCTGGACATGTATGCTCCCCGTACTTCCGTCGCCTCCTCAGTGCTTACTGCTTAGGTGGCTGACCGCCAACATGGCAACGCTACTACCCACTGCAACGACCGATCTTCAAATCGAGCCCGGAAACTGTTACCCAGATGCTGCCACCCCATCGCGAGAGAGATGTGGCTTGCATGCCTGCCCCTCCGGGTATGCCGGGGGACTCGCCCAGGATAACCTACCTACATGTGTATCACTTTCCGATGGTTGAAACGGCAAGGATGCTTAGATGAAATTGAATAATTCATTGGGATCGGAGATAGCACTGAAGCAGGAGCAGCGCTGTTTCATCATTACTATTCGTGCTTCGGCTGACGGAGCAGATGATGAAAATTTTTCTCATGGAGGAGAAAGTACTTGGAAAAAGAAATACCGTTAGATGGAACAAGTCCTACGTAGGTATGTCCGAGGAGGGGCAAGACATCTTGTTCCAATCACCCAAGGAGGACGCTCTCTTCGTGCCCGTGCCCGTGCTCGACGGGATTCCAGAGTTCAAGACATTTACGGTGCTCTATGGGACAGGCTTATTCCTCGAGCAAGAAGCATGTATGAATTACGAAACTACTTGAGTATGCCTTTGAATTTTACGCATGTCTGAGGTTCCGAGCTGAAATCTGTTTACCTTGATCTCAATATGGATTTGTCAACTCGCGTACCGCATAGATACCACAGGCTATATTGAGCAGGTAAGCCTGGAGGATTACATGAACTATGAAGAGCACTACCCCATCGAGCCAACAGGCGAAGCTAAAAGTACGGAATCGATGCATATGTATGTTTAGGTAGTTGATTGGCGATACATACATAAAGGTTGTTTATACATCAAGCGACGTTGATCCCCTGTAGGCTGTAGCTCAGCCTGTGCATCTGCGAGATCAGATCCAGCAGTGGTCTGTAAGAACTAAGAAAAGTACGGAGTACCATGCGTAACGACGATTTCTTCTGTAGGGAAGCTGTTACCACAGTGACCACAGCTCCATTTTCTTCTGCAATAATAGGCGGATTCGCCACTGAGATGCACCCAATTCTTGAGTCCATAATAATGCCGCATAAATAGTCCCATTTACCAGCCTTCCGTTTACCCTTGCAATGTGGGGTGATCATGGCCGATCTCACGATAAGATGACATCGCTGACTTTGATGATAGACAATGAGCTATGGAGCCAGTAGCAATAGTACTCCGTAGGTAGATTCATTACCACAATTGTGAGAAACTCATTATCCAGGACACCGGGGGGGATTCATCATCATGATGGTTTCTACTAGGTATGTGTACGAACTACGAAGCAGGGTGTTTTCCTGATAGGAGAATTGGGAGACGCCTGTCATGGTGGCGGGTGATGGGTCATAGACGGAGAAGCCATGTCTTGAAGGTGGTCATGTCTGGACCCAAGCCGCGTATGATCCAGGCTACACCGCACCTACGGTGTGCTTAGTGTCGACCTCGTTAAGATCCGGTTTTGATGACAGGACATACATATGCCAAAAAGGGGTCTAGATAGAATATGGGTCGGTCACCGCTTGTGTCACTTGACCGATGACTTGCTTCAATTGACCACTCGGTGGGCAGTCGCAAAGAACAGTCACCGTCTTTTTGAGGCCCCTCTCGGCTTCTTTTGCTTTCTTCGTATTTCCTCTCCTCGTTGAGGGGACGAGGGGAAAGAAAGGCCAGATGCCCTCTGAGGAAAAAGAAAACATTGAGGGGTCTAGCGGACCACTTCAAGACCACCACGACTCGTAATCTTGCCGGCGTGACATATTCTCCGTTCCCTTTGCGCTTCTCCCGCTACCGGGCTATGCCTATTGCCTTCCAATCTGTTTGCACTTATTTTTATTTCCTTTTTAATTTATTCTTTTACCCGTTCCGTTAGGCTTGTTACCATGGAGTCTCAGTTGGTTTATTTGTTTATTTACCAATGTTCCACATCTCATTTAATGGTTTAACATGGTTGTCCCCTCTCTTATCACACATCCCCGGCTGTTCCTCCAATGACGCTCATCCGAGGTTAGTGACAAGTGACAACAGAGGCAGAAAACTTTGTGTGTGAGATTGGGGGACAGGGGAAGCCAATGAGTGGCATTCCTTGGAAAGTTTCGGGCACCAGCGCAGAAAGGGAAGGGTGCGTGACTGGGACCGGAGTCTTAGACGACCGGAGATGGGCTCCCGTCCCAAATGGATAGATCAAAGGTCGGAAGACGTGGTACTGATGAAGCCAATGGGTCTAGTCGACCGCCGGCCGTCTGAGCTACCAGCCAACTGCGCCCAGGATGATTGGTAAGACCCATTGAATGCGGATTTCAGTGGACCTGGTGATTGCGCCGAAGGGGGTCGGGGAATGCGGATCCCCACTCGGCGTCAGGCCCGTCCCCGCTACCCGACAGACCCGGCGCTGCGTCTAGTCCCTTGGTTGGCCAGTAGTCTTGCGCTCAGCAAGATGGTGAGGATGCCAATGGAGGTAGATGGAGCCCCCTAAAACGGATCCGTAACCAACAAACGGACCACCGGGGTCTCCTGAGTGTCTCGTGGCCAGTCGACCTGGCTCGCTAGCAGCTCCGCCTGTCCTTAAGGATCTCTTAGCCATGCAACTATGCCAGTAGCTTTTGAAGCCGTCGCATTCCAAGAGCCTTCCAGAAGGATGGAGGATGTTCATGGAAACGGCAAAGAAGGCGATCAGGAGACCTAAATCGCTCAATTGCCTAGTCTAGGCAAAGAAGCTCGTCGTATCGAGCGGCATCCGCTCCCCTCCCGGTTGGAGTTAACCGTTGGAAGTTGGACGTGGAACGGGCTATGAAGGTGGCCATTCAATTAGTTGCGGACTACGGAGCGCCGTGGAGGATCAAGAAAGCATTCCCTGCAGGACCAGACGGCTAGACATGCTTCTGGAACGCCACTAACGATCCCACATTATTAATTCCCAGGGCTCTGGTCCTTGAGCTTTCTCAGAGTGATCAAAAGTACCGGCATCCTGACTTAGGCAGGTACCGGACGTACTTGCAGCAGAACCGACGTGCATTCTCCATATCTCGCGGCAGACTTTGCTCTTCCCTGCCTACATGACCTACATGGGAGCCACCCTTCAGTGGGTGCTCTGTAGACCCTCCTCCTGATCAGCTCCGTTCAGCAAAGACATCTTCACCGTGGCCAACCAATCGCAATGTGAATCAGGCTGGTCTGGACGCGGAACCGAAACATGATTGCTGGATCAGCCGTCGGGACTTGCAGTAGTCGCAGGGTGTCTGCATTCCTCCCGCCAAGGTGCATGTTAAATCTCTCCTGTTGCATCTCTTTTTTTGACCTTAATTTTCCGATCCGATGTAGATCGATGGGGGCCTACGGGAGTATCCTGTGGAACTTCCGACGAGGGTAAAATGTCCACCTCATGAGCACATCTGGTAGGCTCTGAAAAGGACGGTGGGATGTTTCAAGTCTGCTCTGTCATTGGCTCTGTGTTTTCTTTTTCCCCTCATTCGCTGGAATCCATCAATTTAAGATTATACTACGTCATCACTCTCATCTTCATTTTGATATAGAGTTGACATTTTCCGTAGTGCTTTGCTATCCAATCGAGCCTCCAGAAACTCGCAAAAAGCCAAGTAGTGGTGGTTCTTTCGACTTTCTTAAGCGAATGAGAAAAGTGCAAGTGGCGTGTGGAGGCGCTCATCAACCCAGAACATCTGTTTAACTTTGGCGGCGAAGCGTTTGCCAGACATTGCAGCTTGTACTCCGTACCAGGGCCCTATCTCAGACTGGCAGGCAATTGGTCACGGATGGTACAGACCACGAGAAATAGCCTCTGAGCAGCAAACGCAGACTGCCGTCCAGGCTGTGCTAAAGTCCCGAATAGGATGGGAGAAATACGGTGTTTGCCGTACTCAATAATACCACCATGGTTGCTTTGTATGTCACTTTCCGCTTGCTGCGTAGTCAGACAACGCTGACTTCCTTCTAGAATGGAACTTTCCAGCCATGAACCAATGCTCATGATGCTCTCTGCCGCCACCGCGCCGTCCTCAGGAGTTGTCTTAAATTCTTGGCTTGTGACTGGTGCCCAACTACCTCTGATATCACCAGTGAATGCGATCATCTACACCCTTCACCTCTCACTGAGACTCTTTCTACTGCTCACCGAGACTCTTCACCAGAGCCACCTTATCTCGCTTAGGATGCTGTGGTGATGGGCATTCAAATACAGTTTTGCACAAAATTATATAAAGTCAACACAATTTCCTATCTTGAGACCACTTTCCTTCTATCCGGATCCTTTATCAGTTCGCTGCTGCTATTTGTCTACTTCTCAGCACTTTCCTCTGTCTACTGCACTTTATCCTGTGAACATCTTCACAATGAGCTCACGGAAGTTGGGTCCCGGTTTTCCCAATGCTTATTCTGGGGGTTACAGCGAATCAATCAAGAGACAGTCAGTTGACTACCCCGCATGACCCGAACTATCCTAACTGACACTACCATAGGATCGACCGTGTCATTCTGCCTGACAAGTGAGTCTAGCTCGCTTTTAGTGAGTGCCAATGTTTAGGATGACTAACAAGGCCTAGGATCAAGTGCGGGACATGCAAGAAATTTCGGTTCATCAATGCCTATTCGAATCGACAGCTGGAAGCGCTACGCCACGCTGTAGTGGTCAAGGGAGCTCGGGCCAGTACCAGTGGATATGCCAGATGTCTGACTTGCACGGGAGGAAGTCTCGCTGAGCTCAAATGCTCCGCCTGTGATCGGGTCAAGCCTGTGGATGATTTTGCTAAGAACCAGCGCCAAGCGCGTGACTCTGCGGTATGCTGTCTGAATCCATCTGATGGGGACTGTGGAGCCGACCTCTAATTCCTGAGCAGAGATGCTTGAACTGTGTCCAGAAACATTCGGAAACTGAGCCTTTGGTCGACGAACACAAGATGATAACTGATGGCGACTCTACCACCGCTAGTGCAGCTACTGTTGGTGCCGCTCATGACCCCTACACAACCCGAATCTTGGAATTACTGACAATCTTAAAGAGTCAGATAGGCGGTAGCTCCGTGGTGGGGTCTACCAGGCGCATTCAAGGCAGCGAGTCTCACTATGACGGCTCTATCTACGGCAACGACGATGACGATGACGACCAGTCCATTGCCGGCGGTGTTTTTCTAGAGAAGGAAAATACCGATGAGAATAGCAGTCGCCACGGAAAGGAGAGAGAGTTCATTGGATACGACCCTCAGGGAAACCCCCACCGCATGTCCATCCGAATCGAGGCTCCAGATCCTGCAGATCTTGCAGAGGATGCTGCATCTATTCACAGTGGATGGACTGCCTGGGGTGTCAAGAAGACGGATCCCAGCGATGTCGCCCGGGCGATACGGAAGAAGGAGCCCAAATTCGCCAAGATTCGAGTGAGTATGCGAGACATCAGGTCTTATTGAGGACGGGCGGTAGTAACGATCTTGCGCAGGGCTATCGATTCGAAAAGGGCGAAGGTCCCAGTATGAGCGTTCCCGAGCCCACGGGCCAGACTATCCCCTCCGACGACGAGGACGAAGACAATGACCTAGACAGCTTTCTGTGAGCCGTCCTGCTACACCGAGGGGGCAAAGCTATATGCTACGGAGATCGTGTTGAGTTGCAAGAACGTTGGGTTCAAATGAGAGCTTGCTTTCGGTTCTTCTCTTCTCCTTTCGGTTCTTTCCTTTTCCTTCTCTTCGTTGATTCTTTTGGTTTCCTAAACAGAATGCATCACTTGTACTGTGGCAGTTGGAGACACTGGCAGGTCGTGGGTAGGAAACAGTTGCAGCCGCTGTATTTCCAAGGATAATTACATTGACAGTTTTCGGTTTCACTGGATCGTTGTCAAGTCAATTCCAGGGACACGTTAGACACGGTCCGTTCCCGCATAGTCAACCATGGATGCGATGATCTCGGTTAGCCGTCGAGTAGGTCCGCGTGTATATACCTATGCTACTACTCGGCAGGCTGACAATTAGTGATAAGATGGACGTCTAGGACCGGGAGACCAAGATTGTCCTACCATGACGGCCATTGATAGAATAAACCAGCCGTGCCTCGTCATCGCCTCCCAAAGACGGTGATTTGGGCCAGGGAGGGAACGCAAGACGGGATTCCATTGCAATGGAGGCGAGGCGGACAACAAACCGTTTCGGTCCCCCGCAGCCGGCAATGACGTATGACCTCCTCCTCCCCTGTCTCTTCTTCTGCGACTTTCTGCACCTGGCAGTCGATTTGTTTGTGGTCTCGGGATTCTTCTTCCTTCGATTTTCTCTGTTGCCGAGTACCTGCCTATATCTTCGTGCTGCTGTCACTTGCTGCGCGACGATCCCCGGCCAGCTCGCTACACCGTCCGTTTCACTTTCACCTCCGGCGCCCTTCCTGCGCCCCTCCATCGTCGCCCCTCTTCCTTCTCTTTCTTTGTTCCCACTTCTTTCTCTGCACTGGCGTTGCCACACGATTGTCGCATCCAAGCCCCCCATCTTCTCCATTATTTTTTTGACCCTCTTTACCATTAGTTCCCCTCTTTCAGCGCCTCAGTACTTTATCCACAAGGCTAGCTTGGGTGATCTTTTGGGCTCGTGAGAGAGCAGGGCAACACAACATTGAACCAGCTTCCTGCGCCCCAACAGCGGTCACGATGGCTTACAATGGTTTTCCCAACAGTCCCCCTTACTCGCAGTTTGGAACTATGAACCATGTCAACCCAAATGAAAACCGTGCCTCGTCTTACACCCCGCCTTACCCTTCGCAATATGGGCCCGAGCAGATCAATATGCCTCAGCCCCAAGCCCCTCCGACATCCTCTTCCCCGGCGGGTTACTATCCGAAGCCTTCTTATGAATCAGCTCCATGGCAGCAGCAGCAGCAACAACCGCATACTGGAAGGATCAACGAGGCTGTGAATTCAGCCTTCCATCAGGCTGACAAGCCAGACTACCTGTCTCCGGAGGTCGTTTCCCAGATAACTGCGACAGTGATACAACAGCTGAAGGCGACGGGATTGGACAACTTGCAAAACGATCAAGTGCCGTCGTCACAGCCCCCGCCACAATGGGCTCCTCCAGGCTCTACATATGGCGAACCGATGCACTCCCCCGTGAGGCCCCAAAACACCCCTCCTCCACCGCCTAAAATTCCCCCGGGAGAAACGGACTATCAGGCACCTGTGCCGCCCCCCGTACATCCCAGCAGCCCCCATTTATTTCCCGGATCATCCTTGGGACAGTCAGCGGAGAGGCACGGGTCACCAGCAAGCCAGCTCAGCCATCAGAGCCAGAATATGGAGTCTCGACCAAAGCCACCATCAAGGGAAGATACAGTAACGGAGATGACAACGCTGGAAAAGATCTGGGGCAAGCTCTTCGAAGACGGGAAGCCAACAGAAAGGCTTGGCCAGTTCTTGCGAGGGGTCGCAGTCCACCTTGTAAGTACAACCCTGCAACAGGAGAGCTCTGGAGGCTAACAAAACTCTCTGATCAGATTGAGGACTATCCGCCGGGAAACACTCTGGTCGTAGTTCCGGGAAAATTGCAAAAGTTTTATGAAGATACAAGTGTGTCATCAGATCTTTACCCTTGGCAAGGTCAGCATCTATGGTCTTTGTTGTGACGCAGATGTCGCTGACTTGGATGCCTCCAGACATTTTTGACGATCAAACCTCATCAATATCGAGATTGTTCCGAGAGCTAGAAGCAGAGCACCATCTTGTGCAAGAAAGGTTGAGCGAGCGACCTGACACCCCAGGCCTGACTCCCCGCGGCTTCGAGCGTTGGGCAACCTTGATGATCCAGGCCCATCCCGAGAAAGAGTACGAGCGCTTCCAAAAAGCGGTGTTGAACATGCCCATCAGCAACCCCGACAAAAGGAGCGAAAGGTTTCCCAAGGAGATACCCCGGCGATTGTTCCCTGACACGCCCAATCTCTCATTGAGGGAAGAGATTGATCAACACATCATCAAACATTGTGCCGTTGACTTGCCTCCGATCACCAAGGAGGAATTGAAACAGGCCGCTGCACAACGCCACAGAGAAGCTGCACACAAGGCATCGGTGAGCTCTGTTGACTCGACTCCTTCGGTGGGAGAGCGCGAACGTCAGCCCTACCATAGTACATCCTCTTCTGCTGTCGTCGACGACGACGACGACACAGAGGCGCCGTCACGTCCCATTGAACGCCAGAGGAAACCGTACACGGCGCAGCCTGGAGGCGGCAAAGTCTATGAGGAGCCTGGTACGCCCAGCCATCGACATGCCAACTCGATGTCCGCAGGCGCTGGCCCTCGGGATGGACCGACTACGATGGGACCACGAACTTCCGAGGCATACAGCCAGGATCCTTACTACCCTCGTACAGGCACCAGTAACTCGCAGCGTCCCGCGACTACTTACAGACGATCACCCAGTCCCTCACGGGGAGGTCATGCAGGTGGTGACTACAGACACTCCGAGAGCGATCTCCTAGGCCACGGCGGTAGCTCTCGGTATCAGGGGGTCTCAGACGGTGACTATTACTACACTTCCACTGCATCTACCCTTCCGGGCGACATTATCGAAGACCGGCGCAGGTATCACGACCTTGGCCATGACCATGATGACCCAAGGCTATACGACTCGCTTCGTGACCGAGACAACGAGCGAGAAAAGCTCAAACGAAGCAGTTGGGGCGGTGCCGAGGACTACTATCGCGGGGCCACCGGCTACGAATACAAGCCATATGGTTATAGGTGAATGACTCTGACACGCAGGTTTGCTTTCCTGATAGCGTGTATTCATTCAAGTCCGTTTTGGCGCTTTCCGATGGAAAAGAGATATCCGTGTATGACTCATGACTTATGAAAGCGTTTCTTCATTATTACTCTCATCTTCGAACTGTCTCGTCTCTTCTTATGACATGACCCATGACCCATGACCCATGAACCCCTTAATGATGTAACCAAGCCCAAACCTGCAGGGCTCTCTTTTCATTCATTCTCCCTGTATCAATAGTACTCAGACCTTTCGGAAATAAATATCATCAATAACTCAAATTACTCCCCAACCCCCCTCCTCTTCTCAATCTCCCTCATCACCCTCACCCCGGCATCCCTACAACACCCCGCCTCCTTAGCCCTAATCCTCTCCTCCCGTTCCCAACCCCTCTGAATCCTCCTCGCATCCCTCTCCTCCCTTTCCACCCGTCTCCTCTCCCGCCTCCTCACCCGCTCCTGCTCCTCCTCCACCAGTTCCTCCTCATCCTCCATCTCCCCCCGTAACCTCTCCACCTCGTCCCCGCCCAACCGCCACGGCACGGACAACACCTCCACCAGGAACCGGGACCGCTGATCCACGAACCGCATCTCAGTGTTTATGTCCCGGATGATGAAGTATCGTTCGAGTTGTAGCTGGGTTTTGTTGCGGAACGTGGAGATTGTCCCCTTCACATGGGTGAGGGTTCCAGGGGCGAGGGCCGTGATGTCCAACGGGGCTTGGGTTGTTGGGGATATGTGTGTGGGGTTGTTGGGTGTGAGGGGGTGGAGGTGGTGGTGGAGGTGGTGGGATCTTTCTGGATGACTATGTCGATGGTTGCGCCGGTGCTGTCATCCAGAGTGAGAATTGATCGGGTGGGGAGTTCGTGGCGCGCGATTATTAGTCCAATTAGGGAGATGAATCGGATGGGGTGGTTGTTGTAGAAGTAGGTTGATTGGTCTGGAGTTTTGAGTTAGGGTGGTTATGGTGATGGTGCTTGGTTGGTGATTGGTACGGTATGGGATAGATGAAATGGGATGTGAAGTAATGACAAGATTAAGTCGCAATGCACAAGCAGTATAGTACCCAGACAGACGTGTACATAGATATCAATACAAAGAGATGTATGTGAACAGCGCCAACCATGAGGAATACACAGAAGCATAAAGTAAACAACATACCTTGGAACTCTGCACGTCTTTTCAGTCGTAGCACATCCACCGCGGCCATCTTCACCCAGGTGAAGTGGGTTGGGGAAGCTTTGAAGCAAAACGCGGGATAAAAGACGAGGTCATTGTTATCCGCCGTCGCCATGGGACCATTTTCATGGCTTGGGGATGGAAAGAGGTTTCGGTGGGGAGACGGTTGATCGAGGGAAGAGTGTTGATGATGCGGATGAGGGGCGTGTTTATCGGGATCACGTGGTGGGTCAGGTGGTGATAAGGCTGTTGGGCTGATCGTCTGTGGAGAAGCATGTATACACTGAACGTGGTGGCATATCCCGACTACCTATAGGCCTGCCTCCCTGGGCAGTCACCTAGAATAATTATTACTACACATCATATACATTAGGAAGTTCTACGGGAATTTTGGTTAGGATTCGAACCTGCAAAGTGCTTGTGGTCCTCCGAACTCGTCTCAGGCAACCCCGCCAGGTCATCAAACGGCAGGCACTGCCGTGTAACAGTGCAGGAATTGGATGGCTAGTCTTCACATCCTCATTTAAGCAACGTAAAAGACTCACTCTAGAGGTTTGCAAGTTGAGCTTCATCTTCTTCATCAGAAAACTACCATTTTCTAGACATACCTCAATGCTATGATGTCTACCGAGACCCCCAAGATCGGATACTCGCTACTGTCAAGCATGACAGCTTCAGACGCCGATCTGAATACCCCCCAAGCTTTCAAAGAACTAAACGCTCGGAACATCCTATATCTCCAATCCGAACTTGCAGATATAGAGGCCACTTTAGACAAGCTCGATTGACTATACAACGACACAGCAAAGGGAAATGACACATGCGATGTTCCCAGAAGCCTATTTGCATTGAAGAAGAAAGAGGATAGCGAGTACCTAGACTGTATGCATCGGCTGAGGAAGACATTGAAAGAATACTGTAAGTTTCCTGTCTAATCTAGCCTGACCTCTATTGTACAGTCGCAGTAACATTGTATCTATTCTAGATGAAGCACTCCGAGCACAAGCACGCTTCCTGAACCAAGTCTCCCCCAACAGACGAACTTGCAAGAACCTTCAAGCGCTGTTCCAGTCACACAGATTTGACATGGCACAGATGAATTCCAGCTCTTTCCTGAATGGGCGCTATCATGGTGATTTGGTCGCTAATTCGTGGGAGGAGAGGGAATTTGCATCCAAGTCTATGGGGATGTATCTATATCGACCTTTCGAGGAGAAGGTTTGCTCTGTCTGGTATCCATACATAGGTAAATGCTAGTTGGCTGATTGTTTTATAGCGCATCGCCACACCAAGAGGCGAAATGAGGATCTTCTCAGACAAACGCATCCGATCTGTGGTCAGACTGCTCGCTATCCCAGTCTCCTCTATTCTTCTGGCTCTCTCGATTGTGGTCCTGTATTTTATCAGTAGCCAGACTGTTCGCCTTGGCCTGGTGATACTGTTCTCGACTCTTTATCCTGCTGCTCTTGCTATGTTGAGCGATGCAAAGAATTCGGAGATTATGGCAGTTACTGCGGCGTGAGTGTTAACCTAGAGCCCGGTCTTCTTTTGCTTCTGGCTGACAAGAATAGATATGCTGCTGTGTCTGTGGTATTTGCGAGTGGTTTGAACTGACTAAAATTGGAATAGTGGATGTATTGAAGAAGGGGCAAGCAATCTGCATCCTGTAAAAGGAGATTCTTGCTTGAGTAAAAGTATTGAATATTTATTATGTGTCTTATCCATCTCTACTCTGAATGCATGCCCGATTTCTCAGCCATTTTCCCTACCGATCTCTTCAATCCGAACTTTTTGGACTCTTGTTTAGTATCCGTCACCATAATTAGCCTTGGATCTGATGAATCCGAAACAGTGGATACCTCATCAGTCGACTATACCGCCGCCAACATAGACTGTGGTTGTTGAGCCTGGTGCTCGTCATCCCATCCACAGCGCTTCTTATGCTCTTCTCCGTACTCTGCCCTTAGAACATCTATCTCGTCTTCTCAGCAGGATGTCCGCGTCTGCCAGACGGTTCTCCAGGAGATATTGTTGCACTTGATCGAGGGCGGTACACCGTTCGTCATAGGTCTTCAAACTACAACACAGCAGATTTTCCTCAAGGCAGAAAAGGTAATTCTACTCCGTATCGTGAATTCCATGCACAGATGATTTATATGAAAGGATAGTCATGGTGAGGGGTAGATACAGCCACCCTGATAGTATTATTGAATGAAGCTGTAGTAATTTATCTCTTTCCATGTCGGCCCAAGGCTTTGTATCTGTCAAGCGTCTATAACTTATCTCAATATAGGGACTCAAAGCCACGGACTTCGTCAATTATCTATCCAAGTTGTTAGCAGTAAACCGAGATATTTAGGGGCTTGAAACCATACTACTCTGGGCAAGAAGAAATGACGTCAGTATAGATATTAATTTAGAAAGGGGTAAAAGGGCTCCGATAACACAGGTTCGATGCTACTTGCATGTAAAGACGGAGTTCGAACTACTTGATGATGGTGTGCACGACTCAATGGTTGAATGCCCGTTGGTGACTCCCGCTTTTGGAAAGCTTCATGGTCGCCGTTCTTGGTCTTAGGTCGAAATTGCAAAGTTCAGGCTATATTGAGGCCCATGGCTATGGCGGATATCATGGACAGGTGTCTTAATTATAAGAAGATGAGGAGAGGCTCGAAAGAGGAAGTATATAGAGTGCACATTCAAGCATCACAAATTCCATAAGTGGTAGAAAGCTTCTGTGGATATAGACTCAACATAAGATAACAAACTCACCCCATAGCAGGGAAATAAACTACCACCAGACCAACGAATTACTCCTGCTTCTTCTGTCCTCCCCCAATGGTCCACTGGTTCAACATCCCCACGCCTGCATTCAAATAAGTCGCAAATCCCAACCAAGCCGCATACGGCGCCATCAACCAGAACGCCACGCGATCATGCTTCCACCAGATATGCATCAACGCCGCGACATTCCCTCCCAGGAGCAAGATATCCGCCAGCGCCCATGCCGGTTTCCGTAGCATAAAGAACAGGGGCATCCATAGGTGATTCAACGCCAGTTGCGAGATATATAGTGTTTGTGACTTGACCGCCCAGTCTTGTACGATTGTCGACGAATCCATCGTCGCAATGGTTCCCGAGACAGTTGCGTGGTGGATCGCAAAGCCCATCATTCCATAGAGGGCGGTCCAAGCGCACGGAAAGAGCCAGGTGGGTGGATACAAGGGCGGTTTCTTGAGGGAGTGGTAGATTTGCTTTGTCCTTCCTTTTCCTGGTATGTGTTAGCGATGCGATAGGATGGTCTAGATATCCAGCAGGGGGGGGTGCAAGCTCACGATTGGTGTGATAGCCGATGAGCGAGCCGGTGGTGATGGGCGTCACCACGGATGCAAGAGGGTTGGCGAAAATCGCCTGGGGAAGCGCGGTGGACCAGGGCATGTTGCTGGGTCCGAGGAACAGCAATGAATTGATGAGAGCTTGTTGGCGTGGAGGTGTGTTCGGTTGGCGATGTATTTATTTATTGCGGAGGATCGATCGATCGCGGGAGCAAGGAGTGGTCGACGTCATTGCGGGATCCCACCAGGGAGTGCTTTTATGCGGAGAAATTAAGTGTTTCCTTCCCAACACATGCGCTGGTCGAGTGTTTAGGCATCTGACAACTGACAAGATGGCTTTTTGAAGAGGTGAGATCTGCTCCTGATGCTGTTCATCGAACGGTGATCTGTAGCTTTCCCCGCATTTGCGGATCTACCGAGTTGTACCGCGTGCGGAGAAGCTTACCCATAAGCTTGACTCTGAAGCAAGCTACTATCTAGGTAGGAAGGCTAAGCATTAGAATCACGTATTGATATCTACAGTCACCGTCACCCATGCCCTGCTATTTTAGAATTGCATCACGTGGTGACATGTCGCGCTACGGCCCCTTGGCCCCCTCCGTCTTCATCATCTGTTGCCCCTTAATGTATCATTACTAAGTACTGAAGCGTCACCCCCATGTCACTTCTGAAACTTGGCCAGACCCTCCGAGGTAGGCTAGGGAGATATATCATTACGAAACAGGTTCAGGACACGGTTTGGTTTGCAGAGTATATGACCTTCCATAAAACTGCCAGCTACTTGGCTAAGCCTTAGTAGGAATCAAGCCAAGGAGACAGTCGTGGTCAAAGGAGTTCAAAGCCATCCTCGCGTGGAAAACGAGAGAGATGTTTTAAAACGCTTCCAGCATTCGACAACTCATTTACGGCCATTACTTGATGAAGTACAAGAGCCCGCGGAGCCACCTATCATAATCCTTAATTATTTAGAAGACAACCTTCTGAGTTCATCTATCAAGAAAACCCTCAATCGTCAGGAGCTTAAATGTGTTGCATGATGCATACTCGAAGCATTGAATGTCCTCCATAAAGATGGATACGTGCACACAGGTAGGTTTATTCGAATAGGGTATTATCCACATCCCTCTAATTAATTCGAACCTCAAGATGTCAAGCTAGACAACATCTTCGTGAATTACAAGCAAGGCGAAAATCGGTTTTCCGAAATCCAGCTCGGCGACCTTGGAGGCTGCTATCCTGCCGACAGCACTATCGCAAAAAAAGGCACACCTATAGGTGCGGCTATGTGGTCGAGCCCTGAAGTACTGATGGAAACGCCTTGGAACACAGCCACCGATATCTGGTCCTTTGGAACGGTGGTGAGTTATGCACGTCTTTAATATGAGACTATAGCCTGACACTTCATTGTAGCTGATCAGCCTGATATACAGGGGTGACTTCAACTTATTCCGACCACGCACAGTGCCGTATGGCCATGAGGAATACAATTTGGAGGTTCTGAAACGGCAGTTTAGCTATTTTGGGCCCTTTCCGGGGAAATATCAGGAGATTGCAAGCCCCGAAACAGTCTTGGCGATTCTATACCTGATGCATGAGATCCCTCAATCACAGACAACACCTTTCATTCGGACAACGGAGAAGGAGATTTCCCTGAGAGACAAGAATTTCATCTCGAAGATTATGATGCTGGATTGGAGGGATAGACCCACGGCACAAGAGCTTTTGGAGGATGGGTGGTTTCAGGAAGACTAGCCGGTGTATTTTGTTTCCAAAACCCGGCTGTCTTGTCTTTAATTAGCATATCTTATCTCCTCGGTTGAATTGTTATCAAAAAGCAATTCTAAGGTTGAATCGAATCTTCTATCTGGACGTACAAAAACATTGGACACCAGCGCATCCCGTATCTTATCGCCAAGTTTGGAGCCCAGACGAAGCCTAGATCCGTACCTGTCAAACGGCATATCCGCAAAGGAACGACTTTAAAGTAGATTTCTGTACAATAATACATCCCCAATCTCTGAGACATGTGCATCCCAAACTCCACAACCTATACACCGCCAGCGGTATCCCCAACCAAACCCACAAACACCTAAACCATAACCTCCCCCTCCATCATCCTCTTCTTCGGATTCCTCTTCACCCCCTCCTGCCTCCTCCTCTCCTCCTCACTAATTTTATCCAAATCCGTCTCCACCCCCTGCATCGCCCTCTCAACCTCCCCCTCCCTATCCTCATGTCCCGCCACCGCAACCCCCAAAATCTCCCTCTCCAACCCCCCACAACCTCCCACTCAATCCCCGCCTCCTCCAACATCCTCACCCCCATCGACTCCCCCACAAACGTCCCGGGCTCCTTCACCCCAAAATACACCTTCTCGATGCCCTTCTTCCCGCCCCTCGTCCGAATAATCCTCTCCACGCAGGGCAAATTCCCCGAAAGCCGTTTCCCGCATGGCTCCATCGTCACATACATGACTAGTTTGCGGTCCGGGTCGGAGGCGAGGACTTCGGCGACGTGGTCAGGGGAGACGTTGTGCTGGGAAGCGAAGTTTGCTAGACAGCATTGTTCGGCGTGTGTGTTGCCCGGGTGTTGCATTGTGTAGCCGGTTGAGAGGACGAGGTCGGAGGTGTAGTTGGGGGTTGGGTCGGAGATGTGTCGGGAGATGAGGACCGCGCCGACGCGGAAGTTGGTTGGGAGGGCGGGGGCTTGGGAGGCGAGGTTGAGGCAATCGCGCATGTATTTTAGGTGAGGGGTTGTCATTGTGGGTGGATGATTTGTTGTGAATGTGTGTTTGTAGAGGTGAGGAGGGTCGTGATTGGGATTGGAGTGTAGATTGTAGAAGAATGTTAGTAGCTGTGATGAAAGTAGAAGGGCTATGACCGCATACGTAGATTGATAAGTAGCTTGAAGTGACGCTAACCTACATTAGGAAAACAAAGAGGATCGCGTCCCGCGCGTTTCTGTTTGTCTTGTTTGTTGGGAGTCTCGCCGGCCCGCCCTCGGTGTTATGCATGTTTTGTTCCCTGAGATAAATCACCTTCGTGTTAGAAGAACACAACTACTTTTCCCTTTTTGTCATAGATATTGGTCTCTCTTGCATTTTTGATCCGCTATGTCTATTCCCGGTGAAGCCTTTTGGGACAAACCCATCTTCGAAAATGACGAGAGTGACGAGAGTGACGAGGAAGCGAAAGCCGACGTCCCTCGCGAAGCTCCCCTCGAAAGCGATCTGTATGACATCCTCGGCGTCGAGCACGATGCAACCCCGGACCAGATTAAGACTGCCTACAAGAAAAAGGCGCTGAAGCACCATCCCGGTTCGTGAAAATTCTCGCTCGTATTCGGTGAAACTGTCGTATTCTGATAGCATTGCAGACAAGGCCCCCCCGAACCTGAAGGAAGAGGCAAACACCAAGTTCCAGCAGATTGCTTTCGCCTACGCTGTCCTCTCCGATGAAGGTCGACGAGAGAAATTTGACCGGACTGGCAGCACGGCTAAAGCGGTCTATGAGGATGATGATTTTGACTGGTTGGACTTCTACCGGGAACAGTTCTCCGCTGCGATCGATGAGAATGCGCTCGATCAAATCAAGAAAGACTACCAGCGATCTGAGGAAGAGGCGAAGGATGTGTTGGCAGCCTATGAGACCCACCGGGGAGATTTGGACAAAGTCTACGAGTCGGTGATGCTGTGTAATGTGATCGATGACGATGAACGGTTCCGCGCCATTATCGACACGGCGATTGCGGAGGGAAAAACCAAGGAGTACAAGAAATACGTGGAGGAGCCGGAGAGGAAGCGCCAGCTGCGACTGAAGCGGGCGCAGAAGGAGGCGAAGGAGGCAGAACAATTGGGGAAGGAGATCGAGGGGAAGAAAGCAAACAAGAAGAAGAACAAGGGGGAAAGAAGGGCGCGAGCACAGGGGACATGAGTGACCTGGCAGCGCTGATCAGACAGCGGCAGGCCACCCGTATCGATGCCTTCTTCGGAAAGATGGATGAGAAGTATGACCTGGACCCGGATACGGGGAAACCCAGGAGCAGGAAGCGGCCAGCCAAAGAACCTACAGACAAGGAGTTCAACGCTGCTGCTGCGCGCTTGGGACATAACAAGAGGAAGAAGTCCAAGGCGTAGTGGGTGTGACTTGGTGCCGGACAGCAACCGGGTCTTTGGGTGGATTCATTTTTGCGCCATTTTTCTTTGGGGGTTGGGCGTTCTGGTTATGTAGGGACAAGTCCTTTCGCAGGATGGTACATTGAGTGAATTGGCAAATCGGCATGGGGGGAGCACTTCTTTTCTTGTTTTCTTGTATTTGTTATGATTTGTCATTGTTTTCCAACCATTTGCTATTGTGAATCAACCCATAGGTAATAGAACAGACATGATACCTTCTTTGACCGCCAGAAGATGGAATGGATGCCTGGGGGTTGTTGGGGAAGGGCCCTGACCAGTTCAGGCCAAAGGAGAACGTGACCGATGACAGCTCCTGAACACCAAACACCACACATACCACCTCACGTCGAGCATAAATAAGCAGTCGGTTTACTGCATCTTGCGTACACAAGACGGTCTCCATTGGTGAGCACCAGACAGGTTTGCATTCCAGCTGCATCCCAGCAGGAGTGAAGGAGTGACACTAGCCCGACTGCCTCAAGTCCCCAGGATGATCGCCGGCATCAAGCCTGGGGGTCAATGCAAGGGATGGCCAAAGTGGAGGGGTGGCACCTCGCACAAACCGGTGATGGTGCCTATAAGGATCAGCCAGCTGCTCCCCTCTGTTCGTGATACCCCGCCATGCCGAGCTTTTGGACGCCTTGGCCGGCCTGAACCAACCTGCTTGCCTCGCCTCCTCTTGGTTCTTCTTTCTCCCCATCCCCTCCCTACCTTTGAACTTCTTCCCGAGTCACACACAATCACACACAATCACAGTCCACAGAGGAGCCAGAACAGCTTCACCGTCGGCTTGCTGGCCTGACGCCAGCCCCCCTCTCCTTGGCAACATCCGAGGAAAAAGCACCAAGTGAGGATCGCCGTGGAGGTGCAGCCGTTACGCACGTGGAGATCCGGTCTCCATCCTTCTCCATTCTTGTCGCGTGCCTCTTGGGGTGTCAGCATTCAGCATCCAGCATCCAGCATAGGGAGCTGCCTGCTCGGAACAAGTCTGGTTCAGAACACGGGAGACAACCTGGGGACAACACTCGTGTGACTGAACCGAACAAAGTGTCAGCAAAAGATCATCATTCTCCACGATCCACATTATTCCAAAGCCGGGCAAAGCTGGGAGCTAGTTGTCAACTGAATCATATTAATAAGTTAGCCCACCGTTAGTGCCTGGAACCCGCCCGCACAAAGCCAGAGACGGCGCGAGGCCATACCCCACAGCCCGTCATGCCGTACTATAGCAGGAAACCCGCCCACATGTCGCTGGAGACGGCCCTGGAGGAAGAACGGCGGGAGCTGCTGGAGGAGATGGGAGAGGGGCCCTCGCCGGCATCGTACCGGCGCCGGAGCCTGCTGGACATCTCACCGAGTCCCGGCTTCCTGCCCCCGCGGCATGGCTCCATCGCCGGCATTGGCGTTGGCGTGACTCCCCCCTCCTCCTCCTCGGCCGTCCGCCATCCGTCGCACTACTCGTCCTATTCCTCGCCTTCTCCGCTTCCTTCGTCTCCTCGCCGCTCCTCCGCCACCCCCTCTTCAACCGCTACAGCTACCAGCTTCAATCCATCGCCCGCAACCGCGACAACGCCTCCACCACTCCCTCGCACCACCACCACTGCAACAACCACCACATCCGCCGTGGCGCCCCCTTTGCCTTCTGCGCAGAGGAAAGGCTCCGTCCAATCCGACGGGTCTGTTTCCCCCCACCGATCCACCGACCTGGTGTCAGGCGACAAGGAAAAGTCCGGAGACAGCAACACCAGCAACGGCGCCAGCAACAATACTCGAATTAAGTCGGAACACAAGTCTGGTCCCAGCATCCGCTGGGATTCATCCACCGACATGCCCCCCAGCGTCGCCAACCGCAATGCATCCAGACGCGCTGCTCAACCGCAGGAGAAGCCATCCAATCGGCTGCCAAGCATGGCTGCGGTGATGTCAGGGCTCGACCTGAAAGTCGGGTTCCCGAGTTTTGTCAGAGGCAGGGACTCCAGCCGTAGCAACTCCACGCGGGGAACGTCCCTGGATTCACGAGTCGCTTCTCTTCGACCAGGTCGCTCCAACTCCCCGAAACGCCGCTGGCTGAGTCCCAATGCGCGTGGCCCGGCCGCCGAACCGGCAAAGCCTGCGGTGACCAGCAAAAAGGAAACCAGCCCTACGACAAATGCTACCAAGGAGCCTAGTCCGGAATCCCGCCCTGGGTCCCCCGAAGTGGAAACCAAATCGTCAGCCCCGGGTGAGGCCCGGCTGGAGAAAGATCATTTCGACAATGAAAACAATCCGATCGAGACTAGCGACGAGGATGTCGGCGAATCTACCTCTAGTGATGACGAGGCAGCCCATGAGGACGACTCCGATGTTAAGCGTGGCAGGAAGAAGACCGTCGACAAAGATCCCCCCGTCAGCACTGGTCAAAGGCAACTTACTACAACGAAGACCGCGCCTGTATTCCGTACGTACCCATTATTTTTGTGTTCTCCATGATTTTCCTTCTCGTCGAGGTTACTGGTACCATTGCGTCCATTCCTTTTGCACATACTGATGGCGTGAGCGCAGGTTCCGATAATGATTCAGCTGGAAAGGCTGAATTGGTACACACTGCAAAACAAGGCCCAGTGCCGAAGAAGCCTGATGTGCATCCACGGACAAGCTTCGACTCGGCCTCGGCGACCAACACGCCGTTCGGATCCGAGGATGAAGCCGAGCTGTGCGATATCAAGCGGGCTCAGAAACTGGGAATCCAAATGTCCGCTATCGATAGTACCGTTCAGCATCGGTCCATCCGCACTATCATCCGCGGGGACTACACCGATCTACAGGAAGAGGCAGAGGGCAGCCGTCGACGGCAACGCAAATACCTCGTTGCTACAGACTTAAGTGAAGAATCGGTGTATGCATTGGAGTGGACGATTGGGACTATCCTACGGGACGGAGACACCATGTATGCGGTCTGCGCCATGCACGATGAGACGGCCACGCCAGCGTCGGTGCAAATTGGCGACGGCGCCAAGGCGATGCAGGATGCGGCAGCCGTAGTCGGGTCGCAGACGGCAGAGACAGCAGAGAAGGCCCAGAATGACTCGAACTCCCATCTTCCCCGTGCGCTCTTTGGTCGCCTGGGGACGGACAGCAAGCCGAGCTCAGTCGATGCTCGAGGCATGTCCAAGGCCGAGTCGGAACGCGTTCATGCTGTAGAGGTCATTTCTCAGACCTGCGTTCGGCTTCTGCGAAAGACACTGCTCCAGGTCCGCGTTGCTGTCGAAGCCATCCATTGCAAGAGCCCGAAGCATATGATCACCGAAGCTGTGCGTACCTTTCCTATATCTTCGCAATCCTAATAACTAACAAAACTCCAGATCGACGGGCTCGATCCAACACTGGTGATCGTCGGCGCAAGAGGCCGCAGCGCACTCAAAGGGTAAGCTCCCATCTCAAACGATATACATCCCAAAACTAACAACTCCTATCCCAGTGTCCTTCTCGGATCCTTCTCCAACTACCTCGTCATGCACTCCTCCGTTCCAGTAATGGTTGCGCGTAAAAAGCTTAAGCAGACCAAGAACAAGAAAACGAACGTCCGCCTATCCAACAATCTGACCACGCCCAAGAAACTGGCCCTTGCAAAGGTCGACTAGAAGAATGTCCTGCCCCCTCTCTCCCTCCTTCTCCTTCCCTTTTTTTCTCTCTCCTCCTTCCTTAACCTTATCTCTTACGATACCGATTCATGGCGGTCCGGCGCATATGCATCTTATGGTCGAAATATTATTATTCCGAGACTGTTTTCTATTCGCTTCGCTTCTTAACTTGTATGATTATGATTCCTTCTCTCATGACGGGCGGATATGACGAACTAAATTATTAGCTTAAAAATTAAAATTAATGAATGAGGATTGTGCTTTCTTTAAAGAGTGAACAATATTTAGTATTTTTATTCTGGGTTTGATGTATGGAATGCACGTAGGTTACGGAAGTAGGAGATATGATTTGAAGGAGGCAGACAGGCTGTGAATTTGATGCTATGCTTGAGATCTAGATCTCTAGTCTAGTCTATTGCTCGACAGGCTTAGGGGTCTCTTCTTTGGCACCGGCGGCCGCTCCCGGGTGGCGAGAGCCCTTGTCCTTCTTCTTATCCTTCTTCTGCTTGGGAGCCGGAGGAGGGTAGGCCTTCAGCGTCACCTCCTGCCACTCAGGCGAGGCCTCGTAGGCGGCCCGGATAGGAGCGGTAAGCTCAATGATAGCCTCCGCAACAGCGGGCTTGAGGATCTGTGGCGACAGCTGGGTTTGGTCAGTATGAGGCAATTATATAGTGTGAGTATCAGACTTACGATGTCGTTCTTGTAATCTTCGTGCATCTGCTCGATGTTGGTGTACACAAGAGGCTCCAGGCCGTCTCTCTCACGGCTGACGCGGAACTCGGGACGTCCGTTCTTCAGGGTCGAAACCGGAAGAAGGACGTACTGTGCGAATGCGAGAATACCGTTGTTGTCGGTCTCCTTGGGAGCGGCCTGCGCTTTGCGGATCTTCTTTCTGATGCTGTCCACGGACTCGAGGAGATCGATCTTGCTGTCTGATAAGGTGTTAGTAGCTCCTTGAGGGGGAAATGTGCGGGATAGTACCTTCTTCACTAGAGCTCATCTTGCCACCGGAAAGACCGGGCACCATGGCGTTGCAGAGGTGAGCGCGCTAAGAATGTAAGTTATAGATCATTGGTATGATTGGTATACGCTTACCTTCCTGTAGCCAAGCTTGGGGTGCCATTCCGTGGAGGCGGCAAACAGCTTCCTCTGGTCAAGACCTCCGAACTGAGCATCAGCGTCCAGGTACTGCTCGTCGAGAACCTGGAGAAGAGGGTACAAGAGACCACTCAGAGGGCCATTGGAGGACTGCTTGACAATCTCCGCACCGGCACGCTTGGCATCGTGCTCCGAAACCAGGGAGGACAGCTTGTACACATCCATCACATAGTCCATGTTCTTTTGGTAAGAGGAACCGCGGACGAAGCGCAGCTTCTCAGTCGACACACCGACAGCCTGGAGCAAAGCGGTGATGGTGAACTCGTAGTATTTCGCCCGGTACTCAACCTGCTCGAATGTGGATTTGAGCGAATCCAGGTTGGCGTGCAGATCCGCAATCAGGACGGTCATCTCTGCGCCCGCGGCGAGGAACTGAGCAATCTTCACAGCCGGCACTATACCGATACACCAGTTAGCAGCGCGCCTATCGGCCACGTTTCAGTGAGATTGTACCCAGGTAGCCGCAGTGAGGTTTGCCGGTCGGGCTGGTACCTATCGCATTAGAAGGATACGTTAGTATGCTGCCCGATCGCATAGACTTGCAGGATATCGTTGAATCATACCCCAGTAGATCTTTGGGTTCCGCCCCTCGGCCAGAATGGTCTCAATGAGATCCAGGTTGAGAACCTCCTGGAGATTCTCGGTGATGAGGGCGAGCCTCTCGCTGACGTTCAACTCTGCCATGGTGTGAATAGGATGGTCCGAGGAATTGGAAAAGGAAGAGACCACGCTTTCTGGCGAGTATAGTGTGTGCCTGGTGAGTCAATCTGCAGCGATAACCTAGTTAGTCATCGAACTGCGAACAATTTCAGAGTCACTTTCCCCTCCGGAACCAATTGTTCCGCGCTATCAATCCGGCATCGGATTGGCTCGAATGCTTACCTAATCTCACGGTATGGTACGGGGCGATAAGATAAGAGACCGCTCCAGGGATTCTCCGAGGTCAGATATTCAAAGGCGAGGGAGATGCGATGCGCTCGTAGTGATAACAATAGTCTATAGAGGTTATGAATGAGTACCAGAGCCAGGCTTACATCCTAAAGCCATGAGAGCAAGAAGAGAGAAATCTGGGTTCATGCTGGAACGTAGTTGGAACCCCCAGGCAGTCCTAGATTGGGAGTCCAGTCCATCATCCGGTCCATGCTGACTCGGATATTGGGCGGGGGGCTGCATATCCCCAAGATGAGTCACCAAGGTACTGAGAGTAGCATAGCCAGGGTTTGGTGGCGCTGTATATGGAGCATGGAGTCCAGGATGTCGCTGGGAGGAACTAGGAAGGGATTACTACTATGACGGACTAAGTAGAGTAGCGTCGCGCAACAGCATCACGTGGGGTGGCTGGTCACCGCCCCGGCGGCGGCGTGGAGCAGCCAAAGCATACGTCGACACTCCGGCCTCGACTAAGGAGCTGCTGCTGCTGCTGTCTCTCCCCTCAACCTCCCTCCCCGTTTCTTCGGTCTTTCGGTTCTCTCGTGCGCTTGCTCCCGCAGCCCCCCCTTCACCATGGCGTCCGAATTCGTTGATCCCAGGATGACCAACATCAAGCCTCGCATCCGTTACAACACTATCGGAGGTATCAACGGCCCACTGGTCGTTCTGGATAACGTACGTCCCACCTGCATCGCTGCGCCCGAGGTCCACCATGACCTGGACCGGCCACTTTACGATCTCCTGACTTATGACGATGTGCCATAGGTCAAATTCCCCCGTTACAATGAGATCGTGTCCCTCACTCTCCCCGACGGGACCGAGCGCTCGGGTCAGGTCCTGGAAGCTAGAGGTACATCCCCACCCACGCATCGCATGCGACAGCGGCATTCGATCGGAATAGCTAATGCGAGACCACTGGTGCAGGGAACAGAGCGGTCGTTCAGGTACGAGCTATGTCACAGCTGTGGTGTCCTTCTGGTATTGCTTATCAACGTGCGGAGCGTTAACTTGGGATTGCGGTCATGATTAGGTCTTCGAAGGTACTTCCGGTATCGATGTCAAAAAGGTAATACATCCAGCAGCTGGGGATAAAAGCTACCTTCCATTGGAGACAGCAGGTTCCATCAGATGCGGGCATGCTGACTATTGTGCCAGACGAAAGTCGAGTTCACCGGCCACAGCTTGAAGTTGGGTGTGTCCGAGGACATGCTGGGTCGTGTCTTCGATGGATCCGGTCGCGCTATTGACAAGGGCCCCAAGGTCCTGGCGGAGGATTACTTGGATATTAACGGTCAACCCATCAACCCCTACTCTCGTGTATGTACCTGGCCGACTGTCCTGGAGTGCGACATTGGCTGATTGGATGACGCAAAGGTGTACCCCGAGGAGATGATCTCCACTGGTATCTCTGCCATCGATACGATGAACTCCATTGCTCGTGGACAGAAGATTCCCATCTTCTCCGCTGCCGGTCTCCCCCACAATGAGATTGCCGCCCAGATCTGTCGTCAGGCCGGTTTGGTGAAGCGCCCCACGAAGGATGTCCACGACGGACACGAGGAAAACTTCTCCATCGTTTTCGCTGCCATGGGTGTGAACATGGAAACGGCCCGTTTCTTCACTCGCGACTTCGAGGAGAACGGCAGTATGGAGCGTGTCACGCTGTTCTTGAACTTGGCCAACGACCCTACGTATGTTGCTACGTTTGTCTCATTTTATAGGCATGGCAACTGACCTTCCCAGGATCGAGCGTATCATTACCCCCCGTCTTGCCCTGACCACCGCTGAGTACTACGCCTACCAGCTGGAGAAGCACGTCCTGGTTATCATGACCGATCTGTCAGCCTACTGTGATGCTCTTCGAGAGGTGTCTGCTGCACGAGAAGAAGTCCCGGGTCGTCGTGGTTACCCCGGTTACATGTACACTGACTTGTCGACCATTTACGAGCGTGCTGGACGAGTTGAAGGCCGTAACGGATCTATCACTCAGATTCCCATCCTGACCATGCCTAATGATGGTATGGCCATTCCGCGGCTCATGTGCTTTAAGGATTGTCAGCTGACCAGTTGTAGATATCACTCACCCCATCCCCGATTTGACGGGCTACATTACGGAGGGACAGATCTTCGTCGACCGTCAGCTGTACAACAAGGGTGTCTACCCTCCCATCAACGTACTTCCTTCCCTGTCTCGTCTGATGAAGTCTGCTATCGGTACCGGCCGTACTCGTAAGGATCACTCGGAAGTGTCCAACCAGCTGTACGCCAAGTACGCTATTGGACGAGATGCTGGTCAGTCCTTTCCCCTTCATCTGATCTGAATCATGCCCACATACTGATCCTGTGAACAGCTGCCATGAAGGCCGTCGTCGGTGAGGAGGCCCTGTCCTCGGAGGACAAGCTCTCCCTCGAGTTCCTCGACAAGTTCGAACGCACCTTCATCAACCAATCGCCCTACGAATCGCGCACTATCTTCGAGTCGCTCGACATCGCCTGGAACCTGCTCCGTATCTACCCCAAGGACCTGCTGAACCGTATCCCCAAGCGCGTCCTGGACGAATTCTACGCCCGCTCCGCCCGCAAGATCGCCAACAAGGACACCCGGGACAACACCGTTGACCCAAGCCAGTCGGAGACGGCTGATCTGATCGAGACGTAAACCGGCCTTTGTCTTTAATGGGTTTACTATACATGTTCATACCGCGAGTTTGAAAGCCAAGCCAAGCTGTCTTTTCTCTTCTTTCCAACTTGCCCGTCCATCCGTCCGTGTTTGCCCGCTTCTCTTTTGCGCGCCGAGGTCACCCCACCTCACCACCTTGGTTTCCTCTACTACGATCCTGCATATACTCTTTTTTTTTCTCGTAGTTGTATATCATATAACTCATGGATTATTTGATAAATTTTCGATCTACTGTTCATCCGTGCATAACTGTCTACAGTACACAGACGTTCCACACCAAGAAACTTATACTCGTAATAGTAGGAAAACCAAAAAGAATCCCGATTGCATTGGTATATGTACTCTAAGTAAAGCAAGCTCAACTCGACTCAACCGAAAAGAATAGGACGAAGGACGAAGAATGAAGCAGAAAGAGAGAACTTTTCCTTGTTTTCGTCGCTCATTGACCGAATCAAATCAGGTAAGGTAAGTGTTAACACATCCTTGACTGCAGAAAAGAGTAAGTGCGGTGGTCAAGTCTAAACAGCTCTAGGAGAAGATGAGGTCGGTGGGTAGGTATATAGGTAGATAGATGATGATGGCGGTGGGGATGGTGGAGATGGTAATGGGAAGGACGCTTAGAATCGCAGGTCCCAGCCGATCTTGGGGCCGAGGCGGGGCAGTTCATCAGCGACGCTCTGGACGTCCTTGTCACCTCTGCCACTCAGGTTGAGGACGATGTTGTCGCCCTTCTTCATGGATTTGGCGAGCTGCATGGCGCCGAAGACGGCGTGGGAGGATTCCAGAGCAGGAATGATACCCTCGGTCTGGGCGAGGGCACGGAACCCAGTCAGGGCTTCGGCGTCAGTAGCGACGATGAAGCTGGCGCGGTCACTGTCCTTCCAGTTGCTAAGCTCGGGACCAACACCGGGGTAGTCGAGACCGGCGGAGATGGAGTGCGTCTCGGAGATCTGGCCGTGCTTGTCCTGGAGGACGTAGGTGCGAACACCGTGGAAGACACCCTTGCTGCCGCCGGAGAGGGTGGCGGAGTGGCGCTCGGTATCAACACCGTCACCTCCAGCTTCAACACCGACGAGCTTGACGCTGAGGTCGTTCGAGAAGGGGTAGAACATACCCACGGCGTTACTGCCACCGCCAACGCAGGCAACGACGGCATCGGGCAGCTTGCCGATGTGGGCCTTCATCTGCTCCTTGGTCTCGTCACCGATGACGGACTGGAAGGTACGCACGATGGTCGGGAAGGGGTGAGGGCCGATGGCGGAGCCGATGATGTAGTGAGTGGTGTCCAGATCCACAACCCAGGCGCGGAGGGCCTCGTTGACGGCATCACGCAGAGTGCGGCTTCCAGCGTCGACAGCAACGACGGAGGCACCAAGGAGTCTCATGCGGAAGACGTTGAGGGCCTGACGACGGACATCCTCGGCACCCATGTAAACGACACACTCCATTCCGAACTTGGCGCAAACGGTGGCAGTGGCGACACCGTGCTGGCCAGCACCGGTTTCCGCAATGATCCTCGTCTTACCCAGTCTCCGGGCGAGAAGGATCTGACCGAGGGCGTTGTTGATCTTGTGACTTCCCGTGTGGTTGAGATCCTCACGCTTCAGCCAGATGTTGGCACCACCAACATGCTCTGTGAGACGATCGGCAAGATGGAGACTGCTGGGGCGTCCCATGTATGGGTAGTAGGAACGGTATTCTTCCCAGAACTTGGGGTCGTTGCGCGCGGTCTCGAAGCCACGCTCCAGTTCGGCCAAGCAGTCCATGAGGGATTCGGGGACGTACTGGCCGCCGAACTCGCCGAAACGAGACGGGATGAGAGCCGGGTCGCCGGAGCCGTTGAGAGCTTCGATCTGATCAACCAGGCCAGGGCCAGCCGGCGTGTCATCGTTGGTGATGACATCAGTGGGCTGAGACAGCGCGGGAGGGGCCTCCTTGAGAACGGGATCGATAACGTTGACGGAGCCAGTCACAGTACCCTTGGCATCTCTTTCAAGTCTACGACCAGTAACGCCAGAGAGGTATTCTTGGGCATTCTTAGCCGCCTGGCCGGCAGGGGCGTCACCCAAAACGGTGATGATTTGACTACCGATAACGACACCCTCGGAGATGTTCTGGACGGAAAGGAAGTGCTCGCGAGTGCTGACACCGAATCCCAGGGCGGTAGGCACATTGCCGGACCAGGTGTGAACGCGAGACAGGAGATCGGGCAAGTTCGCGCTGAGCTTTCCGGTGGCACCGGTGACACCCATTCTGGAGACGACGTAGATGAAAGAATCGGCGATCTTGCAAAGGAGCTTCATGCGGGACTCGGAAGTGGCGGGGGCAATGAGGGGAACGTAAGACAAACTACCGAAGAGGTTAGACAAGCTGTTGGTTGCACGCGCACTTCAGTCAAACGTACCCAGCGCTAGCGCAAAGATCTCTGAAGCGGACAGCCTCCTCAGGAGGCAGATCGACCATGATGAAGCCATTGACACCGGCTTCCTTGCAATCCTTCAGCATAAGCTCCTCGCCATACTGCATGAGAGGGTTGTAGTAACCCATCAGAAGAACGGGTGCCCGGAGACCCCGGCTTCTGGCGGTGCGGACCATGTCCAAAACGATGGGGATAGTAACGCCATTGGCCAATGCTTGAGTGTTGGCCTTCTGGATGGTCGGTCCGTCTGCAATGGGGTCGGTGAAGGGCACACCCATTTCAATGATGTCTGTTGCAGACCGCCAACCTGTCAGTCCTCCGAGGTTCTACTATTAAAAGAGCGGGGTCGAGAACATACCAGCGCCTCCAGTTTCCAAACCCAGCAGCACATCTACCGTCTCCTCGATGGTAGGGTATCCTGCAGTAAAGTAAGCGACCAGAGCAGCACGCTTCTCCTGCTTGGCTCTGGCGAACGCGTTCTTGATTCCATCCATGGTGGCGGGAGGTGGGGTGACACCCAAAGAGCGGTGGTCAGGGAGATACGGGGGAATTAGAGAATTGGGCAAGGGCGAGTTAAAAAGAAGGGGATAGAGGAAAGCCCAAGGAGGGAAAGTTGGGGGAAGCGGAGGAGAGACTGGGGGGTGGAGAGAAAGAAAAGAGAGGCGATGTCGGGGGAAGAAAGTGGGTTTGAGTCACGGTCAGCAAGTTGACTAACTGGCGATGTTCGTCTTTCTTTTGCGCGGAATGTCCCGCCCCGGTCAGGTGATGTGGCGATAAGATAGCTGCTTCCCCTCCAGCCTTTAGTCAGCCAGGCAGTCTCGTGGGTGGCGGGCCTCGGAATTACGGCGCAATGCCGGAGAACCATGGTTGTTACAACAGACTCTGACAGACGCCAGGTAGAGGGTAGATAGATGGATGATAGGTGAAGAACCTCTAGATATTAGATTATAATGTAGTCAAATCACATCCGACCTCTTCCTGAAAACAGATCGAGGGAGGCCAACAAAATCAGCAGCAATATTCACAGACGCCACAAGCTATGCATATATAGATCCGCCCAGAATCCAGGGTCCTGGTTCGAATCCCTCGGGGTGAGAACAATAGTATCTCCCCCCAAAGAGGCGCAATGAGGAATGCAGGAACAGGCACAAACCAGCGGCGGAAAACAACACGATGACACAAAATTGATACCAAAGCCCATTTCACACTTTTTATCCCTCACCAACCCAGATGTCTGGTACATCAATCCCAAGGGTTATCCCAAACCTGCAACCTAAAAGGAACGACTGCGGCGCCATGCTATGCCAAATAGTTGTACAGCTTCGTAAAGGAGCGAAATCCTAATGCCCATATGAAATGCAAAATCAGAGAAGAAACGACAAGGCAGAGAACAGAAACATATCGTCTATAATGCGTAAAAGCGAAGAGGATATTGGGCATCAAGGCATGAAAAGATGGTAAAGGAGAGACATGAGATCATTCACAGTGATCATAAATAGAAGGCTAGCCCGGGAGACTCATCGCTGGGTCAAATGACCCAGCCAAGGTCTCACAGCCAAGGAATGACAATAAGAAAAGAGGTATCAAATAATAATGGAAGAGGCACAACGCATGAAAACAGAAAAAGTCAAACGCCAGCCAATGCAAGTCACCACCGCGTAACCGGAGATTCTAGCATCTCAAGGCCCGTGGGCCTGGTCATGCACGGAATACGGCATCGGGGTGAGATAGTTGTAGCAAGCGCTGCCGCTAGGGGCTCCGGTGCCTGCCGCAGACGTGAGGAGAGGATTCAGTTCCCAGGCCCGGCTGCTGACAGGGGCAGTGAGCCCGATTTGGCTCTGCTGCTGACAGACAGGCGGGTAGGAATACGGCGTGGCCAACGCCGGATAGGGCTGGCTGACAGAAGGCAGCCCGCCCCGCAATTCGGGGGGCCCTGTCATGGGAGGAGGTGTGTAGGTCGAAGCAGTGATGCTGGTACCGTACGTGCTCGGAGCAGCAGTGTCCGAGACTGACTGAGGGGATGCAGCGTTCGGAGGTTCAGTTCCTGAATCAGAAGCCGCTCCATTGCTGGTGTAGGTTGAACCGATCGGGGTAGCTAATGTTCCAGAAATCGAAGAGTAGCTGGCAGACTGTATAATCGATGGTTAGCCTTTGCCTGTGCGGCTATGATATTGGGCACTCACATATTTCCCGATGATTTTCTTCAAGGCGTGGCTAAGGATTTTCCAAGGGAAAACCTTCACGTCCTTCTCGATGTTTCTTGGCTTCGGCGCCGGGAAACCCATGATAACTTTGAAGAAGTCCTCACTATCTGCCTTGGCCTTGGAGACAGTAAGAGGTCTGAAGCCTTCCAGATTCCGCCGGATCCGGTTCTTCTCCTCTACCGTGAAACGAACCCCTACCAAGGACTCGAGCAAATAGATGGTGTCAACGCTGGTGACGAAGCATTCGTCCTTCCCATCCCAGTAGATACAGCTAATGCAGATGCTGTTTGGGGCTCGGTCCTCGGGAGCTACTGGCTTGAAATCTGCGTGGATCGTGCTACCACTTTGCATCCGTGTAAATTGGACGAGGCGACGTTTCGCGTCACGTTCCTCTCGGGACCAGCTTTCAGTCATCACATCCAGATCACCGTTCAACTTCAGGACCGCCTTCGTCGGACACATAGCATAGGGGTTGAAAGACTGTGTCTGGCCATAAGCGCCTGATTGCTGTAACGTCGACGTCCGGATCAGCGTTGGATTTCCAAACCTCCCAGGTGAGGGTTGGTTTTGATGGCGGAAAGCGTGGCTCACTGCATAGCTTGTGCTTCTAGCATCGTTGGCCACCGAAAGAAACGATGGGCTATATGATGGTGTGATAGGCGATGGGGCTCGAATGGAGGCTTGGGACGTAGTCGACAAGGCGGAGTACTGGGTGGGCGGAACCCTCGGTGAGGCAGCCGCATGATGAGGGGTGACAAAGCTACTCATGGCAGGCAAGGACTGCATATATGGAGAGTAGGTCGCAGAAGACACGGTGGGCTGTTCCTTTGCGTGCATTGGTGGGGCAATAACTCGTTTGGGTGCCCTCGAGAGAGCCTCGTCCGAGTATGAAGGAACTCTCCGCTTCCGGGATTCGTCCGATGGAGACTGCATCGTAGCATGCTCGAAGGTGTAAACACCCACTTGTAGAGTGACTGCATGGCAATCATTGTGGTCCATGATCACTTGCAGGGGGACCGCCAACGACGGCGACCCAGTGGAGCTGAATGGAGGCGTATCGACGGACAGTGCATACTGAAACAAAGGGCCCTGGAAGCCGAGAAAGTGCGGCACGCAGTCACACTTTTTCGAGCCGAACACGAGATAGACAGTTGCGTAATTTGATGTGTGGAGATCGTACGGGGATTGAATCTGGACGAAAACTCGAGTACCTTCAGAGCCTCTCTGGGGGGAGTAGGAGACAATTTCCGGAACCTGGCGATGCTCCGCAGCCAGCATTGGTGAACGACCCTCTTCATAAGAGCTGGCATACTCTCCATTTGCCATGTAGGGTACACAGTCGGATATTTGGCTGGCGTGATCGGGCATTGGGGAGGGGACAAGAGAGGTGGCCGTCACATATGGTGCCTGGCCGTAGCCCGGATATGGCACACCCTCGTGCAGAGATCGAGCAGAATCATAGTCTACTCCGATTGAGTCAGCGTCCGTGTCTCACAAGACCGAAATGGGGTGGGAGCCCCAATGATGCCTCCGAAACAGACAGGTCATGTGTTCAAGGGACCAGTGCTTACCGATCAATGCCGCGTGGGGGGGTTTCTGGAAGGTAGACATAGACAAGATGGGCTCAGACTTGGCCAAAAGGCCGTCTGAAAATGCACCGAGGAACTGTGACTCTTCAGGGTCGGAAAAGTCCAACGACTCGTCTAGAATTAACGGTGTTTGTAATTCTGGGTTGAACTGTAAAGCGCCCGGGGTCAGTCTATGGCCAGATGTGCGTGCGAGGCTGCCGGAAAACAAGAATGTGGCACCGCCAGCACAGCAGATGCGTCAAATATTTCAAACCAGCCGAGGGCAAACTGGAGGGGAAGGGGAAAAGGAAAGCAGCAATTGGGCAGCGAGGGGAAGAACCGGACTCACCAAAACACCGTGTGTCTTCGAGTAAGCCAGTTTGAAGGTGTTGCAGAGACTGCAACAGAACACGACAGCTTAAAAAAGCGAATGGCGGCGAATATTTATCCTGAAAACGATAGGATGTCGGAAAGTCACTAGCGAGCTCTCCGAGACAAAACGAATGACGACACGAAGTGGCTGTCAGCCCGAATGAGGTGGATGCCACGAAAAGATTTGAATGAGCAATCAGGACCCTATAGCCGAGAGAGAAATGACGAAGGTTTGGCTGTAGGATAGAGACCGGATCCAAGCCACGCTGCCGATAATTGCTTCTGACTACCTATAGGAATCCTGTTTCCATCTGAAGGCGATATGTTAGCCTCACCCCGGACGGCAACAATAATCGTTATCGTAGCAGGCTATGTAAAGAAGCGAGCGAAGTCAAGCCGACCGAACCGAGACAGGAGATGTTTCGCTCTCTGGTGAGATTCTCCTGGGACCAGGAGAAATGTCTGTAGTCGGGGGATGAACTACTCGGGTTGTGAGTACGAACCTCCCAGAGGCGAGGGAACCGGCTCGCTGCATAAACTAGCAAGACTTACCAAGAAAAATGAGGAGATGAGATTCGCGTCTCCGAGGCTTTGAGAAAGCTAATATGCAAAAGTCACGGTCCCTAAGCGACTAACGAGATGGCCTACACCTTGACGGGGTTAACAACAAACATCCGGAGCTTGGTGACGGAAACCCATACAAGGGAGATGACAAGCGCACGGAACCCATCATGGATCCTAATTTTCCTGGGATCTGGTGCGGCAAAGGCACGACCTTGGAGAAGCAAGGAGTACAAGAGGGAAGGGGACACGAAGGAGAGTGATGCAAGGCACCAACAGAGTCTGTGGCAAAGGGAGGGAGGGTTGGCACCAACCTTAACAGACCAATGGCTTCAGCACAGGGCGAGGCTTTCGTCCAAAAGGAACGCCTATTTGAGACGTTTCCTACTAGTTCGTAATAAGGTGGTGCCCTCAGCCGAGACACAGATCCACGATGGTTTGAGTCCAGGTCCGACCTCGTGAACGAGGACTACACAGAGACAAGGTTGGGCGAGTCGGCTGGCTGACGATCCACACTTTCTTTTCGGGCAAATTGAGACAGATGGGCGAATCCGGTCACGGCAATAAAATAATGCCGTACTTTTTATTTATTCGATTCGTGCCAATGGCGGAGGGGACACTGTCGAGGTAGCGAGAACGGGGTCGATGATCGTCCTTTGGGGTACCTCCCGCTCAACAAACGGGGATCGCTCTATAGATCCGACGTATAAGGAACCAGGCAAACGCACAGCTGGGAAGGCCGCACGACACGGAAAGGAGGAGTGGGCGTCAGTCAATCCACGACTGGGTTCTTTCGGAAATAATAAGGTACTGTCGTTGAAGCCCCCTCTTCTTTCGGGTCGGATTGGCGCGGAGACAAGCTCGAGGCAATTAAACAGATATAGCACAGTAGCGAAGGTTGTCGAACATTCAGCGAGTGCGTGTGAGATCCGTGAAGATTAGAGATTAGGATATCCAATAAGACCGATCAGTTCCTAATTCGTCCTGCCAATAAATGCTTCTCTTCTTCCTTTATTTTTTCCTTCTTGGTCGATCAACACAGACGTAGCGAACGTAATGATACTTGTCGATACCAAACAAAGCGAGTGTAAGGTGAACGTGAGACGAGCGAGTGAAAAGTGTAATAAAAAAAAAGATACGAATGAAACCTTCACTGTGCCATAACAGACAGTGTCAGGAAAAAAAGGTGGGGGGGAAGGGAGGAATATGAGGAGGAGAGGAGAAGTAGTCGAGATTAAAAAAGAACCAGACTGATAGCTGGGGAAGAGAAAAACAAGAGATGACGAGAGATATATTACTTTTCCCTTAAAGCAATCCACTTGAGCCGAGGATGCGGTGGTAAGAAACGAGAGAGCACTGGGCGACAATGGCCTAGTGTGGCGGGGATGTGCTGGTGGGAGGATGGAAACTCGTAGGAAAAAGGGTAATAGTGGTGCCAATAACCCTCGAGGACATGGAACCCGGCAATGATATAAATAAATAAATTGGAGGATACTTCAATCTCTATGAAATTCACTTGCGGAGGCAGATCCAACGGCGGCCCTTCCCTCTCTGAGTGTGTGTTGTTATAATTATACCTGAGGTTCTTCGGGGAATCACAACACCCTGAAATCTGAAGACCAAATGGCTGGTTGGCCCATGGATCTTTTTTGCTCCATCGTGGAAGTCCCTGGGCTGGTGGTGGTCCTCCACATCTCAACCGCTAGACTACCAGTCCCATGGAGACTTAGTACCGGCCCATACCCATAGATGGTTTTCTTTTACGAACCTTCCGAGGCGCGCATCCTTCTCCTTTCACCAGGAACCACCCAGGGTCCGGTCGGGTCACGGGGAAGGCTTCGAAGTAGGAAGGAAGCTAACTCCCTTAACCTTCTAAAAAAGGATTTTTTTTATTTACTATAGTATTTTTTAAATTTTATTTTTAATATTTTTATTTATTTTTCGTACTTGCGCAAAAGAGTGAAAAGAGAAAAAAAAAAAAAAAGAAAGGGAAACGGCTCTTCACCAGAGAGGGGAAATCCTGGGTGGAGGGTGTTCTTAGTCAGGGTAGGCTAGCTCAGGGCTAAAGTCATAAATCATAAGTCGTAGGTCATAACATACCAAGGGCATTATGTGTGATTATTTTTGTTCCCGGAATAATGATTAATGATTATTATTTGGTGAGAAGAATCCTACCATTGGGTAGGAAGTACGAAGTACTGGGTGAATAATCATCCAACCTGGTCCCCCCATCCAGCAACAGGCTAATTGTAGCAAGGGTGTTAGCAAAGAATAGCAGCAGACACCGTTCGAGCGGTCCATGCCGCCTTGACCGGTGGACCCCCCCCCCAAGGGAAAAAGATCAGTCAGGGCTGCAGAAGCCAGCGGGAAAGAAGGAGAAGTGGTTCGGGTTCGGATTCTGGTTACAGTTATTTTTACTCAGGCTTAATTTGGATCCTATGGCAGTCAGATTGGTACAGATATTCTCCATAATTATTGGCTGCGGCAACTTTGCGATTCTCTTCACATTGGTGGGGGAAGGGGCGATTTTCATTTTCCGTGTTCCTTGGCCTTTCGGGGGCCCTGATGCTGATACACTAACTAACTAATACGGAGCCTAATAATACTTGCGCAGAAAGTTTGAACTAACCCCTCGTACATCTGGCAGGATGAGCTGCCCTGTCACTATACGGCGCACTAAGGAAGAGAATGGAGGTAGGTAGATACTTTGGAAACAACACCAGACCCTACACGGCCATGCCCTCCTTGCTGGTTGCTCTTTGCTTTTTCCTGTTGCTTGCCCAGCTGGTGACATCAGTCCGGGCTGACCATTCATGCCCACGATCATGGGCTGAAGTCTTGATTCAAGGCCATCCATATTGCTGGTTATCAAAGACTCAGATCAACCAACTCATCCAATCCATTGGGACGAGTTGATCAACTGAAGGACCACTACAAAGACTCACTGGAGTTGCTTCTACGAAGTAATCAGACATGATGATATCATCGACCGAGATATTGATAAAGGACCCTTGACAATCCGATGACATCCTATCGAGATAGATACCGGATCTCGAGGGTAGGTAGGTAGCTAAAGGAAGACCCGAATCCTTTCCATTTTCACCGTTCACCTATCTAGTATGCTGTACATAAGTAGATAGTATGATACCATGCAAAAGCACCGTTCTGGTACAGGGAATCGGACCGATCGTGAGTTCGTGACATATTATTAGCTCGCTCTGGCAAGGTGGCCCCGCCGGCCTGCCCCCTTTCCCGAAGAGGAAAGCATGGTGCCTGCCTCGGGGCCAACTTCAACGGCGCCATTCCCGGTTGGGGGTTCTTAATTTGGAGCCCTCAGGCAGCAGCGGCCGTAGTTCGGTTTAGCTACAGTTCTGCTCTCTCCATCATTTCCTCCTTTGGGTTTCCTCCGGCCGCCGCCTGGAGATAAAGCCCCATTCAGCCTCGCGGTTCCAGTGATCGGGACCAACTTCTGACCGATGTTCCGAACGAAGGCACAGATATCAGATCCCTATCAAGTGTTCCGTACCGATTAGCTAACCTCGCAGCCAACCTGCTTGCGCGCCTTTCCGAAGGGAATGACCCTTCAAGTTCAGGATGTCCCCCGCCAATGGCTTGGCAACACCCTCGTAATTCCTACTTACACAGTACTAACAGTACTAATAGTACTAGTAGTATGATTCCCTATCAGCATCGGCATCAGCACGCTCCAGGATCCCATGACATCAGGGCGCAAGCATCAGACCTCGACATTACTCGCCAAGATTTCTGGAAAAGTTTATCCGTCACTTTTTTAGCAGCAGTCGGGTTGGAAACTGTGGTGTCCAACTGAGCGCCCGCACGAGCATGCAGAAGTGCCTCGACAGCCAGTCAGAGGCAGCGGTGGACTGGCCTTGTTCCGTGCCATCCCCTCGATCACTCCACACTGTGGCAGCGCAGCGGCTGGTCTTGCCCACTGAGGTCATTCATCCAACGGCTTCAACCCTTCAGCTTCCATGAAGTCCCAGCCTTCCATTTTTCTTTTGCCTGAAGGGTGGTAGGCGGTTTGCCTGAAAAGAGAGGAAGCCACTCGGATTGAGGCGGGCGCAAGGTGGTGGTGGTGATGATGATGCACCGCAAGGTACATGCGCATCCGATCGCACCTAGAGTATCTACCTACTCCGTACAACCAGAAGGAAGAACCAGCCAGAGAGAAGTAGCGGCCGATCTGCTTCAATCAACCTTCAAAGTTCAACCTTCCAAGGTACTAAACATAGCAAGCCTTGCATTGGCTGCCCACAGGCGGTCATGCAAGGGCGGGAGAGGCCGTCCCATTGGTGCAGGCCCAAGGGCCAGTGGGGTTGGGATTTGTTTAGCGCACAAAAAATCCGTTTCTTTGCCCAAATCCTCCGGCTCCCCGCCGCAATGTGATTCGCCCTCATTCGCCCGGACGGTGGCACGATGGGAAGCACCGAAAGGCTCGAGGTGGTAAGGTAGCAGCATGGTAGTACTACTAGCCTGCGAGCAGGCGAGCGACCCTGCATTGTCACCATACCGCGAGCCGTCAGTGGCCGACTATCGCGGCTGAGCTGTTGTCTCCTCGAGACCTGGCCAACCGCGACAAAGCGATCATCCCGGCTGGGATCGTGGCCTCGGTATTTGGCTGGCCGCCCTTTTGACTAGGGATGGATTCTTTATTGATGTTTAATATGACGCCGTGGCACCTCAGCCACGGACCACGCTTGGGCACGGCGTATGGAGTATTCTACTGGGCAATGACTCGGTAGGGCAGCCCAGTCTAGTATATTCTATCACCATGCTGACTGCCCCGGATCCATCAAATCGCGGTACTTGTTGGTGGTTGTCGTTGACGCTACCAGGATCGACGAAAGTCAAGAAGGAATAAGCCCGGGCAAGACGCCCACTAGTCGTTTCTGATGAGGTCATGTTGGCTAACAGCCGAGTGCCGTCGATCCTTTCTCTTGTGGACGATATCGTGGCTAAGTCGCGACAGAGTACTCCGTTCTCCACGCGCGATAGAGAAGGCTTCAAACTTAGATGCTACTAGATAGCCGTGGGTTCCCTGGGTCCCCTGGGCCCTGGGTTGCCTTAGCACCTCAGGGCTTTCGGAGCGATTGCCAGAACTGATTGACTTTCGGGACGACTGAGTGCGACTGTCAATCCCGTTCCGAGGCAGGCTCCGAAGCAGATAGATACTCGTTGCTAATAATTATTTTCTAGGGCCTGAGCAGGTAGGTCCAACGGTCTGAAAAGTCGATGACAACCAGACTTTCACTCGATTCAATCAAATCTCAACCATTATTCCAATGTCATCGAGGCTTCAAGCCTCCCACCGCCACCCTCAACCCCCCAGGTTCCATTTCCCCGAGTCCTCTGAATAAAGTTCGTCGTATAGATCGACGTAAAGGCAAATCGACGGATCATCGTCCAAAGCACGTTGAGGACCACGTCTACTCGCAGGCTAACAGCAACTAGTTCAAAGTACCTACCTTAGTCACCTTGCCTCTGGTCGGTGACTGGGCATGCATCAGGTACGGTTGCTGGTTAATGGTTCGATATCGCCCAACTCCCACGGTGAGCGGTGGGCCCCGGCATAGATAGCATCATGGAGAGATCCATCTCCCTATGCTACATACAGAGAGGATCAGCAATCGTCCCCCACGATAGTGCTCATGGCTTGGCCCGATTGGGATGGGCGACCGAGATACTTTGCCGGGGTCGCGTTCGAGAAGAAAGATCGTAGGTGTCTCTACTCTATACCAGATAGGACCATGGTTTCATCACCACGAGGTAGGACTGGTCCTTATTTTGACATGCATGGATGGCATGGGGATCATAACAGCCATAATAATGCTGACAACTTGCACGCTCCTCAATAATACACTAGAGGATTCGATCATTCATTCTGCAAAATATCGATCCCGAACACCGACAGTCATTAATCTTTCGCTTAAATCCATCAATTTAAATATATAAGCTACTCACTATGCCAGTATGCATGGCATCCTGAGTAGAGGATTATTATCGGTCAATGCTCGGGGAAATCCTCTACCCGCCCCGACCGACCGAAGTTTGAGCGAACGGACCACAACCTCAAGGGACAGGAGTCAAGACAGGAGACGGCGAGTGACGCCCTGCACACTGACCCAGTCAATCAAGGCGAGGAAAATCCCGCAGAAAAATCCATCGTGGCTCGTTAGTCTCCTGCTAACCTTGCCAACCCCGGTTCTACGCTAACCGTTGGCAACAGTTCTTATTCGGCCGGTGTTATCGGGTTGGGCATTGTATTCTGAGTATGATACTGAGTACGGAGTAAGGTTCCAGTCTTTTGAGGGGGTGAGTGAATAATATCTATTGGCATATGGACTGGGATACATTCCCACCCTCATGGAGGAGGCATTAGGGCACACCCTGCATCGGCGGCCTCCTCCGCCTCCATCAGGAGGATGATTGACAATCATTTTGTCATCGGCGATGACCTGAACTCCGGACCAGCACAATCAATAAGAATGCCTAATCCAGTATCCACATCCACCACGGAACATCACATCACGGGGGTCAACCGGAGAAAATCCCTACAGGCTCCACTTTCCCCCATCAGCTCCGCCCAGCGGCGCCGAACCTCGACCAGGGAACCAACCGGCCGCCGGCTCGAAATGTAGGTGAATCTTCCGGAAGCATGATGGAAGTGGAACGGTTAACAGCAACGGATCCATGGGTCCCAGCGCGTGGGAAATGGAATCCTACCGAGGCGTGTGTCCGTACTCCGTCGTATTCGCGCGGTCCTGTTCTTGGGCGCGGTTATTTTTAATCCTCGAGTGATGATCGATGACTACTAAATGAGTACTATGAAGTAGAGTACAGGAAATGATGGTCATTCTTTTGGACGAAGACAGAAGGTGGTATTGAACTATATACTATATAGTATGGATGGTTGTGTTGCCACATGTCCGGGCAGGACTAGGTACCAGGAACTCAGGAAGTGTCCTGGTCAACCCTCGGCACCTAAGGGAGTCGGGGTACCCGCGGAGACAGAGAAGCGCAATTAAGCATTCAGGGTCTTTAAATTGCAGTGGGCAGCCACCCCGGCTAGGCCGTGTCATCTATATTGGAGGCCGTTTAGCCACGCCCAATTCCCGGCCGGAGCTTGGCGCCGGCAGCCCAAGTCACAGGCCAGCAATCCTGGCATCGGAGAGGGGCCCTGGAAATGAGCAAGTCAAATTAAACATGCTTTAGTCGATTCTAGTCGGGGTCCTAATGTATGCTAATTGCTAAGTTGCCAACAACCCCAACGGTCAGGAGCCGTCCGATCTGGCCTGAGGATGCCGTCATATCTCGGTGATGGCAGGGCAGGGCAGGAAGCAGGCCAGCCTTTCACGAGGGCAAGGCAGAAGATGAATTGGATCTTCCTTGCATCTGCCTCCTCCTGTCCACCTCGATAACCTACCTATGCGTTATAAATGCAGCAAACAAACCCTTACATTGGTCCCATCCCTTGGTGACTCTAATCCGCTCAATCCCTCGGCCTTGATGCTAGGGACATTGCTAGAACCTGAAAATCGGAAATTTTATCTACGTGCCTCCCCACCGGTCGGAACCGCAGCAGCAGCAGCAACAGCAGTCGGGTAATTAGCGTCGCTGCACGCCGCACGGGAGAGAAGCAGTAAATCAGAACGAGGGAACGTCAAGCAGAATCTATTCGATAGTCTATGGTATCGACTGTCCGGTCTCAGGTGCATTGGTCCACCCGCCCGTTCTGATCGGCACGTTTTGAGAGGAGGATTTGTCGATCCGAGGGAGGCGGGTTATGGTTATCTAGGACCGTATCTATCTCAACTCTCAAGATGGCGATGGTGATTCATCTGACGAATCCTTCCTTCCTTCCTGCCAATCGTTTACTTTTCCATAAACAAAGTAGGGAGGGGAATTTCCCCCCTCCTGCCTTGCTTTCCCCAGCCAGCCGCACTTTATTATTAACCCAGCCAAGTCGATTCATTTAGGAAGAAATCTTCTTTTAAATGAAGATCAATATAGATTTCTACCTAGTCTTTCATTTAACGATATATTAGACTTACCTACATAGTAGGATATGGAGAAAATAATAAATGAAGGAATCAACAAAAACAGCCGGACGGAGAAGAATAATTACAGTGCCTCCCCACAAGCAAAGCCAACCGGCGCGTCAATCCATTCCCAACCAGGCCCAACCCGAACCCTAATTGCAAACCGCAGATGTCTCACCAGTCAGGCCCTCTCTCGGTCAGGTTCCTTCATCCGTGGGCTAAAATAGGTCCTACTATTCTACTAACCAACGATGAGTCCGTACCTGGATCACAGCCCTCTCACTACGTTAATAATAATCTAACTAGGGAGATGGATGTCTTACATTACCCGGATAAACACTCTACGAGTACCAGCCAGTCCCAGTACCTATCCTCAGCCCAACTGGATCCGGCTTTCTAAATAGGTAGTAGTTGCAGCTGTCAATCGCATGTAGTTTCCGTCCGTCCGTCCTAGCTCAGCACCCAAACTCCTGTACCAGTGTACTGTGATCCATCCAAACCATTGGAACGATCGTGGCTGAGACCCAGCCTAACCAACTAGGAGAATCCTTCCACCATCTGAACCCACTTGCCTATTTGACAAGGTAAATCAGGGGCACGTTAGATGCGGGATGGGGAGGGTGAAACAACCCCCGAAAGGGATTAGAATAGATATTTAGTACAACCTAGTAGTAGTGCTCCATAGATAGATGGAGAATGAAAACTGAGACCAAGGCCCTCGTCCCGAGCGATAGCGTGGAACCTCATGGAAGTACAAGACGCCAAGGGAGTAGTTAGTATCATAGTATGGTCGATGCTGGGTTTGGTCCCTACTCCGTAGGTAGTAGGAAGTACCTTACTATCTATCTAAACTTAGTGGTTAGAACTAAGCTAATTGATATTAACGTCCTCGTACCCATTCTTTCCTGGGTGACTACATACTCCGTAGTTTACCGCTTACTACTACTACTATTCTGGTCTAAGCACACTAGTTGACACATGGTCCCTGCGACGAGTATATCCATTACTATTCTTACCTACCGACCTACCGACCTACCGTTATTCTTACTATCGAATAGTATCCATACCTACCTACCTACCTACGTATACCTAACCAAAATGAAGAATTTTTCTTCTCTTTACGAAAGCACCCACCACCGCCGATCTTCTTCAGCTCAACAGTGCTAAGTATATCCTAAGTTCTAGTACCCAACCAAACTCTTCAATCAATAGTTCGCATCTCCAGTGGCGTTGTGCCTCAGCTTGAAACACAACGCCACTTAAAGTCTACTATCACGGAAAGTATATCCATCGGCCGGCTGGGCACTCGTGCAGTGGGTTCTCCTGAATGACAGGCCCGTGTCGCACAGGTCCCGTGAGACTGTAGTGCACGGGCGATGATGGTGACAGGTCGGTTAATTTGGTCTGGGCAGTACGAAGTAGATACTAGAGGAGTTTATCTCGTGTAGATGGACGATGGGTTGATGGTGGTTGGATTTTGCAAGGGTGTCCTGAACTGGCATGATGTAGATAGATTACTTACTATACTTACACTATGTAAACTAGATTCGTTGTATGGGCCATCCCCTTAAATCATCCGGTCTATCTATGAGATAGATTACTACCTTCTCCTGAAGGTCATTAATTCATTACGCAATAAATATCGTACACCACGTCCTCGTCACGAGAAAGATATCCAGTTATCTGAGGTCAAAAATTTCCTCCATATTTGATATCAAGAAACTCTCAATCACAGTCAGTATCTAAAAAGGAGTAAGATATAGAAAGTAGACCACCAACGCATCCTACCATTGAACCCAACCCATCATAGACAGGCAGTAGTGCTACTCCCCGTCAATAACGGTTTCCATACTAACCTAACCCAACCCGGCAACCCACACGATCAACCTACCTGAACTAACCCCTCCTCCCCCCATATTAATTCAATATTCACTCCTCAACTCATCAACAACAACCACCAACCCTCCCAATATCCCATCAACCTATCCAACCCACTAGATAGCAACCATCATATCCCCAGTAACCTAAATCCCCTACTAGCAGACCGCCACACTCACCACCGGCCACCATAACAGGCCGCCCCAAAATATATAGTTATTACTATTGACGCCCCCCTATCCAGCCACCACCAAACATAATTTGCCCGAATTTACTTTCATTTAATTTTCTACCTTTTTTTTTATACTTTTCCCAAAGTTGAGATTTCAATATCGATATTATTTTGGGGGGTCGTGTGTGTGCGTGTGCGTGATCGGCTGATTAACACTAGCAGATCGATTCGCATCAAGATGAGGATGAGGATCAGATCATAGGAGTGGTGGCTTTGTGATCATGATCGTAATCGTGGAGACGATAGGTAGCTTTGATGGTACATCCTATCCTATCTAACCTATCATCCATCTATCTTATTTTTATCCCAGTGGGCATCAGAAATGCATGCAAGTTCGCTCGTGACTATACCTACTTACTTCACCACCCAGACGACAAAAATAGCCAGGATGAAAAAAGAAGTATCTACCTCCTAACTAACTAAAAACATCAATGCGTGAAGGCACCTGACATACCTAGGTCAGGTCAGCTGATTCCAATTCCAGTCCAGTCCTAGTGCAAAGCGGAGCGGAGTCATCTGTGCAGTGTGTAGCAGCCAGCCCATCCTCTGACATCAGCCCGCAAACAACATCCACATCCATCTTATCGTCAACGGCCGAAGCAAACTGACAGGTCTGGATCAGATTGAGGATACTCAGTCTGTAACACGATGTCTAATTAAAAAGATATCGGTGAGATAACTATGATGAAGGTTTGATTGTCATTTCCCAGCTAATCTTGTTTTTTTTCCCCCCCTACTCCGTACTTGGATCCTAGCTAACAACGTGTGATCAAGTAGGTCTACTACTAGTGACAGTAGGAAGAGGGGCTTCATCCTGGAATTTCCGACGTCGTGCTGCATGGCTAAAGCCTATTCTGCATCCGCACGGCAGACACCATCCAACCAAGCCATCGCCTATGCAGGTCCTTTGCGACGGCTCAACATACCAGAAACATGGCCAGTCAGAGACATCATGCGCTATTACCGGCTCTGCAGACTAGCTGGGAGATGATTGGAATGCTATGGGTCTTTGCCAGAAATAGGACCAGTGACAACACCACACGCCTGAGTTGGAGATAGTGCTCCCGGTTTTGGTAGCATGTCTCACTCAACCCGCCACGGCTGCTGCACGCCTGTGGGACTTGACCGAGCTTCCATTCAATCCTATCTATCTATCCTGGAGACAATCCCGGCAATTAGGACAGACCCTGAAATCTGAAAAGTCTTCGTTTAGCCACAGGAATAATATCACAATTCAGAATATCTCGGCGCTCTCTTCCACCGACCGACTATAGCACAGGGGAAACAGTGCCCCCCAAAATCGATACATGCCCCAGTGCTCCTCCTTTTCCGACACTAGTCTTCGAGCAAATGTGCATTCCGTCCGGAACGAGTTTGTACTGCGCATGTGGGCAATCTGCTGACATCAGGGATGGCTCACGGCCAACTTCCGTCGGGTTGATCACCTACCTCGATGTATCGCTGTAGAGCCGAGTAGTACTGCACGGAGAGTCCAAAATTGTTCCACAGGATCGATTTTCTGATCCTTCTTGCGGCCGTGACTAACATTCTCGTCTGTCTATCACGACCTATATGGATATGATCGCCTACTACTACACCTCCGGGGAACTTCCACCCCTGTCGCTCGTAGACGACTTCGACCAGTCGGGTAAGCGTGTCAGCTTGCCATGTCGTCAGGAGTTCGTTGTGAAACGCCTTGACGTGCTGTTGGAGCTTGCTCAAGTCGACGTTCAGTCGAATCACGTTGGAGCGCAACATGCTCATTTTATAATCCAGATTCTGGTTGCTGGTCTGCAACAATCGGAGGGCTGAGGAGTATCTCTAGAAGACACGGCATTAGCGGTTGATTCTCATAACCCCTTTTGTTCCTTCTGTCTCTATAGGACTCTGCTGAGCTGACACACCGATAGTGATGACGACACTGTCGCTTTTGTCGTCGTGCCATTCTCATTCGAAGATGACAACTGTATCTGCGACCGATAGAAGGACATTCCGGGTCCGTATTGCTGAACGATATCAAGATCCATGACGAGTCGAAGTACAATGCTAATCTAAACAATCAAAGAGTGGTTCAACTATCCTTGGTATAAAACGATAACCGTGCTGCTGGCTAAAGAGGCTAAGGAGCGATGGTGACGAAGTGACCAAAATCTGCATCGAGTTGGCCATAAGAAAGAGGTATGGCATGAATACAACTGATATCCTAATGCAGGGAAAGAGCGACTTCACTGCATTTGCTCAGGAAGGTACTTAATCATCTTGTTGATTTCTCATTTGGTTCCTCACGTCATAATATACACTGTTACTGGACCCCTAAAAAGATAAACAAAGCAGAGCTGACCTTCAGCGATGATATCCAGATCACAGCTTACTTCCAGACGACTTCCCGAACTCGATCACCAGCTTCCCAAACTGCTTTCCGTCCTTCATATCTTGGAATATCCCGTCGATTGCTGGGATATCCGCCAGGTCGGTTTGCAGAACGCGCGAAATCACCGGGTGGATCTTGTGCGTCCTGACAAACTCGACCATTTCCTTGAATTCCTTGCGCGAGCCCATCGTACAACCACGGACATCAATGTTCTTGAGCACCGCCCTCATGGAGAAGGGCATCTGCGGCCCGACCGTCATCCCATACACGCAAAGAACACCACCAGCCTATCCAGTTAGCCCAACCCCAGATACCTAGAAAGCACAGAGACGGGAGCTCACCTTGAGCAATTTGACAGCCTTGTCCACCGAATCCCCTCCAGCCCCGTCAATAATCGCATCAAATGCCCCTTTCCCCGTAGGCAGCATGCCCAGCAACTTCTGTTCCCATTTTTCCTCCTTATAACTCACTCCACCTTTGGCCCCCAGATCAACTGCCTTTTGAATCTTCTCCTCACTCGAGCTGGTCACATAGACATCCGCTCCCCTAGCCACTGCAAACTTCAGCGCCATCAAGGCCACGCCGCCCCCAATTCCGGTCAGCAGAACCGCAGCCCCCCTGCCCGTATTCCTCTCTCCTGCTTTGACTAGGGCCCTCCATGCCGTCAGACCAGTAACCGGCAATGACGCCGCCTCGGCATCTGAAAGATGCTCCGGTACCTCTTCCAGCTCCTCCTCGTCGATAGCCAAATACTCCTGCATCGTCCCCTTGTGGTACGACTTTGTCCCGCCCAGGATTCTGTATCCTTCTGGATCCTCCGGTCCGTCAGGCGAGTCCTTCCATCCTATCCCAGGGTTGAGGACCACTCGCTTCCCGATCCAGCGTTGCGGATCGCTCACCGCATCGCCGGCGGAAATGACGGAACCCATCCCATCGGCACCCATGGGTACATCAAAGGTGACACCGGGGTAGAGATGTTGCCGAAGGAACACATCGCGGTGGTTCAAGGATGCGGCGGAGACTTTCACCAGAACTTCACGGCCTTGAGGGATGGGTTGGGGGAGGGTCTGCACGGTGAGGGGGTAGTAGACTTGGCCGGGCTTGCCGTGTTTGCCGTCGATGGGCGTGATGAAGATTGCTTTGGACATGTTCAAGGTATATGCCTTGTCTATTGTATGTACAATTATTTGGATGTTGGTAGAAGGTAGGCTGTATATAAGGGGAATGCGAGCACTTATCGGTTCGGCGTGCGGGGATGTTGGGCCGTTATCGGTTGCCGAGGATATGCGGTTCAATGGCTTCGATGCTTGCGGTGAGGATCAGCATGAATCATAGTTGTACATCTACACTGACATGAAAATCGGTTCACAAGAGTAGGATCTTTGGAAATACTCTTATCCTATCCCCTTTATGCCATTGGCTCTTTCATGAGAACTATGAAATGAGCACGTCCCTATCATGTCTGTGAACCTCGGCAGAAGGAGATATATATTCACCGCAGTAGGCAAACATCACTCTTCCTATACCCACCCACCCAACTTCCGTACAACTAGTGATAGTGAGACTGGACCTCTAGAGCACATCACAGCCCATTTTCACCTTTCACCAGACAATCAAACTACCAACTGAAGCTATAGCTCGAATTTACTGCACATAAGACACTCCCAGCCATTCATGCAAGCCTAACTTGACCTGCAGTGTCAGATTCACCGTGAGTGAGGCAAAGACTTCACGATAGTCTTACTGGGACTTGGAAGGACAAAGCTAATCATTTTCTAGGTATTGACTTACTAGATATGTGCAACCACCCTGGAACTCATCCCTCTACTTTGAAGTTTTATATCGGCTACGATATGTGCATGCTGGGCCCAATGGGAGGAATCCCTAGAATCATAGAGCTATGTCTCTGATACTGGAAAACAACCCATGAGAAATACATCAGTAGTAGTAGAAGAAGGCTCGTGTCGTTGAGTTCAGTCAACAAAGGCCGAGTATGGACGAACCCTCTCAATGGCACCTCTTCATTATTCCGAAGAGTGGGCAGAGTGACATCCAAGCCAATTGATCATCTTTCTAGATCTGACATTGCACATCTCTACTGGTCCTGTTCAACTCATCCCAAGTAGTATACTATCATCAAAAATAGACAAATACCATCCTCGAGATACCACCAGCCACAACACAACCAGCACATCACCACAAAAACCGACCCAATCCAGCGCACCGGAATGGCAAATCCAGCCAGGGATTCTGGTTGTCGCGTCCGGAATGCGGTCGTGGCCCTACCATACCTACCTACAGGGTAAGTGTTCGCGCGACTGCAATAACATTTCCGGATAAATCTTTCTTATTTCATCCATTATCCGACAACAGGATATTTCCATCTAAGTATCGGGGACAATCGCAGCATTGACCAGAGTAAAGTGGAGTCAGAATTGTGTATGGCGTGATATCAGATCCCACGGACGTCGTGTTTCATCATTGATAATCCCGGGCGAAGGTTACACGGGAACATGATGGATGGGAATTTGTCTATGGCAGGCATGTCTATGGCATACTGGCAACAGGAGCAACCGGATTGTTGCAGTTGACTGTTGTCTTGATGCGAAGCTAGTATTGGATTACTGCCTCAGGCATAAGCGGAGGCTGGGGTAGATACGGTACGGAGTACTATGTATACCTGGCATGTACGTCTAGCGTATGGTATGTATGGGGCTGGTATGAACGGGAGGTAGTAAAGTTCTCCGTATTCTTCAGAGCTCGGACGAGAGTGACGACACCCACAATTATTGTCCGCGATGGATGCCTTACATTTTGCATCTTGAAATTGATCCTACAGAGCCCGTACTCCAGTACTTATTTACCTACTTACCTATCTAGTTAGTACCTAGTAGATAGATAGTAGTAAGTAGTAGACCTACCTATTCTCCCTACTACGCAGATGTACTATTTAGAATACTACCCACCGTTCCAGGGTAAGGTAAGCTATAAGCTACTTATAAACAAGACCCTACCTAACAAAACCACCACCGGCCTCTAATTTTGACATTCTAAAAATACCCGAGGAGCTACCTATACTACTACTACTATCGCGGTGGCCCGAATTTCTCAAACTGTTTTATTTAAATTGTTATTATTATTATTCACTCTGGGGCGCATTGGTTGGTGAAGCGACACGTCGAGAGGAACCGAAGCGTTTGCGGCCAAACCACCAGTGACGGCCACGGCGTGGCAGTAGTCCGGCGTAGATTGGTCTGGGGATGTTGGCGCCACGCACTGTCCCGGAAATGCACCACCCTTCCATTCTGGACCTTCTGTCGATTTTCGGGAAGAATCTAGTGACTATTGTACCTGATTGTACGGAGTAGATGTAAGGCTTCCGGTGGACCTTTTGTTTGACGATGCTGGGGGATGGCTGAAGTTCGTACTGGTATCTAGAAGGGGATTTGTGTGCGGTGGCCGGGGAGAGAGAGAGAGAAGTGTGTGGGCTGAGGTAATTGAAGGATTACACAAGGCGGGCTTGCTGGCTGTACGACGCAGGCTGCAAACGAACGGCGTGACGGGCGTCACGACCGGTACGGTGGTAATTCCACGGCCTCCAGCTAATTCGCCGCAAGCCTCTTCATTTTTCTTGACCTGCCAGGAACTCTCGATCCTTTCGATCTTCCTGATCTCGACCTGGATCGTCTAGCGTTCTTGTTTTCGACCTTGACTCTCAATCCTCCCCAACTGTGCTTCCAGATCTCGTTCCCAACCGACACCAAGGTGCGTTTCCTACTCTTCCGATTGTCGCGTGTCTGCCTCCATCCTGTGGCCTTTCCCCCTCGCTGATCCGATCTCCTCTCCCCCAGCTCTGCGGACTCTGCTGTCTTCAACCCACCCTCTTGAAAAAAACGTTCGCATCGCTCCTTTCGTTTGTCCCAGGTCACGACCCATAACCTTGCTCTCCCAGATCTCGCCCCGAGTGCTTCTTCTCTCTCCTCAACTCGATCGGCAATCATTCGTCCGCTTCCTTGATCTCATAATGCCCACGCCACTTCCGTCTAGTTTTGCCTCGGCCGCCGCTGGCAACGCCCACGACTCCTCAACCAGGAGAGGTGATGGCCCTGCCGGTGGAGAATGGTATGCAATGCTCTGTGATCGGTGTCTACGCGGTTTGCCCGTGGCTTCGGTGTCATTCTTGTTCCTCCCCCCGGGGGTTCTGCGTGGCGGAGTAACTGACAACTCATCCCGACTGGGACGTGCAGGTCTCGAACTCGCATGAATGGAGCAACACAGACTTTCCGCCGTCCGTCCGTTGCGACAAACCCTTCTCACAACCGGGATGTTAGCCAGCCCACATCGGCCACCACTCCCACCGTGGGCACCTACACTCCTCCGCATATGTCCTCCAACTACCCATCCAGCGCACCACGCAACGGAGCGGCCAACGACACGCGTTATTCAAAGGACCAGCTTCTCAGTCTTTACAAAACCCAACGAGAGTCCGGCATCTTGGGGAAGAACGTGGCAGATTACTTCGTCGCCGACTGGAATCCGCACGAGACATCGCCCGTGAACGGAGCCTGGGGAAACGGGAAGACTCGAAGGATAACCCCTCCGGCCCGGAAGTGTGCTGGGATCATGGAGGCCAGAGCGAGCCGTTGGGACTGGTAGATCTGACGGACGATGAGAAAGAGGTTTGTCTCTTTGTTTACCCCGCCTTGCTTGCTGCTTGAGCGTGTTACCTATTTTTCTTGTTCGGGACACGTGCTGAAGGGCGCAGTTATTTACCCTCTCCGTCAACTCTCCTCTCAAGCCGCCGCCTACCAATGCTTCGAAAGAGAACGTCGCTCCGGGTACCGGCGGCCGCAAGCTGTCCATCTCTCAAGGCCACATGAACAATTACAACACCGCATCCCCCAGTGCTGCCCGCCCCGGCCCGAGGCGTCGGGAGACGGGCGATTCGACTGGCAATCCCATGTCGCCCACCACCAGCGGCTCTCGCTTTTTCCGTGACGAAACGAACACTTCCACCCCACCCCCGTCTCTGTTGCGTCGCAAGACTGATTTCCGGGACGCATCCTCCGCCGCTCGATGGGAGGAGAAAGAGAAAGAAAACGTGGGCCGAGACGTGGGCGCCGAGGTCTCATCTCCATTTGGCTCCTTGAAGCGGAGTTCGACCAATCCGTTGAATGTGGCACCTGGCGCCTCGAACTCTCCGTGGGGATCGGCGTCGCAAAATGCCAGTTTCTCGCCCATGGGAGCTTTCGGGGCTTTCTCTTTGGGCACGGCAACCACCCCGACGACCGAGAAGAAGGCCGGGTTCGGTAGCCTCCGCGGAGAGAGCCGCTTGAAGGGGCTGTTCTCGAAGGATAGTTCCGAGGACATCTCGGCCGCTATCAAGGAGAAGCCGTCTCTCAGCAGCTTGGAACGCCTGGGCGAGGCGGAGGGCGAGAAGCGCGCCCAGTCGCCTTGGGGCGAGCCCGTCAAGACCCGCACTGGTCGCAGCGAGACGAACCCGTTCTCGGAGGAGCCTCGCAGTGGAAGTGCCGCGCTTGGAGGGTCCCAAGAGATCAACACCCCTGCTCAGACTGCGGATCAGTTGGGATTTGGGGCTTTTGGTATGACTTCCAGCATCCCCGGATTTCGGGAATTGATGCAGAGCCACGAAAACTCGCGTAACCCTACCCCGAGTCTCCTGCAGGGACACGAACCGACTAGTCCAACGAACACGAACCCCTACCAGAGTCCCCACGGTGACCGAAGTGGAGCTGCTGCTGGTGGCGACGATGACGTCGACACCGATGGGTCCGACATCCAGAACACCACTCACCCTGGCATCTCTGGCCTCCGAGACTCCTCGTCCGCGTTTGGATCCATCCGACGGGTAGGATCGGGTATGGACTTGCCTTCGATCGACCGGAGCCAGACCTCCAGCGCGGCCGGTAACCGTAGCTTCTCTAGTCTTGGTGGCCTGGGTGGACTTTCCTCTCTGGGTGGTGCGGCGGGATGGCCCTCCAGCGCTGCCGTGGGTACACCCACGAGGGAGCGCTCGGCCTTTGCCGGTGGGTTTGGCGATCCCATCTTCGGCACGATGGGCGATTTGCAGTCCCCAAGTTTGTCGACCCTGGGAGGCAGCGGGTTGTTCAGTCCTCATGCTGGCATTTCGGGCACCGGCAGCCTTGGTCGCTCCAGCAAACTAGGATCCCTGTTCCCAGCCGCGATGCAGGAGCAAATGCAGGGTGATCAGGGACGGCCAGACCTTGGCGCTCTCGATGATGGCTCTCGTCAACCTGGTAAGCACTCCGCTCAAGTGCCAGATCGTGTTTAACTAACATATCGAGCAGACATGCAAGGGGAAAAGCCGGGCCAGATGAGCCAGCCCCCCACTACTTCGGCCTCACCTGACCCCATGGCGGCGGTAGGCTCCATGTCCACGTCGATAGCCCCCGAGGCACCCCCGCCGAGCCAGACTCCTGGTCAAGTTGGTGCTGGTGTGCCTCCTGCACAGCAACGAACGATGGTGATGCCGGACCGGATGCGCTGGATCTACCGCGACCCACAGGGCAACATCCAGGGCCCTTGGACTGGACTCGAGATGCATGATTGGTTCAAGGCGGGTTTCTTCAGCCCCGACCTGCAGATCAAGAAGCTCGAGGACCCCGAGTTCGAGCCGCTGGCGCAGTTGGTGCGACGCATCGGCAATTCGCGCGAACCATTCCTGGTGCCTCAGATCGGCATCCCTCACGGTCCTGATCCTAGTCCCGGCCCGTGGACTGGAAACACGTCCGGCACAGCCCAACCTCCGTTCCCGGGCAGCTTCCCCAGCTTCGGAACTACCCTGACCGCAGAGCAACAGAACGCGCTGGAGCGTCGGAAGCAGGAGGAGCAGTATCTGATGGCGCGTCAGAAGGAGCATCTCGCTCAGCAGCAAGCCTTGATGAAGCAGATGCAGTTCCAGGGCGTCCCGCACACAATGCACCCGCACCAGTTGCAGCATCACTCCAGTGCGCACAGCCTCCACAGCCAGCCCAGCTTTGGCAGCATTGCCTCGCCGATCGGCTTCCAGCCTTCTCCTATCCAAGCTCCGATGCAACAGCCCCAGTCGGTCGCGGGATTTTTCGATGCAGCTGCGCCAGTGCGGAACCCGCTGCAAAGCGTTGGACCGCAGGTGCTCGGTACGGATCTGGTCAACAGCCAGGATCAGCTCCCAGCTCTTCTCGACCGCCTGAATGTGAGCCGACCCGACCCGTTTGCGTTCGGCACGCCCAGCTCGTTTGCGGCGCGCCAGCCCGACAGTCTGTTCCATCAGCAGCAGGTTGCCAGCATGCTCCAAGATCGGGCTCGCTTGCAGCAGGAACAGGAGCAGTTTGACAGCGCACAGGGCGACAGTCTGTTTGACCAGCAGGCGCGCGAAGAACGACTCCGCCAGTTCCACGCTCTGCGGGCTCAGGAGGGCGAGCTAGGCCTGCGGACTGCCGAGGGTCTGCCCACGCACCCGGCCACGGCCCTTCAGCCCGAGGAGTCCGAAGATGTCGAGGATCTCGTTGAAGAAGAAGAAGAGGAGGAGGTGGTGGTGGTGGAGGAGGAGCCTACTCTCACCCTGTCGCAGCAGGTTCAAAAGGCCGCGTCCGCCCAGCGCAAGCAGCAGGAACAGCAGGAACAACAAGAACAGCTGCAGCGCGAGCAACAGGAGCAGCAGAGCTTGGACACCACCGATGCACCCTGGAGTGTCAAGGGCGACAGCGCCATGCCTCAGCCATTCCCTCCCCCGCCCTCTGCATCGCCGCTCCCGGCTCCGGCCGCTCAGCGCAACCGCCAGAACGTCGCCGAGTCTCTGGCCGCCAACTCGCGGTCCCAGACCCAGACTCCAGTTGAAGCGCCGACCACCTCGATCGCGCCTTGGGCGAAGGAGGCCAACGAGGTGCCCAAGGGGCCCTCCTTGAAGGAGATTCAAGAAGCGGAGGCCCGCAGCGCTGCGCAAAAGGAAGAGTTGGCGGCTGCCGCGCGCCGTGCCCAGCTGCTGGCTGAGCAGGAGCGTCTCAGCCAGGTCCAGGCCCAGGCCCCTGGTCTGCCGTCGACTGCGAACTGGGCCAGCGCTGGATCCCCGGCCACCCCCACGTCTTCCGGCTCGGTTTGGAACAACAAGGGCCAGGCTGCTCCTTCTGGTACCGCCAAGAAGACTCTCGCTCAGATTCAGAAGGAAGAGGAGGCTCGTAAGCAGCGCCTGGCTGCGGCTGCGGCTGCCCAGAATGCTGCTGCCAGCCCTCCGGCGGCGCCGTCCTCGACCGGAAAGAGGTATGCGGATCTCGCCAGCAAGGCTCCGGCCGCGTCTCCAGTCAGTGCGAGTGCGAACGTCTCGGGCGCATGGACCACGGTGGGTGCGGGCGGGAAGCCCAAGCCTCCGCCGGTTGTACCTTCGGGGCCGCGGTCAACGAGCAGCGCGACTCCCGTTGCTGTTTCTCCTGTGAAGCCTAAGCCGGCTACCATTGCGACGCCCCGGGCCGTGGTGGTGGCCACGCCGCCTGCGAACCCGAACCGGGCGGTGGAGGAGTTCACCAAGTGGGCCAAGCTTGCACTGGGCAAGGGGTTGAACAGCAACATCAATGTGGACGACTTCGTGCAGCAGCTGTTGTTCCTGCCGGCCGAGGCGGAGATCATTTCGGACTCGGTGTACGCCAACTCGCAGACGCTGGACGGCCGGCGGTTCGCGGAGGAGTTCATCCGGCGGCGCAAGCTGGCGGACAAGGGCATTGTGGACCCGGTCTCGGCGAGTGCGTTTGCGGAGAAGAGCACGGGGGGATGGAGCGAGGTGGCGAAGAAGGGGTCCTCGAATACGCACCGAGAGGAGGACAATAGCAACACGGCGTTCAAGGTGGTTGCTCCCCGCAAGAAGGGGAAGCGGTGAATTAGCGGACTGGTGGAAGGATGACGCAGTTGATGCCGTTGATGCAGTCATGAGAGGAAGAAAGGATTGGGGTAGTTGGATCTAGATAGATAGCCAATGGATTCTGGCTAGTGCTTATTCTTATACTGTAGACTGTAGAGTAGTAGCTGGATGGATGTATAACCCGAGATAACCGTGGCATTGATTGGCATTGATTGGCATTGATAAGGATGATAAAAATAGGCTTATCGGAAGTTTTCCCCGGATGGCCTCAGGTCCGACGCCCTACACTGGATCATGTTTGTTGATCTGAGTCACTCGTGAGTCACCTTGAGGTTAAATAGTCCTCCTCGTCCTCTTCTCCTTCTCATCATCCAGTATCTCACTTCATCCACCATCATGTCTTCTGCTTCTTCCACTTCCACTTCCACTCCGGTGCCCTTTGGGGCTGCCATGCGCGAGCAATTCTGCCTCGATCCCGAATGGAAGAACCTCAACCACGGCAAGCATTTCCCCTCTTCCCTACTTTTCCCCCCACCAAACCCCTCACCACCACCACCACCACAACTACCTCAATCCTAACAAACTTCAGGATCCTACGGCACATACCCGCTCCCCGTCCGCTCTGCCCTGCAATCCCACCAACATCTGGCCGAATCCAGCCCCGACCTCTTCATCCGACGGACCTCCCCGGCCCTCAGCGCCGAATCTCTATCGCAACTGTCGTCGCTGCTCAACGTCCCCGCCTCCACCCTCGCCTTCACCAAGAACGCCACCACCGCCGTCTCCACCGTCCTCCACAACATCCCCTTTACTGCCTCCGACGTGGTCATCTATTTCGACACCGTCTACGGAGCCGTCGAATATGGCCTCATCTCTCTTTCCGAGCGCTCCCCTGTCCAACTCCGGAAGGTGGAGTACGAATTACCCGTTTCCCACGACGAAATCGTGAACCGCTTCAAAGCCCTAGTGGAGAAGGTCCAGACAGAAGAGGGTCTGAACGTCAAGGCAGCCGTATTTGACACGGTGGTGAGTATGCCTGGTGTTCGATTCCCCTGGGAGAAGTTAGTAGAAGCGTGTCGCGAACTAGACGTCTTGAGTATCGTGGATGGTGCGCATGGCATTGGCATGTTCAAGGTGGATTTGGGCGCCGTGAAGCCGGACTTTTGGGGGAGTAATTTGCATAAGTATATCCCCCCCCCCTCTCTCTTTCTCGTGATCCATATAGATGTTAATGACCATGGAATAGATGGCTCTACGTCCCCCGCGGCTGCGCAGTCCTCTACGTAGCACCAGAACACCAACATCTCATCCGGACAACTCTCCCCACATCATGGGGATATATCCCCAGCACCAGCCTCGCCTCCACAGGCAAAGACGCCGAAGCAACAGCCCTCGCATACAGAACCCTCTTCCAATCAACCGCCACCAACGACGACACGCCCTACCACTGCGTCCCCGCGGCATTGACCTTCCGGAAGGAGATCTGTGGCGGGGAAGAGCGCATCCACGCCTATCTCGAACAACTCGTCAACGAAGCCGCGGATCTAGTCGCCAATATCCTGGGGACGGAAGTCCTCCAGGAACGGGGCCTCAAGGAAGGAGAGAAGAGTTTGTTGCGGTCGTGCGCGTTGAATAACGTTCGGTTGCCGATTGTTGTGCAGACCACTACTGGTGAAGATGCGAGTGTGATGGATTGGACGAAGCCAGGGCCTGAAGGGAGTCTCTATGCGCCGTTACCCAAGACATTAGCAGGACAGGTAGCGGGTTGGATCCAGGGGAAGTTGATGGATGAGTATAAGACGTTTTTGCCCGTGTTTGTATATAAGGGCTGGTTGTGGACGAGGTTGAGTGCGCAGGTTTATTTGGAGTTGAAGGATTTTGAATGGGCGGGGGGTATGTTGAAGGAGTTGGTGGGGAGGGTTGGGGGGGAGTTTCCGGCTGCTTCTAATTGATTGAGCAATTGGGGGTAAATTTGTTATGTTGATATAATTGATATTGATGATTGTTCATATAGATGAATGAATTAGCATCAATCAATAGCAAATCAATCTATACGATTACCATAGTATAGGTATCTAGCTCTGAGCATGGGCTCAACCCTCACCCTACTACCTAGTACACAAATTAGTCGAATGAGCTAAACCCAGTTCCGGATATTATCTAGTTCAGAGTATTAAGGTTACTACCGCCAAGATGCAAGATCTGATAAGAATGATAGATAGATAGTGAGGGACGGATATCTGATGCGGATCTATCTCTCACTCGCTCATTGAGGGTGTGTTAGGGTTACTGCTTACCCATCCTCCTAACTAAGTATCTAGAGATAGTGGGTATTGATCGATTGCTTGGATTGGGTGGGGAGGGTTTACTATTTATGATTTCTCTTGATGGTACAGAAATGGATTTTTTTGTGAAGAGAGAGAGAGAGATAAATGATGATTAGTATGTATGCATGCATTGGACTCCGTGGATTGATTGATATCGGTCAGTTAGCAATGCAGCTCCATTGATCAGCTAGAATGAAAATGATATAAGAAAGATGATATTAAGAAATACGGAATAGATCGTATCCGTCATGTCTTCATAGCATTCGTCACTACATACACCTCACATTCTCCCTTACCATTGCTGCATCATTAGCTGCTGCCCCCACCCAGCCGACTGCGCAACCACCCCGTGACCCCCCCTGAACCCTCCCCCCGACTGCTCCGCCGTGGCTCCTCCGACCCCGACCACGATGACGACCACGTGCTCCACCCTGACGGCGACTGTCCCCCGCGCGGCCGACTCTGACTCTGACTCGGCTCCCCACTGTTGGAGTGTTGTGGTGCTGGTTCCGGACTATCAGGGATGATGGTGGGGTTGTTTCTTGTGCCCTCGGGTTCCTCGGGTCTGGTTTCGGGTCTGGCCTCGGACCTGATTTCAGATCTGATACAATTAGAGTCACTCAAGTAGCAGGTATAAATGAAACAAGCTTACTGGCTGGCGTCAATGCTCCGCCGACAGTGCGGACACGTGTTGTGCTGGTTCAGCCATAGCTCGATGCAGTTATAGTGAAACCAGTGCTTGCACGGCAACATCGTCACCTCCGTCCCCAGCTCCACAGTGTCCATGCAGATTGAGCACTCCGCCCGGCCTTCGCTCCCCAGCATCTCCGCGTCTACCTTCTTCTTCGGCAACGACTGAATCGCAGTGGCCGGGGCCGGCGGCGGCGCCCCTCGGGTGGCGGTCTGCTCAATCAGTTGTTCAATGACTCGGTCCAGCTCCTCCTGTGAGTACACTATGTCTCCGCGACGATCAAAGTTGAGTAATGTCGACAACATACCCAACGGATTCGGGCCGGTCACTACCCGTACACCACTGCCGCCCGCTTGTGTGTTCGTGCCAAAATCGGATCGGAACAGCTCGAGAATACTACATTCGTTAGCCTAGACACGCAACAACGCAGATCGACTTACTCGCTTAGGGTCCGCAGTGGATTGTTCAGCGGTTGGGGACCGTCCGCATTCCGCGGATGCAGCCCGTCATCCTGCCCCCGGCCATCAGCCTCAATGTCAAACTCGAATGACCCTAGGGTCCGCCCACGGTCGCGGTCTGGAGTGTGGGGTTGGCTGGACGTCGAACCCGGGGGGTTCTGCTGTCGGTAGGTGTTCGCAAGCCCGTTGAAGATGCTGTCTAGCCCCTGCACCATTGGCATCAACGGGTCGTTGGCTGGTCGCTGGCTGGGGGGCGACCGACGTGGGAATCCATGGGTATAGGTTGTTGTTGAGAAGGTGAAACGACCGTCAGGGGAGCGAAATGTGCGGTGGGTAAATCCATTTCCATCTCCATTTCCAGATCCATTTTCATTTCCTGTCCCCCAACCATGATCGAGGTCGTCATCTTCCTCTTGGTGTGCCCAGGGGTTGTGATCGGCCCACGGATTCGGGCGGGCTCTGGCCGGGGCGGGGGCCGAGGGGGGTCGTTCGGGTAGAGGGTCGGCATCAGGATCGGGGGGAATTTCGATCTGGTGTCTCTGATTAGATGTCTGCTGAGAAGGAGACCGAGAGAGACGTACAATCTCGGTAAAGTCCGACTCGCAATGCGGACAGGTCATATCGCCGGCGTTGTGCAGCCAGACGCCACCACAGGCATGGCAGAACATACGGTCCCCGGCATCAGCCATGGCGATCGATGAGGACTAAGAAGGTGTAGATGGGAGACGGAAGAAGGAGGGGTCGAGACTATGTCAGACGGTCGTGCAGATCGAAATCGGGCGAATCAATCAGTCAGTCAGTTAATCAATCAGGCCGAGCAGATGCCAGAGCTCGATGCAGCGTCACTCATGGCTCGTTGGGCACGCATTCGTCACCATGCGAAGATCAGTGTAACCGGATGGAATCGATGAGTTGGTTGTACTGCGTAGAGGCGATGAGGGAGAGAAAGAGCAGGAGCAGAAGGCAGAAGTAGAGGGGAACTGTCAACTGATAAGTGATCAAGACGCTGGCATAATCGGGATGACGTTAGCAGCCTGTGGCGCAGCCAGACATTCCTCCGTTTTATACTCCATCTTCACCACGTAGCCTCATGGCTTCCCGGGATCTGTAGGAGGGATTCAACGGAGACTTCCTCGGCGGAGGATATCGACGGAGGATATCTACGATGAATATCTAACGCCAGACAAAGGCTCGTCGGAATCTCCCCATCTAACCCATCCATCCGATGCCATCGGATTCCGTATCCAGGAACCTCCATTAATATTAGCACATCCAATCTGCCGCATGGTCAAACGCCATAATGCTAAACGAACAACCAACCAGCACAGCCAAACAACCTATTTACATCATGCATCCATAATATACAGCAAACACCTAGCGTCTCTTTGCCCCCCGCATCACCAGTCCACCGACAACTCCCGCTGCCAGCGCCAGTCCACCCACGATGGCAATCCCCATCAGTCCCTCCTTGGACACCTTCTCATCGATCAGCTGCCCCAGACTGGCTGCCTGTAGATTGGCCGGCTCCTTCTCGCGCAGCAGGTCGTTGTACCGCCGGGCCTCGCCATAGTTTCCGAGTTTATAGTTGCCCAACGCAAGGTAGTAGAGGCATTCTCGTCGTCGTTCGGGCGCGGCACGGAAGATCTCTGACAACAGACGGACACCCTCTTGCTGTTCGCCCCGGGCGTTGGATTTGATCAGGCCCTGTCCATGTCAGCAGCGTCCTTCATCGGAAGCACCCGACCTACCCAGGCATAGTTGAACTTGGTCTGAATGCCGACGTAGTCGCCTTCTTTCTCGTACTGGGAGCGGAGGACCTGGAGTTCCGCTGGTTTCAGCGGGCTGGACGGGTTAGCTTCGTCGGCAGGATTCGCAGTGAGCATACCTCTCAGCGTCGGCGGCATCTGGATGTGTTAGCGAGATCAGTAATAGCGGAAAGGAGACATACAGGGAAGGTTGGAGCCCATGTTGATTGACTTGATGTGGGGAGAGTTGGCTGACTGACAGGCAGCGAGGAATCATGCGGGCGGCGATGCTTGTCGTCACCCGCTGTGGCGGTGCGGGCGGTGGCGGTTGCTCCAACAACAAATCAACAATCAATCATCCAGTGACACAGTACTGATTAACCACTCTATCAACTACATTGCTCACAACGATAAACACAACCGCCATCATGCTTCTCGACGAAAATCCCGCCGGGGTATGTTCTCACTACCTCACTCCACGTCTTCTTCTTGCTAATAGCTCAGCTCATCAACCACACCATCGGCAACTTCAACATCCACCCCGATAAACAAGCCGTCACCCGCATCAATGACTCGCTCGCGGCCCTGCAGCAATCGCGCGAACTGCGCACGCGCGAGGCTGAGTCCGCTCTACGCAAACTGTCGCGACATCTGTCGGCGCTGAACGCTCAGCATGAGGAGGCCGTGTCGGCGCACGACTCGGGCAAGCACGCCGCCGAGATTGTCGAGTTGGACACGAAAAAGTTCCGGATCGCCAAGGCGGCGACAGAGCTCGAAATCGAGAGCGAGCGACTGGAGGGCGAGCTGGAGATGCTTAAGGAGCGTCTGGCAGATCTGGAGGCGCAGGGACTGGAGGGTGACGAGCCGACGCGCCGGGAGCGCGAGCTGGACGATGCGACCTTGTAAGACCTACTCACTGACCTGATATGCACTGTAGCTAACTGTCTAGGCTGCGATTGAAAATCTACCGATCACTAGGGGTGGATATCGAGGCGGACGAGGCGGGAAACTTCAACAAGGCGGTGATTCGCAACAGTCGCAAAGGCGACGTGCATGTCGTGAATATCGACCCGAAGTTCTCGCGGTTTTTTTACTCAAACTACTTTTGGACGACGATGCAGGGATAACAGATTGTTATGGATTTGGCGTTACGGGATACCCAGGAATATATATACATTTCATTGATACTCTTACAGTCTATTCTTCACGTAGATCCATCCATCCCATCATCCTAGACCTCATCACCATGCAAACACCTCCTGACAACCTCCCTCTCCTCCCTACTCAACCCACTCACCCTCCCATCAGACACATACAACAACGGCTTCTCCCCAGGAAACAACCTCTCCACGACATCCACCACCTCCTCATATCTCTCGACCCCAACATCCCAAATGCCAAACCACCTCCTCTGTACGTCCTCCATCCTGCCCACCACCTCCTCCATCCCAGGAACCTCCTCCCCTTCCCACGTCAACTCAACCCCATTCCCATCCCCTCCCTTATCTTCACCCCCCCCATAAACAACCCTAACCCCCAACTCCCCCACCCCCAACCCCTCCACCGCTCCATTCCACAAAACCTGCCTCAATCTCCCCCCCAACTCAACCAAGCACCAAACGATGGGAAACCTACTTCTCGCCAACGCCTCCCTCACACCCTTTGTCGCCTCCCTAGGCGAAACCAACACCCCCACCACGCCACTTCCGCGCCATCCCACCGGCGCCTGCGAAAACGTGCCTTCCAGTTCACGAACAAGATTCGGTCCGAGCTTCGTCTTCAGGGCTTTGCATTGCACGAGGACTCGGAGCGGATGTTCGTGGGTGGGCAGGTGCCAGGTACCGAGGAGGTCGAGGCCGGCGTCGGAACGGCCGCCGGTGCGGTGGAGGAGGAGCGCGGAGGAGAGGAGGGTTTGTTGTGTGGTGTATTCGTAGTGTGTGCCGATGTAGGTTGTGCTGGTGGGGGGGAGGGAGGTTCGGGTGGCGTGGGTGAGGAAGGATGGGAGGGAGTGGTGGTTAAGTGTTGGGGAGGGAGGGGGGAGGGGGAGTTTGAAGAGCCGGCGGGTGAGGGGGGAGAGGGATATTGTCATTATGGTTGTGGTTGGTGGTTGGGGTATTAGTTGGGCATTTAATGTGTAGCGGAATCTGGAGGTATGGTTAGTAGGGGTGTAGGAGTAGGGAAAGAAAAACATACCTGTAGAGGAAAAGTCGAAGATGAAGCTAAAGTCGTTGTAAATAAACAGGGCTGTTATCGGTATCGGTATCGGTATCGGTATCCCATCGGCCGGTCTTATCGGAGCTAAGCTCTTCTTTCACTTTCACCTCCGCTCCGCTCTTCACCACCATCACCACCGCAAAACATACAACCTCTTTCTCTCCCTCCCTCAGCACAAGCATACAGATCAACCTACCCACCTTTACAAATCCGCATCGCATAATCGCACTCACACTCAGACTCAGACATCAAACCCTCAAAATGGCCGACATCCTCACCCAACTCCAAACCTGTCTAGACCAGGTACTCACTCCCCCCAAAGCAACCCCCCATCAAACCCCTACTAACAAACCAATTCCAGCTCGCAACCCAATTCTACTCCACCCTAAGCTACCTAACCACCTACCACGACAACATCCCAACGATACCCCCACCCGACATCCCCCCCTCGCTCTCCGCGCCCCCACTCGCAAAAATCCCCAAGAACTCATCCACGCCTCCCGTCCCCGCAACAATCGCCCAGCATCAAACAACAACCCAAACCTCTCCACCCCCACCAACACCCAATCCGCAAGAGAACCCGGAAGGAGGGGAAACAGACCCGGCACTACCTGCGCCGGACAGCGCGGAACTGTTCGCTGCTCGACAGCGCGAACTGGCTCGAGACTTGGTGATTAAGGAGCAGCAGATCGAGTATTTGGTTAGTGTGTTGCCGGGGATTGGGAGTAGTGAGGAGGAGCAGGAACGGAGGATAAGGGAGTTGGAACGGGAGTTGAGGGGTGTGGAGGGGGAGAGGGAACAGAGGAGGAGGGAGTTGGGGGAGTTGAGGAGGAGGTTGGGGAGTGTGCTCGGGGTTTTGGAACGGGGGGTTTATTGAGTTGTTCCTTCGAGGATGGCGTAGGGGTGGTGCGTTATTTTTGGGGAAAATGGAGGTTTAAGGTTAATGAGGGGTTGGGTAATTGGTATGAAAAATGGAGGTGTTGGAACATGAATCAAGGTTGATTGACTTGCGTCTCTATTATCACTGGTCTATCGTGTATTATATGGGTAGCCAGATGAACAGCAAAGAGCAAAGAGCAGAGTAAAGCAAAGCAATAAATGCAGCATAAATCAAATGCACTCCAACGCCAGGGTATCAACCAGATTCACCGCATCATCTCCACTCACTTAAATAATCCCCGGTACTCCCGCATCCGCTGCTCCTGTACGTCCTTCTTATCCAACTTTCCCCGGTTCAAGCTCAGATCCGCCAACTGCTGCTTCTTCTTCGCCAATTCGAAGATTTTCTCTTCAATGCTTCCCTTCATCAAAAACTGCACCGTCGTGACCTCGCGCTGCTGCCCAATCCGATGAACCCTGTCCACGGCCTGTGCTACCGCCGCCGGGTTGTACTGCGGCTCCATGATATAGACTTTGGATGCCGAAGTCAGGTTCAGGCCCACTCCCCCCGCTCCGATTGTCGCTAGCAGCACCGTGATCCCGTCGTTGTATTGGAATTCCTCCAGCGCCTTGTGCCGCGCCGCCAGTGTCATCGTCCCGTCCAGCCGCGTGAACCCGGTGATGCCGTTGTGGCGCAGTGCAATCTCAATCAGATCCAGGTGCGACGTCCACGCCGAGAACACCACGCTCTTGATTGGCCGGTCCTGTCCCTGGCTCTCCTCCGCGCTCTCCAGTAGCTGCGCCATCAGCGCCTTGGTCTTGGTGTGCGGCCCTCCATACTCCCCCAGCGTTTTGCCGTGCCGTCGGCTCTGCTTGGCCTGCGCCTGGTCCATCATATAGTCTTGCAGTCCGCCCACAGTGATCATCGAGTACGACGCTGGAATCCAGCCGTCGCAGACCTGACATTTGATATCGTGAGCCGGGCCCGGGTTGTCGAAGGCATCTTTCCAATCCGAGAAACAGTCCGGACATTGGACATCGAAGCACGGCAGCACGATCGCCATGGCAGTTCGTCGGTCTGTCGGTCCGTTGTCGGAACTGGGCTCCTCCAGGCGTTTCCCGCACACAGCGCACGTGTCCGCTGACGACTCCTGCATCAGCGTGAACATCTCATACGCCTTTTTGTCTGTGGCCCCAGTCGTGTCACCAGCGCCCTCCTCGAGATCAATGGCGTCATGCACACTCATGCCCTTGATGCGTTTGCGGTCATCCGGTTCTAGAAGCTCCTTGCCGTGCGCGCTGATCTGCCGGAGGATCATCATGGCTTTCAGGATGTGATGGTACATCCGGCCCTTCATCTTAGTCTGCTCCTCGCCGGCAATCACCCGCATCATCACGTTGGATTCTTTGCGGAAGAATTCGTGCAGCTGCTGCTCCTTCTCTGTGAATGTGAGCATGATGATCTTATCATGCCGCGCTGGCAAATCGATCTTGTCTTTGACCCGGCGGAGTGTGAACGAGTCCACAAGCACCCGCAAGCTGGCCAGCACGGTTGCGTCTCCCGTCTTGAAGCGACTAAGGATATGAATCCCGAATCGCCCGCGATCATCATACGGGAAGAGCCCGAGAAACTTGGTGACCGACAGGAGATCTTCTAGGCGATTCTGGATGGGCGTGCCCGTCACGGACCACCGCCGCTGGGAGTTGAGTTTAAAGATGGCCTGCGTCTGTGCCGCGCTCTGCTCTCGGATCGTGTGCGCTTCATCCAGAACAATACGGAACATGTTCATCTTAGTCAACGGGCTGACGCCGCGCTTGGCCCCTCGCCCAGACAGTTCGCTGAGTACAATGCTGTACGTAGTGATCACCAGATCGTACTTGGACAGCTCATCCACGTCGTTGGTCCGCGACGAGCCATGGAATACATAGTACGACAGAGCATCCGCCTGGAGATGTTCCTTGATTTGGGCCACCCAGTTATTCACCGCGCTGAGTGGTGCTACCAGCAACGTCGTCTTGGTATTTCGGATGCCCGGCAAGCTGCGGACCATGTCAGGATCCGGGATCAGACCTGTCCACTGGCTCGCCTCCTCCAGCGAAGAAAGAACAAGCGACAGAATGCTCAATGTCTTTCCCAGCCCCATCATGTCCGCCAGCAATCCTCCCAAGCTTTGTGGGGGCTCCTCGTCGAGCACCGTCCCACTAATAACCTCGCGATACCTCTTCTTGCCGTTCGCGCGATAGTCCACCCGCCAGAGCGAGTTGTTGTCTGCCTCCTCAGGCCCAAACTTGCGCGGCTTCTCCTTCTCCGTCATGAACCACAGCGCCTGCTTCTGGTGGCGCAATAACGGCGTGGACAGAGACGGCGGAGGATCCATTTCGGGAAGGTTGTCAGCGCTCTGCAGCTGATCGAACATCTTCATCACCGCGTCATTCACCTCTTCTGCTGTTCGCACTTCATAGTTGACTCCCACTCGGCTTCTCGCGGCCCCCGCAGGCCCCAAAGCCGGAGGGATTCGTCGCCTTTCGGCGTGCGGGTTGCACACGGGCACGCCCAGCTCCACCGAGAATGGCGTTCCCAGCCAGACATTATGCTGACCAAGATGTTTGCCCACACCCACCGCATCTTTCCTTAGGCCATACAGATTGACGGACGCTCGATAGATACTGGAGCACGGCGCCCACGGCCACTCGCCGTCCTTTCTTCTCCGCACATCCAATCGAGCCGTGATGTTCACCGTTAACGCCGGCGAGTCGAGAAGCGGAACGATCACCGATGCCGTCTTCGCATCAACGAGTCCAAAGACTTTCCCGTTAGGATCCGACACCTCAATTCGATTATTCTGACCCGGCTGTCGGTGCACCCCAAGCTTCATCGAAGGCCAGTCGTGCGTGGAACCGCTAAACATGGTCTGCGACGACGGCTTGGGAACCAATTGCGCCTGGATCGTAGCATTCTCAATCTTGCCGTAGCAGACCCTCTGGAGACTGAGGTTGTTGGACCCAGTAACCTGTACATCATCGTCATCAGTTGTTGCTGCTGAAGCATCTAGCATAATGTCAGCATATCATCCCATCCACACTGCCGTCATCCTACCAGTAGTCAGATCGACAACATTCGGCACCACCGCGGGTGAATCCGATTGGGAACGACCCTCCTTCACCCATTTGCCCAGCCCCGTGTTTCCCACCGGAAACCTCCGAGCCCTTGACCTCAGATCTTGATCCCCATCCACCTTGATCCTCTTATATGGCTGATCTAGACGCTCTTCCACCCCATACATACTTTCAATCAAGCTCCCATGTCGCGCATCGTCCATCTGCTCCGACCCCCTCTTCCCATCACTCCGCTCATCTTCAAGATGAGCATTAGTAAATTCCACCTCCACCACTGGCTCCGTACTAGCCTCGTGCTGCGGCGACGAACTCGCAGTATCCCGGGCGATCGACGACCTTGTAGAGCGCGACAGTGATCTAGAATTCGACTTCGGGCTACCCCTCTGCGACGGCTGCCTCCGACGGGGACTTAGAACACTTCGAGCCGCCGCCCCGACGCAACACCACCGCGCTGGGGAGTCGAGGGTTCCTGGGCAGTTCCTACTAGAAGTGAGTCTTCAGGGTCGGATCCGGTGGGGTCATCCGGAGGGGAGGGACAACGCAGGGAGGCAGGGAGAAAGCATCGGGGATCTTCCTGAGCCAGCGAAGGGAAATCCGGAGAGGTACCATTGTTCTTGTTTTTCTGTTGGAGGCGTTTCTTGTAGGCCCGCGGGTCCAGGAGCATGGCGGCGTGGGAGGCCATGATTCGGTGGACGATGCAGGTGCCCGAGACACGGGTGCGACGTAACCTATGGTGTAGACCCACAGACAGAGGTCAAGGTCGAATGAGGCGATGGCGGGGGAGGAGAAGGAAGGACATCTAGGAGAATAGTGGACTGGTCGAGGAGGTTCTGGAGTTGGGCGGGCGGGCGGAATGGAGGAAGAAAGGCTGAGCGAGCAGGCATACAACTGTACTGGATTGGACTGGACTGTCGGAGGGCGGGTGTCCGGTGGCGCAGGGACGAGCGTAAAGTGAGAGATGGCGGCTTCAGATCCAGATCCAAATCCCTTCCATGGCACGGCCTGGATGGAACGATCAGTCCGATCGGAGGGGCCGGCGAGTAGGGAGCAAGTGATGGACGAGTGAGGGATGGATGGTAGAGTTGCTTGGACCGTGACGAGCCCCGGCGATGCCAAGCGGGCGATAGATAAGATTGCGGGCCTCCGGTCGGTTTAGCAGCAGCAGCAGCTTCTCCAGGTCTCCACTCGAACTTATACTGAGCATACTATAGGTAGCACGATCAGTTTCGCGTCACTGTATTAGATTCTAAATGTGCTGAACTATATACTGGTGGTGTATTATGTATAGGTAGAGAGGCAACCGCCCACACATCCCTTGAAGATCAACTTCCATTTTATGACTAAACCATCAAGATTTTCCAACAAGGACCACCCTGCAAAGAACTCCTCATGCCAGGTTATCATGATACACGCTAAATAAAAAAAGAAGAATGGAAAGAAGCGGAGACGCGGAAGGTCCCGAAGATCATAGCCAAGAACCCAGGTTAACACCAGGTAAACACCGGGTTCTTGCTCTTCACGGCTTCGAGTCGCTCGACAATGACCTTGCGTTGGTTGCCTTCCATCCCCTCTGCCGCCGCGTATCCAAGGTCGCCTTCCAGGTCATCACTGCTGAAGATCAGATGTGCCTGCCCACGCGAACTGGACACCGAGCTGTGCTTCTGGTGTCGGCCCGGGCGAGGTGGAAGCGTCGCCCAGCTTCGGTCCATGCCTCTCCCGTGACTCAGCTCGTCAATGCTGTCGCGGCCAAATCGGTAGTCGCCCATGGTCGCCGGACTGCCGGACTGAGCCCGCGCGTGCCCTGACGTGGATCCGCGGCCGCGTGAGAGCTCGAATCGATTCGGGTTGGGCAGCTCATTCGGGGAAGATCCCAGCCCCAGCAGATCAACATCGGGGCCAGTGCCCAATGACATGGCTGCGCCAATGTCCATCTCCTCGTTATCTGGGTCGTAACGGGCGTGCTTATCGTAATGTTCGTAGCTCTTCACCTTTCGTTTCTGCGCATCCGTCGACGGCCCGCGGAGGGGGATAGCGACTGGAACATCCACCAGATCGTCCCAGACGCACACGCGCGTCCGTCGCGTCAATTCGAGGGGCCCATGATCGGGATGCTTCAGCGTCTCGACCACATTCCAGGCCTGTCCCTTCATCACCGCAATCTGCCGGGCAAACATGCTCTCCTTGAAATCGGAGTCCTGGGAGAACACCCGCCGGAGCGCCATTTGAGTTCCACTCCACCAAGCAGTCGACGTCAAAAGCGGCAGGAAATGATCTCGGGTTTTCTGCGAAAACGGCTGACCGATTAGAGAGACGGGGAGGAACAGCCAACCAAAGGGGAAGCTTCGCCACTATGATATGTTAGCAATTTCCACGTAGTTCAACCCATCGGCAATACTTACGGCATCAGGGTGCTTCCACGGCCACGATAAACTATTGTCAATGGCGCCAATCTGGATGGTCGCCTGAGGCTCGTTGGAGTTCAATGGGGTTCCGGTGCGACTGACGGCCACCATCGCCTCTCGTCGCCGGTAAGGATGGGGGGCTGTAGGCGTCCCGTCCGAGTTGACCGAAATCGGACGAGCAGGGGGCATGTCTTCATCATCTTGCGGTTGCAGCCCGTTGGGCTTGGGCGGATCTGCAACGATGGACACTTCTTCCGTCCTCCAATCGATCTTGATCATCCAGTTATCCAAACCACGATCCGTATTCCGCATGATGTAGTCGAGGATCACAAGCTTTTCCAATTCCTCTCTGAAAGACTGCTTCAAGGCCTCCGTCCAATAGAACCGCCGCTCTCGGCTCTCCTCGCGGGGCGATGGCGTGCGCGCTTGACCGTCCTCGTATTCTTCGTCTTCATCATCAGAATGGACGCCCGAAGGACGGCAAGCTTCGCTCCACGGACGCTTCTTGCGCTTCGGGGCATCCTCGGCTCGGAATCCAGAGTTGGTCTGGTCCGGCCAAGGGTGGTCTCGCAGGAAGAGGTTGGCATCCTTGTAGCCCTTTAGGAAGACTTGGAAGCTGCCCGCCTTGGGCGGAAGCGGCCTCTTGCCCATCCAGGCTTTCCTGCGATCCCAGAAATCGTAGAAGAACGATTTCGAGGACAGCCACACAATGTCGGTGTAAGGAACGAGATCCGTGCGCAGACGCGAGTCGAGAACATACGCGGCTGCTTCCGAAACATAGGACAGGTTAGGAATCAGACACGCCCGTCCGAAGAAGCAGGGGAACAAATTGCGATGGATCCATTTGGTCCACTTGGGGTTGCGGGACGCATAGGGTTCCTCGTCTTTGGGTTTGAAGACCCCAACCACTTTACCCTCGGTGTTGCGCGCGAAGTAACTACCCGAGCTACCTTGGGAGATCATCCGGGGATGGACCCCCATCTCAATGGCAACCCGGACACTCTCCACGACTTCCTCGAACTCGTCGCGGGCTCTCCGCGCAGCCCCCTCAATCTCGTCAGACTCGAGGGCCTCCGCCGAGATTGGTCGAACACCATCCGGAGCTTGGAAGACGGAGTGGTAGATCTCTAGTTTCTCCTCCTCAAAGGTCTTACCCTTGACGCGGTTGATCTTGAACTTGGAGGCGATTTCCTCCGCCCACCGCTCAAGGCGGGCATTGATGGCCTTGATGTCCACTCCGGAATTCCTCCGTCCTCGGCGATAGTGTCCGCTCAGTCTTCGTCGGTGTTCGGGAGGCGAGGACAGGCCGGCGGCCTGCATCTGGGCTCGGGAGGAGATGGGGGCATATCGGGGGGCGGACTGGGATATGGTGCCGGAGGCGTGTAGGTCATCATCATCTGAATAATCGTATTCTTGGGTTCTATCTTCCTCCTCCTGAGCCAAGCGGGCATAGCCCGAGGTCGCTGGCCGATTACTTTTAGGCATGGTGAATGGGGAAATCTATAGATATTGGGACAGCAATGAGGCAAGTCTTCGAATCATATGGAGGTGCAGGGAGGCAAAATTGAGAGAGTATGAATGAACGTAGAAGGGCAGGATGACAATGATGAGGCCAGACTTAAGCCATTACTGCATCACAACGCAACAGAGAGGGAAAAGAGGCGTGGTCCCCGACAACGGAGTGGGAGGAGAGGTGAGGGAGGAGTTTCCAGGTTGCCAGAGTTGAGGTGCCGCTCGTAGCAGCGCCGCTGTCATCTTGCAGAACGGCCAGCATTAGCCTACGCTTTACTCGTACCGTCACCGTACCGCCGTTACTAACGCTTAGTCAGGCTCCTGGCGGTCAGGCTCGGCCAGCCCCGGTCAGGGTCCAGGCCAGCCACACCCCGGGTACCGTACCATACCGCACCGCCATATCTGCCGTATCGTCCGGCGGCTCCACCCAAGCTTCACGAGCCCCTGAATGTTCGCTGCTCGACGTGATGGGACTCCGGGGGAGGTAGGACGGGTCTCTGGGGAAAAAGGACTGACCCGAGGATGTCGCTTCCAGGAGATCTAACCAGTCTTACTCTGAAAGCGTGGACGTGTCAATGTATAGAAACACCCGGATCCCGTCGATTCCACCGTCGGTTTTCAGCTTCACTCCGCAGTACTACACAGTACTTGTTTCTACAAATAGTAACAGCCCTACTCGGTTCAATTCGAACAATTCAATGGCTTATAAAAATCCTTGTCGTCCGAGCTGTCAATCCTGCCATTGACCCGTGCAGGGACGGAAAGCCGGTTCCTAGTCTCATCCCACGCGAGATGCGGCCATCGTGTCTGTCCTTCAATGGGATTGTGCTGCGATCTAAGACATGACCGATCAAGTGGATGGGGGTGCAGTAGCACGATGTATAACCCTGAAGGGTCCCCATAATTCGCAGACAGGTCCAAAATGGAGGAGTTCACCAGCCAGGCATTGCGCGCCAATCAGCTAGAAGACAGCAAGCATCCCGATACGCCGCAGCTTGCCTTCTATCGATGCCTCCAGTTCAACCTCAACCCGGCTGAATTGTGAAAGACCAGAGCCGCTGGCCGATGACTGGAGAAAAAAAGGCTAGGCTGGTGAGAAAGGGGCATGCAGGGGCGCGACAACAACATTGCGAGGATTCATTCCGGGCCTGTCCCGCGCATACTATTAGATAGAGCGATGCATAAACCTTGGAGCGGAGGGCATCGCATAGCAACTACTGCCTCGCTCCAATCCAGAAACCGGCGGGCTGATAAGGAGAATTCTTTGCGCAGGGGAAGAACTGGGCCCAGCCAAGCGGCCGTTCCGCAGAGCGATTTCGATAAATAATCGATAGCCTCCGACGCGCGATAGCAGCCCCGATAATCAACCCTCGATCTTCCTTCTCCCTCCCGTCCAGCTTCCTGTTCCCCTCCACCTCTGCCTCGACTCACTCCCCTCCCAGTCCATCCATTCTCGCATGGTTCGTTTCCCGTCAAATCAGTCAATTCGTTCGGTGCTCTTGTTTTCTCTTCCTGTCACTCCTTTCAGCTGTCGCTCCTTGGATCGACTCCCTGCTGCCACTTGTCTCCGGATAAGCCTTGTGGTGAGATCTTTTACTCCTGGGGCTTGATCTCTGGCGTCCATTTGGCCGGCCAAAAGCAAACATCAAAACAAAGAAATCCCTTTAGCTCCAAAAAAGTTTAATGATCGTTTGATTTCAACTGGTGGGAACACTGGCACGGCATTCCATATCATTCCTCCCTTTTTTACGTGGCTGGTCCTCCCCAACGGCACAAGCCTTTCCTCCCAGCCCGTCGTATACAACCCCCGGACCGACGGCACCTCCCTTCTCGAATTATCTCCAATTCGGTCATCTGGGGCCGAATTTTTAGCTAGTTCCTCCCGACAATCTCCACGGTGGCTTCACTCCTCTTCCGGGCGTCGCCCATCGACCCAGCCCTTCGTCCGCCGTCGCCGTCGAACTCCCAGTCTCAAGACTCAAACTACAAACATACCTCGTCCTCAATTGACAGCCAGTCGGGATCGCGTCAGTCGACCACGGACGTTGCTACCGGAGTGTCGTCGGCATCATCGCAGTATTCCGGAGCGCTTCCTGAATCGAGTTCTCTAGATAAATACAACCACAGCCCGAGCAGCAGCAACGGCAGCGCCTTTCCCAGTTCATTGGGCCCATCCTTGCCTGGACTCTCTGCTCTGGCATCGGTCGCATCTGCGCCCACTTCCAACTTGCGGTACGTGTACCTGGAAGAACTCTTCGTGCAATGTTCGACGAGGCCAACAACAGATGGGGGGAGTGTTCGGGAAGATCATGCGCGACATGCTGTCCCCCGAAGATATCATCACCTCAAGTCTGCATGTCCAACGCGCCTTATCTCTGGTTTTGCTGACAGTCTTACGTGTGCAGAGCCTCGAGTAGCAATGCGCAGCCCAGTATGGCCAATATGACATACGCGACATCTTCTCCGGCCGCCACCACTGGCGGACAAGGCAATAACCCGGTAAGTGCTGAAAGTAGGCTTATCGCTGATGAGTGATGGGTCTTATCTATCAAGCTACGCTGGCTTGTTGCTTTTTTTCCTCGTGATTCTCCTGTGACGCCCGACCCTTAAATTCCTCAATTTCTTTTTCTGTGCCAATCTGCTGTTATCAGCAGCCGCTGGAGGCTTGGCGCCGCACCACCTGCTCCTTATCGCGCCAGCCCATCAAATCTCTCCCGATCTTATCAACCAGCGCTCTTCCTCCTCCATCCACTATCAGCCCGTTTCCCCATCTTCTGTCTTTACCTCCCCCCTCCCTCGTGCGATCCTACTTGTCCAGAAACCATGGCGACTACTTTGGCTGATCCTAAACGTCCTCAATTACAGCCTGTATGCCAGAATTGCGGCACCTCCACCACACCTCTCTGGCGCAGAGACGAACTCGGCTCGGTCCTCTGCAACGCCTGTGGCTTGTTCCTCAAACTACATGGGAGGCCCCGTCCGATAAGCTTAAAAACCGATGTTATCAAGAGTCGCAACCGGGTCAAGACTGCTGGTCAGGGCCCCAAGCGTAAGGTGAGTCCCCCAGAAAAATTTTCTTGCCTTCTATACTACTTGCACACCTGAGATAACGGTCGCTGACGTTCGTATCCTACCTTATCAGTCCGGTGGCACTATCGATACAAATGGCATGTCTACCTCGAGATCCGAAGCCGGTACTCCTCCTCTAGGATCGCATGGATATCGTCGCGCGTCGCGTAAGACGTCACCGGGCCATTCCGACCGGTCCAACTCGCCCGTATCGCGAACAGAAACGCCTGGCATCCCTCCAATGCAACAACCACACCCCCAGCAGCAACACAATGCCAATATCGCTCCCCAGCACATGTTTGACAGTGTAACAATCGGGGACCACGGGCTAAATCCATCGAATTCGCTGCCCTCGGTACAGCCGCGGCAGCCGTCGCCCACCGCGACGTCCGCGGCTGTCGACCGCCATCTCGAGTCACCACAGACCTACGATGGATTGCTCGCGGCCAACACCTCGTTGAAAACTCGCGTGAGTGAATTGGAGTTCATCAATGAACTCTTCCGAGGCCGCGTGACAGAACTCGAGCAGAGCGGCGCGACTGCGCGCCGGTCGGAGATGATCGTCCGGGATTCGGAAGTACGGCTCCGGCGGTCTCTGGAGGAGGCCCAACGACGCGAAGATGATCTGAAGCGACGGATATCTGAGCTGGAGCGGCAGCTGGCCGACCAGGCCACATCGACCAACGCAGCGAGCCATGACAGCCCGGGTGAGCCTCTGGCCAAGCGGATGCGGCTGTCCGACGTAGTGGAGCAACCGGCGGTGTCCCCGACGAAATCGCCCAAGAGCGTCTAACCCTCGAGGGGGGTTAGGACTTGGACGCGCATGCGTTGAGTCGGGCAGCGCCGACGTAAACAAAGCGCAGCCGCGTTGCTGAGTTCTCTGATCTTCCCCGGTCTCTTTGATACCCTTTACGAGTCTTGTCATTGGCTGGCTGTATATCGGATTAACTACCTAATATATCTCCATCGATCCACTTCCTTCTTCTCTTCCTCCCTCCCTCCTCCCTCCCCTTCTTGCTCCGATATGAGACGGGGAAGACCACTCTGCACCAATCTCTCGAATGACCCAAAAGAAAAGGCCCTGTTTGTGAAAGGTTACATGTGTTCAGTAATTCGTGTTATCTATTACTCCCTGAATCTACGTTACTTTCTTCCTCTGCCTTGTTTGCCTGAACAAATTAATTACTAGATGGATGCAACCGGACGATAGGAACAGAACCTGCCTGCTTTCCGATGGCGGAACCCTACGGTAGCATAGCCCTTTACCTCTACAGTAGCACACAACCGTAATCCCACCACAGACCCTATCGTACCCGTCGATCCGCTCCAACCCTCCCTTCCAGCCCCCAGCACAATCAGGAACTTCGGTCATTCGTTCGTTATCAGTCAGTCAGTCAGTCAGTCCGCCTCCGCCTCCGTCCGAACCACATTTGCCCTTATCATCCCTTCCGTCCATCCATCCCGTCATCGCCGAGGAAAATCTCCCCATCAACCTACCTAGCCACTAATTGGACCAGCTTCCTCCGTCGGGGATAACTTGTCGATCTACCATCCTAGTTCTTATCGAGATACATTCTATATCGGATTCCCGACGGGCGGAATCCCTTTCCTAATGCTTACTGGGTAACTATGCCGTGTTTGTCTCTTTCCCCGCTTTCGTGCTATCTACCCCATTTTTGTTATCGGGGTTGGGTTTGATAGAGGGGATTATTGTACGGTGGTTTGGTTTGGTTTGGGGGCGGATTTGGTTTGTAGGTAGGTGGAAGTAAGTAAGTATTTAGTGGATGACTGATGATGAATAATTTACCTAGGTTAGATTGGGTTGGTTTGGTGAGGTTGGTGCCTCAGTTGCCTACTTACTTGCCTTATGGGGGCGTGTCTTCCTATCTGCTATCTAGATAGATAGTAGTGTTTATCGGTATCTCGGGGATGGTTAGGGTCCGGTTGTGTGGAATTGTGTAGGTTGTTGCTGTTTTTTGTATGGGGTTGTTTATCTAGGATGTAGATATATGTAGGGTAGATTTATTGAAGGGGATGGTTATTTGTTCCTTTTTCATTGATTTGGTGGGTTGAGAGTTGGGGAATTGGCATATGTGGGAGTGGAGTGGAGTGAAGTGAAGTGGAGTGAAGTGAAGTGGAGTGTATTCCAACGAGTGATGGTATGCAAGAGAAGAGAATGACATCCATCACCTGGATTGATGTTGCGAAGATTCCAATATGACCGTGACGCAGAGTCGAGTTGTATCTCTGTTGGGCTCTAGGCGATCATCGATCATTCACTCGGCGAGCTTTCCAGTGTCAGAGGCTTCACCTTGGGAGACTGCTTCGAAGGTACAGCTTCAGAAAGCTCTGACACTTCTGAAATAGGCCGCAAGTACATGGTGATAACCCAACCGGGCTCAACAACACTCTCCCAATCCTGAGGAAGGATAATGTCTCCATTGGAACCCATCAAGTCATAATATCCCTTGGCGACATGAGTCTCGATTACGTCGGACTGGAGAAAAGCTTGTCGGATAAACTTTTCCATGCCCTTTATCATACTCAGTCAGATACTGTCTGAGTATACAGATGAAGAGATGGAGATCAAGATGAAACTCACAATCCAAGTACGACAACAGTTGAACTGCAAACTATGCTTCCGTCCAATGGCATCTTCGAATATGATAATTTCCTTCGAATCCTCAGAATGTATCTCTTCCAGTAGGTGTCGAAGCTCGGAGGACGTGGGCTCGTAAGAAGGATTGGTGACTGATTTTATCAAGTTCCCGAGTAAAAGAACTGCACACAAAGTGCTATGAATGGCCTCAAGCAGAGATATTATTGCGTCGAGTGAGGCACAGAGTTTCGCTCCAAAGGTTGGTTTGGTAGTCGGCAGCGAGATGTGTTCTGGAACGGTATGCACACAGTCGAGAGTCGCTGTTAGTACTTCTTCAAGTGAAGCGCCGTTACCGGAAAGGCGAATGCGAAGGTGGTTGTAGTCTTTGTCCAGCTTGTCTGCGACTTCTCTGAGTAACATGCCTGGGGGAACGCTTTCTGGTAGATCCATGTTGGTGTCAACGAGAGAGGATGGGGGGACCATAAGATGTAAGCTAGACAATGTTTTGGTAATAGTGATCAAAAACAACGAGTGAAGGTGATAGATTAAACGTCAGAGAGGATATTGGAAGATAGAAAAGGTGGGATATAAGAAAGATTGCGCTCAGATGTTGAGATCACAACACAATTCAACAAATGTGTGATGGCAATGGGTGTGACTTTGTCATATTCACTTGTCTCATTATAAGTGAATATAGATCGCAGTCCAGCCGGTATCCCTGCTGCTGCTGCTTCTGCTTTCTTCATTCTGCTTTCATTGTATCCCATTCTGTCCTTTCTTCTTCTGCTTCTGCCTCCTATTCAAGTGCAGCGTATCCGCCCTTATTCAGCTTCTGCAGCTTCCTTTGGTCCACAGCGGAAGGTGGAGATCTGGACCGCTAGGGGGTCCCGGGTCGAATACAGTCAGCGGACACTGCGCGACAGGTTTCAGGTCTAAGGGGAGCAACACGAACATTTGAAAGGGTTCCCATGGACTGACTCTGGAGGAGGTGGTGGAATCACCATTCCTTCACTGCCATTGATGAGTGTTTCGGCATAGGAAGTCTGCGAAACAATCGATTCTGAATCTAGATTATGATCGATATGCATCGTCTCGGCGAATTCGGTTGCAACAGTTTCGGAAAGTCTGGTCGACACACTGTCCGGGTGATCACTCAAAGCATGGTTCAGGGCCTGACCCAGCTTTAGGTGATGTCGCTCGCGATACCGATGGATTGCACTTCGTTGCAATATAGCAAGTCCAAGGCGATCTGCGATGGCATCACCTGCCTGGGGGAATTCGCTTGAGATATGCTGTCGGTCAAAGTGCTCGAAATGGACTGCATCAGACCTTTCAATTCCCTGCAGACGATCATAGTGTGCTGACTGCTGAAGTACTATTGACATCTAGGACAGACAGTTTATCGTATCATGCAGGGCTGTTGCACTTCTGTTTGGTCGACGCCATCATCGTCGGTGTCCGATAGACTGTTATCATCCTTTGTAGTCGCTTCAGCAGCTGGATTGTCTGATCTCTGATATGTGATGCACCGCGTAGTCGGTAATCAAGTGATGACTGCCCTGCAACCTCCCCAGTTCGTCTTACCACAGTACCTGTGAGAAGTCTGACTCGTACTTAGCTAAATGACCCGACATAATCAGTTGCTTCAGCTTTTTCAAACAGGCAAAGCCTGAAAGAAGAGTGGGGTGCCATCGGGTTCATATGGAAGTCACAGAGGCCGATAATAACCAACCTAACGATTTGACGAAATCTAAAGCTATGTAGAGAAGCAGTCATTATCATTATTTGAACCAAATTAAGCAGTGACAATCTATGCCAGCCATCATTAGGCGATAACAAAAGTGGTTGCGATCCCAGCGTTCAAGTGGCATCGGATCTGACGTGGATGTGCTGCCGAATACAAAAAGGGATGGCGCATCTTTTTTCCCCCAATCCTCTCTGCTTACCCTGTTTACCATCCGTCAACATTATCATGAGACTAGTACGCTCATGCAATACATCTAAATACATACTCGCACATTCAACATTGTCAGCTCAATACCTACTCTATGCCCGCCCCCCTTCTTTACACCTCCTTTCCCAACGCCGAAGAATAGGCATATGCTCAACCCCCAAATCTCCACCACGCGAGTTTCCCTCCTCATGATTCCACATCCTCAACCCATCCCATAGATTCGAAGAAGAAACTCTCCCCAGCTACTCCAAAGAGCACTATTACCCCGACCGCATCGGCGAGGTCCTCAACTCCCAATACCAAATCGTCACTAAACTCGGCTTCGGCTCCTCATCAACAGTATGGTTATGTCGAGACCTACAGTAATATCCTCCCCAACAACTTCACCAAATAACAAGCTACTAAAAGAAACACCAGTACCAACCGCTATCTAGCCCTGAAAATTCACGTTCGAAGCAACCATCCACCTCCTGAAGTCCAAATATCTCGATATCTAAAATCCCTCCCTAGTACTAACCTTACAGGAAAAAGGTACATCCGTCTCGCTCTGGACTCATTTGACATTCCCGGTCCATACGAAATCCATATATGTACTCTCTACGAACCTGCTGGAATCGATATACGAGATTACATCCACTGTCTAGAAGGGGATGCGTTGCCTGAGAGCCTCCTCCGAGTTACTATTCGCTTTATGCTCATTGCTTTGGATTACCTTCATGAGGCGAAGGTGATTCATACTGGTGATTGATCTTGATCTACCGCTCCTCTCCGCAACCATCCACTCATTCATGTTAGATATCCAACCCCATAACATCCTCCTAGGCATTGACGACAATTCAATCCTAGCAGAGATGAAAGAAGATGAAATTTCCGACCCCGCTCCTCGAAAACAGCTCTCTGATCGGACTATTTTCGCTACGAGAGGGATGCCTCTAACCAGTGGTGAACCGGTCCTTGCTGATCTGGGCGAGGCGCGGTTAGCAGATGGAAAGGGAACCCAGAGGGGGCTCATCATGCCGAGTGTGTATCGGGCTCCGGAGGTGATGTTGGGTATGAATTGGGATAGTAAGGTGGATATACAGGGGCTTGGGCAGACAGTAAGGAATTTTATGAGGATGTGCAAGTTTTTTACTAATTCTATTCGTTGTAGGCATGGACTCTATTCGAGCAAGGACATCTGTTCACAGGTCAGGACTTGGAGACAGATACTGATCATGCGCGGCGTTTTGCGGAAATGATTTCGCTTCTGGGCCCGCTGCCGGTTGAGTTTCTGACACGGAGTCAGGAGAGTTTGAAATTCTGGGATGAAGATGGTATGTGGTTTCTGCTGAGGATTGGACAGGTATTGTTTCTGATTATTACAGGGAAATGGAAGGGCTGTGTAGTGATTCCGGAACAGTCGCTTGAGAGTCGGGAATCTCGGCTCCAGGATGATGATAAGATGCTCTTTCTTCGGTTCCTGCGTAAGACTTTGTCTTGGTTGCCTGATGAGAGACCGATGGCGAAGGAGCTTTTGATGGATGAGTAGTTGAGAGGGGACGATTATTAGATGAGTGTCATGACATGTGAAATTCATTTTTACTGTGACCTACGTATTAATTAATGATGGAGCCTACTTGTTGCAAAACAATAGAAGGGAAAATAAAAGAAAAGATAAATGAAAGTCTATCCTGTGAACAACCCTCTATATTGATCCGAAATAATTCCATGTTAAAGTGCAGTACCCGGGTATATATACGAGGAAATCGAAATGGTAAAGAGTTCGCTCTCACTCATCACTACTCCGTATATGAGCTTCTGAAGACGACATTTCCTGCCAATTTCAGGCAAGTCGGTCGTGCTCGACCTTCTTGTGCATCGCTCCGTGGATCCGTCGCTCGTGCAGGATGCTCCACAGGCAGACGGCCACTCCGGCCACGCCAGACAGGAACGTCGTGTAGTACGCGGCTTGGTAGCAGGCCAAGCCGTCCGGGCAATCCCGGTCCCCGTCGGGCCCGACAACCGAGTGTCGGTCGTAGATGCTGCCGTACAGCAGGTTGAAGACGTTGCCGCTCAGAACCGGCGCAAGCGTCATCACACCCCAGTTCTGGGATAGACCGCCGATACCAAAGGTATGGGCGACTAGCGACGGGAAGACGCCGAAAAGGAAGCCGTATGCAATACCGGTGAATCCGGATACAATGGCTAGCTGGTGCGGGTTGGAGATCGCGGAACCTGCAAGCTGGGTAATAGTGAAGACAAAGGCGGAGATGAACAAACACCAGAACCGCGACATGTTCAGTTTCTTTACCAGAAGATCGGAACCGATGCCTGTGAAGCTATTAGTCCTGGTTTGGATCAAGGGGCAGCTAGTGCATACCGCTAGAAAGGCGACCGATGAAGTTGCCAAATGACAAGATCGACACATGCATAACCTGGCGTTGCTGGATAAATTTCGAGCTGGCACTGTCGTCGTAGTACCGCCAAAGTGCCTTGGCCTGCGAGCATTAGATCCATTAATCGGCTGGAACAGATGGGAGCCTTACGCTGTTGCCAATGTTACTGCAACCATGTTAGCATCAGTTCACGCAATGTAAAAGGGAGACTAACTTGATCGTCATCAGTCCGATTCCAGAGAGAAGCGCCATCGTCAAAAAGAGTTGCCAGAACTCGATCCTAGGCAGCATCGCCAAGCCTCTAACGTCTGGGTGAGGTGAGTCGGGAGTAACATCAGACAAAGCATCCTCCTCATCATGTTCATTCAAAAATTCCTGGGATGATCTCGAAGGGACTTTGGACACCAAAGAGGAGGTTTCGTCAATATCGGGGTTGTGGCCGGGGTAGGGATTCGACACGACCGAGTGCGATCTGCCATGCGCCGGGGGACAGGATTCATAGGTAATAGAAGGCTGCGTACCTGCTTCATCGGAATCTTCCAGGCTGTGCCGGAATTCGGTGGACCGGGTGGTGTGTAGACGACGAGACTCCGCTCCAGGAGACCTGCTCCGTCCAAGTGGCATATATGGTTCGCTCGGGGGAAGGATGCGGAGAAACGGGATCGACACCAGGTTCAGAATACAGGTTCCCAGGGCCAGCAAGAGGAGGAACCGGCCAGTGTCGTCCTTGAAGAGAACCGCGGATATCGTAGACCAGAAAAAAGCGCTCAGTCCGAAAGCGGCCAAGGGGAAAGCAGTTGCTGTTCCACGGTGTTCGGGAAAGTTGGATGCCGCTGATGCCAGTCTCTTAGCCTCAGGTCAGTGGAGTATGCTGAAGGGGTTAACGTACATGTCTTGATTGATGCTGAGAATGCCGAACAACTCCCAAAGCCAGTCAGGAAAGCGAAAAACGACAGAACGACTATTCCCAGAGACCCTGGTCCCTTTTCATATGCTATCCACAGGGAGAAAAGTTAGTGTGAGGTCCATGGCGGTTTAGAGGCAAGGAATACCCAGATAGATGGGATAGTAGCCAATCCCAAGGGTGATGGCTCCCAGGAAGGTTGTGAGACGTGGACCCCGAGCATCTGTCAACAAACCCAATGGGATACCCGATGCATACATGCCCAAGTTTCCAGCTACGCCCTGAAGTTGATATTCATTAATTTCGAGCACCGGGTGAAGGGGCGCAATATAATCTGCTTACAATGAAGTTGCTTTCGGTGGAGGAGATCTTCATTTGATGCGCGAACTGGGGCGCCCATGCTGAATACGCATACTGCTACTGATCAGATTTTGCCTTTTCAACACCGTAGAATCATATTAATCAAAGAAAACAGAGGAGGCGCACGTTGGTACCACACGCGAGAGCAACCAAGGTGGCCGCTACAACGGAAGTTATCCGCTTCGTTTTATGAGACGAGCCGGTCATCTTGATGCGTTCGCAAGGCGTCTACACCGGGAAAGTCAGGTAAGAGTTCTTCGCATGCAATATGCGGGGAAGGGTCGCAAGACCGGCGACTATTTGTACCTAGACTCGGAGTTGGACAAGTGGTGCAGTGGATAAACGCTATCACGTCACGATAACCAGCAGGAGGAATGCAAGGAAGGCCGGCTAGACTGCGACCATAGATAACAGCACCACGGTAAAAGGAAGGACAAGGATTGGACCACTGGGTCTAGGAAAAGGAGGGTAGAAAAGAGCGACTGAAAAGAAAGGGGAGATGGGAGAAGAGATCCAAAACGGAAAAAAAGAAAAGAGGATGACTGTTGAATGCGACTTTACCCTCTTTCTCTCCCCACTGCCCACACGACACTAAACAGTGACTGGGGAAGAAGACGCAATTAGAGGCAAAGTGTCCCATTGGACTCGTAAGCTACGGCCTGCGCTTCGGGTAGAGAGGAGTCCGTATTGTAATTACGACTGCCAGCCAGTCGCTTATCGTCGATAAGGTCGTCTTTACCGGCACGCTTCCCCGGCCGTGTAAGCAGGGGAGTCATCCCGCATATAGCACGTGATTTTTGTGATGCAGTCACGTGCCGGGTCTAAAAGGGTTGTACACAATATGCAGATGATATCAGGGAGCGACTCTTCTAAAGTAGTATTGTTCTTAACTGCCCATATACAGAGTAGAAAAGGACCAATAGTCTCGTATTTATCTACTTATCTCAATATCGCGGTCATCTATATCGACTCTGCTAAACGTAGGACCGGTCCAACCACCGCCTACGGCTACACCGCCTTAGTTCCCAGCACATGACGAAGGCGGCGAACCTCCGCGGCGCCTCCTGCCATTCCGGCTTCATCCTCCACTACCTTTAGGCGGCTGCCATCGTCCGTCCCTAGAACAGGATTAAGAATTGCTTCTGTGAGAGAGACTGACTCTTCTCTTCATTTACCATGGGAGCCCTTTTATCCCTGCCTCTCCTGGCCATCCCGAGCGCCAGTACGGTATGTGCACGTCCATCAACGCCATCCGTCACCCCACTGATATCAGTAGCTCATCACCGTCGCGACGTCGTGCTGCGGAGCGGCAACTTGTTCGGCAGTATGTAGCGCATGTGGAAAGTTTCAGAACAGGTCAGGACATCTGATGGGAATTGCTGCGCTCCACGACGATGAGTCTCGCTGACATTAGGCACCACCGAACAGTATGGCGACGAGAATTGCCTACGCCTTCATCCTCTTGATCAACTCGATCGTCTCCTGGATAATGCTCACGCCATGGGCACTAAAGAAGTTACAACACATGACGTTGGATTATATGGAAATCAGATGCGACGGAAAAGAATGTTATGGTTGGGTGGCCGTTCACCGGATCAATTTCGGTCTGGGTCTCTTCCATTTGATTCTCGCGTTCATGTTGCTCGGCGTTAGAACATCCAAGGATGGCCGTGCCGTTCTCCAGAATGGATTCTGGGGACCGAAGATTGTCCTGTGGCTTGCGCTCGTCGTGGCCTCGTTCTTCATCCCCGAGTCGTTCTTCTTCGTTTACGGCCACTATATCGCCTTCATCTGCGCCATGCTTTTCCTTCTCCTGGGATTGATCCTCCTTGTGGACCTGGCACATTCCTGGGCTGAATACTGTTTGCAGAAGATTGAAGATAACGATTCGCGGACCTGGCGGAGCCTCTTGATTGGTTCGACTGTGGGCATGTACGTTGCATCTCTCGCCATGACGATCTTGATGTACGTCTTCTTCGCCCACAGCGGATGCGCCATGAATCAGGCAGCGATTACCGTAAGTTTCTGCATATCCCGGAGCCCGTCGCTTCCCGTCTCTTGCCTCGCTTACAATACATAGATCAACCTCGTTGTCTTCCTCATCATTTCGATCATATCCGTGCAGCCAATTGTGCAGGAATCCAACCCCAGAGCCGGACTGGCCCAGGCCGCTATGGTTACAGTCTATTGCACCTACCTAACCATGTCAGCTGTGTCGATGGAACCAGATGACCGTCAGTGCAATCCTTTGATTCGTGCCCGGGGCACGAGAACGGCTAGTATCGTTTTGGGCGCCATCGTCACCATGGCTACCATTGCGTATACCACGACCCGCGCAGCCACCCAGGGCATTGCGCTAGGCTCCAAGGGTGGTCACAACTACTCGGAGCTGGGAATGGATGACAACGAGCATGGTCTTGTGACCCAGCAGCCGAACACTCGCCGCGAAATGCGGGCCGAGGCTCTTCGTGCGGCCGTAGCGAGTGGCAGTTTGCCCGCCAGTGCGCTGGATGACAGCGACGACGAATCTGATGAATACGATACCAAGGACGATGAAAAGGGATCGACTCAGTATAATTACTCTCTGTTCCACATCATCTTCTTCTTGGCTACCACCTGGGTGGCTACCTTGCTCACCCAGAACTTGGACCCGGAGGCCGCAGATGACTTTGCACCCGTCGGCCGAACCTACTGGGCCAGTTGGGTGAAGATCATCAGCGCCTGGGTGTGCTACGCGATCTACCTGTGGACTTTGGTTGCACCTGTGGTTCTGCCGGACCGTTTTGACACTTACTAAACAGAAGCCTAGTGATCACGTATAACCGGGAGTTGGGCGTTGAACAGCGATGATTGTTATTGTTTCCAGTAGTGTACAGTGCCGTTCTACGTCATAGTTTGATGCCGCGAATTCCTTATCATTACATTGACATGATTTTCTGCTGTTTCTTGGATATTGTGCCTGTATCATAGTGTAAATTCCCCGCACGAGAATGATATGCCATGCTAGTTGCACCGTGTGTTTGGTCAGCAGGTCTTCGAGCTCGTATTCTTGTAGACTCCATCCGGCCGGGAGTCGCTTATCGCAGTCGCGTAAAGTGGCCGGCGAGCGCGTTGACCGCGTTCTCCCACTCCCGTTCACTATGGCATGACCATGGCGACCATCAAGGCCATCGAGGCCCGTTCAGTACGGCTTCTCTGATTACTGAAAGAAATGCCTTCTGACCTAGGCTGCTGCAGGTTCATCAAATTCAATCCGGTCAAGTGATCGTTGACCTGTGCTCCGTTGCAAAGGAGCTGGTGGAAAACAGTCTCGATGCCGGTGCCACGTCCATCGGTAGGTCGCATCAACGATTGAAAACTTGCCGCTCTCAGTTGCTTACAATCTTTTCGAACCAGAGGTCCGATTCAAGAACAATGGTTTGGATTTGATCGAGGTGCAAGACAACGGCAGCGGAATTGCGCCGGAAAACTACGAGAACGTAGGTAAGTTTTAAGTCCCCTACGATCCACTGCCCCTGGGGGCTGGTCTGACCATTGCGCTTTACAGCACTCAAGCACTATACCTCCAAACTCTCCTCCTTCGATGACCTCTCCCGTCTGCACACCTTCGGATTCCGCGGCGAAGCATTATCGTCGTTATGTGCGCTATCCGACTTTCATGTCACCACGGCACAGGCAAACCAGGCCCCCAAAGCGACACGTCTCGATTTTGAACACTCTGGAAAGTTAAAAAAGACACAGATAGTCGCGGGCCAAAAGGGTACAACAGCTTCGGTGGAAGGTCTGTTCAAAGGACTGCCGGTGCGCCGGCGGGAGCTGGAAAAGAACATTAAGCGCGAGTATGGCAAGGTTTTGAACCTTCTGCATGCGTATGCCTGTGTTAGCACAGGTGTGCGCTTTGGCGTCAGGAACTCGGTTGGGAAGACTCGGAATGTCGTGGTTTTCAGTACAAATGGCAATCAGACTACGAAAGAGAATATCGCCAATGTCTACGGTGCGAAGACGCTGTTGGCATTGATTCCGCTTGATCTGGCACTGGAGTTTGAGCCATCTGCAGTAGGGAGACGAACAGCTGGGTCGGGAGAAATGAACAAGATCTCGGTTCGCGGCCATGTCTCTCGACCAGTTTTTGGAGAGGGAAGGCAGACGCCGGATCGTCAGATGTTCTTTGTGAATTCCCGGCCGTGTGGGTTGCCGCAGATTGCAAAGGCTTTCAATGAAGTGTATAGGTCTTTCAACGTCTCTCAGTCACCGTTTGTGTTTGCGGATTTCCAGATGGATACAAATGCCTACGATGTCAATGTGTCTCCCGACAAGCGGACAATTCTTCTGCATGATGCGGGGGCATTGATTGATTCTCTGAAGGACTCTCTTACCCAGCTGTTTGAGTCATCGGATCAGACGGTTCCTCAGTCACAGGTCGTTGGTGCTAAGCAGTCGGCTATCAAACAACGCTTGGGAAACTTGCCTCAGACTCCTAGCCGGCCTCAAGTTGACGATACGGACGCCTCAGAACCTAAAGATCAGGAACCAGATGGTAGCCAGGGAACCGGGAAGCAGTCTAGCTCACAGGATAGGATGAAGAGCTTCTTGAGTGGTCTCAGTGCCCGCGAAAGCAGACCGATAGAGTCTTCTCCGGCAGATTCTAGTTCAGGCGTACAAGAACTGCCAGAGCGTCTACCTCAAACCCAGTCTGAACCTATCAAAGAGGATAACGAGCTCTTTGTGAGACAGAGTACCCCTGCTGAGACATTACCTTCCACCCAGGATGAAAATGCTCGTCCGGCTGAAGAGGTCACACAGCAAAATGAAGACCGCTCATCTCAGGGCAGTGCTCCTGATGAACCCTCGAGGCAGGTTGACCCCTTGGAGGAGACTCCCAATACAATCCAGAACGCATTTGATCGGATGCGACCGAGGCGGATGCCTGCTGAGGTGGCTACAATTACTATTGGAAATAAGACTGTCACGTCCATGGTAGGAAGTGGACTGCCAAGGAAGAGATCTGTGGGTGCTAGTGATGCCGTCGGTAGTCCTACGGCACGCAAAAGGCGGATTTACACGCCTTCTCGCCCTAGTATATTTGGCAAGCACATGAGGGATTTTGCTGCCCCAGGGACACAATTAGAGCCTGAGAGTGAGGATGATAAGGAAGTAGAGGAGGAAGTGATGGAGGAAGAGGGAATTGAAGATAGCGAAGAGGGAGAAGATCTTGAAGAGGAGGAGGAAGAAGAAATCGAGGAGATAGAGGTAGAGGAGGCAGATGATTGCTCTCAACCTTACGCTCCGTCAGACCATGGAAGCGATCACCTACCAGGTGTTAGCGAAGAAGACCACAACCAGGAGGCTAACAATGATGTTGAACCCGACTCACAACCTGGCTCACAGAACATGGATGAAGAAGAGAAAAGGCATCATGAAGAGGCCGAAGTCCAGCGGCTCATCCAAGAAGCGGAGCAGGCAGCATTGCCACAGGGCAACAACATCCACCGTGCGAACAAAATGAACAAGGGAGCTGGTCACCGTGATTCCACCGTTCAACTGATGAGCACTATGGATGGGTCTTTTTCTAAGATAAAGTCGCAGCTCGGGACACTGCAAGAAAGCCTTCGTCACTGGGACCATTCCAGCTCATACGACGAGCCCGAAAATGAGCCAGAAACGGCCGAAGAACGACTCTCATTAACTGTGAGCAAGGAAGATTTTGCCAGCATGCGAATCGTTGGTCAGTTCAACCTGGGGTTCATCTTGGCTACCCGATCATCAAACGGTGATGCGGGCGCTGGATCGTCCGATGCCAAAGACGAACTCTTCATCATCGACCAGCATGCTTCGGATGAAAAGTTCAATTTCGAACGCCTGCAGGCGGAAACTATCGTACAGTATCAGCGGCTTGTCCAGCCCAAATGCCTCGATCTCACCGCAGTGGAGGAAGAGATTGTCATCGAAAACCAAGAAGCACTGGAGAAGAATGGCTTTATCGTGGAGATTGATGAAAGTGGAAATGAGCCTATTGGCCGCCGATGCAAGCTGGTCTCACTGCCCTTGAGCAAAGAAGTGGTGTTTGGTGTTCGGGATCTGGAGGAGCTGATTGTTCTGTTGTCGGAGACGCCCACGAACGCCTCCAGGTCGGCCTCGGACGTGTACATCCCTCGTCCGGGTAAGGTGCGGAAGATGTTTGCCATGCGGGCATGCCGGTCCAGCATCATGATCGGCAAGAATTTGACTGTCAAGCAGATGAAAAAGGTGGTGACCAACATGGGGACCATCGATAAGCCATGGAACTGTCCCCATGGCCGACCGACGATGAGGCACCTCATGAGTCTGGGGCAGTGGAATGAGTGGGATGAGTTTGGAGATTACGAAGAGGATGAACAACCGGCAGAAGATCGGTTGGGGATTTGGAGGGAGTATCTCCAAGAAGTGGCTGGACATAGTGACGAGCCCGATGATGATGAGTAGATGTCTGATGGATTCGGGTTTTTGGATGGCCGTCTACTGTATAGAAGAATACTTGGATATGGAGATTGGTTACATTCTTAATCTATAGTTTTGGTTTCTTTGTGATGCTCAATCGACCGAGTGGAGGACTGTTGATAAAGCCCGACCTTGTGATAACAATCATCAATCTATCTTCGGGGGAGGATCCCGAGTGATCTCGCGATAGCATCCGACTGATATGCAATGTTGCCTGGTCAGGTAACACGACACGTCACGATTGATGCAGCTGCTCTCTCCTTGCGATTGCGCTCGGATGTCCTCCCCATACATTGCGCCCTGTGCTACTACAAATAGCTGCTGTCTTCTCGACATGTCAGTGCATCAAAGAACTAAGACTTCATCATGCGGACACTTTCATTCACGCCCAGGGTGCGGGCATCTATTCTCCAGACCAGCCGGAGAGGTCAGCTGCATCGATCCCTGAGCCTCTGGCATCCTCCCAGATTCGAGAATGAGAAGCCTGTGAGTGCCTCCTCATGGCTTCGACCTGGCTAACAATCCGCAGCTGGATTATGCAAAGGGCTCGCCCGAACGGGCCGAGTTGACCCAAACCCTACAGAAGTTGAAGAGTCAAATGCCCTTCAAAATCCCCATCACAATCAACGGGTCTACAGTAAGTTCATCTCCGTCCAGCCGAACTCAGCTAACTGTCTAGGTACAAACGTCCCAATCCCAGATCCAAAAGAACCCATCCCGACATCGGGACGTCGTCGCCGAGTATGCATCCGCAACGTCCGATCAGGTCAACACTGCCGTTGACGCAGCCCTCAAAGCCAAACCAGCCTGGGAGGCCATGCCCTTCGAAGACCGCGCCGCCATCTTCATGCGCGCATCCGAGCTCATCGCCGGTAAATACCGCTCCGACATTGTCGCCGCCACGATGATCGGACAGGGCAAGAACATCTGGCAAGCCGAGATTGACGCCGCCGCCGAGACGGTCGATTTCTTCCGCTACTACATCCAGGAGTGCTGGGCACTCTACGCACAACAGCCCAAGGTCCATCTGCCAGGCACATGGAACAAGCTCGAGTATTGGCCCCTGGAGGGCTTCGTCTACGCCATTGCCCCATTCAACTTTACCGCGCTGGGCGCCACCCTCATCGGGCCAGCTGCACTACTGGGGAATGTCGTGATTTGGAAACCCTCCGACTCGGCCCTCCACGCCAGCTGGCTGCTGCATCAGATCCTACTCGAAGCCGGCCTCCCCAAGGACGTCATCCAATTCCTCCCGGGCGACGCTGAAGAAGTCACCAACACGATCCTGCAGCGACCCGAGTTTGGCGCTCTCACATTTATCGGATCGACTCAGGTCTTCAAAGGTCTGCAAAAGAAAATCGGCAATGGCATCGGCGAGGGCATTTACAACTCCTACCCGCGGGTCATCGGCGAGACGGGCGGCAAGAACTGGGGACTGGTGCACCCCTCTGCGGACATCACCAACGCGGCTCTCAACACCATCCGCGGCGCCTTTGAGTACCAGGGCCAGAAATGCTCTGCGAACTCTCGTCTCTACGTCGCCGAGTCTGTCTGGCCGGAATTCCAGAAAACCCTCCAGGAGCACCTGGCCCGCCTCACCGTCGGGCCCGTGGACGAATACGCCCACTTCATCAACCCAGTGATTCATGAACGCGCCTACGACCGTCTCGCGCAAGTCATCCACGCGGCCCGCAGCGATCCGGAGCTGGAACTCATCGCCGGCGGCCATGCCGACAAGACGGAGGGCTACTACGTCCATCCGACGGTATACCGCACGACAAACCCACGACATGAGATCATGTCACGCGAGCTATTCGGTCCGATTCTAGGGGTGTATGTCTACCCAAACCACGAGTGGGAGGAGACCCTGGCACTGGTGGATGGAACATCCCGGTATGCCTTGACGGGGAGTATCTATGCGATGGACCCATATGCGACACGACAGGCGCAGACAGCGCTACGACATGCAGCAGGCATGCTGTATATCAATACGAAGTGTACGGGGTCGACGGTGGCGCAGCAGCCATTCGGGGGAAGTCGGGATTCAGGCACGAATGATAAGACGGGGACGATGGCGCATCTGCAGCGGTTTGTGAGTGTGCGGACGATCAAGACGGAGTTTGGGAGGTTGGAGGGGGTGGAGTATCCATCGAACGAGGTTTAGCAGAGCAGCTGCGTAGCTACAGTGCAGTATAGCTGTAGCTGTAGCACTTATCATATATAACGTCAATCTTCCAAGTTGGACCAAAAGAGACACTACTATCTCCCGGCTGAAGGGACTGAGTGGAATGATAGATAGACCCGATATGTAGAACCTTGACAAACAGGCAAACAAGCAAACCAAATAGAACAAACACCATCACCACCACTTAAGCCAACCAGACCCTTTCCCACCCTCAGCACCACCCTGACTCTCACTCTCACCCTGACCTTCACCTCCATTTCTAACCCCATCATCCTTCCCTTTCCCTTTCCCCTTCCCAATCTCGACCCACCAACCCCTCCAAACCCATTCATCCCTCCTTCCACCACCTCCCCCTCCCCCCAAAACCACCCCCTCCAACCCCCCACCACATCCTCCAACACCAAAAGTTCCCTTTCAATAACCTCCGCCCAATTCTGCACATCCCCGATTTCCTTCAATCCCAATCTCGCCTCCTCCGCAACCCTAGCCAGGGCATCATTCTGCTTCGCCAACGCAGCCGTGGACTTTTCCACGTCGAGTTGTTGCCTTTCGAGATTCGTGGCGTTGGTGGTTAGTGTGTGCGCGCGGTCGACGAGTGGGGTCGTGTAGGATGTTGCGGTGTTGTGGAGGGTTGCGGTGAAGGCGGAGATGGCTTCGATGGTTTGGGGGGTGGGGTCTGGATCATTGGTATTTGGTTGGGGGGTGGTTGTGGGGGCATTTTGGGGGAGGGGAATGGTAGTATGGGTTGAGTTTGTAGTAGGTGGGGTGGTGGTGGATGATAGATCAATTATGGTGATGGTGGTGATGGTGGTGATGATGATGATGATGATGAGATGAGATGAACGAATATAGATAAAGTTGATAGATAAGGATGCCACTGGAGTTGTATATTTGCTGATAGTTGCAATTGTGGGATTATCAGATTATCAGATTGCGGCCTGGGAGGCATCGATATTTATACTAATTACTGACCCTGCACATGACCCACCCGCTAACTGCTGCTGCAGCACTGCAGTCATCGTCACACAGATCATTCAACACACTATGCTATACAATGAACAGAACCTGATATTCACATATTACATCGTAACATCGCTGTGCAACCAAACGCCCGCCGAAATATACTATGTCCTATCAATTACATCACATATTGGCCAGCTCGTGGTCAATCTGCCGGTCCAGGAACGCCCGTTTGTCTCCTGTGAGCGTCGTCTGCAGTCGCTGCTCCACCAACGCTCGCACTGGTTCAGTTAGTATATCATCGGCCACATCCTCGGGAAACGACTTACCTTGCTTTTTCGTCACTGTGTCTAGATCAACCTCTCTCAAGCACTCCCGGATTGCCTCCGTGATGGCCCCCTCGTCGGGGCCCCCGCTTCCCCGGAAGTCGAACGCACTCACGGGCCGCGACAGCCCTCCAACCGGGCTGCGAGAGCTGGGTCGTCCCAGCAGGTTGTCCGTGCTCTGCATCAGCCCCACGCTGTGACGGTTCGTCATCCCGTCCGGTACATGGCTGAGATTTCCCAATGACATGTGTCGCGACGTCGTTTGCCCGCCCGCCAGCGGCTGGTCTGTGTATCGGGTAAAGCTCGACATGTGCGAGTTCCGGTTCCCGGGCGTGTTGGCAAATGAAGCCGGCGATTGCGGCGGCATGTATGGGCTGCCGTGGCGGCCCTGGTGATGCGGGAAGCCTGTCAGGATCGTCGACGCCGGCTTCACCGACGAGTAGTTGGAGTGCATATCGTCCATCTCCAGCGCCATCTCATCATACCGCCCCGCGTACATCTTCTCCTGGCTCATCCCGAAATCTCCGCGCCGTCCCGGCAGGTTGTTAGAGAGTGCGTAGTCATCCCAGCGTTGCAGCGGCACACTACGCGGGTCGAAGCCCTCGTCGTCCACCGCCACAACACGCTTGTTGCCCTGCTCTCCGATGACAATACGCGTGCTACCCCAACTGAAATCATCCTGCTTCCAGAACGAATACAGCGGCAGGACAAAGTTGTAGATCGGGTACGCACAGATGTAGATAATCATCCAGCCTATATGCTGCCACTGCCGTTTAAGCAGGAAGATAATCGCCTGGAGACCATATACACCCGCCAGGATGATGATCGAAATCAGCGGGAACGGTCCTGTGTGACTGGCAACGCGGTAGATCAGGTAGCCCAGGTAGACGCAGGTCGCTGGGAGAATAACCGTTCCAATCAGATCCACGAGCACTACAAAGCGCATACTGAACAAACAGAATCCACACATGTCCTTCAGCGCAGCCACCTCCACTAGGTTGTGCACCGTCGAGTTGATCCAACGCCGACGCTGCGACAGCAGCACAGACCACGTCTCAGGCGCCGCCGTACTGGCATACGCGTCAGGAATGAACTTGTAGGACATCTCCGGGAAGTGTTTCGTCATCAGCGTGGTCAGGAAACGATCTTCACCCAGCGAGAGAAGGTTCTTCTTGTGCAGGGTATCCACGTCATTATCTGAGTATTCTTCGATGACCTTGTCTGAAATGATCAGAGGCTTGCCCTTGTCGGCCGTCCGTAAGCGATACATGCAAAAACTGTTGTTGTTAGTTAGCGTCTTACAAAGGCGTTCGCGAACTTACCATCCAGGAAGACAGGTGACACTGCCGAAGAGCGACTCAAATGCCTTGGCCAAGTGATGCGAAATATAGTACTCATACACCTGAATCATTGTCCACCAACTCTGCTCTTCGTTCTGCAAACTGGTTTCACCGCAGATTCCTGCAATACGAGCATCATTGGCACACGCAGCGACGAGACGGTTGAGCGAGTCTTCACGGACACTGGTATCTGCATCCACCATCAGGACATACTCGTAGAGCTCGGGGTCCACGCCGATGACATTGTTGATCTGGTGGAAAATCTCCAGCTCCAGGGGTGACATGGGCGAGCGGTGGTGCACGCGGTTGAGGAATTGCATCATCATGATCTGCGAGTCACGCTTGCCCCGGTTACCAGGCTTGGGCCGACTCTGCTCCGACTCCTTGCCAACCTTGACCACAACAATGTACGGGACCACGTTACCCTCATACTCATAGAGGCCAGAATACACCTTGCCGTAGTTGAGCTGCTCGCTACCCTGTCCGATCGACTTGCACGGCAACGCAGGCGGATCGACCTTGGGGTCGACTCCCAGAATATCCAGAACGATCTTGGGCGTGGGCCGATCATTACCACCACCCACAATCATACCGTCACAGATCACGAAGATGAGCTTGCGTTTGTTGTCGTACTGGAGCGCCGTGAGGGAGTCAAGACCTTGCCGCAGCGCATCCTCTCCTTCCGTGTATGCCGGCACCTGGCAGATGACGAACTTATCCTGTGGCGAAGGGCGGCGCTTGGCACCCAGCTGAAGAGCGGAAACGAACTTGACCAGGATGACCACGCAGATAAGGATGGTGAATGTTAGAAGAATCCAGTTGTTGACCGTGCACCGAGGGCTGTCCCGGAAATCGACCTTGCCTTTGTAGAAGACGTAGTCGAGACACATCTGCGACTGTTGAAAGTCCGTCGTGTTTTTCCACTTGGAGGTAACGTCCTCGCCCGCATAAGTCTTGAACAGATCGGTCACGCTAGTCGGCAGGAAGGAGTAGGTGTCGTCGCCATCGAACAGATCGGCCGTGTAGAAGTAGTCCGTGAGGTCATAAATCTTATCATGAACAATAACCCAGTATCGCGAACTCTCCTCTGCCTGCTTCTTCACAGTGCTTTTCGTCCAAACCAGGTTTCCCTTGTAGTATGTCTTGATACTCGGCAGGTAGATGTCCTGGTACCAGGTGATGTTGTGTAGTTTGGTGGTCGTGCTGGGGGTGTGATACGGCCCACAATCATGCTCCGCATTCGGATACAAGAGCGCGTTCGTGTCGTTGTATTGGAGAGTAACCGACTGCTCCGTCACGTAGGGCGAGCAGAAGATGGTCAAGGGAGGAGGGAAATATGCGTCCAAGATCTCACCGGCAAACGGCTTCATGTTGGTCGTAGTCGTTTCGATCGACGAATCACTGTGCTGAAGCCTCCAGAACTTGGTGATATCGTAGACATTTCCGTGGATACTGACATAGAAATCGTTGTTGGTGGCATGCCAACTGAGTTCCTTCTCGTTCCAAACTTTGTCTTTGTTCGGACAGAGCAGATCACCAAACGCAATGATGTAGAAGCAAACGATTCCGTTAAACAGCAAGATAATCGCAACCAGGACAAACTTCTCTCGCCAGGCCATCCGGACGTCAGGACGCTTCATCCGGCCGATCCAGCGAAGAGCAAAAGATGGAATCCAAAAGGTCAACGCCCACACGATAGCGACCCAAATGCGCCGGCCCTGGGTAATGGTTTTCTTTTCGATGTGTTTGGGGTCACCGACTTCAGGGTCCAATTCACCGTTGTTGTAGTGGGCATAATCATCATAGTGATCCCACTTGCGGGCATCGCCCTTGCCGCCCAAGCCATAATCTCCTCCCATGCTAAGGGTTTGAGGAACACTGGGAGCGACCGATTTGGCACCCCCATGGAGACTGGGGGCCAAAGCGCTCTGTCGGTTCAGAAGGTTGTCACGACTGCCGAGAAGGCTAGTGGATTCGGCCATAGGAGTAGTCGCATAGTGCGGCAAGCCAGCGTCAAGCATGTTATTTCCGTAGAGAAATGGATTCGCCGCCGCCGCCGGCTCGTCGGGTTTCATGTCAAGCATCGTTTCAGCTTCCCACCATGCGTTCTCTCGCATCCAGATTCGCTGGTGGCCCACGAAGGCATCTCCATTGGTCCACCCCCGTTCCAGCAGCCAGCTTTCGACCCCATCTCGGCCCTCGGCACATCCAAGGCGGCAGTAACGGCCGATGAACTCATCCAGGTCGAAATCAGCGGTAAAGTCAATCTGCCTGAGACGCCGGTTGGCCCATTCGGCTAGTTTCCATTCCCGCAGTTGACGGGATACGGCCCCTGCGGACCAAGCCGTCGTCGGCGTGAGAGTGTTGAGCGTCGCGGGCAGATCGTCAGTGGGATGGACGGAGAGGTGGTGCCAAATTCTGCTGCTGCCTAACGTGGTGGGGAGATCAAACCGGCCTCGCTTTCCAACGGTGATGCCTTCGGCTTCGACGGGGAAGAGGAGCCCTCGGAGAAACGAGTCCATATCGACCTCGAGCCCGACCTTTTCCAGCACTTCCTGCCGCTTTCCCACGTCATACTCTCGTTCATGCCAGGCAGAGCCCGTCGTGATTCCGAGGTCAGCTTCGACCTGCGCCACCGCCGAGGACACGTCATTTGCAATCGCATGTCCAACAGCTGGGACCGCGATGCCGTCCTCCTTCATCTCGGCGTTGATACCAGCACTGTCATCGAAGACTTCTCGGATTGCCACAGCCTTGCCCAACGCAGGTCTGGGAATATCCACCACAGTGATGCTCACCGTGTCCTCATCAGTCCACTGACCGCCTGGGCCAGAGCCACCGCTGGTGCTGGGGTCGTGGTCAAGGATTGCTTGGAGCTCGCTAGAGATGGCCTCGTTGGCTTTGCCGATGACCCAGTCGACCAGGGCCTCGTAGATCCCAGAGATTAACACCTCTCGGTCGTCGGTGGAGCAACCATGAAGCAGGACTTCGGGGTCCAACCCGAGCAGACCACCGACTTCATCACAGGCCTCCTCTAGATCTTCCTGGTCGACTAGAAAGCCGGTCGCATTACCGAGCTTGAGCAGGGCTGCAAGAGTCGACAAGAGACCACGCTGAGCAGCTCCTTTAATGCCAATCGACTTGAGCGCGGTTCGAAAATCCTCCGCGGCGGCAGCATCATCCGCGGTAGGGAGGTATGATGGAGGTGCATATGTGCCGGACTTGTTCAGCAGAGCATACGACGAGGCGTCTTTCAGATTAAGAAACTCCCGTTCTGCTGGGGTAGATATCGAAGCGAGAAGGTAGTAAAACACATCGAATGCACGATAACCAGGTTCGGAAGGGATATCCAGGAGGCCCTTGCGGACATTGATTCCAGACGTGGACAGCGCGAAGGAGAGCCCCACAATGTCGCCTTTCAAGTTGAAGGAGTAGCGAGCGGAAAGGGCAGAATATAGAGAGTACGAAGGGTTGAATGATGTTACAGCAGACAGAAAAGGTCGGAGGGCCGTAAGTGCGGTGAATGTCATGTTCGGAGAGGTGAGAGGTAACGCGGCGAGGAAGGGTTCGAGGATGGATGGGGTCGATTGATGGGTTGAACTACAAAGGTTAGCCAGTTTGTTCTTCCACATCACTTCATGTCCAAGATGGATGCTTACCAAAGCACAATACACCCATCTTCTGCTCTCCTTCGCGCATGCTCCCAGGCTCTAAGACCCAGGTCCCGATCTATCGTACCTCCATGTGTAGCAGTGACCCAGGTGTTGACCACGATGCTCGTCCCTGCATCCAGTTGATAGGGTTGTCCTGAGTTGTAATGTGCGTGCAGCGCATTCAACAGGGTTGTGGTCGTGACCGGACTAGGTGACTGGGCACCGGGACGAGACGACGACAAGCCTGTGGAATGGCTGGAGTAGACTGAGAAGCGATTCGACATGGTTATTGCCTGATCGCACAGCACTTGATAGAACGATGGTAAAGGTGCAGTGCCAATCTGGTGGTCGCTCTAAGAGCCAGATTCAACGAGCGTAAGGTGTGGCCGCTGATCAAAGCATGGGTTCTCGCAAGCTTCACTCGATGGTAGGCGATTGACGCATGTGAATAGTTCCAAACGACGGGAATGGTCGAAAATTTGCAAGATAGAGCTCGAAGTGTGTCGAACGTCGAAGATAAAAGGATTTTACGGCGTTTGCACAAAGCCAGGCGATTCGTATCTTCGAGAGCGAACGTTAGGGGCGATAGACCGTAGCGAATGTTGCCATACGAGGACTGCAAATTATTAAGATTATGATGATCAAAAACACAGGCAACGGAACAGAAGAATGCGGAGAAGAAGCGACCCAAGAATCACAGCGGAAGTGGACAGAAAAGGAAAACAATGAACATCGAAGCAGCAGCGAGAGGGGAACGCAACCGACAGAAGCCCGAGCAACTGAGCAGAAAGAGAAGAGTGTGATGCGAGGCTGCCGACCCCGATATGTTGTTGTATGGTACCTCTGGGTTTAGTTTACACCCAACCGCTTGACTCCATCGGGATAGCTAGGTATGGCGGTACGAAAATTACTTCTGCAGCAAGTGGATGCCCTCCGTTTCGATTGAATTTCTGTCCCGTCGCCCGGATTCTCATTGGTAATCATGGCCCCAGGAGCCTTGCAATTGCAAAGGGAACCGACCGAAAAGCACTATGGTTGATGCTAGCCACCCGCTAGCTAACTCTAAGTAGGGAAGCGCAGGAGATAGGTATTTTAGCAACCAGACTAGGAGCATCCCGAAGAGAACACCGTTTCGCCTCCCCCTCGCTCGCTTTGGTCATCATGCTCGGAGAAAACCTACGATGCCTTCGAAGAAAAAAGACAGTGGCACCGATACGTTGGGTAAGTAAGAATTCGCTATCTCCCACCGTTTTGAAAATTTCCGCGATGAGCATCAGCCTCCCCTGGATGTCATGTGGCGTGCAGCAGTACTTTGAGGCGGGCCAATCGGGGGGTGAAAAAGGGACAGATCCATGGCCCTAGACCCTTAAGGACCCTATAAATGGCACACTTTGTCTCACTCACTCGGGGGGCTCCATACCAGGCTCACCAAGCGGTACGGTGTATCCGGCGATACGGTACTAGCGGGCTCCCTCCGACGAGCGTAGCCAGTGCGACTGGATCTACCCGACAGGACAACATTCAATGTCTCAGTCAAAGCCAATGGACGTTGACCAACTTGCCACCACCTTATCGACTTGCCAGCATCATCGCCGTACCGTTTCTCTTTGTCTTCTATTTTGGGACTCCTCAGCATGGAGGGGTAGCTGTCATATGCTGTTATCCAAAGGTCATGCATCAGCATGATCCACGATGGCGCGCCCCAGTGCCGGCTGGTCGCCTTACTGTTGTTATTTTTGTTCAAAAGGAACGACCCCCCCGAGAAACCTGGCCATTGTTTTGGCTGCAGCATCAATAATACCCGCCGTGTCACAGTCTAGGTCGGTAGTCCGTTTACTAGAGAGGCAAGGTGGGAGGGAGTAGTATGATGCTGAGACTGATAGATAGAGACCAACTCCCTAATACGGGCGTGGGTGACTGGTGGTATGTACGATTTGGTATGAAGGGAAACTCTACCTACGCAAAGACCGCGAGTCTACATAGCGGTAGGTATCTACTGGACGCCTCAGCAGGGACTGATTATTGACTGGGACATCTCATGTTTCGCCCACTTTGACCTTGATCTGATTATTATTATTATTACGCGGGATGGTTGCTGGCCTCCCTTCCATCGTATTCTACCAGCAACCGAACGGTCACCACTCACCCCCTAGTTTCAGACTTGGCTGTTTTGGTCAAGCGATCGAATGATCCAATCGGTCCACCCCGACCGATGGCTTAGCCTATAGCCTACTGCTTTTATGTTTTCCCGGGCCCCTCAGGGTCCTCTTGGCTCGCATTTGGTCTGGGTGATCACGATCTTCCCACCGCGAGATTCTTCTTCTCTCTCAAACAGTCAAGTCTCCGCTCTTGACTCCCACGGCGTCTCATCTATTAGATATTGACCGCAGATCGCTAACCAACTTCTGACTCGTAACATCCCACTGGTGACTGCAGGTGGTCGTGCATATATTGAGGCCGCCTACCCCCCGGTTCCTGTCGGTCACGAAGAGTTGGTTGCTGTCAAAGGGAGCGCAGGGGACCAACCCCTTTTCTTGCAGGTGGCGCTGAATGATTGACATCAGATTGAATCGGTCGGTCGCCAGGACATTGGGGCGGGCGGCAGGCCCTCGTCTCACATTCTAGTCGTCGTCGTCGTCCTCGACTCTGTACTCCGTACTCCGTACTTACTATTGCTTAGTCTATCTGAGACCCCCGAGGAGTAATTTTGTCATAATAATGGGGTTGGTTTCAGCTCGAAGGTTGATAACTCGACAACTTGTTTTCTCCCTGCCGCCCTCCTATCCAGTGGGATTTAATCTAGAGTTCCTCATTGACTGGCTCGGGTCTTACCTAAGGAGTAACCACCAACCACTAACTCAGTCCAAGGGAACAATCAGGGACGGTTCGACCGACCGGGTTGAACATCCCCACCGGCTGAGGATCCGCGGGTCTTCGGCTGTCAGCGCAGGATGCATTGTCCCAAAAATAATCCCCATCTCAGGAGGGGAGACACGGGAGGGCGGCGTGGGCAAAACAAGCACCGGGCTAGACTTTTAATTTAGCTACATGTCTCTCACCTCGTCTCTGGCCACCGGGGATAAAGATTCAGGCTGTGAGCCTGTGAGGACGAGATGAATTTCTCCGTCACCGACACCATCCCCAACGCATAGTGGCATTACGGGGTTGATACAGCCCCGCTAGTAATTTGCAAGACCCCTCCCCCCCCCCGCCGGCCGTACCAGTCCCATACGGACTTACCCAGACGGGCAACATACTGACTGGCTAGCGCTGGCTCGGGACGCGCGACTAGACCAACCACAGCCCAAGTCTGAAGTTTTTCCCTTTATCAACAGTAGTCCATTACCTAGCCATATTATTGTCGGCGGCTTGACCCCGGACAGCTTCCACCATCATCTTGTGCTTCTCCTTCTCCTTCGCAGTCGCTCGGGTGCTAAGGTTGTCATCGGCATCCATCACATTTCGCTTTCCTTCTTCGTCCTGTTCTTTGGCCTGCATCCTTGATTCTAGTCCCAACGTCCCGTTGAGCAACCCTCGTTTAATCCACCTGGAAAGCCTATATACGATCGTTTGGCCGAATCGCGCCACTCCTGCTCGCTCTGCGCTGCGCTGCCTCTCGCTTCTCAGTGACACGATAGAAATTTGGATATTTACCGATCGTCCCTGGTCCTGTGATCGGCTTGTATTTGCCATCGATTCGAGCAATGCAGTTATCTTCCTGTGAATGCTAGGAATTCCCCATCCAAGATAATTGAGCATTCCTGCTCCCAAAATAACCAAATAATTCACCCTCGGCCGAGCATACCAGAAGCGATCCATCGGGGTCGAGACGACATCTTGCTTCCTGTCGGCCACCGTTCCTCCAGATCTTGTTGCAGCTGTCATTGCGGTTATCCGGGTGAAAGCCTGACATCTCCCAGTGCTGCAATCTCGAGGTTCTAACCTCTCCGGCAACATGGCTGGAACTGCCCCGTCCGGACGCACGCCGTCACATGCCCAGTCCTCGTTACCGTCGCTACCATCCCATCTACAATCAGACACACACTTGACCGCACACCTTGCCAGCCGGTAAGATCCCTCCTACATGACGTTGTGGAATACAGCTCGCTGACGGCAGTTCTCAAGCTTCCATGTCGGCTTACCGACAGCCCGCCTATCCTCCCAGGCATTGATCAGTCTCAACACCTATACGTCGTCAGCCCGAGGTCCTGATGGCGACAAGGAAGGCAGTGCTATGGGAGAGGCGGAGGACCTTGCTAAGCGTGCCTTTACTCGTCTAGGTGCCCGCGGAGAGAATCAGGCTGTCGTGTTTCTGTAGGTACATGCTTTAACAACCTTCGCACCAGAAGCTAATCTCGTCTCCAGTGGTGAAAGCGGGTCTGGAAAGACCACCATTCGCTCACACCTGTTGTCGTCCTTTCTCTCCTTCTCCGCTACCCCGCTATCTTCGAAGCTATCATATGCTGCGTTTGTTTTCGACACCTTGACCACGACCAAGTCGGTGACCACACCGACTGCATCCAAAGCTGGACTGTTCCTGGAGCTACAATATGACGGGTCGTCCTCTGTCAATCCCACCTTAATCGGTGGTAAGATCATCGACCACAGACTGGAGCGCAGCCGCATCGCGTCTGTGCCCACCGGAGAGCGGAGTTTCCACGTGCTATACTACCTGCTAGCCGGCACGAGCGCTGCGGAGAAAGAGCACTTGGGCTTCGACAATTCCATTCACGTGTCGACCGCTGGTGGGAGACTTTCATCGGCCTCAATCGGCCATAAGAGATGGAGATACCTAGGCCACCCGACTCAACTCAAGGTCGGCATCAACGATGCCGATGGCTTTCAACATTTCAAGACTGCACTCAGGAAACTGGAATTCCCGCGCGGTGAGATAGCCGAACTTTGTCAGGTCCTCGCTACCATTCTTCACCTTGGTCAACTGGACTTTGTCAGTGGCCAAGCCACTACTACCTCGGCGGAAGAATCCGGTGGTTACTCCCATGAAGGTGGCGAGTTGGTCACCGTTGTCAAGAATAAGGATGTTCTTTCCGTCATCGCTGCCTTCCTCGGTTTGGGGGTGGAGGAACTCGAGGCCAGTTTCGGATATCGGACGAAGACTATTCACCGGGAACGGGTGACGGTGATGCTCGATCCCAAGGGCGCACGGCAGAACGCGGACGGGCTCGCTCGCACTCTGTATTCCCTCTTGGTGGCCTATATCATTGAGAATATCAACCAAAGGATATGTGCAGCTGAAGATAGTGTAGCCAACACCATCTCTATC